AATAAAAGTAAGAATAAAGATAATAATATTTGCATTATAAAGGTATATAATAAAAATAAATATAAGCTAAAGGGTTTAGCATTAACTTTATAAGCATTAACTTCCTTTATAAAGAAGAAATTTAAAACTAAGGCCTTTACATAAAAGTTAATAATCTTTATAAAAAAGCAACTTTAAAAGCTAAGTATTAAGGATAATAAGTATAATATTTAAGAAATAATATAATAATAAAGATTATAAGTTTAAAAAGTAATATAATAATAAGGATTGCTAAAACTTATTTTAAAACTTATAAGTTATAATTTTAAGCTTTTTTAGCAATGCTTTTTTATAATAAAGGTTATATATATTTAATATATAATGAATTATAATTTTAAGGCTAATTATAATAAGGATTATATATACTTATTAAAAAAAGAGAAAAACTATAAGTATTGGTAAGTATAATCCTTATTACTTAAAAGGCTACTTTAATTATCCCCTTTAAGGCATGTAGCCTTTTAAAACTTAAACAGAACAATATTAATACATGATTGCTTCCCATATGATTATTGTATGTACGAGAGACCTACCAACAGTCTCTGTCGTGACTGTGGCTTTGATACATGACTTAGGAATTTGCTCTGATGCTGCGATGTTAGGGTATTGAATAGATGGCCCTTTGGGCAGTAGAAACCAAGGAAAAATACTTTCCTCTGTCATTTTCTTGTAAGCAGTTAGGGTGCGTACGGCGACCACATAAGCGATCTTGCTCTTTCCCAGGCCTCAGTAGTCAATAAGCCACGCCATCCCGAGAAGCCAGACTCAAATGTCTAATTACCTATTCCTAACACTTCCATGTTCTTCTCATACAGTGATTGGGTTTGCAGCCTAGTGGTCAGTAAATCAGGATATGCTAAATCTCTCAACTGTCAACCGTATCCGGCCCTTCACTGTCCTGAAGCCTTTCCCCGTTAATTATGCATCGCTCAAGCCACATTCATCAACTATGTCGTCTTCAACATCAACAGACACGACGTGGTTCTAAAGCCTCCATCTATTCGGCTTGTCATCGTGGACTTCGGATTCCCTTGATTGGCCAGTCGTGAACTGGCACATGTTCACCGGGCAACAATTCCTGTGCTCTGGAGCTGGGGGATTTCCGTCGTACCTGCCGGTCAACCGGTCGATCTGCTGGTCATTTGCGTGCAGAAAGCAGTGTTGTCAAAAATGTTCAATGCTGCTTTCAATTCACACTTTCGATGCGGCGGTGGACACGTTCCCAAATGTACTGCACAGCGCAAACGACCCAGTTTTTGGTGCATAATTTAATCAGAATACTATTTCATAGCGTTAGGCGACAGCAGATGTGCCTGCGGAGGGATCTAGTATGTCTTGCGTATACTTCTACGGAGCATTGCAGATGAATCTGGTAGAATGAGTCTGGTTAGAGTAGTCCCCTCTCTAGAAAAGATAGTGGGATCCATGGAAGCCGCGTGTAGAACAATTCATACTATGAGATGCTACTTTCGCATCAAGTCCGACGTCAGTCAGCCCCATCGTCGGAATATACATCTGCTGGGGTATTTATATAACATCTTCTAGAAAAAGGGGGACGCGGGTCTACCCGTGCCGGATCTTTGAACAAAAGAAGCTATCTGTTTGGTCGACATTGCGTGCTCAGGCACGAAAGCAGGCTCGTGGGGTTCTGGTGAGGTCTTGCGGAGTTGTAATTCGACAATCCCAGAGGACCCCCACGGCGCGGCCCCATACTAGTCTGGGGAAGGACGGGTCGGGTGGTACTTGAGCTGCAGGGATCTTTCAGCCTCCATTTCAACGTTCCAGATGCAGAAGCTATTTATCTGGACCCTTCATGGACGTTCCCTGGTCCGCCCAAAGTCAAAAGAGACGACCATGGGATGAATGGTCTGGAGTGTGAAGCATTCTGGTGATGGGGACGCTCGTCTCAGGCCCACTTCCGAATGAAAGAGGCGGGAGTATTTCCCCCGAGAAACTTGCACTAGCAAGAGTTTACCCATCAGAACCCAGGAGAAGCTAGCGCAATCAGAAGAGCTCAGAGCCCTGTCAGAGCGACAACGGCAGCACCAAACCCTGCCCGCATTGGCGATGGAGGAGGAGACGGCATGTGGGAAATTATGTCCGTCCTCCGGCCAATTTCGATTCAAAGTGGGTGACCGGACCGTACACACGGTATGGTCACATCCCATGGAAAGTGGGCATATCAGGCGTCGTTGATAGGCCGCTGCTGGCGGTGTCCTGGGCACACCGCGGAGGTGTGCACTCGCCCTGCATGCATGACAGCCGAGGCGCGATGCACTCGATGCACTCGATAACAGTCGCATAGACATCCGATCTTGTTCGACTGAAGACGCGACAGGGACACACCGTCATGCCATCCTTTCCACATCTGGAGTGGTTATCTCGGGCTCAACGGGCGGCGATCATTGCCCAAGGATGTGTGGTCTTGTGCGACCTCAACAGACAAACAATTTAAACAAGCACGGCGCCGTTGAGCAAGCCACATGCAAGTCGAGTAAGGAAGTTCGGGTTTGGGGTTGTGCGTGCAGCTGCGGCCTGCCGAGGTGGGATGCACCAAGGCACATTAGCCACCGCGGGAGGCGTCGAAAATTTGCCGGTTTCCCAAGCGTACCATAACCACCGGTCTGAGGGGGAGGGGGCCGTGGCCAGTGACAGACGACGGATAACGGGGCGCAGGGCGGTCAGGAAGAAGTGAGAGCCTCTGCACTCCGGAGCCGCGAAGCCCTAGTGTATGTGGTTTTGCGTTGACTGGCCTCGCAGCAGTGCCATGGCAGGACTTGGACTCAAACTTCAGCCGACCGGACATGTGGACCACAAATCCCCCAATGGAGCCATGCAGCCCCGGAGACCTGGGGGCTCCTGATGCTGCGTCGATTGTTGATCGGCCTAGCGCGCCTCGATCTGCAAATTTTTGCGGTGGGCCACTCGCCGGGTGTTGCAATGCAGACTGCACAGTTCTGGACAGTATTGATCATGTTGTCACCCGCCATGCTCGGGCACTCACCGTCCAACTGCGCCTGTTGTTTGCAGGCGATCGGCCGACTGCGAGCAGAGCACACTGGGTGAGGTTTGCCCAAGGAGAGTCATTCATCGGCACCCTTCGACGTCATACCTGGGTCAGGACATCAATGCACTTGGAGCGAGTAGACAATCTTCAAACCCAGATGAGCATGTTTCGGGGGGACAACTCATACACGGGCACACGGAGAGAGAGATGCGACTCAGGAGTAGGGTCACCAGCCACTCCAGAGAACGGGTGCGTAGCGCCTTCGTACGGTTTAGCCGTAGCCGCACCGACAGCCGAGGAGGACTTGTGGTGCATACACACCGTACAACAGTCGACAACATCGATTGTTGTGGAAAAACGAAGGATGTTGATTGCATGCGTTGTGTGGGCGATCGTCGCGTGTTTCACATCTCTTCTCTATTGTTTATGGGATGGCTCGCGTGCCCTCCCGATATGATGGGAAGTGCCGTTGTGTCGTGGTTTGCGCCATGCACGAGGCGCTGGGGGACGAACGCGGCCCTTGACGTGAGACATGGGAGCTCCCTCCATGTCTTGGTGTTGACGTGGGGCCGGATGGGGCAAGGGCCTTTGGTGGCCCAGGCAAGGCCCAGGATGCTCGCTACTTCCCGAAGTCTGTGCCACCCCGGTGTGATGTAACGTGCATACACCGCACCCTTGCACTGTCGCCCTGTCGCTTCGCAGGTTTCGACCGCTCCAGACGCTTGCAGACCTGCATCACGAGCCGCAATACTCCCCTCGCAGGCAAGTCCGATGAGTCGCCGAGTGGCCTTGGGTGTTGCTGTGAGGAGTCGTCCGAGGACACGAGGCGCAATTTCAGTCTTGCTTGTCCCCAGTTTAGAACATACAGATTTTCCTTCGCTTTGCTTCGCTTCGCTTGGTATCGCCTTCTTCCGGCGCTGCACGTGTGGATACGCTAGAGGAATGTAAAATATGAAAGCAGAAACGACAGTGTTATCACATGAAGTTGATCAAGAGGACGTCAGTTTTTTGGCGTCTCGTGGCATCTCATGGCACCCCTGCAGGATGCAGAGCGAGCGAGCGAGAACATTCCCTGGTTCTGGCAATTGCAGTGTTGCTCCACAGCACTGCGTATCCCGAAGCAGGACCCACTCATGGTCGATCCGCTATGCTGGCGCCGGAAGTCGGGGCACTTGCATCCTTCCAACAACCCGAGCACCTTCCCCAGCATGCATATCGCTTCTTTTCGACGGGCGTACACGTTGGTGTGTCCCTCTCTCTAGGCTATACTGTAGACTAACCAAGTTTCACTGTGTTATGGCGTGGGCAGGGCATGACAGGATGGGCAAGCACCACCAGTGTCATCCGTTCTCGGCCGCGCACTTGACTAGGACTGGAAGCGAAGGCCAACCTGCTCCTAGACCAGACCAGACCAGCCCATGACAGACGAAAATCATCTTGACCGTAACTTCGCCCCGTTGCACTCGCTTCCGCCCTGCCTTGTGCTGTGTGTTTACAATTTCTTCCTTATCAGTGCACGGATATAACACGCCGACCCTGGCTCACACACCAAGGACACAAATATCTACCTCCTCCCACCGCTCGCTGCTGCTGCTTCGCCAACACCTTCTTTCCTTCACGGACTGCCCGCCGTCCTGCTCTTCTCTTGCTCCTCACGACTTGTCATCTGCTGCGCACTGTCTGTTTCACAGCTGTCGAAAGTAAAAAGTACAAACATATATACATATCGATCAACCAAAGCGGCATCCTGTCCCACTCGTTGCGGGCACTCGTCCACTCACTCGCACCACCTTGTTTTTTGCTCTCCGCGATCTTTCAGGGTCGAGAGATAGGGACAATCAGCGATACTTTTGCTGCCCTACTAGCGACGCTTCACTTTTGCACTTGTACTTTTGTTCATCTGCTTTAAGTGTTGTGTTGCGAGTCGTAAGACTGAGACCAACTTTCAGAAGCAATGACCCTAACAACCCAGAGATCAACCCGTAATCCGGACGACTTTCCCACTCTACAGCTCTTCCTGCTTGGTATGTAAACAGTCTCACCGCCGCCTGGGCACAAGTTCCCTCATGTGCAAGACTGACTGAAGGCTACTAGCTATTGTTCGTCTCGCCGAGCCCATCGCCCTCACCTCCATATTCCCATATGCATGGCAGCTCGTCAAGCGCTTCAAGGTCGGCAACGAAGAAGATGCATCCACCTATTCTGGCCTGCTTATCTCGTCCTTCGCTCTGGCGGAGGCCTTGATGGGGATGTACTGGGGGGGTTTGAGTGATCGCATTGGACGAAAGCCCGTTCTTCTGTTGGGATGCCTTGGTACGATGATCTCGATGATCGTCCTTGGCTTTGCCGACAACATCTGGGTGGCCCTCGCCGGGCGTGTTTTTGGCGGAGCCTTGAATGGAAACATCGGGGTCATCCAGACCATGGTTGGAGAGCTTGTGACGAAGCCTGAACATGTGAGTCCTCCCCTGCGCAGAGAATTTGTGATACATGACTGATTCCCTCCAGGAACGTGAGTACCTCAGCGGCGACTCGCCTTGGACGAAGATGTTCCCGAATGCTAACTTACCGAAGCGAGGGCTTATTCCATCATGCCTTTCGTATGGAGCATAGGGACCATAGTAGGACCGTGCGTCGGTGGCACATTCTCGGACCCTCACCAATCGTGGCCGAACGCGTTTCCTGAGGGAGGCCTCTTCGACCACTTCCCTTACCTCTTGCCGAACCTCATCTGCGCCGCTCTTCTTTTTGTCAGCATAATCCTGGGTTACGTCCTGCTCGAGGAGACGCATCCTGGCATGCAGTCGCGGATAATGCTCCCGGCAGACACGTACGTCTCTGAGGAGACGCCTCTTAGAGAGACCTCGGATGCCGTCAAACGTCCTGCGGTGGACCTTAGGTCGGAAACCTACGGCACTTTCCTGACCCAGAGTCCAGAGGCTACGGAGCCAGAGCAAGAGTTGGAGAAGGAGACGTCATTCAACATCTTCTGCGACAAGCGCATCATGGCAGTGGTTATTAGCCTGTCCATATATGTGAGTTGCGACTACAACGTCCTGTTTGGAGCCAGGTGCTGACTTTTCTGAAGACGTACCATGCGATGTGCTTTGATCACTTGCTTCCGATCTTCTTTGAGGATGACAGAGCTGTGGTCGACTCCATCAGCTCCGTCGTCCCATCGAGCTTGCTTTATTTCCCTGGCGGACTCGGCTTGTCGATACCCACGGTCGGAATGATCAGTAAGTATCCACCATCTCTGGCACACTTTCTGGACCGTCTCGGGCAGCAAGTCTTGGGCGCGCAGAAAATCTCAGACTTCATTTCTCGTCTCTCGGGGACCGCAGACTAACTTGGATTTCTAGTGGCTGTTAACGGTGCTATTGCTCTTTTCATCCAGGCCGTCGTGTTCCCTATCGCCGCCGACAAGATCGGGGTTTTCAGGCTGTTCATCATTGTCACGATGCTGCACCCTATCGCCTACTTCTTGATGCCCTTCCTCGTCTGGGTCCCCGAGTCCCTACTGTATCCCGCCATTTACTTCAACTTGACCGTTCGGAACATCTTTTCCATCCTGGTCTACCCGCTTCTGCTCATCCAAATCAAGGAAGCGGCACCCAGATCCGTCCTTGGAAAAGTGAACGGCTTCGCAGCCAGTGCTGGTGCGGCGTGCCGGATGGTTGCACCGCCCGTGGCCGGGTACCTCTACACAGTCGGAAGCAGAATGGACTGCACTGCTCTGGCTTGGTGGGGTAGTGCGGCAGCGGCTCTTGTTGGGACTGTCCAGTGCTTCGCCGTAAAGAGGACCAAGGCCGAAGACCACGTTTATTGTGAAGTGGAGGCCCTGGTTCGCACCCAGTCGAAGCAGGCGACTGTGTCTGTCGTGGACATCTCTGACGACGACTATTAATGGATCGGCAGATATCTCTGGAACCGGAACCGGGGAAGAGCGTCTCTGCTTGAGAGATGTCGGCAATGAGCCAAGGAGGAACACTAAAAAGTGTAGATGCTGTGATGGAGGACACGCGGGTTCTGTGAACCTGACGTTGATGTAAAGACGGGGCCAGTCACAGAAATGGCGTTTCCTTAGGACGGTCAACATGGGCGGCGCATGTTACCTGTGTTTGGTGTCCAGGAGTTCAGGCTTGGGTTTTGCTTGTAGCGTGGATGGTCCTGGGGTCCTGGCGTTGGCGCTTGGTGTCTTGCATGGATTGGGAAAAGAAGGATACCACAATACCTAGCATAGACAGACCTTGTATCAAATTAATTCAGCACCATAAAGACACGGCGTCAGAATCAACATGTGCACTGCATTTGTGAGACTGACTATTATTTTCTGTATGCTTGGTGTCCGGCCCATACCCGGCCTCCTGTCCATCGGCGAGTTCAGACATCGATGCAATAGGCGAGGCTGGAGTGAGGATAGGCTTTCGGGAGACGCATATGTGACGAGTTCTCATTGTCCATCCAAAACAACCCGGATATGGCCAGAGAAAGAGACTTTGCGTCGGTCAGATCACATCAAGTGACGAGGTCCCCCATTTCGCGGGGACGGATGGTTGTGGGTGGAACAGGCAACAACGTGCCAAGAGCAGTTAGGAACGTCGACCTGTATCTTTTCAGAACAGACAAATCGCAAAAATCTTGGTTACGAGGCCTGCGCCTTGGGATTTGACCATCACACGGTATGTCAAAAGTGAAATCGGGTCCCGAGGTGCCGATGTGATACAGTAGAACAGTCGGGCCGTCCTGGCCATCCCGGCCATGCACCCTGCCTAACCCGGGTTATGAGTCTTGCCCGAGGGGAAGGGATTAAAGCAGTCTCTGAGTGAGGACGGACGGCAAAAATCAGCACCCACGGTATGAGATCAGCAGTCTTTCTGTGTATGAAGCCTCATTTGCATTTTAACGGGAGATGCCATGAGATTCAGTTGAAAAAGATCACGCGCATGCGTCCGCCTTGTAGTCTCTGATCATTGGGCTGGTCCAAACCTTCGGAAATATCTGGCCGCCCCGCCTCAAGAATTTCAACTTGCGCTGCCGTTTGGGGAAACTTCACATGAGAGATCGACGATCCATTTCAACTGCTGTGCATAACTTCCCCCACCTATCAAGTCCTAAAAAAAGAAAAGGAAACCATATACAAGTGCAATCTGTCTGCCTTTTCCAAGCCAATCGCGGGACGAATTGTTCGTCCAGCTGACACCCTTCCAAAATGGTGCAACTCACAGAGATCACGGACAAGACCGAGTCTTTGCTGAAAATCTCAGACGACCAAAATGCAGCACCACAACAAGCACAGCCAACGACAAACCCCACAGGCACAGAACCTATAGATGTAACCTCGCCAACGCCTGCGGCAGGGCCAGCAGCCCCAGCAGGCCCATCACCGCCAAAAGTCGCCGCGCCCGAGCTCCCGCCCCAGCTCGCGCGCCAGGCCGGCAAGACGGCCGAGGAGATCATGGAGGACCTGAACAAGTCGCCGCTATTCATGACCGAGCTGGAGGAGAACGACGACGTGGCGGCGCTGGAGGCGCTGGCCTACGAGGGCACGCCGCTGGAGAACGCCACCGACTTCAAGGAGCGCGGCAACGAGTGCTTCAAGCAGCGGCGGTGGCGCGACGCCGTCGAGTTCTACGGGCGGGGCGTGGCGGTCGTGACCAAGGAGGAGAAGCGCCGCGAGAAGGGGGAGGCCCCGCGCGAGGGCGACCCGAAGGGGGACGACGAGGCCGAGGCGGCCGCCCAGCGCGCCGTGCTCGAGGCGCTGCTCGTCAACCGCGCGGCGGTGCAGCTGGAGCTGCAGAACTACCGGTCGTGCTGGCTCGACTGCGGCGCGGCGCTGCGGCTGAACCCGCGCAACGTCAAGGCGTGGTACCGCAGCGCGCGGGCGCTGCTGGCGGTGGGGCGGGTGCAGGAGGCCGACGACGCGTGCGCCGGCGGGCTGAGCGTCGACGGCGACAACGCCAGCCTGCGCGCCGTCGCGAGGGACATCATCGCGCGCGCCGAGGAGCTGGACAGGAAGGCGCAGGCCGCCGCCGACGAGAAGCGCACGCTGCAGCGGCGGGCGGCGTTCCTGGCGGGCGCGCTCAAGGAGCGCAACATCACCGTCCGCGCGGGCAAGACGCCGCCCGACATGGGCGACGCGAGGCTGGAGCTCGTCCCGGACCCGGAGGACCTCAACAGCACGCTCAGCTTCCCCGCCGTGCTGTACCCGGTGCACTACGAGAGCGACTTCATCAAGGCCTTCAACGAGAGGGAGGCGCTCGTGCAGCACTTTGGCTACGTGTTCCCGCTGCCGTGGGACCGCGAGGGCGAGTACGGCGCCAACACGGTCGAGTGCTTCATGGAGACGGCGGCGGGCGGCCTGGTCAAGGTTGGCAAGAAGGTGCCCCTGCTCAAGGTGCTGAGCCTGGACAGCGTCGAGGTCGTCGACGGGGTGGTCAAGATCTATGTGGTCCCCAGGGGGAAGGCGGACGCCTGGGTGAAGCAGTTTAAGGAGGCAAAGGCAAAGGAGGGCGGGGCGGCAAAGGGTTAGTTGTGGCAGACATATTCATTCGTCGTCAAGGGCAATTGTAAGAGCGGCGATTAGGTCACAAATCGGCCTGCTACTTCCGAGCTTCTAGCAGACAGAATTAAGAACGAATGTGCCCTGCGTTATGTGTCTATTGGTGCCGACTGCCTAACAGATGCTACGGGCGTGGTGGTGTGGACCCCCTGAGAGCAAGCACGCGCACATCTGCTAACATTTTCCAAATTGGCGTGCCAGGCCTAAGTTCTTGGAAATCCCTAGAAAAAGGTATCAACTCCTATCGTCCGTGACCCATGGTCCGGTGGAGACAAACACAATAAGGAAACCCACCCCAGTTCAAAACGCCATTCCCTGAGTGACCGATTGAAATGCTTGGGAAAAGAGAGATGGTGAGGAAAGACAGAGAGAGAAAAACAGCAAAGAAAGAAAACACCGAGTTAGTCTTACATGGAGGTTGCCCTTCGTCTCTTGCTTCTATGTCCATCCGGCGTCGCCGACACAGGGGACATGGACATGGACTCTTGCCCACAGCCCCGCGGGACGCGGTCGCCCTCCGGGGCCTTGCTGCCACCGCCCTCCCTCTCGTCGCGGCACCGGACCTCCCGGTGGTCTCTCACGCTCAGGTTCATCAGCAGCAGCGCTGCGTTCTTCTCGGCGCCGGTGGTCGCGGCGGCGTGGGGCACCGAGGATGGGACAAGCTCCTCCTCTCGACCCCGGTTGTGATCCCGCTCCCGGCCTCCCGAGGCCCGAGACGTCGCTGTGGTGACCGTGTTTGTCGGGCTGTTCTCGCTCTGGTCGTCATAGTCGAACTCGGGGCCGGCCTCCGGCTCGGGGGCCGGCCGCTTCGATGTGGTCCATGCCGCCGAGGTGCGGGGGACGGGAGGGAACCTCTGCGAGGTCTGGTAGTGATCGAGCCTGCTGGCGTTACTGAAACGGGGTATGGCGCTAAGTAAAGGGTTTGGGCCGCCCGGGTACAGGAAGTCCTCGCCGAAGTTGTGGTGGTGGCTGTTGGGCGACGTCGAGGACGACGAGTGGGAATGTCCCGGGTGGTTTGCGACCGTCCAGCCGCTGGACCGCGGCGGTGACATTGGCGAGTACGGAATGCTGCGGTGGTGAGGTGCGTGAGGCAAGGAGGGCGTCTCCGGTACGATTTGGATCTCTGGGTCGACTCAGTAGCATGCGGACTGTCTAGGCCTCTCTTGAAGCACACCCGCCCACCAAAGTCAACCCGGTCTCTCTCGTAGTCGTATGGCGATCCGTGCCGGTGCAGACCGCGGCGTGCAAGACGCGGGCTGGGGATGCTAGTTGGGCTTGGGAGCGCCGGACCGTGACTGTAGTGGTGCATCTGCTGAGGGTGGAGTGGCAGGTGGCCGTTGACATTGACAGCGTTCGCGTTGGCAAACACGCGGCGATACATGTCGGCCTCACGCCCAGATTCTGCCACGATCGCGGGATCGATGGCCATCCGGCCGTGCTCTGGGGCGTCGGGGGATATGCATTGGGAAGGGAAGTCAGGGCCGAATATTGGGATCAGTGCGCCGGCAATAGGCGCGCAGAACGTCGCGCAGACGGCTTTTGCACACGCGTGGGGCATCCAGTAGCCTGCGAGGGGACCAGTCAATAAGTATTGTGGGTGTAGAATGCCATATCATAGATCAGATACAGAATGCTTACCCTGGGCCATGATAGAACCTCCGGTAATGCTGTGAGTGATGTCGCGGAGGCCAGGGTTCATGTTCAGCATCTTGGCCGGCATCGTCTGCTTTTGGTCAGCCTTGTGTGCGTGGGAAGACACAGGGAGGGATGGGAAAAACCACCTTTGAGTATTTGCAACATTTGAAAAAGGGGGTCATGCGGACCAAGCCAACATTGTAGTCCCACATAACGGTGTATTCGGAATCATCACCAGGCACTTTGAAGATGTACTGGAACACTGCATGGCGACCGTAAGCCTCGAGTCCTGGAGGGGCAAGGGTGCTTGTGATTGGTGATTGGGGATATCTTACCTTCAAAGCTCTCGCGGCCCGTCTTCTCGTAGAAGTCTTTCTTGCCGCTGTTGTAGGGGATATGTCGACAGTACTCTTGGATCTTTCCGTAGGGGTACACTTGGTATCTCTTGATCTCCCGAAGTGAGCCCTCGTCCAGGTTCTCGAAGGGCGGGAAGTTGACGATGCCCTTGGCCTTGGACTTGACGAAACCTCCAGACTCCTTGGCCATCTTGGTCGGTTTTGTAGAAGAGGCCAGGTGTCGTTCGAACATCAGACTTGAGCAGTCGTCGGAGTAGGATGTAGCAGGCGACGACAGGCCTGGACTTGGTCGATACCGAGGAGTTGGCGGGGGAGGCCCAGGGGGCGCCGGGTTAAGAAGGGAGGCCAGGGACAACATAGCGGTGAGGCCTGGTCGGAATGTCTCGAAGGTGCAGCAGAAGATGCAGGTGTAAGAGTGGAGGATGGGATCTGATGCTAGAGGGATAGACCCCCAGGCCCAAGGGGGACGGGTAGTGGTGATATGGACTCAGACTGCAAGACAGCGCTTGCAGCTCAGTCGGATTGGGGAATCAAGGTGAGGCCAGTTCGAGCAAGGAAAGGGAAACCAAGCCCCTTTTCAATGGGCAAACAGGCGAAACAACCACACGATCGTCGCCAGCCCACCCAAGCCGGTTCCAAGGACCAAGAGAGGGGGATGGAGTGTGCGGGCGTGGGCGTGGGCGCGGGCGCGTGGACAAGGAACCGAGATGTTTTCTTTCTTCCTTACTTGAGACTGGCCATGCAACCACCTGCAAGTCCGGTGGCTTCTGCCCGTAGGCGACGCAGTCGGAGGTGTTCTCGGTGCTGCTCCTTTGTCCGGGATGTCTTGGAATCGAGCCTCTGAGCGGAGAGATGATCGTTTGGCGGCGTCCACCGCTCTTCTTGGGGGTCGAGTTGTAAGCCACAAAGTGAGTACTGATCGGAGTGAGCGACAGAGGGCAGGCCAGCTGATCAGGCGAGCGTGAATGGTGTTGGTGTTGGGTGCTGCTGGGCTTGCGCTTGGGCTGAATACTGAGCGAGACCTTGTCGGGCCCGGCTGTTGTCCACGTTACCTTTGCTGAGGCATCGCTTCGGCATCAGGAGGCCAGGCCGGTCGGAAAGGTCAAACGACTCCGTGACAGCCTTAGAGCTGCTTTTCCCGATCTATCGATTCTGTTTCCTCAGCGATGATGGCACCGGGGCTCCTCGTCCGCGTCTCTGCTCATCGGCAACGAGTCCAACCCAGCGACAATCAGGGCCGATGGTTACTTTGGTCAGCTAGCCAGTACCTCCAGCTCCGCTGACAGGACCAGGAACAGGGAGGATAGTGTTGATGCTGCACCGGGATCGAGGTGAGGTAGAGTTTCAGTAGATTTCACCAGGCTGGAGCGCTGACCCGAAAGGGTGAACACAGGCGACTGCATGACGCAGCGGATATGTGGCTAAGGAAAAACAAATCAGTTTGACAGCAAATACTGTAGCATATACAACCAAACATCCCATTGGCTTGTTTGGAAATGTACAGAAGAAGCTTTGACAGAGCAGCCTGACGGATGGCTGCAGGAGGTGCCGTCTAGTCACCGGGCTAAGCGGCTTCCTGAGAAGGGTGCAACAAAGAAAAGTCTTCCCCTAGACCCAGATATCCTAGACACAACTCCTGCTTGACTCGACACACGTGGCCGCTCTGCCCTCAACATGGAGGAGAGGGATGGGGTAGGGGGCCATCAACGCCGCATCGTTGCCAGCACCCTGTCCATGCCCCCGGGTAGGGAACGAGGCTGCTTGCCAGCCTTCTGCGCGTGCTTCTCTGCAGATGGTGAAAACATCTCTGCATATTCTGGCTCCACCCAGCTTTCAGCCTTCCGCTCTGACCGCCAGAAGACCTGACGACTGTTCCATTCATTTCCGTTCTGCTGTGAGGAGGTTCTGTGCGTATCCGCGATGACCACCAGCAACAAGCGTCGGGAGTGGAGTAAGTTGCTGGTCGTCGCTCGTGGAAGAGATTCCACCGCCTTTCCAGAAGCTTTGAGGGGTTGGGATCGCCCGTGGTGGACGGCTGGCCATAAGGGGGATTGCAGGTCACGGGCTACGCCAACGTGTCGAGCAATGTTTCTCCCACGAGCTTGACTTGTACAAGCACGCCGAAATGATCTGAAAGCAACACAGAGCGCGTGCCCGTGCGGGGCCACCAGGAAGCCATTGATTGATGCCTGTATTTCCCCCCTGGTCATCCATGAGCAGCCAGCCCTGATGCTGTCCCGGAGTACGTCCTTGTGGTGTCCGTAGACGGGCCAACATCGCCAGGGCTTCGACCGCCACCCCGGCAAGCGGTTGATTGAGGTAAGGCGACTTCTCTCATGTAGTCGGGCACTATTTCGGTCAGTCTGTTCACCACGGACTTGCCCACAGTAGCATCAACCTTTGTGAGCAACTGGTGGGGTACAGCTAGGGAGCAGCGCGCCTATGTGACCAATGTGTAGCCAGCTGGGGGCTCGATTGACGGAGACCCTGGCTGCTCTGACCAAATAGGACGATCTAGATGCAGTCTTGACGGCAAAGCTCTGGTACCATGTACGCATTGAGTCTCTGCATTGGACGACGGTGCCTCGAGTCAAAGTGCCCCTGGTGGACAATCATGGCGGCGCACCGTTCCAGCCGTCATAATTTCTGCAGCTTCCCGTATTTGAATGGAGCAGGTTGCCTGAAACGTAAAAGACGGCATGACCAGTGCTTGCTACCAAACGGGAGCAGCGAAATGACAGGCCTCTGGATCTGGTGCCTTTCGAAGCACAGACTGAGCCGTCAATGTGACATGTTCCTCGGAGGGAAAGACAGGGCGTGCTCGACTGAGTAGCCTCCGCGAGGGCGAGGTCGTCTCGCGGACCGTGTAGGAGCTTGGGATCCGCACGGCGCCGCGGTCTGCCGTATGCGAGATGTGAGCCCGCCATACCGGTGCGAGAGACTATTGAAGTAGAGATAAAGAACGTGCTGAGCTGGGCTGTACCAATTTGAGCCAGCCAATTTCAGCACGTCCATGCACCATTGTCGCACGCCAGCCTCGACAAGGACATCTGCCGACCACTCCAGCCGTCCTCCAGTGACAGGACTGCCATGTCCCATCCGACTTGGGAGGTGTCATCCACAATGGCCAAAACCGACTGCCTCTTCAGGTCGCATGTCCGCCTGGGCATGGGCCCCCGAGTTCGTCGTGGACATAAGCTTAAATTCTCCCAGCTCTGCCATGTTACTTCTAGAAGTGCAGCGCCGAGGATAAGGAAGTCAAGTGTAGACACACCCGGCTGGTTTCAGATGATTGTGCTCCTCGCAGCAGTGACACGGCAGCAACTTGACAGGCAGGGGACAAGGGAGCTCTGGCAGCGCGGATGAGTGCTGTGTGACGGGTGTGGATATCCAAACGGCTGTACACTTCGATCGGGAAATTTCCTGTCCTCTCATGCTCGGCTGGGTGTCGTACAGCAGCTATGATATGCAGCAGAAAATCATCCGCTGCCCATGCACCGGTGGAACATGCTCTCCACCCGGAGAGACGATGGTCGAGGGGGAGATGTGACAAGCAGAAAAAGTGACACTTAGGCATGGCTCTGGTAGACCAGACAACGACCCAGCTGGGCTGGCCATGGTGGGCGTTCGGGGTTCACTCGATCCGATCCAAAATGTCGATTCTTCGGCAAAGACAGGTCCGCAGCGGACCAGGTCAACATGACAGAGTGACTGCCTATCGATTTGAGGCTGGTTGCGATGAGGTGATAGATCAGGTGGCAGAGTAGCCGTCGGCACAGCGCCCGATGTGAGGTCACATTTGCCATTTGACCAGCCCCCTTTCTCGAGGATGGCCGTCCCCGGCTGTGAGGGCTGGCTCCATATGCCGGTTACCTAGGCAAGCCCAAGGGCCATATCGTCATGGTTCAGGGACAGACTGCCTCCCCAATCCCTCACCGAGCCGAACCATCATCGCCAGGGTCGAAGGAGGCAGCCACAGCGACCACTCGAAAAGAACAGCGGCACTGTGACTGAGAGGGCAGGGTCGCGCAATTGAGAGTTGTCTGGGCGGCACAGCAGGTGTCCTTGCGCGAGTTGAGAAGGAGGGGCCGGCCAAAGGAGGCCAAACACACAACTCCAGCTGTACCACTGGAGAATTACCACTCTTGCATTGCAGATCAGAAATGGTCACTGGAGACGAGTCGAGTAACGTGCTAACTGGGTTGGATCTGGAAAGCACGAACAGCGAGTGGGCTACAAATACGTACAAAATTACATTGCACGTGCGAGGTTTGTGGTCGACTGAGATGCACGCCACCAGCGAGCGAGGAAGTGAGTAAGCCTCAGGCTTGCTGCACTGTACTCGTAGACCATCACATGTCGTCTGCTGGGGATTCGAACAAAAGGTTGGCTGTATGGCACGTAAACGACGTCAGGTTGCTAGAGCTGGTACGGTGCCTGCCACCTGTTAGTGGCGTTTGCGGCTCACCGGCCTGTCCAAGTACCTTGGCTGGGTACCTGGTTACCTGGGTACTTCCATGCCCTCGAGCCCCCCCTGCAGGACGCGCCTGCGTGCTGGGAGCTGGATGCGCTATCGTCCAATCGTTTCGGCGGTAAGACGATACGACCGCGTTTTTAGCGCAGTCTCGGACCCGGCCAAAACAAACATCGATCTCTGGGCCCGGGCAACCACTAGGACGGCCGCAAATGCAAGCGATTGACGAGCGCTAACCAGCAACGACAACGTCCATCATCAACAACGGCGACAACAAAGCACATCACCACAGGGCTGCTGGCGTTGCTTCTTCGACTACCACAACACATTCTCATCGCACAATCCTTCCCACCGGACTGCGGGACAAGCCTCCACCCCTGCGGCTTGATATACCCCACAAGTAATCTTCGCCCGTTCATGCACTCGCGCAACTCTTTCTTCCTCGCCCGTGCAGTTCTGCGCGACAGCCCTCTCACCAACTTGCGCAAGCCTTTGCGACTACGCGCCTGGGCTTCGAGGCCCTCACACACACCCTCACAATGGACTCCGACGCAGAGTCGAACTTTGATGACTTCCAACAAGATGACTCCGACGCGTTCTCGCCCGAGCCTGTAAGTGGCAATCCCCCTCCTGACGTCTCCATGCCATCCTGACCCTCCACTCCAAGTCTGCCTGCATCGGTGTCGCAGACACAGGCTTTCTCCAACTCACCTGCTTACGAGTCGCAGAAGCCCAAGCCCAAGGCTGCCGTGAAGAAGGCGACAGCAGCAAAGCCTGCCAAGGCTGTGCCAAAGAAGATGGTCCAGACAACGCTCAAGTCAAAGGCGCCACCTAAGAAACGCGCGAAGCCAGAGAGCGACGATGATGACGACGGTGACTTTGGTGGCGACATGTCCAACACGCCTCCCAAGAAGCAAAAGACAGCCGCTGGCTCAAAGAAGTCCAGCGGCAAACCTCTGGGTGAAATCGAGAATGATAGCTTCGTGCAACTCGATGGACCCTCGGGGTCCCGAACCACCAAGACTGCCACCGAGACCTACCAGAAGCTCACCCAACTCGAGCACATCATCAAGCGGCCTGACACGTATATCGGATCCGTCGAGCGCACCGAGAGTTCGATGTGGACCTACAACAAGGAGAAGTGCTTGATGGAGTACAAGAAGATCTCCTTCGTGCCTGGTTTCTACAAGATTTTCGACGAGATCCTCGTCAACGCCGCCGACAACAAGCAGCGCGACAAGGGCATGAGCTACATCAAGGTCAACATTGACCGCGAGAATGGTGAGATCTCCGTTGAGAACGACGGCAAGGGCATCCCAGTGGAGATGCACGAGAAGGAGGGTGTCTACATCCCCGAGATGGTCTTTGGTCATCTACTTGCGGGTTCCAACTTCGACGATACCGAGAAGAAGACCGTCGGTGGTCGCAATGGATTCGGTGCCAAGCTTTGCAACGTCTTCAGCACAGAGTTCTCCCTCGAGTGTCAGGACTCGTCGAACGGCAAGCGATACAAGACGACCTGGAGGGACAACATGAGCAAGATGGATAAGGCAAAAATCACCTCCAACAAGACCAAGGACTTCGTCAGGGTCACTTTCAAGCCCGACTTCAAGAGGTTTGGCATGCCGGATGGCATTGACGATCACACCGAGTCCCTCTTGTACCGGCGAGTCTATGATTTGGCCGGTACTGTTGAAGGAGTCAAGGTCCATCTCAACGGAGAACAACTCAAGCTCGGATGGAAGAAGTACTGCGAGATGTATGCCAAGGCCATCGCAACAGAGCGCCAAGACGTCGACGCAGACGGGAATGGACCCGCCCCTGCCACAGTCATTTTCGAAGACACCAAGGCTCACCAAAGGTGGCAGATTGGCTTCACCGTCTCAGATGGTTCCTTTCAGCAGGTCTCTTTCGTCAACTCGATTGCAACGACTGCTGGTGGCACACACGTCAATTACATTGCTGATCAGATCTGCAATGCCCTCCTGAAAGACCTGACCAAGAAGATGAAGGGCCACTCGCTGAAGGCAAACCATGTCCGGAACCACATCTTCATCTTCGTTAACTGTTTGATTGACAACCCTGCCTTTACATCTCAAACCAAAGAGCAAATGACCACCAAGGGAAGTGCCTTCGGCAGCAAATGCCAACTGACTGATGGCTTCATCAAGAAGATCAGGGCAACGGAGGCGATCGAGAATATCCTTCATTTTGCCGAGAAGAAGGCTGACAAGATGATGTCCAAGTCGGACGGAAACAAGCGGTCCCGCATCAGCAACGAGAAACTCGTTGATGCGAACATGGCGGGCACCAGGAATGGCCACGAGTGCACTCTAATCCTGACTGAGGGTGACTCCGCCCGAGCTCTGGCTGTGGCGGGCCGCGCTATTCTCGATCCTGATCGCATCGGTGTCTTCCCTCTGAGGGGAAAGATGCTGAACGTGCGTGATGCTTCGATAGACCAGATCATGAAGAACGCAGAGATCAACAACATCAAACAATTCCTTGGACTCAAGCACAAGACGGCGTACACTGATACCAAGAGCCTTCGTTATGGCCACCTAATGATCATGGCCGATCAGGATCACGACGGTAGTCACATCAAGGGCTTGCTCATCAACTTCCTTCAGGTCCAATTCCCCTCACTGCTCAAGATCCCGGACTTCTTCCGGGAGTTCATCACCCCGGTGGTAAAGGTTTGGCAGGGCCCCAACCCAAAGAAGCCTCTCCATCTGAAGTCCTTCTTCACCATGCCCGAATACGAGGGATGGAAAGAACGACACCATCAAGAGATCAAGAGATGGCACTACAAGTACTTCAAGGGTCTGGGAACCAGCTCCAACGAGGACGCCCAGGTCTACTTTACCAACTTGGATGATCACTTGAAGGAGTTCCAGACCATGAAGACAGAGGAGGCTGAGCTTTTTGAGCTCGCTTTCTCCAAGAAGAAGGCTGATGCGAGAAAGCAGTGGCTCGGGAACTTTGTCCCGGGAACCTTCTTGGATCATTCTACCAAATCCATCACATACACCGACTTCGTCAACAGGGAGCTCATCCTGTTCAGCATGGCTGATAACCTGCGGTCCATTCCGTCCGTTGTGGACGGTTTAAAGCCAGGCCAGCGCAAGGTCATATACGCCTGCTTCAAGCGCAACTTGACGAAAGACAAGAAGGTTGTTGAGTTGGCTGGATACGTCTCCGAACAGACTGCCTACCACCATGGTGAAATCTCCTTGCAGCAGACAATCATTGGTCTAGCCCAGAACTTTGTTGGATCGAACAACATAAACATTCTGGAGCCCAGCGGTAACTTCGGTTCTCGTCTTGCCGGTGGTAGCGATTCGGCCAGCGCTCGTTACATCTTCACGCGCCTGTCCCCTTTCGCCAGGCGTGTATTTTCTCCACTGGACGAGCCGAACCTCGAGCTACAGTACGATGATGGCAAGCAGATTGAACCGAAGGTTTACGCGCCAATCATTCCCATGGTTCTCTGCAACGGTGCTGACGGTATCGGGACGGGTTGGAGCACTTCTATCCCAAATTACAGCCCGAAAGACATTGTGAGGAACCTCAAGAGACGTATGGGCCGCAGTGAAGATTCATCAGAAGAGCTTCCCTTCGAGCCAATGACTCCTTGGTTCCGCGGCTGGAAGGGAGTAGTCGAGGAAGAAGAACCAGGCACGAGGAGGTACAGGTTCAACGGCATTGCGGGTTTCGACGACAGCCGGGCCAAGACTGTTGTCACCATCACTGAGCTCCCCATCCGCATGTGGACGGACGACTTCAAAGCCAAGCTCGAGCAGATCATCAAGGGCGAAAAGGCTGCATCCTGGATCAAGGATTACAAGGAGTACAACGACCACGCAAATGTGCATTTCGAGATCGAGATGGACGAGACCCAGATAGAGAAGACTCGGAAGGAGGGCATCCTCGAACGATTCAAGCTGAACAAGAGCCTGGGCACCACCAATCTCGTTGCTTTTGATGTTCGCGGACAGATCCGGAAGTATGAGAAGGTTGAGGACATCCTGGAGGAGTTCTACCTGTACCGTCTTGAAATGTACTCCAAGCGAAGGGTTCGTCGCACCTCAACATCCCCTTTCCCCCTTTGCATCGCACACAACGAAAAGCTGACGTGACGCTTTCTAGGCATACTGGCTCAAGGTCTATCACGCGGACTATCGCAAGTTGAAGAACATGGCCCGATTCGTCGAGGAGATCATTGAGGGCAAGTTGGTCGTCTCCAGAAAGAAGAAGGCCGTCCTGGTGGAGGAGCTTCGTGACCGCAAGTATGAGGCCTTCCCCCGGGGTGAGAGCGTGAAGAAAGCTCGAAACACGGACGAGGAGATGGACCAGGATGACGACGAGGACAACGAGGACCTCACGTCTAATGAACCCGGCGCAGGAGATTACGACTATCTTCTTTCGGTGCGTGAAACCCCATTCTCTACCGGAGACCAGTGCACTGACGTTATATAGATGCCCATCTACTCCTTGACCGCTGAGCGCCTTGAGCGGCTGAAGAAGCAAATCGCTGCCAAGAAGAAGGAGCACGACGACCTGGAGATGCTCGATGAGAAGGATCTCTGGTCCAGGGATCTTGACGAGTTCCTCGAGGAGTGGGAGCACCAGCAGGTCTTGGATGCCGAGATCGCGAAGAACATTCGGAACATGGGTCGTCGCCGCTCCAAGAAGATTGGGGCTGGAGGCGGCCGTGGCGGCAAGAAGGCTAACCGTGGTGATGACGATTATGACCCTGGCAAGACCGCCAAGGCAGCGAAGTCGATGAAGAAGGAAATGACCGTCGTCAAGAGGCCCGTCGAGCCAAAGAAGCAGGGCGCTGCCTTTGCTCAAAAGTTCAGCGGGGCAAAGCCGAAACCCAAGACCTACGGCAACGACGGAGCATCGTCTGACTTCTCTGATGATGACTTTGCCGCATTGAGCAAGAGCAAGCCGAAGGCTGCACCTGCGAAGAAGGTGCCCTCTCCTGATGAAGACGTCAAGGATGAAGATTCAGAGATCGAGGAAATCTCTGCGCCGGCCATCAACCGCTCCAAGCGCGCCGCAGCAGCCAAGGCCAAGTCATATGCCAATGATGGGTCAGACTCGGACTTCTCCGATGACGACTTCGCTACGCTGAACACGGGAAAGTCCGCCCCGGTGAAGAAGCCATCTCCAGTCGAATCTGACGTCGATGATGAAATGCCTGACGCAGAAGAGCCGGAGGTGGAGGAGCCCGAGGCCGAGGAGCCTGAAGCGGAAGAGCCCGAGGCCGAGGAGCCTGAAGCGGAAGAGCCCGAGATCGAAGAGGTCACTGCACCCGCAAAGAGCCGCTCTAAGCGTGCTGCCGTGTCGAAACCTTCTCCTGTCGAATCTGTCGTCGAGGACGAAGAGCCCGAGGTTGAGGAGGTTGCCGCGCCCGCGAACGGCCGCTCCAAGCGCGCTGCCGCATCAAAGAAAAAGGCCTGGGTCTTTGATGATGACGACGACGAGTCCGAGGGTGACAACGGCGATGATTTGCTCGGAGATGTTGGAGCCATGGTTCGCGGGATCGGAGAGCCCGCTGCGGCATCGAACAATGGCAGACTTAGTCTGTTTGCCATGTCACGATCCGAACATGGAAATGCCGCTATCCCCAAGCTGAAGACGAAACAGTCGCGCAACTTCGACTTTGACGAGCCCGATGACACCAACTACGAGCTTCTCGCCAGGTCGTCGCCTCACAAGCCGACGAGGTCATCTGACATCGATGACATGTCGGAGAACGAGGTCCTCCCTAGCACGACCACAGCCAAAGCCTCCTCAGCGAAGGCGAAGCCTGCCAAGGCTCCTCTGAATGTCGTCTCCGCCCCGGCGAAGAAGGGCCGTGGGCGTCCGGCTGGAACCAAGAGCAAGGGCAAGGAAGAAAAGCCTGCGAAACCTGTGCAGCTGTCTCCAGCTGCCAAGGCCTACGCAGCGAAGAACAAGACCTCCACTGCTGCAAGCAAGTCCAAGAAGAAGTCCTTCGACTTCGTTGACGACGAGGAAGATGGCGACGGGGACGTTGCCATGAAAGATGACTCCCCGCCACCACCGCCACGTGCTCGTCCGGGCCGAGCGGCGGCTGCCAAGGCCAAGAAGACGTACGCCATCATCTCAGACGACGATGAGGACGAGCTTGTATCTGACGGCGGCGGAGGTGGGAGCGATGTTTATGACATGGACGGCTCAGACTGAGCGTCTTTCGCAGGCGGCGTCGTATGGCAGGAGTGCGAGCATAGGCCACCCATACCTTCCTTCCTTTTGAGCATGTTGTGGGCGAGTTATGGGGTAGGGGCTGGACTTTTTGGAGGGGCGGTTTTCTGACGAAGAAACGTCCTTGGTTACCATCATCGTGCTTTTGAGTGCTGGTATCTGATTCTGATTTTGCCGCGCGTTTCCTTGTTCTCCGGGGTCTAGATAATATCTCCTATGATGACCTCCGTGCATCTTCTCTTTTTTCCCCTCTGCCATGAGGACACACCACGCAACGTTTCTGTCGCCTTTCCCTTGTCACGATCCTCATGACTGCTTGTATTATACATCTTCGATAGAGACTTGGAAATGCGAGGACTTAACAAAAAGAATGCGTGCATGACGTAGTGTGAGCATGCGACACTAAATCTACCACAGAAACGGCAAAGTTGATGTACTGACTACATCTCTATGAACTAGCGGTATGCACTCCTGCTATCCTCGATTCTGCCAAGCTGAGCCCATAGAATAACCGATCACCTATACCTTCCTATTACCCTAGGGTCAGTGGTGAGTGTAAGCCATGCCCCCCAATGCCAAACAAGCTGGATCCCACCCAGAAGAGAATGAGGAGTAGGGAAAGTGTTTGTCGTCGGCTGACACACGGCCAGAGTTGTACTGTGACTTGAGATAGAACGGCGGTTGCGAGGAAGAGCTACGTAAAATTCCTGGATGGATCTCAAGTGGGTGGCGGCCGTCACAATCTCGCAAGACACAGGAGTTACTCGGCACCAAGGCAAGCGGACACTAGGACGAGGTCATTCCGAGGAGCGAGGAATACCAGGTATGTTGCCGAGCTCATCCACACAGCAAGTATTTGAGTAGAACGTATCCATACCCGAAAGTGCTACAGGAGAAGCGTATTGCAACAATGCCGCAGTGAGATTTACACCGTACTGTACGAAGAGGAAACATGGCAGACTGATGCAGTTGAAAGCAAAGCAAAGCAAGGCGAACCAAATGAAATCAAAGGAACGCCAGGGAAGACTGTAACACAAAAACAGACACCAATGTGGATTAAGATAAACCTCACGACTACCCCGTCCATTGGCCGTTACGAGAAAAAGAAAAACGACTACCGGTCGTCCATCGTCAACCATGAACCGTCAATCTCTGTTTCACATGACAAAAGAGTCAAAAGAACAACGCAATCGCTCTGCACGCCGTGATCTGATCCCCGAAGGACATGACTGCCATCCTCCCTTATCAATATCTCCCGGCCTTCCTCCATGTCACCAACCCCTCCGGTCATTCGTCTACTGACCTCGTTTCTCACACCAACATTCTGTTCCACTTCGGTTGCTCTCTTCCAGCGAGCCAGCCTCGGGCAAGTTCCACCACATACAGTTCCGTGGTGGCGTGTTTCAGCCCGCCCGCAGCCATTTGACGGCCTTCAGTGTGACTGAAAGAACCGAGGAGTCCACCTGAACGCAGGAGACTGGCTTAGGTAGAAATCAGGGGCTCCTGCTCCTCGTGCTTGATAGTCGGCTCGGGCACGCTCTGGGCGGGGACAGCAGGCTCCTCGACCTTGATGTCCTCCTTGGGGGCCACGGGGAAGTCGCTGTCCCTAACAGCGGGGGCAGCCGGGGCGGATGGGGCGGACGGGGCCGAGGAGGCAGTTTGCGGCGAGGCGGATTTGCCTCGGAGCATCTCCTGGGCCTTGGAGGTGTAGTCGCCGACATACTGCTTGGTGACCTCGGTGGCACGGGCGGTGTGGGTGCCGGCGACCTTGCGAAGCTGCTCGGTCTGGGTGTTAACGATCTGCTGGGCGTTCTTAAGGTGGTGGTCGATGAGCTCCTGGTTGGAGGTGTAGATCAGAGGAGCGGTGAAGACGACGGTGGTGCCGATGAGCGCGAGACCCCAGTACGGGACGACCTTAACGAGCCAGTACGAGAGAAATGCGCTCACGCAGACCTAGGAGACACAAATGTTAGCTCAAGCCAAAATACAGCTTTTGTGGAGGTATCCAGCTAGTTCCGGGATATACATACAGCCAGGGAAGCCCAGATGTTCTCGGCGAAGACGATACGCTGAGCCTCGATGACGAGGAAGTTAACCAGCTCATGAACATCGCCGATGAGGACGTCGAGGGTCTCGCGAGGAACGGTGTAGTAACGACGGGGCCGGAGCTGACTGGCAATGCCAGTGTTCATAACAGCCTTCCCAGCGGCCTCGGCGGCGATGGTGATGCCCAGGATCATCCAGGTGAGCTTGAAGCCCCATCGGATCACATCCAGGTACCTAACCGAGATGATGAAGGCGATGATGGAGGCATAGGCGATCGCAGAGGCGCCTGTAGGTATTTGTCAGTGCCTGAATCTTGTCTTTGGTGTTCCGCGCGCATCCGGCGTGCGCAGGAAGCTCGGGTGGGCTGTGGTACGTACGAGGGTTGTTCCACGAGAGGAGCTCGGAGAAGAAGGAATGGTAGTGGGTCAGAGGCTGGCCTGTTGCGGTGGGGTTGTTGGGCGTCTGGCGGGAGGCGTAGAGGTTGGAGAGTTCATCGGAAGTCTTCTGGTGCTGTTCTCTAACCTTGTCTGCAACGGGGCCTATGGTACGTGAGGTATTAGCCATCCAAGAGCAACTGATAGATAAGCAAGGCAGCACCGTGGGTTTGTGGATAGATAGTGGCAGGAGAGCCGAGTCCCGGGACAGAAGAGATGCCAAGCTACGGCAGCAAGTCAAGGAGGGCTGGACATACCATTGGTGACCGAGTTGGAGACCGAGTTAAGTGTGTCGGCCATGGCGTACGTGGTGATGATAGGTAACGGAAGGGGTTTGTTCTCGTTGTTGGTGGATGGGAGCACGTGCTCTTAGGTGGATAGCTGAGCTAGATCACACAACGGGCTGTGGGCAAAATGGAGCTCTATGCCAGGCAATGTGGGTGGTGTTGATGCAGGTTGATGGAGGTAGGAGATGGAGGTAGGAGATGGAGGGATGCTGCTGTGGAAGGAGCAAGTGCGAGGATGTCGTCGCTGTTTTTGCAGAGGAGGTTTTGTTGTCGGGTTGGCAGGTTGACCAGGTCAAGGTCAGGTCAGGTCTAGCCAAGGTAAAGCAAGCAGCACCAGCACCAGCACCAGCACCAGCACCAGCAGCAGTCAGGCCTTCTGGGCCTGGACCCAGTACCTACCTCGCAGGCGGGCAACGGTACCTAGGTAATCTGTGCACCCTGGGGGCCACGGCGAGTGGGGCACATGTGGCTTGCCCGCCTTGCCCAGTGCACTTCAAGTGCTACTGTGAGTGCACCTGCTAGAAGGTAGACATATGACATGACGACAACCCATTCCACACCTGCAACACCAGAGAGAGGTAAGTGATGGAAGCTAAGCTAATAAGCTCAGTTCGCAGTCATCTGTTCTCTCCATGTCCTCTGTCACGGACATTTTTGAGAACGCGTTCACCTGATTGCTATACTCTGCGTAGGGATTTATTGAGCCCATGACACAGACTCCGCTTCTAATTACTTAGACACATGCAGGACAGCAGCTTGAAACTTTGAGGGTGGGCAACAAAAAGGGGGGGTCCCTTATCAACAGCAGCCAGCTTCCACCAGCTTCTCTCTGCCTAGGCGCCACACCATTGTGTCGTAGCGCACTACCCTCTAGCTATCCCCACTACTTTTTTGACCTTCGGACGCCGTTGACGACACCCGCACCGTCTACACACGAGGACAACATGCCAGCAACGCGGCCGGACCAAGGCCCAGGGAGCTGGGTGCTGGAGCCGTGGGCATACCTGCAGAGCAGATCCAACCCATCTGCAGAAAATAATGTATCCTCCAAACCCAGGCTCAACTGTATAGCACTGTAGATCATGAAGGGTCGGGTCGGACGTCGATTTGATGCAGACGCCACAGGACCGCAGAGGCGAAGGAGGCTGGAGAGAAAAGAAAATAGCCCGCCCCAGCTGTCATCATCTTGCGTGACACCCACCAAGCTGTTCTGTCGTCATGCTGCCTCGCATTGCATGTGATTTTCGGGACTAGACTGGCTTAGTGCCTCCCCTCCTCGCTCCCCGGCCGCCCAACGAACGCCCCAGATCCAGCCCGACTGAGACATAAACAAAACAGGGAAAATAATGTGTGCTCTTTTTGACTGCTTTCGCAGCAGTGGTACGTACGGTCTAGACTAGCATCAGTTTTTCTGCCCAACCACAATGAGCTCATTTGTCAGTCATACTGTTGTGCACAAAGATTACTGACTGCAGTTCCTGTTGTTCTTCTGCGCCACTGCCATTCTGTCCTCTGCAGAATCGTCTCGCGGTCACGGAGCTTAGGACTGCCCCGTCGGGCGCCCTGCGGCAATCATGCTGCTCCTCTCAGACCTCGGGAAAAGGAAGGATAATCCAGGCACATGCCTTCTCCAATAGGACATTTTTCATTTGAATTGCCTTTGACTAACGAAAAGCAACACTGGAGACAAAACTCCGTCCACACAAAAAATATGCCATGGCCGTGAAGAGAATACGAATTTCCCATTCAGCATATTTCTAGTCCGTCCAGCGCAAGTAGTCCGTTCCAGGCCCTCTGCATTTTGACATCGCGAACGCCCTGGGGTCACTCGGCCGGCCTCCCGGCGAACGGGTAAGGCCAGGTTTCATCGTGACAAATGTCGATCAGGAGGAGGATCTTACCGAGGACCCGGGACATGGCACGCTGGAAACGAAACAAGTCACCTTGAGATGCGCACTCTGATCAAGTCATAATGAACCGTTGAATCACCAAGGACTTGTGATAGGAAGGCTTGGAGGTTTCGACTTCTTTGAACATCGCGGTATCTCTATAGCCTCACTCCTCGGCTCGGGCCCGACACCGTGTGGGATACCTTTTCCGTTGCGTAGACACCACTCAACACTCCTAGGAGGCGCGAATGTCTCGATGGGGCCTCCGCATGAACCGTCAAAAGTCACGTAGGTCGCGTATCTGCATTGACTCTGATCTCAAGCTGGGGTATTGGTGATATCGCTGACCAAGGAGCGCCAATGCGAGAAGACGTAGAGGAAAGACCATGTGGGACAGAGGCTCAGTCGCTATATGGAAATACCATGGGAGGAAAAGAGCTCATTAATGGGTTGAAACAGAGGGAAAAAGGTTATGTATTTGTCCTCTATCCATTTCTACAGTAAGCCCAATGATAAAGTGTGTGTGTATAATAAAAACTCCGGAGTTGCTCTCACCACGTCGGGAGGATGAGCAGCAACAAAATGCCTCGGACCCAATCTAGTCCCTGTTGTAAATGCCTTCCGCCTTTGTGCAATTCTTTTCAACCAAGAATCGAAGCTCCTGCTAAAAAATGCCCCTCAATGCCCTCCTCCTCTCCCATCAAGCTTGCCCCATCCAGTCTGTGTTGGATGGGCAGGGTATTTGAATGAATGCTGCAAACCCGCCTCTACCCGGCTCAAGTAAAATAGAAAAAGACACGTCTCAAGCCACCGCAGCGATGCTGATGCTCTCCCGTGAATATACATGCACCTCCCCTTCTCAAGCATATGCAAAGCCCTCTCGCTAGCAAAAGCGAAGACACGCCAGGGTATCCAAGCCAGTGATGATTCAAAAAGACAAAGTATAGCATAGCTCGGCAGTGTGTCATGCCGGTACGCCTGCTTATTTCCTTCCCCATCCCCAGAACCCACCACCGCTCGAGGCAGGTGCCGGCGCCGCTGCCGGAGTGGGTGCGGGAGCCACCGGTGCAGCAGCCTTATCGGCTGCAGGCGTCGCCTCGGCAGCCGGCGACGAGAAGCTCCTGAACATGCCCATGACGGACGCAGCTGCGGGTTGGGCTGCCGCCGGCTGGTCCCCTGATGGGAGTCCCACCATCTTACGGAGCTGCTCAAGCTTCTGCTTGGCCTCATCGGCTTCCTGTCTCGCGACGGCCTGCGCCGTCTTTGCTTCAACCAGCTCAAGTAGCAATGCTTCGTTCTCGTCGCCTGGGGGCGGCTTCTGTGTCGCCGTCGGTGACGCCGACTTGGGTGCGGACGTTGGTGGCGGCGGCATGGGCTCCTTCGAGTCAATCATCAGGAGCGACGAGGTGCGCTTGTTGACCGTGATCTGCGAAGGAGTCGACTTGCTGCGGTTGAGCTTGAACTCCCGCAGGCCAGGGGCAGTGGACTTGGTGCTGGGGCTCCTAGACAACCAGCCGCCTCCACTGTCGTTGGTCGAGTCGGAAGCGCGCACGCGCATGCTATGCACCTGCTTCTCCAGACGCTGCTTGTCGTTGTGCAAGTTCCGCACGTGGGCATGGCTTTCCCGAAGCTGCTCCTTGATGGTTTTGATCTCTTCCTCGAGGTCTAGGGCCCGCCTGTTTGCATCCTGGGTCCTGGTCATTTCGATGCGCAAGTGTTCCTTGGCTCTTGAGACATCATCACGCATCTGCGTCTTAGTCTGTGTTATAGATGACCGTCTCTTGCTGGAATCGCTGCCGAACCTGTCCTCGAGGCTGTCCAGGAGCTCTGAGAGCCCCTCGGCCGTGAGCTTCTCTATGCTCTGCCCTGGTGTGATGGTCTCTTCGCTGTCGCCGCTGTGTGCAGTCGTCAGGGTCTCATTGCTCCCCTTCTTCCTGAGCCCGGTGAGCAGCGTGCGGACGGCCGCGCGGTCCTCTTCCCTCTCTTCCCTCTCCTTTTGCAATTGGTCGGCGAGCTGTGCATGCTGTCGCTGGAGATCGCTCAGGGCGACAAGAAGGTCTTCGATCTGGGTGTGGAGGTTCTTGCTGTCGGAGTTGTTGTTCTGGGAGGCCAGTTTACCGGGGGTGGCGCTGTCGTCGGCGGTCGAGTCCCTGGGGAGATTGTGGTGGCGTCGGTAAGTACACTCGAGGCGGACGAGGTGGATGTTGATGAGCTGGCTTCCATCGAGTTCAATGTGGAAGCCAGGCTCTGTGGATGCGGTTCGGCGCAGCATGCTCATTGGACGGGATGCTGCTCCGGGGCTGAGGTTGGCGGATGCAGTGTTGGGCGATGCTTTGAGAGAGGTGGTCGAGTTGGCCCAAAGGCGGCCCAGGAAGCGGGATGCAGCGGTAGACACGGCCGACGCCCGTGCTGCATTGGCGCCAGTGCTGGTGGGTGGGGTGGTCAACTGGCTCTCCCTGTACCCCTGTTCTAGCGCCGCGAGTCGTTCTCTGGTCACAACGCTGGATAGACTGACAAAGTCATGCACAAACTCGTCAGCGTTGTAGTGGTAGCAATCCCACAGGCCACGGGAGAGGAGGAGCTGCAGCACATCCTCCATTTCGGTACAGGCAAGGATGCGCCCCTGATTCTTGCGCATTAGCGACAGGGCCACCCGCATGATCGTCTCGATTGCGCCCTCGGCAAAAATGACATCGTAGATGCGAAACAGCATCGGCAGAGGGCATGTCACCGCGAAGAAGGACAGGAACCATTGTGAAACGTAGGCGGGATCGACCTGCAAATCATCCAGGTGGCCTGATAGCGCAGGCAGATCCAGCTTGAGCAGCTCCCGGAACTGGTAAATCTTGACGTGCAGCCCATGCAGGTCCGGCGTGAAGGACGACCGCAGATCATAATTCTCCATCAACCTGAATCGGCGTCAGTGTCCAAATCATCTCATCTCGCCAAGCCAAACAGAACCAAAACAAAAAAATCGGAAGATGGCGATAGGCACTCACTTGACCAGCACACAGAACGCCTGCTTGTCCGTCATGTGCATCAGGAGGGGCCCGACCAATAGGGCGAGCCCCTGACAGTACCCGATCTTCTGGTCGTACAGGCTGTAGCACTTGAGCACCCGCCCCAGCATCCGCTGCCCGTCGCCGTCAGGGTCGCGGAACATGTCCACCCCGGGAAAGCTGCGCCCGAGGTCCTTGCCGATCAGGCCTTCGTACGGGCTCGACTCGCCGGTGAACCTCTCGAATGCGTCCTCGAGCGTCGAGTCCCTCGCCCCGGACATGCTCTGCCAGACGACTCCCCTGAGCGGCGGCGGGATGCCCTTGCGGATCTTGTTGGACAGGAGCGTCGGCAGGCGGGCCGCCGTCTGTTGGTAGTCCTTGACCAGCGCCGCGTAGAATTCGAGGTCTGTCATCGGCGGCGGCGGCAACATCGAGTACCGCAGAGGGGCCGCAACGGGCCCCTGGACCATCTCTCGTAATTGTGCCATAGAAGGCGGTCGCGGCTTGCGGGCAGATTGCTGAACCCTCTCGAGCGGGCTCTTGGCCTTGATACTTTTCGGGTTCGTAGCAAGTTCGTCATTTGCCTGCTCCAGACGGGCGAGCAGCATGGCGGTGGACTGTAGTTAAGAGCTTTTGGTCAGCAGGCAGACGGGGCCAGAAACAGAGGGAGGCTCTTGGGGAGGCCCATGGGGAGGCCGTTGGGTAGGCCCGAGACCGGGATGAAACGTACGTCTTCAGAATCGTTGTCCTTGACCACGGCGTCCTCTGTCTTCTGCAGTTGGTCCCAGTTCACTTCCTCGTCGTCGTCGTCGGACTCCTCGGCGGCTTCGACACCGCTTATCGTCTTGCTGTCGTCCTCGTTGTCCTGGAGTGCGTCCAGCTCTTCTTGTAAATTTGCTTTTGAACCATACGTGGTCGTGACCGGGCTCATAATCTCATCGTCCAGTTTTGTCTCAGAAGACGCACTAAGGGGGCTGGGGCTGATTGGACTGGCGCTCAGGTTGGGTGAAAAGAGGCTTCTCCGGTTCTGAATCGTGCCATTGGTGTCCACGTTGGTGTTGAGGGTCAGCTGCTTCGGCGGTTCGGACAGGCGGACGGTGACGAGGGAATCGTGCTCGTCGTTCCGCTTCACAGGACCCTCTGAGGGTTGAGAGCTGCTTCTCTGTCGAGGTGTCGAGTTCGGGCTCGACGACCCATGGTTGTCGAGGTCCATTGGGCCGGGATGTGACTGGAATGCGGGTGTAGCCTGAGTGACGTGCCCCCAGGGCCGCAGCAACGAAGGGAGGCACGCAGGATGCCGGCGGGAAAACAGGCAGGCCGAGCGGGCGGGCAGTCAGTCAGTCAGGCAGCCAGCTGGGCGGCAGGGTTCGATCGATTCGTGTCTGGAGCTTTGGAAGGGATCGATGCAGCTGTCAATGCATCTGAGGGGAGCAGGTGAGCGTGTCTGCGTGTGTGTTGTTGTGTGCTGGCAGTTGGCCGCAGGGATGATCAATGGATAATATCTCCAGAAAGGCGCGTCCTCCCGTCGTCGGGCTGTAATAAGGTCGGTGTGGGCTCCACGGGTGCCTTCGTTTTTCCTGTGTCGTGCAGGGTCTGGAGGCAAGCGAGTCGAGGGGTGATGCCAGGGGCTCGCCCACAAAAGCTCCGCTCTGGCAAGGGCGCAGGAGGAGAAGAGTCGTGCAAGAATGGATCGACGTCAAGGGAGCGTGGCAGAAGGCGCGCCACTCGGTGGTGTGCTCAGTATGTAGTCTACAGTACTCGGGGCTTTCTCTTTGAGAAACCTCTCGCGTGGCCACTCCAGTCCGAGGTGCAAAGGAGTAGTGCAGCAGCCGCACCAGCAGCAGTCGTCCTTTGTTGTCGGTGCCGGGCAACAGAAAGGGAGTTGAAACACGGCGAGAGTCACGACCCGCCTAGTGCGAGAGAAAGAAGCAGGGGCAGGTACGATATCAACAAGTGAGAGAAGCCTCGGGGAACACAGCGAAAAAAAAGAAGAATACAGGTACAGTGAAAGGAAAGAATAATCCTCGGGCAACAATCGTAGAGGGAGTGGATACGAGAGAGCCTCAATTCAAACGAACGACGACAGATTTGGTGGACTAGGTGGAAACAACACAAAAGTCGACCGGTTACTGTGCTGTGGTGGTGGCCGCGGTGGTCGTGCGGTACGGTCTTAGGCGAGCGGTGTGTAAGCAAGTGCCAAATGCAAGCGTCAGAAGTCAATGCGTGTGGCCCCTTTTCCCCAAGCCTTGCTGCAGCCAGACACACGCATGCAACTCTAGAATAGAAACCAACGCCAATCGTGGCAACTGTACTGGGCAGGCCGATCTGCAAACTAATGCATGACAGGGCTGCCAGGAACACAACAGCTTAGCTCCCTCGCCAGTGGCCACACGCTCACGAACACACACACAGACGCAGGCGGCGGCTCCTGTCAGCCTCCCCTCTCCCGCAGCTTCCACCCCTGAAACGGGCCGCCATTGGCGTTGGACACCCCGAGTGCCTGCTTCAGGCCCAGGCCAGAGTCTTGCAGCCGCGGTTTCTTTGGCCCTGGGTTCGTCTCGCTGCCCACCAGGCCACCCAGGATGGCGCTGCGGTGATGTCACACCCCCTGCCACATCACCTTTCATTTGCACGTACACTACATTTGAATACCGTGTGGTGTCTCTGTGTCCCTCCGGAGGTTATCCACGGGGAATAACTCCCCTTGGTAAGCCTTCACACCACCTGACCTGCATGGGGTTGTCCAATAAACCATTCTACGAGAGATTTGTCTCGCAGCATACGGGACCGTGGTCCCAAGGTACCTGCTCAAAATCTTCCACCCCATCGGAATCGACGATCTTCTGTTACCCATGCGTTCCACGGCACACAGTAGGTAGAGAACCGAGCCAGCCAGCCTGTTCAGCCCGCCCAGTCCGCCCGCGGAATCGGCTGGCTCCGCTTAAACCAGGCGACGGGCACGTCCAGCCCATGACCAACAAGACCACAAGTCGCCGGCGGGTCCAGGCGATGCGCCAGTGGGGCCCAAACAAGAGAGATGGACCATGACGGTGCGTCGCTGTAGGTATCTCCGAAGGGCCTGTCATTCCCAATCTGCTGGCCCTTTCTAGCGGGAACGAAAACAGTGCGGTCGAAGCACCCCGAGATCGTCCCATCGCACCCGCCCCAAAACTTATCTCGCTCGCTGGCAGATCTCGACGAGATGCGCATTGCAACCTTCCCAAGAATAGCTCTGCGAGGGAGTCAGTGGGTGGGCAAGTCAAGTCCCGCCCGCCGTGTTTGTCCCAAGTGCGGAGGGGAATCCCTGTCCCTGCATCGCTGCACAGCACAATCCCCGACGATGATCATTTCTGGGCAGCCCACGGCCTGCCTGTACTGGCAACTTGACACACAGTATGTATGTAGTATGCACTCACCTACAAGCACCTGGGCCCCAGATCACCATCATCACCAGCTCACCAGCTCACCAGCTGGATTGTGCCCTGCGTACATGTCGAAACAGCTGAGGGCGCGCAAGGCCATATTCAGGGGGCGCGGTCTCACAGCCAGCCAGCCAGCCCCGGCCGAGATGAATCGGTCATCTACGTCCAAGCAATCGTCCAAACAACCAGCCGGCCAACCGGTGGCCAGCCGAGCCCTACCACCTCCCGAGCTTCATTTCTCACTTCGGAGACGTGTTTCGAACCCAACTCTCCACCACAGACCAGCCCAGCTCATCCCAGTCCGTGCTCGAACCCAACCTCCTTGGTGAAGACTCGAGTTCCAGTGCGCGGGGGCTGGTCGGTTGGAGGCCCTGAGGCGGTCGTGAAGGACATCGTCTCAGAGCGTCGACACTATCGACGAGCTGCATGTTGCTTGCAACTCAATCAAGTCCTGATGGTATTGTTTGTTTCCATTATTTCTAGCCGGATCATAGATCGTATCTACAGCCCAATCTCCCATTTTCCATTTGTTGGATCCTTCTCCTTCATGGTATATGATTCCATCAGATCGATATATGCCCACGCCACAAGGTCAGAACACCCGAGTCCTAATGTAGTCATCCATTTGGAACCAGCACCGTAAATTCGCCCAGCCCAGAGAGCACACCCCTCCCCCCCTCCAACATCAATCGACGCCGGGACGCCCAGTACGCCTCACACGGGTATCCTACTTTGCTCGAACGAATTTTGCCTGCTCCCTTCTTCACCCTAACACCTAAGCGGAGTTCGTAGCCTGGCTGGTCGGCGTTGCAGCATTCGACATCTGTGGTGTCCCGTGGTGCGCAGACGAAGCGGGCGATTGAGGTATTGGTATTGACCCAAGGCTTCCCATCCGCTGTGCATTTTGCATAGCCATCGCGGGATTCGCAGCCCCAGGCTTTGGCTGCGGTCTGGATACGGGCACGTTGTTTGGGTCAATGCCGGGGAACAGGGTCTGCAGCTTCTGGTACTGTTCCCTCATAAGTCTCTCCCTATCCTCACGATCTCCTGAACCGTCGACCTTTTCGGCATCCGGTGTTGCCGGCATCGGCCTGAGTTTGAGCCTCATCGTCAGGGTGGGCGGCGTCAGGTAAGCTGGTGCGGGTTGCGATGATTGCTTCCGATCCGCGAGTGAGGCCAAGTAGGCAAGGTTAGCTTGCAACCTCCTACATACCCTGTTATGACGGTTAGCTGCTTGATATCCAGTAGTGACAGGGCTCCGTAGGACCACATACTGAGCCCAGTCATGTGCGAACGCTTCCTCCTCCTCTTTCTTCTCCTTCTGTTGCTCGGGCCCCGTAGAGCTCGTTGCTTCCCGTTTAACCTCTTCAATATTATGCCTTAAATTGATTGCCTCAAACAAGAGTTCCTGGTTGATCTCCAGCAATAGTGAGATCCTTTCTTGCCCCTTAGCCTGCGAGTTGGGGCTTAATGGAGTTGAATTCCCATTAACCGCACCTTGCCCTGACATGGGAAAGGTCGGGGTCTGGGGGGTCGTTACGCTGTTCGCTGACGGCGGTGCCTGCGTCGGTGTCTGGTTTTGAGCCACAGCTTGGGAGTTTGAAGGTGTACCAAACTGGCCTTGTTGTGCTGCAGGTACAGTCGGATTCGGCGTCCCTTGTGAACCAGGGAATTGGCGTGGCGGTGTTGGAGTGCCCATGCCCCCCGGGGCCTGCTGGGACTGCTGTTGTTGCATGCGTTGTATCAATTGCTGTTGACTGTTCATGGGATAGCCGCCCATGGGCCCAGACATCATATAGTTGGGATTGAACTGGCCTTGGGGACCTGAAGTCGACGGGACGCCAGCTCCATATGGCGAGCTTGTGTAAGGCGTGTGAAAGTTCACTGCACCTTTGTCAGTCATAACTTGGAGCGACGACTATTTGCCCTTCGCGTGCGTATGAGACAGGATGGCAAGGTCCTCGTCGGGGCGAGGACGGGGGAAACGGTTGGCCATGCCGGCGGTGGCAGCAGCGGCGGCTGGGAACACGCTGCTCACGGAGGAGGAACGGGACTGGACGTAGGACAAAGGAGGAATAGGGGACCGCAGGCAAAGTAGGAGTTTGGGCCGGTCAGAGCGTGTGACGCGGGTGGTAGAGACGAGAGAACGGATAAACTCACTCTGGCCGTTAGCGGGCATCTGTGGCATGGCGGTATTCTGCATCATTCCTGCAGGTCCACCACCACCACCCGGCATCATGGCGCCTGGGTTCTGAGCACCAGCATATCCACCAGGGACAGACGGCCCCATGGAGAATTGCTGGTTATACATCATCTGCTGCTGAGGCTGGTTCTGACCAGGACCGGGCTGCATCTGAGGGCTCTGACCTGGTGGGGCACCAGTGAAAGCTTGTCCTGCAGCGTTGCCGTAGCCATAAGGAGCCGAGTACATGGCTCAAAGCCCAAAGGGAGACGGTAGCCGCCCGGGGACGAGCAAACAGAGGCGATCAGCCCGATTAGGAAGTGCGGTTCACCTCAGGTACGTACGTAACGTGTCCCTGCGGGCAGTCGATATTGTGTGGGGGGGGGGTACCTTGGTGTGTGGGTAGGGGTACGACCATCAGTCAGTGTCAGTCAATCAATCAATCAATCAATCAGTCTTTGACAGCAGATTTGATTGACAGCGGTGCCGGCCCGCGTGGGACAGACGATCGATCTGACAGGCGCGACGGACAATGTACCGAGGTGCACAGCGGCGAGCAGGGCCTTGTCCTGTTGCAGACCAAGCCAATCCTGAGCCACAGACGCGTTCGAGTGACGAGCCAATGTTCCTTTCACAAGGCAAGGTGGGCCGGGCTTGGAGCAACGGCGGGAAACGGCGACAAGCCAGCCAGAAGCGCGAGTTGAACGGCCAGGTACCTGTCCCAAGTCCGAAGGACGATTGTGAAGGCGTGAGTGAGTGAGTGCCGAGTGGCTCGCTCGCTCTGAACGCCAATTCAAGACGGCGGGGGGGTGTGTGGAGGCGGGATCTCAAACAAGTGACAAGCAGACAAGCAGCCAGCCTCCTGGAACAAGAGTCTCGGGGGGTTCCCTTTCTCGCTTGCTGGCCTTGCCCCGGGTCTGGGTCTGGCTCTGGGTCCGGGTCTTGGGTGATAGGCGGCCAAAGGGGATTGGATGGTACTTGGCACCCAGAAGGTGCGGTGACACCGGTGCTCTCTGGCTTCTTGACTGGTGACAGTGACTAGACTGTGTAGACTGCAATGGCACGCACGCCAGCAACGCAGCCAGCTGGAGCCGAGGCGAGGATCAGACTGAGACGTGGCTCGGGCTGCCGTACCAAGTGTGCCCGTGTGTGTGTGTGAGCAGAGAGATGGGCCGATGAGCCAGTGGGCTGATGGGCTGGCAGGCAGGCTTGTGGGTAGGTACCCGGGGGGGCTCAATAGGGTCTCAAAAAAAAAAAGTACACGGCCTAGCCAAAAGGCAAGACAACCTAGATGATAGTAGGGCAGAGTCGACGACGCGACGTAAAGAAGGTCTCAAGTTGGGGGCCCCAGTGGATCAATGCCACACTGAAAGGCAATGAACCTAATCTAGGGGTGCCGCAGCAGCTGGGCAGGGGGGTGGGCTCGTGGGGACGAGGGGAATGGAAGGGGAGGTGCTGGGAGGCTGGAGTCCTGGAGTCGGGGCCTGCGCGGTCTGGAGCAGGCGGGCCGTCATGCGTCGAGGATCGAGATGATGCAAGATGGGAATAAGAGCCGGAGCAAATGCGGTGTGATGCTGGCGCTGGGCGGGTGCTGTGCGATCGGTTGTGTGCTGCGCTGGGGATGAGTCGTCGGTCGGTCGGTCGGTCGATTCGCTTTTCTGGCGGGCGGGAGTCATCAGACTTTTTCCCTCGCCCTTTCCCCTTACGCGGCCGGCGCAGGATCCGAGGGAAAAACAAGTCAGCCTGTGTCAGTTGGCTGCACCGTGGGCAGCTCGGGCAGCTCCTGTCGGGGAGCGGGTCGGCATGCGCTATTCCTATGCGGGCTAGAGCGATCGGGGATCATCATCGCAAGGGCTTGCACTATTGCCCGCCGGACATGAATGGTACGTACCGAGATATCTACCATAGTACCTAAGGACCTGGATACCTGGGCAGGTACGGTACTTGCACACCTGCTCGGTCTGACTGCCATTAATCGACCATCCACATATTGGCCCTGCAGATCTTGACCAAAGTACTGCATGGGTGAGGTCCGATTTCTTGGGTTCAGAAACCTATTGTGAGCAAAGCTCTAGACTCTGTCGAAGTGTTCTAGCGTGCAGCAGTTTGGACTGCGGCACGTTTTTTTCATCGGGTTGATGGGCAATTCCTCGCAACGGTCCACGGGAGTTGGGAAGGCGACACCAGAGTGCCTCAACGTTTCAAGCACGATCCATGGCAGCGAACACTCAGCCACGGGTCTGTATATTTTGGGTGGCTATGGCTGTGTGTGCAATACTGCTGTTCCCCATTATGAACCATAGCGGGTTCCGTAGGACGAGTTCCCTGCAACCACCCCCAGAAATTCCCTCGCAATAACCTCGTCTGTCCAGAGAAGCAATTGTCAGCAGGGGTTGACTGAACCAGGAGGGAAGGAAAGCAGTAAAGCATGAGGCAGTCAACTCACCTGTCCTTTCCGACGGATGTAGCGTGTCGTACCACAAGAACGTGTCCAGCGGTTCGACTGCATCGACACAGTCCGCACCTTCGGTGTTGCAGTTGTGGTACCACCCAGTCACATTCGCTGGCGCGTCAAGGTACGCCGACGGATTATCGTGGATGTCTGTTATCAGCGAATTCACGTCGAAGATATCGAAAGTCGCGTCCGGCCACCTCCCTTTGACCAGCACCTCGAATGGCACGCCATAGTCAAACAGCCGGTCCACCAACTGGGTGTACTCCAGTATCTTGTACTGATAGTCCGTCTCATTGTAGGCCGTCTTATTCGGCCAAAATTGATCTATCTCTCGTTAGCGATCAGAATGCCAAGAAAGGGCCCAGCAGCTCTTGCAGGACGCGTGGCACAAATCTCTGCTCTGGAGTCTTTCCTGCTGCATCGGACAGAGGGGACAAGACGGGTATGAAGCTGCTGCCCAGCTTCACTTACTGTCACCAACGCCGCCGCCGCTCTGCGAAGCATACAGCGGAGCGAGCTGGAGAGGAGCGGTGTTCAGGAGGACGAACCGCCGCCCACCGGTAGCGTAGATGGTATCGAATACAGACCATACGCAGTCGATATAAGATGTAATGTTCGTCTGGAAGAGGTCAGTCTGTGATCACGCACTCAACTCTCCTTGTGAACAGGATCCGCTTACTCCAGGGGCTTGAGAGTCCGTCAGGAATGCCCCATAGCCCAAATCGTTGGTGCCAATCCAGAGCGCGTACACGGTATTATCCGCTGACCGGTTCGCGTAGAGCGTCTCAAACTGGACGTCCGCGACGAAGCTGGGTAGCTGGTCCTCAAGCACCGCTGGGAACGTCCGGTTGAGTCCCGCGAGGTAACGAGCCACGATTTCGTTCGAGCAGGTCGCGCCAGACACAGCATAATCGAAATACGCTGCCCCGGTGGACTGCTCGACGAACTGGCCCCAGGCAAGGCCCCCAGATTCTGTTACATTGGACGACGGGGGAAGCGTTCCAGCCGGGGGCGGCTGTCCACCATGACTGTAGTAATAAGAGAACCTACCATTGTCCTATAGCATCTGGGATCAGCGATCAGAGCCCAAGCCAGTATGAAACAGGACACCTGCCCCCCACAACCTGGGCTAGGTGTGATGAAGTCGGACAGATGCTGAGAACTAGCGGTATAGACGGCGTATCGGAGTCATCTGTCCTTGGGAACATGAACGTGGTCTCTGGGGAAGCTGCTCACCGTGTAGCTGTCCCCAAAGGTGACGAAGTTGTCGAAGGGCTTCGAGTCATAAGAGGCCCTCGCCGTCACTGCGAGCATACCTAGGGCGAAAAGAAGGGAATACATCTTGGCTCGCCTTTTGGAGGAATACTGTTCAAGCTTTTGCCCAGAGACGGTAAGGAACCTACCTAGGTAGGGGCAGGAGCGGCAGCAACGCCTGCTTTTAAGTATTCGCGAAGAGCCATGACCTCAAGCTTAGATTTAACGATGTGACGGTGAACGGGTATTTAACAGGCACCCCAGGAACGCATGCAGGCTCATCTCCATTACGAGGGGACTCCATGGGCGCGTCCCGTTCATCCGGAGAGGTGGGATGAAGAGCCTAGGGCAAGTGGAGCAACAGAGATGGGGTAAGCAGCTTCGCGGAAGTGACGCCATGTCCAGCTACTGTGTGCGCGGGCATGCGGGTACTCGCAGGGCTGTTTGTAGGTGGCCGTGAGGACCTCATCCCCAGCCGGAAACTGCAGAGATTGGGACGGCGGAGAAGCGCGCGGGTGGCACCTGATTAGCGTAAAGGCTAGACTGTCACTCCTCACTGCCGGCGGAAGAATAGACTCCTAGGTTCCTGAACGAAGCCAGGCTGGGGGCTTGCTTGTTGGTTGGGGGTAAATTGGGGAATCCTTGAATGTTTTCAAGAACCGAAGCCGTCTACCGCACGTGCGCATCGTCATCCATGTTTGCTGCGGGATTCTTTTGGTTGTGGCTTGGACAGAAGGTTATTGGCTTGGTTGAGACAATGCACTACCTCATGTCCTTAGCATTTGTCACGATGTCCAGCTTCAAGCTGTAAACAAATGTGATCTCTAAGACTAGATAGTGCCATGAAAAGGACGTCCAGGTCATAGATTCTCGATAAGGATTTCGTTAGCAGTCGAGCAGGGGAGCTTCTCTCCCTGCCAGGCCTGAACAATCCAAAACCAAACCCAGTGTGCACATACTAGGTAGACGAATATATGTAGTTATGAAGTTCCACAACGGCAGAACGCGGCTTTGGTGACGTGACCAAGGTTAAAACAATCACCAGTAGACTGTCTGTGATTAGGGCATACCTACCTCGTCCGCAGCCATCGTGTACGAGGCCCGGTGGCCTGTCTGCTTTCAGCAGTTGATCATGCACTTGCTCTCCTGAAGTCAGCATCCGCATCTCAAACTAAAACGGCCCGCAGTTGTCACCATGCACACCCTACCTTATCAAGTACAGTAGGCAGTGGAGGCAGATAGATCCGTGGGTCTGGTTTCGACGAGCCGGCCCGCGTGTGGAAACTGTTGCGGTCATCTCCGGGCTCGGAGCCGCAGGCGGACCCAGGAACACGGACAGCGGCCGGGCCGGCACAGCGGGCATTGCAAAAGCTTCAAGACCCGGCCTTCACACACACCCCTGCCTGTGACTCAGTGCATTGTTGACTCACTTGAATGTTCATAAATGCCGGTTCAATCTCACTGAGGCTGTCGTTGATTTAATTGTTCAGGCTGTCACTCACCAGCCTCACCAGAGGTTGAAAACTCGTTGACGTCAACATGTCTCCCTTCAACCTCGAGACGTGCGCCCGGCCAAACATCCTCAGACTGCAGCCCTACCGCTGCGCAAGAGAGTGAGTAGGCCCCCTTTCCAAAATGTGGATGGCCCAATTGAGGCTTACCACAGCCACCCACAGCGACTACAAGGATGACGGGCACAACATCCTGCTCGACGCCAACGAGAACGCCTACGGCCCGCCCATCTCGCAGCAGGCCTCGGCGGCCCTGCAGGACGGCAACGCGGCCAGGCTGGACCTCCTAGGCCTGCACCGCTACCCGGACCCGCACCAGCACGCCCTCAAGCAGCAGCTGTGCGAGCTGCGCGGCACCGGCGCCCACACGGCCCAGCGCCTCACCCCGGACAACCTCTTCGTCGGCGTCGGCTCCGACGAGGCCATCGACGCCCTGCTGCGCTGCTTCTGCGTGCCCGGCCGCGACCCTGGTCTGCCCGCCCACCTACGGCATGTACGCCGTCTCCGCCGACGTCAACGACGTGGGCCTGTTCCGTGTGCCCCTCCTCCCGGCCCCGGAGTTCCAGCTGGACGTGCCTGCCATCCTGGCCGCGCTTGACGACGCCGAAGCAAATCACGTCAAGCTGATCTACCTGTGCTCCCCCGGAAATCCGACCGGCTCGCTGCTGGCCAAGGAGGACGTCCGGCGCGTGCTGGAGCACCCCACCTGGAACGGCATCGTGGTGCTGGACGAGGCCTACGTCGACTTCGCGGGCAGCGAGAAGGGCGAGGCCTCGCTTGCCGAGTGGGTGAACGAGTGGCCCAACCTGGTCGTCATGCAGACGCTGTCCAAGGCCTTCGGCATGGCCGGCATCAGGCTGGGCGCCGCCTTCTGCGCGCCGCCCGTCGCGCGCATGCTCAACAGCCTCAAGGCGCCCTACAACGTCTCCTCGCCCACCAGCGCCCTGGCGTCGTACGCGCTGTCCGCCGAGGGGCTGGCCGCCATGCGCGAGAACAGGTCGAGGCTCGTCGCGCAGAGGGACAGGCTCATCGCCGAGCTGCCCAAGATCCCCGGCGTCGGGAGGCTGCGCGGCGGCACCGAGAGCAACTTCCTGCTGTACGAGATGGTGAACGCCAACGGCGAGCCGGACAACAAGACGGCACTCGCGGTCTACGAGGGCCTGGCCGAGACCAAGGGGGTCGTGGTGAGGTTCAGGGGCAAGGAGCACGGCTGCCTCGGGTGCCTGAGGATCACGGTTGGCACCGAGGTCGAGGTCACGCGGTTCTTGGAGTCCATCAGGAAGACTCTGGCTGAGGTGAGGGGGACGGAGACACCCAGCGACGAGGAGAGGAGAGAGAAGGAGGCAAGCGGCGTTGTTGCATAGACGAGTCACTCAGCTATACTTGTTTGCTCGGAAAGCGGATAGACACAACAAAATAGAGGCTTCACCCAAATCCAGGTCGCAACAGCTTTCCATTCGTATGATGAGTATTTCACACCGAATCTGACTGAGGCCATGTTTGAACTGAGTTTTCATTATTTCCTCATGTATGCATTAGTGGAATGTCATCCTCTGTAAACGCCTGCCACGCACCCAATATCCTCGACCGACCCTGAGTCTTCGAGTACTCATACATACGCCTGAGCAAAAAGAAGAACACCAAAAAAATCTCAGGTTATGATTCCCCGAGGTTGGCCGTCACTCGTCCAGAGCCACGCAGCAGTACCCTAAACCGTTGCGAAGACCACCGTACACAACATCAGACACAACGTTTCCCAGAACCCATGCCTGCCAGGGACCACCGCGACACCAGCCGACTTCGATCTCCTAGTATCCGTCGGCGTGATGGCAGCGGAAATAGACACAGACCCATCATCCGAGGCGGTCGGGCTTGTCGTCACGTCCGACTGCCTCACATCTTTGATCTCCCCCTTGCGCAGCGGCGCGGCAGCCTGCCGGGCCAGATGGCCCTGGACGGTCTCCAGCGCACACATTTGCTGCCCAAGCCCGACGTTCCCGTCGAAGCCACCTACGTACCACTTCTGCCCGCACGTCGCCGAGTCGTCGCCCCCCGAGCACGCGTTTGCCGCCGCCGTGGCGGTGGCGTTGAGGAGCTCCTTCACGTCGGCTTGGATGGATGGCACCATCAGGGTAGAAGCATACATGAACCGCGACAGGTAGCCCTTGAAAGACTTCATGTCCGTGTTGCAGCGCTCGACCTGCTCGCAGGCATGTTCGTACATGATGTTTGTCGAGTTCTCGTACGGGCTGAAGAAGCTCCTGCTCGCCTTGAACAGACCCTCGGCTCGCTGGGTCCACGTTGAGGCGGCATCTCCTTCAGTGGTGTTTGCCAGGACGGCAGCGCCGTACAAGTATATCCCAGCAGAGTAGCTGAATGACACGGGGTTCATGTCGGTGCAGTTTGTGTCGGAGTTCGCGCCGTCGTAAACGACATAGTTCTTATCGATCATCTGGATTGCTACCGACCACTCCCAGACCTTATTTGCCCAGTCGAGATACGTCTGGTTGCCCGTCGCCCGGTACAGACGCGCGCTGATCTGAAACAGGCCTCCGTTGCTGACCGAGTTCCGGTAGTTGAGGCCGTTGGGGTTCTCGGCGAATATCTGCCACAGCAAGCCACCGCCGCATGCAGACGTGTTCCAGCGGCCTGAAAGACTGTTCCAGGAATTCTCCGCAACCTGCAGCCAAGAAGGAACACTTGGGTCGTCGACTTGTGGAAAGTTGCGCTCGGCAGCAGTAAGCATATTGAATGTCCAAAATGCTTGGTCATCGTTGCCTTCTTGCCCTTGGTATTTAGGTATCATCAGGTCGTTTGTTGGACCAATGTTGGTGGAGAGAGCGGTAGAGAGGAGATCGTTGTAGCTACTGTCGGTCGTGTAATGAGAATAGTCCAGTAGAGCACCCATGAATGCACCACACTCCCACCAGTAATACGGGGTCGGCAGATCGATGAATTGCTAGGGAAAATGGTCAGTTATTTCAAAGACAAGCCTTGTAGTTTGTGTCTGCGGGTAGGCTGCTCGAGAACCAGAGCGGACATAGATGCGACATCTCAGCATGTTGCACCTCCAACGCAAGGGCCTGACGACCTGCATCGTGGCCTGGGAAATCGCTGAACCACATTGATCTTCAAAGCAAACAGTTGGGTCGTCTGCTAATTCAAGCTGCCGCTAACGGGAAAGATTCCTTACCGTCGCATTGCCGGGGTAGTACGACAGGGCGCCTTCTGCGATCGTCTTGGCCACGCCTTTGATGGATGCTGTGAGACGCTGTCAGCTCTGAGCCATGGAATAGCGCAAGGTGATTTGCGAGACTTACTGGCCTCGCCTAGGTTCAGGTTCGTAGGAGGCGTGAGGGTAATGGTGAGGACATTTTTGGTGAAGACGGCCAACAGGGTGGCGATGGTGGCGGAGAGGTGCGTCATGACGGTCGCACTGAGGTGATCGCTTGAGAAAGTCGCGAGCAAACGACTCGACTGGTTGCGATTGCAGTACCGAAAGTCATGGGATGGGGAGATCGGACAGGACAGAACGACGAGGTAAGGATGATCGAGTCTTGTGCAGAAACGAACGTCTGCCTTGATTGGAAACTTGAAGGAAGGACAATTGCTGGACTCGCACAATTGTTGTAAAGAACACAATCAACCCACGTGTTGAACGGTGAGACCCGCAGCCTGTCGCCGTGGACAAGGTATCTGCAGTGGAAGTGAATCAAACAATGACAGGAAACATTCAAACCGACGAGGCCATCTCCGTCCTGAGCTGGTAGAAAACAAACCTGGACTCGACCTTGATCTTGTATGCACCAGCCCCTTTCCCAAACAGGGACGATGTTCTAAGCGCAGAGACAGACTGCTTAAAAGATGCCTGCTGCCCAATTGGCGCACCAGACGAACGGGTCGAGCTCGGATGGAATACCAGAGGCATTTGGTACTTGGTGGCCCCTGTTCCTGGCTGTGTTTTGTTTCTTCTTCGGCATGCATGTCTTTGCCCCTGATCGCATATGCCAGATCGGCAGTGCGCGGTTGCTTGTCTGTGCAGGGTTCCCAGAGGCGATCCCCCAGATTTGGGAACCCAGCGCATAGGACAGTTGCTGCTGAGTCCCAAAAAAGCGCGTCCATCAGCCCCCATTGGCTGGACCCTGCTAGCTACGCCGTTGGCTTGAAACGGCCGCCGGTTAATTTGGGCCAACTGGCTGCGGCTCGACTTCTAAAATAGTGGTCGGTTACCGCCCATTCCAAAGGTGTCTGCCAGGAAGCAGTTCACATACGCCATGTTTATACGTGGAGACACTCGCGTCTCCCAACAATTGAGACTCGAGATGAAGTAACGAGCACGCGGCTCTAACCCTTGCGACATGGATGGATGCTCTTGACGCGAAGACCAAAGCGCCAGTACAATCCATTGGAGGCGATGTCAGGAATGGGACGGGGAATAGAATTTCATTCCAGCAAGACGCAGGTGTTCCATAAACACGGGTATAACTTCGCGTGACCCCTCCCATTGCCTTGCACGACTGCGAGGTGAAGGCCATCGCCGTCAATGATGCAAAACCCGAACGCCAGGGCAATATGCTACCTTATCCACCTCACCATCTCTTTCATGGATGCATGATCTGAAGAGTCGCTCGGCCAGGTAGACGTTCACAACATCAATGCAGCCGCCAGCACCGAGACTCCCAGCACCAGCGCGGATCTTAAATCTGACCTCCCCTTGGCCCAGGATGTGCTCGTCGGTGAAGGAAAGTACCACGCCGTATCCGAGGGGTCTATCCCCCCATCCGGACTATCAACGGTCGGCGATGCAGGTGCGGGCGCGGGCGTTGTCAAGACCAACGTACCCCATTGCACGTCAGATCCGGAATAGGTCACCGTACGGGTCGTTTCAGTTGGGCCTGTGATGTTGTTCTCCTTGAAATCCGAGCCGAAAGAGGAATACTCGGTACACGTCGCGGCGGTCGTGGATGCTAGCTGACATGATATCACGGCCGTACTGGAACGAGTCAGTCATTGCACTGGTGGATGACAAAGGGCAAAGGGTCCATAAGCCCCGAGACGACTAACAGCCGGCTTTCTATCGATCCAGAGTAGCGGAACGTGCTCGGTCCCTCGGCAAAGGTGAATGGCAGCGGCCCCGATATTTGGCAGTCATTCGTATCAGCACAGAACACGGTATATGTCGTCGCGGTGCTGTCCTGCGGTGGTATCAGCACAACTTGTGGGAGCTAATTTGATGGCCGGAGTCAATCTTCAGTTATCAAATTGTATGTTGACATACACTGGTGACAACGCTGCCGGCCAGGTCTTCCCAGTTCTGAGTTTCGTATCCGGGGACATAAACGGACACGGTGGACTGAGAGCTCGAGTCTTGGGCGGCGGCCGGCGATAAGCCCGGCGCCAAAGCGATCAGCAAGAGGGGCAGAGGTGGCCACAGGCTCCTCATGATTGGGAAGACAGGGCAGTCTCAGGAATGGGGCTAGGGGCTATCGGACCATTGGTGACGGTGGACGAGAGGTCGTGACCCTCCGGACCGAACCAGCTCGAAGCAGCCGCGCAGCACGGGTTTGAGTTGACAAGAGAGGACCCCGGGGATTGAAGAAGACGTGCAGAAAGAAAGAAGAATCAAGCTCTTTCCGTCCCATCCCCTCGGTCTTGGGATGGTTGGCAACACCGCGGTACTTGGAAGTCTTGGCTCTTGGCTGTCTGACCTTGCCAAGAGCCCATCGCTCCTCTGGCGCTCCTCTGAGGCCTTGGGGGACCCCATAAAATCCGACAGTAATGGTAGGGAATTGGTCCGCCAAAGGAGTCGCTGCGGACGAGGTGCCAAGCCTGGACAAGATCCATCAAGCAATGGGATAGCGTGCTGGTCAGTCGCCCCTCGGAGATTGGGCCTGTCGTCTCGGCGCAGCGACCCGGATGCTGCCCCCCTCCCACTTTGCCGCTCACCGAGCACAAGCTCGCCGTTGGCCAGCCTGAGCCCTCGCCCGCCCGTTGAACAAGCAGTCTCGTTTGAGTTCGACAATGGAGCCGCTGGAGATCTGGGATTTACGTGACCCTGCTCGCCCGCTGTGGGCCGGAGTCGATCAGCCGCCTGACAGGCACTGACAAGGCAGGAAGTTGTTGGTTTGAGGTTGTCCGTTGCACTCATTGGTGTGGAGCAGCTCGGTGCAATTTCAGCACAGCGTCAATGACATCCTGACCTCGAGTCAGATGCAATTGTTCAACTCACGAGCTGGTCAAGCCAGAGCCACACTGCAACAGTAAACGCGTTGACCATTGTTTACTGTATGTCCCAATTGCTTTTCTTTCCCGATTCACTAGCTGTGTAGGGAGAGTTCCAAGGCTGTCAGGGACATGCTGTTTGTTGTGCGACTTCCTGCGAAGCAGGTGCACAAGTGCCAGGGACCATCGTCTGCGCCCATCGCAGATGCCTCGCCTCACAAGGTGGACACGTCCAAGACATCTTCACCAGGGGCTTAGAGATGGGCCCAGATCCATCAACCGTCAGGCTTCGTCGGCAAGCTAACCGATATGATTTAAGGATTTAAGGGGTAACCATTGGCGAGCGCTCCGTTCAGGCCATTGAATAAAGAACCAGCCCAACGCCGCTCATCTGTCACTAAAAAGATACTGGTAGTCCTCTTCAGTCTCTCGATTTATCCGTGTTGTGAACTCGACAAGAATTGAAGCGCCAGCAGCCTTGCATAATTTGCAACATCCCGGAATAACCATGGCACAACGAACTCTCCTGCCCTTGCTGGCTGCATCTGCTGGCTCTGTATTTGCACAATCCACTTCTGCAAGCAGCTCAGAAAGCTCTTCAGTAGTTAATATCATCTTGCCCATGCTTGAGCCCCAGACCATACTGGGCTCAGTCGTGGGTGTAGACGCCACAGCGACGACGTTCTTTCTTACCTGCCCGACAGACGCAGTCTCTTTGCAGTGCGGTCTTGGGAAGGGGCTGGAGATTATAGAGGGGCCTGAAGTCTTGGAAGTTCATATGACACAAGCTAATGTTGTGTAAGTAGTCCCACGTTCCAAGACTATGCAGACGAGCGATGACCAGTATCGAGATAGCTGACATGATGTACCGGCAGAACCGCCGATATATCTTGCTCCATTGTGTCCAATACCGCCAGCTGCACTTCGTCGGTGGCATCAATTGACCTCACTATCGACAATACAGCCACGGATTACTCAATGGCCACGGAGACGGGCACTGGGACAATGGCCGATATTAGCGCCCAGACAATGCCAGTTACTATCACAGCAGGGATTGAGAAGTTGGTCGCAACAGCCACTGCGACTTCTACTTCTCAGCCGAGCAGCAGTGTGGCCACTGCTGGTGTACCTAGGATGACGCAAAACGCGGTTTTAGCAGGAGCCGCAGTGATGTTTGGAGGTGCAATGATACTTTAAGGGCTGCTTACTACGTCCAAGACCATATTTTAGACACAATAGAAAACCCAGTATGGCTTGCCGTTTTGAAGCTGACCGGATCATGCGTGATGGGGCGTTGTTCACGATGATCCTGATGACTGTCCTTGCGAGCCTTGGAGTGTACCCTTGGTCCCGCCTTCTTCGACCCAACATTCGAAGAACAGCGGCCCGGCCTCGACTGTACGGACAGGAATAGTTTTCGTACCAACGGCAACGGCAGCTTTCCGGGGCCGCGTCCGAGAGCCCAGCTGAAGATCTGGTTGGGACGGAATCCACGGTTGAGGGTGGCCGATCGGAGCTCGTGCTTCGTCTCGTAGCTCAACGGCAACGGTGAAGGTACAGCCTGGCGTCAAGGCTTCCATGGTCTCTCCAGCGTAGGCAAGGCGACGCACTGCACCACGCAATTGCTCGTCGACATCAGTCCAATTGACCACTCCAGCCTGGTCACCATCGGCGGCAGCCGTGTCTGGGGCCGCATCTTCCGGGTTGTCGTCGCCACTCCCAACCTCTTCTTCGGCGTCCTCCTCGTCGTCCTGTAAATGGTCGACTCCCCTCTCCTCCCCGCGGAAATTTCTCATTGCCTCTATCCCGCCTGGCCAAGCTGGAAATCGGGAGACATCAAACATCCATCGCTCGAGGACACTCCCTGGGGCCAGCTGCTGATCCGGTGAGTCCTTGGAAGGCGCTGGTTGTAGTGGGGCATGGATAACCACAGCCACTCGCTCGACGCTCCCCTTGGCAGCCTGGGCCATGACTGCATCTACGGCATCGTTGATCCAGGAGCATACTTTGGGATGGCGAGACTGGTGCACCGGGAGGTTGAACGCCTTGGCAGAGAGAAAAGTTTGCTTGGGGTATATGCTGCGGTAGTAGAGGATGGTATGAATGGAGACGGTGAGAAAGCTTGAAAACGAGTTGAACAGAGTGCGGGCCTCGGTGATAGGCACCTCGATTGTCTGAGGCGGCAGCGGGTCTTCCTCCCCGGCAAGGGCGTGCGGCAGGGGCCCGGGGACTGGAGGAGGTGGCATCGACATGGTTGAGCTTCCGAAGCAGACCGTTGATGGTTACTGCTTTTGGACCGTGTCAACCTTTGAAGAAATAAACCCAGGGTAAAAATTCTGTGAGCTGGCAAGGTGACCTGCAAGGCAGCTATGCCTAGGCGTGTCACTCCAGGATGCTTCCTATCCAGGACCGCATTAGTTGCGGCCTAGAGAAGCGTGAGACCCTGTCCTCTTGACTCGACTTCCATGTATTCCGGGGCTGATGCAGGTATTGACTCGATCATGATCTTCGAGATGGTTACTTGGAAAAATAAGAGAGAACCCTGGATCAACTGCCCAGCTGTTCGTTGCCTGCCTGGCCAGAGTCGAGAATGCGAGGGAGCCTTATATGTGATCGCTGCGAATTGCGTGTAGTTGAGATGGGAATGGCATTTGCCTATGTCAGGACAGGGGATAGATGCAGCCCCTTTGGGCTAGCTTGAGCTGGTAGTGTCTCCCCTCCCTATTTACGCGACTCTACCGCGTCACGTCCTCGAGCTTCGAAGGCATGGTGAGATGGTCGAGGGAGGGAGAGGCTGCAGCTCTGGCTGCAACTACTGGTTGGCTGGCCCGGTCAAGGTTTCTTCCATCCCACCTCGAAAAGCCACTCAGCCAGGGGAGGATCCGGCGCAAGAGGACTCGGAGTGAATTGCTTGCTTGCAGTAGAGGTAGTAGAGCTGGGCCCTTGGCCCAGAACGCGTCTGGTCGATCAATGCAACGCCCAAACCCAAATAAATACTTGCTTGCTTGAAACCCCACCATACACCCAAAAGCTCACCCAGGCGCCCAGAGCCCGCCCCGTCCCTCCTTTAAGCCCCCAATCCCCAAAACCTCCCACACCAGCAGCCCAGGCAGACTCGTCTAGCAAACTGCACCGCTCGAGTATCCTGGGTTAGTTCACCACGCCGTTCCAATTCACCCGGCCCTCTTGTCTGGCCCTCTCACCGCCCCAGTCCAAGCTCGCCAATATAATCAAGCAATCAATCAGTCAATCACCCAGGCCCCTGGACCCCGCAATCCACGAGCGAGTCTGAGCGACAGGCGGAACAAGGCAAGCAGCCAACATGGAGGACCAGCTGGCCCAGCTGCTCGCAAACACCCAGCTTCCCGCCGAAGAGCCTCGAAAACGCGCAGAACTCGACCTCAAACATGCCCAGACCAACCCGGCCTTCCCAGTCGTCCTCGCCAACATCGCCGCCCACAACTCCGTCGCCACAGAAATCCGCCAGGCCGCCCTCGCATACCTGCGCCGCTTCATAGAGCACAACTGGAGCGAAGAGGGCGACGATGGCGAGGGACCCCTGGTGCCCATCCCCGACTCCACAAAGGAGGAGCTGCGTCACAAGCTGTTGGAACTGGCTCTGAGTGAGGAGCCTGATCGCAAGGTCAAGGCTTCGGTCAGGTATGCCGTGCCCTCCCCCTTCCCAAGGCTCCCCACGCGAGTCCCAGCTCTGATCGCGGGACCATGTCAGTAACATCGCGCAGCTATGCCGTTGGGAAGATTGCGAACAATGATTTCCCCGAGAAATGGCCCTCCCTGCTCCCGTCCCTCCTCAATGTTATCGCCAATGGCAACGACATCCGCCTCTACGGCGCCCTGAAGGTCCTGAGCGACATCGTCGAGGAGAGCCTGACCGAGGACCAATTCTTCTCCATGGCCCGACCCATCATCGACAACGTCTTTAATGTCGCCGTCAACGACGGCCGGAAGCCTACCCTTCGCGCTCTCGCGGTACACGTCTTCCGCGGCTGTTTCGATCTCATGGACATGGTGAAGGATGACCACCCCAAGGAGGTTAAGGGCTTTGCCGAGGAATCTCTCAAGAACTGGCTGCCTTTCTTCTCCCAGGTGCTCCAGGTCCAACTGCCTGAGAGTTCCGAAGAGCCCACACAGCGGGAATACAGAAATGGCATTATCGCATTCAAGCTGCAGGTGGTTAAGACGCTGATGAAGGTCAAGAGTGTCTTCCCTACGCTTCTGCTGCCCCAGAGCACTGCATTCTTCCAGGCTGCCTGGCACGAGCTCTCGCTCCTTCAGGAATCTTACAAGTCGAACTATATAGACAATGGGAGCCAGGGGAGGCTGGAGGATTCCGATGGACTGCCCTACACCCTCGACTTCCTGATCCTGGAAGAATTGGACTTCCTCAATCAGTGCATGAGGGCCACACCAGTGCAGAAAGAACTCGAGGCCCAGCTCGGCGCGGGGCCAGCTCACGAAATCCCCTGGATACTGGACCTTATGAAGTTGCTGGTAGCTTACAGTCGGATCACTCATGAGGAAGAGGAATTGTGGGACATTGATGTTTCCCTTTATCTCGCCGAGGAGACTTCGGTACGTTTTTCCGCATCCTTCTATGTCTCCATTGATGGGGTTGAGAATGGGATCGGCATACCTGAGGGTCCCCGACATCCTTGCCCGTATCTCTTACGAGAACATGATCCCAATTGAAGCCCATGCTAACCTTGAGCAGGTAACTGCTAACTACACAGCCCGCACTGCTTGTGGAGACCTTCTAATAAAGGTGGGAGAATGGCTTCACCAACGGGCGCTGGAAGGCCTCTTTGCCTACACTAAGAGCCAGTTCTCTGGCGAGCATGATTGGCGCTCGCAGGAAGCTTGCCTGTATCTGTTCAACATGCTCATCAGTGATCTGCAAGATCGCTCAGAAGCCGTTCCTCCTGAAGTTGCCCAGGCCCACATGGAATTGATTGACTATTCCATCGGTAAGTTATCTGCCACCTTTCATACGGTGACATCCCACTGATCTCTCACAGGCCAAGATCAGCCCCTCCTTCGCGCTCGAGGGTTTCTGGTGGCCAGTACCCTGGCCCAGATATTCCCTCCGGTTGCTGGTATCGTGGACAAGACGATTGAGTCTGTCAGCCGAGACAGCTCGGAGCTTGTCCAAGTGGCTTGTGTCAAGGCTGTTGAGGGGTTCGTCAGCTCTAGCAACGTGCCTGCGGACCGACAAGTGCCAATGCTGGTGGCCATCAACGGCTTCCTTGACGGAAAGGATATGACTGATCTCATGGATGCCGATGACCTGCTGGTCACACTCGCCGAAGCACTCAGAGCAGTCATTGGCATCGACCCGAGGGTCACGATTGCGTCGGACATCAAGTCGATCGATTTGCTGTTCTTGATTGCCAAGCACGGTGCATCGAACTTTCAAGTTACGGTTTTGGTGTGCGAGGCATTCGAGGAGCTCGTGCAGAGTCTGTCAGACTCGGCATCTTACGCCGCTCTGTGCGCCAAAGTCCTGCCGACCATCACCGGGGCCTTCAACGTTGCGGATATGACCTCGGACGACCCACTTCTCACTCTGGCATGTGAGCTGCTGGTACCACTCGTACAGAACGGCTCCGAGCCCCTGCCAGCAGGCTTTGTAGCTGCGACTCTGCCCAAGGTGAAGAACATGCTGCAGCAGTCGCCCGAGGGCGAGGTCCTGCGGCCAGGCGCAGAAGCGATCAAGTACATGTTGATGCACGATCACCATCAGGTTCTCGGTTGGCACGACGAGAATGGTCAATCCGGACTAGAGACATGTCTCATCATAATTGACCGGCTGTTGGGCCCTGGAATCGAGGATAATGCGGCCTCCGAGGTTGGAGGCCTTGCCGCAGAACTTGTGGAGAAGGCAGGCCCAGAGCGTCTCGGTCCCTACCTTGAAAAGTTGTTGCAGGCCGTGGCGAACCGACTGGCAACTGCTGAGGCTGCTCCTTTCATCCAGTCTCTCATTATCGTTTTCGCACGTTTGTCACTAATGCAGGCGGGTGACGTTGTACAATTCCTCAGCAACATTGATATTGGTGGCCACAACGGCCTACAGGTGGTGCTCAGCAAGTGGCTGGAGAACTCGGTCAACTTCGCGGGCTATGACGAAATTCGGCAGAATGTCATCGCCCTATCGAAGCTATACTCGCTGTACGACGCACGCCTGGCTCAGACCATGGTCAAGGGCGATCTTATCATGCAGCCTAGCGACGGCAGGATAATGACGCGGTCCCGGGCTAAGCAGAACCCGGACCAGTACACCCTGATTCCCGCAACGCTCAAGATACTGAAAGTTCTGATCGAGGAACTCATCTCCGCGTCCGGTGTCCAGGGCGCGGCCAACGCCGCTGCTGCTGCGGCGGCTGAGTTTGCTGATGCAGACGAGGATGACGGTGACGAGGGCTGGGAGGACGAGTTCGACACCGTCGGCCTCGGAGCCAATGCGCAGACTCTCATGAACCTGGCCGAGGGCGCTAACAGCAGGATGCGGGATGATGAGACACAGCAGTACCTGTCGGAGTTCTTTGTGCGCGCTGCGAGGGAAAACATTGCTGACTTCCAAAACTGGTATGGCATGCTCACGGAGGATGAGAAGAGTAAGCTGAACGAGCTGGCAACAGCTCAATGAGGAGTTGATTCTCGAAGATGGAAGGATGTGATGGACACGTTATAGAAGCTCGAAGGTTGTGTCGAAGTTGTTTTTATTTACCCCCTCTCCCCAATCCTTGGTGGTTGTTGTTCCAAACGCCGGTTCGAGAGTATATCAACGCGCCAGTTCAATGAGGAATGTTGGAAAACAGGATGCTTGAGGGCGGGAAGATTATGAGTGTTCCACGCGGTGCTGTTCTGCTTTGATACCTCCTCTCTTCAACTTCATGCACACAAATTTTCGAAAGGTTGCGAGCACTGCCCCAAACCCCCTTATACACCTCGGTAAATAAATATGGTCCTAAAATCTTGGAAGGGACCGAGAAAAAACAAAGTAGATAGAACCGATTTGGTTGATCACCACACTCATCACACTCGTTTACTTGGTGATCTGTCACTGTGAAGAGAGCCCTAGCAGCAAATCGAGAAGGCGTCGGAGAATACAGACACAAATGGTAAAGTCGAAGCAACAGGTACAGAAAGGTGAAGAAAAGGCAGGGATACATATCAGCGGGCCCATTTTCAAAGACCTCTAGTCGTGACAATCTAGTGTAGACGGACTTATACATGGGAAGGCATCAGTATAATGTTCATTTGAAGAGCTGCACTGGTCCAATCTTGCTGGTGGCAGTTTCGGAATATCTACTTGAATGCGAACAGCCCCTCCCCGCTTCGAGGCCGCTCAAATAATATCTCCGCCAAAGGGGTTATTGCCACCCCCGAAACCTCCTCCACCACCGGGCCGACCGCCACCGAACCTTGGTCCTGGGCCGCCGGGTCCCAGAGGGTCCCACCTCGCGCCGGGCGGCGCCTGTGGGTCGTAGCCTGCCTGTCCACCTCCGCCTGGCCCTTGGAACAGCGGATCGTCGAACGTAGGGTGCATGCCGCCGCCCATGCCACCTGGCCTCGGCAGGCCTCCGCCGGGCACAAATGACCCTCTCAGGGGGTCGTGCGGTCCCAGTCCCGGAGGGTGAAGGTCGTCGTGCCCGATGTTGAACGGCGAGCGGCCGTCGCCGGGCATCCGCAGTGGCCCCCGCGGTGGCCTGTTGATCTCGAACTCGTCCTCGAAGTCGGGCGGGGCGAATTCACCCGCTGGCACCGGCCTGCGCGGTGGTGCCGCGAGGGGGTCATCGTAGGGGTATGGGCGCGCGGGCTCCGGCAGCTGGGGCGGAGGTGGGCGTGGGTTGCTGGGGCCTTCCCGGCCCTGCCGGTCCGCGTCTTGACGCGCTGCCCTGTCGTCGGGGTTCGTGTCCTCGTAGCCCTCCTTTTGCAGGCCAGGGATAAGCTTCTGGATGATGTTGATCTTGAGGAGGGCCGCCAGGTCGGCCATCCGCTCGGGGGAAATGAAGACGTTCTGCAGTTTTGATGGGAGGTCACTGCGGTCCTCGTTGCCGTCGGCGCCGATGGTAATGCGCAGCGGAAGCGCTGAGCCGGAAACATAGTCCCTTGGGGTGATCTCGAGTCGCGCGATGCGCTCGTCGCCCACCGCGAGCCCGCGGATCTCAGCCTTGCCTCCCATGCGGTCTACTTTGATGACGAATTGCATGGAAGACTGAGTATGTGCGTAGAGGAAGGAGTATGACGAGACGGAGGCATTCCATCTTGGTGGAAGACGGGGCGCCAGTGCCCGACACTCTGTTTCTGAGGGGCAAGTCAGTTCAAGCACGTTGGGACAGGTGCAAGGATGGAGGCGGTGGGTACCGTTCTTCTGGTCCTCGTTGAAGCCAAGCAGCCGGAAGCCGAGCTTGATCATGCAGGAATGTGTGAAGAGAGCAATGGCCTCTGCGGAACTGCTCATGTCTGATGTGGAGTCGTCCTTCTGGTGCGAGGGCAGGGCATCTGCCATGCCCTGCAGGACGTTCTGCGGGCTGAGCGGGTTGCTTGCCATGTCGATGGTTGGATGTGTTCCGGTCTGGAGTTGTTCACTGTGTTACTGTGGTGTGTTGTCTGTTGTCTGGTGCTGAAGAAATGGAGGGAGCTTGGAGGGACGTTGTGGCTAAGAAGGTTGGTTGTAAAGTTCAGGCCTGCGCCGTTGAGACGGATCGAGACTTATTTGGACTTGAGAGCTGCCCCAGCTGGTTGTAGTGGTGGCGTCAGAGGGGTCTGCCTAACCGTAGGGCTGAGGTCAAGGGGAGCATCGAAGGCCAAGATATGCGGGGAAGGCTAGGTACTGTAGCTTCCCCCAGGGGGCTTATCAAACCTCTCTTATCCTGGTGCTCTCATATCCTGATTAACAGTACCCAGGTAGTGTCCGGGCGGCTTGCAGCAAGGCGCAAGCAGCAGGCAAGGGACTGTAACGGGTACACGTGCATGTTGGGCACCCACTGCAGGGGCAAGTTTGCCTGATATGTGTGCTGCTTTGTGGTTCAGTCCATACAACTATCCAACCATGTGCGCTTATATATGGGGGATATCAATCATGTGGTACTGGTTATTTATGAGTACGTAGACGGGGAAACTGTCTACCTTGGTATTGATACGGTCTTAGAGGGGTATGATTGCGCACGTATAATATTTCTATATGGGACAGCCTTGGAAGGCACATGGCAGATCTGGCCTGCAGGGCATCGGACCTGACCATGCGTCCTATCCAATGCAGGTCGAATACTAGCTAGCAGCTTCAAGTCATGGACACCCAGTAGTCTGCAATATGCCTTCCCTTGACACTTCCCTACGTACAGTAGTGTACTGGACCAGATGGACAGGGAGCAGGCATACCTGAGCGGGCGGCAGCGGCAGGTGGGGTAGAACGGCTCGGATCATCTGGCCTGCCCGAGCTTATCGGCTCGCCTGCCTGCTCGCCTACTCGTTGGGTGCTCAGCGGCTGGCAATGACATGGATGACAACAGCCTCGATGCGAAACGTGCACAGCTGACACAGGATCACCACGACTTTCTGCGGGGCCCTCGATTCCCTGTTGCAGAAGCTTGTCAGGCACTCCAGAACCAAGGCCCAAGCTGTTGGCAACAGCGAGGGAAAGACAACCGATCAGACCCGACATTACCTGAATCCCTTCACCCCCGCCGACCCCCTTCGAGACACCACTGCTCAACAAAGCCTCGTGCATGTCTCCTCCCTTCAACTCAGACGCCCCCAGCTCCAGCAGCAGCTCCAGCAACCCACCTCCCCAGAATCATGAGTCGTATGCTGCCTCTGGCGAGGTGAAGAGCTCGATGGAGCCAAATCCCCCGGCTTCATCATCACATAATGACAACATGGCCCAGCCCAACTCTGCTGCATCCGCCCCCAATCCATCCGAGGACTTGATCTCCCTCGGCGAGCGTCCACAGCTTGCCCAAACTGCTCCCTCAGTGCCAGCGGGTGCGGATGCGCAAAAAGATGGGCAATCCGAGGATAAGAAGCCAGAGGACTTGCGACCAGAGGTGCCACCAAAGACGGATGATGGCATCGAGGGGTTGAATTCCTCGGTCGCAACTCTGAAGCCAGCGACAACCCCGACAACCACAATCGCCACTTCATACCTAAACGTCGAGACAAAGCCATACGTCGACCCCACGCCATCTACCCCAACCGAATCCCAGCCTCCTTCGAGGACGCCTTCCAATGCTGCCGACCGGCCTCGTTTGTCTCTCGACTCCTCACGAGGAGGGCGATCCGACGACGAGAAACGGCGGACAAGCGAAGATGACCGAGAGAACGATGCATCCGAGATCCAGACTATCATGGCCCAGTTTCGAGAGGGCGGTCCAGGCGAACAGGAGGTTATGAGTCCACGGCTGGAGATTGCATCCCCCTTCTCGACCGGGCCTGTTCAACACCCTCCTCGGCACTCTAGTCTGGAGCCGCTGAGCCCGAACATTGCCCAACAGTTGCAGGACATGCAAGGACTGCGACTCAACTCCACCTCACCAGCCAGCATGGCGTCGAAGGGGAAGGATCCGGATGATCAAGGCCCGCCTGTCCCCCCGAAGGACCCGTCCATTCATTCTGGCAGGACCGGTCAGCTCAAGGACGAACGGGAGAGCATCGGTGCGCCCATGTCTCCAACAGTGTCTTTGCACCGACCGCCCCCACCGGAGCCCGAACCCGAGTCGGCCCTTCCTTTTGACTTCCACAGGTTCCTTGAACAGCTCCGGAACAAGAAGGCGGACCCGGTTGCCAAATACCTGCGATCATTCCTGAATGAATTCGGGAAGCGGCAGTGGATGGTACATGAACAGGTCAAAATCATCAGCGACTTCCTGGCATTCATTGCAAACAAGATGGCTTTGTGTGAAGTCTGGAGGGACGTGTCCGATGCTGAATTTGACAACGCCCGGGAAGGCATGGAAAAGCTTGTCATGAATCGACTGTACGCTCAGACTTTCTCGCCAGCCATACCTCCACCTCAGCCGATACCAGGGGCCAAACCACGGCGGAAGGGGGCGGAGCGACCGCTGGGGCCTGGGCGTCGGGGCCAGCATCAAGAGGATGTCGAGCGCGACGAAGTTGTTGCCCAGAAGATCAAGATCTACGGTTGGGTGCGTGAAGAACATCTAGATATACCACCAGTCGGCGAAAGTGGGAAACGGTTCCTCAAGCTCGCACAGCAAGGTACGAGGATGTTCGCTCATCCCTCTGGGCTATGGCTGACCTTTGACAGAACTACTAAAGATAAAATCCTACCGAGCTCCGAGGGATAAAATCATATGCATTCTTAATTGCTGCAAGGTCATCTTTGGTACGTCAAGTATTTGATGCCCGGCGAACATGAGACGTGCTCATCAGGAACAGGCCTCCTCAAGCACTCCAAATCCGACTCGTCCGCGGACTCATTCATGCCGCTCCTCATATATGTCACGCTTCAAGCAAACCCAGAACACGTCGTGTCAAACGTCCAATATATCCTCAGATTCCGAAACCAAGAGAAGTTGGGAGGGGAAGCTGGCTATTACCTCTCATCGCTGGTATGAGGCGACCTCTGCTAAAGTCACATCATGGCTGCTAACATCATCTTCAGATGGGTGCTGTCCAGTTCATTGAGAACATGGATCGCACGACGCTTACGATTTCAGATGAAGAATTTGAGAAGAATGTCGAGGCTGCGGTCTCTGCCATCGCCGAGAAGCATCGGCTAGAATCACCACCTACTTCGGCCACCGCAGAGAAACCTCCGCAGTCCCTTGCCGGCATGGGCGAGTCCTCCTCGACCAGACCATCGATGGACAACGACGCCGTGACCCGCTCCTCGTATACACCGCGCCAATCAACTTCCAATGACGACAGCGGGGAGTACGATGAGAAAGCCGCTATTACCGGTCTCCTTCGAACAATCCAGAGGCCTCTGTCCACAATTGGCAGGATGTTTTCCGACAATGATGAGCCGATGGCTGGTTCCTCAAGCGCGTCGGGACGCAGTCCCGCACACACCCCTCTGCCAGATTCGAGGCCAAACACAGGCCCCAGAGTTCCGAGTCATCAGAGCCGCTACACCGCGGAGGAGGCTGCGGCGAGGCAGGCCAGCGCCGAGGCAGCGGAGGCCCACAGATTGCACAGGGCAGAGCACGCCAATGTCGTAGAAACGCTGGCTGGCATGTTTCCTGACCTGGATAGGGACATCATCAGTGATGTGGTCTACCAGAAGGAAGGACGGTATGTCAACCCCCATGCCACCTTACTATCACGAATTACTGACAGTATCAATGACATAGTGTCGGCCTGGCGGTGGATGCTTGTCTTGCATTGTCTGCATGAGCGTCTTGGATTAAAGTGGGGTTGAGAGATTGGAATCGGCTCGAAGAGATCGACAGGGGGGAGATGATACCAGCATCAGCATTAGCGACATTTGAAGACAGACAGGCCAGACCATCATGGTTCTTCTGAGGTCCAGCGAGGGCGGCGAGCACAGTTCTCGCCCCGTCATAATCATACATTCACCAACAATAACCGCGTCTTGGGACATATCTGTCCTTTGCTCAGATTACTCCTTGCCCATGAATTGTGAGAGTATGACAACCTTTACGCCATTCTGTCATTTCTCCAGGGCCTAGTAGATGCTACTCAGATAGTCTACGGCCTGAGCAAAAGCAAAAACAGTGCCTCCTGACGGAATCGAACCGTCGATCTTCGCATTACGAGTGCGACGCCTTACCGCTTGGCCAAGAAGGCAGTGAAAACAGGTCTTTTAGGAGACGTCATACCCATGGTAAACTCAAAGAACACCTGAATAGGCCATAGAGTGATTGTTCAAGATGTCGATCGCATCATGGATAACGGTTTTGGGATATTCTGTGGCTATCGTTGGATCGAACTTCTCAGTATGAGACAGCAGTGCGAACACAATGCGCAAAAAGTAGTTACAATGAAGTCTCAAGTTGACAGGTAAACTCACTGTCCGTGGCTTGCTTCGATTCAACGACGTATGTATTTTGTTCATGCAGGAGATGCACCATAGATTATATCTCTTGTGGTTATTTTATCATGGTTATATACTGGTATGGCGTGGTCCTAGAAAACGAGATCCAGATCCTGACATGCGAAATCGTACGTCGTTGGGTCCACGAACTTCACAGTTGAAGTCGTGTTATCGCCCAGCAGGATCAGCGTCTCTGAGCTGGCCTGATACTTGGGCCAACCCATCACAGACGTCAGGCCATCCGCCGGGTCAGCGGCAAAAGCAGCCCACGCCTTTTGCATCGTCCTAGTAAGTCTTGGCTCCTCGGTCGACGGTGCAATACCGCTGACGCCCTCTGTATTGCCGACAACCATGTTGACGTCTGACCCGTGGTAGGCTCCACTGTCGTAAGGTGCTTCAGGCTGGTAGAAAAGCCGCAGATTATCCCAGTCGGCCATGTACCGCGCGCGATAGCTCGAGATGTTCAGCTCCGCCCGCCCGCCCGCGTCCGCTGCGAGCGGGCAGGTGAACGTCTCCTGCTCAAAGAGTGTCCAGTTGCTCTCCGGGAGCACGGTACCCCTAGCCAATGCTGAGATCCTGTAGAAGCCGGACTCATGGTCGGTTTGCAACTGCAGGCTTGGGATCCGTGCCAATCTCCCAGAGGCAAGCCTTGACACATACTCGGACTTCGGAAACACGGTGCGGTTGTCTTCGGTGATCTGGAAGGCTGGCAGCGCGCGAGAGCCTGCGCCGGTCGTGGGGACACGGGCGGCTGCGGCGAGGATGGAGTCGATCGTGATATTGGGTGAGCGCATGCACTCGAGCGTCGACTCTGAAGCCCCACATCCGAGTGTCCTCGAAACGTTGTACCAGTTCGAGGCAGCTAGCTCGGCGCTGTTGCTGTCAAAGGAGAAGACGCTGCCAGAGTGGGAAATAAGCCCGGCAACTACTGGGTCCTAGTATGGATTCTAGTCAGTCTCAAGCAGACTCGAATATGGTGTATACGACTCTGTGGGGCTAGAGATGGTACAGCGACGACAACTTACATCCTGGAAGGCATAAGCCCAGTTACTCACTGCCCAAGCGCCCGATGACTGTCCGGCGATCGTGATGCGAGAAGCATCTCCGCCAAATGCGGCAATATTGTCGCGAACCCACGACACGGCCAAGCGCTGGTCCAAGAGGGCGAGGTTCTTGACGTCAAGCTCAGGCGCGCCAGGAAAGCCGAAGATGTTCATGCGAAAGTTGAATGTCACCACCACAACGTCTTGGGCATCTGCCATGAACTCGCCATGGTAGAATGGCGTATTGCTGGTCCCGGCTGAGAAACGCCCTCCGTAGATCCACACGAGCACAGGCTTCAGCTCGGCACCGGGAACCACGACATTTCTTGAGTTATTGGTTGGCTTTGACCACACGTTCAATGTCAGACAGTCCTCGCTTTGAGTGTTATTTAGCTGATTGACAAAGTTGGCATAGACCCGGGCGTATTGACCAGTCGCATTCGGATACGCAAAATACCGGGACTGGGCTTGGGGACAATCATAGCCCTGAGTTGAGGAACGTGTCAGATCTATGATGTATTCGAATTGTCTTACTACAGTGACTCACGTAATTGTTGGCGTCGAAGGAACCGGTCGACGAGAGCGGCTTAACAGGCGGTGCGAATCTCAGGTCGCCAACTGGAGCCTGAGCGTATGGTATGCCGAGCCACTCACACGCCGAATTCTGTTGCGTGCTGTTATGTCCAATGAAGACCTTGTCGTCTGCACGAGCCACACAGTTGGGATCCAGGGACGAATAGGCAACCGCTGCGCAAACTTGTAACGCAGCACAGCCAAGCCGCTTGACGGTGCAACACTTCATTGTGATACTTGGTGCTTGTGTACTCCTGAAAAATCAGGGATGAGCCCGCAGATGTTATCACTGCCGAATGAAGAGTTTGGTGATTTCACCTGAGGCCGAGGTGAGGAGTTGTGGTGCTATCAATCCCCTGCTAGCTGCTGGTGTCCGGCACGTCAGGGCCGGCATCCGGACTGCGGATTACTTCGAATCCACCTGTGAACGGCCGAGTCTTCCATGAATGGGAAATTAGGGTGCTAAACTGACCGAGGCTGTCCGGTTCTCATCAATTGATTACACATAATCAAGGTGCCACTTCTAATGCAGGGGCCCAGCCCAATTCAGCTTGCGCACGAAGCACGGCCGCATTTTCGTTCGTCGCGTTTTGAAGCCTATTTCCCTCATTCGTTTAGGTGAGCATCAGACGTACACATCGTTAATATCGACCTGAATCTCCAGATGCCATGGGTTCTTTCCAACAATTTCTTATATTCCTCTGTGTCTTGTACACTATCTAGCCAGCAGCCTTGACACTCTGGTTCCCTATAGATCCCATGGAGCCATAACTTTGGGCCATCTTTCTTTCTACACTGTCTTTGGTAGTCAGCCTACGGAATTACCCAGGCCCAGATAGTCGAATTTGATACAAGGGCAATGACCGTATGACGGTGAAAATTTAAAATTTCTTTCGAGTGAATCAGCGAATTGCGCTCCCAGACAACTGTCTGCCGTGTTCTTTTGGGAGGAAGGGGAGGAGAGGCGGATCATCAATATTATTAGCGTAGCCATAGGCACAATGGATTACATTATCTATTTCCTTCATTTCGGCATAGGACATGCCCTGTATACTCATCTTCACAGAAGTTGGAGATACAGTTATGCGTATAATATACGATACTCAAGATGATTTCTGTTGAAGCCGAGGGCTATTGTGCGCACGGCACCTGTCAGTGGAATGAAGCAAGCTCCGAGTACATGCTGTACCGTGTAAAAGAAAGGGAGACGTTACATCCGCTTCCGGGTGCATCAGAAGGTAGAGGTCACACCCGGTTCCATGGTGTGATTGTAGACAAACCGGAGTAGCAAGATTTGGCAACAACGCTGTCTCTAAGTCCGATATGCAACATGATGTTGGTGGTGCAGGCTGCTTGAACGCGAGGGGCGAGGCTCTGTTTGGAATACGAAGGGCACGCTCGGCGCAGCGACGCAGAGCAATACGAAAGCGTCGTCACACTATGTGTTGCTGCTTTCATGTGTGATCTTGGTGACGGCTGCCAAATTGTATAAATACGTCCTTCCCAAGTGATGGGAGACACCATTGCAAGTTCCTGTACGCCTGAACGATTCTCGACAAGTCTCCCCATCATCTGTTAATGTGACAGACCTCGGTCAATCTTTGAAGATGAATTTCTTACTCCTTTCTCTTGTGGCTTTTCTAGCGGTTGTGTCCGCAACCCCTATCGAACAGCGAGCCATAGCCCAAGAATTCAACGTGTCCGAATTCACCGCTGGCTGCATTCCTCATGGCACTCTTTGCACGTACGAGCTATTCTGTTCTCCTTATCGTCCTTTTTCGAGTACATAGAGTCACAAAAAGACTTTATGGACATGAAAACCTGTTGCCAAAAGAGCAAGGCTTCGCATCAATAGGGACGATGGCCACGAGGATGGAAGTCTTTAGGCCTCCCGCTAACAAAACTCGCGCCTCAGCTTCAGTTTCAACGTCGCCACCAACCAAATGCCTGATCAAATGAACTGCAATACTTCAGTCGATACCGCCTACACTCTTCCTGATGTTCCGTTCACCCCCTGCGTGGACCTGTCCATCTCCTGGTCCTTCAGTGCCATAGAATCTGGGGACAACTACACCCTCATCCTGGTTGATGCTCAGCAGGGCCTGGCTGCTGCAAAGGTCTGGGATAAGGCCGATTTCCCGGTGCTCGACGCTGGTTCAACGGTCTACCAGCAATACATGGGCGCTCCCAGATTTGTTGTTCAGTAAGAGTACTACTTTGGTAGAGTTAAGATGCTCTCTTTTGTTTTGTGAGGAGTCAGGTCTCTGGCTGCGTAGACGGAAGGGTGTGTCTTGCAATACTGACATCATTGTATGGCTGAAACGAAGAGCCAGCAGTTTATGAAATGGCTGGGAAACCTTCGTAGAAAAAGTTCGTATGTATCTGATAATCCTAAGCTTATGTACCAGCGAGGTGGTCCATTTGTTGATGTAGCTCCGTCGTGGAGATATTTTAGGGCGAATCACTTCGGTCCCAAGTGCCCAACAACAAAGTCGGTTGTTCAAATAATCCTGATAGGGTGGAAGGGACAACGCTAGAAATTTGCAACCCTCTATGGTTAGCACCCTTTTCATGTTGTTAGCCTCGAAGCTCGCCAATCCATTATGTACCCCAGATCAGTACATTATTGATGACTCGTGGGGTCAAGGTGGTCACCGAGCATCCGCTTTTGCAGTGACAAACGGCCTCTCGATGTATTGAGTCACTGAATTGCGGCAAGCACGTTATAAAAGGCACACAAACATCGGCACCCTCATTTCATTGTCGTTTCCACTTTTCAGATCACGAAGAGTCCAAATTATCTCAGTCTGCCCGCTGCTCCTTCACAAAAAACCGTCAGCTGGAGATATGACATACAACGCTGGACAAGGACCGTACCGAGGTGTTATCTATCATTCGCCATCTCGGGCCTCATCGCGCTCAAGAACTCGTACACATTTTCCTCCATACATTGCCCCAAGACGTGCAATTTCTCCTTCCGGAATCTTCCCTCTAGGTAATACTCACGCTTCTCGGAATCTGTGTCTTCACGTTAATTCGGATACACCAGCACTGTCTGCCAGGACTAGGTCTTCTCAAAATCCACCCGGAAGTCCTTCAACCCAGACCGTGCCTTTCGAAGTCTCTGTCAGGTACGAAGCATAAAAACCAAAAACATGGAGCCCGAATGGCAGAGTCCCGAAATAAGCCCAGCGATAGCTGATTTCCTCACTGATGCTGAATTGTACGATCATGAAACTTGAATCCACGAATTTGGCTGACAGGAATTTCTCTTTAGGGCTTTGGCACTTCAAGAGGAAGAAATAGCCCGGCTTAGCAACTTAAGTTTGCAGCAATCGAGGCCAGCTACGCCATTCACACGTGGAGCGGACGTATATGGTGACCCAGAAGAAGAAGAAGAGACAACCAAAGAATGCCAGATATGCTGCGAAGAGAAGCATACGAACTTGTACCCGCAAACCACGGCGGCAAGTGATTGCAGATGCCTATCAGACGTGTGTCTAGTCTGCATACAGCAGCACATAAAGTCACAGACGGAATCGAAGGAATCGAAAGAAGGGTCTCTTACGTGCCCAATTTGCAACAGATCGCTCACACCACAGGAGATCGAGGAGTACGCTGATGGCGATACCTTGAAGACGTAAGCAAACACCCCAGCCCGTCAACGTAGTTTAACATTGATCGGTAATACTCATCTGCCAGACATCTTTCTCACATGATCGACCAAACAGTAAGAGACATGCCGAACTTCACCCGCTGCCCCAACCCAGACTGCAACTCGGGCCAGGTCCACGAAGGAGGCGAGTCCCACCCGTTCGTGACATGCGCAGCCTGCAACACGCAGTATTGCTTCCGGCACGGGGTCCCCACGCAACCCCAGCAGCAGTCGCCGCCCTCCCAGCACGACAACATGTCCTGCGACGAATACGACCGGTACCTCGCCGACCCGCTTCGCTTCCGGAGCGAGCACCAGCGGCAGCAGGAGCGCGCCGCGGTGGAGCGCAGGGAGCTCGAGGCCGTGGCCCGCGCGCGCGCAAGGATGGACAGGATCCTGGAGCAGCGACGCGCAGCCGCTGCCGCCGCCGCTGAAGATAGCAGGAGGAGTAAGGAGGCGGAGGATGCGGCGAGGGGTGAGCGGGAGCGCAGGACGAGGGAGGACGCGGAGAATGCGGAGAGGGATGAGCGGGAGCGCAAGGAGCGCAAGGAGCGCGAGGAGCGCGAGGAACGCGCGAGGCTGGAAGAGAGGCGGTACGAAGAGGAGCGCGCCAGAGCGGAGGCGGATAGGCTGGCCAGGGCTGCTGAGATTATGAGGAGGAAGGCAGAAGATGAGCAAAGTGAGTGGTTGATTGGGATCTCGACTAAGGGTTGCCCTCGGTGCGCGAAGAGAATCGAGAAGAACGAAGGATGGTGAGTTTTTGGATTTCCCTCTGGCTGTCCCGACCTTTCTTCTTTCACGTGGGATGGTTTTGCTAACTTGGCCATGAAATTATAGTATGCATATGACGTGTGAGTCCATAGAAGTCCTTTTAATCTCTTTGGGAAATGATTGAACTGACAGTCGATTTAGGTCCTTGTGGGTGTGAGTTCTGTTGGGAGTGCACCGGGCCATGGGTTAACAACAGTTGTGGAAACTGCTTCGGTGGGCCTGTGGTGCAATATGAGTAGATTCGGAGCTTGGTTTGTGATGATTGCGTTTATGGATTGTTAAATTGAACATTTGAAGTTTACTCAATCATGACCGTGTCCGCACATGTTCAAAATTCACGTATTTGTAGCATTGTTGAATTAACAAAATCAGGAATCAAGGTGAACAAATTTATTCTTTTCAGGAATGGGCTAAAGTGCCAGTACGCTTGTTTTCCCATAAATCAAACCATCTTCGTGTCCCCGTCAAGTTTATCATTCCTCTCCTCAATATCGCTGCCATCATATGCAAGTTGTACATCATCGATTGCATCGCCAACTTCCATCCAGTGGTCGCTACATGCAGGGATCGGGAACACCTTGCTCAGCGTCCAGTACACGATTCCGGAGACAATGAAGCCGCCGAAGAAGTTGACGTTGTAAAGGTATCTCGCGCCGTCGGGGACGTCACGGCCGATTGCGCCTGCGAAGCCCACAACGTTGATCAGGATTCCAGCACTAAGCATGAGTCGTTGGCATGATCCACAAAAGTATAGACTCGGACGAGTGCATGTGTTCTGGAGACTTACATGTACGCCACATAAGCCCTCCAATGGACGCCGTACGTGAAATAGTACGGGCCGGTCTTTCGGGCGTCGTAGAGTTCCTTAATCTCAAGATAGCCCTTCCTGACAACGTAGTAGTCCGCGCACATAACGCCAGCGATTGATGACAAGAACACTGAGTAGGCAGACAAGTACGTGGTAAACTTGTTCGAGTCCGTGAGAAGCGTGTATGGGCACATCGCCAGACCAACGGCGGCGCAAATGTAACCACCCCGGCGGATATTCAAAAACCGAGGGAACAGAGCCGTCAGGTCGGTTCCCGCGCTGACCGAGTTCGCTGCAATGTTGGTGCCCAGCTGAGCCAGCGCAAAGGCCGTGGCGATGACGAACACGCCGAACCGCTGCCCCGAACCGCCGTCGTCGATGAAATGCTCCAGCAGCTCCAGGGGGTCCCAGACCGGATCGGTGTTGTAGATGACGGCCGAGCTCGACGAGACGAAGATGCCGATGAAGCTGGTCACGGCGAAGCCCATGGGAATAGTGATCAACTGCGGCCAGAGCGCGTCCCTGGGCTTGGTTGCGAACCTCGAGAAATCGGGGTCGTTCACGATCAGTGTCGCGAAGTTGGCGATCGAGCTCATGACGCCTGTGACAAACTCCCATGCCAGGGTTGACCCAGAGATTGTGGCAGGCTGGTGGACGATGGGGCCGATGCCACCGGCGCGGACGATCGCCCAGATCAGAAAAGCGATGCCAGCGCAGGGAACGAAGTAAGCCTTTACCGTGAAAAGGTGACGAATCTTGTGCACTGGGAACCAGATGGCCGGGAGAGAAACCAGCCAAAAGATGAAGAAGCTGACCCAGTCCGCCGTGGTAGTGCCCGAGTCCTCGGGAAATGTGTTGGGGATAGTGTTCCGGTCCTTCGGTACAGCGTCAGCACCCAGGTCGACGTGGACCTGAAGGGAGAGAGTGACTTACCCAGCTCTTCCAAATCGCTCGAATCATCAAATACACACACCTCCCGCCGATACAAGACTGAACGCCGTACCAGATACAGGCCATGGCAGCCCTGTTGAAAACGGGCCAGAGGGAACCCCAGATGCCAAACGAGGCACGGTTGACAACGGGGAATCCGATGTGATATACCGCGCCAATTCTACCGGTGAGACAGACAAAGCACGCAGCGATGGTGTAACCGATCCAGACGCAGAGCCATGACTGCCACCACGACAGACCGGCGACAACCATGGAGCTGGAGATCATCCAGGTGTTTATGTTGAAAGAGTCTGCGATCCAGAAGCCCACGAAGTTCCAGGCACCCCACTGCCGGCGCTCGGGCTCGACGGGCTTGAGGTCGAGGTTGGTGAGCATGAGCTGGGCGGTGGTCAGGCCCGGCTCGTTGTCGACGGCGAGCTTGTCGCCCCATCGCCTGAGGCGAGCGCCCCTGCCGTGGTCCATGGCTGTTCTTCTGGTGGGGCTGCGGTTGTCGTACAGCGGTGATGATGGTCTCAGAAACAGCCGGTTTGGAGATGTGATGGACCCAGGTTGATGGGGAGTAAGCGGGGGCAAGCCGGCGCAGTCCCGAGGAGAGTCTTGGGTCAAGACGACTGGCTGCCGTGTGGTGTGTGTGCCCAGGGACCTATAAATGCGGCAGTATGGAACAGGCGTCAAGAGAAATTCGAAGATATGGCGCGAAGAGTACGCGAGAAAAATGAGAAGGGGGATTAGCCGATATATTATATACTCCTAGGACGGGAGCACAACACTAGGAGCGCGAGTTTGTCCAGGTCATATTTTCTGGGGCTAAAAGCGAGTGGTCGTGCGACTATGGGATCTCATCGCCTGAGACTGATAAGATCCCCACGCCCAAGACCACTCTGCCACTCTAGGGTGGAAAAGCCACCTGCTGACCCCCGGCAGCTGCAGAGATTGCCTTGCAGGCTGCGCGGAAATCGCAGGACATACAACGACATGTAAGCCATTATTATTCGGGCCCAGACTGCCACAGCCCAGGGAGCCGTTGCAGGATTGAGGGACCACGCTGATCTGGTTGATCCACCCTCCGACGGCTAGGCTCGACTTCCGCAAGCGGCCGTGGAGAATGAGATATCAGATATGCGCCTCTTGGCCTGTGCAATCGGTCAATCCGATAATGTCCATTGGCTGCCATGGCAAAAAAAAAAAAAAAAAAAAAAAAAAAAAAAGCTAAAGCGCACACGTGAACCTTGGAAAGTAAGTCGTCGCTTGGGTGGAAGATAGGACATCCCCTCGGAGACATGACATATTCCAAGTACCGATACAAGCTTGCTCGGCAGTCCCTGCACTTTGAACCAAAGTACCAGGAACCCGAAAAGGTTGCAGGGGACAGGGCTGGATGACATAGATAAGCCGTCAGAGCCAGATAGCGGCTTATCACGCTTCCCCCACAACTCCGCATCTCTTACTCGATCTCATCGAGTCAACCAGCAGGCTCTAATCCTGAAGAGTACATAGGGGTGGTTCGCCCGCCCTCTTCCTCCCCATCTGATGCACCCGGTCCAACCCGCCTTTCTCCGCCCGGGTCCGGACCCCTAGAATAATTTGCATGTAAATTGCGAGGCTCTTCAAACCTTGAATCCAGCTGGCTATCGAACAACGGAAGGCTTTCCGGGCTTTAACCGGCCGTCATCGGCCGGTCACGTGGTGGAAGACTGAATCTTTTTGAGTACTTGCTTTCCCACATTGAGAACAAGCAGGGCAGACGTCATCTCACATGTTACTGTCCTTTTCGGGGTTGCTCAATGGCGGCGGAGGATTCATATCTGCCGAGACTCCTTGGCCCCCAAACATGCTGCCGACGCAGACAAGTTCAACTTCGAGGGGCATTGTTCGAAAGCTGCTCCAGACTGTTTTAAAGTTACCGTCCTGTGGATTGGATGAGATCCAGACCGGATCTTAAAATACAGAACCGTAAAGAGCACCGCAAGCTCTATATCTCTAACATAAGGCGAAATCCCAAGCTCAGCCTGGGCAGCACATAGATGTGCAAGCACGGGCATAGCCAGTCAGCCAGACCAAGTAGCACGGGACTAGGTTAACAAGCACACCTTATCATGGCTCTGACGAAGTCCAATAGTGTCTCCATTCGGCCGAGGTGGTGGACTGCCCCTGAAGATTCGACAAATCTCTCGTGCAGCTGTAAATCCACCGCCCCACTTCCAAGCTGGTAGGACTGCGCATCATTTGGAGCCTCAATTGTCTCCGGTGCCAGAAGTCTTTGCTTCAAGACATGTGGCAGAACGTCCGGACAGTCGTCACCGTTGCTGAGATGATGGTGCGGTGATGAGAAGGCCTGGGAACACTAATCCTTAGTCGCAGAGCCTCCGTTCTGCATGTCCGACAACCCTGGGTCCTGGCGCCGTGCAGACACATTTTTGGTCGACCTGAGTTGACTTATTTACAAGAAAACGATCCCTCCTCAGCAACAGGCACTGATACCAGAGACTAAGCGTTAGAGCCTTTTCTATAATTACGGCAATTGCGTGAGAATAGCGCTGCGACGGCGACGCTGCGTCCAAAACATGTTTTTCGTCAGTTATATGATGTGACCAGACACCTCGTAAGCTTTTCTTCCCTTGTTTCCCCGGTGGTGGGGTGGGCGGGTGCGAGGCGAAAAGTGGGAAGTGACAGAAAATCCATGTTAAATGATTGGCCAAAATCTCTTTCGGACGTGTACTCGCCGACAACAGTGAACAAGCCGAACAGACAAACCGCTCGCGAAACATTCTTCGGGAGTGAAGTCACAGCTGGGGGATAAAAAACTCATGGTATCAAATTCGCGATCCACTTTTCGACTTCTTGCTTCTAGGTATTTCGGTTTGACCAGCTAAGATTCTCGACTCAGCCATTCTTCGCAGGGTGGCCTTGCACCGTGAGGCTGTGGACATGACTCTTGGCCTTAAACTTGGTGGGATGTTGGATTTCTAAACACAGATATCCTATGCATACATCAACGGAAAGGTTTATGGCTGAGACATTTGGGCGCCTTGATCACACTGACCGAAGACAACATGTGACAAAGGCGGGCAGCCTTTCGCCCGGAAGTATCGCCTCGGACTGGTTCAGCGTCCCTTTGAACTGGTCTTGTCCAGGAACTGCCCACAGCTGAGGTCGAACCTCGGGGGAGGGAGGTCGGCGTCAGATTTAAGCTCAAGATAGAGTTCCAGATGGTGGAGAAGGCAAACTCATGGGGTAAGAGGCCAAACGAAGCTTGGGATTCTCGATGTCAAGGCCCCTCTCCAGGGAGTTGGTACCATAGGGCTGACGACTCGGGATACTTCGGGATGTCGGCAGGCACCCCTCGGCATTCACACATATATACGGGAGTACCACCATGTGAAGGACAGACGTACGTGCATTTCTCGCAAGTGTCGAAACGAGTTTCTTGAACAACCTTTCATTAAATATCATCTACTTTTTGGCGATCCTGCACTGCCGAACCAGCGTGCGGAACACGCTTTGACGCACAGAACTTTTCGTGGTATTCCTTTCGAATGACTCCCATAACATGCTAAGCCACCTATTTCATATGCGGTCGTCTCGATATTAAACCAACGTGGAGGAGTTGGGAATGCTTTTGTTCAAGGTGAGAGGTCACGTCCATCTCTCCGTCACTGTCCATCTTCGTTTCGGGGACGTCAGATCACGCGGTATCTCTGTCGTGCCGATGGGCTTGGGGCTTCCCCATAGTCCACCCGTCCCTGACCCTAGCTGTGGCAATGCAGGAACCGCGTGACGCTCTTCCTCCTCGTGTTGTGAAGACTCAGTCACCGGTATTGCTCGCGGTGATACACGGCTGTCTGCCCTCGTCCTGCCCGTTCCGTTTCCATTTGTTTTCGGGGTGCTTGGTGGTTCAGCCGCTGACTTGCCAGGGTCCTCAGCTTTTGTGCTTGGCGACACGATATCGAAGCTTGTGAAGTTCGGGAGGAAGTCATCATCGTCACCCTCGTCCGGCGTATCCAGGGTATTCCGAAGTGGAGACCAGAGTCCACCCGCGGCCGACGTTGGCGTCTGCTTCAGAAAAGAAGTCACGCCGCTCCCAACCGTGATACCCCCACTGTTCAGACCGTTCGTGTTCAGCCCGAGCCGACTTGCCAGCCGCGATGAAGCCCCTGAGTCTCGTCTCATGCTGCCTAGACTGGCAGCTGCAGAGGAACTTCGGCTTCCTGAACCATCGTTCCCACTCAGAGGAGAAGACGGGAATGCGTTGGAGAGCCGGCCACGGTTCTGCGCCGTTACAGACCCTGACCGTCCCGATCTTGTCGAGGTCAAGTGTTCGGTACTTGCGAAAAGCTTGAGGTCGTAACACTGATGAATAGCGACCAGACCAGAAGACGCGTCGGAGTGAGCGCCGTTGGCACACCTCACGCGGTCAGATCCTGTTCCCTGGCTTATCTCATCCTTTCCAGGCTTTCGAACCGCTGATGTCAATGATGCCAAGCTGACATCTGTCAAGACAGGTTGGTGTGTGATGGCTCCGATCAGGGCATTACACCCAGCACCGTGAGAAACGAGAATAACCACGGACTCCGTCTCGACATCTTCCTCCTCGTCGTCGATCGCGTCGTCGCTCGCCGTAACGCTATCCCGCCTCTCCTTTGTCACCATGTCCGCTGGACGCTCGTGCGTGGCGTACCAGTCGACCAGGTTCTGCAAACCCTTGCGGAATCTATGGTGCATCGCGGTCCACTCCTCGCCGTACGATCCTCCGTCACCCCAGTCCAAAGGCCCCCGCATCGAGTCCCACTGGTAGTCAATATCGCAGCAGTTGTCTCTGGCATGTGGGACATAGCCCCTGGGGATCTCCGCATTGTGCGAAAGCGCATACGTGGGCATAGGAGCAACATAGGCACCGCCAGTGATCAGATGCGACTCTCCGTTACTCGTCACACTGTCGCTTCTGCCGGCCCGTCTCATCGCCTCAGCGAGGCTGCCCACATTTTCAAGGCCATTTTCAGGCGCTGCGACAACTGGGGACTGGCCCCACATCTGACCAGCCCCAGCTCCCGACGAGGAGTTGTGTTGGGCGTGGTGCGCATACAGGCCGGGATAACTAGAGTAATCCTCCTTCCGCAGCAGTTCCGCCTTGGCACTGGCAAGCATCAGACCCGAACCGGGCGGCGGAGTGATGAGCTCGAAGTAGCCCGGGGTGAGCCATTCTCCGAGGAAAGCATCGAGCCTGAGGACAGTTTTTTGTATAGCCGACTTTGCTCTCGAACTGGGACGCGAACTTGTGGGGGGAGTCGGGGGCGGTACAGAAACGTCAGGTTGTACGGTTGGTCGGAGACGAGGGTTTGTGACGGAGTGCGTGGAGGATGCCCGAGCGACGGTGGGAGTCGGAGGCTCGGGTATGGAAGCCAGGCCAGCGCTGATGCCTATCGAGGTCTGGACGCAGCGCAGGAAAGGCGAGCTGTGTATGGCGACCTTGTACTTTCGACGCTTTCTCGGGGTTCCGTCAGTGGCAAGTGAGTCGGCTTGCTGCTCCTTGTCCCTCTCCTTGTCGCCATCGCGCAAGATCTCGCCGATCCTCTGTCCGACCGCCCTTGCCTGGTTCCATCCGCTGTACGTTAGGGGAGGGTCGTACGGAGTGGGTGATTGGAGGTGCCACTGCTTATTGGCGGCGTCGAGTCTGTTTCCGTGTCTGTGGCAAAGAGCGATGTTAGCAAGCAAGAACTTGGATGTCGAAGTCGACGTCGTCCTGGCCTCTCCCCCCTGCGTGTGTGGGGGGCGGGGGTTGGTGGTTGTCGTCCGCGGCGGTGATGCCGCATTGGGGAGGCAGGGGTTTTTGGACAGGAATGTAGCCTACCTTACGACGAAGATGTAGGCCGGAGCGCGGCCCATAGCTGTCGAGGGTTTTTGGAATGGGGTCTAGCAGATCGAAAAGAGGAAGGGCGTTGGGCTCGGGGCCTGAGGCTTGAGAGAAAGAACTAGTGAATTCGCAAGTTGTCGACGATCGCTGATGGGTGGGCAAAAGGCGGGCTGTCCCCGTTAGGCACTAATGAACTGAACGGTTGGCGGCAGGACGTACGTACGGTATGGACGGTACGGTGCGGGTACGGTGCGGTGGTGGACGGGCAGGGTGGCCCACGTGTTGCCGGCTCCAGCGGTCTCGACGCTGTGGGTCGCAAAACGAGATTAACTCCGAGAGCCGATCAGTTGAGTCGCGGTGACGCCCCGATCCGACTGACTCTTGGTTCGACTTGGAGGGGGGTTTGACGTCGGGAAGAGAGGTCTAGAAGGGTGGGCAGTGGGACGTGTTTGTTTGCCAGGTGTGTCGCAAACGGCGAACCTGAGTGATCCCGGCAGTTTTTTTTATAACAATGCAGGGAGGTCACGAGTAACCCGTGGTTCCGGATTGCGCCTTGGGGGCTGTTTGAGCTGCACGATTACGCCGACTGTCGTATTATGCACACGCAGCGACCTGCGACGCGACGCGACGCAAGCCAGCCGGCCTCTGTGAGTGCGACCTCTGACCTCTGACCTCAGACCTCAGACCGTGGCCCTGAATGGAGCGAGCGAACGTGTGTGCGCTGTGTCACTATTTTCGGACGGGCAAGGCCAAGGCCCCGAACACACCGCACAAGGACGGGAAGGGGTGGGTTTTGAGACAAAGATGTCGCCAACGGGGAAGTCCGTGGTGAGTGAGCATGGATCTGCTTTTCTGGATCTAATATGGATCTGAAAAGTTTGAAGGCAGATAGAATATTTGGGTTGAGCATTTGGGAAGATTAAGATTAATAATTAACAATGGGACAAAACGGTCACCAGGACACGGTCTACGCATGCCAGACTGGACTGGACCAAAAGCAGATTCAATGACAGCCACTTTCAGCCGCCAGCGTGGTCTTGTGCGACTAGGTGGGCTCATGGTCGACGCAAATGGACTCGTTGGCCGCCTGCCAACACGTCATTCTTCGTCTTCACGATGCCTCGTCGCATCCCTCTGGGGTCTAGCGGGTGCGGTGCGACTCACGGTCGCGGGGTCCTTCCTCCATCAGCCTGCGCCTGCCTGGCCCGCCTGGCAGCCGCGAATTGCCACCAATCCTAAGCCTGCATCATCATGCAGCTCCCGCTTCTGCACTGCAAGCTGCACCGCGCTTCTCCCACACATCACATGCCGATCCATTTTTCTCAAGCGGGTCCTGCAACCAACTCCACTTGAGATCCCTAGCTTGACGCAACCACCAGCCCTAAATTGCCTGTAAACAAACGGGTGTAGCTTCATCTTTGTCACGAGAGGGTTCAGTGGAGTGGCCTCAATACGCCAATTGAAGTTAGGTCGGCGCTATGTTTCTAAGCGAAAAGGAAGTCATTCAGAGGATCCATAGGCGCTGCAGAAGGCCCAGGTGGCGTGTGCACTTGGTTGGGGGTCAAGCTGGGTAAGTCTAGGTAACGGCCTCTTATTTTGTTCTGCTCAGCCTATCACCACTGTCACTTCTTCTAGAAAGGGGGTCACCCCTTTAAGCCCATGTGGCACAGTGGGTTCTTCCATATATCTACTCGGTTTAATTACTATAGTCTATCCAGCCAGGGGCTTCACCGGCTCACGGCCAGTACTCCCGCCAAATAGCTTTGGCTTGACCTCGTGTTGGCTAGACCCGTTCACTAAAGCGCTTCGTCACAGGCAGAATCCCTCGTTGTGCACTCAAGCGCTCGTGTGTACCGAGGCCGTCATCAGTACATAAGGCGTGCCTCCCCCGCCGGGAACCTTTCCTCTGTCCTGCCTGTCGCCAAAGGATCTAGGCGATGACCGTCTGGGTCACCGTGTTAGGGAGAGGCACAGGGCAGCCCAAGGCCTCAACCTGGCGCGCGGCCTTGATGCGGCGCACATACTTCCGCGCGAAGTCCTCGTCGACTGGGGGCACGGGGTAATCGGGCTCCCGGAAGGCGCGCTCACCCACGCGAGGGCTCGTCACCAGCGCCGCGGCGCCGGCGTCGTCGGTCACCTCGTATAATGCGGGCGAGCGGGCTGCTGCGGTGGGCAGTCCCATAGGCGGCGGCGCGCTCACGCCAACGGCCAAAGGGTAAAACATGCCCTGGCCTGTCCCAGCGGCGGGCCCCAGGAGCCGGAAGAAGTCGCCGAAGGCCGGTGGGCGCGTGTTGACGAAGTCGTAGTCCCGCCTGGTCTAGTCGGTCTGGCGCAGCGTGATGGCCCCGATGGCCCGGCTGAGGTAGTCGACGGGGAGTACGGAAACTCCCCATTTCCAGACAGCCCGCAATAAGGTTGTGTAAGAAATCTCCCTGGTCGCGCCAGAAGTAACCGCCGGCGAGCGAGGCTGTCACGAAGGGCAAGCGATAAATGGAGGCCCGGGCACCGCGCCACCGTGCCGCCACAACAAGCTGCTCCGCTAGATATTTCGATGTCGCATAGCCGTACTCTTGGTCCTCCCCCTTGACCTCGTACCCCTTATACTTGGGGATAGTGGACATGGTGGAAATATGGTGGATCGTCTTCGCGCGACCGGACGACGCGAGGCGGAGGACTTCGTGGGCGCTGACAAGTTTGGGGTCGATATACTCGGCTAACGGGCGTGTCTAATCAACAAGTCTTCCGGCATGACAAATAGCATCGGAAGTGTTCGCCAAATGGTCGAACTCGGTCGGAGACATGCCGAACATGGACAGTGTGATATCGCCGACGACGGGATGGAGAAGTGAAGCGTACACGGGCTTCCAGAGGCCGTAGGCGGCGAGCGTGTCTACCAAGCGCCACCCAGCTTTGTCGGCGCTGCTTGCGCATACCAAACAAGATGCCTCTATGCCTAGCTCCAGCAGCTCATGCAAGATAAATGCCCCGACAAATCCCGTGGCACCCGTGACGAAGACAGATCTGAGCGACATGATAGCAATGTCATGCACATTGCTGAATGTGAAATCAGGATCCAGACAACCGAGCTTGATGGCCTCCATGTTCAGCCGTGGCCCAGATTGCGACGCTATGGAGGGTGATGCTGCGTTATTGTTGTTGTTATGTGCATGACCTGGTTTATTCGACAACAACTCGGAAAGGAGAAATTGACTGAGCGCCTGGAGATTGGGATGTTGAAGCACCAATCTGGCATTGAGCTTCAGGCCTGTCAAGTTCGAAAGCTGGTTGCGTACCATGACCGCAGCGAGCGAGTCGACACCCAAGTTATGCAACGGTTGTTCCGTGTCCAGCTCTTCCGGATGGGGGTAGCCCAAGGATTTGGCCACGGCCCCGCGGACCGTACTGAGCACAATTTCCTGGTGCTTCTCCGGGGATCCTTGATCCAGGGCTGTGCGTACATCGCGGTTGCGGGCAGCCTGCGTGTCACCCCAGTCCACCAGCGAGGTCATGAACAATGGGATGCCCCCATGGTCGGCGTAGTAGCTCTGATGCCGTTTTGGATCCAGCGCGGCGGCCACGGTGAAAGCAGCGTCGTCATGTATGGCTTTTGCCAAGAGGGCCAGGCCATCCTGGGGTGCCAGCATGTCAAGGCCCAGTTAGGAAATCTGGGACATGGTGCTCTGGACGGTTCGGGAGGCCACGCCGCTGCCCTCCCACGTACCAGACGCGATTGAAGTCGCTGGCAGGTGTTCGGCACAACGGAAATGCGCAAGCGCATCCAGGAACGTGTTGGCCGCAGCATATTTACCGAGGCCAGGCAGGCCTAGCACGCCGGAGATGGAGGAGAAGAGAACGAAAAAGTCCAGATCCAGGCCCATGGTCTGGGTCACCTGGTGCAGATTACGGGTGCTGTCCACCTTGGGCGCAAACACGGTGCTGCACCGCTGTAGCGTCAGGGCCGAGAGCACACTGTTGTCCTGCACGCCTGCGGTGTGTCCTATGCCGCGCAGGACAGTCCGCTCGCCTTTGCGGAACATGGCCATCGCTTGCTGCAGGCTGTCCCTGTCTGCAACATCACACGAGACCACTGTACATTTGGCGCCGAGTGCAGCCAGCTCAGCCACCACCTCGTCAGCTCCAGGTGTCGCTGCGCCGCGGCGTGAGGTGAGGACAACGTGGCGAGCCTTGTGGACTCGGGCCATCCACAGAGCGACGTACCGTCCGAGACCTCCAAGCCCTCCCGTTATTAGTACAGCTCCCTCGGACCCGGACCTCAGCAGCCGCTCCTCCGGCTGGCCACGCGTTTTCATCGCCTCCGGAGCCGTCTTCACAGGCTTCATCCGGGGCACAAGCACGTTCTGGTGGCGCATGGCGCACTCGGGCTCAGCGCTCAGCGCCAGGGCGGACGCGAAGAGGGAAGGAAAGGTTTCTGTGTCTGTTTCTTCCGGAACGTCAACCAGGCGTAATCGCAGATTGGGATGCTCGCTTCGGGCGGTGCGCATCAAGCCCCACAAAGGGCTGGCGCCCAACCTTTTCATTCCTCTGGCATCCATTTTGTCGGTCTCGTCACTCGCTCCCGTACCATTATTGCCTGTGCCAACTACCTCTCGGCAAACCCAGACAAGTGGCGGCGCGAACTCCATCTTGGCTGCCATCTGCAGCTGTGTAAGCGCCTCGCGGGCGAGGTGCCTTACCTGATCTGCGACATCTGAATGGCCATGGTCCACGTCCGTGTCGGAAGGCCACAGGCACAGAAGACCATTCATGCTTTCGGCGTCTCAGATATGATTTACCAGGCGCAGCATTACGCCAGCTTGCACCAGAGCCTTCTCTACCTCACCTGCCCAGCTTTCCCACGGCGACGTTGACAGGGCGGCCTCGAGAACACTCTCAATGGCACTATCCCGGCCCTGGCAGATATCGAGGCCATATCCGCATGGGAGCGCGCCCAAGACTCGCCTATCCACATGCACCTGGACGGCGCACGATTATGGGAGGCTGCGGCGTCGGGCGCGTGCACGCTGCGCGAGATAGGGGCCTGCTTCGACAGCGTCCAGCTGTGCTTCACCAAGGGGCTGGCCGCGCCCATCGGCAGCATGGTGACGGGCACGGCGTCGTTCATCGCGCGCGCCAAGTGGTCGCGGAAGCTGGTTGGCGGCAGCACGCGGTCGCCAGGTGTCATCGCCGCGCGCGCCCGCGCCGCCCCGGACCACGTCTTCCTTGGGGGCCGGCTCCAGGCCGCGCAGCAAAAGGCCCACGCCGCTTCGGCGCTGTGGGAGAGCCTTGGTGGCCGCCCCACGCTTCCCACGGAGACCAAAATGCTGTGTTCCGACCTGCCGGCGTCTGGCAACCCCCCGGAGGACTTCTACCCCCGTGCGGCCCAGTTCGGGCTCAAGATCGGCCAGCCCATACTCGGCCGCATCGTCTTTCACTACCAGATCTCTGATGCCACCTTTGCGCGCCCGTGTGACTTCTTTCGCTTCGTTCTCAAGGACGCGCGCCGCCCATCATCGCCCGTCATCTAAAGGCTAGTCATAGCCTCAGAGAATTAGGCCACGTTGCACGAAAAGGAAGGAGAGCGCCCAGTGGAGGGAGCACAAGATATTGGCTGGGTAAACATTGTTGTACTAGAGGCGGGCCGGGCCGGGCCGGGCCGGGCCGCTAACCTTAATTGATCACTAGCCACACCCTTGATAGAAAACAAGGACTTCCAAACTAAGCCTGTACCTAAAAGAGTGTATGTGTTCAAGTGGGCGATTAAGGCTAATGACTCTCACTTTCAAATTGCTTACTAGGCTAATAAGAGCTGTCACTAGCCTCTTTAAGCAGTTGATTGGGCCTGTATTGCTTGCTGTAGAAGAAGTCACTCGGATAATATTGACCAACCAACATTCCAGTAGCAGTGGCTCCTGGTGTTGGTGAAAAAGTCCCCCACATTAGTTGCCGCACGTTTTTATGACGACAAAGAGCGACCTGGAATTCTTTCACTTCTCACATCATCCGAAATAGAATCCATGCAGTGAGTCCTTTTCCGGATGGTTGGAGCCCCGGGTTTATTCTCCCAACCCCGACTTGGCAATGTTAGTCTACAGCTCCCTTTCCTGCCTACCCTCCCTGGCCATATCCTTGCGGACTACCCGTATGTGACACAATCTTCTGGCCACCATATCAATTTCTCCTGTATCTGTCTTCCTTCCCGTTCTCTTGTATTTCTCTGTCCTACAGACCATTTCCACACCGGCTAGCACATCTCGCCATGGATCGTGAGGAAAAAGCGGTGCCGCCCGGGGAAACTCACGCAAGCCCGCCAGGCTCGACCCGGACGAGTGACACTGCTGTGCCCGCGAGTGAGGAACTAGATCTCCCGCTTGTTGACTGGGGTAGGGCTGCTTGGGGTTTCATGGTAGCGTGTTGGGTAGTCGAGGTATTGATCTTTGGTGCGTACTGGTCGCCATGCAGCGAATGCATGTTGGGAGGTTTGCTCCCGTGCAAAAGCTGACGTGTTGAGTCTCTTAAGAGTTTTATCGTACTAAAAGGACTTAATTGCGGATACATAAATCATTGTACGGACCAAATGTGATCATGTACTGGCAAGGTCCAAAGCGAGCTTCGGAATGCCACAGAAGACGCGTCACTTACATGCGTGCGCGCCTCTGAATAGTTTCAAAATTCGATTTCCTGCGCCGTACTACTTTTTTTGCACCTAACGAGTTCTCCCAAGATTAGTCTTCTACAACTGCATTATACAAATGCTTTCTTTTGGATCTACGCCTCAGCTCTAGCCTAAAAGTCTAGGAAATGATGCACAGTCACAGCCCGAACAATTATTGTTAGCTGATGAACACTAGAAAATCTAAATCACAGTTCCCCTTCGTAGGCAGTGTTGCAAAGTTCCAAGAGCCTCCTTCAAGAATGCAGTCGATGTCACGGAGGTGCTGGTCAATAAATACCTCCAGAGAAAACTCTACATCAACTACGTCAAAGAAAAGCAGCCCTACAACTTCATATGGAACGGCCAGATACAAGGCGAATCATGCCTCAAAAATGGCCGGATAACCGATGCCAAAGGAGAATTCCTTTGCCCAGAAGAACTGAGGGATTGCAGCGTCCTTGATGACCAGCGGAAAAGGCAGGCATGCATGCTCCCTTCCCCCGGGAACAGCGGAGGCAGTGACTCGTCAGGTGGTGATTGTGGACTGAGACCTAGCCCAATAATGTGGAAACCCGGGACGCCCTCGCCGACGGGCAGCAGCAACTGTGGGAGTCTGTGTTCGGGATACTACTGCAAGCAGAATCCCACAGGCAACCCGCCAGACTACTCTGATCCCAAGCTCCACCCCGTCAGCACACCGACGCAACCGTCGACGCCGTCAGTGCCGACATCAACATCGAAGCCCCCAAGTACGCCCTCCAACCCTGCTCGTGTCCCACCCCTCTCTGCACGGTGGGACATGTTCCACATGGCAGTGACACTGGATAGCGGGAGCCAGGAGCACGTCTGGGTCGGCCACGAGGACGACCAATCGCACTCCGTCGAGTCGTACCTGGAGGACAACTCGAAATGTTACAACCCCGACCTGTAAAGGGCTGACCATACTTACCCAGAGTATCCCTCGAGCATGGAAGTGCATAACTTCTTTGGGGCGTCGGACTGCAAGTTCGTCTTCCAGGTGGACTCGCGCAACGAATGGCTCGGCCTCGACGACGGCGAGTGGCTGGGCAACGTCATCTGCTCCGAATATGACTATGCTGAGTGCTACAAGGACACAGACAAGACCTTCTATGCTTGTGATGACATGGATGCCTACAGGACACGCTGGGCCTACTGCACATGGGATCACTGGTTCACCAGCTCAGCTGCCAACAGCAGGGTAGCCGCGCTGTCGCGCTTGCAGGCTATTCGGATGTTGAAGGCCCAGAACAAGACGATTCGTACTGGCTTAGAGAAGGACGGGAGTTTGTCGGAGAACTTGAACGGCACAAGGACGAATGGGACGATCAACTCCACATTGAATTAAGCTTCTCGTGTTTTAATCATTCTTCTTATTTATTTTCTCTTCACAGGCCTATTTGAATAATGTATATAAGATTATCATGTTTATATATGTATAAATTTTGGATTTATTGTTATATCATGTAACTTAAAGGATATATCTCATAATGGTGTTTTAGTGGTTGGGGTGTAGGGCCTCAAAGGGGTGGGTGTTTTGGTGGGACGGTCCGAATCCCCAGGCGGGCCAAATGGGGGCCACCAGACTTATAAGTTTAATCTAAAAGAGGAACTACATCTCCCCCCCCTCCACCCAAAAAAAAAAGGGAAAAAAAGGAGCCATGCATGTGAGGCCACATGTTTGTTTAAATCGTTATTAACGCATTTTACCTCGTGGCATACTTCAAACCTCTTTCTGCTTAGCAAACTTTGAGGTACGTTGACGAAGTGTTCAAATTACCGTCTGACTGTTTGAAGGGCAAGGCTTGTTGCTAGAAAGCATCGCCGCTCGACGGATTCGCAGAAATACCTACCTAGCCAAATAGAAAGAGGGAATATCTTCTCTTTCCTCAGACGACGCACTTGGACTCCCTTCGGCTTTAACGTCTATTGCGCCTGACCTTTTCTCTCTTGGCCATACAATTTGCGACGACCATCACACTCAGCTTTCATTTCTGCTACTTCATACCAGGGACACCACCAAAGCGCAGCATCTTTAGAAGTTGAGCTTGGTCGTGAAGACCTATCTCTCCATCCCCAACAGCTTCCTTCTGATTTTAGCACATTCCCAACCTCCTCAGTGAGTCTTGCCTTCTTGCATTTGCCTAGCCCTACATTTGATTTCATACAGAAAGGTTGGCATCATTCAATGTTGACATCAGTTGCACTTGCCGCTCAACACACTTCCCTTGAACCCCGTCTTTTGCTGAAGGAGGTCATCTCATCTGTGAATCTTTTCCTTTCAAGCAAACACATACGACACGTTCAAACGGCGTTGTATCTCAACCCAGTCCTAACATCGATAGAGGCCTTCGCAAGCTTTCCTCAACAACGTCACTGTCCTTCAACCTTTGTCCTCTTCAACTTGGTCAGCATCCCTCTCAACTTGACCACACCATAGAAGTTTACGCCAGCGGGCTCCCGTTAGCAACCATTCAGCCGTCAACCACCTACTCAAACAACTCCGACCCTTATCTCAAGACCCTTTGTGAGGTCCTCCTGACGAAGACGCACGGGTACCAAAGCATATTGAGACTACGCTCTTACCTCCCCTAATTTCTTGTCCGTACCGGGCATGATTCTCACTCAGTACCTTCGCATCTCGGTCACAATCCAGTTGTCACACGTCTCAGCAGCAGCGGCGCCGCGCGCAATCTCTTTATCTTTCACCTTCTCATCGCCAACAGGTAAGCATTGCCATGACTTACAAGATAATAGCTTCCTGCATATCTGATCTCTTACCTCCCTTCATCTCTTGCTTCTGCTCGTCTCCTACCTCTTCATTCCCTGCCTCTCTTCGTCTTCCGCCTTCTTTGCCTCCTGCCTCTCTTCTTTCGATTCTGACTGGCGAGTCCTTAGCATGACAATGTCTTTGTGACTTTCCCTTCTTCAGACCAAGCACTCAACCTAACTTGAACTTTACATCGCTTCATCCTGGATCTGTCAGCCTGGATTATCCAATCGCCGCATCATTTCAAGACAAGCCCTCCTGCCAGCTGGCTTCGTGGTTCTTCCACACTGCCGACCGCGACCTTACTTTTATTGGAAATCCAATCATTCCCGTGCTATCCTTAGCATCTTTCTGCCTGGCATGACGACCTAATATCTTGGGCTCAATCAATATGGCACCACCAAGGAAGATCAAGCTCAATTATAGCAAAGGCGCTACTCACCCATCTGAAGAGACCATGGCTGATGTCCCTCAGGAGGAAGACCGCGCCGCGGTCCCGGCTCCCAGATCTGACAATTCAACTCAGCAGTCTCACAGCGTGGAGACCAAGAAGTCCCCCGATGTGTACATCAAGCAAGAGCCTACCTCTGGAACAGCAGACGTCCCTGCTAATGCCACACCAAGCACTGCGACCCCCAACAATGAGTTGCCCAATGTTTCTGGGATGGACGACGCAGAACTCAGTGCTCATCTGAAGTATTTTAAAGAGGAAGAAGATCGGCTCCCAAAGAAAGAGGCTGAAGGTCTCCTGACAGAGCTCTACAGCCGCCAGCGTAAGCAGATACGACACAACATCAAGCTGCTCGAGGAAGAGCGCAGCATCAGACAGAGGATTCTTGCTGGCGCGCTCGATTCCTCGAAAAGCCTTGGGCTGGGAAAATTGCCAGCAATGCAAGTCACCGATGCACAGCGGAGGTCGTCTCGGCGCCAGAAACGGAAGCCAGGCAACAATGAAGGGCCAAACAAGCGGCTCAAGATCACGAAAGAGACCCGTCAGATCAAGGACACAGTCATGAGGGGAGCATTCAACCTAATCAAAGGAGAAGTATCTACCGTGCACGACAAGGATTATACAAAGGCACTGCCTCAAATCGGCGAAGCCCCTGTTCATCTCAGAGATCATCTACAAGCGATCCAGAACGCAGCGTTACAGAATCCTGGTGTGAAGAAGGAAATCATAGACCACGATATTCGTGCCTTTGTCGGTATATTGACTATGCTCGGAGCCTTTATTCAGCCATGGGTCTCACCTGGTGATGGCCCCAAGACGGTCGCGGATTTCAAATGGCGACTCGCTGGCATGAGTGAACCGCTTTATCACCACCAGGTACCCGCGATTGGGATTATGCTCATGAACGAGAAGGATCTCGAAAACGACGGGGAGTCCAAATTCGCTCTCAAATCTGGCTTTCTCTTCGATTATATGGGCCTGGGAAAGACCGTGGAGATTCTGGGTTGCATTGTCACGAACTCGCCAGTCTTCCGGAAGGGCAATCGCTCTGAAAAAGGACGCACCACGACTCTGATTGTGGTACCCAAATCCGCTGTTATGCAGTGGGAGAAGGAGGTCCAACGTCATTGTCAAGGCCTCAAGGTTGGCCTCTATGAAAAAGAGTCCGAGATGGAAGTGGAAGAGACCTTGGGCAACGATATCTTGATTGTCACTTACGACCAGCTGCTCGCAGCAGATCGTATGGCTGGTCTGAGGAAAAAGAAACAAAAGGGCAAACCCCGCGTGTCATTGCTATTCAAGGCAAAGTTCTATCGGGTTATTCTAGATGAATGTCATCGAGTCAAGTCTCATCATTCGGAAGCTTTCAGGCTTTGCTGCAAGCTACATGCCACACACAGATGGTGCGCTTCTGGAACACCTACGCCGAATGGCATAGCCGAACTATACGCATACCTCAAGTTCATCGACCATCCCCTGGTGACGGATTTCCCGACTTTCAGGGACAAGTACCTCGGAGGCAAGAATGGGAGGCTGTTCCCGAAAGGAGTCCAAAACAAGTATGAGAAGCTTGATCGACTCTTGGAGCAATTGATGATCATGCGGACTCCGGGGCACAAATTTTTAGGCGGTGCCCTTGTTGAGCTGCCGGAGACTTACTTTCACGCCGACCCCGTGCCACTGTCCCCAGAAGAGGACATCATATACAAATTCGTTGAGGCTCACATGGAGGCATACATCGTCAAGAAGTCGGGCAAGAAGCCGCAGAAAAAGCCCAGTCGACCCCGCAAGAAACCCCAAGATGAATCGGGAATGGCCGCTGACGAGGAAATGGGTGAAGGATTGGGCTACAGGTCTCTATATGAGGTTGCCCTGAGACTCCGACAGCTGGTCGCCAGTCCCCTACTGCTGGAACAAATTGTCAAGGGTGGGATCTGGACGGCGAATCAAGTAAAGGAGATGCGGGATAAAGCCCACAGCCACGGTTGTGACAAGACCCCGTTCATCGACAAATTTGAGTCCTGGATGTCGGAGCCTAGAATTCCTCAAACAGCTTCTAGGAAGGCCAATAAATTACGACGAAAGAAGGCCGATCTGATCAGAAACGACTGTCCAGGATGCTCTAGTTCGACCCAGGAGGAGCCCCACAGGTCGCAGTGCCTTTGCATTTGGTGCAAGCAGTGTGTGGATGATCGGATTTTTCTTGACACGCAGAGAAACAGAGAAATTCGTTGTCCTCGTTGCAAAAAGCCCATTGGAGCCCCAAAACCATGCGAGCTTCCTGGAGAGCTCTCAACGGGGTCAGGGGCGCCAGACACTGAGCGGCCGCGAATGAGAGGAGAGGATTTCTTGAATTTCTCACCGAAGGAAGACTTTGACACCAGTTTGTTCCGAGACCTGGATGCGAATCCGAGCGCAGAGATACCGCTCAGTTCCAAGATGCGTGCGACCCTTGAACAGATCCAAACTTGGCAGAGTGTTGCTCCACAGGACAAGATCATAGTGTTCTCCCAATTCATCGACACCCAACGGCTTCTGGGGCGTGTCTTACAAGACCACGGCATCGAGTTCCTATATTTCATGGGCGAGATGGACTATGACCAGCGTGAAGCGGCGAAGGAGCACTTCCGGACGAATCCCGGTATCAAAGTGATGGCAAGTATATCCCTTTAACCGGCGGCTTGATATTCTCTCTAACATGAGTCTTAGATGATGTCCATGCAGTGCGGAGGGGAGGCGATTAACTTGACTTCAGCGAACAGAGCTATCATCACAGACCCATGGTGGAATAGAAGCGTCGTAAGTAAAATGACTCTCTTTTTAGACATCGCTTTAGGCTCCGAAACAGGTGATTAACGTACACCAGGAGATGCAAGCCATCTGCAGAGTCGCACGTATAGGCCAGCGCAAGGAGGTGCATACCGTGCGACTCCTAGCAGAAAACACGGTTGACACTCGGATGTACAAAATGCAAGAGACCAAGATCAGCCAAGTCGCGAATGCGCTTCAGCACTTCCAGGAAGACAAATCCTTTGGGCTCTGTGCCCTCAGGAGAGTCCTGGGTGTTCGGTTCTTAAGACGGGGCGACGAGGACGACGAGGCTCTCTTCAAAGACCAAGACGAGATTGAAGACGACGACGAGTATTATTCCGCCGAAGAAGACCGACCAGGCGATGAGATTGATGAGGATGACGAGGACTAGCTCGAACATACCGCGGCGCAGATTGCTGCCATATGCTCGACCGCTATGAGACTTAGTAGGTGCGGCTTATTATGGCCTGTCCACCATGCGAGCAGCCTTGGACGAGCCATGATTCTGGCTCTTCGCTTTAACCAATGCGTTACTTTTCTCTTTTATGATTTACGAAATTGGAATGCGAATTGGGCCTCCTGGCATTGTCGAGTCTGGGGAGGCCCTGAGGACATGAGGCTGGATGGTATGGAAAGCCTGTAGCTTTCACGACAGCTTCCATCAGCGAGAGAATTCTCAGGAACTGGGTTACCGTTTGGGCTATTGGGAAAAGGGGCTATATTGCCGAAGTCAGTCGAGCACGGGATAGAACAAATCTTCCATCATGAGAAAGGCTTGGGGAGACGGAATGGTCCGGAAGAGACACCATGGAAACCTCCCATTGAAGAGGAAAAGCAGACACGCGTTGAATTCATAAAAACAATTTTGGCACTCAGCGGTGCAATTACATATCGAGTGACTTTGACATAAGCTGAGTGGTGCTGCGGCGGCGTCACTGTGCTGTCTCGGGCCTGGCAACTGCTCGCTTGCCCGTAATTCTCTCCTAAAGTGTAATGCAAGTCGTGTAACCCTAGCTCACAGGCTCCCAAGGTGTTGGACACAGCCTGACCATGCCTAGTGCAGACCACATCTTGTCCTGGAGGATACATGTCCTCCCATGAGGCATCTTACTGCGGGAGGATCTTCCTATGGGATATCTCCTACAGGCTTTCCTCCTACAGGCCACCCTCTTACGGGATTTTTCCTTATGGGATATCTTGCTATATGTAATCTTCCTACAGATCATCCTCCCATGGGAAGATTCCTTTTGCACAACCTCACAAAGGATAATCACCTATTGCGGAACATCATGCAATAATTTGCACCGAGTTGCTCTGGTAGAACAACTTGACCACGTCTTCATGATGGCATCTTGGTCGGGTGTGTTTTTGGCTGTGTCGTTGCTCGTCAGCACCTGTTAGACCTCCGGAATCCCTGGAAGCTGCATGGAGCTGCCCACAGGGCAGGTGCGGATGGTAGCAGCCAGACTGTGAGTTCATCAGTACCTTGCACCACGAAAAACATTGGCAGCGTGCATGACAGGGATGTGTAAACAGATAGTGCAATTAAGGTGTAGGCCCCAAAACAAGCTATCGAGGTGGACAGGCAGTTCCACGGTTGCTTTGGTATCATGTGGTATGGCAATAAACTCCAAAAGCAACTCCACAGGCAATTACCATCAATCAATACTGACTCGCCTTTCTCAGCCATAATTTTCAACACATCGCCTCGTACTGCTGAGCCTGGCCAGAAACCTGACCCAAGTCGGCGTCCGGTCAGTCCGTCAAGCACTTCCTCAGTCAGAGTCAGAACCCCAGTAGTCATAGTGGCCGTGCACCACTCCACAGTTTGGACATATAGCATCGCTGTCGTCGCTGTCATAGTCGTCCAACACCTCGTCGACAGGTTCTCCGGTATTCCGGTCAAATTCGACCCAGTCCCTTTCCTCTGCGTCCCGCGCGATGGGAACGCGCTTCCAGAGGGTCTTCCTCTTCTTCCAAACCGACTTGGGATGCCCCTGTTCCTCGGGTACTGAAGGGACGTTGACGAGCGAAACTTGGCCCGCAGCTTCCTGGCGCTCCCTGGCCAGTTTTCGCCAGGCCCGGACAACCCTTGCGAGGCCTTCGTAGCCGCAGAGTGGCTTCAGGTACTTCTTCTGTTGTACGTACGAAGGAGCATGACACAGAAACAGTCCATCATCTTTCACCATGCCCTGATAAAGACCTGTTAGTAAACACTCACGAGCGGAGGACAATGCACCCACCTGCAGATCAGCACCGGCCTTGACGCCGACCTCGCAGCAAGGCAGACCCGTGACCATCAGCTCGTTCAAGGTACAGCCGAAGTCGTGGGCAGCGATCTCATGGAGATCCACTTCTGGAAACGGCAGGAAGTAATCCGGGAAGTTGACAAAATCCATGCGCATGGATAAGAGGCCGGGTAAGAGCCGCGGTCGATTGCCTTGGGCGTGATGTGGATCGAATGGAGGGCGTAAGGCATCAAGGAAGTCCACCGTCTGAGTCCAAGCATAGGAGTGGAAACCTTTCCGCGCCATGCTGCTGTCATCTCTGACCCGTGGGATGACTTTCAGATTCTGGGACTTGGTGAGCTCTGGGTGGTAATCTTGGCTCAGCCTATGACGGCGCTTTTCATCGTCATAGTAACGAGCCACGATTCGCAAGTTGATGGACTCGATGCCTTTGCGTAAATTGAAGTCAAGCTCGCTGAACTTGCGTAGTGCTGCCGGGCTTGTGAAAGCGAATCTGTTCTTTGACCTGATGGAAACGTTAGAAAAATCAAGGTTGCACCATGGGATCAAGCAACATACCACAGGATTCTTTTGCCATCCACGTGGTATGCCTTGCAGGTAGCCAGAAAACCTATGGCGATCTGTGGTCCACATTTGGCTTCGGCGGAGGTAAGAGTCTCGGTATTCAACTTGGACAGGGGGTCGATAATAGGACCATCTGCAACCAGCGCATAATGAAGAATCCTGAGAATGACCTCTACGGGGAGGTGAGGAAAGCGGTGTTGGCCGACAGCCGACAGGCGGGAACTTCGTCGGCGCCCCGAGGTAGAGTTTGAGGTGCTGGATCGAAATACGTGATGCCCGGCAACGGAGTCGGACCAAGGGATCCCATGCTCTCTGAGAAGTCGCTTCAGGTGCATGTTCTCATCTTCAAGCTGCCGATTCTTGGTGCGCAAGGGGGCGTTGAAAAGGATCTCGCTTTGCTCCTCCTGGTCTCGACCATCCCACGGAACCTGATTTTCATTAGACCGAGGGCCGTCTAGCAGCATGCCTTGGAGACTCACAATTGTTCCGGCCATGTCCAAGGCTACAATTTGCACGAATTCTGGTTCGTTGTTTGGTACAGGTGTGTACAGACCAATTCCTACATACACTGAGGACAGGCGCCGAGATCGTTGTCGCAGATGACGTAAGACGTGGGTTCTGATATGAGTTGGCAGACGCTTTGGAGAGTGAGTGGGATAAGGTGAGTGATGAGGTGCCAGTCGTCCTGGCCTCCCTGAATGAGATGGCCCCTGACTGAGATGGCCTGAGCGTGAGGATTGGTTGAGAAAGAGGGGATGGTCCCACGAGATGACAAGAGCTGCGAAGTGATGGCCAAGTCGGGTCGGCGAGATGCGGATGCCCAGGTGTCAGAGACGGATGTGTATCACCGCCCCGACGGGCCCGAGAGGCGACAGCGACTAAGGCTCCGGAACAGAACGCCGAGGGGGTGCAGGACCAGGCGTCGATGAATGGAAATGGTGAGGTTGATGAGATGAGAAGAGGTGAGGTCGGGACGAGGAGGCGCCGCAGGCGGACGGAGGTCAAAGTGCGTGTGCGCGAATGACTAAGTTGTCAAGTGGTGCAAGGAGCAGCAGGTGCAGGTGCAACTGCGGGTGCGTGTGCGGGTGGAAGTGGCTCCTGCGTTGTGCGGACGGGCGAGAGTGGAGGAAGGGCATTTGCGGAGGGGTAGGTGTCCCCGAAGACTCCAGCTCCAGAGAGCTCCTACCTCTTCATGCGGGCAGGCCCCCTTTGGAAGCTCTCCATCTGCTTCCGCCTGGAGCTCTAGAAGCCCGGTTGCCTGCAGTGTAAGGTAGGTATGATGCAAACTTAAGGCAACACGACAGGGCACGTGCTTTAACTTTTGAGAGTCTGCCCCGTCAGCTGGATTCGCGCTGCTTTGTCCTCTGTGTATTGACAGTATTCGGACAAGGAATTCGGTCTCATCGGGATCGGCCAGCGGGAACCTCGTTGGAATTGCTCACAATGGTCCCGGCTTTCTGGGCGGCCGGAGATCCCAGGATCGGCAGGTACCTGACGGGCCCGAGACCCGTACCCTGAATGCTGTTGCGCCAGTACGACGGGGGGGCCACTTGCGGGATGGCAAGAGGAGCGGGGGGCCCTGGGGCAAACCTGAGAAGGAGCACATCAAGCTCCCACCGTGAGCAGGGATCCTGCCGTCAACCACCCGCTACGCAGCAATACCACCTCCGTCTAAACTTTCCCCAGAAAACGACACGTTCAACCTAAAACAGACGCCACCTGCTTTGGAGATCTGCACAAGATGCACAGCACACCCCATCACACCACAAAAGCGAGGCGTCACAGTCCTGACATGGCTCGACGTCTTTACCCGCATTGTTTCAAGTTCCCAAAGTCTATGTGGAAACTTGCAACCTGATCTACTCAGGTGTCTCCAGGTAGATGACACGCGAAAAGGTATTTGTATGGCAGTGATCCCCGGCAAAATGTGAGTTTTCGAAACGCAAGTCCATCGTGGTCTTCCCGTCGTGGTCTTCAACTTCCTCAAGCGTCCCCTTTGCGGGCCCCAAGCTCAACCTGATGGCTACATTTCCCGTCCTGCAACCGTCTGCCGCAGCTACGGCCAAGCCCTCTTCTGGTCCGGCTCCCAAGCGCGCCGATGACTGTGGCCTGCTCATATACGATCGATACACCAATATCTTCGAGGCAGTGCCGCCCTCGCGCATCCCGGAGGACAGCGTCCGCATCGGACCGGATGAAGTCCTGTTCCTAGTCGAGGCACCACTGAACTCGGTGGAGCTCTTCGAGGCCCTCCTCAAGCCGGCCCGGCCCTTCGAGGTGCACACGGCACGCCTCATCCCGCGCAAGACGCGCGCCTACGAGCCGAGACGGCAACTAGTCGACGAGTACCTGACGGGCCAGGGGCGGCTGGCCGGCAAGGGCCCCGCCGCCGAGCGCGAGGTGTCGTTCATCGTCTTGCCGAGGGACGCCATCTGGCAGCTGCAGATGTTCAATCACTTCCTCTGGCCGGTGCAACTGCAATACATGTCGCTTCCGGTGCGAATGTCCGACCAGAAGACAGTGAGGAGCCCATACGCGCTGGTCTGCTACCAGGCACACCGGGTCTACCACAAGAAGCTCAAGGCGCTGCTGAGGGACCAGAAGCTGAGCGATTGCGGGTTTGAAAGGAGCTTGCTGCGGCCGGGCGCGGCGCCGCTGCCCGAGACTCTGCGTGAGTATATGGATGGGGAACCGGGAAAGGATGCGGCCACGCCGTATTACAGCGCCGAACCTGGGGCGGCCCAGGAGGAGCGGTCATCCAGGCTGCGCAAGGTCACGTCTACGATGTCACTGAGGAGGGCGGTGAGCAGAGTGTCGCTGCGGAGGAGCCAGTCTGTCGCGTCGATTACAACTCGCGGTTGATGTTGCTGCGGATCGAACCATTGTGGTGAGTGCCTTGACAGTAGGAAACGTTCTGGGTTGCGTGTATGGTATGGGTGAAACGAAAATGAAGTGATAATATCGCGAACATCCATCTGTACGTGTCAAGAATGTGACGGTAGCAATGCTGCCCCTTTTAGGCAGAGCGAAGTGTGTGTAACTTCGGTGTGGTCGAGTTTCGAGAAACACATCCCTTCCATCAATACAACCCGTGAGGGGATGTGCAGCATGCCTGATGCTTGAACACCCTTGTACTTTTGGTCCCATTGGCAACGCCATCCCATCTTTCAAGTCCCTTTAAACTTGCGCCGTTCCAGGGTAGCTCTTGATAAAATCTTTCTATTCACGGCAGCATACATGCATGTGCATGCTTTCTGTTTCCGACACACGACTTCTGATTCGCAGATTGTAACGCTCTGCATGCACCTCGCAAAAGTTGCGAAGACCTGCCAGGTTCTCGAGAGCTCTAGAAGGGTCGGAGTCGAACATCTTACAATTATGATACCTTGTCCCGTAGGGTTATCCTACAGTCGATTATCGCACTGCCGGAAGAACATGCTGGTCTATGACATTTGTATATGTCTGGGGGTTTTGCGAGCTATATATTCGTGATGGGTTCGCGCTCTTGAATAGGTTGTGGATTGGTCAATTAGGACTTGTTACTATGCGTCGTGCTGTTTGCCTCAATCGGCCTGCAAAATCTAATGGCATGCTATGCAACGTCGGCTATCGACGACAACGTTCCTGGTCCTAATGCACGCTTCTCCACTGCGTGATCTCAGCCTCTGTGACCTCCCTCAAATTGTTGACAGCAGCAGGCTTGCCCGTCACAGCACCCTGCGCAATGTCGGCCGCCCGGCTGATGAAGTTCTTCGCGACAACAGCGTACGTTGCGGTGACTGTCTTCACGCGAATTACACCGATGCGAGGGTCGTTCTCGCTTCCGTCATGCTTGCCATCTCCGAGATCTCCCAGCCACGTCTTCAGAATAGGACTGTAGTGCTTCTTGACCAGCTCCCGATCGGTCTGCACGGTTGCCGTTCCTGAAATGGAGGCCCACTCTCCAGAAGCGTTCAGGAAGGAAATATTCACATGGGAGTCGTCCTGAAGCTCGTCCGTCTTGTGGGACTCAGTGTTCGTGTGGAAGAGGAGGTCAATTCCGCCAGACTCCTTGGCCGCCACGGCCATGCATCGTGACACAAGCTTGCCGGAACTGGCATCCCGTGTAGTCATCATGCCGAACTTGCTGGCGTCGATGAAGTTGCTCAAGTCGGTTATCTTCTGCTCGACCGAGACACTGGTGTCGGCATTGGCTGCCTTGTAGGGGTCGGCGGGCTTGTCGCCGGTGTCTGTGTTGGAGAAAGACATCTTCCTAGACGACGAAGTCAGCATCCGGTTGACTTGAGTTTTGGCAGTGGACAATAGTGGTAAGTATCGAGGAATGGCCCACAGTTTTGGAGGGCCTGCCGTCTAGCATACGCATGTATGCTCTGGAACAAGGCAACGGCCGTATATCGTGAACGGAGGGGCAACATACTTTAGTGAGTATTCGAGGTGGTTTGGGATGGTGATCTGTGATGTTCAAGGTCAAGAGAACTTGGTGTTGTTGTTGTATTGTTGAGAGGAAGGTAAGGGATGAGAGCTGTCTGAGTGGCTAGGGAAGCACTTGTGAATCTATTTAAGTATGTCTTCTTCAGGATTGTACCTTCCCCAAACCCCCTCTCTCGCCTTGCAACAAACGACGGCGATATATCATCATCGAAGGGAACATCGCTCTTTCCCTCCTTCTTAATGATGTCATCTGTGCGTCGAGCCGCTCGATGACATGCGCTAGCTTGCCGTCACACCTTCGCACCCGACATTTAACACAGGCAGCTACTACCCATCCTCTTCCTGCAATTCTCCGATTGCGTACCTTGGTGGAATATGGTTTGAAATCGGGCGAGGTGGACGTCAGCCAGCTTCAATGCCGACTGACAAGCCCCACTTGAGGGGTTGGGATCGTCGCCCTCCGCCAGGACCATACACCCACCACCTGAGGCAGCACGTTTCTGACATATGGCATCTTCCGCTTGAGCTAGCTTGAGCTAAGCCTTAAGCTCGGAAGAATGGCCGTGGATAGGTGGATGCGCCCGGCTGCGAGCAATGTTGGTGAGCATGAATGGTGATCATTGCTGCTTGCCGTACTCGGCCTTCCAAATGCTGTCCCAAGTCTCCTTGTTGACGGCGAATTCGCGGACATAGTCGTGCTCCAGCTCGTGCGTCCTCCGTCCCAGGAGCACCAGGCTGTGCAGGGGAGCGCCAAGCACCTCGTCCTGATCACACAACTCCTTAAGCGTGCCCGCGACGAACTTCTCCTCCTTGCCGCCAACCCTTGCCGCGCCGATGGCAAGGCTGTCGGGCCCATACACGCCCTCCTGCCTGTCCTCCTCAACCTCGAGCATTTGCGAGGCACATTGGCCCACGGTCATGTACCGCGGCGGCTCGAAGATCTTCCTGCCCCTCATCAGGTTCTCCATGCTCTGCTCCTTGACCTTGATGTCCAGCAGCACGAGCGTGTGCAGGCCGATCTGCCTGTTCTCCTTGATTCGGTCGTAGAACGAGCTCGGCCGCCAGTTGTCCGTGAAGAACACCATGCTCACAGTCTGCCCGAAGTTGTAGAGCTGCAGGCCCGCGGCGCCGATTCCGCTCATGATGGAGGCGTTCGGGACGGTCCGCACGGGGATCTGCAGCTCGCGCGCGCGCAGGACGAGGTCGGTGTGCGTGGTCGCGCCGAAGGGGTCGCCGACGACGAGGAAGGCCACATCCTCGGTCTGGGCGTCTCGCAGGATCTCTTCGCTGTTGGACTCGACCATTTCGCGGTCGGCCAGTATCACTGTGCGGCCATAGTAGGCTTCCTACTGATGTGTCAGTGTTAGCTCTTCATGTAATGTGGACGTCAGGACCAGGAGAAGGAGACTCGGCCTTGACTCACCAGGGCAGGTTGGTCCACGAGCAGAATGCTGGTGTAGGCCTCCAGATAGACTCGTGATGCCTTCTTCACCACCTCCAGGCCTTTGACAGTGATATCTGTCTCATCGGACAGCCCAAGGCCTACGAGGTACAGCATTTTAACGAGTTATGACCGTACTGTTGCAGACGCTGTGCTTGGAAGAGGATGTCGAATTAACTTTGAATTGGCTGCATTGATCCCGAAATCTTAAAATTTCCCCAGATTTGATTGTCGGTGTTACTGGAACAGCCCACTATACCTCCCGTTGCTCCATTACGTTCCTCTGGCTCAGGTATTCCGAGGCTCGCACTAACATCGGCCGAGGAGCTTCCCGTATCTTATCTGATGCCTGCCCGCTCGGCCGAGCCTCTACATAGACATAACCATCCAACCCAGCACAACTTTCCTGACAACCCAGCATCCAACGGCCACCCTGTCGCTCGATCTTATTCCTCAACCTCGAACTGCAGCGACCGCCTCCTCACGATGTCGAAATCAAGCGGCGGCGCCTACGGCCAAGCGGCGGACGACACGTCCTTCCGCAAGAAGTACGATGTGGACGAGTACGCGGCCAAGGCCAAGGCGCGGGAGGCGGCGGAGCGCGAGGAGTCCAAGGCGCGGTACGAGGCGAAGCTGGCGGGCAAGAAGTACTACAAGCCGATGACGGGCGAGGAGACGCTGACGCAGGCGCGGAGCGCGGTGCTGGACCTGAGCAGCCACGTGGGCAAGACGCAGCTCGTGGCGGCCGGGTCGGGCGTGGGCAAGCGCGGGCGCGGCGCCGGGTTCTACTGCGAGGCGTGCGACCTGACCTTCAAGGACAACAAGCAGTGGGTGGAGCACATCAACTCGATGCAGCACATCCGGGCGATGGGCCAGACGGGCGAGGTGCGGGCCGCGTCGGCCGAGGACGTCCACCGGCGCATCGAGGAGGTCTGGGAGAGGAGGCTCGAGCTCGAGCGGGAGAAGGCGACGGGCCTGCAGGAGAGGATCAAGATACACGAAGAGGACGAGGCGCGCGAGAGGGAGGAGCGCCGCAAAAAGAGGAAGGAGGCGGAGGAGAAGAGCGGGCCGAGAAGGAAAAGGAGAAGAGCGTCAAGATGGAATACGGCGAGGACGTGAGGATTGAGGGCGAGCACGACGAGGAGGACATGATGGCCGCGATGGGGATCGCGGGCTTCGGGACGTCGAAGAAGTGAGAACGCGTGCCATATCAGCACTATGTCCGTGCCCGGATTCGGGGCTTCACTACGTCCCAAGAAAGGAGGTTCGCACCACAGCCGAGTACGCCAGTGGTGACCCGTCGCAGAACACTGCTTAACCCAAAGGCGTTCAATGCAGTACGGACCATGGTCACCCATATTGTGAGGGTCTGGCGCGGCGAAGAGCACCTAACCAGGAAGCCGAAGGCGACACACGAACCAGAGCGCCATCATATCAAGCGGCCGCCGCTTTTGGAGACTCATTCAGGACTGCCTTGAAGAGCGGACAGCATGAAATCGCCGCATGTGCTTGGCGCGTACCCCAGGGCTGCGGAAGTCGCGATATGAACAGTACCATATACGACATCAGAGCCACTCTGCAGAGCATTCACGTCGCGAGATAGTCGGGAGGCGCCCAAGACGATTCAGTAGACCACAACAAAAGGACAGGATCAAATCATAGGGTATCTCATCTATTGCAACACCCTCTAATGGGAATCGTGTAAAATAATGTACAAAATATCACATCATGTGTCTCCGCCACCGTAGGCTCAATATGCGTGCCAACAGTAACTACAATGCCTCCTCATGAAACCGAATACTATGCTGACCTGCAAAGTTGACGCCCATCTCAGCAAAAGATCGCCATGTCTCTGAAAGGATGCATCGCCTAGCGCGCCTTCAGGCTCTGCGAACCTCCTAGGGGTGTCAGCGGGCTCAGCGGGGTCTTCCCGACGCCGCACCAACAGCTGCCGTCGCCATCGCGCTCGACCTGCAACGTGACATCGATGTTCCTTGCCGCAAGGTACTTCCGCACACGGTCCCGGACATCCCCCATATCAGCGCCGCGGACGGCGACAACGTGCATGACGCCCATCATCTTGCCAGCTTGCGCATCTTCGCCTGAGAACCTGTCGTCGATCCAGAACTTGGGTACCGAGTAGCTTGCAACTCCGCGTAGCTCCGGAATCCCCGACATGGTCTCCCGGAGAGTGTACTCGATGTCGTATGGAATGGTCAGGAGAAGTCGCCGTGCGGACGACTTGACCAGTGGTATGGCAGACCCCATAATGAGTGCTGCGATCAGGAACGATGCTAGTGGATCCCAACCGGACCAGGGGACGAAATGGGTCATAACCGTCGACGCGATCACTGCTGCGCTGCCGAGGGTGTCCGCCAAAACATGCAAGTATATGCCCATCATGTTTTCGTTGTCGTGCGAATGAGAATGGTGGTGGTGGTGGTGATGATGATGCTCGTGACCGTGGGACTCTTGGTGCTCGTGATCACTGTGATCATGGTCGTGATCATGCGAATGATTGCTCTTCTCTGAGATTTTGTGTGAGTGCGAATGTGAATCTGTGTGTTCGTGGGAATGTGAATGCGAGTCCGAGGCTGCGTGACCATGGGAATGACCGCCGCATCCATGGTCGTGCCCATGGCCGTGATGGTGGTGGCCAAACGCTGCCATACCGACGAGGTTCACCGCCAGGCCGAGGCTGCTCACAATGAACAGCTCAGCTAGCCTTTTGGTTTCCCGGCCCTCGACGATCCGTTCCACGGCCTCTATCATGATCTCAACGCTGATAAGCACCAAAAACACGCCATTGGCAAAGCCACTGAGCGTCTCGATCTTGCCGAAGCCGTAGGGGAAGCGGGCACTCGGCGGCCATTTACTCGCTACAGAAGCGAACAGACCAACACCAAGCGCAACACAGTCGAAGAACATATGGATACTGTCGCTCAGCAAGCCGAGAGAGTCTGTGATATACCCATAGAAGGCTTGGATTGTCATGAAGAAGAAATTCAGGCTGCGAAGAGAGATTATTAGTATACTGCACCCCAATGCCATGTTCTTTCAAGACCGTACCTCATGAAGTAGAAGATCCTCCTTGAATCCTTCTCCGTCATAATCGCGTGTAATATGGGCCACTTCGAGGTGTATGGCAGTAGCATGTTGGTGAATTTCGAGCGCTCGGCAGAGTGGTCGTGGGGTGGCTCGGTGCCCTGGGCTTCTGGCGCCTCGTACTGCGCAGAAAACCCCGCGGTTATTGGGGTTATGAGGTGCTTTCCCGTAGACGTAGAGGTCGTCTTCCACCCGTTGCTCGGTACCAGCGGTGGAGGGACATTCTGCCGCGGCTGCATGGAATTCGCATGATGATTGTGCGTGTGCGGCTCGGAATGGGTATGCGAGTGCGAGTGGTTATGGCCGTGGTCGTGGTCGCCGTCATGGCTTGGAGATGGGATACCAAAGCTCGAGTCCATCTTGAAGGACCTGTTCAAGGAGCCGAAGGAGGGCGAGCGTGAACGCGAGTGACCATGCTTGTGGCCATGGTGCCGGTGGGAGGTTGGCATGGTGGTGCCCGGCAGCACATAGGTGGAAGCCATAGTCCTGGACCTGAGGCGAGGCGAGAACAGTCTAAGGCTTGGCGTCTAAGTCGTGCTGCCCCTGAACCGCACACAATGTGCTGAGAACGAGAGGCGGCTACAGCATGAGGCAGATGGCGATATATCCCGTGTCTGCCGCTCCCAGCTCGCAAGATAACGGCGGCCCCGCACGATGGGATGACCCACGATGTCCTCGGCCCGCTTGTGCTTTGTGACCCCTGGTATTGGATCTCGCGTCGTGTTGGGCCCGTGTCGAAAGTACCCGAGGCGGAGCTGCCCGTTTCCCCAGAGCCGTCCAAGGGAAGCCAGAGATGGTGGAGCGAGATGTTGTTGCGAGGAGGCGCGTCTTTTGCAATTGAGTCAGCTCGAAGCTAGAGTCGGGAGGGAGGGAGGAGGTCGCATTTGTTGTTATCGGAGAGGAGAGCGCGGAAATCTGGGGACGACCTTCCTCGAAAGGAGAGGGCAAATCGTGGGGGTGGGTGGCAGGGTGGCACAGCGCCGTCATCACTGCCCAAGGTTCCCCTGAGCTTAGCGCGCCAGCCAGCGGCCAAGCAGCCAAGCCAAGCCCAGCCAGTCTTTCAGCAAGCCTTTGTTCCCTTTCTGGCGCCAGCCGATCTCGTTCCTCTTGCCGCGACTGCATGCAGGAAGAACCCGGACTAATCTCGAAAAGGGGAGGGATTATCAGTGTTAGCAGCACGCTGCATACGGCAACAACAGGCTAACTCGATTGATCAAGCCCCAGCAGCTTGGGACCAGCTACCCTGGCCCGGCATGGGAATGCCAACTCCACCGCGTCCTCCATACCCGCGATAGAAAGGCAAAAGAACAGACGAGATGCATTGAAATAGAGTTGGGATACACCCGCGGTCTATAGCAAACCTAGGCTGTTTGGAGTTGTTTCCATACCATAATGACAGCTCAGGGTTCAGCAGGAGCAAGGGACCGTGTAATTAATGTATGGATGAATCTTGTGAGTCCGTCCGTGTACTGGAAAAGTTTGGATGGTTGTCTAATTCAGACTCACTTCCGTCTTTACACGTATCACTGATCTAGACCTCATGCCCTGTGCTCTGCATCAACCACTTTAGATGGCGCACCGATTATAGTGAGGCCCATTTCCTTCTTTCGCAGCGCAAGCCGAAATGGACATGCAGGTGATTCTCCTATCATTGGCCGGGGCCGTAGTTCTCACTCTCCTCGTCGCCTCGTTCCTGCTCTTCCCATCACGGTATCGCCCAGCCCCAGGCCCAGCCGCAAAGCGACATGTAGCAGCCCAGGTCCTGGTGCTGGGGGACATCGGCCGCAGCCCTCGCATGCAATACCACGCGCTCAGCATTGCCAAGCATGGAGGGACTGTCGAGCTGATAGGTTATCACGGTATGTTTGAGGGAGCTCTCACACTACGAATAGCCTCATGCTAACCCATCTCACAGAGTCAGCCCTGTTGCCGGCTCTCACAAAGCTGCCCAACGTCACCGTCTGCGCATTGGGCGCTCCACCAGCTGTCCTCAGATCCAAGTCCGCCCCCTTTATCATCACAGGCCCGCTCAAGGTGCTGTGGCAAGTTCTAAATCTGATTCACGTCCTGTTGTACAAGACGCAGCCGGCACAATGGCTGCTTGTCCAGGTATGCACGCTGCGTCCGGAGGGAGACCTGCAAGAATTTTGCCACAGAATCTGACACAATGTCCAGAACCCGCCCTCGATCCCAACCTTGGCCGTGGCGTGGCTGACATGCACTCTCCGCAACACACGCCTCGTCATAGACTGGCACAACTACGGCTGGACCATCCTCGAGGGCACCCGCGGGCCCTCCCACCCGTTCGTCCGCATCTCAAAGCTCTACGAGTGCTTCTTCGGCCGCCTCGCGCCCTCGGCCAACCTGACCGTCACCCACGCCATGCAGCGGCAGCTGCGGAGGGCGCCGTGGGGGATCCGCACCCCGATCGTGACGATGCACGACCGGCCCGCCGCCATCTTCCAGCCCGTTTCCTCCGTGAGCCAGCGGGAGTCGCACCTCTCGGCCGTCGACGAGGCGCGCGACTTCGCCGCGGCCATCACGGGCGGCCGGCAGAGACTGGTCGTGAGCAGCACGTCCTGGACGCCCGACGAGGACTTCGGCCTGCTCCTCGACGCCCTGGTGCGGTACGGCGCGTCTTCCGGTCCGCAGCCGCCCCTGCTCGTCATCATCACGGGCCGGGGCCCCCAGAAGGCGGCGTACGAGGCCGAGATCGCCAGGCTCGCCGCCGCGGGCAAGCTGCCGGGCATCACGGTGCGCACGGCCTTCCTCTCGTTCGAGAACTACGCGCGCCTCCTCGCCGCCGCGGACCTGGGCATCTGCCTGCACATGAGCAGCTCGGGCGTCGACCTGCCCATGAAGGTGGTTGACATGTTCGGCGCCGGCCTCCCCGTGCTGGCGTACTCGGGCTACGAGAGCTTCGGCGAGCTGGTCAGGGAGGGCGAGAACGGCTGTGGCTTCGAGACGTCGGCCGAGCTGGGAGATGCCATGGGCCGGCTCCTGGGCGCGGGGGGCGAGAAGGAGCTCGCCAGGCTGAGGGAGGGTGCCGTCAGGGAGGGCAGCTGCCGGTGGGACGAGGAGTGGGATGAGGTCGTCAAGCCTCTTTTGGGCTTTGCTGCGGAATGAGGCGCCCCGCTTATGTGTGCACGCCACAGTGATGCGTGATCCGGTGCATGGTCACGGTCGGCACAAAAGGATGATAATGGCCCATATGATATAGTTCGCTATACTCGCTTGAAATTCAATTTGATACAGAGGCCAAGTGACAGACCACCAAAAGTCTACAGATACGGTCCCAACGCCCGATTTCTGGGCCGCTGAGATCCTGCCGCCCACTGTACTGTTCTCAGTTTGGCCTCCATTATTGCCAGCCTGTTTGCCCCTTGAAAGGGATGACACCGCCGCCACCGGCCTGGTATGCAACGCACCGCTCACAATGACTGCTGTAGGGTATATAGTGCCACACTGACGTACTCCTTAACTTCTCCAACTGACCGATCCCCCCCCGATACTAGACCACCCGGAGAAAGGGGAAGAAGAAAGACAAAAGACAAGAAATCCTGAAAACGATCTTCAGTCCTCCCCGAGGCTCTCCCGGACGCACTTCCGCACCCTCTTCCGGAAGTCCTTGTTCGCGCCGGCCCTCTCCTCACGCAGCAGCTTGGCGGCCTCGGGGTTGGCGGGCGACTCGTCGTTGGGGCTCGCGAACAGGCTGATGACGCTGAGCAGGATGGTCTCGGGGGTCTGCACGGGGCTCCAGCGCTCCGACGCGGCCTCGTAGCCGTACTTGTCCTCCTCGGGCGGGTGCAGGATGCTGATGCACAGCAGGCCCGTGTCCGGGTAGACGTTTGGGTGGAAGGGGATGGGGTCCTGGAAGGTGAGGGCGGGCGGCATGAGGGGGTACTCGGGCGGGAACTTTAGGCGGGCGCGGAAATTTGCTCCTGGGACGAGGGAGGTGGGTATGTCAGCGGGCTGAGTTCCGTGTCTCTGTCTTGTTGAAGAATGGGCGGTAGGGGAGAGGGTGCGGGATCGACGGAGTGATAGGGGGCAAAGGGGGTAAAAGGGGACGGGGGCTGGCAGTACCTCCGTAGTATTTTGTCTCATCGTTTATCATGAGCATGACCTCCCACTCGTAGATGTTGTTATCGTGTACCAAGCCACATGATATCCCTGGGATGTCCTTGTCCGTCTGCATCTGTTTAAGTTGCCGCCGCAGAAGAGCGGCGGAACCTGGGGTCGAGGACGTGGACATGTCGCGTGTGTCTGAGTGTGGAGGGGACAAGGGCAGAGCGATCTGGAGATGTGCCTGCTGGTCACAGAGCGCAGTGCTGTAGGTCTTCTGGGGCTTGCTCTGGAGGGTAAAGATAGGTTGTGGTTCACCGTAGGTCGTAGGACGCACGTTGGTGTTGTCGTTGCTGAAGCAGTTTGGGGACGACCACAGTGCAGTGTGGAGGCGATTCCCCGGGTGGAAGTGGCGGCTGTGGATCTTGCATGACCATGCCCGGTGCCGCAAGGGGTCCGAGAACCTCGATGACCGATGACAGAGATGACAGGGACCGCCGAAGCAGCGACGACTGACTAGAATTGAAGTCACTGACTACTTTTTATAACGATTAATTACACCGGTATGCTCATGTTCAGTGATTGAGTCCACCTTTGCTGGGGGGGAGAGCGAGCGAAAAGAAACAGAGAGACAGGGTTGAAGCCAGGAGGCGCGACATGAGCTATCATTCAAGGCGGCTCTTAACCTGGAAGACCGAGTTGCATCCTGGCCAGAAATCGGTCTAGATATATCAATGGAGAGCGTGAGCCTGCCCTTATTAGCAGTGACCTGCTCGTTCCATTACTGTCAGCCCCAATTCCACTTTGGACTTTCATATACCTCGAGGCAGTTCCTAACAGCCTCGCCTATTCCAGACACTCTTGATCGTGAACAGACTTGGGCATGTTGTTTCTGGCATTGAAGGGTCTGTGCAACCTGCTCGATTGTTCCGACTTGTGTGTCTCATTTCTGCATTTCCGTGTCACGAACATGACGGAGTACAAAGAGCAAAGTTTTCACCTGTAACCCCAACCTGATGATCATGTCTTTCTGTCTCCTACCGAGGCGCCATCGGACCGGAACGCATGGACCAACGGACGCGTGCCCCGCCAAAGACTCGGAGTCGGAGCGGATCCAGTGGGTTACGAGACCGGAGTGCCGGGCATCAAGACGGGTCTTGGAGGAGCATCGATCATACAATTGCCCGTAATTGACGGCCATGGACTGGGCATGGCCAGGAGGCGGCAGGATCCGGGTGATTCTTGTCAAATCGGGGTAGCTGGGCCCTGTTAATTGTGCAGCAGAAACGTTTGCCCGCGGCTACGCTCTCACCTGATGCATGCAGCCATCCATGTGATGTAGACTGCCCCTCCCCCCTACAAGTTATATATGGGAGCAGCACTCCAGCCCATTCTGGATGCGCTGTCATTTAGGACCACCTCGTCTCCCCCTCCAGTTCTGTCTGGCCTCCGTATGCTGTCATGGCAGATCACAGCCGTCGCCCCGTTGGCTATTGGTCGCCAAGTTTGCCCACGTCTAGGCTGCTTGGCCTCCGCCTGTCCGCAACGGTCGACATTACCAGTAGCTATCAGAAATCAGAAATCACAAACCAGGGCACATGGCTGGGCTAGCAGCCTCTCTTTTTTCCCCCCATGTTACCGGACCAGGGGTCGGCCCATCCTTCCTCTGGCCCGCAGCTGCGGATGAAGTCATCTCGCCCTGTGACGAGTGTCACTGGTGATCGTACAGCAAGTGCCCAATCCAAAGTCCGGAGGAGCCAGCTGGCGTTCGACTCAGCGCGGGATGAGTGGGTACAGGTGCAAAAATCTGGGGGATCCCGCCTGACACTCCTGGTCCTGGACGATGGATCTGGACCCATTTCCCGACCCCATCTTCAGCTGGCAGAGAGATTTATGGAGACGTCCTGCCGACAATGGGGAGATGCGCTCGAGTTGCCGAGGCTTAGATCTGACCCTGAATTCCGACAACCGTCAACTCTCGAGAGTTGGGGAACACGACAAACGGAAGACGGGCTTCGAAGGCGAGGGGTCGAATCTTGTGCGATCCGACCAGTCCGAGTCATCGCCATCTACAACAGGACGCAGGAGACCAACACCATTTTCGGGCCATACAAAGTCGAGCGCTGAAGGGTGTGTGGCGTGGGGGTACTTTCGGTCGGTCCAGCATTAGGCTAAGCCGTTTGACTGCACACCACCAAAAGTTAGCCGAGGCTCGGCCGTGACGTCGCAAACCCAAGGTCCGCCCTTTATACCGCGGGAGTTCCCAACCCGGCCCTCAGACTCCGAACGGCAAAAAAAAAAAAAAAAAAAAAAAAGTGAAGAGGAACACGCAGCAACAAAAGCCAAGTGTATCAGTACAATTGACCTGGACGGCGCCCAAGACATCATCCCACTACAGAGCCCCTCGATTTCCTTTTACCACAAAGCAGCGCAGGTTCACAAGCTCGACGACTAGGCGCATTTCGGGCAACGGGCGGACGGACGGACGGGGCTTGACTGCAACAGAGGGAAGCCCGGACAGCGACAAGGACAAAGCGGTCCTGACACTCGACCGAGCTTGGCCTACAGCGGCCAACAACCCCATCCCGTCAAGCACGCATCCTCTTCCTCGACTGACTAGAACAACGCCTACCGTTTGCTGCTGCTGGCTGCAGAGCTGACCGTCACTACCTAACCATGGCCTCCAACGACAACCCCGCCGCCTCAATCAACCAGACCCTCCAGAACGCAGTCCCGGCCCAGCTCGGACACAAGGTACCACACATCCCGGAGTCCAAGGATGAGGCAAAGGCCGAAGCAAAGGCAGCCGCTTCCGCAGGGCTTGCCCAGCTGCGCTCCTTCGCCGCCGGTGGCTTCGGTGGCCTCTGCGCCGTCGTCGTCGGCCACCCCTTCGACCTTGTCAAGGTCCGCCTGCAGACCGCCGAGAAGGGCGTCTACTCCAGCGCCGTTGACGTCGTGCGCAAGAGTATCGCAAGGGATGGCCTGAGGAGAGGCCTCTACGCCGGCGTCAGCGCCCCACTCGTCGGCGTCACCCCCATGTGTACGTCTCTATCTGCCCCTCCTGCCCGGACACTCCCTTCTCCTGCCCCTTCTCCCGCCAGTACTGACCGAGACTCCGTGCGCAGTCGCCGTGTCCTTCTGGGGCTACGACCTGGGCAAGACCATCGTCCGCAACACATCCGGCACCTCCGCCGACGGCACCTTCTCCATCGCCCAGATCTCCGCCGCCGGCTTCTTCTCCGCCATCCCCATGACCGCCATCACCGCCCCCTTCGAGCGCGTCAAGGTCATCCTGCAGGTCCAGGACCAGCGCCTCGCCCCCGGCGAGAAGCCGCGCTACAACGGCGGGCTGGACGTCGTGCGCCAGCTGTACCGCGAGGGCGGCGTGCGCTCCGTCTTCCGCGGCAGCGCCGCCACCCTCGCGCGCGACGGCCCCGGGAGCGCCGCCTACTTCGCCGCCTACGAGTACATCAAGAGGCGCCTGACCCCCGTCGACCCGGCCACGGGCAAGCCCAGCGGCCAGCTCAGCCTCACCGCCGTCACCTGCGCCGGCGCCGCCGCGGGCGTCGCCATGTGGATCCCCGTCTTCCCCATCGACACCGTCAAGTCGCGCCTGCAGACCTCCGAGGGCAACGTCACCGTCGGCGGCATCATCCGCGAGCTGTACGCCAAGGGCGGCGTCAGGTCCTTCTTCCCCGGCTTCGGCCCGGCGCTGGCGAGAGCTGTGCCGGCCAACGCCGCCACCTTCCTCGGGGTGGAGCTGGCACATCAGGCTATGAACAAGGCGTTTGGGTAAATTTAGCAAGGCGTCTTTTAGTGGATGAGGTCGTTGGCCTGGAAAGGGATATGGATGGGCCGCCTCGGGTCTCCTCGGAGCGTTTGCTAAAATTTTGTGTTTTATGAGCATCTAGAGTCGCCAGGCCCATGCCTGAGTTTCCTGTCCTTGTTTACGTAGACAAACATCTAGAATACACAAAACCTTTTATCTGCATTGAATCCCAGCAGCTCAATGATGGTCAATTTACTGAACACTATGACCACAGCTGGAACAGGTGTCTCTCCTAGTCAAGATATTTACCTCCGCAACGCACGCAGACATCGCCCGTGATGTGCCGCCTCACAACCTCAGCCTCGTCCGCCTTGCCCGCCGGCAGCAGCACCTTCTCGACCAGGAACTCGAGGTTGAGGCACCGCGACCGGCACACCCCGCAGCAGCGCGATATCCCCGGCTCCCCGACCGCGAGCCCGGAGGCGCCGCACACAGCGACCCGGTGCCCGTTCTCGCACACGCAGTCCAGCTGGCCGCCGACCGCCCCGTCGCCGCCGTCCTGCCGCTGGTCCCCGGCCGCCCACGGGGACGGGCCCGAACCTGGTCCTCCCGTCGTCGCAGATGCTGCATGTCTGACTCTCCGCGAACGGCCGGAAGATATCCATGACGCGGTCTCGTCGCGCCTGCGCCAGCGCGTCCCTGGCCTCCTGCGCCGCGCTGCCCGGGCTGATCGTACCGTCCTCCGCCGCTGAGGGGGTGCGCGTAGTGCGTGATGCCCGGCACGCCCGGCCCGCCGCCGTACATCCACTCCCACAGCCTGGCCTCGGTGGTGAGGTTGTCCACGTTGGCCGCGCTGTCCTCCGCGCCTCCTGTCCCGCCGAGGCTGGGGTCTAGGAGGTCTTCCTGCCGCAAGGGCCTCTGTTCCTGCTGTTGCTGTAGTTGTTGATGTTGCCGCGACCGCGCCGTCCCGCGCTCGGTGTACCCGAACATGACGCGACTTCGGTGGCTATGCCAGCCGCCGCGCTCGGGCTTCTGTGTCAGCTGGGACGTGGCGAGCACCGCCGTCGAGCCGCCGCCCGGCGAGATGGCGAGTCCCCAGATGCGCATGCGGTGCGGGTGGACGTCCGGCCCTGCGTAGCCGTCTCCGGGAGCAGTTCCGTCATCCGAAGACTCTTCCGACCCTGCGCCGTCGTCGTCGTCATTGTCAAGCCCTGCGTCCGCGGCTGCTGCCCCGTCGTCGGGCTCGATTCCGTCCTCACCGTCTTCCCCGTCGTCGCCGAAGATGCCCACGCGCCCCGCCAGGCCTTGGGGCAGCATCGAGCTGATCTTCTCCTGGATCTCAGCTACCCATTGTGGCTCTCCGTCCTGGTCTCCAGGCTTGATCATGTTCGATTCCCACCAGCGAGAGTTTGTGGCTGTTGCAGAGAGTCGGACGGCAGTGTAAGAGGGTACTAATGAAGGGCTGACGGCCTGGAGGGCGGCGGGGTGGACAACTAGGCCTGTGATAGGGTTGGTAACCACATCGTGGTTCGGAAGGGAGGTATTGCACTGATCGGTGGAGTGTTCGGGCTTCGGCCTGTTGGGGTTGCTATGCGCGAGGTCGACTTCGAAGGGCTGAGCGACGAGCGGTGTGGCGATGAAGCCACGGCAAAGCTTCGTGTTGGAAACACACCACGCCATGTCCTCGAATTCCAAGAAGGCATCCGGACCTAGGTGAATGCAGCGGCCGTCCCAATCGTTGGGGTCAACGGTGACTTTCGGTACCTCGCTGGGCTTCCAGCTGGGGATGTTGAGGGTGACTCTTCGAAACCCGACGTAATTTCTCTCCATATAGGATATTACACAGGTCCATGTATCATTCGCTCGGGCCCATGGGCTCCATCGTATGCAATAGCTGGATCCTCCAGGGACGTAGTCTGGATCGTTGATCTGCGTCCAATGTTAGCCCAAACCTCGGACACAAGTGTTCTAGACTCACATCCTGCTGCCCATGGGGCGCCTCAACCTCAAACCTAAAGACCTCCTGTACATTCCATACCGCCTCATCCAGACCATCATCCTTGGTCTTTCTGTACTCAGTCCCCACAGACAGGACAACCACCTCCCCCAGGTCGTTCATGTAACCAAGCAAGGCTTTTCCAGGCCCAATCTCCTGGCTCCAGGAAAATGCCTTGATGAACTCTCCGTACCCATACTCCTCCTGTCCAGGCACGACAAAGTTCTCACCCACGGCCCACAGCACTACCCAGCTAGCCAAGTCCCTGGCCGCCCCCTTGCCTTTGCTAGCCATGCTCCTCAAGGGGCGCACCGTGCTGCCAAAGGGCAGCGCACAGCCCTCACCGTAGATAGCCAGGCTGCCGCACCCGGTAAGCACGCCCAGGACGGGCCGCCGGTTGCGGCCCAGCCCACTAGGCGACCACTCGACGGCGACTACGTGGTTCATGCTGGTGCCGGCGGAGCCGATCAGGCCGACGCCGGCGCCCGGGTGGTGGTTGATCTCGTGGAAGGGGATGATGGCGCCGCTCTCCATGTACTCGGCCTCCTGCTCGGCGTCCTTGGGCATGGCCTCCAGGATGTGCGTGACGTCGCGATCGAGGTGGTCGCGCACGTTGGTGTGCAGCAGCGGCATCTGCCGGCCCGCGGCCTCCCAGACGTGCGCGTTGAGCTCGGAGCTCAGGTACGGCCACGACACGGGGAAGTGCCGCATGCCGTCGAAGAACTGCCGCCTGGGGTCGGACGTGTCGAGCGGGTCGATGTTGGCGCGCGTCGCCGCCTGGTGCGTGTCGTCCCCGCCGCTGCCGCCGCCGGGCTTTTCGGCGCCGTTGGTCTGGCTGGCCTGGGCCGCTTCGATGTCGTCGTCCTCCGAATCCTCCTCCAGCCGGTCCTCGTCGTCATCCTCCCCTTCACCGTACTGCTTGGGGAGGCGCGACGAGAGGAAGCCGTCCTGCACCTGCATGTCGGGCGCGTCATCATCGGCCATTGACTCGTCTTCGTCTTCGTCTCCGTCTTCGTCATTTGGGTCCAGGAGGGGAAACTCTGGCAGAAACACGATCAGGGAGTCATCGGCTGCGACTGCTAGCTCTGCGTCGCAAGACCATGCGATTGCTCTGTGATTGAGCGGTTTTGAATTAAGATGGAGGCTGCGGAGCGGAAGTATCTGCAAATCGGCGTGAGAATCGGCGAGCATTGTCAAAGGTATTGGGAGCGAGACCTACCTTTGAGTCCTTCATTTTGGGCAATGAGCAGAACTCATCTGCGCACTGGGGCACTCGGTTTCGCTCCAACGTGTCAAGTTACCCCAAAATCAATGAATAAAAGTTGTCTACAGTTGGTGTTGTGGTTGGGCATGGTACAATCAATTGGTGTCCGGTGGATTGAAAGGGTGAAGTTTTTGTGCGGTTACGCTCCCCAGTCGACACGATTTCGAGTCTCACTGAGTGAGCTCCAACAATCAACCATTCCGCATCTACCCCCAATTTCATTCTATTCGTTTGGCGTATTGTTTGCCCCAATTGAACATATTTCTCTACCAATCTTTCACTTCTTGAAATCTGTTTTCACTAAATCTTGTTTTCTTCCATCTGGGCTTGAGAGTGCAACACGTCTCACTATGCCTTGGCCATCCCCAGCGCGACGGACGTCAAATCACCAAATTGTGTGAGACCCAAGCTTGACGAAGATATTAAGAAATGGAATTCAATCGCTCATTAACACATCATCTAACACGCTATTTGGCCACCTTTTCCAAAAATGAACCCAGGCCCCATAATGAGACACAACCTCCCACGACAACAGCCCCAAGAAGCTTCTTAGCCCACCAATTCTCATCCGTCAACGGCTTAGCGGACTTCACCCTGTTGTTTGTCATCTCGCGTCTCTTGTCTTCATGTGACACATTTTTCTGTGACGCCTCGCCCTCATCCTCACCCACTCGCTTCCTCAGTTCCGCTATGTGCTTACTCAGTGCCAACAGGTCTTCCTCGAGAGTATTATTCTTCGTCCCGTCTACTTCCACGTTCTGGACGTTCCCAAAGAAGTCCGTCACCAGTCTCGTCCTGGCTGCCGCTTCCCCACCTGGGAACAAGTCGTACCGCACGCCGGCGTGTGAGTGAATCTTCTCATATGTGTAGCTATCGAATAGGTCGCCCAGTGTCTTCTTACTGCTGAGGTCGCCTACCTCGCCCTCGAGGAATTCAAGGTTGTAGTATGTGTATCTGTCGATGACGGCCACGCCGACGTCATTGTCGGCATGGTGGGAGTACGAAGACTGGTCCAGCTCCGAGGAGCCGGTGGCGATGATATTCGGGGAGTAGAGTTTTGTGTACATCGTGTTTGCTTGGCAGGTATCGATCATGAAAAGAATCTCGTGGTACCTGCGACACGAGCGTATGTTAGTCTTCTGTTGAGTCGTTGTGGTGGCTGCGGCATCACAGGTTCGTACCTCTTCTTCTCCCACATCTGCTCGAAGGCGTCGGCCAAATCGAAAGCACCAATCTCTTCCGCATCCTGGAACTTAAGGAACTCGTTCCCACCATGGCCCGTCATGTACACCAGGATGTTGCTCCGATCATCCGTCAAGAGACGCTTGCTCCTGGGTGTCTCCTCGCCGACGCGATCCGTTAATAAGCGGATGAAGTTCTCAACGGTCACCTCGTATCCTCTATAGTCGACCTCGATGTTGTCGCCGTACAGGTCGACTGCTCGGTCGGCGTTGGAGTAGACGGTGCCAGGGAATGCGTTGCGCGGGTTGCAGGCCATGTCGTCGGGCAACATGAGGATGATCTGGGAATCTGGTATTCCCAGGCGCTTGACGGTGCGGTATATGGAGAGGACGTTGGCTAGGTGGCGGTAGTTGAACCAGAAGCGCGATGTGCAAACGAGGACGGCCCAGTTGCTGGTATGCTCTGCGGAAACGAGGGCAGAGCTGAGGAGGGCGGCGGCCAGCAGCGCCGGTAGCTGGAGGAAGTTGGAGGGCTTCATGGTGGCGGTATAGACAGCACCTCAGCTCGATGTCAGCGGCAGAAGCAGACTGTTTTCGAGGCAGAGGTGCGAAGAGAACGTCGACTTGGGTCGAGCAGAGCACGACTGGAGATGAGATGGAACGCAGCGGATTTGTCAGGTCGATTGGTCGGTACCCCGATCGACGCCCTTGCAGGAGCAGTGGGCGAGCTAGCGTCGGTACTTAGGTACATGGACCCTGACAGCTTGACAGTCAGGGGTGGGGTGGGATTCTAAGTAAGCTACCTAGGTACCTATGCAGTGGTCACTCAGATCAAAACAGTAGATACAAGCAGCCGAACTGCTCGTGTCACGACAAGTAGATATTCGATACCTAGATTGAAGTGTATAGCCATCCTGTCAACGCCTCCTCAATTCCACCCTCACAGGAAAGCCATCTGCGGGATGCGCCGCCCCTTTCTCCGCTTGATAAACGCGATTCCCATCCACAGTGTTTACAAGCTTGCCCCCCGAGCCTTTCTTCGGGTGCAGAGCATCCCACTCCTCGTACGCCGGCATCACGTTGATCTCGCGCGCCGTGAGGACCAGCGCGATCTTCAGCTCCAGCAGCGCCAGCGACTGCCCTATGCAGCTTCTCGGACCGTGTTCGAATGGCCGCCACGCAGCGCCGCCCGACGTGCCCCCGGGGTAGAGCGGGTCATCGGGCCCCACGAGCCACCGCTCCGGGAGGAAGGACTCGGGCTCGGCCCAGTAGCGCGCGTCGTGGTGGATTGCTAGGCTCAACGTCCAGACGCTGCAATTTTCCGTCGGGAAGCGGCGTCCAGTCTCGTCCACGAGGAAGGCCCCCGGGCGACCGACTCGCATTGATCCGGAGGGTGGGAAGAGGCGAATGGTCTCTTTGATGAGGGCTGTGGTGTAGGGGAGCTGGTTGAGCTTGTATGGGTCTGCGTGGATCTGGGCCTGGGTGCCAGCAGGCTCAGCCCCGAACACAGCATCATGTTCGGCTATGAGGCGGTCGAGGCTCGCGGGGTGCTTTGAGAGTAAGTAGTACGAGTAGGTCAGCGCACTGCTGGACGTGTCGTGACCTGCGAACAGGAAGGCGCGCAGTTGCGAAGTCATGGCTGACTTGACAGCCTCCTTGACATGGTTTCCGTCCTCGCTGCCCGCCTCAAGAAGGAGGTCATCTATCAGGAGGGAGACGATGGACTTGGACTGCCTATTGGTGTCTTTCAAATCCTGGTCATCGGATTTCTCTTTGGTCCCCCCTCTGAGGCGCTCCGCGAAGCGCTTGTCGATCTCATGGCCAATGTATTGATTCATGGCCCGGCTGTTGAACCAGTGCACGATCGGACGGATGGTCAGATACTTGGTCACAGGATTCAGCTGGCCACGCCACGAGGTCCATTCGATCGACGACCGCAAGGCCACTGCTAGCGGGTTGTTGCGTTGCTGGTAGTCCAGACGAGTGTCCAGCACGACACGTCCGATCACATCGAACGTCATCCGCACTGTCATCTCTTCCATTTGGAACACCTCACTTCGTCCACCAGGCGCTTCATGACACTTCCTGATCAAGAGATCACGAAAGGTGGCCACCTCGTCGGCAATGGTCGGAGCGAGGCTGACGAGGTACCCTGCGCTGAAGCCGGTGCTAAACAGACGACGCCATCGCTTCCAAGTCGCTCCGTCCATGGTCATTAGGCTGGGTCCGCCAGTGATTGTCTCAATGGGCTTCACGAGATTATCGCCCTTGCCCAGGCCGAGACCTTCGACCTGGGTCGCCATATGGGCATCAGCCACGATGAGAAGCGTCTGGCTGAAGGGCCATAGATGCAGGTAGTAAACACCACCGGGGAAAAGCTCCCGTGCAATTTTCCACACGACATTGTGCATAATGGTGTCAGCTGGGAGCGCCGCCGCAACTCTTTTCAGAAGGAGCAGATGGCCGAAGACGGGATGAGCGTCTGGCATGGGCTGAGTGCAAAGCAGCCAGTTAACAAAGTCCTGCATATGCTTCGAGCCGGTTCGCATTGAGAAGAACTCACCAGACCCGCCCTTTGCAGCATCCGTAGTTGCCTTCGCGAGGCGAGAAGTCGAGCCGTGAAGTAAGCCAGTGCCGCGGCCACGGCCGCGGCTATAGTCGTCCAGATTCCCATCGCCGTGACAAATTTGGCGTTCTCTCTTCTCACAGTAACCTCGGGTTGATGTAGGTTGTTAGAATTGGAAGGCAGGAGCGGTTTCTGAATGAGGAACCAACCGCCAATATTGTGCTTACCACTCACAGCCAACCACAAGTCAGGCGTATAGACTAAACGGTAGATGGAGTAGAGTTAGCAGCTGAATATGGACCCCGCTTTTCCTTCCTGCAGGATCGCAAGAGAAGGAAGCAAAGCAACCACCAATACTCCTGGGTCCCTCGAAAGTTGCATTGATGTCAACCACACCGCCAGTGAATCATGTCTCTTCTGGGGCGATTTTGTCCATCTCGTCCAATCCTGGCACCATTCTTCGTCTACAATTGAGCAACAGGTATCGACATCTGGTCTTGAAAAGAAATGCGTTTCATTGGCCACGGCCTCGCGGAATTAACAGTTTCCTTTGCTAGGCGAACAACAGTGAAGGAAAACAAAACTTAGCTACTACCGCTGCAGTTCTGAAGCCTGGCATTTACTCAGTTAGGTATGGTAGCCTTGCAGTCATACCAAACCATTGGTGGTGAAGTGTTAGGTTGGGATACCACCCATTTCAAAGTCACCAGCCGCACAACGTTCGGGGCGCCGGAGTACTACTAATACAGCTTGCGTAATGCCACATGGGACAGTTCTCGAAGTTGCCATCAACTCAGTCAACTAATGAGACTAGATTGATATCTAATATGATACGTAAAGTCGTCAGTGTTTGTTTAGGGTAATAACTGAGTTCCTTGCGCCCGGAAACAGATCAAAGTGATTCACCGTAGCTACCCTCCTTAGATCCGGGGCACCACCTGGAACATTAATCACTTTGCCACAGAGCCAGTCCTGGGAAATGGCATCGTCTTTTGCATCAAAGCATACGGTCGTGTGGCCACTAGAAGTGTACAGTGAAGATAAGAAGCACAATGGATGTCCCCAAGTCATTTCACCACAAAGATATATCAAAGTGGAAGGACTGAGGTCTTAAAAAGAGTAACAAAATGTCAGTGGTATCAAGAAGACTGTTTCCGTTCCAGAATTGGAGATACGGACATAAAAACTTGCAAAGTGATATCGTGTCTCGTTCTCTAAACTGTATCGTGCATGATTCTTCCGAGAAAGACATGCATACAACCATCTCATTCTGAGGAGGAAAGGAATGAAGAAGAAAAAAGCGCGCAGGATGGAATCAAGGTACTAGAGTCCATGTCAAGACTTTGCCCTTGCGAGATAGTGCGATGCGATGGAGTGCAGGGATTCCTTTAGAAGTATAAACCTCCCACGGAACAATATTTCACATGATGATCTACAAAGTAGGTCTAATCTAGAATCTCATGCAATCAAAAACAGAGCGAATTTCTTCGGGTGAGTGGGACTTCCTCGTTCCAATCCGAATATCTAGATGCTGGCATGGAGCTTGGGGTGCTCCCAAGCCACATGTTAATGAGTTTGACTGGTTGAACTGAAATGTACTTTCAGGCAGATGATGGCCACGGCCCCAGGTGTTTCGCAAAAATGATGCCTGCCCGGTAACAATATATTACAAGCATTGCCAGCTTGTCATCAGTGATGGCACTCAATGCCGGGAGTGACCGTTCGGAAACCGGATGATTAAGACATCACTCGGTCGGTCCCAAGTTCAGCGAACATGGTCTGTAGAATGTCCGAGCGAAGGGAGCTGGGATGATTTGGAGCCAGCTGCCAGGTCCTGATGGGTGGAGATCCCGTCGGTACGGTGTGAGTTCGGCAAGAAGGTGCCAGAGGACGGCGCCGTTTGTTTCTGGGGTGAGCTTAAAAGGCCATGGCGCTCAGCCGCTTTGGGCGGGTCATTGTGAAATGCGGACGTGGGATTTGTCGATCGCCAGGGGTTACGAATTGCCCAGCCTGGCAACGTCAAACGCCAAGATGGCAAGGAAGCCTCGTGCTGCGGCTCAAGCTTGGGGTTCGGCTATAGGCACCCTTGGAGTCTCGAAGCGATCAAGAAACAGGAGAAGGGGTGGCCAGGGCGGTAGGGATGCACGCTCTTGGGACTTGTGCCGACGTCAGAGCAGAAATTCTCTCATCGAAACATCGAGTCTCGACATCGTCAGAATCCTTCTCGGTTTTGTTTCCGGTGATTCCATCGCTGGTCGCGGTGCTTGAACTGGCCGCTTCTATCCATGGTTGTGATCTGAAACATTCCGGCTGGCTGCAGTTCGAGGGAGCCTTGAACCCCGCTACTTAAACCTTCCTGCAGACACAGCTTCGCCACTCACGGTACCCACGATTCGCGGCCCGCCAGTGGCAGCTTTCCCGACGACTTCATCTTGCGAAAGACTCTCACCTCATCGATTGGCAATCGCAATCAGAGAGCATTGCTCTTGGAGTGCTCGCAGTTCGAAACAGCGGCTGTCGTGCATCTGTCCCGTCGGGCCAACCGGTTGAACCAGTGCGGCGCCAGGTGACCTGCAGGTTGGCGCGCTGTGTGGAGGCCCCTTACCGCTGCGGATGTTACAGTGAGGCTCTCCAGCCGTGAGCATTGCCAATCATCAAGTCACACATTGACTGGCTGTGCTGGTCTTCGTCCACTGCAAACAAGCAGACACCGCCAAAGACGCCAAGCTCGGAAAAGGATTGGGCGCACCTGCTGGAGACGCCGCAGCACAAGGCAGTCCTTCGTCGGCTGTGCGGCCAGGGTCGAACAGGTTATAGCAGCGGCATCCAGGAGCGCATTCTTCGACCCATCTCTGGAACCTCTCGAACCTCTGCAAGACTGCCACAGGAAGCAGTAAGATTTTCTGGTCTAGGCCGAAGTGCCTCTTCACATCCCATGTCGTCTTGAGCAGTTTCAACCCCATTAAGGGTGTATCTTCAAAGCCTCTCTCTCTCTCTCTCTCTCTCTCCGATCCCTACAAGTATCCGCCATGGCTCTTTCTCCAATCAGTGCCGACGAAAGGCTATGGCGCTTGCGACGACTGGCTCAGGAGTACGACATCGACGACAGTCCAGAGCCGACACCCCTGTATAAACCATCAGCTACCCCTTCGCCACTCACGCCAAACTTCAAGAACCCCGAGGATGAGCACCGAGCAGATGACCTGCTAAGGCGGAGGAGACAGGTCAACTCCCAGGCCAACGGCGATGGCAATGGTGGCGTGGCAGGTGTGAAGAAGAGGTCGTTCACGTTAACCCGAAAAGACAGCTTCTCGTCCAAGTTCGCCTCCAAGGAAATTTTCGATGCATTGGATGCTCATGTCGCAAATGCCGGTGCGCCGGGGGTGGCGGAAGCACTGATCCACAAGCTACGCATGGCTGGCGGTGACCTCAACCGCGCAAACACAAAATCCAAGACGCCTTTCAATCTCAGGAGGAGGAGCCTGGACGACCTGGGGCAGGACCAGAGCCGGATCCTGCAGAAGGCCGTCGAGAACGGGCAAGAAGATATGGTCAACGTCCTTGTTCCCCACGCCGAATCAGCAACTCTAGACGCAGCATTGCCTCTGGCTATGCGTAACGGAAACATTCGTATCGTTGAGGCTCTTCTGAGGTACGGCGCTAGCGCGTCACAGACTCCGGAAGGACAGTTCCAGTTTCGGCAAATGTGCATTAATGGTGGACAGGCCGAGCTGGTTGGGTTGATCCTACAGTCTGATGGCAGGCCTCCTCCCGACTGGATCTCGGGGGCCATGATCGACGCAGCAAGGAAAGGGTGCGTGGGTACTGTTGCCCAATTGAGTCGATCCGTCGCAGATGGCAGTTTCGATGATGGCGCAGCTCTCAAGGAGGCCATCTCACAGTGCCGGGTCGACATTGCTTTGGCAATCCTCATTGGCACTAAGCCTCCGAATAAGGATTGCCTCAACGATGCTTTCCGCTTGGTCTCCACACATCCGGCAATGAATCCACCAGAGAAGATCACCCTGACCGACATATTACTTCTGGCTGGCGCCGAGGGCGCCGTGGTCTCGGCAGCGTTAGTTAAGGCCTGCAAAACCGAATTCTACGACATGATCGACCTCCTTATCAGCAATGGTGCCTCGATCGAGTATGAGAACGCTGTGGTCGTTAAGAACGCGATCGAAAGTGGCAACATCAGCCTGGTGCAGCTGCTGTTGAACGAGAGAGCAGTACTGAGCCCCGTTCTCGCCGGCGAGCTTATCGGGAGCATCGGCAAGCGCATTCACCCCGAAGACCGACGCATTCTGTACAGCACGCTGCTTCGGAAAGGCGCAAAAGGCCCTCCCCTTGACGAAGCCCTGATAAAGGCGGTGGAAGGCGGAGACAACGAATGTGTTAAGCTTCTTCTAACGCCACACTTTCCTGGTTCGGGAAGATTGCAGCCGAAAGCGAGCCACGACCTCAAGACAGGCCCGCGAAGTATGGTATTCGAGCGGCATGCCATGGCAGATGTGAATTACAAGGGCGGCTTGGCACTCGCAGAGGCTGTCTCCTCTGGTAATCTTACTATGGTTGAGTACATTCTCGCAGCGAAGCCCATTATCGAGACTCTTGTCGCGGTGTTCCCAAGTATCAATAACCTCAATCAAATGGAACGATATCACATGACGGAGTCGTTTCTCAATGCCGGCGTCCACGGGCCTTGCGTACATGCCGCCTTACAGCAAGCCATCGACGAGGCGCCACCTAGGAGAGATGAGCGTCTTATCAAAATCTTGCTTCAACATGACGTCGACGCGAATGTCAACGATGGCGCACCGTTAATATCGGCCATTGAACACCTCGATGCCGATCTGCTGGAGGCGTTGCTCCGGAAACGACCCACAACGAAGAACGCGGTAGCAGCACTGAAGAAAGCCATGGATGTAGTGGACAAGGGCAAAAGGGCGCGAATGGTAAGCGCACTTCTTCGGGCCGGCGCGAATGAATCGACGAAGACGGTGGGCGAGACTTTGACGAAGGTACTACACGAGCAGCCTGCGGACACTCGTCTGCTGGCTGTGGTTCTGCAACACGGGAACGCCGATGTCAATATGGACACAGGCGATCCAGTGGTGATGGGTAGGATTATGCGACCTTAATTTTCTCTCGCTTTCTCGCTGACTAGTTGTGTAGCTGTTCGAGATGAGAACCCTCAGGTGCTTGAGCTTGTTCTACAGACGGGCAGGGCCACACCCGAGACTCTTGATCTTGCTATACAAGCGATGGCCAACGTACCCTCAAGCCAAGATAAAGCTACCAAATTGGAATCGATCGTGAAGCGGACGAAGCAGAAGGAATCTTTAAACAGCCTCCTCGCCAATGAAGTGCAATCTATTCTTCGATGTCCCCCTCAGAAACGCACGTTGGTCGTTTTGAGGGCTCTTCTTGCCTTGGGAGTCGATGTCAACACAAATAAAGGCACAGCACTCTGTTTTGCCGTGGCTGGCGCAGATTCGAAAATCACCGATGTTCTCTTTGCGGCCAGGCCAAGCACGAAGACACTGGCAGCAGCGGTGCCTTGGGCCTTCAAAATCGCTGACCCTACCGAACGACTAACCTTCATTCAAAAGCTTCTGCATGCGGGCGCACCGGCGGACGAGGTCAACAGGGCGTTGGTGCACGCGATCGGAACACACCCCGACGATACCGCCTTGATCAATACACTTCTTGCCAGAGCGGACACCAGCGACGGAGAGGCACTGATGGTAGCAGTACGAAAGGCAAACGTCCTCATGGTGGAGATGATCATAACCAGGGCAAAAAAACACCCGGCAGACAGACTGAACCACGCCTTCAGCGAGGCCGCCAGAATCGAGAATAAGGAAGTTCGAAGATCGATCTGCGAGCTTCTCCTGAGGGCGGGCGCGACAGGCCCCGCCGTTTCCGATGCTCTCCTTGCTGCCGCTGGCACCGGAGATCTTACCCTCGGGAAAATGCTCCTGGACTACGGTGGTAGTGTGGACCATCAGGAGGGTCAAGCTGTGGTTGAGGCGTGTCGTGCTGGCTCGCCAGATGTTTTGAAGATGCTTCTGTCAAGCAAGACCGCTATCAGGAAGGAAACTCTCGAGCGTGGTTTCCAAGCCGCCACGGAAGTGGGTGATCTCAACCATCGTGCGGCCGTGTTACAAATGCTCCTGGACAAGGGCGTCAGCGGTGAAATTCTCGATGCACAGCTGGTCTCCGCAGCCCGCTTCGGCGATGATGCCCTGGAGCTGGTTCGCCTTCTTCTTCGCTATGGTGCGCAAACCGACTACAATGGCGGCGAGGCGGTCTACAACGCTACGAGATGTGCATTTCTGCCTATTCTACAATTAATGCTTGGAATCGTACCGGTTGGTGGAAAGCAAGTCAAGCCCTCAAGTCAGACGATGATCCGCGCCCTCAAAGCAAGCTCAAAATTAAGTGGCGAACCGAGATATCAGGTCATGAAATGGCTCTTTGCCGCGGGTCTACCGGCCTGCGAGGAGGTTCACATTTCACTCGACAAAGCCGTGAACGAGGAGGAGCCAAATATTGATCTGGTCAAGCTGCTTCTGCAGAACGGAGCATCGCCGCTCGCGAACGGCTGCAAGGCTCTAGTCGATGCCGCTCAGAAGCTGAATTTCGCGGTACTAGATCTATTCTTGGAACGCGAAATCTCACAGGACGACATAAGCTGGGCTTTCCTACAGACCTTCTCGGCAGCTGACGCGGACAAATGGGTCATGGAACCCGGCTTCCAAGTGGCGCAACGCCTGCTGAAGAAGGGGGCCCAAGGTGATGGCCCTGCGAGTGCTCTCATAGTCGCAATCGACTACATGGGCACAGAAAAGGATGAAATCGCGCGGGCGTTTGTGGACCTTCTCATCGAATACAATGCGGATGTCAATCAGGACCAGGGCGCTGCACTGATCAAGGCCGCGAAGAGTGCGAATGTTCACCTGATGCGGCAGGTGTTGCAGCAAAAACCAAACTCGGATTCAGTGTCCATGGCTTTTCCTTATGTGTTCGACCACGAGGCGCCCGAGGACCAAGCGTTGGAGCTCATTTCATTATTTACGGATTACTCTGATGGCGAAAAGCGGCTGGATGCGATGTTCAACCACCCGGAGGCCGAATCTGTGGTGTTCAAGGCCATCTCACGGTATCCGCGCTCCACCACAATTGTCGAGACTCTACTTGATGCTGGGTATTACCATGACCAGATGACCAGTGCGCGGATTTTGGAAGAAGTCGAGGAAGATGAGCCTGTGAATCTGTTGCTGTGGTGTCTCCTCCAGCCTCAGAAGAAGGTCAGCAGCAGCATCGTCAACATGCTCATCGACAGGGGGGCGCGTGTCAACTTCGAAGCGCGAGTATCGAAGACGACTCCCTTGATGCTGGCTATCAAAGAACGGCGACATGATATCGTTAAGAAACTCGTCTTTGCTGGTGCCGAGGTCGACGTGGCTGATGTCACAGGCAACACGCCACTAACACTGGCTACAGAAATCGGCGGAGACCTGGGAACAATGATGATGCAGAACATCCTTGCTGCCGAACCATCGCAGAACGATGGCTCCCTTCACAACGCCGCAAGGGAGCTCAATGTTGCGGCCATGCAGGTTCTGGTGGACCACGGCCATGAGATCGACTTCCCGAGTCCAATACACGGTGGCCGGACTGCTTTGGGTGAACTGTGCCTCCATGCAGCGGACGGCGGGCCCCTGACCGCAGCCCAGGAGAAAGCCATGGAGAAAGCCATGGCGTACCTGCTCAAGCAGGACACCGATCTCAGTCTCTTGTCAGATGGCAAATCAGTCCTGTTCCTAGCCATGGAATCACCTGAGCCCGTCACTACCACGAGGGCCCTGCTGAAAGTCGGCATGTGGAAACATATCAATCGGCAGTTCAACCACTACACAGACAACACACGCACCTACTCGCCTACGCAATACGTCAAACGGGTGCTACCACAGACCGACACCTCCGAGCAGCTACTCAGTCTCCTCAAAGCCAACAGGGGCCAGGACATTTACTACGCCAACGAGGGACCGCAACCTGAGGGCGCTATTGGTTTGCCGGATGACATAGTCCGCATCGAACGCGAACGGAAGGCAAGGCTCGAGCGGATTCAGCTCGAGGCCGAAGACCACTCGCGGACCCTCTCGCGCACCAAGGAGGTCGCCGACATCCAGAACCAGATCTTCGCCCAGCGGGCGCAGCTGGAGGACACGCGGTCGCGGCAGCAGCGCAGCACGGAGATCGAGGGGATCCGCGAGAAGGCGCTGCTGGAGGAGGAGCTATTCAACGAGGCGGTGCGGCGGCAGCGGGCGGAGAGGGCTGCGGCGATGGAGCACCAGTCGTCCATCACGCAGGCGGCGGTCGAGCGGCAGCGGCTGGTGGCGGACACGGAGTTCGAGGCCGAGGGCCGCAGGCAGCTGCAGCTGCTCGAGTACGAGAAGCAGGCGGCCGACACCAGGGAGGAGCACGCGCGGCAGATGACGGCCAACCGGGTGGACGAGCGGGCGGCCATCGACCGCATGGACCGGGAGCACGACTCGAGGATCAAGAACCGCATCGCGCAGCAGAAGAAGCTCGTCGACAGCCAGAACCAGCTCGCGAACCAGCTGGGCACCGTGGGCATGCCGCAGAGGAGGCAGATTGGCTACATCTCGGGGGAGCTGGACTGAAGAGGTGTGGGTCCCGGGGGGCGACGCATTTTCGGCTGCTGAGGCATAATTATTGGAGCAAATGGGCGGAGGTGTTCAGGACCACGGCTCGAATATCTCTGACGAATTTCTTTCGGTCTCTGTAGATTTGTGTACAGTGTTAGAATCTGAGGATACAGGAAGCGATGTTTTTGCCCCGTCTCTTTTCCATAGTCTGGGTCGGTTGACGAATCTCATGATATGATGCCATCGTCTTCCCGAAATCATGGTACTAGTGGTGATCCACACCGAGGTTGGCCCGGGCGTTGTGCCTGGTTCAGCCTTAGCCTGTGCCTGAAGAGGCCGCACTATGCTGGAATGTGTAGCGAGATTTGTAACAACTTGTCTTGTAGGGAGGTGACAGGAGTGAAAGGAGCAGAAGTGGTCCGCCCCAGTGGTGTTTTCCGTCGTCATTGCTGGATGCTTTCGGCCCGGCTGAGCTTGTTTTCAACCTTGATTGTTCACGGGAGGACCGAGGCGCTGATTCCAGAATAGTCGGGTGTAACCTGGTCAGTACAATAGATACAATATTACACTCCAGGGCTCTTTCTTGCGAGAGTAAGTTCTGTGGCATGGCTTCCACTTCACGACCCTGTGTAGATCGCCTCCCGCAGGATGATCTCCTGCTGCGGCTTTTATATCTTGTAGTGGAATTGTAAGATGCCTTTCGAAGACTAGTCTGCGACTGCCCCTTCTTATGTACTCTCGAAGAGTCGATGTATCTGGCAAAGCTGTCTCGTGGCACAGGATAAGCCCGGGTCATGTGTCTGATTGCGCTGTATCATGGGACTAATTAATCCCTCGACCAACAAGCCCATTGTCCTGCACCCGTCTGTTCCGTCAGTCGTCGATCAGCTTTTGCTGCACAAAAACACAAAGTGACGATCTTCAGGGCGCAATCTTGTGCGGCGATCGACATGTTGGAAGACAGGCCTGGCGTGCAGGGCGCGACAGAGGACAGGACAGATTTCTGACAGAAGCATGTGAAACTGCCTGATCGCCGCCGTTGGAGGTCTGGGACTGTGGGAGCTGTGGACACGGCCCTGTCTATGTGAAACGGGCAGGCCTGCTCGGCAGCTCGGCCACCCCTGCGCCCTGAGGCCCTGGGAGCTTGCGTCAGTGGGGAGGGAGATCTGGAAGCTTGGGGCACGAAATGGAGGGCGGTGGGCCTGGTGTGGAGGGGCAGGGCGCGTCCGCGGTGCCTGCGTGCTTGGGAATCCTGGCCACGGCTGCCAACTTTGTGTCGCCCAGGCAGGCCAGGAAGGTTGGTAGGACCAGGGACGAACGGCGTCTCCTGCGGTGCTGCTCGTAATGAATCGGGTGAGGGGCGAGGGGTGTTTTGATTGCCATCAATTTCAGCCCCGCCAATCCTCCCTCGCCGCCGCAGCTAGACAAGCTAACCGTCCCTCGGGTTACCTACCCATGCGCCGCCTTGCATCGGACTGATTGATTGATTGACTGACTGACTGACTGCCTCGACGTCGCATTGTAATCCTTCACCGTTCCTTATTACCTACCTACTGCCGAGGACGTCAATTGTTGACTCTCTCTTTCCCTCTCGCACACTCTCTGCTTTCCGCTGCACCTTCCTTCGCGATATCTTCTCACCACAGCTTGTCCTTGCCCTATCCCACCACTTCTCGTCCCGTCCCGTCTCTCCAAGCTCGTTGGGAACCACGCCACACCAAGCCTCTATTCATCATGGCGCCTGTAGGAACTGTTCTCATTACCGGGTGAGCCACCTTCTTCCTCCCGTGCTCTGGGCTGTCGCCAGCCAGCCTCCACTGTGAGACATGCCAGACAGTAGATGGAACTCAATTATTGACTGTGGATTGCAGTGGCACTGGCTACATCGGCTCATTCACCTCTCTTGCCCTTCTTGAGAATGGCTACGAGGTGGTGATTGTCGATAACCTCTACAACTCGTCCGAGGTGGCCCTCGACCGCATTGAGCTCATCAGCGGCAAGCGACCAAAGTTCTACAAGGTAGACATCACGGACAAGCCCGCCCTCGACAAGGTCTTCGAAGAGAACCCCGAGATCGATAGTGTTATCCACTTCGCGGCCCTCAAGGCAAGTCTAACCCGGTCGCGCATGGTCGCGCAGCTGCTACGAATGGGATGGGCCAAGAGAGGGCTAACATATGAGTGCAGGCCGTTGGCGAGTCTGCCGAGATCCCTCTCGAGTACTACCGCGTCAATGTCGGCGGCAGCATCTCCCTGCTGCGCTCCATGACCGACCACAATGTCACCAACATCGTCTTCTCCTCCTCCGCTACCGTCTACGGCGACGCCACTCGCTTCCCCAACATGATCCCAATCCCAGAGAACTGTCCTACCGGCCCCACCAACTCTTACGGCCGCACCAAGTCTATGATTGAGACCGTCATCGAGGACCACGTCAACGCCCAGCGCAACAACCTCAAGAAGGCGGGCAAGCCCTACGAGCAGTGGAACGGCGCCAACCTGCGCTACTTCAACCCATGTGGCGCCCACCCCTCGGGCATTATGGGCGAGGACCCTCAGGGTGTGCCGTACAACCTGCTCCCTCTGCTTGGCCAGGTTGCTACCGGCCAGCGCGAGAAGCTGCTGGTGTTTGGCGACGACTACTCCTCGCGTGACGGCACGGCCATCCGCGACTACATCCACGTGTGCGACCTGGCCAAGGGCCACCTGGTGGCGCTGAACTACCTACGGGAGCACCACCCGGGTGTGAAGGCATGGAACCTCGGCTCAGGACGTGGCAGCACCGTGTTTGAGATAATCAACGCGTTCCGCGAAGTTGTGGGGAAGGACCTCAAGTACGAGGTCGTGGAGAGGAGACAAGGCGACGTGTTGGACCTGACAGCGAACCCCAGCCTGGCCAACAAGGAGCTGAACTGGAAGACGGAGCTGAGGATGGAGGACGCATGCTCGGATCTGTGGCGTTGGGTCAGCAACAACCCCCAGGGTTACCGCCAGAGCCCCCCGGCGGAGCTGCTTGAGGCGCTGAAGAAATGAAGCCAGCAAGAACCCTGGGAGGGAGCCGTTTGCGTTCAAAGGGACAGGACGTGCAAAAGAATAATGAGAGCCGTTTTGGGGATGCGGCGGTCATGTCGGCCGGGGAAGTGGGGGTGACCTTGTACGTGGATACAATGCCGCAAATCAAGGCTGGAGCATCCCATAGACTTTACTTCAACGACTTAGACGAATAATGGAACATTTCGACTCATACTGGCAGATTTGTCTCGAGTCTCAAAGGAGGCTTTGCATCTAGCATCGTCCGGACCAGTGAGAGCTTCCCATCCAGACACGGGAGGTTGTGAGGAAGAGTCTTTGCTCTCTCCAATCTAGCACACAGTATTGAGATGCACCGCAGGCGCTTAGCAAGTGACATGGAGTAAGCTGCATAATAAGGTAGTAAACGGCTTAACCGACCAATTACTGCGAGTTAATTGGGCTGCGCAGCACCTGTACCTGAGCTTCCCAAGCGAGAAGAGCTGCCCCACGATGCTGCTGACTAACCACGGCGCCGACCTGATCGCGCTCTCTTTACAGATTAGTCTACTCGGGCGACGACATGTCCTAGGCCAGACGCGTCTCCCGAGGCGCCGTACAGTGAAAGGTGACTGCGTACATACTTCACTCATGTGCTTCTGCATCGCCGGTTCCGTCCGGGATTTAATGAAAAGGACAACCAGATTCTTCAGCACAAAGCCAGCTCTGCCAGTCGCAAGCCTGCACCTACCTCCCGTTTTCAGCCCGCAACAAAGGCCCCTTTGCGCCATGCTACATTCCGACCGCGCGCGACAGCTGCTTTTCTCGTCCATATCGCCCGCTTCTCTCGAGGTCATCATCACCACTAATGCCCCCGACCCCTGACCTCGACCTTGATTTCAGCTTCGACCGCCAGCACCCACAGCCTTGACAACGCAACAACGCACGCCCTGCTGCTCGATGTCTTCGCACTCGACCGTCATCGCCGTGTGTGCCCGAATCTGATCTCACCACTTCTGCATCTTCTTATTGCAGGTCCAGCCTCTGTCGCGCATAGTTCCTCCCGTCGGTGACCTACTTCTTCGACTTAGACTGCCGATTAGCCTCGACAGCGAACCTACTCGTCGCTTGGTCTCAACTTTTGGAGGTGAGCAAACTCGTGCGATCCAACCTGAGGGCCCTCTTTCTATTTCCTTTTCCTGGGCAGCCTGGAGCCAGCATTGCCCCAAGGCAACAATTGGATTGTGCTCAACCTCTCATCGTTACTGCCACCGCTTCTCATTTCATCTCACTTTTGCAAACGCGAAGTCTGACTAGAGACAGGGTAAACTCATTCTTGGTCAGCAACAACTACCCTCACGTGTCGGTCCACTCAACAGCCACCATGCCGCCCAGGCGAGGTCGTGGCGGCCACGCGGGAGGTGCTCCGTCCCCAGCGCCTGACCCGTCGCCGAGAGCCCAGAGGACTGGAGGGCCCTCCAGGTTCAGTACATCCTATGGGTCTCCATCGATGTACGCCGCTGCTCGCAGCTCCACGTCATCCTCGCTTGACGGCATCGGCAGTGCGGTCAGATCCGTGCGAGACTCCAACGCAGCAGACGGACAGAACAGAGCAAACCAACGGGCTTCTAGGGCCGACGACCAGGGTGCGCGACCCTCTAACAACGGAGGCCCAGCGGCTCCCCCTCCGGCCCCTCCTGTGGTGCCTCCTCCCCCCGACCAGCAACCGTTGGGGCCTGCGAACAACAACCAGCGTAGGTTTCTTGATATCTACTCCCCTCTCACAACCATCACCCATAAGACGTGCTTTGTCTACGATCTGCATATCTTTTTTTCTAACCTAGTTGCACAGGAACCCCACCTGGTGGACGGGCCTCCACCGTTCAACCACCACGCCAATCTGGCGGTAACAATCCGAGATCGGCTCGATTCATGTCAGTGCCGCTGTACTCTGATACCCCGTCTCACAGGAGCTTTATCGAGGAGAGCGAGCTCTACCATACTGCAAACGTTGGGACACCGAGACCGCCGAGACCACCAAGAGGCTCACGCCGACGGGGTACCGAGGCATCGCATTCTGGGTCTGATTCCATTGAATCCATTGGATCCATCGATGATGATGATGATGAGGATCCTTTGCAGCATGGTACGCCCGGCGGCTCGAGAAGCCGCGAGGATCCGTATTCGACACCACGGCCTCCACCGAGCTATCGGCCCATCAGCTGGGCAGATCGCTTCACTCGGGATGGAGGATTCAGGGGAAATGCAGGCAACCGGCCTCCTGACAATACCGGCACTCCTACACGACACGATGCTGGAATAACAGGCACAGAAGGGCCCAGTACCCCAGGGGCCGATACTGGAAAGCCATCGAATGGAGGGCCTTCAACTGGTGGGCCTTCAACTGTGGGGCCTTCAACTGGGCCAGGCACTGGAGGCTATTCGACTGGAGCGCCCGGTAGTGAAGGGCCATCAACTGGACGGTCCTCAACTGGGGTCTCTTCAACTGGAGGGCCAGGCAATGGAGAGCACCAGGGTACAGTGCCAGGCCCTCCTATTAATGATAGCCAGCAAGGCTCTAACGAAGGCATTCAGGAAGGGAGTAAGCGAGGACCACAAGGACCTCAGGGACCTCGAGGGCCCCAGGGACCGTCGGGGACACAAGGGCAGCCCGGACAGCCCGGACCACAAGGTCAACCAGGTCAGCCCGGACTACCCGGACTGCAAGGACAGCCGGGACAGCCGGGACCACAAGGACAACCCGGGCAGCCTGGGCCACAAGGACCACAGGGACCTCAGGGACCACAAGGACTACAGGGGCCGCAAGGGCCGCGGGGACCACGAGGGACGCGAGGGCCAGTGGACAACGACGCCGATGGTCCACCAGACGTTCTGGTTGAGGGCGACGATCTCTTCTCTCAAAGCTTGAATTGGCTGTACTCGCGCTCTCGCATTGGTCGATGGCCACGTTGGCTTCGCAAAGCACTACAAATGTGGGGGCTGTTGGTCATCATCAGCTGGCTTCTCTTGATCCTCCTCGAGCTTTACATTCCTGCGACTGGATGGGAGGGCATCAAAGTTGGCAAAAACTACCAGTACCATGGAAATTCTCTAGTAGGCTGGAGACAGAACATCCTGCAGTTTGTGCCATGGATTGTACTGCACCCCTTCGCTGTTTTGACCGGCAACCTCGATTACGCAGACTACCGCAACACCTTACACTGGCTGACCTTGAATCAACACCGCGCTGAGACCCAGGTGGACAATGTCACAGAAGCCGTTGGACAGCTGCGCAAGATTCTTCCAGAGCTCATCAAAGTGGACGCAGGCATCGCCACCTCTGAGTGGAAGGTTCAGGATGATTTCTGGCACGCCCTGAATGATGAGATGAAGAAAGGGGGCTTGATGTGGTATCTTCTGAGCATACACAAACAGGAAGACGGCTCTTATACCATCTCAGACACGCACTGGGATGCCATCAAGCACCGATTACATGCCGAAGACCTATTGGTTCCTGGCCGCTCTGAAAATGACCCACTGGCACTGAGCAATGAAGTCATGAGCTACGTGGACGTCTCCGTTTCCAAATCGTTCCAGGATTGGCTTGTCAAGAACGCGGATGCGGTGCGGAAGGCACAAGGAGAAGAGAATGGTGAGCCGAGTGCCTCTTACACAGATCTCTATGGCCAGGTCGACAAGGCAGTCGCTGCGCGACTCGAACATTTGGATCTTGAGGCACGGGTCGTCACCAAGGAAGAGTTCATATCCAAGATCGAAGAGTATTTCCGCGATCATAGTGCTAACGTCAAGGGCGAGCTGACGGTTCTGAATGAAAAGCTCGGACAGGCTTTGGGCATTGCCATGGAAGCCAAGAATTCTGCCCACCTTCCCCCAGGGCTGAGTCGCACCGAAGTCGAGAGCCTTGTGGCTGAGATGGTCCGCCGAGCTGTTGCAGAAGCCCAGCTGGAGGCCTTGGCCAAGGGCTCTATCAAGTCCCACCTTAGTACTGAGCTCCTCGCGCAGAAGAATTACTTCAGCACCATTCGAGGAGCCCTTATCGATCCGAAATTGACTTCGGCTTCATACGACTGGAGAATCGAGACGGATGCCAAGAAACGAGACGCTTCAACGACCAGTCTCTTCAGCCTGCTTTCTACGAAGAACGAAAAGGAACACCCGGTGTTCCGTCGGGGTGGGAAGTACACCGGCATTCCTTTTGCTCCATCCATCGCGTTGGAAAAGTGGGAAGAGGACGGAGAGTGCTGGTGCGGTGGACATAAGGAGGACACGCACACCGTGGACCTGTCCATCTTCACTGCCGAGGTCGTCATTCCGCAATACCTTGTTGTCGAACATATCGACCGCGATTCCACATTCGATCCGGACTCCATGCCCAAGGACCTCGAGTTCTGGATCAAGGGCCCAGGCGACAGTACGCAGCGCTCCCTGATCGAGTGGAGCAAGAAGAGATGGACCGAGCCCCCGACGGTTCCAGGAGTGAGACTCATGGAGAAGGGTTTCGTCAAGGTTGGACAATTTGAGTTCGACTCGGAGACAGGAAAGGGCGGCACGCAGGTCTTCAAACTACCCAATGAACTGATGGACTTTGGAGTACAGACACAACAGGTGCTGGTACGCGCGAGCAGCAATTACGGAGCAAGCGATCACACTTGCTTCTACCGGCTGCGGCTTTTTGGCAGCAAGCCAGCCGGGGGTGAAAGCAAGCCAGAGGCGGGTGACCCAGAGCATGAAGACCTGTAACAGGCATTTCTTTTGTGACAAGGGGGTGTACCGCAGCGGAGGAGGTGAAATATCTCAGGAACTCTAAATAATGGACAAATGGTCCTTTCATGAACACAGGCAGAACCCCAGCGCGGCCGGCTGGGGAAGGAAAGGGAAGGGCGTTGGTCGTGTGCCTCTCGGGAACATGGTGATTGACCAGGGCGTTTATCGGAGATACCCTTCTTGTTGTATATTGGGTTACTGTACACTGATCTACCTTGAAGAAGTTCATCCTTTGCAACCCTGGTGAATGGCAGTTTGACAACTAGACGCGGAAGACGACGACAACGATTACGAAGGCTATCTATCCCCTCGACCCAGTAGACAGAATAATCACACGATTGGCATTTGATGAGCAGGACTGCTTCTCTTTGCAGTGTAAGCGGGAGTGTCTGGCCAGGCTCGTCACGGTCTCTGGCCAGAGAACGTACACACAAAAACAAACATGAAGTGACTCCCAAAGCGATGACAGATACTGGCATGTCGTTATTCACGAAGGAGAGTAGTAGTGGGACGCGGCTCAGTCCTGTCAGAGCTCTTGCCCCCAGGTATACATCTCATATTGGGGAGCGCGGGGAGGCGCCCCGCTGATATGGCGAAGAATAGTGTATGGCCTCTATGCACATAAGGAAAACCCGCTGAGTGAAGTTATGACATCCAAAACCAACGTCCTTGCTCCCCCTTTCCCCCTCCCCAACCCCGGCCCTACTTGCGCCAACAACACGGCCGCTGCTACCGGTCGCGGCCCAATCTCTCCTCGTCGTCGTCCACAAGCTCGTAAGCTGGTCTGAATCCTTCGCTCTCTCCCTCGCCTTCGGACTGTTTCTTGAGGAGGGGGTTGGGATGTGTGTCTTTTGTGCCGCCTAGCGATGTGTATCCTTGGTCGTAGAGAGATATGTAGGGGATGTCCAGGTGGCGGAGGAACTGTATTCATGTCAGCCAAGAGCTCAGGAACAGTATAAACCCACTCGTCTCTCCCTGTGCACGCCAATTACTCACCGCCCAGATCTCGGCGTAGTGCCAGTCGATGACCGGGTGCACACGCACAAAGGCGGGCCAGTCGCCGTCGGTGGGGTCGAAGTGCGTCAGGGAGGCGCCGTGGGGGTCCGTCCTGCGGGTGCCGACGAAGACGGCCCTGAGGCGGGGGCGGTCGCGCAGGTAGGCGTCGAGGGCGGCGCGCATGGGCAGGGCGTAGCGGCACAGGTCGAGGTGGTAGGCCGCGGCGGAGCGCTCGACGAAGGCGTCGACCTCGGCGAACGGGTCGGGCGCCACGATGTAGACGGACTGCAGGGAGGAGGGGAAGGGCCGCGGCGAGGGGCTGCGCACGGGGGTCGGCGCCGCCGGGGTGTTGGTCGGGATCTGGGAGGTCAGGCCGTTGGTGGTGGCGTTGGGTAGGGGGTGTGGTGCGAAGGGCTCGAAGTCTGGCGGCTCGAAGTGCCGCGGGAGGCAGGCGAGGATCAGGACGAGGAGCACGAGGCAGTCCTTGCCGCCGTTGTAGGAGAGGGAGAGCTCCTCGATGCTGTTGTGGTGGGAGTGGTGAGCTGGCCGGTCCACGGTCGTGGGTGGGCAGGACGGGTGCGCGTGGGCTCACTCACCTATATCTCTCGAGGGCCTCGTCGATGACGGATATCGCCTCGCGGGCATGGGACTGCACGCCCTTGAGCAGGCCGCTCTCAACCTCCTGGGCCAGGAAGGCGTCGACCTTGGCCTGCAGCTCGAGGCAGACCTGGCGCAACGAGAGGGACGCGGCTGCGGCTGGCGGCTCTTTGACCCCGCCATTCGCAGCGGGCGAGACGCCATTGACGAGATGGTGGTGTGGCATCACAGCAGCTGGGTGTGTGAGTGAGGATTATATCGTGCTATGACCGGAAATGTGCAGCCATGGACACCGTGTAGAAGTCGCTGGAGTGGCAAGATCGGTGTCGGGAATGCGCACGGCAAGGAGTGCATGACCACGCAGGAGAGTGACGGTCAGAAAGTTGTCTGTCTGGCCCGTTGTGCAGCCCGAGCAGTGTAAGCTGGGGACCTTCTCCACCGCTGCGGCCTCGGCCACGGCGGGGAGATCGGCGTTGATAGGGACAAGAGATGTCAGGATCAGGGGTCCATATTTCCATCTTCTATCCTTCCATGACCTTCGGTTCGGCTGCAGTGTCCACTGCGTGTTGGGAGGTCATTGCGGCCGCGGACTAAGACATGGGCTGTTTTACATCGGATTTTATTCTCTAGCTCCAAGCTTTTATCTCAAGACGGGGAGACGTTCCTACTTCTTGAGCAGGTTTAATCCTATATCCTTTTATTGGCATCGGCAAGTACAAGAATACCAGAATTTGGAACGGTCATATTGAGCCTTGCCGACACAGCTCACCCTGGTCAGCTGACTGGTGCGCGGTAAATGAAAGTCCGCCCACCATGAATTTTTCATGTGACGGTCTCATCTGTACTACCTACCTCCTGCGTAGGCACAGCAATCACAGCCGCCTCAGATCTCAATTCCATGCCTAGGTAGCTTGGAGTTGTTCTACTCAGCCAACCGCATCAGCACAAGGAATTGTATCTTATAAGCTCTTATGTGCACCTGCACAAGAGGTTCAGGAGGGCAGGTTATCGCAAAGATATACACTTGTTTCTCACTAAATATATCCTATAGCGGGTTATCCTACACCAGGTTAGCTTATGGCAGGTTGTCCTATGGTAGGTCATCCCATAGCAGGTTATCCCATGGTAAATTATCCCATGGTAGGTTATCCCATAGCAGGTTATCCCATGGTAATTTATGCCACAGGTAATTATCCCGCTGGAAGGCAAACCACTGGAAGTTAACCCACTGGAAGTCCCCCCAATGGTACCCAGGTAGGGTATCCCATGGCAGATTATCCCACACCTACTGTAGGCTGCTCCAAAGGACTGTCCTACTACGGTAGAGGCGACCTATCGCTAGCGGCAGGCAGTTTCCGAACTAGTACCTGCCTTCCCACTAGGTTGCCCCACATGCCGTCACATCCCTGTCCAAACACTTTGCCGACCTGGAAATTTTCTGGAATGCGATAACTGCAACGAACGAGACTTTCCTTTCCTACAGGCCACGACAAAGATGGCACCGAAGTCTGGGAAGTCTGGGTCTAAGGGGCACTCAAAACGCTCGGAGGACAAGACTCTGAAGAGGAAACGAGAGGCAGAGGACCACGAACGATTGAAGAAGGCCATCGACGAACTGGACCCCAAGTCACCCGTCGCAAATTTCGCCGACCTACCCCTCTGTGAAGCCACAGCCTCTGGCATCAAAGCCTCGCACTTCGAAATCCTCACCGATGTCCAGGCCCGAGCCGTGCCTCTGGCCTTGAAAGGCCACGATCTTCTCGCAGCCGCCAAGACCGGAAGCGGCAAGACGCTCGCCTTCCTCATACCTGTCCTCGAAAAGCTCTACCACGCCCGCTGGACCCCCCGCGATGGCCTCGGCGCCCTGATCATGTCGCCGACGCGAGAGCTGGCTGTGCAAATCTTCGATGTGCTGCGCAAGATTGGCCGCTACCATGACTTCTCTGCCGGCCTGGTCATTGGCGGCAACAACCTTAAGGAGGAGGCCGACCGCATAGATCGTATGAACATCCTCGTCTGTACGCCCGGTCGCATGCTCCAACACCTGGACCAGAGGTTTGGGTTCAACGTCGACGACTTGCAAATCCTGGTTCTGGACGAGGCCGACCGCATCATGGACATGGGTTTCCAGCACGCCGTCGATGCGCTGATCGAGCACCTGCCCAAGGAGAGGCAGACACTGCTGTTCAGTGCCACCCAGAGCAAGAAAATATCGGATCTCGCCCGACTCAGTCTGAAGGAACCGGAATATGTATCAGTTCACGAGGCCGCCGATACAGCAACACCGAGTGCCCTCCAGCAGCACTACATCGTGACCCCGCTCTCGGAGAAGCTGGACACGCTATACGGATTCATAAAGGCAAGCTTGAAGACCAAGATCGTGGTCTTCTTGTCGTCCGGAAAGCAGGTCCGATACGTATACGAGACGCTTCGACAGCTGCAACCGGGTATACCTTTGCTTCACCTGCACGGTCGACAGAAGCAGGAAGCAAGATTACGGATCACAAAGCAGTTCACATCGGCGAGGCATTCTTGCTTGTTTGCGACGGACGTCGTGGCACGAGGTGTTGACTTTCCTGCGGTCGACTGGGTCATCCAAGTTGACTGTCCCGAAGATGCGGACACTTACATCCACCGAGTCGGCCGGACAGCAAGATACCAAAGCAAGGGTCGTGCCGTTCTATTCCTAGACCCCAGCGAAGAGGAGGGCATGTTGAAGAGACTCAAACAGAAGAAGATCCCGATAGAGAAGATCAACATCAAGGAAAGCATGAAGAAGAGCATCAGGAACCAGGTGCAAAGCATGTGCTTCAAGCAGCCCAATATCAAGTATCTGGCGCAGAAGGCCTTCGTTACTTATGTGCGGTCTGTCCACGTACAGAAGGATAAGGAGGTTTTTGACTTGGAAAAGCTGGATTTGGACGCGTATGCTGCGAGTCTAGGACTGCCGGGAACGCCAAATATCAGATTCCGACCGGGAGAGGACATGAAGAAGCTGAAGAATGCGCCGAGGATGATTATGAGCGACTCAGAGGATTCTTCGGAGGCCGAAGGTGGAAAGCGCAAGAACAAGGACGAAGTGAAGACCAAGGTGCAGAAGATGTTTGAACGAACAAACCAGGACGTTCTGTCTAGCCATTACCGCAAGATGGTAGGCGAGGAAGGCGAGGATGATGAAGATGAAGACAACTTCATGGTTGCTAAGCGAGTCCTGAACGACGACGATCTCGACAAAGCAGCGCAAAATGGCGACAAGAGCCAGGTCAAGGTCATTGACTTTGGAGGAGACCAGCAGCTTGTCATCGATTCGAAACGGCGCGAGAAGCTGCTCAAGTCCAAGAAGAAGCTTCTCAAGTTCAAGGGCCACGGTCAGAAGCTTGTCTTCGATGACGAGGGCAACGCCCACCCCATTTACGAGCTCGTCGACGAGGATGAATTCAAGAAGCAAGGTCCCGTGGACGAGCTCAGGCGGCAGTTCGTCGACCAGGAGACGGAGAAGGTGCAGGAAGCAGACGTCGAGGATAAGGAGCTGGCCAAGGCGAGGAGAAAGGAGAAGAGGGAAAGGAGGAAGGAGCTCGAGAGGATGGAACGTGGCGAAGGTTCCGGGCCAGCTGCGCCTGTTGCTCAGCTCGAGGGCTTTGAGGATGGCGAGGACCCACTGGCACTGCTGCGGTCGTTACCAACTGGGGATGACGCAGGTCACAGTGAGAGCGAGGCTGAGGAGCAGAGACCGGCGAAGAAGCAGAAGAAGTGGTTCCAGAACGACTCGGACGTCGAGGACGAGAAGACCTCAAAGAAGAAGGAAAAGAAAGCCAAGAAGGACAAGAAGAGGGTCATCGAGATGGCTGAGGAACCCGACACCCTCGAGGACCTGGAGGCTCTCGCCGCAGGACTGTTGGAGTAGTTATAACATACTTGATACCCTAGTTGCAATCGTATTAACCCAGTACCATGGGACTACACAGCTGCTCTAAACAAGTTCCTTCCTCCCACAAGAGGTTATCCCATATGAGGCTATCCTATCCCATACGAGGTTGTCCCACAGGAGGTTGTCCCACAGGAGGCTATCCCACAGGAGGCTATCCCATAGGAGGGAGGTTGTTCTGAACTTAAAATCTTTTCCCACACAGGTTTATCCTGTAGAAGCCATCCTGTCCCGAATGAGGCCGTCTTGTAAGAGGACGTCTGAAAAGGTCTATCCCATAGAACCAAAAACATACTGGGATATTTGGAACCCATGCGATCCATTCTTTGCCCCTGGTCTTTTCCAGCTGGCTGTAAGACTACACAATGTGGTAACCCGATGCCGCACATGTCTTCCGGCCTACAGCTTTCCTGCCTTCTTCAGGCCCCTCTCGCCGTCGACAAGCACGCACCACCCCTCGCTGCCGACGGTGCCGCCGCCGAAGCCGGCCACGACGGCCTTGAACGCCCCGGAGCCGGCATCCTCGCCCTCGCCGTCCCGCGCGAACTTTATGACCTCATCGTCAAAGGTGCCGGGCTGCAGGAACACGGCTGGGACTGAGCATGGCGGTGTCTGTGTCAGTCGTTGTCTCGGGAACGCAGGTACGCAACATGGAATGGAAGCATGACTTACTTCCTAGCTTCTTGGCCTCTTCGAGCACCTTCAGGGTGACCGGGGGAGGGGTGATGATGGACACGGAGGTCTCCTTAGGGTCGGGCAGCTCTGAGAGGGACTTGACGGTTGGGACCTCGGCGGGCTTGCCGGCGGCGTCCGGGAGGGACGGCACGGCGATGGAGGGGGCGGCCGGGTTGATTGGGATAGCCTGGATGTCGTGGTGGAGGTACCAGGCGAAGACTTGAGTATGTTGTTAGTTGATGTCACTTGGTCACGTATTTTATGAGGCATCCGGGCGGGCTGAGGTCACAAGCTTGAGCCGGCCTGCGTTTGTCTTGCACTCTGACAGAGATGGGGCCTCGCTTCATCCAGCTATCTTACTCTTGTGGCCAAATTTGGCCGTATTTGAGCTTGCGCCGACGACGGCGAAGTTCTTAGATGAGAAGAACGTCTTGAGGGATGCTTCGGTGCTCATTGTGGTAGTGAGATGAGAAGCCCGAGATGTGGGATATGTGAATAAGTGAGCGGTTTTGGAGAGCTTGGACGGGGAGGATGTCGTGAAGCAGGTGCAGGTTAGAGAGCGAGGCAGCTGAAGGCAGCGGGCAGTGCCTGGGAAATAAGTAAACATCAATACATGTATTGCCCTGATTTGTAATTGTGAAGGCGTCGTTGTATTCCAAATAATGACTCTGCAGCTGGCAAGAAAGCCTCTCTTTCCCCACGTTCAAGACCCGGGCGGGTGCTAACGTATTCCAGGGTCCCTCTCACGTTATCGGCTTCTATCGCCAGAGCAATGCACCTTCGCGTCACAACGTTTCAATGGGCGTGATTCTTTGTGCGTCCCGCCGTCTTGGGTGCTGCCTATCTGGGTAGGTGTCTTAGAAAGCTACAGTCTGCACCTGGATCTGTGGGTCCAAATGCCCAGATGGGTCGAGTCCCGGAGGTTGGGACGGATTGAGACGAACTCGCAGAAGTTGTGCGTAAACGGACAGCTGGGCATGGGACGGCGCATCCCGGGACGCTGGCCCTTTACGACCTGAAGACATGTGAGTGTCGCATCACGCCTTTTGACACATTAGACGGCCTGTAGAGGGGATAGCGAATGTTGAGCATCATGCTCCTTGGGAGATAGGATTAGTATGGCGCCTTTTTCCACCTTGTGGGTAAATGTATGTACGCAGGAACATGCTGACCCATCTTCCTACATGGATGGGTAGTAACAATATTATACGGCCGTGGATCATAACATGGCGGAACAAACACCAAACAAACTCTTATTAGCCTGTTGGACTAGATGCGACACCATTGACTATGTAGATAGTATTCCACAGGCTGTGGACGTGCCAAGGCAGAAGGTCGGCAGTGGGCGATGACGATGTGTGTCGTTTCGTTGCCCCTTGACAAACCCCCCGTCCGTTGCCCCGTCAGTTTCAGCCCCACACATCTCGCTCTGCTCCTTGCTCCTTGCTGGCTCCTCCGAAGGCTGCAGTCGGGCTGGCTCTGGGCTCTGGCGGCTCGCGTCGCTCTGCTCGCTCGCATGAACAGCACAGACCACGAAGGGGCCCATAAACAGGTCCATGTCCAGGGAGACAACGCAGGACGGCGACCGCTCTTCCATTTTATTTATAAAGCACAGCTGGATCCTAAACCTCAACTCCAGAAAGCACCATCGCCAACCTCGTTACCGTCCCTCTCCCGCCATCTCCGCAATTTTCGCCGACCCCTACGACCCACAATGGTGAGTTGCGTGACCGTCAACAGACATGGCATTCCCGGACGAGCAGCAAGTGCGGCTATTGGATGGTGAGGGCTGGAAGCTGGCAGAAGGTAAACAAATGGGTGACCTGCAGCACGGATGCATTTTGCCCTCGCAGGTTCCAGTTTAGCGCCAGTCGCTCGTGTTGCTGGTTGCTGGTTGCCGGCGCCCAGCCCAAACCAAGGTTGGAGCTGTGCGACGGCGGGCAGCCAGGCACCTGGCCAGCCCGAGGAAGGCGCTTTGCTCCAACCCGTTGCCGTGCTGCCTGTGTTTGTCTTCCAGCCAAGCCAAGCCGCAGCCCGGCCGCGGGTGATCCCATCTCCAAATTTCCCAGTCCAGCCACCGCAGATACCTGCATCGCCCTTGGCACCGCCTTCTTTGTCAACACGCTACTACGGCATCACTGCACAACCTGCCTTGATCGTCTGCATCCGTCGCCAATTCCTATCATCCCCAGCTGCTGTTTCCTCCCTTTATCGGAATCGCAAACCCCGCAAGCATGTCTTCTAATCAGTACGATGCTCAGGCTTCAACCAACTACAAGGAGGCTTTCTCGCTGTTCGACAAGCGCGGCAACGGCCGTGTCACCCTCGACAACCTCGGCGATCTCCTGCGCGCCTGTGGCCAAAACCCTACCATGACCGAGATCAGGGACCTGGAGAAGAGCGTCGGCGGTGACTGTGAGTCTTGGCTCCTCCCCCAGCCACCTTTGTTTACATGGAGGCTTTCGCGCGCAACGCAAACATGCGACTTCACGCGATCCGCCCGCGTGCCTGAACAACGCACCACATGAGTTTATTCGAGGAAGGGACCATGAGGCTAATTTGTGCCTGATGATGCACAGTCGACTTCGAGACTTTCCAGCGTGTGCTGAACCGCCCCGGCGGGTTCCGCGACCCGGGCGAGCCTGACGAGTACTGCCGCGGCTTCCAGGTGTTCGACAAGGACATGACGGGATTTATCGGCGTCGGTCAGCTCAAGTACATCCTGACCAACCTGGGCGAGAAAATGACGGACGAGGAGGTGGACGAGCTGCTCAAGGCCGTCGACACCAGCTCAGGGCAGGTCAACTACACAGGTACGTTCAACTCTGCCTCCCCCGCATATATATGTACCAGGCACGACAAGATGGCTGACACGTGATTTGCGCAGATCTCGTCCGGACGATCCTTGCGAACTAGACGGGAGACAACGAACGATACCAAGGCGAGACGCCGCGGAAACGTGCGCGACAGAGGTGACTGCGCTGTATGGTGGAAGAAGAGGACATGGCATAGGAGGATATATTGCATGGATTTTGTCAGGGATTGGCCGGCGTTTACTGCTTTTGTTGCTGACGAGTGACGAGATATGCCTTGAGCAAAACAATCAAACGCTGGGTGTCCTGGATCGGCTGTTGGCCAGAACTGCCACGAGGATAGGTACAATCAATCAGACATGAAGATGTGGAGCCTGTATTGCTCGTCAACACACCCGACTCGACCTCCTGTCGAATTAGATTCTATGCGCAGTGAATGGGTCTCAGGCGTAGCACCCAACTATCTCCGCTATGATGGTACAGATTCTTGCAGATCACGGACAGGCAAGTTGGAGTTTAAATGTTGTTGAATTCCATCAGTGACAAGTGGAATGGGGACGCCAAGGCAGGGTGTAGACTGACTATGCAGCCTCACTTAGCTTACTCAAGACGAGTTCGTTCCTCCGTTCCCTCCCTCTAGGGGAGTTGGTCAGAGTTGCCTGTCTGCTTACCAGTCTGTGTTCCTGCCTGCTGCCGTCTCCCTTTTGCGCAACGAGCTGTTACCTCAGAAGCTCCAAGGACCAAAATAATAACAAGCACGACTGCATCGCAGCTGTCAACACCGCCCTCACCGCACCGAGCGTATTCAGGCTCCGAGGGAACAAAGCACCCTGCAAGGCCCGCACATACCTAGGTAGTCTGCAGGGACCCCCTGATCAGCTATAAGCACCCCGCAGTGTCCCGCAGTCGCAGCTTCCCCATCCATCGAGCTGCGGCGGCACAAGCCTCGTGCCACTCTCTCCCTTGCCTGCGCAGGAACATCCTCCGACCTCCAACGTGGCGTCCCATTTTCCAAAACGAACCCTGAAGCCGAGGGGTAAGCCGCAGAAGCCTGCAGTCCTCTTTGCCTTCTCCCTCCTCGTCCTCGCTGTCTCCATCACTCTGGCTGTCTCACGAGCTGTTCCGCGCATCTCGCTGCTCGGAACCTTTTCCCACTTGAAAGCTAGCCGTCTAGCCCAGATTCCCTTCATTACGACCTCTTCGTTTTCGACATATAGGCCCTTGGTTGCTCACCCTCCCTACGCTATGGACAAGTACAAGAAGCCCCCGCAGGCCCCGCCCACCTTCATCGGCACCAAGGAGAATATCGTCTCAGACACCAAGGCGTTGTGCGACAAGACGCGCAGCCTCTTGGACGACCTCGTGGCCAAGATCCCGGCCGACGACTCCTCCAAGACCACTTTCCAGGACGTCTTGCGGCCCCAGATCTATGACGAGAACGACTCTGCTTTGACAGCTCGCATCCTAGGGTTCTATCAATATGTTTCAAGCAACTCTGAGCTGCGTGATGCCTCTACGGAGGCTGAGAGCATCATGGACGAGTTCGCCATCGAGATGGCCACCAGGGAGGATGTCTTCAAGATTGTGGACGCTGTCTACCAGAAGAGGGACAGTCTTGGTCTAGATACAGAGGACAAGAAATTTCTAGAGAAGGAGAGGAAGAACTACATATCAAACGGACTGGGGCTTCCTGCTGGGCCACAGAGGGAGCGCTTCAAGGAAATCAAGAAGAGGCTCAGCCAGATCCAGATCGAGTTCACGAAAGCTTTGAACGAGGAGAATGGCGCAATCTACTTCACACCGGAAGAACTTGACGGAGTTCCGACTGACCTCACCGAGAGCTGGGAGAAGGGAACGGGAGAGAACGAGGGCAAGCTCCGTGTCTCCTTCAAATACCCCGATCTGTTCCCAACTTTGAAGTTTGCCAAGAATTCCGAGACCCGCCGAAAGCTCTTCATCGCGAACGAGAACAAGTGCAACAAGAACATGCCCCTGTTCAAGGAGGCCATCCTTCTTCGTGACGAGGCTGCGCGCATGCTCGGGTTCCCAGATCATGCCTCCTTCAGGATCGAGGATAAGATGGCCAAGACCACCAAGACCGTCAATGACTTCCTGGGAGACCTCCGTGTCAAGCTTGCACCTGGTGGCAAGAAGGAGACGGAGCATCTTAAGGCGATCAAGAAGGCTGATGTCGAGTCCCGCGGAGAAAAGTTCGACGGCAGCTACTACTTGTGGGACCACCGCTTTTACGATCGTCTGATGATCGAACAGGAGTACTCTATCGACGAGAACAAGATCTCCGAGTACTTTCCCTTGTCCAAGACGGTGGCTGGCATGTTGAACATATTTGAAAAGCTGTTTGGTTTTGTCTTTGTCGAACTTTCTCCCGAGGACAAGGCGGCGATCAGCCCGACCGGGAAGGCAGAGGATATCTCCTGGCACGAGGATGTGATCGTGTTCTCAGTGTGGGATGATGAAGGTGAAGGCGGCGGATTCGTTGGGTACCTGTACCTTGACCTTCACCCTCGAACTGGAAAATACTCTCATGCGGCCAACTTTAACCTGTCTCCTGGTTTCTTGCAGGCCGACGGTAAACGGCGTTACCCCGCAACTGCATTGGTTTGTAACTTCAGCAAGCCGACGCCCAAGAAACCTAGTCTGCTCAAGCACGACGAGGTGGTGACGCTCTTCCACGAGTTGGGACATGGCATCCACGACTTGGCTGGCCGTACAAAGACTTCAAGGTTCCACGGAACCTCGACAGTGCGAGATTTCGTCGAGGCTCCTTCGCAAATGCTTGAGAACTGGTGCTGGACCCCTAGCCAGATAAAGGGGCTGTCGAGCCACTATGAGACGGGAGACCAGATCCCAGATGAACTCGTCGAAAAGCTTGTTTCGACGAAGCACGTGAACGGTGCGCTCTTCAACTTGCGCCAGTTGCATTTTGGCATCTTTGATATGACTGTCCACACGCCCAAGAGTCATGAGGAGGTAGAGAAGCTGGATGCTAGTGCGGTCTACAATGATCTTCGGGCTGAGATTGCTGGCCTGCAAGGCCCGGAGTCTCTAGGCCAGGGAAGGTGAGTTGTTTCCAGCGCGAGAAGATATTCTTGATATGGAGATGCTGACTTTTTACATAGCAACTGGGGCAACGGACCAGCGACTTTCGGTCATCTTATTGGCGGCTACGATGCTGGCTACTACGGTTACTTGTCCTCTCAGGTCTACTCTACCGACATGTTCTACACCGCATTCAAGGCAGAGCCCTTGAATGGAAAGGAGGGCCGAAGATACAGGCACACTGTTCTCGAGAGGGGCGGAAGTCAGGAAGAGATGGTCACTTTGGAACAGTTCCTTGGCCGAAAGCCTGAGAACGATGCCTTCTACAAGGACCTTGGCCTTGCCAGCTGACTCGGGCAGGCCATCACCAGTCGTCTGTGACAACCTCTAGCTGTCCATGGAGCAGTGCACAGATTCGGCTTGGACGAACGGTCGTACCTCCGATATAGCCACAATATAAACAGTGAAACGCCGCAGCCTTTCCCAGCTGCATTGACATTTGGGTGAGCAATAATTCGATATTGTGACTCCGCTGTGCGTGGGTAATCCGAGAGTCGCGCAACGATGATAACATCATCGCCAAACCAAGCCCGTTTTACAGAATACAAAAAAGACTACGTACACATGTATGTATTGGGACTTGATGTGGGGCTCCAGCAGTTGAGCAGATCGACTACTGGGCCATGGTGGGGCTCCTCGTTTGTTTACTTTGGGAGCTGCAGGCCAATGGCGCGTGGGCATTTACGCCCAGGGTTGTTTGCTTTGCCTCGCCCTTACCTTTAGAGCTCCATGCTCTGCGACGCGACTTCTTGCCATCAACCCGTCCCGTGTCTTGCAACCACGATTGAGGCTTGTCTTCGCCGCGCCCTCTTACATTTGCAAAATCTTTACACGTCCAATCCCCTTTATACCGCGACTCCATACCACATTCTTGCGCCTTCAGGGCTGCTACCTTGGCTGTCCTAGCTGCACGCATGATACGCGCCGACGAACCCATAACACGACAACCTCGAGCTTCGTGAAAGCCGACCAGGCTGCAACCGCCTCACGATGTCTACCGACGACATTGATGAGTACTTCATTTACGAGAACCGCCTTGCGTCTTTCCATGGCCCGCAACGTGTCACGAAGCGGAGGGCATCGACCGCAGCCACATCCCGCGCCCCCAAGACGCTGTCATGGCCACACAAGTCTATCAAGCCTGCCGATGTGCGTATCCTCCACCCCCTGTGCCTCCCATTACTCACCTTAAAACGCGTCCTAACTCGTTTCTATTGTTTGCAGATGGCCAAGGCTGGCTTCTTCTTCCAGCCTCTCCCCAGCAACCCCGACAACGTCGTCTGTTTCCTGTGCAACAAGGCCCTCGACGGCTGGGAAGAGGACGACCGACCCCTCGAGGAGCACCTGAAGCACTCACCCGAATGTGGCTGGGCCATCACCGCCGCAGTGGAGGCCGAGCTGGGCAATTACACGCGTGAGGACCCCAGGGACGCGCTGATGTCCGAGGCCCGGAAGGCCACCTTTGCTGGACGGTGGCCTCATGAGAACAGAAAGGGCTGGAGCTGCAAGACGAAGCAGGTAAGAAGAGGCAGACACACTGCACCGAAGAGAATATGCTGACGCGTTGAACAGCTTGTTGAGGCTGGCTGGAAATACACACCAACACTGGAATCAGACGACAATGCTACTTGCACGTATTGCCACTTGAGGCTTGACGGATGGGAGAAGACCGATAAACCTTGGTATGAATATGAGCCACCTCTTTGGACGCATCTGAGGTACTGACCCGCCTTAGGGATGAGCATTATAGTCGGGCCCCGAAATGTCCCTTTTTCGCATTGATCAGCTCGAAGCCGGCCCCTAAGAAGACAGGACGGTCAAAAGCTGCCAGGAGCTCCAAGGCGTCTCGGCTTTCGTTACAGTCTGTTGCTACAGCCGCCTCAGACTTGACATCACTCGCCGATGTCACTGCAGACGTCGACGACAGCGTTCTCACGACTACGTCCACCATGACGACGGCATCTAAGGAGTCTAAGAAGACCACGAAGGGCAAGAAGGCGGCAACCACAACGAGGGCAAGAAAGACCCGTGCGAAGAAGGACGAGGCTGTTGAAGTGCCAGAAGATGGACCAGAGGAAGAGGCTGCTCCGATCCCGCCATCACATCCGAAGCCCGCAAGAGGCCGCAAGAGATCGAGCGAGGAGGTGGAAGACGCGGAGCTGACCAATGCTGAGGCACCTGCTCCCAAGAAACGTGCAGCCAAGACTCGCAAGGCCCGCGGTAGCAACGCGACCGAGGCGTCCTCGGTCGACACAGACATGCTTGACGCGCCAGAGCCCTCCAAGAAGCCAGGAGCTAAGAAGACGAGAAAGGCGTCCGGCACGCGGAAGGCATCTGGAACTCGACCCGCCAGAGAGCCATCGACTGCTTCAGTGGACTCTGCCGCGCCAGCCACTGTCCCGAATGACGACGAGATCGATAGACAGCTGGAGGCTGACCTTGAGCGTCCATTGTCGGATGACGAGGATATTCTGGCAGATCCAGATACAAAGGCGGCGGCGGCTTCTCGTGTAAAGGTGGAAGCTAGGCAAGATTCTAAAGCGGATGAGCTTCTTACTCACACTGCAAAGACTGATTTTGCCATGTTCGATCCCACTCCAGCCCAGCCCACCGATGCACAGATTGACGCGGATTTGAAAACCATGGAAGACGACATGGACGTTGATCAGAAGGACGAGACGGAAGAAATGGTAGTCCCAAAGAAGGGCCGCAAGGCGGGCACTCGGAAAGCATCGAAACAAACAACCGTTGAGAAAACTGAGGAGCCTGTGCTGCCGGTGCCCGCAAGGCAGTCACAGTCGCGTATGGATGCAGAAGCAGAAGAGCCAGACGAAATTGCAGAGGCGGATGTCAGCTTCGGGAGCAACGGCACCGTGGTCAGGAAGTCTTTGGGCAGGACGTCGCTAGGCAGGCCTTCGCTCGGCAGGACTTCGCTCGGCAGTGTGACGAGCACGACGAGCACCAAGAGTACAGCGAAGCGTGGCCGCCCAGCAAAGAAGGCGATACTGCCAGAGACCGTAAAGGACGAGTCAACTCCGGTTCCTGCTGGCCCGGATGCTGTCACGATGCCCGCTGCGGAACCCATTGAGGTCGAGGCAGCTCCCGCCCCGCTCCCGACCGAGGGCACGAAGAAGCGGACAAGCACTGGAAAGCGCGGCCGACCTCCCAAGAATCCTAAACCTGCAGATGCCGTGCCAGAGATGCCGGCTCCTATCCAGGCAGTAACCGGTCCAAAGCAACAAAATGTTACGACCGAGGTCCACGTTGAGTCGGCGACGATTCAAGAAAGCTTTTCTGCCGCAGTTGGATCCCCTCGGGTTGCTCGCAAACCTGTCCCGGCTCCAAAGGATTCGCCTTTTGCGATTCGCAATGACGAGCCCTCTGCCTCGACTTCCGCCTCCAACGCCCTTGCCGTGCCTCCCAAAACGCCACGCCATCATGCCTCTCCCGCACATTCCGCTAAACAAGCCACCATCTCGCCATCTCCTTCCCCCCAAGCGTCAGACGCAGAGAACCGTCCTCCCTCCTCGAAGCCCAACACTGCCAGCAGTAAAGGCAAGCGCATGCCTCTTGTGTCTCTTCCCGCCACAGCCACGCCCACGCGTCAGATGTCGCCTTCTAAACAGCTCTCGCCATCAAAACAAAACGTTATTGGCAGTCTGCAAAGTGTAGAGCCCTGGACGGCAGTTGATCTGGATGCCGTCTTTGGGGGATTCCACAACGACCAAGAGGACACGAATGGCGCAGCTGACCGTTTCTTTGCTAAGGGCGGCGAGCTCACGGAGCAAGAGCGTAACATGACTGTCGAGGAGTGGATTTACTATAACGCCGGCCAAGCTGAGCAGAAACTCAAGTTTGAGAGTGAAAGCATGGTGATGGCGTTCGAAAAAGAAGGGACCAGGGCTATGAGGGCCCTTGAAGGCCTGGTTGTCGCTGAATAAGAGACGACACTAGGCTTATCAGAAATACCTGTTTGTATATTGTATTGGACTACCATGTTGAGCTTATCACATCACCACGTTGAGGTGTGGAGTTGCACAAGAATGGTGTTCTCGGAGCTGAGGGGAAATTGTCTTGTCATTATAATGAGTCTGACAAATAATACGAGAGGGCAAAGATGGCTCGGCCTGATGGCAGGACTTGGTCTCTGGCTTGGGCTTTGCTGTCCCTACCCTCGGCCAGCAACCACGGAAGATGACTTAGAGACTTCTATGGTTGGATCTGGTACGGAAATGGCTGGTCTCTTCCAGGCTTGCCGCTGGGCAACGAAGGTTAAGGTGATCGTCGGGTCCGGACTGCGTCCATGCGGCTTGAGCTCTTTTGCGAGTGGTAATACGCAATGAAGGTGCTCGCCGCTGCTATTCGCGCGTCAACTGGCTAGGCAGCTCGCTCTTGTTCTTTCTCAGACTGGTTGTGTGGATTCGAAGCGTTGCATGGCAAAGGCGTTGATTGTTTGACATATGTATTTCCCGTTGTTGTCATTGTTACTTGATGGATACTCTTGGGTCTGCTGCTGACCGTTTGAGGACGCGAATGGAATTCGATACGTTCAGTCCACGCTTTCTCTACTTTTGAGGCGACATAATTGTGCTGCATGTCTCATGTCCTCATTCTCTACCTGCTCTGTTCTCACAGTGAGCGAAAACACTTTGTTGTAAGCGTAAGCTTGCACACTGACTTACCCCGAATCGTAGACTGTCAAGTACGTCTTCTGTCTGCGGACCGTGGCACTTGTACGTTGAGGTCAACATCTGCGAGGTGTGTCAACAAGAGCGAACAATCAGGACTGCGTTTTCCAGCGCCACGAGTTACCTTATTGGAGTATGCATGCAAAATTGGTCGGGGATGCAGACTAACTCTGCAAGCCAGCAGTGAGTGGTTGGGTGGGAACAACGCCGAAAATGCAACAGTCGCACTGAGCGTCCCGTGGGTTGCATGTTCACGGATACGATGGTGAAGTGACCTGTTAAATGTCGTCAGGCATTCCGACTCTCGGGTTCGTCCACCAGAGTATAGCCCGGTCATATAAGATTCATGTCTCGAGCCAAACTCTGTTTGCAATATTTTCTGGTACCTATTCCACAGCAATGAAGATGATCTTAATGCTCCGCCTCCTCCTCCTGGCATCAATGATAGGGTGCCGCGCCCACTCGCCCAAGATAGCTGCCATTGTCGCCAGAGCTCATCGAGGTGCGATATCTGGGAATAGAAGCTCCTCTCACGCAGGTGGTTGACCTGCCTTTAGATGGGATTGACTTGCCGTCCCTTCCTTTCGCCGAAGCAGCCTTCCAGTCCATTGAAGTTATCAGTCGGGCAAATACCACCGAACTAGATTTTACCAATGCGACAAGAGTCGATACTCATGGCCAGTACTTCGTCTCCTTTTGCTCATCCGTAACCATCGGAATCGTTTTCCTGACTGACGACGAAACAGTGCACGCAGTTCCGGACTTCTACTATGCTCTTGTTCCGGACACCGGGGGCAGGCCAACTCCTGCTTGGGATGTGGCTACACATTTACGATTCATGGCCAACCATAGCATTTCTCATGCAGTCCTTTCCATTTCAACACCGGTTAGCAATGTATTTCTGGGAAACCAGACTTTGTCTATTGGACTTGCAAGGCTATTGAATGAGTGGCTGGCCGAGGTGAGTGCATGGGTCCCAATTAATAGCCCTACAAGTGTCTATCGAGGGCTGCTAACGATGACGACTTCCATCAGCTTGTGCAGGCGTTCCCAAAGCGGTTCTCCTTCTTTGCTGTCGCGCCGTTGCCATACGTCAGCGCATCGTAAGCAGTCCCCGGACCTCGTTTCCCAGCACAGTGAGAATACTGTCTCTGAAGTCACCATGTAGTATGACTGAAGTCAACTACGCCCTGCAAGAACTTCACGCCAGGGGGGTTGGCCTCCTGACGAACCATGAGGGGCTTTATCTAGGCCATCCCGATCTCCGCCCGTTTTTCGCTTCTCTCAACTCGACCTCAGACAGGTCACCACCTATATTCGTGCATCCGACGTCACCGTTTCTAAGGATCAACGGGAGGTGAGTCGCCTTCGTGAGAACTAACTATGCAGCCGCGCCAGATAGCCGTGTCCTGCCCGACTCTATGCTTGACTACAAACAAGCAACGTTGCATTTATCAATTATATTCAAAAGCACAAGTACTTTTCAACGATCCAATCACTAATTCTATGTCCTGAATAGCTTAGTCGAGGCCAATCCAAGTAAGTAATCGTATCACAACATTGAAATTCGTCAGATACGAGGACCAGTGATTCTGATACAAGAGCAGCTCTTTATCCTACGGGTCTGGTCGAATATTATTTTGAAACCGCCCGGACCATGTTGGACTTGACGCTGACTCAAAGCTTTGTGAACTTTACAAACATCCGGTGGCTGTTCTCTCACTGCGGAGGGGCGTTCCCTCCCATTGAGGACCGAGCTCTAAAGCTCCAGCCGGCCATTGAGGTGCCCGCTAAGGCCGTCTATGGATCAAGGTACATGAGCTTCTTTTTCTGGAACATAGGAGCTTGCTTAGCTGCCGAAGGAGACCACAAGAACTGCATCTTTTCTTCCACTGATCTTCTCCCCTAGAGTCTGGTACGACAGCGCGGGCCCGACTTACTTTGCCCAAGTAAAAGGGCTCTTAGGATATGGAGTTCCGACGTCACAGCTAGTCTTTGGATCGGTAAGTCAGAGTTTACTTTGCGGCGATTGTAGGTTGCTAATGCCATTACTGATAGGACTATCCGTACGCACCTGGAACTTACGATTCAGGAATCGGTGCCATCCAGGAGGCGGAGTTTTTGTCCGATCAGGAGAAGGAAGCAGTGTTCTCAAGTAATTATGAAGCAGTCTTGGGTGAAGTGATGTAGATGCGTAATTTCCAGAGCATGCTACAGGCTTTTGCTGGAAAACGAATTCTTCAGGATATTTGAGTCTTATGTTTATAGCTCTAACACACAGAATGGCTCCTTTGGTCAGACTGGTAAAATACAGATCTTGTGTAGCCAGAGTTTCTTCCATACCCTTGTTGCACGTGTTTCTCTCGTACTTCGTATGTTCTAAAGGCTGCCGCTGCCTGAGCGGTGCGAAGTGGCGCAGAAATTTTGGGATACATGTCGCAGTAGTGCAGAGTAATGTTAGGCGTGCCTGTGATGAAGCCCATTGGCGCTGCGTTTTAGCCGCTCAAATGTAAGAGGCTTGGGATGGGGGACGTACATGACGACCACGACAACGGTGAATATGATGTACATAAGGGGAAGAGGCCAGGGGGTCTCAGCCAACTTGTTTGTCTTGCCCGTCGCGAGCAGCGTGACAAGACACAGCCCGACGCCCATGAGTCCTATTACGACTGAGCGCAATATGTTGAACACAGCCCAGCCCTGCCTCTTCGAAACGCCGTGGAGAATGGTAAGTAGGATCAGCATTACGCCGGCTGATAGGAAGGCGTAGATGAACTAACTTTTGTCAGTGTATTCTTTTCGGGGAGACTTGGATCGTACATCCGAGACCGCTTACCACAAGGTTGAACTTCTTGCCGATATAGCTGGCAACTGACATGGCGGACAAGCGATCGCGTTTGATGCCGCTCATCCCAAAATTGCTCAACACTGAGTTCATGACAGAACACAAGAGATCCTCCCTGTCAATGAGCCAATGGTCCGTAATTGTTGAATTGCCACGGGAAAATCCGACCCTGCTGACAGGCGTGCCACCGTTCCTTAATATTTGCCCCCATAGCTCATCTGGGAGGTGCGAGATATCATTCAGCCTCGACATGACCTTGTTCACTGCGACCATTACGATGAGTAGAGAAAAGTGGAACGGCGCGCGAAGCATCGCCCAAAGAAGCTGTCGGCGGGAGGCCATGTGGTTGGGATGCATCCAGTCGAAATAGATCTGGAAGATCAGGTAGATGGCCACAAATCCTGACACGAATACAGTCCACATGGATATGGCTGGAGTTGTTCACGCATTAGTTAAGATGCTTGGGGCAACAAGGGCTGTGGAAACTTACTCCATTCGTGCCATCCTAAAGTTGCTTCTATCGTGGAGACGTTCTTGGCAAGTTTAATGATTGCTCCAAACCAAGGTTAGCTTTGAGAAATTGTTTTTATGTGAAGCTTTTTCGCCTAGTGACGAGACGTACCTTCACCGAGGATGATGAGCGTGAGAAGATTGAGCCTCTCCGCCAAATGGGACCCCTCAAAGCTGACAACTTTGTACTTTCGAACCATAGAGACGGCCAAGTTCCCTACTATCTCCAACATGGAAATGACAAACAGCACATCGTGAGTCGCCGGTTGGTTCGAAGAGCTGGTAGCGCCTAGAATGCCGGCATAGCAGATGGCCGCAGCGAGAGGAATCGACACTGTTATGAGCATCGGCACCCGGGCCTTCCTGTAATGTCTCAAATGCCAGAGGATGATGGCATTCTGTGCGAACAGAACAAGTCGAGATAGCATCAGTGTCGCGGCTGACACCTCGTTAGCTCGGCGGAAGACGGCTCAGCCTCGACCAAGCGCGAACTCACCCAACGTCATGGAAACGCCCGTCATCTTGTGCAAAGCGTTGAAAAAAGGGGCCACCTCGGTAAAAGATATCATGACCGCAAGGTGCAAGGCCAAGACAATACGTTCTACGTTCGTGAAAGTCCCGTTAGCAGAAATGTACCAGGCTGACGTCTGAAGAACGCTCGCTGCTGCTTACCTGTCCAACTATCTGCGAGAAACCTCACATCATAAATGACCACTAGAAACCAAGTAGTCCAAAGAAGACTGGGAGCACTGTCAGCTCATGGTCGTCTGTTGGCAAGATCCCTTCTCTGCACTTACAATTCAAATTCAATGTATGACGCCAAATCTTTCAACTCAATTATTTCGTGGGTCTAGAACCTCAGTCAGCATACGCGCTATTCGGGTCGCTCATCATGTACTGAGCTTGCATCTTCTGGATTGAACAAGATGAAGCAAACGTACCGATGGGAAAATATTGAGCGTGGCCACGAACCAGAGGTCGAAAAACAGTTCCAGTAATGTTGCACTTTCTCTCTAAAATGATCAAAGTTCGTTAACACCTGGACTTTTTCCAGATATATCCAGAGAATCAAGGGACAACCCGGGTCGAGTATGACATACCTTGACGATCTCAGGCTGCGACTCAAGGTAGATGGACATATCATCTACTCCCGAGTCTCTCACTGGGTGCATTGTAGAGCCATGGTCGTCTTTTGAGTCTCCATGAGCCTCGGTAGGACTGCCATGCTCCTCGTCCTTCGACCCGGGCGCATCCAATTTAAGCATCAAGCGCAGCTTGTGTGTGTGGTACGCGAATGTCGACATCCGCGGCATGTTACTCCTGATACCATGACTGGGCCCTGCCAGAGTCGTCAACTTGGTGATTAGACGCCATTTTTTTGGGGAAAAAAAGACAATCGCTTGGTCAAGTTCAAACCTGAAGAAACGAAGAACGGAGCTCAGGGCAAACCGGCCCTGGAATGATTCTACATCGACTCTAAATTTGTTGTGTCTTCTGGCGACCATCTTATGGAAAGCCAAGAAGGCATCGAATATTACTTCATCTTGTGTTTGTTCATTGTGCACTCGGGGTTCAGGCGCGCCTTGCCGACGGCCATGCGAGTCCTTGCTGAGTCCTCAGTGCCGTCGGCTAACACGACCCTTTCCAGTGATCGATAATACGTGGCGCGATCCTGCACATCGTTCTTGGCCGTCCCGTTCGACCCAGTTCGTCACCACCTTCCTGTGCTATCTTCCCACTTATCATTTGCCAAGCGGTAGGCCGTTGATCTCATCACAATTGCAGGATGCTTGGCAGCCAGCGACGAGGAGGAACCTGCCCCTGAGTCTAACCGCCTCGCGCGAAGTCAACCCAATTCTAGGGGCCCGAACCACCGGAGCTCTAGCACGTGGATAATTCCCAGACCCTCAAGTGCGTAATGTTCCGCTCGGAATAATGTCCAGGCAGTGGTGAGCGGGAGGCTGGTACTGGTGGAATCATCTGGGAAGCCCACGCTTATTTCGTTTAGGCAGTGAACGAAGTAAAGTAGAGGGTTCGAGAAACCAGTGCAAAGGGCACCAGGAACATTGTCACATCCGGTGAGGATACTGTTCGTGCCGCGCAGCCGGGGCGTTTGCTGCTAAGACCGCTTCAGAGAATAACGGCCAAGTGCGTAATGAGGCGGTATTGAGGGTGGGGCCGCGTGGCCATCATGAGGTTCACTCAATCCAGAAAGCTTGTCTTGACTTGGATCGTCCGAAGTTCCAAGCCATATATGCTTTGCCACCTTGTTAATTCCCCGACAGACCGTCCGATGTTGGCGGCCGAAGTGGGCGTGAACGGGTAACGCATATCCGGGGTCCTAGCGGGGGGACATATATAGACGCGACCGCCCCAAACTTAACCTAGTGGCAGTGACAGTACGATTGCAAAGTAACATGCCATCCCATCTCGATGCGTCTTATGACAGCAGCGAGAAAATCGAAACCACCGTGATTATGCCTACATAGCTAGATAATTTGCAGTGAAACTAGTTGACAATCGTCCACCTTGCACCAGAGATCCCAAAAGTCGGGTGTGCCATGGCCGCACAGAAACAAAGGCCCCTTGCATGTCTCGACTTACAAAAGATTTCATATCTGTAGCCCCAAGAAATACGTTTGACGTTGTGCGTACACAGACTGAGATCATACGTGTGAGGTCAACATTCCGTCAACAGCGCCTGCCCGCGATCTTAACTTTCCCGGTCACTTTCGCCTCCCCAAGAATAGCATCGTTTGCGGTATAATCTGCAGAGTTTCGTTTTACCCTGCAAGCACGGTCCACATTACGCCGGTCAGAGATATATGAACAACGTAGATGCGTTGGTTCTGCCGGCCTTTCCGTCAAGAACCAACAGGTGATCCTTGGCAATAACTGACGTCGTGGCTACCTGGGTAGTCTCAGCGTGTTACGCGTAAATATCCAGGCAGAGTCTAGACTGTGACTGAGAGCAGCCTCATTGGCACACTGAGAATGTTCTCCAGGCTGTGTAGCACCATATCGCCGTGGCGGCGGCGGCGGGAGAACACCTGCACCCTTCCAACCTGAGAACAACATAAGCATCGAGTTCGGGATCGAGATGGTCCATAAAGAAGTCGGCACCCGGCACAAGTGTTGCACCAAAAGTGTGCACTCATTCTCCTCGAGGAACGCCAAGCCGGTGGCGAGCTGATCAAGCCAGTTGGACTTCGACGGCTTTGCCAGGTAAGTTATGACGCGCGCACGCACTACTGGTGCCCACCAGCTTATAATTCGACTTGAATGGCACTTGATTCTCGGCTCATACTCAAGCCGGACTGACTACCGGGCCTACCTGGCCGTGCTTATCCAAGCGGCATGCAGTGCCTGCGCCAGTTCGTCTCCAGTGTAATCAAGTTTCAAGCAACAAGAGATAAATTGTTGTGTAAGTTTGTAACTAGAATTAAAATTTTTAGCATTATAACAGCGTGCTAAATGGGCAGGGGAACGAATAGAACGAATATTGGATGTTGGGAGAGAGAGCGAGTCCCGAGCCCATTGTGAGAATTACTATGGACGGAAGGCAAATATTTGGGCAGCCCAGGCCGTCCAACATTTCAAGAAGAATGATCTTCAATTTCCTAAAACAGAGAACAGTGATGAATAGGTCTATGATTTTAAAGGCTGGGGCTTTATATAGTGAGCTGAATTGGCAGGTTCAATGACGACTAGTCTGATGGAGACGAAGTCGCCTTGACACATAGACTAGCATTAGGAATTACCCGTGAGCTCTGGGTTCTGATTGTGTCTCCCACTCGACCAGTTCGATGTTCATGTGTCGCGTAAGAATTTCCCACTTGAGTCTTCAAAATGAAGGACGACTAATAAAAATCAGGATGAAATAAATTGGTGTCACAAATCACACTCAGGGCAACAAGGAGTCGAAATGAAAAATGAGGAAAGGACAAATAGGGGAGGGATAACTGGCTTGACCTGGTTGCGACAAATAATACAAGTGAGCAATTGAAGCTCCGCCAGTCTTGACAGGCTACCCCCAAGCAGTATTGATTAGCCACCCCTCATGATCTGGATGTTGTGCCAGACTACGTAAAGGTGTCCCATGTAAGGCATGAGAGACGGGATGAGCGTGGCTCTTCAAGCAGCATCGGCCGCCGCCCCAATGTTTCGTCGTCATTCCATGAAGTCTCTGACAGATCAAGCCAAGGACATAACGGCCGGTAGGCATTTAATTATATGTGTACCTATAATTGAAGACATTGCCTTCGTATCACGGAAAGAGATGAAGAGATTGAGAAGAGCAACGGGCTAGGTGAAGATTAGGAAAATCGCCAGGGCGAGAATAACAGTATCGAATTTGTATGAAGGTCCGGGTCCATACCAGATCCGAAATAAACGTGAAAATACTTTTCTGGCCCAAATAATCTAACCCGTCCATTGTCCCCAACCTGATCCATGAATTCTGTCAGTAACCCTTCTGGTGAGCCGCACCTGGGCTCGCTCCTAAATTTTGTCCTTGACAGCCACACATGAGTTTTGATGTCGAGAGAATTGGTTCTACAGGTTCGAAGATGCTGACAAGATGTTCACGAAACTTGTATTTCCTCTCATACTGTACAGAAGGGGAGAAGGACAATAAACAAAATCAAGATATACTGGGCCACCCCAGCGCCGCCTCAAAGCTCGAGCGGATACACCGACGGGGCCCGAGGAGAACGACTGAGCTCTCCTGGTATGAAACTGGACAGAGAAAAAGGAAATGACGGATCTTATGCAAAATGTGACGCAGGTAGGGAAAATTGTTTCTCCCGCCTTGTTGATTCATGGAATATTTTACGAGCACCTCGACTGCTTGTACTCGTCGCTTACGACGCTGGCATGGGTGACTGCCTCAAGGTCTGCCGACGGCTTTATCTTTCTTTGTCTACTACCAAGCCGTCTGGGCACGCAATATGCTTCTGAAAATACGACTCGACTGTTTTTTTTTTTTTTTTTTTTTTTTTTTTTTTTTTTTTTTTTTTTTTTTTTTTTTTTTTCTTTTTGGCGCACTGAGGGCCGGATGTGGCGCAATTGCCATCTTGCACGTCACGTTCACTGTGGCGGAGAAAAGCACGGAAAACATGCATGGCCTCGCAAGAATGATGTACGCCTTTCCTTCGTATCGAATCGCGCATGGAGAAAGGAGTCGGGTTGAATCGAGATAAACACTGGTCGATTCCATGAGTGGAGTCCATCAATCAGTACTGAAGACAATGCCGTCTACTTCACGCTTGGCTGTGCTTAGTGGACTTGGTCTAACACCTTGTTTGAGTATTTGCTGCGAACACAACAGGTTGCTTTTCATCACTTTCCTCGCACCCAAAAGCTTGGAAATATGACAACCTTCAACGGTTCCCAGTTCTCAAACCAAGGACAGTGGGTCCAACGTTCTGGAAAGCGGGAGATCGTCGAGGGCCCAGAACTCGTCCGGCCCGCGATCGTCCAGGCTATCACGCCTTGAATAATGAGCGGCTCCAAGCCGAACTATTAGGTATACAAGGTTGATGGCCCGGCATAGTCAACGGTTTCATGCACAAGATACTATGCATGCAGGGACCCATATTAATAGGGCTGCTCGAGTAAGGACTCGAGCACGCGAGCGTTCGTTTCCTGTGGCGCGTTCGTTCCCTGATTGTTGTTGTGACGTTAATAAGCTCAGCCCTCAGCCCCGAGCCCCGACGACGTTGAAAGTTGAAATATCAAGGAATATCAACGCCATTGGCGTCGTCCGACACGAAGATGATCTCATACAGATAGAAGCACAACAAAATATATGGTTAGTTTGGCACGGGTCATCGTTGCCCCATTTCTAGCGCGAGGCAACGTTGTGCGGCCCAGGGCAAAAGAGGAAGGTGTCCAGGGGACGTATGGCTGGGTCAGATGAGGTGCGACGCACGCGAGCCTTGAACAGCATTGCTAACTCGGGGTGTCTGCAGCTGTCGGTCACGACCCCTGGCACCTTGGCGCCCAGCGACACAAGCTTTTGACAAGGGATCTTGGCGAGTTGCCCCAGGCTGTTAGCTCCCACACAAGCACTCTGATGAACGGTTGTCAAGGCCGATCGGCAGATGGTAGTGTCTGGGCTGCAGAACCGCGCGGCCTGCGTCTGACGCTATTCCGAACTTCCCATGGAGGGAGTATTGCCGTGGCTTGCGTCCCATTGTGTGATGTCGATGGTCTGATAGCAGTGTTTTCAAGATTGAGCGTGGTGCTGCTGGGCCTCTCAATGCTGACGAGATATGGCTTCACGTCAACGTCTTACGAGAATAAAACAACCTGTGTATGCATTGGCGACATCACGCACTTGATAGCGCACCAGTCGACTGTCCTGACGAAAGCGTCCTGCTGGCCATTCACGGGGCGCGTTGATAGCACTAGGAGGAGTAGCCCCTCTCGAATCCCCTGCAAATGGCCTGCTGCGTTGTATCTGGAGGTTCCCGGAAATCAAGACGTGGTGAGGTCCAGCAAGATTCTGCCTCCCCCGGGCGCCACCACCACCCCGAATGCTCCCATCTCCCGGACCCCGCCCGGCCTATGGATCCTAGCCTTGGCTAGATCTGCCGGCCGAGTCCAGAATTATCACATTGATTGGTGGACATGACCACCGGGGACACAGCATATGTTGCGATGCTGATGGGGTTCCCGTATCTCATATCTCGTACGGCGGCTCATTGGACCGCGGGACTGTGTGGATGTTGATCTTCGATCTTTCTGGTCCACACCTTTAAGCTTGATATCAAGCTTGGTGGGATGGCGCCAGTGCTTTGATATCCCTGCCCAGACGTCCTGTCAACACCACGCTGACCAGCCAGAGAGAGAGAGGCTCTGCACTAGACATTGTTCGGTTGACTTTCTTTCATGAATCGGGAAGGTGGTAGTAAACATTTAACGCGCTGCTGTGGCACCATATGGGGCAAGACAGCCTCATTCGATATCTCTCTGGCCTCGTAATGTCGCGTTGCAGCCCGGGTCACCGGCGCCACGCCTCGTGACAAGTACGTAGAGAGATGCATGAGTGCAGCTGCTCGTCGATCACGCAAGTCCTCGATCACGAAGAGCTCAGGTACAAAGATGCTGTAATGCCCTCGTCGTAGATATCAGATGCTCCTCTTCACCAGCGGCCTTTGAGCACCCACCAGATCCAGGACTAACAGTTGTCTCCTCGTCTTCCTCTTTGCACCAGTCGGAACCAGTCACCGCCTTCAAAATGAAGTTCTCTGCTCTTGCTACCGTCGCCCTTGGCGCTGAGGTTGCCCTCGCTGCCCGTTGGACAGAGAAGCGTCGTGAGCGCCACGCTGCCCGCGCGGCGTCCCGTCAGACCAACCCGCTTCTCCCTGCTACGGAAGTCGACGGTCTTCAGGTCGAGGCTTTCACCAACGAGACTGCCCATGCCGAGTACTCCTCTAACTGGGCGGGCGCTGTTCTCATTGGCACTGGCTACAAGTCGGTTACGGGCACCTTTGTTGTGCCGACCCCTTCCAAGCCTTCTGGAGGTAGCTCCAGCACTGAGGTCAGTTTCCGAAAGCCTTTCCGCGAATTGATTGCTATCATTGAAAATCACGGCGTGCTGAGGGGCTTTCCGGAGTAAAACATGCTGACTCGGAGCGATACAGTATGCTGCCTCAGCGTGGGTTGGCATCGACGGTGACACTGCCACGAATTCGATTCTCCAAACCGGCGTCGACTTTTATGTCCAGGGCTCCACGATCAGCTTCGATGCTTGGTATGAGTGGTACCCCGACTATGCGTAAGTTGCTACACCATCCCCGGGAACAATTCTGAGATCCATGATAAGGCTAACCCGCGTTGCAGCTATACCTTCAGCGGTATCAGCATCTCGGCCGGTGATACTATCACCGTGACTGTCACAGCTACTTCCACCACAGCTGGAACCGCTGTCGTGAAGAACGTGTCGAAGGGTACCTCGGTCACCCACACTTTCACCGGCCAGACCCGTGCTCTGCAGGAGCTCAACGCCGAGTGGATCGTGGAGGACTTCTCCTCTGGCGGTTCTCTCGTGCCATTTGCCGACTTCGGCACCGTGACCTTCACCGGAGCCTCTGCCAGCGGATCTTCCGGCACCGTGACTCCCTCCGGAGCGACTCTCATCGACATCAAGCAGAACGGAAAGGTCCTGACCAGCTCCTCTGTCTCCGGCTCCTCTGTCACAGTCGAGTACATCGGTTAGACCAGACAGGGTCTATAAGCGCATACATGAGATGTGCTGTTGGGATGGATTCGGGTGTCGAAGCCGGGGTTCCGGCCGAGGAGACTGAGATGTCGGGGTAGCCGGAGATGAGGGGTTTGAATGCTGCTGTTGTATTTATCTTCTCGTCAGTTGGGTCTGGCCATGGCCGGACATGGCAACTTTTGGAATACATGAAGATCCTGCCCCGCTCTACATTGTGTTGTGTTCCCCAGAGGCTGCGAGTTGGCGAATTGGTTTTGTTGTAATCGACAGAAGAAGACGCGAAGAAGCGCATGTTAGGCCAGCTTGACCCAAGTATTGCTGGGTAGGCATCTAGAGTGTACAGTCAGACGGCTCCGGGCCGTCCCTCCACCGAGTGGCCGAAGCTGCTGTGGATGCCGCAGCGACCCCACTGAATGACGCTAGTCTTCCGGGGCACTCAGTGGACCTCGGCTCCCAACCACCGTGTCTGCGATCTCGGCCAGCGGTCCATGGATGGAGAGGGTTCGCTTCTCCTGTAAGTCCTGCATTGTTGGTTTCCCAATGTGGACACCAAGAATGGCTTCCAGCAGTTTGTCGACGGTGCTGAGGTCCTGCAAAGGTGTGCGGCCATGTCTGTCTCAAATATCGAGTGTCGGCAGGTCCCAGGCTGGTCTCGCTCGGCACTCCTCAACGGCTGCCGGCTTGCTGCCTCTCCAAGGTTACCGGGTGCTTGACATGACCCGTGTGTTGGCAGGTGTAAGTTGGCCTCTGCGTGTCAAGCGCCAGTTGTTTTACTGATTCAATGGTGTAGCCTTACTGTACACAGATCCTCGGTGACCTCGGGTAAGTCCCTCTTCGTCGTGCAACCACTTCCGGCCCGTGGATGCTGAGTTTATCCAGTGCTGAGGTCATCAAGATCGAGCATCCAGTCCGCGGTGATGACACAAGGGCCTGGGGTCCTCCGTATGCAAAGTACAGAGAGGGCTCGGAGCACCAGGGGCCCGGGGAGTCGGCTTACTTTCTAGGTGTGAGCAATTGACTCCCTGGATCTGTCAACAGCCCAGAAACTGACCCTGCAAAGGTAAATCGGAATAAGAAGTCATTGGGCTTGTCCTTTCAGGATCCTGCCGGTGTAGACATTCTCCACAAGCTGGCGGCCAAGTGCGACATCCTTGTCGAGAATTACATCCCCGGAGCGTTGAAGAAATACGGCCTGGACTTCGATACCATCCACAAAATTAACCCGGCCCTGATCTATGCCTCCATCACCGGATACGGCCAGAGCGGCCCGTACTCGCAAAGAGCAGGTTATGATGTGATGGTGGAGGCAGAATTCGGCTTGATGCACATCACCGGCGCCCGTGATGGTCCCCCAGTCAAGGTCGGTGTCGCTGTCACAGATCTGACCACGGGTCTGTACACGAGCAACTCCATCATGGCTGCTCTTCTTGGCCGTCAGAAGTCGGGCAAAGGGCAGCATCTGGATGTCTCCTTGAGTGACTGCCAGACTGCCACCCTGGCCAATATTGCCAGCAGTTGCCTCATCAGTGGCGAGAAGGATACAGGGAGATGGGGCACGGCACATCGTGAGTCCACCGGATTCCGCGTTGTTTGTCCTCGTTTTGGCTAACGTGTGCAGCATCAATTGTCCCGTATAAAGCCTTCAAGACGAAAGACGGCGACGTTCTCTTTGGTGGCGGCAATGACCGATTGTTTGGTATCCTGTGCGACGGCCTGGGCAAGCCGGAGTGGAAAGACGACCCGAAATTCAAGGTCAACTCGCAGAGAGTCGCGAATAGGGACGAGCTCGAGTCAGAGATCGAAAAGGTTTCGACGCAAAAGACCACGAAAGAGTGGCTGGATGTCTTTGAAGGAAAGGGAATGCCCTACGCCGCGGTGAATGACGTCCAAGGGACGTTGAACCATGAGCACACCCTGGCACGCAACATGGTCATAGAGGTTGATCATGAGGACTGCGGTCCTATGAAGCTGGTCAACACCCCGATGAAGTTTTCCGAGAGCAAGCCTGGGCTTCGAAGTCCACCACCGACCCTAGGACAGCATACTGATGAGGTGTTGCGGGACCACGTTGGCTTGGATGAGGCTCAAATAAGGAGCTTGAGAGAGAAGGGCGTGGTCAATTGAGACTACCCCCCCCCCCATGTGTGAAAAATACAGGTATTGGTCGTTGATAGATGCCCCTGACACCTCGATAAATATTATAAAGTTCTGTCTGTTAATTTTCAGTAAATGAAGGGTCTCACGAATGATCTCCCATCATCGCCACCTGCATAGACTAACTGATGGAGTTGTTTCCTGATCTTACAATGGAAAAGTGACAGACGCATCATTTATCGTTTGGGCTGAAGATTCATTCGTTCCTGAAAAAATCAAGTGTCGCAGCTTCGATCAGGAGGTGCTGAACGCAAAAGTGAAGAGTAGAGGAAGGAAAGGTTTGGAGGGGTCGCTTGTCACTTGCCACGTGATGTGCACGTGCTTCTCGACATCGAGCCACGCCTCAGCTAACCTCACCTGCAGCATCTCACCCTAGGCGCAGCAAAGCACTTACAGGGCCAACTCCCTCGGGAGAGAAATCATGGCTGACACAAATTCAACGACAGGCGCTTCAGCGCCAGCGGGCAATGATGGCGATGGCAAAGGCACAGCACCTGCAGCACCGCCCCCAGCAGCGGCAAACCCATCTCCTGCGCCTGCCTCGCGCTCGTCCTCCCCATATGTCAGCGATGGCTCCAGGAAGTTCTCGTCTCCGTACACTCCCCAGTTTTCGCCTGCGACACAGATGATATTGAAACGGATGCGCGGCGAATCTGGCGGGCTGAATTCCGCCCTCGCATCGGCCACCGCGCCTGACGCGCCGAGACCCAATTTCCCACGGCCGGTCTACGAGAGCGTCAGAGAGCGCATTGTTGCGAGCATGACGAGTGGCAACACCATGTCGTTGCCGGCGCCGCCGTCTTCTTCGAGTAGCATAACAGCCAGCACAATGCGCTTACCTGTGAAGCCGGCGTTGACGAGCGGCTTGAATGGAAGACCACCAGTGGCAGGTGGCCAGAAGCGCAAACGGGCCTATGGCGACGGCGACACTAGTGATGTTTCCTTGCCGGCAGAGGATTCGGACTATGGCGAAGGCATCAAGAAGGCAAAACCAAAGCAAGCAGCAACACCCCAGATCACACAGTCAGGGAGGCGAATTCTGAAGCCGGATACGTACGACCCCGCCGCCGAGGACAATGCGAAGAAGAACGCACGCTTAGGGAAGCGGACGACGGAGCAGGCTCTTTGCAAGAAGTGCACCCGGATGCACAGTCCCGCTACCAACCAGATGGTGTTTTGTGATGGGTGCAATGACCCGTGGCACCAGCGGTGCCATGATCCTTGGGTCGAAGACGAGATCATCAAGGACCAGAGCTTGAAATGGTATTGTGTGATCTGCCAGGCGAAGAGGGAACGGCTGCAACCGAAGAAGAAGGTCGAGCAGCCTAGATTTGGCAGTTGGGCTGACAGACCAGCCTCGCAAGTGAGTTTATTGCTCCCGGACGCCACTTGGACTTGTAACACTTACATTCGCAATAGAAACGAGCCTATCTTTCAGCGCTCTCTCCAGACGGCTTAGTCAACCTCATAATCCACGCCACCGAGCTGCATCCCGACCTGCCCATCTTCCCGATCGAGTCCACCTCGTCACCCAGCAAGTCATCAGCCGGCAGCACACCGCGGTCCCTATTTGCCGGTGCCTCAGCAGGCGGTCTCTTCCACCGCGCCGAGGCGAACCCCACAGGCCCACTGAACTTCATCCGCAAGATCCCGGCCAACGCGAAGAAGTCAACCCTCGCCAAAGCCCGGTCGGGCACCGGCTCCCTGCAAAGCAAGACCGCAGCGCAGGCCAGCGCCCTCGCGGCTGGAAATCAGGTCTATGACGAAGAGGAGTCTTCCTTCACCAGGTTGTGGCCCAGGCCGGGGAAGGGCATGTACAGCCGGCTTCCGCCGGAAGCGGATGACGACCGTGGGTTGACGGACGATAATGACCATGCTGCATTCAGCGTGATTATCTTCAATGAGAAAGGAAGTACGTCGCGTTCCTGTCCAAACTTCCCTCAAAAATCGTACAGCCTCTAGCCGACTGGCTATTTCGAGTACTTCCTGAGGCAGCCGCTTTGCCGATTTTGCTGACGAATACGCAAACAGAGAAAATCGAGGAGAACGGGGTCAAGGTTTAGAGACCTATCACGAAGATCACCTTGAAAACCAAACGAGTGCCTTGACCTACGGCCGAAGTCAAACTCGAAGCATGTGCATGCTGAGGTAGCCAAGCGGACCAAAACTGGAAACGGTTCAACAAGACATTCAAATATGCCCTGACTCAGAAGTGATGGTGTTAGCATTAGGAATATATGCAACTGATCATAATTGCTAGCCAGTTACATCTTGAGATCATGGCTTGAACTCTTCTCGTGCCACGTCGGTATGAGCACCGCCTTCGTCCTCCAATGTGTCCTCCGAAAACGCAGTGCTTGTTCTCTGGCTCGTTTCGGCGCTCACAGTCTTGCTATCTAGATTGCCCGCTGACGCCGCCTGGGACGATGACTCCCCTGATGTCGAAGACGCCCCACTTCTACTCATCGCATCTGCTTGTGTGCTGTTCTTTTCGCCCGAGTGAATCTCATCTAGAGCGACAATCGCCTCTGTATCAAAACCGCGCTCAACCTGGGAAGGTGTTTGCGGATGGCTTCCTCGCGTACGCGGCGCTGACATGGGGTCCGAAACCTGGGGAATGCCACTGCCGGCTGGTCCTCCGTGCCGAGAGAACAACATTCCGGTCCGTAGATCTCTGCCCAGAGTATGTCGGTGTATGCTCGTGTGTAGCAGGTCCCAAATTCCAATCACCCATAAGAAAAGATGAACAATGGGACCAGAGAACCCCGACCCCATCCCCCAGTAAGAGTAACCGTGTGGGAACACTTCTCTGAAGCCGACATAGACCAGAAACATGGCAATGTAGCCCAGCCCGGCTAGTAAGCGCAGGAGCAAGGCCAAGGCTTGCCATTTTCTCATAGCCCTGCCGACGGAGTAGATGTCGAGAGATATATCGGTAGCGACGAGGACAGTAAGCGCAATAGCTGGCGGCCTGTATCAACAAGGTCAATCTGTTAGTGAGCCCAGTCCAAGTCCAATGCTAAGCAGCACCAAGCCCGTGAGAACTTCAACAAACCTTTGCTCCCGACCTCTGTGCCTGTACAGAAACTCTGCCATGATCGAGAGAAGCAACGAGCACGCCGCGGCATGCGCCACGCCATTCACGACCCGCAACGCAACTTTCGCCCAGCGGCGCTCGTAGATCTCAGACCAGCTCCAGCCGCCTGTCCCGCGGATCGACCTCTCGTACGTCGAATGCGCAGGCGTATATTCCTCCATTGGGGCCTCGATAAACACTGATCTCCGGCTATGCGCCGTGGGAGGTGGTCGCGTGACGGGCGCGGTCGACGTGAATGGTGCCATGCTGCCGTTTCTAAGCTTCTTGGTTGGCGCCCCTCGAAACTTGGCGTGTCGGTTTGCGCCGCTCCTGATCCTCGCCCAGCGTGGAGTTGCCCCAGACTTGAGACATGCGGCTTGTGTTTTCCCGAATACCCAAAGGGCCCTTTGAGCGAGCGTGAGTCGAGAGCCGTCACAGGAAAACAAAGCTGGGCTCGTGCCCCTTGTCTATGTCGCGTGAGACCAACTCACTTCTCAGAGATGACCGGAGGGAGACCGGTTCAGGTGGCCTTGTACGGCCCAACTGCTCAGGGAGAAAAAAACATTCGAGTCATGGTTCCTCTCGTGTCTTTGAACGAGGGACTGGTTCTGGTGGGGAGGGGGGCTCGTCTTTCCGGCGAGGGAATCGCCAGATCGGGTCAGATCACCGTCAAGCCGCCCATGTCACGTCTTGGCAGGGCAGGCGAGGACCCTCCCAGGTTTCGTGCCCTCGTGGTGGCGCGTGAGAGAAGAGCCGAAGTCCCTAGCCTTCAAGCGGCAGTTCTGGGGCTCTTCGGTCCCATCAGGAGCTACATAGTAATGGTCTTGCAGGAAACGTCGTAGGTTGGCAAGGTCAAGAGCCGAGCCGTTTCGAACCTGCAGCTCCCGAGCAGGGCTGTAAGGTCTGGCAGCTGGAGGGTGGCGCCCAAGCACCGCCCGCCAATGGACGGTCTGGGCCTTCTGGATCCTGGTTCAGGGTCGTTTGGTGGGGCATCTCCACCCCCACAGCAGACCGGAATTGGGTTCCTGCAGCTGTGACGTCCCGCTGGGGTCAGGGGGCCAGGTATTTTCGAATTTCCAGCTTTGGATCCAGACTGGGCATAGCAGCAAGATTGGCCAGCGGGGGGGGCTCCCGCATTGGGATGCAGACATTGAATTCCTTGGTATCTCTTTGTGTTGGACCATACATGTCATTTCTATGGTTTTTCCTAAATTCAATCTCGGCTTTCCAAGCCTGGCTCAGACTTGCCTTTTACGACTTCATGGTTTCGCAGGGCCAGATATCGCAGACAACGGGTTTCTGCACGAAACAACACAATCGTCATGATATCGGTAAAGGCTCCATAACTCAGAAGTATCTGTAATGTCATCACTGCCAGGATGAGGCTGAGCTAGCCCCAGATCATCTGTCCCTCACGATAAAAGCGTGGTACCTTTGACCTTACCACTCTCCATCTTGGCTGTTCGGGAGCCGAATTGTATCTGTCGGGACTGAGTTAGGATGACGGGTAGGATGACGGGTTGAAACAAGAGGGAATGACCGGACCACTCACAGCCCGCTTCTTCTCAGTGGCCACATTGCCCATGCCGAGCTCCAAAGCGAGGAGCCGCAAGACCCGCTTGCCCGCTTCAACAAGCCCATCAGGATTGCTGAAGTCGCATTTCTCCCACACTGGAGTCCTGATAGCCCACCGAACCAGCTCTTCGTCCAGGTACGGGAAGCGGACCTCTTTTCCCCAGTGCGACATCACTCGATCATCTCTGCCCAGGTTCCGCTTGCCCAGTCTGCTAACGTCAAGCTTAAGCTCGTCGACCAAGCCCGGGTAGCCTTGTCTTTGGAAGGCTGTTGCGTGGCGTTGGTAGCCTCCAAAGAGCTCATCGGCCCCAAGCCCTGAGAGAAGCACACGTGCTGCTGTAGTGTAAGCTGCTGAGGCAGCTGTGGTAGCATCGGCGAAAGCAGTGCCCTGGCCCCGTGCAGAAAAATACAGAGCGCTGGCTATGGAAAGGTCCATCTCGGTGTTGTGAGGATATATGAGAGATATTACCTCGCCCTTGTGGGTTGAGTACTCGGAGTAGGGAACATTCACCTGCTGTGAGTTGAGTACTGGCACCAGAGATGCGTAGCATTGGGAAAACGTACTGCAAGAAATTTCCAGGCCCGCTCAGGACAGACTTCTTGAAGCTCAGCGAAGGACTTCCTTCCTGTCATCCTGTCCGGGCAGGCCTCGTAAATATCAAATGGCCCTGAGTCCTCTTGGCCCCTCAACTTTTGAGCGTTGGCCGCAACTCGAGGATTCTCGAACGCGACATTGATCAAGTCAATACCTTGGTCAAGGGGAACGAGATCGTGGCAGATCCTTGCCATCACAGTGCAGTCCAGCCCACCGGAGAACAGTACAGCCACCCTCGGTGTTTCCTGCTTCTCATCGGCTCCTGGTGGCGAAGGTACATCCAGAACGCGCAGTCTGAGGGATTCCGTCAACTGCTGCCGAAGTGTCTTCACCACGGGCGAGTCGGGAACTAAGCAGATGTCCTCGGATGGGACAGTTGAATTGAACCGGCCAATGTTGGAGACCTGTATGAGTAAGTCCCAGATACTTGCTGGCATCAAGATGTAGCAAATGAACAAGCTGCAGCAGTACACTCACAAAGTCCGCTGCGCCGTTATCCCCCAGCCACTCCAGCCTCCTCGTCGCATGATTTTGATCTTGCAAATGGATATTCGCCACATCCAGAACGTAGATACCGTCGGCCCCGACCTCCCTCCACTGCGGATCGGCAGCATCTGTGATGCTGGACAGGACAACGCATTGGCCGCCCTCGCGGATCACCAGTGATCGTCGTCCAAGGCGGTCGCGACCATAATAGACCTTTCCCGAGGGCTTATCGAAGAACACGAACGCGAACGGACCGTCGATAGACCGGAGTACCGCCAAGATGGCAGTCTCGCGTTCTTCCAGGCCACGACTCACAGCCTCGATTAGGAGGGCAGCTATCGCCTCGCCGTCGTTGCCAGAGACGTCGTGGTGCCGGATCTTCCACGCCTCTCCGTTCCAGCAGAAGACGGACCCAGTCCCGGGGTCGACGAACGGCTGCTGGGCGATGTGGTCACCGCGAAGGGCAAGGACCGAGGAGGTGAAGGCGAGACGGGTCGCCGGTGCGCCGTCGGCGACGCCATCGGCCAGTCGCGTCTCGTGTGTGGTGATGTGGTCTGGTCCGCGGTTGCAAAGACATCGCCGTAGATCGGCTGCGATGTCCCCTGGCTGTGATGCAGATATCACAGCGTGGATCCCACACATGTTGCCATGGGTGTCATGAGCTAGGACTGGGAGTTGGGGTTTGCACCTGATGTAGGTGAGAAGCTCAGTGAGAAAGCTCCAAGCTTAGCCTCTTGGGCCCTGCTTCTTCAGGGTTTGTAGTGGAGCATACGAGCTCTGGCATCAGGGTTACAACCCTCGGTGGGCTGTACCCTCCCCCCAAACCCAAGTCGCTGAATACAGCTGACCTGACCATCCATCCACTTGCAGAAATACTGTTTCCACTACTTGGTCAGAGAAACGATGCTTTTTACTGTTAATTGTGTGGTCATAGGGAGGTCAGTGGGTTTGTTGCACTGGGATGCATTCGAGGGTGGTAAAAAAGTGCGGGGCGTAATGCCAACGGCCAAGGCAAAGTTGTCCAAGGTCAAATACATTTGGACTTTCCAAGTAACTTGAGATTAATTGGTAAACAAGGTAAGACTACATTGGACTTAGGTTTGAAGTCTTTTCTATCTGGGTATGTGAATTCTTGAAGCAAGCTCTACGCCTGCTTCTCTGCATCATTCTCAGTCCATTTCACCTTCCCGTACTTGTGCCTCACCTCGTTGATGTAGACATCTTCATCCTTTCCCTCGGCAACCACGTCTCTTCGGATCAAAGCCCTCACGTAGCAGACGGAGACGAACAGATACATGGCGATCAGCATCAGCGTCATCGCCGTTCCCACCCACTCCACGGCCGTACTCTCAAATGCCTGGCCGATGTTGATGGTGGCTATCGTGAACCCAACATTGGGAAAAACAAAGGCATACCAGCTCATCGAGAAGGACATTGCCCTCCAGCACATCAGGCAAGATGCCACCGCAATGCAGAAGAACCAGAAGGCCGACGACCAGATAAAGACTGCTGTCATTGTCGCCACCACCTGCAGGATCTGGCTCGTCACATCGTCGTCGCCAAAGTAGTTGTAGTGGGTCGGCCACGCCTTCGCCAGGCCGATGAGCGCCAAGGCCGTAAAGCCTGGCGGACCGACGGCGATGAACATGGCGGGTCGCGAGTGCGGACTGGGCAGCCCGAACTGCACCATGCGGCGGATGTAGCATGCATACAACATGATCGATACCAGCATCCCGAGCCCCTGCGCCGTCAGCCCAGCTACAATCATTGGCATGGCCTGGTGCACCGGCTGTCCGCCGGAGCTGCCGGCTCCGATGGTCGCAATCGTGCCCGAGAGCATGGAGGGGAAGATAGGAAGGTCCCAGGCCGGCGTCATGTCGTCGATTTTGAGCTTGGGCGAGGTGAAAAGGACCATGTACATTCCCACGGCGTAGATGGCTGTGGCAGCAAAGTAGATCCAGAAGAGGATCCTGTAGACCACCACCAACCAATTTCCGCAATTCGGGATGCCGTATCTTGCAATAGAACCGATGATGGATGCGAGGGACAGAAAGAAGCAGGCCGCTGTGAGAGACTCGTGGTTAGTAATTGTGCAACCAGCTTGTCCATATGGCTACCGTCAAACTCACAGAAGAGGCCTTCAGTTGGGTGCGCAAGGGACGCCAGAAATGTGCCTTTGTACTTGATGAAGCGAGTGATAAGAGCGGCGGTGATTAGTGTGAACATGACGAGGTCGAATATGTAAACGACTTTTCCGATGGTCTGCTGTCCGTAGAATGTGTTCGGTTGTGTGCTCTCGGAGATGAGCAGTGAAATTCCACCCGTGCTCATGGTAAAAGTGTAGTTGGCCCATGTGAAATGCTCCAGTCGACCGAGTATGTCGCCCCGGGGCTCGCGGACATCTTTCTTCTCATCTTCGGCATTGCGACCGTTTTGGCGGTGGTCGGATGTGCTATCCGAGTGTTGGTCGCTCATTTTGGTTTCTCGTCGGAAGCCGTCAGGTAACTCATGAGACAAGATGCTCTTCTTTGCGTGGGCCATATAGAACAGCCAGAGTTATATGTCAGTTGGTTTCCGAATTGATCTAAGCAGGCGCGAATCCGGTTGCTCGCTGTTGTAACCCAAGGACGTCACAATTGTGGGTGCATATGAAGTCATTGTCAAATCCAATTTATTACATCGCGAGGCTTGGCATGCCCCACTGAAACTTCAAGATTCTATCCGGGGGAGCCCATGAGTACTGAAAATTGCAATTACCATGTCATAACAGAATTTCTATGACAAAAATGGTATTTGTGCCATAATATGGCGTTGAGCCCACAGGAAAAAGTGAGGATGCGGCAAGGCAATGCCTGGGGTAGTGTCCACTCACAGTGACCCATAGCACACGGGACAATCAACGACGACCTCTTGACTTGGATCCCAATGATTTGTAATTCCGGGAAATAGTTTTGCTTTGATAGTGACTAGCACGATCTCATAAGCTTTCTATATTTGTATGGTGGTGGGCAACATTTGAACCTAGCTGTTCTTGGTCTCCCGCAGGCGCCACTTTCCAAGCTTCCCACTGTACTCTATTATGTGCTTCGCAGGGGTTGTCAAGACTGAATGTAGAATATAGTGATTAAGAGCCTAGACTTTATATTCTCACGGTATCAGACGACATCGGATAGTTAAGTGCGTGTCATAAGAAAATATTTAGAGACGATCCTTGTTCGGGTATGCTACACCTTTGTGAAACGGCAAGTCAGCAAGGGCGGATGAAGCCAGATAACAATAGTATGCGAAGACAAGCCTATGGCCTAGGTGAGAAATGGTATAATGTAATTTGTACTAGAAGAATCTAACGTCTGTCCAAATGTCTCATGCAGAGTTGCCTATTCGGCCTAAATCCCTGATTGTACACACTGGCGTGCTAAAACCCAGCCTAAGCGTTGGTCCTCTTCACGACGAAAGCTCCCCTCTCAATAGTGTTGACGACAATGAAGCCAGATGGGAAGTAGGGGTAGTGTCCCCACGTGCCAACAAACTCGATGCTGCCGCCGCCGGGCAGCGCGTCGTTCTCGGGGTAGATGTCGAAGTAGCCGAGCTCGGTGACGCCGGCTCCGGTCTTGTCGGTCGCCAGCGAGGAGACGTCCAGCACGTGCAGGCCGGCGCCGTAGTTGCTCTGGTATGCGACTCCGTCGATTCTGATGGGTGTTAGTAAATTGCACCGGAGCCAGAGTCACACGTCCTGGGAGGTTCCGAACAACAGTAGAATGGGTATTAGGACAGGGGAATACTGACATGAACTGGTTGTGGTCGATGCCAAGTGCGTACTCGTTCTTGTAGTACCCAGAAAGGACTGGGGCCTCAAGGCTGGTGATGTCCCAGAAGTAGGTGACGGGGAAACCGTCAGCACCAGCACCAGCTGAGTCGTACTCGTCGTACTCGTCATCCTAATGTATGTCAGCTTCATGTCACAGAGCCCACAGTCATGGTTCGTAGAAGAGCTCTCAAGAAAATGGCCTAGAGCACTAGAGGCGGATTTACTTACCAAGACAAGAGTCGTTTGCCAGTTCTTGTCAGTGACCCAGCCCTGATGCGTGTACGAGGCACCGTCGTAGCCGACACGCGAGATGATGTTCGTCGTGGTCTTGTCAGTCACATCGAAGCTGTGTAACATGTCAATCACTGCCGCCAAGTCTTGAAAAGACACAAAAAAGATCAACTTACATCGTCAGGGTGTCCTCGTTGTAACCATAGCAGATATCGCGACCCGCGTACTTCTCGTCAGGACCACGGTAGACCAGGCACTGGGCATCGTGGACGTAGCCATCGCCGGACGCGCAGCCGGGCGAGGTCGGGTTGGTGATGTCCTTGAGGTCGATGAAGATCAGGCCCGCGGCGCAGGACGAGTTCCGCGGCGCCGCGCCGACGGCGACGGCGTACTCGAGCTCCTCGTTGACGACGACGTTATGCGAGCGGCCGATGGGCAGGTCGTTGAAGTGGCCCGTCAGGTCGGCGTCGCCAAAGGTCTTGGGGCTGGCCGGGTCGATGTCGGCGAGCTTGGCCAGGTCGAAGAACTGGACGCCGTGCTGCTGCGCCTCGCTGCCGATCACGATGTGGCTCTTGTAGCCCCGGATCTCACGCCAGATGCTGGGCGCGGCTGCGGAGTATTGGGGAAGGCGACCGAGGTAGACCTGTATTTATATTAGAATTTTCCTCCTGCGCCGCAATTCGGCTTCATAAACTGTTATAAATCAGTGGACTTATACTCACGAGCTTGCCCTCCGTGGAGACCTCGGCGAAAGCAGCTCCATCAGCTTGCGCGATGGCAACAAACTCGCGGCCCTCCTCGCTGGTCCAGCCCCAGGTTGAAGCACCCTCGCCAGTGGAGGAACCCAAGTCGGCGTGGCTCTTGAAATCATAGAAGTCGATCTAAGACTTTGTTAGCCGCTTTGATGCTTGGCAAATTATAACATGGAATGGTCAGAGTTTACTCACGTTGCTGCACTTGAACGTGTTATTGGCGTCACCAGGGATGACCTCAGCGACTCCGTTGACGCAAGGAACAGGTGCGGCACCAGCGTACGACGGGTACAGACTCGAGTCGAAAGCGCCGGCGACCTTCTGAGAGTCCCAAGTGGCCTAAGAAAGTGTGCTGTTAGTATTTCGCACCTTTATAGTGAGGCGACGTGCTGCTCACGTATTTCTTAGCCATGATGCCGTCCATGACAGCGCCACTGGTATACTTCTCCTGCTTGGCAGGGTTGTCAACCTGGCTGATAGCCGCCGCGAAGGGCGAGCCGGCCAGCGTGGCCAGGGCTCCAATAGCTGTGGTCTTCATGGTGAAGGCGGGTTGTAGCGGACAGTCAGAAGGGGCTTCTTGTCAGGACTTCCTCGGGCGAGTGGCGGTGATCAAAGGTGGGCTCAGATCGTCGCTATGCGGCACAACTACAACAACAGCACCGACGCAAGACGAGAATCTCCGCACGCAGGCACGTTCTACGTTTTATAGCTCCTGCGGACAAGGTGAAGGCATGGCATTAGTCACGGTGGTGAAGTTATCAGCACGCCATACAGGCACGCAGAGTCTATGATCAACTCCTCTATATTTGCATGTACGAAATAGGTAGGTGTGAACGATACTTGGCAAATGATCCCCCAAGTAACGGCGCACAAAGTGCTGAGGGTCGCATTGGCTTGCTTGGCTATTCCTTGGCTACATACTGCCGTACGCAGAACCGCCGGTGATCCAAGGCTTATACGTGAAGATCATCTCCTCACCCAAGACACGGCCGCCAATCGGGTCAAAGTAATTAGAGAGGCAGCCACCCGTCCGCCATCACGACTCACGAGGAGTTGTTGATGCAAGCGCAGCCAAGAGATAGCGTTGTTGCATTTACTTGGCCGGTGCCACTGGACCTTCTAGTTCGGAATAGGGGCCGCAAAGACGCGTTTGCTTGGCAATGAGGGGAGGCAGATTCGAGCGTGCCCGTGCGCCGTCGGTTACAAGTAAGGACTGCATCCCTTCGGCGCGTGAATAGTCCGAGTGTATTGCCAACTCTCTTTTCCCTCGAGGTGCACACCGCCGCGACTTTTTGCCTTGACGACACTCTGCAAGGTCTCTTCGAGCCAACGAGGTGCGAGGCTAGACTGATGCGCGACGCCGACCGCGACGCCGGCGGCTTGAGCCCTGTTTGTCTATTTATCGACTTTCGGTGTTGTTAGCAGACGTGATAACAACCCGGGTGCTGAGTGTTGAGCGGTAATCAATATGCGACGTGGCTGTGTGCAGAGAACACTCACGCGCACCCGGACGGCTTGTTTGGAGTGCACTCCATTGATAAAGCTCTTCTAGTTGCGAATCAATTGATTTGCTGCCGGCCTTGCTACCTGCAGTGACCCCTATTAAGTTTCTCTGATCCTGTGTTGCCCAGACTTTTGTCTCCATTGGTGGTCAAATGCCGTCAGTGTCTGCAAGTTTTTCCTGCGCTGATACGAAAAACAGGGTTCGACTTACATGGTTATGGATTGGGTCTGCATATGTTCGGCATCAAAACAAGTTGCCGACTAGGCACTGAACGATTGGCGAGTTATAATATAATTTGTACCACTGGGTGTTATCCCACAGTATGGCATCCCATACAGGTTACCATGGTGGTAATTGTTCTTTAGTACCCACAGGTAGGTTATCACACTGGAGGGCATCCCACAGCACTCAGTAAGTGTATCCTGTACGAGATGATACTACTTGAAGAGGTCCCGTTGGAGGTCATCCTATGACAGATTATACCGTTGTGAGTCATTATGAGGTAGGCAGGTGGTTAGGAAGAAGCGACTCATAGCTCTCACGAGATACGCCACGCTCAGAGGAGTTTTCAATCGACTGTTTGAATTGCGCTTTCAGACATCGGATATTCGCACCGGTAGAAATGGATGGTATACCGGTTCATCGCCGGCACTAAATAAACCAACACCCACGCCCCATTCACATGCTTAACACCCATAAGCCAAATACCCATACACCCAATACCCATACACCCAATACCCATACACCCAATACCCATACACCCAATACCCATACACCCAATACCCATACACCCACCTGGGCAATACCCATATACCCAATGCCCATACACCTATTTCGTACACACCTAATTTATATACCTAGCACCTATATACCTAATGTATATTAGGCGTGCGGATTAGGCGTGTGAGTATGATAGCTACAGCTGTGGCCCGAGTGATGTACTGGTGAACCATCCGTTTTTACCGGTGCGAATATCCGTTCTCTTAATTCAAACACAGTTATATCTAACCACTACAGCCGCCCACACGGCGACCCTTACTGATCTACTGCCTTCGACTCGATCGTCTCGTTCCCTGATGGCTTGCTTTCCGCACCTGCGACGCCCTCGACAATCTCCTTGCCCAGGCCCATGACTTCGGCATCGATAATGGGTCCTTCATAGTTCTTTCGGCCGTCAATCAGCCACTGGACAATGGCGATGATGAGAACAACACCAAAAGCAACAACCGCGTAGTTCATGTTTGTTCCCGTCACAGGTTGCTCAGGAGGGAAGACAAAGAGAACGGTCGTCAAGAGCGTCCAACCGATGCCAACCTAAATTCAAAGCTATCAGTTGCTGATCAAGTATTTGGGGGCATTCGAGCCCGGGAGCAAGAAGATGAAATACTCACGAGGTTAGTGAACCAGCCCAGCCACTCTGGCATCCTGAATGCCCGTGTCTCCGGCAACATCTTGCGACCTCTCATAACGTTGATGGCTGGAGGAATGGCATATGTGACACCAAGAGCGACAACACTGGCGGCAGTAATAGCATTGAAAGCAGAGTCGCTGCCCAGGAAGACGCAGCCAAAGATGATGACCCAGACGGTGGTCCAGATCAAGGCATTGAGGGGCACGTCAAGGCCCTTGTGGACCTTGGAAAAGACGCGGCTAGCGGGCAGGCCGCGGTCGCGGGCGAAGGCATAGCTCATTCTAGAGCTCGTGGTCATGATGGAGGTCGTTGTGAACAGCATGCAGACGACAGGAAACATCAACAAACAGACCGCACCGGCCTTATTGTTGGTAGCGTCGTAGAGGATTTGTAAGAGAGGTCCTGCGGCAGACTCAATGACGGCGTTGACGTCCTTGAGGACGAACAGGAGGCAGGCCAAGAAGATGAAACCGGTGAACATGCCAATGCAGATTGCGTAAAGCATGATCTTTGGGCCTTCGATCTGGGGACCTGTTCGACATGGCGGATTAGTATTTGCCGCGTCAGGAGCCGATGCTATGCGTCCAAGGATCACTTACGTGGGATTTCCTCCTAGTACCTGTTAGTCACCTGCTACGGATCCCGAAGTGATACATTCTGGAACATTCTAAAGCACAAAGATCGGGGAATATGTAGCAGGAGAAGAATGGTACTGACAATCATATGTACAGTTGCGTCAAAACCCGTGAGACTGAAGCTCCCTTGCAGGAGACCAAGCATCCAGGCCAACCCATCCGGCCAGGAGACATCGTTGATAAAGCCGCCAAACACGAACGACCCGCTTTGATAGTTGGGAGAGGCGCAAGAGAGCACAGTGATGCAGATGATGGTGAAACCAGATAGCGACCAGAGGAAGGCAGCTTTGTTGAAGTATGGTAGGAGACGGTTGGCAAAAGCATTGAGGAAGAAGGCAGTGAGAGTGTAGGCAATGTAGAGGAGGAACTGGTGCCAGGGCTTGGGCTCGAAGGTGGGATTCAGCAGCGAGATGATGCCGAGGATGAGCTCGCTTCCCAAGAGACCACCGGTGGCTGTCAAACACACCCAGGCGGCGGTGTTGATCCAGCCTGTCGAATATGAGATGGCCCTGCTAGAACGCTTCCAGGAGATGATGGCAACCCAGTGGTATTGACCGCCGGCCGTGGGCCAGGCTGAGAGGAACTCGGCGAGCGAGGCGGCAAGACAGAGATTGCAGAGCCCAGAGACGATGAGACCCCAAAGGATGGCCGAGGGTCCTCCAGAGGGGAGGGCCAGGGAAAGTGAGGCGGCCAGAGCAGTCCAACTGTTCAGGATGGCGAACGCGAGACCAAGCATAGAAACACGGGAGAAATTCCTCTGCAGCTCCTGCTTCACTCCCAACTTCTCGAGAGTGGCGGCGGCGTCAGAGTCAGCCTGAGGCTGGGCCATGATGCCACCTTCTGTCATCTTGTTCGAGGGGCCTTTTCTTTTTCTCTCTTCGCGTCGGTTCGGAAGGGGCGGAGGAGTCGATGCCAGTCAGGTTGCAACGGCTGGGGGCCGAGTGAGAGAGTTGGGCGAGGAGGGAAAGAAAAGACTGACGCGCCAAGACAGAATGAAGGAGGCCGAGGGAAGGCGAAGAGCAGCCGCCAGGAGAGGTATAAAAGTGGTAGGCTATGGTCTACTGAGGACCAACTTCTTTTTCCATCTGCCTCGTCTGTAACAAGACACTAGGCCTTTACTGTCGTGTACTGTCATGTACTGTGCAGGCACAAGTAGGAGATGATGTAGCGATCGGCCCTCGTGACCGACAGGACGGGCCTCCATGTCTGCATTCTGCGCCCGAAAGAGCCCCAAGAGCCCCAAGCCAAGGTTGGGGTTGGGGAGGCGGGACCACTTCTCGTGTGTACTTGCCAATCTGGGAATTGCCGTCGGGATCCGACAGGTCTCCACAGCCAATGCTGGATCTGGCGACATGGATTGCGATGCTTATCAAGTGTAATCAGTCAGGCAGTCCTGCGAGCATTCAATCGGTCATTCATGGATTCATCAAATCAGCCTGCCAGCCCAGCCAGCCCGCCCAACGACAAGCCGTGCCCTGCCCAGCCGTTACCACCCTGCCGCCCTGACCACCGGTGTGCAGCTCGGCAAGAATACAAGAATACGCTAAAGCTCGGCAGGAAATGCTACCAAAAAACGCCATTTCGGGTTAGTATAAGAACATAACAGGGAACAAGGCTTAAATATAAGTACTTTAATTATATGATATATTTTAAATATATATATAAATAAATAAATAAACAAAAAATAAATAAACAAATAAATAAACAAAAAAATAAACAAATAAATAAACAAATAAATAAACAAATAAATAAACAAATAAATAAACAAATAAACAAATAAATAAATAAATAAATAAATAAATAAATAAATAAATAAATAAATAAATAAATAAATAAATAAATAAATAAATAAATAAATAAATAAATAAATAAATAAATAAATAAATAAATAAATAAATAAATAAATAAATAAATAAATAAATAAATAAATAAATAAATAAATAAATAAATAAATAAATAAATAAATAAATAAATAAATAAATAAATAAATAAATAAATAAATAAATAAATAAATAAATAAATAAATAACTTTTTTTCCCTTTTTTTCCTTTCTTCCTTTCCCTTTCTTCCTTTCCCTTCCTTCCTCTTCTTTTCCCTTCCTTCCTCTTCTTTTCCCTTCCCCTTTTTTTATTCCCTTCTTCTTTTTTTTTTTATTCTCTTCTTCTTCTTTTTTTTATTCTTTTTTCCTTTTTAAATTCTCTTTTTCTTCTTTTATTTTCTTTTTTTATTTTCTTTTTTTTTTTCTCTTTTTTTATTTTCTTTTTTTTTTTTTTTTTTTATTTTCTTTTTTTTTTCTCTTTTTCTTTTTTATTCTCTTCTTCTTTTTTTGTTTTCTTTTTTTTTTTTTCTTCTTCTTCTGTTATTCTTTTCTTCTTTTATTCTCTTTTTTTTTTTTTTGTAATGGGCTTGGGCTAAAAGCCCAAGCCTTATATAGTGTGGCTAGATAATCCAAGGGAGCTTGGATTATTACGTACCTTTTGGCTTAATGGTTAAAAGGTTGCTGCTTTGCAGCTTATGGGAGAAGGCGCTAGCCAGCCTGCAGCCCCTTTGGGGCCGAGCCCATAACATTTTTCTTTTTTTCTCTTTTTTTTATATTTATAATATTATGTTTTTTATTTTATATATATATATATATATACAAAAATTCTTATATATTATACCTTGCTTAAACTTTTTAAAAAGAATAAAGTTTCCCGCCGAGTTTTAATGTATTTTTGCCAAGCTATCACCCCCCCTAACCACCCCTCCCTCAAAAAAAAACCCCGATAGTTAAGCTTTTCTTATCTCTCGGCATCGCGGCAATGGCTTGCTCATGTTCTTGGTATTCAGAACATCAACGCTAACTTCAATCTTCATTTGACTTTGTCTTATTACTCACGTGCAACCCTCAGCCGTTATCCTCCTTCAACTTTACCCCAGCTGCTTATCCAATGGATACTGCAGCCCAAGACCTGACGTCCACTTGAACTGGATTTAGGCCGCAGCTCCTCGACCCTCGAGGCACAAAAAGTGGAAACGTCTTCTAATCGAAACCACTTCAGCACCGCCGAGGTCCCTGCTGTCCCTCCATCCCCATGGGACAGGACCTCGACCGGACACGACAGGACGCCACCCGGGCCTGGCATTGCTCCCGTTTCGGTAATCTTAAACTAAGCGAGTCATCTTCATGCCCCACCGTTATCTATTCTATAGACTAGATAATTCCGTTTGCAGTCTGCTACGCAAGCTGGCAGGGTCCGACACCAGCGAACTCGGCTTGGTCATGGAGGATGAAGAAAATGACGACTTGGCTTGGTATTTCCAATATCTGACCACACACAACAGGGACACCACGCCGAACAAGGCCAGCGCCTCCCATTCCAATACGCTGTGCAAGCGGTCCTGGGACCAGATAATACATATATCTAACTTATCGTGTTCCGACAAGGCTTTAAATGAGCTTGTTTATCTCTTATTAGGCTGGGTACACAATCAATCAATCAATCAATCAAAAAAAAAAACCCTCAGATCAAGAACGCCACGCTGGCCAGCGCCGCCACCAAGATCGCCACGCCACTCCTCTCCGCCGCGGAGCGGACTCCGGAGCTCTTCCCGGGGTTGTTGGCGCCCTCCGCCCTCGAGCCGCCGACCGCCTGGTTCGGGAAGAAGTCGCTCGAGACGGCCTGCACGCCCATGGTCGGCGTGACGCTGCCCTCGACGCAGAGGCCCTGAGGGTCCTTGAAGGTCGCGTCCACGGCGCGCTTCCACACCGCCTCGGGCCCGTAGATCATCTCCTTGGTGTAGAAGAAGCGGCACTGCGCCGGCTGCATCAGGAACTGCAGCGGCGTCTGCGCGTCCGTGTGCGAGAAGGCGTTCTTGCCGTTGACCGCGCCCGCGTTGCTCGGCGTCGCCGACCGGTCCAGCAGGTAGCCCTCGGCGATCAGCCCGAGCTCCGACTGGCTCAGCTGCTGCTGCTGCTCCGGCGGCGCCAGGAACAGCGTCGCCGACGCCGCCTGCTGGAGCTCGTTCAGCGGGAACACCTGCGCGCCCTCCACGCCTGCGATCGACTGCATCGGCCCCGTCGTCGGCCGCCCGCCAACCACGACCGTCTTGACGTTCTGCTGCATGATCATGAGGTATGAGAACAGCGTGCAAGTCGAGCCACACGTGCCATCCGTCAGGATCACCACGTTGTTCGGGTCAAACACCGCCGGGGCCGGGTTAGCCCGGTTGCCGGTGCCAGTGAGGTTGAAGTCCGGCGCAGTTTCGTTCAGGGGCGTGCTGATGTACGACGTGAACCGGTCGCCCTTGATGGTCACCGGGGCGATGATCTGGTCCGTCGACGTCAAGTTCGTCTGACCACCGGCAGAGAAGACACCGCCGGGGATGAGGTTGCTGACAACGCTGCTCTGCGACAGCGCCGCGAGCGCGAGCTGCCTCTGCGTCGCGTTCTGCGGGGTCAGGGTGTTCAGGTCCAGCGCGAGGATCTCGTTCTGCACTGACGAAGAGATCTTGGCCATCTGCTCCATGCTCTCCGTCAGGCGCATGTTGTTGGCCTGGAACTGCGGCGTGCCCGGGAACAGCTGCGCGTACAGCTCAAAACCGGCCGCCACGAGACCGCCGCCGTTTCCCGTCACGTCGATGACGAGTTTCTGCTTGCCCGCCTGCTTGGACATGGCGAGGAATTTCTCTGTCATCTGCTGGAAGTTGACCACATACTCGAGGATGTCAAAGTCGCCCTCGGGCGAGAAACCCAGCACCGACAGCACGGCCACGTCCTCGTATCCCGCGCCTTGCAGGAAATATCCAGCTGTGATGTTGGCCCCACTGTCGCGGATCGCGGGCATGGGAAACCCGGGGATATTGGGCGTTTCCGGCTGCCGCGTACCCGGAGGCCCGGTCGGGGGCGGCGTGGTGGGCTGTCCGCCTCCAGCACCTGCTGTTGGAGGTGGCGCGTTGGCAGGGTTGCAGAACTTCTGGTAGAAGTCCTCGCCCGTGTTCACGCCCGTGAAGTCTGCCGTTGGGCGGATGAGGGCGTAGCTCTCCTGTGTCACCTTCTGCCCATTGTCATACTCGAGGGTCAACGAGTCGCCCAAGAAGAAAATCGAAGAGGCCAGTGCGGTGCGAGCCGTGGGTACAGCGTATTGCTGGAACTGCGAGTTCCACTGCGAGTCGGGATCCTGGAAGTTGATGAACTTCAAGCCCTGCTCCTCAATCACCTGTGCGGCGTCCTGGCCGTTGATCTTCGTTATCGCCGGGGGCATGCCGTTCGTGCTGTTCACGGCTGTCTGGTTCATGCCTCCTATGGATGCCGTCCCGTTCAGGACGCCTTGTGGGAGGTTAGCAAAGTTGGACTGGCAGTGATCGTCACAGAAGACTCCGGTAAGTCACTCGGAGGCAACACTGACCTAGGTTGTAGAGCTTTGGCACCTGCTTGCCATCAACAGACACAGAGACAATGTCTGTGGCCAGGTCATTCCTGAAACTGAATGCTTTGAACATGTCTGGGCGAATGGCGAAGTGACCGTCGTGTGCTGATGCCACCAGCTGGACCATCGCGGACTGGAACTCAAACTCGCTTGCGAACCTTCCTGCCGTGGCGTTGGCACCTATCGCGTCGAGCCCGCCTTGGATGTCCGTTGGCGGGAGCATGTAAGATGGTGGCGGGTCTTTCAACCATGCGAGTGTACTCTGCCACTGAGCGTAGGCCTTGGTGCTGGCGATAAGCTTCGCTGCTTCTGCTGGTTTGTTTGGCACGGACTGGAGGCATGCGAAGGCTGTTGCAGCCGGTACCCTGGCGACCGCTGTGGTGGTGAGTTAGCCGGACTGGCCTTCATTCTCTACTACTCGCTCAATACTCATGACACACCTTGAGGATTGGCGGCCATCTGTTGGGCCTGAGCCTGCGAGACAGCCTGGCAGGCATTGTTGCCGGCTGGAGGAGGAGCGCCAGCCTGTGGAGCCGGCGCTGCCAACGAAAAAGAGAAAAGCCCGAGCAGGCCGGCCGCTCTCGTGGTGAAGCCCATGACCGCGTGTGTAAGTGGTCTCTATACAGTATACAAAAGAATGCAAAAACGTAGCAGCACCCGGCCAGCTACGGGTATATACAGACGAAGGGCACGGCGGTGACCTTTGACGATGCCAGTGAGGTCGCGAGAGGTGCACCCTCTCCTGGGCATTGGTCCCCATCCAGGACTCTCATGACTATATGGCCCCCGTCCTCCGAGCTTGTGATGCCAAGAAGGATGTCCATGATGCTACCGGGCTGAAACAGTCGAGCCGCCGCCCCAAGAACGATAAGCTTCCTTGTCCTGAAGATCTGCGGCACACGAACAACATGCGAGTGCCACACCCGTGCACGCTAGAAATGTGGCGTTCGGTTTGACACGAAGCAAACTCTGTATGCATGAGTTCAGAGTTCTTGAAGTATACATGCAACCATCCTTGATCCTCTCTCCTCTTTCGGTAGCGACATGCCGAACCGTGGGCTCGTTGACTCCGTCCACACGGGCTCGATTGAGCCTCTTTGCGGATCTGACCTTGGCATTTTGGAGAAGCATGAGAGCGGGAGCGAGCCAGGAGACCGGAGCCTCCAAATGACTTGCGTCGAAACACCGCCCAGCCCAACCGTCGCCAAGACCAGGCAGAAACCAGAAGCGATACCGCCAAAGGGCATGGCCATACTTAGAAGATAAGGGGCCAGCAGACACGTCTGTGCATGCTCCGTCGTCCCGCCCGACCAACCCGGTCCACAGCACCGTCCCATCTCGACAGCTGTCCCCCTCCCAAAACCCTAGAATTGTCGCAGGCACAGGCACGCCCCCTCCGGATCCGGGAACTCCTGGGCCCTTTATCACCATGATGAGTTCTCAACCCCACGCCACCCGCTTCGATGGCCCCGGGACACGGCCGACCCGAGAAGCACGACATTAATGTTGGCTCCGTGGAGAACGGTTTCGCGGGGCAGAAAGGCTAGAACGAGCTACCACCGGTCAATAGCGTTCGCGCCTAAGGGCTGCCACACCTGACATCGCTCACCACATTTGGCGTCCCGTGTCAATGGATGGCTGAATGGGGCTGAATGGAGGTGGCAGCACCGCCGACCGTAATTGCAAATACAACCTGGGAACCAAACAGATAAGGCAGTCTCGGCTCCATGATCGACCGTCTGTTCGGGTCTTTCGTTTCTATCGGCAGCTGAGGAGGGGGTTTAGCCAGATAGTCTCGAGTTTAGTACCTAGCGAATACCCCGGCGGCTTAAGCTCGCCCACGTCGGCGCGCTGTCAGCGGCGGCCACCCGTTGGCAAAGGTGATTCAGGCATACTGGAACAGCAAAATTGGCTCAGAGGACACTGACCAGAGCTTCCTCCACGAGTCAAAGAATTTCAAGACTCCTGTTGGCTTCTATTTTTGGCCTGGACAGCGTGCAGTGTCCAATTTGCCCCGCCTCGTTACCTCCGTCCTGCACGCTCCTGGGTGTCCGTGTTTCTGTTTCAGCGTGTTTATATCGCGCTTGAAACATTGTCTGTGTTGAGGGAATTCCGCACCACGCGGAAGATTGATCACGCTGGCCAGCCACATTCGTTTTAGCTCGAAAAGGAGTATCTTTGCTTGACAACATCGCTGAAGTGGTTTCTATGGGAGACTACGCTGGCTAATGGGGCACCCACTCTTTCACGTTCAAGCACAATAATCTAACTTTTCGACATCACTCTCAGAAATACTACACATTATTGGCGTGCACACATCATTGACCTACCTAGATAGGTGAAAGACCCGCGAAGTGCATCGTATTACAACCTTCGAACCATCCCACATACGTTCCGCCAATGCTGTACAAATTGTTTCCTCGGTCTTCGCCGTGCTTGTCAAACACGCACAGGACTCCATCAGATGTCTTTATCTATGCAGCTCCGGGCGTATTCGCGGCCCGTAACATATCCACACACCGAGGTCGTTGTGTGTATCCGGTCCGGGTCCTGATCTCACCCATCCGTCATGACGCCAAGTGCTTGATTGTCTCACGGCAGACTATTCTGTTGCAATTTAGGTGATATTGGACAACGGCTTGCGGACGTTGCAACTGTGCAGCAAGCTTGGGGGCCCGGGACGAAAGCAGTCCAGCGAGCCGTGCGTACTGCGTTGATACGGATACGATGCGAGGCAAGAAATGCTTTCATGGTCGCTGAAATGTCTTTGTGAATGTGTGTATTCTGCGAGGCTTCGATAGACTCTGCTGTCCTTCCCATGTTCCTTCTACTGACATTGACTATCGCTCCAGTTGTTCCTTGCAACTAATTAAGATTATCATCTAGGCGACTCAAATTTGCGGAAGACCTGCCAGAGTGGACTCATGGAGTAATAATCCATTGCTAACCGTGAACTACTCAGCATGCAAAGCCTTTTCAATGCGAAGTGCCCAGCTGGGGTATATCAGTCTATTGATCACTTCGGCGACCCTCTCTAGGTACCATGCCGATGCACATGTGCACACTACAGGGGAACACTAACCTGCCAAACATTAAGCGACACACCGCCGCCTGGTACCTGCACGCCTTGCCCATATGCGACGACTGAGTTAAGCCAGTCGTAGTCGTCACTGCCGGTTTCGAACACAAGGAGCAGATTCGGGGCGTGACCCTTCTCTCGTACCAAGATATTGCCTCCGTCGTGGGTCTGAAGAACGTAAACGACATCCGGGTTGAAGGATCCATTGCCATCGACGAGGGCCGCATCACCGCCGCCAGCGGCAACGGTACCTGTGTAAATCAGTGTTAATACAGAGGTGTCTTTGTGTCAGAAGCCCTCAAGCAGTTCAGTTTCTCTATTCCTCGTATCGAACTTACCAGAAAGCTTCGGCCCAGAGAAGGACCCGCCGATGATGGGCTCGAACACCCTATCCCCCAGGGGGGTTGAACCAATGTTGATCGTCGGACCACTTGTGATGTTGAGCGAGAAGAGGTAGGTCAGAGCTGGCGGACTGGGTTGCCGGGGGCCAGCCATGGCTACGGCAGCCAGAGCTAGCAGTGAAAGGCACGAGCGGATCATTTTCATTCTTGGATTCGAGATTAACAGTGGACGGTTCGGGGTTCAAAGATTGGAACGTTGAATCACGGAGAGAACGTGGATGTAGAAGTTATGTGAAAGGGACTCGAGCCTTCTTTGTGCAGTAATACTCTCGAGCTTTATAGCCTGCCGCTCTATGGCCCTAGAATCTCAGCCCCAGCTGATACTGCAGAATACCTTTACTTTTTGAAGGCTGAGGTCATCTTGAGCGGCCAGCCGTCCTAGCGCCCCGCCACGATACCTCATCAGGCCTACAATCTCAGCACCATAAATCAACATAAGCCACTTGGCACAGACACACCGGCATTAATTCATAGTCAGCAGCCATCCGGGACGTGGCAGTTAAGTTGTGGGTGCGATTTGGCGCGGGCCCATGCGCTCCACAAAGGCAAGCTAACAGGTGTGTTTAGCTGTCTCACGTTAGTGCCAAGAGGCAATATATACAACCATGTGAAAGCCAGACACGGGCAGTCCTCCATGGGTGTTGACTGGTCTATCACAGAAGAAAAGTACGATTCAATTCTTGGCAATGAAGATCCGGCACTTCGTGGCTAATTAGACTACTTTCTTCGAACACAGATACATAGTGCGTGAAACCTCGAATCGGAACAGACAGTGAAGTGAGATTATCTAGTACGTCAATTCAGAAGAACCTTTGGACTTCTGATCATCTAGTAAGGACGTAAAAGTGGGTACGGCCCGCGGGAGGATAAGAACCCCGAATGCGCAAGCCTCTTGAATCATGAGAAAGCTTGTCGGCAGCGGAGTCAAATTAGAAAATGGTCTAATTTTGGGGCAAAGGACTTCAGGAGGGCCCTATCCGAATCAATATAACCATGATCAGGGCGAAATTGATCCCCAAGCTGTAGCATCTTTTCCAGCTTTACAGCCATAATCAATCATCATTCTGCCCGCGCCCAACATGTACTACTACTCCCACTTTTCCCTCACGGCGCTCCTCCTGCACGCAGCCGGAGCACACGGCGCAACCCTTCCGCTCTTCCACCCCTGGAACGCCAGCGAGTGGATAGCCTCGGACGACACGGTCCGCGGCGGGCTGAGCCGGTCCAGCCTGGAGGTGATCCCGCCCGGCGCACCCGGGAACCCCTCCGGCGGCGAGCCCATCGCCAGCTTCGTCGGCACTCTCGACTACGAGGCCCTCAACGGCAGCGGGTTCGCGTCGCAGAGGACCGTCGACGGGTGGCCCGGTGTGGACCTCACCGCGTACGACCGGCTCGTCCTCGAGGTGCCGTATACAGATGGCAAGACGTACACGCTCAACGTCAAGGACACGGTGCTCCCGGCCGTCGACGGGGTGGAGCAGGCGACCGTCAGCTGGGAGCACGACTTCCGGCTGCCTGCCCGGAATGCCACTGCTGCGGATGACTATGGTCAGGTGGTTGTCAGATTTGAGGACTTGGTTCCGACGTATCGTGGCAGGGTGCAGAATGACACGGCACCTCTCAACTTGACGGACATCAAGAGGTTCAACATAATGATCCGCAGGTAAGTGTCGATGTATTACAGCTTGGTTCGGTGTAATTACTGATAGTGTGGCTGCAGTTTCTTTGGCCAAGAGTCGCAAGCAGGAGACTTTGAGCTGGGAATTAAGTCGATATTGGCTGCGGATTCTGAGGTCATCTAAGGGAATCCGTGATACTGAGCTCGTGATAACAATTCTAGGAGGTTTTTGGCTGGAGTTTTGAAGTCCCTGAGGAGAGACACCGCAAGTGTGGTCCAGGAACGCAAGAAGACACTAGGATCGTAATCACAGCAACCTATGCAGATCAAGCGTGGTGAATACTATTTTTTTGTTCTCGCGTACTTCAATATCATGGTCATAATCTCATCTCTCGTATGTGCTCAACCCACTACCTGGAGTTACTTCACCCAGAGCCATCACCGGGTATACGGTGGTTGCAAGCAGGAGGAAAAAAAGAGGCCCCGAAGCCATGTGCTGAAAAGGAAAGCGCCTATACTGGTTTGCGGCCCCAGACCGCCTTCAGCTTGAAATAAGCGTGGTTCTTGCTCGAACGGATCTCTCTCCTCAGCTGGGCAATGTACACCAGGATCTCCTCCCTGCTCCAGCCGACGATGACGTTGGCGATGAAGAGCACGTAGCCCTCGATGTCGGACTCGAGAGCGGTCTGCGCCCAGTGCCCTATCTCCTTCAGTTTCTTGTCCCGGGGCCAGCCGCCAACGGGAGCCTGGGGTGGTGTTAGCGAGTCTTCGTGTCCGATACCAACTCCTGAATCACTGCCCTAGGAGGAAAAGACGTGCTAACCTTGAATTCCCATTCCTGAATGTCGACAAAGCCGGCCTCTTCCATGGCCTTCCTCTGGATCCCCGTGTCGACAACCATGAACGTCCGCCCCAGGGTCCTGCCGCCTTCCTCGAAGAACTTGCCCCACTGCGAGATGGCCGACTTCTCGCCGACCGAGCCGTCGTCGCTGATCATGTGCGGCGAGCCCTCGAAGCTCTCCAGCCAGGCCCCCGGCTTCAGCGCGTTGTACGCCTCCTTGAATAGCGCGGGCCAGTCGACGATGCTGCCGACGAGGTAGCGGATGTGGACGTAGTCGAACTCGTTGGCGTGGAAGGTCCATTCCGAGGTGCAGTCCTCGATCTCGCTGCGGGGGGTGATTGGTCAGGGTGCATGCTCGCAGCCAGTCCGGAATGGCCGCTAGGAGAACTCACAACTTCAGGTTGGGAGGCACCCATTTGGGTTGGATCGGCGAGATATCGGTGCCGATGACATTTGCCTCCGGGTGGTCGTCGGCGAAGTCTCTATGCGCCTGTGAGCCGTGGACCAACCATGTTAAAGGGGGGAGAGCACTGCATACATTGCCCACAGTCCTGTTCCGGTGCCGACATCGAGAACCTTCTGCTTGAGGATCAGCGCGGCTATTCGTGGTCCCGGGGCGGCGACCCGGGCCGTACCTGGACGTTGTCTCCGAGTGGAGCAAAGTAGAGCTTGTTGTCGGCGCAAAGACTCAGGAAATGATGGCTGTTTGGCACGATGTTCAGCCAAGGAATGCTCCTGAAATCCTTGTGCAAAGTTGCTCACTTGATGTCCATCGCTTCATTTTGCATCTCATCGTTGGAGCCCCTTGAGGTTGAGATGTGGTCAGTTGCCAAGACTTGTCGGATGTTTCCCCGGTTTACGCTGGTTTGGGGGGAGGAGTCAGGGGGACGGATTGCTCGCACCAGTACTGCGCGTTGTCGCCCACATGGTCGCTGTGGTATGTTCGGCCGTGGATGGTTCTGTACTCGAGGATGCTCGAGGTTATCGAGTCTGTCGAGCTGGCCGTGTCTCCGAATGCGGAATCGTTGTCGTCGTCGAGACCTTGCTGTTCCTGATCTCAGCGCCACAATCTCTCTGCCCGCCCAAAGCGCCACGCGACTGAGCTGATCACACCCACCTGTCCCGCCAGCTCCGTCCAATGGGTGGGAGGCAGTAAGCCCGTCTCCTCGCCTGCGCCGCCCGCTGCCTCACCCGCGCCGCCCGCTGCCTCGCCCGCTCCTTCGCCTGCCGCGGAGGGTTGCGCAGGGGGTTGCGCGGGCGGAGAGGAAGCGGGCGACTGCTCCTGGGCGGCAGGGGCAGCAGGGGCAGCAGGGGCTGGAGGGGTTGCAGCGGCTGCATCGCCAGGAGGCTCGCTGCTCGCCATTGTTGGTGATTTGCAATCCGGTGATGCGCGACTCTTGAGAACGAGCAATGTCGGCGGTGGAAGCTGGCCCAGAAGTGGGAATTCCCAGGGCCACGACTAGGTAAAGTACTTATGCAGACTACATTTAAAAGACTGGCCATCACCCGCCGCGAATGGCGGTCGGGGCGTCGCCCCGAGCAGAGGATTCCACCGCGGTTGACCCCACTGTAGGTGCTAGGGACGGGGCCGCCATGGGCACATCTCGTGGCTTTGGACCAGGATGAGGCAATAGGCTTCCGGGGCGTCATGCAGTGACAGGCGGATTTACAGCGCCGTGGCCGCACTGGTCTCAACGCCCGAGGGCACTCGATAGACAGCTCACCACCCGTCTCCCGTCCTCTCAAGCTCTTGGCGCCAGTAGCGCACAGCCGGTGCTCTCGGCCATGCCAGATGCCTGCTTAGCACCTTTTGTTCCAGTTGGAGGTGGCAGGGGAGCAATGGTGCTCGACTGGCTAAATACGAAGAGCCGTCGGCCCCAACGTTTGGCCAAAGCCGGGGCAGAGGTCAGGGAAGGGCCAGGACCAGGACCAGGACCAGGGTGGGGTCTTGAAGAACGCACGCGTGGGATGGCGACAGCCGGGCTGTTGATGTTGCCGGTCGACCCGCACCTGCATGCCGGTCTAGCTGTCATGCTGTGCGACCGCCGACTCTGAGCGGGCAACGAGTGGGAGTCAGTGCTTCTAGAACTCGTCCTACCGCAGAGGCATGTAAAAGGAGCGCCGGCTGCAGCGACACCCGAGCACACATGCACATAAGATGGCCCGGGCAGAGCATATGCCTGGCTGCCCTGGCGAGTAGGAGGGGTTCGGGCGGAAGATTAGTGCTGCATGCGTATGCACGCGCGGTAATCGTTGTGGTGCGGTCAGTGTTGAGATGCAGGCACAGGAAAGGCTGGCATATTGTGCAGTACCCCTCCCAGTGACGTGTTTAGTCCTCCAACGATGCGAGACATACCAGAGTCCAGTTAACGATTTGTCTTCTCGGCTGGGCGGTAATGATAGAACAAAATCGAACTTGTTCTGAAGGCTTGCGAGGTTGTACACGGCCTTGGATCACCCACGATCTGACCCTTTGGCCCGCGATACAACGCGAAAGATCTCGCATAGTTGCCTCGTTTTGTGTTGGGTAGTTGGAAATATCTGGCTCATGAGCGCACAGAGTGTCGCAGACTCCATTATTTGTGCGATTATCGTTGTGCTTGGGAATAATGTAGGGCGGAGGTATGCAATTCCGCAGATGGGAGGGTGACCCCTCACGGTGTTTCCTTTGCCCGGCCGCGGCCGGAAGAGGCCCGTCGTCCTCCGACCACCCCACACACGGCCTAAGGACCGGCGATATATACATGCATGGAGGAGATGGCGCAGAGAAGATCTCTCGATGTCCTTCACGTATACAGCAAGATACTTCAAAGTCTTGCGTAAATCGGGAACATGTCTCCTTCAGCCGCCCCAGCGTCAAAGAGCTATAGCATAGCCTCCATCCCAGCGGTAAGTACCTGGGCAGGCTCGTCTCGATTGTGCGGGACAACTTATTGATGAGACCTAAGGACGGGATCGGCCCTGAGGTCGTCGATGCCGCCATTACAGTCCTGAAGACACTGTCAGAAACGCTGGGGTCGTTCGACATCGGCTTCACTCATTTCGACTGGAGCTCGGACACATATAAGAAGACCGGGAAGTATATTCCCGAGGGCGGACTGGATGAGCTTAAGAAGCACGACGCTATCCTGTTTGGCGCTGTCGGCGCCCCAGGTCAGTGCCACGTAACAGGAGCTGGCCCTTTGTCTGGCGGCGACATGTGAATTCTTGCTAACAAGCCTGGAGACGTTCCGGACCACATTTCGCTCTGGGGCCTCCGCTTGGCGATCTGCCAACCTTTCCAGCAGTACGCCAACGTGAGGCCAACCAAGGTCTTCCGAGGGACCCAGTCGCCCCTGAGGAACTGCAACACTGGTGATCTCGATTGGGTCATTGTCCGCGAGAACTCAGAAGGCGAATATGCCGGCCAGGGTGGGCGCAGCCACCGCGGCCACCCCTGGGAGACGGCCACCGAGGTGGCCATGTTCACACGCCATGGCGTGGAGCGTATCATGAGGTTCGCGTTCGAGACGGCGCAGAGCAGGCCGCGGAAGCTTCTCACGGTCGTGACGAAGAGCAACGCCCAGCGGAACGGGATGGTGCTCTGGGACGAGGTGGCAGCAGCAGTCGCCAAGGATTTCCCTGACGTGACTGTCGACAAGATGTTGGTGGACGCCATGACTTGCAGGATGGTTCTCAAGCCAGAGTCGCTTGATACCATTGTGGCTACGAACTTGGTAAGTGAAGCTCCAGCCAGCGAGTGGCCATGCCCGGATCTAACTTTTCTGCAGCACGCAGACATCCTTTCCGATCTGGCAGCCGCCCTGGCAGGATCCATAGGGATTGCACCAACATCAAATCTGGACCCCACACGCCAAAACCCTAGCATGTTCGAGCCCATCCACGGCTCCGCATTCGATATTACCGGCAAGGGAATCTCCAACCCTGTCGCCACATTCTGGACGAGCGCTGAAATGTTGGCATGGCTCGGGGAAAAGGATGCAAGCACCAAGTTGTTGGATGCCGTGGAGCGCGTCTGTGAGAAGGGAGTCGCCACAGCTGATCTCGGTGGCAAGGCGAAGACGGCGGATGTGACAGCTGCGGTGTGCGATGAGATCAGGAGCTCATATGGTCAGAAGTAAGGCACTGCCGAATTTTGGCGAGGTGTATCGGCGGGGAGCTCTACATGCATGGAATAGGTGATTTTGTAGATCAGACTTAGATTGTCAGTAAAACCCGAATCCTGTTGTGGAGTCCGCACTACCAGCTTGGGCGAAGTTTGAGAAGTCCAGTGCGCCGAGAGGGTCCCACCAGTCCTGCTCGCCCAGATCCATGAACGTGTTTGTTTCTTCCGGCATAAAGTACGGAGTCGTGGTCACTCCCGGATTCCATGCGTTGGGCCCCGGTACCACACCGTATGATTCTGTGGCATCTGGTGGCTGGGGGATCAAGGGAGAGCTGATCAACACAATTAGCCAACCACTGGGCAATTGTATTGTTGGGAAGATGATAAGCAGGATATGTGTTGGTCATGATGCCACCCAAGTTAATGACTTACGGTCGTGTGGCTTCTACAAGTCTCGGGCCATGACCAAGCCTGTTTGGATGATATACGTTGCCGACCCGCTGTCTCTTTGCTTGTGTCTGGCTGCTTGGCGTACTTTGACTCTCATTACTTTGTTGGCCCTCTCGGATGGCATTCCCAGCAGCGGTACTGGTAGTTCTGTCATGAGATCGTGTAGAGCGTCCCACTGAAGGAGATGAGTTGATAGCAGAAGGCTCCTCGCCGGAGCCGGACACAGCTTCTGGCTTGGACTTTCTCTTCTCCAAAGCGGCAATCAAATGCTCCACTGCTTGAGCACAAGAATCGGGCCATGATGTACCCCGTTTGGAGAGCTGGCCAAGGATGCGAAGCGTCCGCCTGGCATACCTATACCAATGTAGCTGATCAGCGGGAGATGTCTTTCCAAATGGATGCGCCCAAGCCCTTAGGATTCCAATTCAACAAACCTTAACGCGGACGAAATACTGGTAACGCCTTCGAGTGCTGCATAACTGAGAATGAAACAACTCATCCAAACCGACCACGTCAGAAGAGGCCAGACCATGACCGCTGCTGAGGATGTGTGGCCGGTATGGCTGAGCTGCTGATTACCGATCGTTTCAAGAATCGCCCTCGAAGCACCAATGCAAGCCTCGAGGGCTGCCTGGGATGCCGAAGTTCGAGGCGTCTTGGCCAAGAGTGGCCTGTTGAGCGCAATGGTAGACTCATGCTGCAGGACCAGGAGTAAAGAGTGGTACAAGGGGGGTGTGCGTTCATCACCAGGCTGTCCCACTACCGCATGCCCCGGTTGATCCTCATCATCCGTGTGATCGCCGGTGAGAGCGTCGTGTACGTCGTTTGTCCATCTTGTAAGCTTTGACTGGACGTGCAGTGATCGGTCCAGTGTATCTTGTCTAACATGCAGGCTCTTGTGACGAAGCTCAAGAATCATGCCCCGGATCTGTGCATGCTTAGACAGAAGTGTGAGGAGCTGCAATTGATCTAATACCCAACGCAATGTAAGCCGTGGAACATTAGGGTGCTGGAATGCCTGGAATGACATGCCTTTGGACTCATCTTTGTACGACTCGTCTTCGCTCCCAGCCCCAGCCGCTTGGTGGTACTCGACATCATGCGGGAAGCAAACGTCGACATCGGAGTCTTGAACATCGAGGGGAAGGCCCAGAGCCTGGCACACCAGTCTTTCCAAGCAATAAAAGGACCACCATATGCGTTTCCTCATTGATACCTCGTGTGGGTTGAAATTCTGGTAACGCCGCGGACATCTATGCAGGCCGAGATGGTACGCCATTCTGACGACTACACCACCTACCCTGGAGGCCATGTTGAATTTGAGCATGCTGACCAGGAAGAGCTCGACGCAGAGAGCGGCCTGCATGTTCTTGAGTGACGCTGGCGTCCCTAGGATGAAGTGAAGAGATGAGGCTACGTGATCAAGGCTGAAGAAAACCAGGTCCAGAGGAACTGGTCCTGGGCCTGGAGCATTGGCAGTGCCTAGTTGACGGGAATCTGCCAAGGAGATAGAGACTATTGCTCTCACTATAGCTGAATCTTGAGGCGAGATGTTCTCGAGGCCGTTGTTGGCGACCTGCTCCAGGATCTCCACCACCTCGGGGCCGTGCAGGAACGGGAAAACCGGATGCCAGATCTCGAAATAACTCTTCGTCCAGGTGATCAAGGCCTCGAAGGTAACATTCGAGGCCATTGGGTTCCCACTCGGCAGTACCTCGTCCGACTGCCAGAAGGGGGCACGGGCGCCCGTCCCTGGAGTGGCCGGGTTCGCGCCGACAGACTCGCGGCCGTCGTCGAGCTGGTCGTCTTCGCCCGGAACCAGCTGCGAGACGCTGAGCTGCTGGCCAGTGCTGCGGGAGAGAATACCGTATACGGCTCGGACGAAATGTATGCCGCTGCTGCTACCCACAAACCGAGGCAGCCCCGGGTTGCCGCCATCCCTCATCAAGCCCGTCTCCTGGTTCTCAGGATGGCGGAAGGAAGCGGTGCGCCGTCGTTTGCTGGTACGCTCGGCGGGAGAGCGTGGCTCTGCCTGGGACCAATCGCCCTCGTAATTGTCCGGGCTTGCGGGCACGCTCATTGTGTCAGGGGGCTGCCCATTGCGACGGGAAACCCGTCCAGAAAGGGAGTGCGGTAGGTGACGAGATTGTTCTGATACCCTGAGGGTGGAGAGTTTTGGAGAGGTGCGAAGTGCCTGAAATTCTCCCCCGGACACTTGGAACGTTAGGGCCCAGAGCATGAATCAGCGGGGTTCATCAGCGCCAGAGGTCCCTGTGCCTACCTACAGCCGCTAGGTGTCTACAGTGGGGTGTAGCTACCTGTCTGGGTGCTGTAGGTCGATAAACTCCAGCCACCGTCTTGACTTCAAGACACCCACCGGAGACTTCGGATGACTCGACTGCCCCTGTCTACTGCTCTTCCTTACTGTCGTCACGGGAAGCGATATGCCCGGACGAGGCGGTCACATGCATCGCGATTAAAAATAAAGCCTTTTATTATCGTTGGCGAATCTATTTGCCTTACTGGTCTGCGGCAGACCTGCCCCAGGAGTCGTGCTCCCTCGACTAAGCGGAGAGTGCCTCGAAAGACGGGGCGCTCGTTGGGCACGCATGCTCAGTCGAGGCGAGCCCGAGTCACGGCTCTGTCCATCATCTGCTGGCGTAGAGACAGAACCGCCCAGCTGGCCATCGTGGTATGTCCGGGCTGCAAGGCTGCCAGCGTTGGCTGGACCCTCCGTCGGAGGCGTGACGGGCGCCACTGCCTCAAGTTCTCTCACGGTGCGAGTCTGGCCGAGATCCACGCTGACTGGGAGCGCGCCTTCCTCTTTGTTCACCTCGAACCATGCCTCTACCTGCGCGCGATCTTCCAGTGGGCTCTTGCTCCAAAGGGCCATCAATTCTGCCTTCTCTTGCTGCGTCGTCGGAGTGGACCTGGAAAGCACGGATGACCTCAGAGAAGGCCGTGATATGGCGTCGCCGTGTGTCCCAGCGCGAGCTTCAGCGAGCGCGAAGAACAGGGCCTTTTCTGTCTCAGCGAGCCGCTTTTCCAGAGCATTGACATAGCCAGCTGGTATGCCTCTGTCGTGGCTCGTCAGTACTTGCCCCCGTGTTTGACACTGCAGGGGGAGCGGGACATGGAAATCCGGGGAATCCAACCTCCTATTCTTCGAGGGATAATTGCAATCTGCGATTGCACCGGCGCATTGTGTGCATGTGGGTCTTCCAAGGCAGGTCAGCGCCTGAGCATTCGCTGTGCAGACAGTCCGCGGTCCTTACAGCTTGCGATCACACTGCCGGGATGGATTCCGATCATCAGTAACCTCTGGGCATGCGGTGAATTCAGATGGCTGCTACGTGAGCCGGGGAAAGACAACACCGACCTTGCATTTCTTGTGCCTACATGGCTCACACGCTATCGGCGCGGTTTCAATCCCGTCTTCGCTCATGTTATTACCGACGATCGAGTCGTCGCTCTGCATCCGGCGCTCCGGTCGATCACTTGGTCACGAAGATGGACGGACGAAAGCTGCCCGCAGTGAACGAGGCGCGAGATGCTCGAGATTCACGCCTCCGCTCCAAGTGACGAACCCTTACCCTGCAAACGTCCGGTGACCAAAGCTAAGCCATGGCCGGCGCTCCCGGATTTGACTTCGAGGCACGACGCAAGAGAGAAGGGCAGAGACTCGTCAGTTGACAGCCAGGTTTACATGTCTCTCTTTTGTCAAGCCGTGCTGTGTGCATGTTGGTCCTTGTTCTCAACGAATTGCTCCATCTATTAGACTACCAAAGCTCAAGGGAGGAAGGCGACAGCAGCTTCTCCGTATGCACATGGCCACTGCTCCATGGCCCTGCTGATGTGTCGGCACACTACCTCACTCTCTCCACCGAGAAGTTCACGGGACTCACTTCCCTCTATCCTTATAGTCTCAGGCCTGTTACAAAAGAAACGGGGCTAAGTGGCTCTACTCATCCCCACGAGGAAGCAGCTCTACCACGATGATGGAATGGACGCCTCCCTCTGGCTTTCTATGCCCCGTCACCTGCAGTACCCCCTCTTGCCGTCCCTCGCTTGCTCTTCTGAAAAGAGCCTCCCAGTCCACCATTTCTCTTTCCTTGGCGTTCAGCATTATGAGCATCTGCAGATCCAAGAATCGCATCGCGCCTTCATCTCGCGCCGATATGCCGTTACTGCCATTACTGCCGCTGTCCCAAGAGCTTGAACCTAGCATCGGCTGCATGATCTGGTCCGCGATCAACAGCTTGGAGCCCCTGGGGCCCTTCTTCATCGCGGGCATGAGATGGTGAAGGATGCTGACCGCATATTTGTCGGAGTAGTTGTGAAGTATCATGCGCAGGAAATAAACTTCAGCATTTTTGACGGGCTGGGCCGTGAAGAAATCGTGAGGCAGGAATGACACCCTCGAGGCGACTTCGCTCTCAACGCCAACCTGTTCCTGTGCTTTGGAGACAATTTCAGGAAGGTCCTGAACGACAAAGTTGGGGTTCGGGAAAGCCCTCGCGAGAGCATAGGATACAGTTCCCCTGCTGCCCCCGATGTCAACCACGGTGCTGCCCGGGGACAGAAGCTGCCAGTCCCATCCCTTGATCATATGATCGGTGTGATAGGCGCTGGACGACTGGAATCCGTCCATGCCTCGTCCAAACCGAGGTCCCCTCACGGGATCCTTGTCCCATGCCTTATATACAGGAAGGGAACTCCCCGAGGTATAGTTGAAGGCGGTCTCATTGGGCTCCTCTGAGTAGCCCCACTTGTCAAATGTCTCGACGTATGATGCTGCCCATGGGGTGGACTCCAGGGTGGCGAAGTAGACCAGATCCCTGGGCCCAGGGACCGTCAGGAGCTTGGATCCGGCGGTGTGCGCAACAAACCCTACCGCGTGTGTGGTCAGAACAGTCCAGCATAGTATGGGAGTTATGGAGAGATTCGAATACCTGGTCTGGGCTCATGAAAGATGTTGCTCGTCATCAGATAGCGCAGCATTCGTTGAGTGATGTCTTGGTTGGTACCCGACTTTGCTGCCAGGTCGGAGTAGCTGATGTCACCATCAATAGGCACGAACGACGGCACATCATAGTGAGAGATCCAGCGAAAAGCATTGGGGATGTTGTACTGGGAAGGACATCAGTAAGTGGTGTTTGTGCGTCAGATCAAGCTGGAGGCTGGGCTGACCGAGCAACTGTAATCGAACAGATGATCAATAGGCCCTAGAGCCAGCTGGTGTATCTTCTTGGAGGCGTCAAGGAGTTGACTCCGTGCATCTCGTACGCTTTGAGGGCATTCCGGGAAGCTCGCAGGAGCATCGACGGAGAATGAAGGTGCCGGGATTTTGTTGTCTGAGAGGAAAGACTTGACGGTCTTCGCACTGGCCAATATCACATTTGCCAAGTCCTCTAGATCGTCGATTGTTCGAACATTGAGTTTCGCTGCATGGTTCGCCATCGTTCGGATTTATTCGAGCTTTATGTTTCGTTGCCTCTTCCTTGACGTCAGCATATGTGAACTGTAAGTGTCCCGTGGGAATCTTCTTGGTAAATATAACGGCTGGCGGGTGAACAAGAGAACCTGATTCCCGACGCAGGCCAGACTAATAAGAACGGGGCGCCGGTGTCAGCAAGCCTGCATGAGGCTTGTCTTCCTCGGAGCATGGCGTCGGTCGATCATATACATTTCAGGTGCGTTCCGTCCGTGATACAGGATACGATGAAGTGCGGGCCACACGGGTTCAAGAAATGCAGTCCACGGCCGTTGGTCACACGTTGGCCGCCGCCGCCACGATTACGCATGCTGTTCCCGGTGGACTGGACACATGTCGATGAAGCATCGTAATCTTGGTGTTTCGCTCGGTCGATGGGCATTCTGTCTCGCACAACCTGAAGCACTTGCTTTCTTTTGAATCACTGCCAGGGAAATCTTGAACTGAATGAAGATTTGCTGTTCGGACCACACCAGAAAGCGAAATCAAGAAAGCAGCGAGCATGTGGCTGCAGCTGTTGCAAAACTCGGCCATTGCATTTGACTCCGGCGAAAGGCTACTTGCCGACAGCAGATGTCCAGCCCTTGCCAGCCAATTTTCAAGCTGGCCAGGAGTGACAATGCTGTTTCTTCGGTCCCAACGAGCATCACAGAGTCAGTCTCCAGTCTTTTCTGGGTGATTTCCCGTGGTTGTCTTGGGCATTCGGTGGTCCGAAGTTGACAAAACCGCAGGTGTGGCGGTAGAGTCAGCAGGCTCATTTGCCCAGCCAAGCTCTAAGGGCCACGCCACTGTAGAACAGGGGCCTCCGTCCATAGACATCGCGCATGGCACGCCACCAGAGCACGGCCAAGGGGCGGGAAATAACTCATCCACGTCGTCCCCACCAGAATTGCCAACATCGTCAACTCAATTCCACATCGCAGCAAAGCCACAAACACGCAGTTTTGTCCACCCACCACAGATCCCTTCCATATCCCAGCTCTGCTCAAAGAATCAGATACCGTCTACCGTCTACCAACTATCGTTGTCTGCACTGTACCTCGATGGAGTCTTACACCGCCAACACTACTTCACGCAGCCTTCGGCGTGACAGACAAAGACGTCGCGCAGCTCCTTGACAAGCCGTCGGACTGCATAGCGCCAGCTCATCATAGCGTAGACCTCGCGGCCTTCACAATCACCCACGCACACCCGGAGCCTCACCTCTGGTCCGGTCCAGAGACTTCTCCGGGGCTGCTCTGCCTCCAGAACTCCTGAGAATACTGCTGCTCCCGCTCCTGCAGCAGCGTCTAGGACCCCCTCCAGTCCAGTCCAGGCCAGTTAAGCATGGCCGCAACCACAGCTGGTTTCCTTCAGTACCGTGAACCAGATATCATCAGTATTTTGGTTTTGGTTTCATTTTTCTTCTTTCTGTCGTCTGTAGGATGGGTCTTCAACAAGGCCATCCGTGCCTGTCTCATCGGCCAGATCCTGATGGGCATTCTCTACGGCGCACCCGTTGGCAATGTCCTTGATACTGCGTGGCAGGAGACATTTATGGCTTTGGGCTATATCGGGCTCATTCTCATAATCTTTGAAGGGGGTCTCACCATCAGGCTCGACCTCCTAAAGGCCAATTTCCTGCGCAGCACCATCGCTGCCGCTATTGGAATAACTGCGCCCATCGCTCTTTGCTATCTGCTTCTCTACCTAGGTTTTGGTTATGGAGCCTTGGAAACGTTCATTATCGGTGCCGCTCTCTCGACAACTTCTATTGGCACGACGTTTGTGGTCATTAGCAGCTCACCTAACGTCGACCTCACGCACACCAAAGTAGGCACCGTCCTGATCTCCGCCGCGCTCTTCGACGATGTCGTTGGCTTGATCATGGTCAGCGTCATATCAAACCTCGGAGGCATCGGCGCAGGTGGGGGCGGGAACATTGGCTGGATTGTGGGAAGACCAATCCTTGCGAGCTTCGCAATCGGAGCTGTCTCGCCCTTGCTGGCTAATTTTGCAGCTGGTCCGCTGTACCGGCGCTTTGGAGAGCGTCACGTAGCCGCCCTGGGACATCGAGCCACGATCTGCCTTATGACAATCGTTCTGTCAGCCCATCTCGTCGTCTGTGCCTACGCTGGGGCTTCTCTCTTGTTCGGAGCCTTCCTAGCAGGCACGTTCTTGAGTACCCTCCCAGACGGGCCCACTCAAGCTGTCGGGAGTGAGGATGGCGTGACATTGGTAGCGCCTGCATTCCATGAGACGTTCGAGACTTTCATATCAGGTCCACAATCCCTCGTCCTGGAGCCACTATTCTTTGCCAGCATTGGCTTCGCTATACCGTTCAAGAGATTGTGGACAGGTACTGTCGTATGGCGAGGCATCGTGCTCTCACTGCTAATGGCGATTGGAAAGGTAAGAAACAATGCATCGTACCTCTCTTTTCTCCTCAATTCCCTCGACTGACGCTAACAACAACTCCAGGCTGTTGTAGGCCTCTCCATTCCGTTCTGGGATCTCGTGTCCCGCCGGTCTTCAGGTGTAGGACAGGGGCGACTCTCAAGCGACTGGGCTCCTGTAGCGCTTTTGGGGATGGCCATGGTCGCTAGAGGCGAGATTGGATTGCTTATCATCCAACTCGGGCTGAATGACACCTCGTTTCTGTCCCAGGAGGCCTTTCTCGTCTCCATCTGGGCCATCGTCCTGAACACCATCCTGGGGCCTCTCTCTGTTGGCCTCTTGCTTTACAGATCAGAAGATATTATCCCAAAGGACCCTCGCTGGGGCTTGCAAAAGCAGGAGGCAGAGAACGGTAGTTCCCCTGACCTACCACGCACCTCGCCGCCCCAAGCTGCGCCAAGCGAAGACCGTCATTGAGAAACTTTTCATCGGGGGTAAAGGCACGTCGTCAGGCTATAGGCCACGGCCTTGAGAAAAGGCTGGATCGTCGATAATTTACGTCATATTATATCAACTATACTAACACTGGGATCCATTCAACATGGATTGCCGATATGCTGGCATCACTGGCAGGTGTGCTAGCGGGGAAACGAGCTGGATACATTTTCTATTGTTGTAGAGTCAAATTGAAGTAGATAGGAGAAGAGAAAGAGAAATGGGGGGGGGGGTGGAGTAAAAGACTACTTCCTCTGGTTGCAAGCAGTGTCATGCTTGCAAAGTATGTTGGCAACTGATGTGAACGGTGGCACTGATCGCGTCTCACTCTACCTGGTAGTGCCTTCCGTGACAGCACTGTGGTAAATGCCTACAACACTGTAACTTCAAGGTTTAATGTCATTAGAGAAGGCACCAGCGGGCGTAGTAAATTGCCTAAAAGGGTGACACAGCATCATTGGCGTCGGCGGTAACATCTCAGAGCTTGGATTTATTCACAGAAATGTGTCGACGATAGAAGCAAGTCCAGTGGCACAACTTGCCAGTCCTTTACATTTCTAGCGACTAAAACGGTCAAACGGTTTAACCAGATGGCGCAATAAGTCTCAAGTGCTGTGTCCTGGCGATATTGGACACCACAACAAGTACAACAATGACGGTGAGCTGTGAGCTTGTGGAAGCTCTGCTGTATGATAGCAAAATATCCTCGAATGGTGCTATGGCCAAAACCGCGATTATGCTCTGAGAGTATGAAGACATAGACACTTATATAGTCCGGTCACAGAGATGATCACGTAGTTCTCGGCTACATAGGTGCCAAAGGAACCACGCCCTTAGCCGATTGAACACAGACGAAATCTCTCGATCTTTAGTCGGGGAGATGAAGCGTAGAAATCCATATAATCAACGTCTATGATGATAATCGACCACAACACAATCCCTATGCCAAGATCTTGTACCTTTTCTCTGGAAGACTGGATCGGTTTAGCATCGGATCAAGCTGTGCTGCGAAAGCCATGCCGATGTGCTTGATGTGCCGAAGATAAATTCGGACTTTGCAGCAATGACTCAAGACTTCAGAGAACGGTGTCTTAGGCTTGATTCCGTTGGGAAAGGGAGGAGATAAGTTCGGCCGGCCTGGCGTCTAATTCTTATGTAAGCCCAACATGACGAGCTACCCAGGTACGATGCCGATCGTGAGGAGTAGCAAGACCGCCTCTCCTTTTCTGTCTCGCACCGATAGTAAACTGATTAGACACCATGAAAATCACACAGGTGAGCATTTCAGAACGAAAAGAAATAGAGGAAGGACATTTATTGACCCTGGCAGCTCTACGTTTACCCAATCAAATCGCTGCAAGGCATTGCATTGCAAAAGGCGAAGCTCGACAGGCAAGGCGTACAGCATGATCGGCGGTTTATGCTGCTAAGGGTACACGATGACGGTCATCATGAGCCAGTTGAAGTCGTCAGATATCCGGCATGTGCTCTTTTCGTCCCAGAGATCCTAGATGGAAAGATCGTGAAATACAAGATCCCGGAGGAGCCGGCTTCCCCGCCGACGCAGGCGCAGAAAACACCACTCGAGATCCCGTTGGAGCCGGAGACCGCTGGGCTTGAGACCGTGGAGGTTGACTTGTACAAGAGCAAGACCATGGGCTACCGCATGCCTGAGGCCCATAACTCTTGGTTCAGCTCATGCCTCGGCTTCGAGACGATACTCGTGTATGTCGGCGACGGCAAACGGCAGGTACTAGGGACGATGTCGCCTCATGCCCAGAACAAGCGGAACCAGGGGTGGCTATCCTCTATGAAGAGCTACATTGGTTCGAACGAAGACCCTCACTGGCTCACGTTCACATGCGTCGCATCGTATCTGATCGCGACCGAGGCGTCTGTGAACGACGTGAGCAGCAGGCTGCCACCTGGAGAAGACATGGACATCCGCAAATTCCGGCCAAACATAGTCGTTGAAGGCGAGGGGGCCTTTGATGAGGATTACTGGGGCGAGATCGAGGTCGAGAACGGCGTGCGGTTCGATCTTACTGGGAACTGCGGGCGCTGCGTGTCGATCAATGTCGACTACGCGACGGGGAGGCCTGGAACAGGCGAGAGCGGTAATGTTCTCAAGAAGCTGATGAAAGACCGCAGGGTGGATAAGGGCAACAAGTATTCGCCAATTTTCGGCCGGTATGGCTTCCTCCAGGCCGAGCGGGCAGAGATCCAAATTGGACAAGAGGTCGCCGTTACCAAGCGAATGGAGGAACGATGTGTCTGGGTGAGTACTCCACGATACCCTCCCACATTTTGTTGGAACGCCAAAAGCATCCCGGGCCACCTGCACTATGTTCCATTGATCATATCAAACGCATTGTGTGTGCCGCGCCTGAGGACGAGCTAACCCGAATACTGCAGGATTGGCCGCCGTATAAATGAGCTTGTGTGGGACTTTCTCGATGCTTAGGAGTTGACGGATTGTTCTTCTAGATGGGATCCGACTTGTTAGCGATCGAGTAGTAGAGTCAAAAAAAGGTCGAGGCGGATGCTAACATGAAGTGAAATTCACAGTCCGTTGGTGTAGATACCTACCGTCTGGAGCTGCACGCCTGGTTACAGTGCAGCTGCTGTGACAATGGGCCCGTGTTGGGTCGTCCCGAGGCAGCTCATCTGCTAAGAGAGACTAGCGCCCGCCGACAGAAGAATTGGGGACACTGATCCCTGCCCGTATCAGCTCGTGCTGCCGCTGCTCCTTCCGGCCAGACAGGCCCAAAAAGTACAGATGGCGACTCCAAATTTCCTTCGTCATCTGCTTCCTGCCTAGAAACATCTACTGCCCGCTCCCACCCTCTCCCAACTCCGTTCCTTTTCCCACTTTGCACGAGACACGCGCAGTCCGGTTGAAACGACCAACTTCGTCTCCTCCCATGCGGTAGGCGCATACCCAGACCATTGACCTCGACCCGGTTCCTTTCATCGCAACCACCGCTGCGCAGGTGTTGCCGTCGACGCCCCACCATGGCGCCGCCGCCACCAACTCTCGTCGACAACCCGCAGATTAAATCTGCTGAGTTGCTGACGCCGCGGCCGTTGTTTCTCCATGCCTACGTGTGGCCATTCACCATCGCCTGGCCCGTGTTCCTAGCCTTCTACCTGAGCCCTGAGCTATATGACCAGCACATCGGTGGTCAAGAATGGACATTCGTCTGGGTCGGCACAATCATCACCTTCCAGAGTCTCTTCTGGCTGAGTACCCACTGGAGTGTCAGCGCCAAAGCCATAATCACCGCGAGGAAGGTCTCGTCTATCGAGGAGGCGCAACAGATCAAGGTCATTCCTGTCGCAAATGCTGGCGTGGCCGATATTAGCGACCTCATCCGAGAGAAGGTGAGTCTCCGGCGCCGGCCGTCCCTTTAGCTTCGGGCCCCACGGAACTTATGGCTGACCGGCTTCTAGATTGATGGCAAGAATACCCTGTCCTTTCTCTTCCAGAAACGTCGTTTCCTGTATGACCCCGATAAGAAGACATTCGCGACCTTGAGCTACGCTGTCGACAACGAGCCAAAGCCTACCCTCGACGCCTTTCAAAAATCCAAGGGCTTTACGAACGCTGCGGAGATCAAGAAACTGGAGCAGTACTATGGTACCAATACCTTCGATATCCCGGTCCCTACATTTACCGAGCTCTTCAAGGAACATGCAGTCGCGCCGTTCTTTGTCTTCCAGGTGTTCTGCGTCGGCCTGTGGATGCTGGATGATTATTGGTATTATTCGCTGTTCACCCTCTTTATGCTGGTTGTCTTCGAAAGCACCGTTGTCTGGCAGCGTCAGAGGACCTTGAACGAATTCCGTGGCATGAGCATCAAACCGTACGACATTTGGGTTTACCGACTGGGCAAGTGGACTGAGGTCCAGAGCGACAAGCTCCTACCGGGAGACCTTGTGTCTGCTGGCCGAACCAAGGAAGACAGCGGCGTTGCCTGCGACATGCTACTGGTAGAAGGAACAGCCATCGTCAACGAGGCCATGTTGTCAGGAGAAAGCACACCTTTATTGAAGGAATCCATTCAGCTGCGCCCAGCCGACGCGAGGTTGGAGCCCGAAGGTCTCGACAAGAATGCCTTCCTCTGGGGAGGCACCAAGATTCTCCAAATCACCCATGGCAACCCTGACGACCCGAAGCCTCCCGTTGCCTCCGGGGTTCCTCCTCCCCCAGACAAGGGTGCGATGGCTATTGTTATCAAGACTGGATTCGAAACGTCGCAGGGCAGCTTGGTCCGCACTATGATCTATTCCACAGAGCGCGTGTCCGCCAACAACGTCGAGGCTCTACTCTTCATCCTGTTCCTGCTCATCTTCGCCATTGCCGCGTCTTGGTATGTGTGGACCGAGGGTGTCCAGAAAGATCGCAAGCGATCCAAGCTCTTGCTCGACTGTGTTCTCATCATAACGAGCGTGGTACCTCCCGAACTGCCTATGGAGCTTAGTTTGGCTGTCAATACGAGCTTGGCGGCTCTCGCCAAATACGCCATTTTCTGCACGGAGCCATTCCGTATTCCCTATGCTGGTCGCATCGATGTGGCCTGTTTCGACAAGACAGGAACCCTGACCGGAGAGGATCTTGTCGTGGAGGGCATTGCAGGGCTTGGCCTTGGGGCTTCTGGTACCAACACGCCACAAGAATCCGATGGCGCACACAGCAACATGACTCCCGTCAAGGATTCTGGTTTGGCTTCCACACTCGTGCTTGCTACCGCTCACGCACTAGTCAAGCTGGATGAGGGGGACATTGTTGGCGATCCCATGGAGAAGGCCACCTTATCTGCGCTTGGCTGGACTCTTGGCAAGAACGACACATTGACGCACAAGCCTGCGACAGCAGCTGCTGGAGGTACTGTGGGGACGGTCCAAATCAAGCGCCGCTTCCAATTCTCGTCCGCTCTCAAGCGTCAGAGCTCAGTTGCTACCGTCACAGGCAGGGACCCAAAGACCGGTGCCCAAATGCGAGGCACCTTTGTCGGTGTAAAAGGCGCGCCAGAAACTATCATGAAGATGCTCGTGTCCGTTCCCGCGGACTACGAAGAGACTTTCAAGTACTTCACTCGCAGGGGATCTCGTGTCTTGGCATTGGCGTACAAGCAACTATCGACAGACGATGAACTAGGCGCTAAGAGGATCAACGAGCTCAAGCGTGAGAGCGTTGAGGCTGGGTTGACCTTCGCTGGATTCCTGGTTCTCCATACTCCATTGAAGGACGACGCCAAGCAAGCTGTTCAGATGCTCAACGAGAGTAGCCACAGAGTCGTCATGATCACTGGTGACAACCCTCTCACTGCTGCTCATGTGGCTCGTGAGGTCGAGATTGTTGACCGCGACGTGCTCATCCTTGATGCTCCCGAACAGAACGACAATGGAGACAAGCTTGTTTGGCATAGCGTCGATGGACGCATCAATATCGAGGTGGATGCGTCAAAGCCTATCGACTCTGAGATCTTGAACAAGTATGACCTCTGTGTTACTGGCTACGCCCTGGCGAAGTTCAAGGACCAAGTTGGCTGGCATCAAATCCTGCGTTACACTTGGGTATATGCCCGAGTTTCCCCCCAAGCAGAAGGAACTTCTCCTGGGCTACAAGGACATGGGCTATTTCACGCTGATGGCCGGCGACGGAACCAACGACGTCGGTGCTCTGAAGCAGGCTCACATCGGAATCGCCCTCTTGAACGGAACCCAGGAAGACCTTACCCGTATCGCCGAACATTCTCGGAACACTAAGATGAAGGAGATGTATCAGAAGCAGATCGACTTGATGAAGCGCTTCAACCAACCCGCTCCTCCAGTACCTCCTCTGATCGCTCACCTGTACCCTCCTGGACCGTCCAATCCCCACTACCAAAAGGCCATCGAGCGCGAAGCACAAAAGAAGGGGGTTTCGCCGGCTGAATTCGCTCGGTCTCAGGGGCACCAGCAGCCCATCGAAACAGTGACGTCTCCGGGTGCTCAACAGCTGATCGACTCTGATCCCCGTGCGGCCAAACAAGCGCAAGCAGCCAAGAAGGCAGCCAGCTTCGCCGAACAAATCCAGCAAACGATGATGGATAATGATATTGATGACGGTGAGCCTCCTGCTCTCAAGCTTGGAGACGCCTCTGTCGCTGCGCCATTCACCTCGAAATTGCGAAATGTTGTTGCCATCCCGAACATTATCCGCCAGGGTCGATGCACGCTCGTCGCCACCATCCAAATGTACAAGATTCTCGCCCTCAACTGTCTTATCAGTGCTTACAGCTTGAGTGTCCTGTACTTGGAAGGTATCAAGTTTGGTGATGGTCAGTATACCATCAGCGGTATGCTTATGAGCGTCTGCTTCTTGTCCATCTCGCGGGCCAAGTCCGTCGAAGGCCTTTCCAAGGAACGTCCGCAACCAAACATTTTCAACTTTTATATCATCGGTTCTATCCTCGGCCAGTTTGCGGTGCACATTGTCACTCTGATCTACATTGCCAAATTTTGCGACAAGCTTGAGCCGTAAGTTTCCATTGTTGCCTTTCTCCTGACTGTAGCTCACTGACGCCTTATGATAGCCGTGACGAAATCGTTGATCTCGAGGCGGAGTTCACTCCCTCGCTCCTCAACAGTGCGGTGTACCTCCTGCAGCTCATTCAGCAAATCAGTACTTTTGCTGTCAACTACCAGGGTCGGCCCTTCCGTGAAGCTCTGTCTGAGAACAAGGGCATGTTCTACGGTATTGTGGGCGTAACGGCCATTGCCTTCTCTTGCTCGACTGAGTTCATTCCCGAGCTCAACGAGCAGATGAAGCTGGTGCCCTTCTCAGACGAATTCAAGATGACCATGACGGCCGTCATGATCGTCGATTACGCAGCGTGCTGGATCATTGAGGTTGCCCTGAAGAAGCTCTTCTCGGACTACAGGCCGCGTGACATTGCTCTCCGGAGACCAGACCAGCTAGAGCGGGAGCGTGTGCGCCAGGAAGAGCAGCAGAAGCGCAAGGAGGCTGAGGAAGAGAGAAAGAGGCTTGAGAAGGTGGCTGAGTTTGAGCGAAAGGTCGAGGCGCAGAGGCAGAGGCTAGAGGCCTGGAGAGATGGCCGTCAGCAGGCCTAGGTGGCACACGAGTTGACACAGGTCGCATAGTTCGAGGCTAGGGGAGCATATAGACTGGAGGGGGTTTGAATAGAATTACACATTTGATAGACCAGGTGTGGTGCAAGTGTCTGTACCAACTCACAATCCTAAGTTACTCCACAACCTCAAAGCCAAGCACACACTTCTGGGAGCCTCTTGACTTTCTGGTAATGCTGAGCCATGTCATGGTGCAGTGGACCGTGGGAGAACGTGCCAGGGCTTAGTCCATACCTAAACAATCACCTCTGTGGCTTCATACGGCTTTCACAGTCGGACTCAAGTCCTCGAAAACATTGTGCTATTGTACAAACAGCTGTCTATTTGCATCTCCGATGAAGGTCGAAAGAGAATAAAAGACTAGACTACGCAGGAAGTAGCAGCTCTCTTTCTCACTCCCGTTTTATCTTGCCTCTTGTCGAACCATTGAATCCAAATCTGCAACCATAATACTGGGGATATTCCGGTCAAGGAAGCGCAGGAAATAAGCATCCAGAATCAGCTACCACCCCACCACACAACCAATACAGACAGGCAAAAGTCCACTTGCATCCTGAAACAGGACGACAAGGTGAGATTTACCCGAAACCCTGCATGCCCATCAGCAGGGTAGTTGGCACCCTTCAAGACTTCTGGAACCCATTAAGCTCGTCCCAGGAGAGATACCCAGTCTCATCCAAGGAGTCGAGAGGTGCCCATGAGGCCCTTAGTTTCCAGGGTTCTTGGCAACGAAGGCAACACCCTTCTCAATGTTCTTCTTGAGGTCAGCCAGGCAGGCCTCGAGCATCTTCTCCTCGTTGCCGTCAAGCTTGCCGAGGGGCAGGATCTTCTCAACACCGTTGGGGCCGAGCTCGACCTTGGAGGAGAAGAAGTCGATGCCCTGGTCCTTGTACAGAGGGGAGTCGACGAAGGTGGGCTCGACGACGCCCTTCTCGCCCTGGGAGGCGCGCAGCAGGGACTCGGCCATACGGGCACCGGCCATGGCCATGGACAGGGTGGCGGAGCCGGCACCGTCCTTGGCCTTGACGACCTCGTCGCCACCGAACTGGACGCGCTTGACGATCTCCTCGTTGGAGGACAGGTCGGGGTGGGCGGACTGGGAGAACAGGGGCACGATGGTCACACCAGAGTGACCACCGACAACGGTGATGTTCTCATCGGCGGGGTCGGTGCCCTTGAGCTGGGAGACGAAGCGGGAGGCGCGGACGACATCGAGGGTGGTGACACCGAACAGGCGCTTGGGGTTGTACACACCACGGGCCTTGAAGACCTCTGCGACGATGGGGACGGTAGAGTTGACGGGGTTGGAGATGACGAGGATGTTGGCGTCGGGGGAGGCCTCGGCGGCGGCCTTGGCCAGGTCGCGGACGATGGAGGCGTTGGTGTTGAACAGGTCGTCACGGGTCATGCCGGGCTTGCGGGGGACACCGGCGGGGATGAGGACGACCTCAGCGCCCTTGAGGGCATCGGACAGGCCAGAGGAGGTAGGGTCGTAGCCGGTGACGGTGGACTTGGTGTTGATGTGGGAGATGTCGGCAGCAACGCCTGCGAGGGGGGAAGGTTGTTAGCTTTGCTGTGCTGCAGCTTGCCAGGCTTCGGCTGCGTCAAGCTACGCGTCTGCACTGCGCCGACCATTGGGTTCGGACAGAAAGCACGCGATCATGGAAGGGCAGACGATGCTTACCAGGAGCCATGCGGATATCGTACAGGGCAAGCTCAGTCACTCTAGGGTTGAGCTTGAGCAGCAGGGACAGAGGCTGGCCAATGCCACCAGCAGCACCGAGGACGGTCACCTTGGACAGCTACAATGGCAGACGTCGCATGTCAATTCCAACTCCTGAATAAGTCGCATAGGCACAATAGACGACATACCTGACGAGCCGACGCCGAGAAGGCGCGGCGCTGGAACATAGAAGAGGCCATTCGGGGAGCGGCAAACATCTTGGCTGTCTTTGTATTGGGATCGGGAACAGAAAGGCTGGAGGACTTGGTGGTGAGTTGAATGTTAGCTCAGGTGCTGGAGGAGCTCAAAGGGGATGGGAGGCAGCCTTACCGACAAGAGACGAGAGGCTAGAGGGTTGATGGTGACGACAATGCCGTTAAGAAAAGTTTCCAATCTGAGGTTGCAAGGTGCGTCCGAAAAGCTCACTCCGGTCGGTCTTGCTGATGTGGAGCCCATCTGGCCGTTCGGCGCTAGCGAGCTAGCCGAGTATCCCCTCAAGGCTTAGCGTGACGGGCCATCGGAGCACCTCGGGATTCCTCTCGAGAAACTGGGCATCGCAGTCCGGCAGTCCGGTAGTCCACATTGACGATGGAGTCCACACCAAGCCTGGTCGACTGCACCAGGCACTTGTGACCTTGGTCCAAGACGAGGAGGTGTGACTGGATGTGGTTCTTCAATTGGTGCAGCTTCGGACAGCATTGGCTTGTCTGGGCAGATGCACACCCAAAAGCCTAACTAGCTTTCCCGCCCGGTGGCGATGCTCGTGCATCCCTTTCTCCTCACCCAGAGGGTCTCTGGCTGTGACCTGGGCATCTTCTAGGAGAAGAACCTCAAACCCTCAAAAGTAGAGGGCTTCAAAATCATAAAGAAGTTGGAGTGGCTAGGTTCAAGCTTTCTTCACGTCAAGTATGACCGGATCATCCATCTCTCCTGGGACACAAGCACTTATTAGTACCGGAAATTCCGGACCAGCCAGGCAGAGTTTTATATATTCGGCCGCCGGGCTTTTATGACGGGCTGGTTACATTGACCAGTGCTTATACCCTATATGCACATGTAGTCTAACAATCTTCCAGGACCCTTTGTATTCACTGTAACTTCAACCCCTCATTGTGTGCTCGGATTTTCCTCAGTCAACCATCAAAATGGAGCCCATAAGAGAAGCCCTGGCCAAGTACGGCAACACCTGGAACAACGAAGTGCCTCCTGCGCTGGCAAAGCTCTATGGACCAATTCAGGCCAAGTTCCAGAGCAAGTATGAGGGCCAGATCAAGGCCGAGACCGCCATCAAATATGGGCCGGATGCAAGGAATCGTCTCGATGTCTATACCCCAGTAGAGGCAGACAAGTCCGGAGGTTCCGGCAGGCCTGTCATCGTCTTCATCCACGGAGGTGGTCTTGTGGCTGGGGACAACAATATGTATGCCAACATTGGTGCGTGGTTATCTCATCCCACAATCACTCCCGCTCGTCCAAATTTGACTTGTTTTCAGGCAACTACTTTACTAGCAACGGCTTTATCACATGTCTCGTCACATATCGCCTAGCCTTGCAGGGCGGGCACCATCCCCACGGAGCCGAGGACGTCACCGCTGCCCTCCAATGGATCCAGGCAAACATCTCCCAGCACGGCGGAGACCCGGACAAGGTCGTCGCTCTCGGCCAGAGCGCCGGCGGCCTGCACCTTGCTACGGCACTCTTCCTCGGCAAGCTTGATCCCAACCCCAAGCCTCTGCTTCGCGGCGCCGTCCTCCTCTCTGCCCCCTTCACGTGCAGCACCATCGACCCCAGCAGGGCGAACCTGCTGAAGGAATGGTTCCAGACCGATGACCTGTTCGAGGTCAACCATCGCTGGGCGCCGGCTGCCATCTTCCGCCAGGAGTTCTTCGGCACGGGCACGACCCCGCCACGGAAGAAGCTCCCCTGTGAGCTGCTGATGATGGTCGGCGAGGCTGAGGCGGATGAGATCCTCGACGGCACATTCGAGTTCCTGAGTGACTACAGGAAGAGGTTCTCCAAGTTGCCTGTTCTTGAGGTGCTCAAGGGCCATAACCATGTCTCGTACACCTTTGGGCTGGGTCTGGATGAGCCAGAGTATGCGGCTGTGGGAACGAGACTGATTTCTTTTGCGAAGGAGAACACGGCATAATTGCGTATCCGTGGGCTCTAGATATGACGTTGTAAAGCTTGTCTTCTGCACTATGAGCACAGACTGAACACATTGAGATTTGGGGGATCATTCCCACAGTGCTATCATGTCTTTGTCACTTTCAACCCGTCAAAATTGTCACTAGGGTGAAGTTGACAGGCATTAGATGTATGGTATTGGTTCCAATCCCTGGTGACAGAATTCTCCAGGAATATTTGCTGATTATGTGTATTGGCATAAAGCTCTGTGCCCATACCAGATGCCTTGCATGATTGGGTTGAAAGGATGAGTTGCAATATAGTGTTGAGCCAGCTTAACAAGCAAGGTTCCCGGGAGATGATATGTTTTTGGTAATGACATAGACATGCAACTTCCTGTGCTCTATCAGATTTCACTTACAGATGCAAAATACAGTCCATAGATGGTTTATTACTCACTGACTGCATAATGGCCTTGATGAATCATTCTCATTCACTGTAATCCAGACACTCGCACCACAAGATATAGGAATCGAACGGAATTGTCAGACCAGCGTCACTGAAACGGTTTAGCGTTCAGGAGCATGAATTCATAGCAGTATCCTAGAGTGAATAACTTGTTCGAAACTTCAAACTTCTGTTCAAAGCTGAGAAATGTAGAAGATACTTACCACCTCTAACCTAGAACTTGTTGGTCCTGACCACAATTCTGAGGTCAACGGCGTTGTTGAGACACAACGTCAAAACAGCATCACGAGATTCTTGACTCTCAAATGAGGTCAGCCATATCCCTCCTTCCTCAAGCCGTTTATGGAAATCGATGCCCAGTGCTAACAGCTTTTGCTGCTTCGCTAGCATTCCTCAAGCACACCATCAACTACAGACCTAGAGCCAACCTCAACTTCTACCAACACTGCAATGGCTTTGAACAAGCCTGTTGGAAGTCAGTCATCCTGGCTTAACATTGTCAACAAACTCGACAATGTCCCGCACGCCAACCAAGAAAACCTGGAAACGGTCACTGAATTCTTCAGTTCTTACTGGACCTTTTCCATACAAGAGGGCACTGAGGACTCGCAGATCCCTGTGGGCTACATTGCAGATTGGCTGGTTCAAATGATCCACTGGAACCGTCATCCCCGGTTCACTATCCACCGGGGAAGCCAATCCATCTTTCTTGACGCCAAGCACGGCACGGCTCAGCCCCAAGGTGCTGACTCTGATGGAAGCAAGTCCCTACACGCTTTGATCATGGAGCTGCTTGACGACGGAGATGTCCCGGGATTCCGCCAGTTGCACCACAAAGGCGACTTCTGCCAGATCCCAGGCCCGCATACTCGAATCGAGATCGACCGCAACGCCGCCCAGCTCTTTGGGCTTCTGACTAGGGGGGCCCACATGACATGCCATACATGGGAGACATCTGAGAAGGGCCGCCAGATGAAGCTCTGGGTCCCACGCCGAGCATTCAACAAGAAATATGATGCTGGAAAGCTCGACAATACTGTTGCTGGTGGCATAGCCAACGGAGACACTCCACTGCAGACCATACTGGCTGAGGCTGAGGAGGAGGCAGCTCTGAGCCGGGCATTTGTGTCTGAGAACATCGTGGCAACGGACACCCTGAGTTATTTCAACCACTGTTCCGCAGCCGAGGGAGATCACATGAGGCCGCGAGTCCTGTACACTTTTGAGCTGGAGCTGCCACATGACATTCTGCCTAGACCGCATGACGGAGAGGTCAGCGAGTTTCTCCGAATGGACGCGCATGAGATGAAGGATGCGGTCATGGCCGGAGAAATGGCGGACGATGCAGCGATTGTATGGCTGGGCTTCCTCGTCCGGCACGGCATTGTGGATGAGCAGAACGAGCCTGACCTGCTCCAAATCACCGACCGGGTGCACCGCCACTTACCGTTCCCAGTTGGCAAGGCATGAGCATAGGAAATGATCTTCCTCGCGGAAGAGTCCTTACCCACCATCGGGAGCGGGAGGATCATCCGGACACATCCGAACACATCACCTACCTAGTCTGTCTACCATCATTGACAACACACTAGTTATTTTGGCAGAACTCTCATGTTCTGTCTGACTCTTCGCAAGACCCACGTTCCGGCGAATCATGGCATCCACTATGCGACCACAGAATGCCAAGGGAGAATGTGTCTTCACTGTTGCTGACGAGGACTGCGCAAATTGAGTCAAGGGAATCAGGTGTGAATAATTCTCCGTAGAAAATCATTACCGTACAAAGGATTGCTCCGCGCAAGTTATATGTGCACTTGTCTACCAGCAGTGGATGCCCAAGGCACACTGGGTCACTTGGGCAAGGCATACCGTATTCCTTGATCTCGAATGTCCATACAAGCAACAATGGCCCCCAAAGTTCTTATGATTTCTCGACAGATAGCTGTCGGGATTGGGCGGCAAATCTCGGCACCGGACCCCTGGGGTGCTGGGGCTTGGCAGTGCAAGTTTGAAGATATTTTGGGACGACCTCATAGGGCTCGCTGACTCGCATAAGCGGCACGGAAGAGCTCCATTGATCCACGGAAGCGAGCCTTCGAGTTGAGTTTTTCTGGGGAAGTTTTTTCTGGGGAAGCCGCATCGCCGGACCCTATTCTTTACTTTAAGACTCTGAAGCGAAATTGCCATCGACGCCTGCTGAGTCGATGGTAGAAGGAGTCGGCTCCGAGCGCAGCACCTGAGCACGTCAGCCCTGTGGATGCCCCTTTCACTATTGAGGATCACAGACGGAGAGACCCCCACACAATTTTTCGAAATAGAATCGGTAGCTCTGAGGGGGAAGGAGAGGATTTCGAGAAAACACTCAGCAGCACAGGGATGATCGGTGATCGATCTTGTCGGTGTGGATCCTGGAAAACGGTGACAGTTGGGACGAACAGTCCGCATCTGGACAGTTCACCAAGAACTCCTTAAGTTTTTGAGCCTCTTCGACATCAAACGGTGTCCACGGTCGATGAGATTGCACTGCTATTTTCGACTCTGTGGATATGCATGGCGAGGATGTGGTCAGAAGCACTGGCAGGGGAAAACAACGAGTAAGGCTGGTGATGTAGACTCTGAACCACCAAGATACGTGAACGCGAAGACTTCGAATTCAACATAAATAACCATCATGTTTCCCTCCCATCTGGATTTGAACTTCCATCTCATCACCACCATCACTCAACAACTCGCTCTCCTTTGCATCCTTCAGTCTTTCCTTAACGGTTTCTCTCGTTTTCAAAACTACAACACTCATTCTTGATATATTAATCATCAACCACACTCATTCAAAATGCAGTCCACTCTCATGTCCATGCTCGCCATTGCTGGCGCTGTCACCGCTGCTCCTCTCCAGGGCCGCGATATCGCCTGGGTCGATGCTTCCGAGGTCGCCTCCTGGAACACCACCCTGGCCGACGGCTGGGCTGGCCAGGTAGTCGTCGACTACCAGCCTTACCTCAAGGTCGCCTCCGGCTGTGTCCCTTTCCCCGTCGTCACTGAGGACGGCAAGCTTGGGTAAGTAGCTCCTCCGGAACTCAACCCAGGAAGCAACAGCATTGCTAACTACTAAAAATCCAGCTCCGGCCTCAAGCCCACCGGATCCAAGGAGGGCGACTGCGACTACGGCACCGGCCAGGTCTACGCCCGCTCCGGCTGGTTGAAGAACGGCCACTGGAGCATCATGTACTCCTGGTACTTCCCCAAGAACCAGAACAAGGACCTGCTCCCCTCAGAGGGCCACCGCCACGACTTCCAGAACGTCATCATCTACTTCAACAACGACGACGATGACTTCGCCCACAACCCCCCGGTCGGCGTCGCTTACAGCGCCGCCGCCAACGGCACCTACACCAAGCTCAAGCCCGGCAGCGATGACGCCCCCGTCTTCCAGGACAACACCCACCTGTACGTCCAGTACGACCGCCTCAGCGAGGACCCCAAGCTCCACGTCGTCTCCTCCACCGATAAGGCCGGCGGCCAGCAGCCCATCGTCCAGTGGAACGCCTTCACCGACGCTGCCCAGCGCGCCATCTCCACCGCCGACTTTGGCGAGGGTGTCACCGTTCCTTTCATCGATGCCCACTTCGAGGAGAACATCGAGGCTGGATTCGACGCCGGCTTCTTCGCTTAAGAGTATCTTACTCTGGACTAAACTTAATTTCCTTAACATGTCTGTTGCTTGTGTGGGTTTTGGTGGGGAAAAGGACTATCGTCTCAGGTCGGGATTGGGGCGTCTAATATAGAGGGTATCGGTGGGAAATAATGTGACCTTAGAACCATAGACTTTATTCATATAGGTCGATCTATACATTCTCATGAATCAAAACAACGACCGAAACTCCTTGTATGCAACTTTTGCTCAGTGCTTTACTCACATTTGGTGAAAACGGCTCTCTCGAGCATGCGCAGATGTCTGCTACTTACATTGAGGCTTGTAAGCGAGTCAAATTCATTGAAGCTCCTGCAGTGGCATGTCAAATGTTCACTGTTACACAAATCAATTACTTATTTGCTGACAGCTGCATAAATGCTTGGTGTCACAGTTGAGAAGAATCTGTCGCAACGGGAAGGCATGAGAAGTGAGACAGGAAAGTAGTATGGCTAGAATGAAACAAGATAGCAATCATGTTTCTTGCACATCATTTGTTCAGTCACAATGTCGGGAGCTGTTGAGATTGCCACATCTCGAACGTTACCGCCAGCTGGCGACAGCTGGGAGACACAAGCTCGGACCGTCCGAATGGGTCTGAGAGTGGGAACAGGGATAGACCATCATGCGGAGACCCCACGTGCAGGGGGCGCAGTAGTGACGTTGCCTGACCCAATCCTCCGGGAGCGTGCGAGCGAGATAACCTTTTTGGCCACAGCCACCCTTGGGCAGCGAAGGGCGACCAGCTGGCTCGACGCCCAGGAACCACAACAAGCCGCGTTGATTCGTAATGCGCAGCAACGAGCCTCCTTGTACTTCGCCTCCATAAGCCTCGGTCACTGCAGCTGAAGCTCCGTTTCGGAGCCAACCTAGAAGGCGAACGAACATTTTCAAGAACTACAAAAAGACACGGCCTTCCCCAGGTGAGACGTAGGTTAATTCTCAGTCCCCATACTCGAACTGCATCAGACCAAGCATTTTCACTACCAAGCGAAACACATCATCAAACTACATACATCCAATCACATATCGCCATGTCTGCAGCAGAATATTACGGTGGTCACTCCAACCAACACCAACACTCCCACTACGCCGCACCTCAACAGCAGCAATACGCATCATCTCACGGCACACCCTACTCGGGCTATGCTGCTCCCACCCAGCAGCACTACGCATCGGGGCCTTCACAATCATACGATGACCGCCAGCCAGGGCAAGCGCAGGACGGCGAGAAGGGCCTGATGGCCACGGTAATCGGCGGTGGTGCTGGTGGCGCCATCGGGCACAAAATGAGCCACGGGAGCAAGCTGAAGACGCTCCTGGGAGGCGCCGCGGGTGCCGCGGTGGCCAATGCGATTGAGCACAAGATCAAGGGCAAGAAACAGCCCAGCCACGGCCACCACCACGGTCACGGGCATCACCATGCGCCGCCTCCCCAACACCACGGACATCATGGACACGGCGGCTCTTTCGCGGGGCTTCTGCCTGCTAGCTCGAACCACGGTGGCTCCATGGGTGGCCTTGGTGGGCTGCTTGGAGGAAAGCAGCACCATGGGCCACCGTCACACCACTCCGGACACCATGGTCACCACCACGGACATCACGGGTGGTAGATTGTGGTTGTCGCCGGAATTTTCTTGAGTCGCACAAATTTGCATTGGCTTCTCGGAGTTCTGGGTTACGCTTGCATGGCTTTTACGGTTCTCAATTTGGCTACAGCGGAGTGGGCAGGGACTACATGGACAAGTTGGCCTCAGGAAGACGGGATTGGTTATACCCACGTTGAAGAGGCGCAATAAGATATGCATCAAGATATAGCACAAACATGTAGATATTTACAACGAATGCTTTCTACCAATCTCAACCATGACCTTTGGCTGGTTCCAACCTGCGGCTGATGTGCGAAAATGCTCACACGACTCAGCGCCGGAAGCGCTTGTGTCTACATCCTCGAGAGGGCGGATGTAAATAAAAGACACCACTAATCACGTCATGTCCTAGAACGCACAGGCTCCGAATCAACAGTTTCCATTTAGATCATCATGACCACATTGTTCACGTCATCCAGTTGTGACGATCTTGGCTCATCAAGCCCAACGATCAAGGCCGGCGGTATTTGATAGGTGCGTTGTCTAATACACGCACTTCGACTGTTTCGGCCAGTCACTGTGCTAGAAGATTCGTTATTCAGTCGGACTGTAGCCCACATCGCAAACGCACTCGCTGATTCCCATCGTCATGGAAGGCCATGCTCGGAAGGTGACGAGTCAAGACAACCCCGCTGTCTCATAGCTATCGTGGTCGCCCATTTATCGCACGATGGTCATGCAAGACAACTTTGGCTTTCGGTCCCCTCGAACAGAGAGCTTGGATTTAGATGTGAAATACCGTGACCCTGGCCGCTGAAGTACTCAACAGTTCCTGCCACGGATGCTTCCACTCTCTTCGACCTCGAGACGATGACGAAGGACCATTACAGGGACAGGGATAGGCCTCTGGGTTGACGGGGACAGCCCAGCGATGAACGCAATTATGATGAGCTGGCCTGCTCCACGTGGAATTCATGCTCACGCCTATATCGGCAGCAAATTACTGATTGAAAATGGAACATGGCTCACGGAACCCCACGATGGTCGGGGATGGCGACCAAATTGCTGTTCCAGGGACAGCCTGGACGGCAAAGAGGGGGAGTCTAGTGCGTTGCCTGTGGTGAAGGGGGCTCATCATGGTGCCTGGCGAATAATTAAAAATATGGCTACGCAGATGTTCAAAGTGTTGGAAGGTGCGAGGGTCGTATGCCCATACGCTAGCGCTAGCCTATAAATAGGCTCCTTTTAAGCGTTTAATAACGAGGAGATTTCTCTCCTTAATACCTAATAATTAACTATTATTTGCTTAATTGCTTTATTAAGTTATAAGCCTAGCATTGCTTAAGATATCTTAAAACGTTAAGAAATATTAATACCCTTATTTTTATAATTATTTTTATACTTAAATTATTAAAATTTTAATATTGCTAGCCTTTACCTATATACTATTATTATATCCTATAATAATTACTACGGCCAATAATAACTTACAATAATTTAATACTTTTACCCTATTTAATATTTTAACTATTTATTCCTTTTTATTTATTTACCTATATTAATTAATGCTAATTACTATAAATAAATAAAAACATATAAATATTATTTAAAATACGCCTAAAAACATATAAATATTATTTAAAAAATATTAAATATACTTAACTTTAAGCTTAACTTATTATTTCTCCTAAAGTTAAACTTAAAAGGAAAGAACTTTCTAAATTAAAGAATAGCATAAAGTCACGGCTTTTAATTTACCAGCCTTAATAAATATATTATAAGTATTAAGGAATAACTAAATAAAAGTGCAGCCCTTATAAAATAAGAAAAGCTTAATAATTAAGCCTTTATTATGCTCTTAAGCTTAATATATTTAAGCCTTATAATATTTATTATATTATATAGAAAATCTTTTAACGCTTAAAAAACATTAATTAATTAATTTAATTATAATATTAATAACTTAATTATTTACCTCTTTTATTAATTAATAAACTTATAATATAAACATAGCTTTAACTTATAAAGCCATTTAAATATTTTTTAAAACCTTTAAATAAAACTTTATATTAAAACTTTAATATTAAAATAATTAATTAAAAGGTTAATAAAGTTACTTTTTAAAAGTAATAAAATTAAAGGCTCTTTCTTCTTAATAACGCTATTAAATATTATAAATAATATTATTAATAACTTAAGTAGCTAAAACCTTATAATATTTTTTAAAATTAAACCTAAGATAATAAACATTATTTTTTATACAAAGGTTAAATAATTTAAAGTTTATTTTATCTTTACTTAAAAAAGGTTAATATTAAAAGGTATAAAAAAGGCTATAAAGTTTATATTAATAAATATTAACTTTATATTAAGTAATAAAGAATGCATTTAATGCCATGCATAAAACTTTACATTTATTAGCTATTTATATATTAATTATGCAAAGCTTACTAAATATAAAACTAATTAAGAATAGAAAAAAAGCAAAAAATAAGCTGCTATAAATTAAGTTATAAATAAAAAAGTTATTAAAATTTCTAATAATAATAAGGAAGACATAATAATACTATATATTAATATTTTAATATATACGGCAAAGCTGCCAATAATTATAAGTACTTTAATATTATAGATTTTTAATTTTAATATTTTAAAGCATATAATAAAATGTATAAAAGACTTTAGCTCCTTATAATTATATTTAGATATAATTATTATTGTAAGTAATAATTAACTTATTATAAAAGGCATTGGCTTTATGGAAATCTTCCTATAATTATTAAATGAATTAATTATTAAGAGCATCTTTATTAATATTTTATATAATTATATATTAAGGAATACTTATTTATTTAGCTAAACCATAATTTAAAAAAGGTTTTAATTAAATATATAAAGAAATAACATCTTTTTATTACTAAAAAACAATAAATCTTATAAGATATTATAAGCAAAGTTTTAATATAGAAATTTTAAAATCCAAACAGCAAAAAACAACTTTATAATATTTATAATATATAGCGAATTCCATAAAACTTTTAGCTATAGCAATTTATTAAAACTAATTACTTAATGCTTATATAAAGATAAAAACATTATGTTAAATAAACTAACGGATTTTCACTATAAACTATATTAACTTATAAAGTTTATTAAGAAACGCTTATATTTATTGCTAAAACAATAATTTATGCAGCCATTTAAGTATATTTAATTTAATTTATTAAGCAAATTCTTAATAAAATCATTAAAAGGTTTTTAATACTTCATTTTATTTATTAATAACTATATTTAATTTTATTAAATTTACTTTATTACTTAAAAAAATAACATCTTAAATATTATTAAAGGATTCTTAAATATAATTAAAACTTAATTTAATGCAAAAGTTAAAACATTTAATTTAAATAATAAGGATAAATATATAAATAAAATAATTATTGCAATATTTTAAAAATACGAAATCATTTATAAAAAATCACCCCCTTATTACTATAAATTAAACAGCATACCTAAAAAATTTATATATACCATTATTATCAACGCTTATATAATAATTCATAATAAAAACTACTTATTCTTATAGCTTAAAGCAATTTCCTATATAGCATACTTATAGAATTAAAAACCATACTTAGCCTTATTATACTAAATAACGCTATTTAAAACGCTTTATAAATAAAAGCTTAATATTAAATATTTTCAATTATACTTTCGCCTTATATATCTTTATATCCTTATTAAGGCTTGCAAGCTAAGAATAAAATTATTAAATAAAGCTAAAAAGATATACTTTATAAGATTTAAGGTTAAAGGTAAAACCATCTTTTATTTATTTATATTACTTTAAAAAGTTATTATAATTGCAATATTAAGCTATATTACTTAATTTAATTTAATAATAAAGATTATATAAATAATTAGCTAGCTAAATAAAAACATATTACTTAAGATAAAGGTATTATTAATATTTTAGCTAATAAAACCTATTAATAATGCAAAACTTATAAATAAACCTATAAATAAACCGCTTAAACTTATAAAACCTATTAATAAACTACTTAAACTTATAAAATCTATATAATTATATAATTTTTAAGAATAATGGATTTAGCCTTTGCAAAAAGCAAAAGAAAATATAAATATTATTACAAAATATTTTAAAAATTTTAATAACTTAATATTAATTAATATAAACTTTATACCAAATCTTGCTTAATTAGCATTAATTAATGCCAATTACCTTAATTAAATCTTTACTTAAGTATTGCTTATTAATATAGCAAATATTAATAATATCCTTAATATATATATATAAGTTATAAAAAGTAATAAAAGAAATACCTAATAACAAGCTATTAAAAGAAAATTTAAATTACTCTTAAATATAAGTATATAAATTAAAGTACTTATTACTATAAACTAATATATTATTAATCCTTACTAAGTATATACAAAGAAATTTAATGCTTTTAATAAGCTTATCCACTATAAGGCTCAACTTATTGCTTATAAATATATATAAATCCACAATATAAATTATAATAATACTTATAACCCTATAGCGCGCTATAATAATTTAAAACTAATCATTATTATTACCGCTATAATAAGCTAATAACTTTAGTAATTTAACATTAAAATAATATACTTATATAGCTATTTAAAATACAATATTTATATATAATTATTATAAAAATATTAAATATTATTTAATAATTAATAAGTTATTTTAAAACTTCTTAATGCCTTATATAAACTTAAATAATCCAGCTATAAATAATTCAATACTTTTAAAAAGAAATTAATTAAATATTTAATAAAAATAATATTTAACCCTTACGTTTTCATTAAAAACTAAATCATTATCATTATTTATATTAACAATATTCTTATTATTAAAAGTCCTTCTTAAGTTAACAAATTTTATATTAAGCTTATATAATATTTTAAATATAAGGATCTTAATCTTTATAAATACTTACTTAAATTAAAAATCATATAAATCAATAATAAAATTCATATCTCTTAAAAGGGATATGCTTAATAGATTTTAAAACGCTTTAATATATTTAATTATAATTAAAGATAAACTCTTATAAATTTAAATTTATTTCCATAATAAGAAAAACCTAATAACATTATAATAAATGCAATAATATATTAATTACTTATTAAATCCATTAATTTTCTCATTACTAAAACAAAACTTAATCTCATATTTTTATATGCAATGCTCTTAACATTTAATACAAAACTCACAATCCATCATTTAAACATTACAAAGGGAGTGCTTTAATACATTTAATATATATTAAATTATACCTTGCAATTTTCAAAACAAACATTATTATTTCAATTCACCATACTTAATATATATATTAATACTTTCTATAATACCAATCCAAACAATTTAAAAGCATTTAGCAAATATATATAACTCCTTAATAACAGCTTAATTGCTTAATCATTAAAACGCCAATCTATTATTATAAAATTTACTTATAAGGCAAAATATATAGCATATTTATTAACATTATTACATCTTTATTAAACAATTTAAGCACTAAAAAATTTAAGCATTAAGCATATTAAATATTTACTTATTTTATATATTAATAATTAACTAGCATTAAACCTTATTTAAAATCATAAAATCAACGCCTAATTAAAACATATTACTATTTACTATCACTTTATTCATAAAGAAATTAAAAAAACATATAATGTTTATTACATTATATTTAAAAACAATTTTATTAATATTTATATAAAAACATTATCTTGCTTTATTCTTAAAAAGGCTTATAGGAAATTAAAATTAAAATAAGTATAAAGTTTATACTATTAAGAAGGGCGTTTAAATAATTAATTAAAAATAATGTAAGCGGAATATATAAACATTAAATAATATTTATATAATAGTTTTAATATAAATTATAATGAAATATTTAAACTATATTTTTAGCTATTAAAATAAAACATTTCTTATTATCATTAGGATGATAATATTTATGATAAGGGGTGTATTAAAAGGTATAAGGGTTATATACCCATATGCTAGCGCTAGCCTATAAATAGGCTCCTTCTAAGCATTTAATAACGAGGAGATTTCTCTCCTCAACACCCAACAATCAACTATCATTTGCTTAATTGCTTCATTACAAAGCATAAGTGCATAGTTCTTTTTGCGCGGTGATTTGTTCGAGATAACTTAGCTGCGAGCCGCATGTTCGGGTTTCTTGTTGGTGATTTCAGGCCCGCTGCAGCAGATGGGGGCTTTCTACATGGTATTGAGGACTTTTGGCTGTTTTACCGCCAAGTCAATAATCATGGCGATGAACATGCAGGGGTCTTTCCATATGTTACCGTGTATTATAGGTAGGAGATGACGGCTGATTACGGTTGAAAAGAATGCAATTCCCCTATCAACAAGACAACAACTGAATTGGGAATGGGCTGATGGGTCTCAGAATCCCCGTGTGAGGAAGGAGCGATGGTGAATACGAAACGAGGTTAGCACAATGTACCCAAAGAGTAAGACGGGCTGTATGGACCAATCGGAGCTCAAGGGCTGGGCCTAAGTTCAGCTCCTTCGATGGTATTCATGACGAGCGTGCTGAACTTGACCTCACATCTCATCAAATTTATCCTTTGAGCATCAGATGGTCATCATATACTCTGCGACCGCGGCGCCACTCCTGAGTCCATTCGATCTGAGTGTCTGCTACTAGCAGGAGAAGAACAAGTCTGGGCTCCCAAGATCTGGGCGACCCACCTCCTGCACTCTGTAGACAGGCGATTGCATATCGACCCGTGTGCTCCATCACATATTCCCGCACCAACATGGTTGCTGCAGCGACTTTGGCAACGCCAGACTTGTCTAAGACGAATCAGCGGAAACGCAAGGCCCACACCAAGTCTAGAGCAGGATGCGGCAATTGCAAGATTAGGCGCGTCAAGGTGCGTGTGGATTGCAGGGCAGGTTTCCATCGGTCTTCCTGGACCACTATCGCGCTAACCTCGGCTCGTTTACAGTGTGACGAGTCCAAACCAAAGTGCAAGAAATGCGTGGCTTTCGGAGTCTCCTGCAACTACGGTGCCACGGGAAGCACAGGCGTGGGAGAGCTGGTTCTCTCCTTTGAGGGCACCTCTTGCATCGAGGCACCGTCAAAGGCCCCCATCTCGATGAACCAGACTATGCTTGACTTGATCAATCACAATTTGCGCCACTCTCCGACTGGCAAACTACTAGGTGACCAAACATATAAACTCAATGCCCAGGACCTAGAGGTTCTCGATAGATTCAGCAAGAGGACTATCCTGACACTTGGGACGGATGTTACCAAATGGATCCTTCAAGCTGAGACTCCAAGGCTTGCCTGTCTTGTAAGTCAAATGATGGCCACATGTTTCGCTTCGTCCTCATCGTGTACCTGGCCAGTACGGGCCGGAATACTGATTTCTTGAGAATTCGGGGCCATCTCTATACACCGTTTCCTTCCCCAGCCACGAATCTGGGATATACATGATGTTCTGAAGTTCGGTCCCGACTTCTGTCATCACAGTCTCTCATTCTCTATCCCAACCTCAACCTTTCCTTACCTGTTCCGGAAGCTGACAAAAGTCAGCACCCGTTTCTCATGCATGCCGTGCTGGCCTTCACATATTCTCACGATCGTCTCCTCAAGCCAGTACCAGAAAAGGCTGGTGCGGCTGAGCTATTTCACAACTACAAAGGAGCTGCTCTCTTCAATTACAGGCTAAACGGAGATGTCACCCCGTCAGAGCGCGACGCCATAGTAAGTCATAAGTCGTCCCATAGTCTGTACTTGTTCAATTTGGTTATAGGTCGGGCATGAAGGTGCTCAATTTGCTGCTAAGACTTTGAGTCTTGGAAAGTACTGACTTGCATCTCCTCAGTGGATAACATCAACATTGATCGGGGCGATAGAATGGAGTAAGATCGAAGCCAAGTCACCCGAAGCGGCCTGGCCATTGAAAGACCTGGACCCCGGAGAGCCGGACTGGTTGACTCTCAGCCAGGGCAAGAATGATATATGGGACTTTTGCGACCCGTCCAGGCCAGAGAGTTGCTTCAGAAATCTGCTCGTCAAGTGCAACATCGAGGGCGGAGATGCGAATTTCACGCCCTACCAGCTCAAGGACGGGGGCTTCCACAACCTCCCAGGCCCGCTGCTGGACTTTCTCGAGCTTACAGACCCGCTGGTCTGGCAATCGAGCCCCTATTATCGCGCCGCGAATATCATCTCGCAGCTCATACCCATCCAGTACAACCAGAGCAACCTCTTGAAGTTCACAACCTTCCTCTACCTGATGGCACCGGAGTTCAGGGAGCTATGGGTCAAAAAGGACCCTGGCGCACTGCTTTTGATTTCCTACTGGTATGCCAAGACGATCCCATATCAGCAATGGTGGACCTGCAAGAGGGCCGTTCTCGAGTGCCAGGCCATCTGCATCTTCCTCCAGCGCCATCACCACGACACCCCGTATTTGGAGCGCTTGCTGGAGTTTCCCAAGCGATCTTGCGGCCTAGTCTCGTCACAGAAGTTCGCTGTCTGATGGAGCGACAACCTCGTGTCTTTAGCCTAGGCGATTTGGGGGAGGGGGGAGGGGGTGGTTGTGGGCCACACGAACGTTCACAACGATGTCGCAACAATGTACGAGTCACGACGGGCAAATTGTCCCAAAGCACGCGTCCTGGCAGCCCGCCCCTGGTGTTACTATTAGCGGTTGTCGACTCGCCGTCGCAATTGACTGTGATCGGTGCGCTTATGCCCCTGCACTAACATGCGGGGATCAAGGCCTTTTCTCCCGAATCCGGGGACACTTTTTGTGGGGAAGTGACCTGCAGAATACGACGTGGGACGGGAATAGTCTACACGAACAGCCTCCTATGGCACCATGCCTAGCAACATGGGGCCGTGTGATGTCAATTCGGCTTCCTGCAGAATAAGAACACGCACATATATATATATGATCGTGTGCGCGATGGGATGAACGACAGCATCCGCCCGACCTCAACCGCCCGGATCCCAGTGCCAGTTGTCGATCTGAACTGTCAATATGCCGTCAACTATCCTCCTGGGCTTGTTCCTGACAAGCACCCTTGTCTCCTCTACGACCGTGCGTACTTCCACGCCGGTGTTGGGATGGAATTCGTATAACTACTACAATTGCTACCCGAACGAGACCATCATCAAGACCAACGCTCAAGGCCTGGTCAACCTGGGATTCGACAAAGCAGGCTACAATTACGTGACGGTAGACTGCGGTTGGAATGCCAACTACCGGGACTCCTCGGGCCAGTTGGTGTGGAACCCGACCCTGTTCCCAGGTGGCGGCCCGGCGCTGGGTGAATACATCCATGGCCTTGGTCTGAAGTTTGGCGTGTATTCCGGCGGCGGTATCTTTCAATGCGGATCGACCGACCAGCCCGCTTCCTTGGGTGAGTGCAATATGATGTGTGTTATTGTTGGGTATTGACTTATTTGACACTGATCTAACGCCTGTCGGTTTCTCATCTTAGGCCACGAGACGACGGATGCCAAGTCTTTCGCTGCTTGGGGTGCGGATTCTCTCAAGTGAGTCCCTTGGCTATCTCAAAGAATTGGGAAGTAGCACTAATTCCAAAATAGGTATGACAACTGCTTCGCCAACTCGACAACAGAGGCAGCAGACTATGACAATCCTGTCACGCAGAGTCCAACGAAATTTCGTGTCATGAAGGATGCTCTTGAAGCCACGTCTCGTGCCATGGTGTACCAAATCTGCCAGTGGGGCGTGGGAACTGACATCGGAACTTGGTGAGGACGCCGGCACATGTCGAGACAGCCCAGAGACCAGAGTTGCTAACATTGAATCTGAAAGGGCTTCTGAGCTTGGAAACTCGTGGAGAATCAGCAATGACATCTACAACGCATGGCGAAGCGTCTGGCGTATCACGAACCAGGTTGTGCCATACTACAAGCACACAGGAGTTGGAAAGTACGCGGACATGGATATGCTCATCGTTGGCCTGAAGGCTCTCTCACTCCAGGAGGAGAAATTTCACTTCGGCATGTGGGCGATCAACAAGTCGCCCCTCGTCGTCGGAGCCCCCATGGATACCAAATTGGCACCCGCAGCATCGTTGGACCTGCTCAAGAACGCAGAGGTCCTGGCTATCAACCAGGACTCCCTCGGCAAGCAGGCCCAGCTCGTCCGCCGGTACACCAACGAGCAGTACGACGTCTGGGCGGGCGAGCTCTCGGGGTCGCGCAAGGTGTTGGGCCTTGCCAACTGGAACAACGCCAGCCAGAGCGTCACCGTCAGCCTGCCCGCCGACCTGGGGATCGCCTCCGCGACGGGGCGGGATGTCTGGGCGGCCAAAGACCTCGGAACCCTCAGCGGCTCGTACACGACCACGCTTGCTGGGCACGAGCTCCGCCTTATCGTCCTCTCCAACATCGCCAACGCCACCTCCGGCATCCAGGCTTCATCTGGCTACTACACAGCTGCAACAGGCTCAACGCGCTCTGGTGCCGCTGCTGTTGTGGCCTGCCCCTCGGGACAATGCCTCCCCGCGGGCAGCAAGGTCGGCAACATCGGCCAAGGTCAAGCCGCAGCCGCCGTGACCTTCGCCAACGTCAGCGCCAAGTCCGCCGGGAGGAAGCTGCTGGGCGTGGATTTTATCAACTACGACGCCGCCCTGGCGTCGGCGTGGGAGCTCGGGGACAACACCCGCAACATGACGATTGCGGTCAACAAGGCCGCCACGAGCGGCACGCGCTTCGCCTTCCCCCTCTCGGGTGGTGACTGGTACGACTCCGGGCGCTTGTATGTCTACGTTGACGGGTTCCAGGCTGGCGGCTCGAACCAGGTGATATTCACCGCGTCTGGAACTGCTCAAACGTGGGCGCCGGATTTGGTTGGGTTTGAGGTTTACGAGATCGCTTGAATATCTCCCCATTCACTGTAAATAGTTTTCCCTTACTGGTGTTGACGACAAAAAAGTATGAGCGCGTCTGGTCAAGTTTTGTGGCTTGCCATCCGGGCTCTACATAATACGAGACAACTTCTCTGACAGTTACTTCTCATTGCATTTGTTCCCAGGCATCGGCCACCTGCTGTGCTTCCAGTTCGCGGAATAATATTCTCAGGTGTTCGCTTCACTTTGCGCCTACATGGTCGTGTCCGATGCCCGTCGACTCAGCCTTGCGCATCCGACGCCGACGTGGCGAACGCAATATCCCGTGTACTTCCCTGGCTCAAGCATCACGGAGCAGGAAGCCACCACTCTGTTGTTTTTGAAAAACACCCTCCGGATCGTACTTTGCAGCGACCTCCTTCAGGTCTTGGAGGTTCTTCTGCCCGAAGCCGCGGAGGACATTCTGCTTGGCACCCGCGAAGCTCGGACAGATGAAGTCCAAGTGCAAGTCCTTGTCTTTGGCTATCTTCTCCGCCCCTGCACCAGCTCCTCGTGCGCCTGCTCGATGGCCGAGCCGCCTGGGAGATCTTGGGGCCACTCTGCGGTGAAGACCCACCCTGAAACTTCCATCAGTTTGATGCTCGACACCAGGAGGGGAGGAATGGGGAAGCATACAGCATTGAGGCACCTTCTTAAGCCCCATCGAGTTGCCACCTCGGTCCTTGCCGGCTTGGACAGCGGCCGTGGCCACAGGCTGGACAGTATAATGAAGTGTCCCTCCTTCCGGAACCTTCTTGATTGCCTCCTGCCAGCACTTGTTCACCTCGTCATAGAGGTCCACCGAGATCTTAGTGGTGACACAGCCGATTTTTCGGCTGTGAACATATCTGTCAACGAACGGCACTCGTCCTCGGGTTTATCAATGAATGCAAAGAGACTCACCTCAACGACTGGGCAACGTGGCCCATCGTAGACAAGGTCTTGACGACCGTGAAGACTGTCCCGTCCGTGGGCGGGACCACTGTGTTCAGGTGGCTACTCAGCTTGTCGAAGGGCTGAAAAGCCTTCGGAAAGCCCGCAGGGGAGTCCGCATAAATCATGATGACCGCCACGAATTGCTTGTTGCAATTGGTGAACAGGTTGAGCTTGGGGTCTTTCTCAATGGCCTCCTGCACGGAAATAGTCGCTGCGTTGATGTTGGCAAAATCAGATGGATCATAGAGCTTGATTATGAACTTGGCCTTGATCAGAGGGTGTACTTCAATGTCGAAGCGCGTGACGATTGCTGCGAAATGTTTTAGCCAGACTCACGTTTAGAATTAAAGCTTCCTTTCCACCTACCAAAGTTCGAAGTGCCGCCCTTGAGAGCACGCCAGAGCTCCGCGTGGTTGTGAGCGTTGGCCTCGAAGATGGACCCATCCGCCAGAACAACCTATATTGCTATCAGCAAGGGATCTGCAAAACCGACGTGTTACAATGAACTTTCGTCTTGATGATACTTACTACCTCGCAGCCCTTCACACTATCTGGGCCGATACCATAAAAGCTGGAGAAAGCCGGATAGCCGCCTGTGATGATAGGATTAGCCATGTCGCTGAAATAGCTACACACTGTGGTCAATGATGATAGGGTACGAGCTTACCACCGGTCAGGAATCCTCCGAGGCCAACTTGTGTTTCGCGACCTCCGATGGGGGATCGCCCGTGCTCTTCCAGGAAGGGGTAAATATCACCCCAGACACACCCGCCCCCAGCGTGCAGGACGTTGTTATCGCCCAGGGTCCTGCCCTTGAGTCCCCGCAGGTCGAGGACGACACCGCTCCCGTCAACGCTGCTGAAACCAACGTTGGGGTTGTGCCCGCTCGTGCGGATGGCAAATTTGCATCCCGTCTTCCTTACGACGGCAAGGGCCGAGACGACCTCCCGGGTGGTGCTCAGAACGACGTAAGCGGCGGCTGGGAGCCAGCAGGACTGGGACCTTGGGGCGAGTTAGAGCATGGTAAACGATGCTGGGCTGAGAGTCTGGGGATTGAGACTGACCATGGTCTCTCTCGCTCAGTTTCGAAGCTCTTCTTCGAGTCTGGAGTTGTGATACGGCCGGGGAAGGCATTTTCTAGCAGCTCGCGAGCTTGTATAGCAGCAGAAGACATGGTGGCTGATTACTGATGCAAGCGTTTCTGGAGTTTGTTTTGTACACCGTGGACCTCCTAGCAGGAGATGATGATTGAGGGGTATCTCAGAGAACTAATATGGTAGCGGAAGAGCTTCCTTGGCTAACAACATTTTCGCAGACATGCAAAGCCTTGGCCTGTTGGTTTTGGCTCATTGGAGAACAACGAATATAAGACTGGGGCTGGCCAACAACAGTGCCACATTCATGCATATTAGCATTCCATCAACCATCTTATGAGCCTGGTCAAAAGAAACTCTATCATTTGCCTCAAAGGTATGCCGATTGAGGCATTGCTTCTCATTCAACGAGCACATACAGCGATATGAACATATAGCTATACCATATATTAACTATAAACACAGAATGGGTCAGTCCTTTTAACAGCTTAGTTACCTCGTACCTACTTCCTTTATACACCAGCCAGCATCGAGTGACATTACATCAAAATGGGAATCAAAGAGTCAGTCTATTTCTTCGCAAACGATCTCCTGGGTTGCGCTTCTAACTCCCTGTCATACAGATTCTGGCCAAGGTTTGGTGGAGGAGAGGTCGTCAATCTCTTCGACCTTGCGTCAAAGCATATTCAAGACACCGGAAGACCATACTGAATCGCAGTGGACCTACCATACTGGATGTTCCACAATCTCGATGATATTTCAGTACAGAAAATCAGACAGGTATCCCAAAGAGCCTCCCAACCAATCGAGAAAGCCGTCCTTTACCGAATGATGCGCCTCGCTATCCATGGCATTCAAGTCGTGCTCGTCGTTGATGGGCCAAGAAGACCACCGAAAAAGAACAAGATCACTACCAAAGGGTATTCCTTCATCACAGAGAGTCTGCACCATTTGAAATAGACTTCTGATGCACTTGGAATTCCCTGGTGGCAAGCCCCTGGGGAGGCCGAGGCCGAATGCGCCGAGATGCGGCGGTTGGGGCTGGTGGACGCTGTGTGGTCCGAGGACAGCGACACGTTCCTGTTTAAAGGCACCGCCATGCTCCGATTCCACATCGAGGCGGATGGCTCAAAGAGTAACACGCATGCCCGATTACACCAAATGGACAAGATCGCCGAGAAGGCTAAGGGTATGGACTGGAGAAACCTGGTGCTCTATGCCATCATCGTTGGTGGTGACTACGACCCCAAAGGACTTGTGCAATGTGGACCGAAACTTGCACTGGAAGCAATCCGACAGGTTCACGGTTTGAAACTAGCGAGAGCATTCGAAAAAGGAGATATGACCGCCTGGCGGCAAAAGTTCAAGCAATTCCTCGAGCACCAAGGGACCCACGTCCTTCCCCCTATTGGTTTTCCCAGCACGGATTTGCTTCGGAACTACATCAAACCAAAGGTCTCTAGTGAGCAGGAGCTTCGATCTGGCCTGTCTTGGAACTCACGAGTGAACAACGTGGCTATTCGGAACGTCATTACTTCCCCCTACAATTTCAGCGTACAAGAGAATATCAGCTGGGTGGTCTGCATGCTTCTCGCGAGGAGATTGCTCCTCCGCGACAGACTTGACGAGCTGGCACTGGAGTTCGTGAGGAAAGTCTCATCCAAGGACTCGGGAAACATTCCAATGTCAAAGGTCTCGTTCCTACTTCCCGCCATCATGCCGAGACATCTTCTGGAGAGCTGGCCCATGAAGATCACAAAGGCAGCCTCCCGCATCAGATCGTACGAACACGTGGATCGAATCGAATGCGATATCCCAGACAGCATTACAAGGCTGGATTTTCCTGGCTTTGGGGATCTTCAGAAGAGTCCGACACCAAGAATTTCAGCGAAAGTGCCTGCTCAGCCCACAGGACAAGGATATAAGCAAGCGGCAGTCGGGAAGAGAAAGCGTGGTAGACCCAGAAAAGATGCGAACAACACTGTCGTCACAAGGACCCCACTCAAAGACCCTGATCATGGGAATTCGAAAGAGAAACGGGCAGGTCGACAATCCGGTGGTTTGGAGAGAAGCATTGGGCGTCACTTGGAGACAGCTCTATCTGAGAGAACTTTCTCTACCTCGCCATACCTTCAAGGCAGCGAGGCTCCACTGCTATCGCCACAAACAGAACAGTCTGGAAACTTAGCAGATGACGAGTTTCCTGATATCTCTTAGCTCGGTCAACAGAGACGTACGAAGTGCGCCAAGAAGACTCAACCACTCACGAGGCAACGAGCAATGATCTGGCCGACATCGCACTTCAGAACACCAACCACACGCAGAATAGCGCTTTTGACTCCAATACTGCGGCTGGACATGCAAGCCTGCATGATACTGTAAGGAAAGCCGACCACTTTTGGGAGAATCCGACATTGTCGTCCAACATGGCTGCATCTGCAGATCAACATCCCAATCGAAGTTCATGCGCCGGCCACAGCTTGAGCCAAGTTATCGATCTTAGCGACGATTGAGGGCATTTTCGAACTGATGCATGGATAAACACAAACTCGTGTGTACCGAAGGGCTTAGAGCGTATCGGCTGTGCGTGTTTGTTGTCTTTGGCTGCACAGTATTAGCTGCCGAGCATACTGGCCAGATAATGAACATCGAACGGAGCCCTGAGCCAAAAGAATCGTAACTTGTCCCCAATCCTATCACGAGAAGTTGCGAGACACGGAGTCCTGTGACTTTCGTATGTATTGGGTCAGACAGAACTGTTCAGTCACGTAACATCTTCTGCTGCTTATGAATGTTTTGAGCTGGAGACTCACAGACTCGAGCATGCCACGCAAGGCAGCCTCAGCTGATGATTCTACAGTGAGGAATGAATCAGCTAAACTTTTTGAATCTTGCTTCTTCTGAATGACATGGCCACCAGCGCTTTCAACGATGACTTTGTGGACACAGTGACACACTGCATTGAGCCTGGAGTTGCCCAATTACCACTGACTTTGACTTTGATTCACAACATCTTGATTTGTGACTATATCTCCCACCCAGACTCAGACCAACATGAGTGAACCGCTGGACGTATTTTGTCACATCAGAGTTCCAGTAATTGTGTTACACAACCGGAACATGCCACTGCGCAAGATGAATGAATCACGAGGTATTCCATAGTTCTATAAAAGGAACCCTATTAAACTGCCCTCTTTCTCTCCTTCGACATTCTCATGGCAACCATCAACACAAGAACAACAGTTTCAAATCAACCAGATTCAACATTTAAAACACAAAAGCTACAACCAAGCAGAAGACCATTCTCGCGGGCCTTTCTACAGTCAACCATCACATCCGAATCACACCCACAGCTGAGACGGTTGACTCAACCACGCTCAGAACACCAAGTCGAAATTTACTAACTCAATGTGAGCTTAAATTGAAGAATCCGCCTCTGGAAAGATCTACTCACACACCAGCAGCTCGACCAATCTTCACACACCTCTCAGCCACCCACATCAATGGCATACCAAGCGACCTGCCAGGGAGATCCATGCCACAACCGCGGCAAGTATTATTTCTGTGACATCAAGGGCAAGATGATTTGCTGCGGTACCCAGGCTACAAAGTGGTGGTGGGTCGAATATGACTGAGATCTGTGCAGTGGGGCCCCTCCCTGATGTGTGCCTAGCAGCTGGCCTCTGGGCTGGATGGTATCGAGAATCATGGGAGGTGCTGGATACCTAGGCATGTAGATCCAATCGAGATGATGCATTGAAATCCTCTTGGAGCAACATGAACCCCTCACAGCTTGTTTGTGTCTGCGTGTACGTGCCATTTCGAGCCACATTGTTCCGGTGAAAAGCAGCATCCTCCCCAAAACGCCCTGCGTGTCTGGCAAGTCAAATTTTAATATCTGTTGGAAGTTTGATAAACCTCCTCATGTATAATTACCACCGGGAGCGGCTTGCCACTCGCCCTCTGGATCTCGCCGAAACCAAAGGATCTGGATGGAACATCACTAGTCTGGCATTCTAGTAGGAAGACCAACGGCGGGATGATTCTTTTTGAAAAGTCTTGGTATTTTGGAAAGTGTAACCTCTCTCATATCTAAAAGCAAGTCTCGTCTGGTCTTTATGTTTGCTATCAGGTACCCACTGGACCCTCGGGCGCTATAGGAGCTCACTGTGCTCAAACTGCCCTCACACAGCAACTGTGGGACAGCAGACATACACACGTTCCGCCACAGGGCGAAAGATGATCACTCCGGCAAGACAACAGGCTCATCAACCTCCTCCTCCTTAACATCAACAAGCCTCAAAGCCCCACGATCCCTTGGACGCACCGGCGTAGCAAGTACAACCGTCTCAACCAGCTCGACGGGGCCATTCCACCCCTCCTCGGGTCCCATAGGCAGCGCATCAATATCAATCTCGAGGTCAAGCAGGCAGCGGAGCACGACCTCGGCGCCGGCCTTGCTCATGACCTCGTTGGCATGCTTGCAGAACTCGCTGGCGACGCACTCAGGGCAGCCGGACGAGCAGCGACACTCCTCGACGCGGTCGAGGGCCTGCCGCAGGAGCACGTCGACGAACTCGAACGCCTTGGTGTTGATCCCGCTGCCGCCGGCTCCGCCCTTCGCATCGTAGAATGTCAGGCGCGCGGGCCTCTTGCGGCTGGAATTCTGCGCGGCAAACTCCTTGAGGCTGTTCTTGCACTCGGTCCTCACGTCCCCGGGCATGCTCACGACGAAGTTGGGCACGAGGCTCATCATGGCGTGCTCGGCGGCGTGGATGGCGCCCGCGACGTGCAGCCGCCGCGACTCGAGGATCTCGAGCGCCCCCCGGGGCAGGTCGATCCACATGCCCTTGCTGAAGCGCACCACGGGCGGGTTGTCGACGTGCACCGCGTCCAGGACGCGGTTCTGCCGGTCCACCTTGAAGTAGCCGAAGACGACCTGCTTGATCTTGATGGTGCCGAAGAAGGCCCGCGACTGCGACCCCTTGATCCTGCGGATGGCCTCCGTCTCGATCGGGTCGACGTCGGTGTAGTCGCGCTGCGTCGTGGTCCAGTCCACCTTGACCTTCTCGACGCGGGCCAGTTGCTTTTCCGGGTTGACCTCCCGGACCAGGTACGTGACTCCCTGGTGTAGGAAGATGGCGCCATCGTAGACTGTGAAGGTTGCACGGGATGCCTCGAGCTCTTCGAGAACCACATTCCGTCCGTGAGTGATGTCGATGATGGCGAAATGGTCCTCCTCCGTGTCTCGGATGGAAACAAACTTCGAAGGCTGCGGCCGGAACCGCTCATGCGAATGGTAGAAGCCTGAATCGTCCTTGACGAGGCGTTCTCGGCAGAGTTTCTCAATATCCTCACCGAAGTATTTCGCGTCTTCTTTCGGTCGTATCGGCATCTCATAAGCCGCACACTGGATATGTCCTTCCCGAACCATCATGTTATCCAAGTCCACCTGCAGCTCGGCGTTGGGCCTGGTAAACAGCTCGTCTGGATTCTGCATAAAGTGCTGGTCCGTCGGGAAGCAATCACCTACAAGGATGGACAGTGAGTCCTTATTCCTCCTCCCGGCTCGGCCACTCTGCTGTCGGAGGTTCGAAATGGTGTACGGGAAGCCCCAGGTCAAGACGGCATCGAGGCTCCCAATATCAACCCCTAGTTCCAGGGCCGTGGTGGCAATGATCCCAATGAGCTTCCCCTCAAACATTTCGGTCTCTATCCGGCGCCGGTCCTGGGCCGTATACCCTCCCCGGTAGCCCATCACGCGGTTGATACAATCACTGCGGCCTAACCTCTCTAGCTCATACTTGACCGCCCCCACGAGCTTCTCACACTGCTCTCGTACTCTGCAGAAAGCGATGACCCTCACACCCCGGAGTATAAGCTGACAGAACAGCCTCGCACATTCAAACTTGGCGCTGCCCCTCCCGCTCGTCGGATCTCCGGGGTCCTTGAAAGGCGTGTTCCAGCACAGGAACTCCTTCCTACCCGAAGGACTGCCGTCGAAGTCCACCAGGTGGACGTCATCGATGCCGAATATGGTGCCAAAGTGCTCCCGCGGGTTCGCCACGGTGGCGGAGCAGCTCACGAACTTGACCCTCCTGTTGCCCACGGCGGCGCAGATCCGGCGCAGCCGCCGCATGACGAAGGCGACGTGGCTGCCCATCAGGCCGTTGTAGTAGTGCAGCTCGTCGACGACGACGTACTTGAGGTTCTGGAGGAACGCCCGCCAGCGCTCCTCCTGCGGCAGGATGGAGATGTGCAGCATGTCCGGGTTGGTGAAGATGATGCGCGCCTCGTCCCGGATCGTGTTGCGCTCCTTCCAGGGCGTGTCGCCGTCGAAGGTGTCGACCAGCGTGTTCTCTAGGCCGGGCAGGTACGAAAGCATGTCCTTCAGGCTGCGCTTCTGGTCCTGTGCCAGGGCTTTGGTGGGGAAAATGTACATTGCCCTGGTGTTTGGGTCCTGCTCCAAGGCGTGTAAGACTGGCAGCTGGTAAATGAGCGACTTGCCAGAGCTCGTCGACGTGGATATGACGACGTGGTGGCCGTCGTGTAGGTTATTGATGGCCTCGGCCTGGTGCGCAAAAAACTGAGTGATTCCCTTCGCGTTGTAGAGCGCGTTCACGAGGTCCTGGCTGAGCAGGAAATTGAGGTCGCCAAACACCGGCTCCTGCGCTTCAAATACCCTGTGACCATCAGGTACGACCTGGCCCGTATACCAGAGGCTGTTCTTCAGCTCCTGCACGATCTCGGGTATGCTCTTCCTCTCCTTGGGTATCGTCTCCGGCAGGGTACTGCTCAGGTCCGGCCGTGGCGTGCTCTCCCGCGTGGCCTCGCTCGAGACGGGCACAAAACCCTCCGCCTCGCTCCTCAGTGCCACCTCCGGGTCCAGGCTCTGCACGACGCACCTATTGATGAACTCGTTCACGGAGCTGGTGAACTTGGCGTTGCGCTTCTCGATCAGCGCCGTCATCTGCTTCTGGCTGTACACGGGCATCTTGAGGTCCTCCTCGCGCAGCTTCCTCGTCGGCTTGGTCGGCTCGCCCGTCTTGCGGCACTGGACCTGCCTCTTGAGGTCCCCGTCGATGAACTCGAAGTACAGCACCTCCTTGCCGCCCACGATGCCATTGTCATCGTCAGGGTGGCCTCTGGCGCCCAGTTCCTCCGTGCCGGTGATCCCACCCACGCTGGCATCGGCGGCGAACCCCTGATTCTTGTATCCCCGGCCGCCCTTGCCAGTCAGGAAGGTATCATTCCTCTCTGAGCCTTTGACATCGATCTGCAGCATCACCTCGTCGACATAGCCAAAGTTGATGCCGTCCGGCCGCAGGGCCGAGATGGCGGCGACATCAGCGATCTGCAGCGTGCGCTTGGTATGACTCTCGACGGCCGACTGGATCGTGCCAAAGGTCGTTACCAGGTGCTTGCGCGTGCAGCAGAATGTGAACACCAGGTTGAGGGCGCGGTGGGTGGTTTCCAGAGACTTGAAGTAGGGCGGCCAATCGATGACGCACTTGACTTGCTCGGCTGTGGACGTTGACTTTTGTAGTTTTGGCTTCTTGCCTGCTTTTGGCCCACGAAGAGGCTTGGGAGGTGCTGAGGGCGAGGGCTCGTCTTCTTCCTCTACCTTCACGACGGGAATGTCTGATGCTGCAGTAGCAGCATCCTCCTCAGCAGGCACGATAGGTGGGATGACTGACGGATCAGTCGCTTCTGGGATCTCGACTGGTCGCTTCCTCTTGTTGCTTCTGCCTGGCCTGCCTTTCCGGGCGTGTAGCGGAGGTCCTTGAGTGGATGGCATGGTGCCACATTATGATTGAAAGGAGTAGGCAGCCGCACGCAGAGGGGCTGTCCTGAATTTCAAGCCCCGAGGACGCATAAAGGAGACGTGAAGTGCTGCCAAGGGGTGGCGAGCCGGGTAGTCTCTAGACGCGGGGCTGGCGCGCACCCACGTGAGCCCAGGACAAAGACGGAACGGAAGGTCTGACTTGTACGCAACATGTTCCTGTTTGTCTCATCTTTCTCTACAGGTGCCGCAATAAATCACTTGATGGTGGTGATGGCACACGCGAATGCTTGACGTATTTTATTGGTCATTTGCCCCTGTCTGATGGCCATCTAGTTGGTCTTGTTATGCCCCGTCTCTATCTCCTGGTGCTGTGTGCCACTGAGCGCCCTCCCGATCACTGCAGACCAAATGATTTTGTGGTATATACATTGAAGGCTCAACGCGCTGCTCGCATACCAGGGTGCACACGCAGTTAAGTCCCGATGCCACCAACGTCAAGAAACCCCCTTGATCGTAAAGGACATAGGAAAGTAGGGGGGATCTCGGGTATTCAATGCTTGGGCCCCCAAGCAACACCGCCTTTGTACTCAAAACCAAACCAGCGTCTTTTTTCTCGTGTGTATTTTGGGCCGACCATGTGTCTCCGAGGGTCAATGCAATTCCTCGACAAGGAACATGTGAAACTTTGCGCTGCTCGAGGCGGAATTCGCTTCGACACATACAGATCAAGGCCGATTTATGCCTTGGCTTTCTCGTCCTTGACGGCTTGCTCTTTCAATTTTTTCTTGATCAACTCCACCTTATCACAGAAGGCTCCCGCGTTCTGTGCGCTCATCTGTGGGGACTTGATTAGTAAATGCGGCTCGTCTGAGTCTACGAAGGAAAGGTGAAGTGCGTCAGGAAACGTACCTTCATAGTTATCGGCACATATTGGCCGTCGTCGCCTTCGATGGCCGTGAACAGCACGCTCCACGTCTTGAAGCCCTCCTTGAGTTGAAAGTCCATGCCTGCTACCATCACCGTGTTCAGGATGACCCTCAGCGTCGAGTCTTGCCGCATGACTAGCCGAACAAGCTTCGGATTCTCGGGGGTGCTTTCTTTTAGGACCGAGGGGTCGAAAGATTTCGCGTCCACGGCGCCCGTCTCGGGATCAGTTGTCACCGAGTCTTCTGGCACGTTGATCCTGAGATTTCCAACACCGCGCTCACGCCAGCCGACTTGCCCTGTGTTGTCCGCGTTGGGACTCTTGTCAAGGTAATACATGCGTGCCCGTACTTGAACAATGGTGGTTTCGCCAGCCTCCCCATCGTCGACGGCAACTGGACAACTGGTCAGAATACGTACAAGCGCAAAAGTACGGAACAGACTCACCTCGCTTGAACTTGCCCTTCTTCTCATCCTCTCCGACGGTAGGCGTTGACTCGTGAGTGCTGGCAGTCTCGTCCTTCTCCTTCTCCTTGTCCGCATCGGCTCCACCACTCACACCACCCTCCTCCTCGTCGCCGTCCTCGCCGTCGTCATCGCTGTCATCTTCAGCATCACTTTCCGGGGCACCAAACGGCTTCGCAGGCTTATCACTCTTGATGATAGGCGGTTGCCCAGGCGAGGCGAAGTTGCCGGTCCTTGGCCCTGCCCCACCGAGCGCACTCGAGAACGGGCTGCCACCACCAAAGCCACTTCCGAAGCCGCCTGAAACCGGTTTGGCGCCGTTTATAGCAGCGAATGGCGATGGTGCCGAGGCGTCCTTGCTTCCGAAGCTGAGCTTTGGTGGGTTGAGCGGCGTCGACGTCGAGGCTGCCGTGGCTGGTGGTGCGCCGAAGCTTGCGAAGGGTGATGGAGAGGCCGTGGCTCCACCGCCGAACACACTCTTGGTCGCTCCGACCGTGGCGAAGGGCGAGGCAGACGACGAGGCCAGCTTAGCGAAGCCCGAATCGGCGAACTTGGAGGGGGAGGTCTGTGGTGGTTGGCTATCCTTGCCTGGGAATTCGGGCTTGGAGGCATCTGAAGTAGTCTGGAGGCAACAAGTTAACACGCATCCTTGCTATGAAGTCCACTGCCGCCCGTGGACTCACTGTTGCGGCGGCCTGATGTATGTCCGCAGGGGGGCTCGTCTCGTCGCGTGCTCGCTTCTTCTGGGGCTCGGACCGGCCCTTGTTCGTGCCCCCCTCGTCGACCATAACCCATCCGTCAGAATCGGTACCGTTGCTTGCGTGTCCTTCAGAGTCCCTGTGTGCTTCCACCTCGTCATGCGCGCGCTTCTTTTTGGGTGACGAGACCTTCCTCTCGCCATTATCGTCTCGGGACAGGCTTTCGGGCGGCGCAAGATCAGGTGTCTCATTTCTGCGCGCGGAGGCCGGCACAGGAATGTTGTATTCCCTCCCGGATCGCAGCTTCATCTCGTCGTCTTGACCTTGCTCGTTCTGCTTGTCTGTGCTGGAATGACCCGACCCGGCAGCCTGCGGGTCGCCGTTACCGCTGTCGGAAATGTGACTGTGCCTGAGTTCTTCCCTGGCAGCTCTCGTGTCGGCGTCTTCCACTTTGGCTTCGGGCTGGCAACGCTGGTCATCGGGGTTGACATTGCCGGAGGAGGGTGGGTCGTCGGCCATGTCGTCGTCTTTGTCCCCGCAAGGGTTTTGTAGGGGCGTGTTGCTATGCGCTTGTGGGCAAGAACAGTTCCGGACAATCAAAGCAAAGCTGCTGTGCTACGGTCCTTTGTGTTGAATAGACAAGGCGTGGTCAAATGCGCGGGAAAAGGGGTGTTCTTCAAGTAGAATGGGTGTTGCACAATAGCGAAATGATTATTGTGCAGAATTTGGCTGCTTCACAATAGTCGCCAAAAGGGTTGAACGGCAGAGTGGAGGGCTTGAAATTCGGACGAGTCGGTTCTCAGGCAAGAGGAGGGGCGTGCCTATTGTTCAGATGATAGAGCCGCGGCGGGGTCCAACAACGTCTATCTTGGCTTTTAGTCGCCGTGTTAGTAGCGCAGCCGGCCAGTGCAGAGCCGGGGCAGAAGGCAGAGGGCAGAAGGCAGAGGACAGAGAAGACAACCGGCAAGCAGACCAGGCAGATGAAGGCACGGGCACTGGCGCCACCGAATGAGAAAGGGCACGAGAGGAAGCAAGCCTCGTGTGGGAAAACGCTGCCTTGTTAGTCTGGAATTGTCTTCTGCGGTGTACCGTCTGTGGTCTGTGGTCTGTGACAGTCTATCTGTCTGGCTTGGTTTTGGTCTTGCTGGCCCTGGGTCTGGGTTGCAGAAGCAGCCGGTGAGGTGGAGGACTGGCTGACTGGACCGGCCTACCTGTAGGCACTGTGAGCGGGCACGGCACAGGTGGGGCAAGAGCAGGGATCCGAGCCAATTCAAACGTCGAGATGGCCCTGCTGGATCAAACGACCAACACCTCCAGCCTGCTACGCAGTGTACAGGAGACTAAATCGTGGTTTGCGCTCCACAGTGAAGTCGCCCGTCCATCGTACCGTGTAGGCAAGCTGTCTGGCGAGACATCATGTCTAAAGTACCTGGCCGGCCTACTGTACGCCCGGCATACTCATCATAAGCTAGAATGGCACTTGTCGTTTATGTTCTTCTGTTATTCGCTTCTTGGTACTGATTTTCTGCCATTATCTGAACCACCAGGGAGGTCTGGCGACAAACCACAACGCTCCCGTGTTTTATTGGGCCTTGCCGGCTCACCAAGATGCCTGCGATCACATGGACCAGCAAGCCACACGGTCGTCCTCATCAAACCAAGCAGTCCAACTCTCTCCCGCTTACGGGGGACGCCCCCCCCCTCACTTTTGGCCAGGAAGTGCCAGCCCACACACAACTTTTGTTAACCTTCTCTAGGTCCCAGCGCCGAAAATGCAAAGCAGACGTCTAGACCTCGCGCGGGGCGGGGACGCCTTCGTCGGACTCGCTCATGCTCTCGTCGCCGCTGACTTCGGCGTTCTCCCGCTCGCGCTTCTCCATGAGGGCCTGAAGCTCGGCGTCGTCGCTCTCCGTGACCGCCTTGGGCTCCATCTTGACGGTGAGCTTACCACCGGCGCCCTCGATGCTCGTGCGGACGTCGATGATGGCCTGTTCCAGCCTCGCGATGCCCACTGTCTTGTCCAGGCACTGGCTGGTGAGGACGTACAAGGGAGGGGACACCAGCCTGACCTTGATCTGGTTCTCTTCGGTGTTGCCAGCCTCGGCGCGCCTGTAAAAGAGGACCTCGTGTCAGTAGGGGGGCAGGTGTACGCAGGGTACCCGGGCGCCTTACCTCAGGGCGGTCTTGATGGCGTCAATGCCCTCGTAGCCGAAGCACGTCACCTCGATATCGGCCCGGAGCTTCGTAGGCTGGGGGGTCAGCCTCTTTGAGATGTAGCTCTTGAGCTCCTCGGCGATGGCCTCGTTGGGGAACTGGATGTCCTGCCAGACGTCGGGGTTGGTGATGCTGAGCTTGAAGGCGTCGATGGCGTGACCGTATTTCCTGTTGAGGGGCCATGTGATGGTCTCGTAGAGCTGCTCGATGGGGGTCTGGACCTTCTCGGCGACGTGGCGCATTATCGAGTGGACAACCTTGCTCTTGTTGTACCGCTCATCGCACTTGACGATGTCCTCGGGAGAAACTCGACGCTTGGACAGATCAATGTACCCCTTCTCCTTGTCTACCCTGAGAACGACGACAACCTCGTTCCTTCCGACGCGGATGAGCTTCTGGATCGATCGAATACGTCTTCGGGAAAGTTCGGAGAGCAGGATCATGCCATCGCTGGTGCCTGTCAGTGGTCACGGGTCTCTGTGGATGTGGACGCGGCGAAAGGGCGGTCACAAACATGTTGTCGTATTCCAGGAGCTTTACGTATGCTCCCATATCCGCGATCTATCGGTTCCATGGTCAGTTTTGCTCTGCGAAGTGGTGGGTGGTGTGGCCGGTGCTCCTTGGGTGACGCACCTGCTTCACGTTGACCATCACGAAGCTATCCACTTCGGGATACTTCTCCTCTGTATGATGCTGCGTTAGACCCGACTTGACCCAGATTTGTTGGTTCAGGTCGTCTCCAGCTCACCGTAAAATCGACAATTCGTCAGCGACATCTTGTCGGCTGTTTCTCACGAGATGCTGGGTCGGGTCGGGTTGGGTTTGGTTGGGAAGGCGGGAAGGATGCTGCTGAGAGGGCAGTCTTAAAGCCGCGTTTTCGTCGGGAGGCAGGCTGCGGAGTGGAGATTTGGACAGTCGAATGTGCAGTGCTCGGATCGGCGACAACAATGCGTTGCAGTGGAGTCGAGGATTCGGAAGTGCGAGGGTGCAAGTTGCGGTCGCTGTATCGAGGCGTGAAGGCGGCGACGGTTCTTTGAGTCACTTTAAGGCCGGGTTGATTTTTGGTCGGAGCCAGCCAAAGCCAGCTTTTGGAGGGGCCAAAGCAGCAACGAAGGTCCTGCCTGACTGGCATCCTTGGCCTGCCTGCCCGGCCCCGCTTGTCCGCTTACATACTGCTGCAAGTCTGGTGCCCCTCTCAAAAAAAAGTTTCGACCGTGTGGCGCTCTTGGGGCTGGTGAGGGACGGCCTGTGGCTGTAGCTTTCTGACGGTCCCTCCTGCCCGACCATTGCCTGCTCCCATTCATCCGTGAGGAACGGATAGTGACGACTGGCTCGTCGTGACAGCCTCGATAAACATCACCCGCCCACACCAAACCACACCAACCACCTCGACGCATATTTGCTCCAGCTATCCGCTCACTCTGCTTTGACCAAGGCCTATGTATCTTGAATACCCGGATTGGCTTCCTAAAGTACACCCAAAAAACTGACAAGACTTGCCTGTGCCCTCAGCGAGGTCGCATCTGGACTGCATGACCGTAAGACTGCGTGGTGCAGCTCAAATCCTCCTCTTCACTACTACTTCAAGTAACAGCACGCTGCTCGGCCACGGACCGGACATCTTCGCACTTAGGTCCCAGCGCCCAAGCACCCATGCACGCAACGCACGCAAGACCAGTGTCTACCGCGAAAGTCGTCATGCGTGCCAGCGTGCCAGCGTACCCACCGTCCACGCCCTGGCTTGGATCTGCACGTCAACACGACGGGGTCCGAAAGCTTGTCACGCAGCGCCACGATGGGCCCGGCCAGGGTCACCATCTCATTTCAGACGCAATGGTCTCTGGTTTCGTCTGGTTGCTGGCAGTCGTAAGGCTCGTGGGGCTCTTGATCGATCCCATCTCCGGGGCGGCGCAAGGCCTCGTAAGCTGGTCCCGGCTGATTGGCTGCAACCCCTGGACGGCCATGAGATGCTTGCGCAGCGCCAGAGCCATCACGTTTGAGCGTCGTCGCTGCGTTGATCCTGTCCCTCTTTTTTGCTCAAGTCTTCAAGAATGCTAAAAGTCTCTTGGGACCTCTCTTTCATTGCATTGTTTACCTACTCCGAGCCTACAATTCGACGCGGAAATATCCTGCCTGGTTTGTTCTTATTGTAGACTTTATGTGTTGATGCCGAAGATCCCAGTCACGGAAAGCCCGCCTTGCACGCCAGCACCACGGCACTGGGCTGAGCCTCAAAAAGACACCGGCCTGAGTGGGCCATCCGCCTCCCCCCACCACCCGAAGCGTCTTGACTCTTGACCCACTTGGGGCCTGTCTCCTCGCCTTCTTTTGTATTATATCGAGTGACCCTGGGCCTCGCAAGCCTCTGCCCTCTCTTTAATGATTTCACTTGTTTATTCACTCGCTTATTTTGTTCCTTTGCCAAGGGCAACTAGTAGCACTTTTCATCTCATTGATTGGTCTTGTGCTGCGTGTAATACGTTTTGTTGTTGTCTCGTTCTAAGAGCGCCATGCGTGGTCTCCACACGGCCGGTGTCTTACTGACACCGGCTCTGGCAGGAGCTATTTCTGCCGAGGGTCAGTCGATAGGCATATCAAACATACAATTTCATGGCGCGATCATGACTGACACAAGTCTAGACTCAATTCCTCGAGCCTTCATATCTGTTCCTCTTCCCGAAGCCGTCGACTCGGCCCCGAGTCGGGATTTGGTTTTCCGATTCGACATCAACGAGTCTCAGGATGCATGTGGATATGGGAACGTCACTATCAACGGGCAGAAACTATCAGAGGATGGCAAGGGCCCCTTAACCTTGGACGGGGATCGCGTGGTTGACGCCTCTTGGAACTTCACCTGTGTGACCTGGAACGACAAGCCCCAGGAGCAGTTGCTAAGTCTTAATGTCGACCATGTCAATGGCCAGACTGTCGATGATGCTGGCTTTACCATACGTTTCCAGCAAGTCGCACCCGTCTGGATATCAGATGTCGAAGGAAGTGCTTCGATGACCCGTGTCCACTCAAACCGGCAGGGCCAACCCGAGCCTGACTGCGACGACAAGGAGCTCGATCTCGACGCTGAATTGGCAGAGTTGGACTACTTGAGGTGGCAAATGGCCGAGCTGGCGCACCTACTCCATACGAAGGAGCACCGTCTAGCCGGGGTCTTTGGATGGGAAAGGCACCACGGGCCAGCGCGGATTCACGAATGTGACAGCCTGAAGTGCGTCATCGAAGCAATTGCCCACACCGTCAAGGGTGCGGCGTCGTCAATCTATGGAGGCGGAGGGGGACCAGGGCCTCATGGGCCTCACGGGCCGGGTCCTCATCCTCACCGTCCAGGTGACGAGCACTGTGGCGGCCCTCATCACTGCTTTGGAAAGCCCGGCCATGGGAACCACACCGAGAATGGCACACATCCTTACCCGCCTCCTCCTCACGGAAAGAAGCCTCACTTCCCTCACCCTCCACCCTTCTGCAAGTGTGGGCTGCCGCCGCCGCCGCCGCCGCCGCACCATGGTGAGCACCCACCTCCACCACCACATCACGGTGATCACCCGCCTCCTCCTCCGCCGCCTCCTCACGGGTTTTGGCCTGCTCCGCCGCCACCGCCACCGCCACCACATGGCGATTTCCCGCCGCCTCCTGGTCCCGGCTTCGGCCCTCCTCCACCTCACCACGGCGGTCCTGGGTTTTGGGAGAGCCTGTTCGGATTCGTCCATCCACATGGACCCCCACCGCCAATGCCTTGGGAACGGCCAGACTCGGAGCACCCGTCTCCGGACGGTCATTCGCATCACGGCCACGGCCACGGACACGAGGGAGGACCACCTCGCATGGGACATGAGGATCACCACGGCCCTCCTGATGAAGATCGCGAGGAAAAGCACGGTCACCACGAAGGTCACCAGCATTCCAATGAGCCTGAACGACTCGACGAACCCAAAGGCAAGCCCGACAACCTGGACCATGACGATCACAAGCCTTCCGACGATTTCAAAGGACCTGAGACCAAGGCCGAGGAGCAAGAAACTGGCAGCAAAGACGGGCATCTGCCTGTGGCGCACTCTGAGAAGCCTGAAGAGTCCAGGCCCGGACGCCCCGACGAGCATCATCACTCCGACCTGCCCTGGGAGGCTGAGCTCCGACGGGATCACGACCACAGGCCCCCACCGCATGACGGTCCACATGATCACGATGAGTTCCACGGTCACCACCCTCCCCCTCCTGGGCCTCCGCCCCCTGGTCCCCCTCCACCTGGACCTCCTCCGCCTCCTGGACATCACCCCCATGGCCCACCACCTCACGGTCCGATTTTCATTCACATCGCCTCAGCGATCGCTTCACTAATCCTGGTCGTCGTCTTTGGCAGCGTCCTGTATCAGCGCTACGTCCGCAAATCCATCAAGTCGCCCCGCGTCCGCCGGAACTCCAGCGCCCCATGGTACAAGAGGCTCTGCTTCGGGCCCAACTACTCCGAGCTTTCCGAGGATGAGGAGAAGGAGGCCATGCTCCGCAACTGTGGCGACTCTGACTCTGACTCTGAGGATGACAGCGACGTCGTCGCCAGGGATATCTCCCAGTTCAGGACGGCGGCCGACGTAGTCGGCGAGATGGTAGCCGTCGAGGAGGCACGCATGGTGGCACACTCGCGCCAGCCGTCCTTCTCTCCGGCCCCTGCGCCGGTGCCAGCACCCGTCCCAGTACCGCAACAACATATGCAGCAGCAGCACATGCACCCCTACATACCCACCCACCTCATGCCCACCAGCAGCATCCCAATGCCATTGCCAATGCCCACAGGCCAACTGAGCCCCGACCCAGCCACCATGGCCGCCATGGCCGCCATGTTCCCTGACCTAGCGCAAGATCTTGACATGGGCCTGGGCCACCGCCATGGAGGCGGCGTCGGCGAGGTGCCAGGCGAGGAGCTGCCAGCCTACCAGGAGGCCGACAGGCAGAGCGAGAGCGACGAGTCCGAGTTCGCGTCCAGCATGGTGACGGACGGGTACAGGCCCGGCTGCTCCGGCTCGTCGTACACGCCGAGCGAGTGTGGGTCGCAAGGGGCTGGTGATATACTCGGTGATACGAAGAACTAGATGTATACATGTGTGTATATACAAATCAGAGGAGGATGAAGCCACAACTACGAGATACCCGTCGGTCTATTAATTTCTTATTTACCTTTACATTGGCATTCATTGCAAGCAGACCTCTACTTGGCTCACATCTCTTTCTTCCTTATGTCCCTGTCACACACTTCTGGATAGTATGTACCATAGCCGACTTATTACTGTACGATATTGACCAGCGCGCATGAAATTACCAAGCATTTGCCACGCATGCTTACTTGACCTACTGTGGCCCCTGTCTAGTCTGTGCTGTCGGTGGGATGGCAATGAAAGTGGAATGTCATTGATTAATGTAACTATGTGATGATTCGGCTCACTTTACATCGTGTAGGGACTGCTAGAGTTACAATATAGTTGATACATTTCTGTCTTCCAAAGCCGCTGTATTTTCCATGCCCAAATCGAGCCTTTTGCCCGGAATTTGGAGTTTATGGTCACCAGTCCGCCATGGGCGGGCCGAGCCACTCCTCGGAAAGTATGAGCCCCTGTGTCATGGGTCTCTGTTGCCAACGTCTAGGTGGGATGCTTTCCTTTCCCCCCTTTCTTTCGGAATCGTTTCAAAAAAAAAAAAAAAAAAAAAAAAAATCAACGCCCTTGAATCTTCAGAATCTCTCCAACGTGGGTGGTCGTTGCCGATCTCTCCGGAGGTTTGCGCGTCAAATCGCCGTTGCACTCTCAGCAATATTCGTGATCGCCTCGCCAGGCTTGCAGTCACACCTGTACTCCTGCAAGAACTGCTCCTTGGTCATCTTCGTCAGCTTTTGCAATGCCAGCCTTGCGGCGGCCACCTTTGCATATCCCCCGCTCTCTCGGACCGCGCCGTCCACAACTTTGCCATGAATAAGAATACCGGCCGCAACTTTGGTCGAGCCGGTCCAAACACCCTCGTCATCAGTGACCTGAATCTCCTCCGAACGCAACCCGTAAGCATGGCAGCCATACTTTTCGTAAATGAACTGTGTGCAAAAGGTCACAGGATGCTTGTTGGCGAAGGTGTCGTAGATCCGCATGTCTGCGAAGTATGGCTGAAAATAGTTTCTGAAAAACCGCTGGACCGTAGTGTAGTCATACTCAGAGTCGACGAACATTGCGCCGACATATGCCTCTAAAACATCCGGAATGCATTTTGGGGGCTGTCGAGCCTCGATCCAGTAGTCGCGTGAAAAGTGCGAGCGAGGTCTGCCCGCTGCCTCGGCTGCATCCTCGGCCGTGCGGCGTGCATCGTTTATGGCCGCGACATACTCCATGATTGATTGGCCAAGTACGCCGTTATGAAGCAGATACTTGTGGAAGCCCAGCTCGACTGCAAGACAACCGAGAAACTGGTTCGAGACCATGGCCATCTTGTGTTCTGTCAACCACTGTGGACCCTTGTCGGGCGCGATGTGGAAGAGAAAATCAACGCAAACCATGTCGAGCAGGGCATCGCCTAGGAACTCCAAACGCTGGTAGTTTGGTACTTTAGTAAAGGAGTAGGGGCGCGAAGGATGCACAAACGCAGACCGGAGCAAACGGGGGTAATTGAACTTGTAATGCGTGACTGCTTCGATTTTCTTGGCCATATCCAGCTCGGCAGCACTGGCGGCGGTGATTTGCCACGTCGGTTTGTGGTATGCGGCGTAATAATCTTCCCACTTCATCATTGGATGATGTTTGTGGCCGGTGAGTCGAGTCACTGCTTGAATTGCCATGGTATAGTCGTTCTCCTTTCGAGTGCTCATGTATGCGGCGCCAATGAGGGCCTCACAGACATCGGCAATAGATTTGTCGGCAAGCTGGTGGGAGTCCATGTTCTTCAAGGTCCTCTGGTGCTTCTTTCCGAATTCCAGGCTCAAGTTGGGATACCATGTTGCGCGCGAAAAGGCCTTGGACCGAATGTATTCTTCCAACTTCAGCCAGTCACTGCGTGCATTTCCAAAGAGGTTCTGGTTGCAGATCATGACCATCCGCTCAACATGATAGTCGAATTCGTCTTTGTTGGGTATGAGCGTGAAGACAGATATGGTGGTCGCCAGCTTCAAGAAGGAATCACCTAAGAATTCCAGTCGTTCATAATTGTTGCCCATTCCTGGTTGGAAGTTGATTGGCTCAAACTTCTCCAGTGATTCTCTCCCATCATCTTCAGACTGGTTCTCACTGTCTTTAGTGAGTGCCTCGAGGGCCAGGTCCGGCTGGATGGTAAGGTCAAGCATTTTGCACGCGTCTAACGCAATAAGATTCTGCTCAATCCGATGAATAATGGACGGGATGAGATAAGCCATGGTGACCACATGCACAGGAATCTATTGGATGTTAGAAGCCGTGTCTGATGGAAGGATTGGGTACTCACTGGCGAAATCCTCAGCGGTTCGAGAACGAAGTAGCAGAACGGGTTCTTGCGGTCATCCTCCATTTCGGAGAGAAAGTCCCGGCGCAAAGACGCAAATTTGCCCACGACGACTGGCTGGTCCTCCTTCCACGTCATTTCTCGAGCCTCGCGGGTGGCCTTCCAGGAAGTCACAGTCCAATTCAGAATATCGTGCGCAACTTCGCCACGCTTCCACTGTCGATACCCTGGAACATGATCAACATCACTGGGAACTGGGCTTCGGGATGTGAGATCCTTTCGAACACCACGTAGCCAGAATCTGCGTGAACCGTCGTGGGGATCGACAATGAATTTGTCCACGTAGAAGTCATCTGGCTCTTGGCCCGTGTAGGGTATGGCATCAGTGCCTGAGACTTGGCGCAAAACGCACCAGTCGATCGCCTGGCGTAGATCAGAGAGTTCCGAGAAGGAGAACCTGTGATCTCCAATTGTTGGCGCAAAAAGGTACGGCATGTCCTCTGTGCTTGCCACGTACTTCTTGTTGAAAAGGTCCAGGAAGATCTTCAGAGTAAATCTGGTGAGGAGCTGAAGGTCTTCCTCTGATGGTGCGATATGAGCATTCAAAACCTGACAGGCAGCATTTGAAGACATTCCCTTCGATCCAGGCGGCCCAAAGTAGAGGGGAAATGGCTTCATTTGAGGGAGCTTGGTCCTCGTCAGGACCAGAAGAGGCCGGGATGGTCGTTCCAGGGCAGTAGGCTTCGAGAGGATTAGAACAGTCGCATATAGCTCCTGGACTGGACCGAGCTCATCCCATAATTTTGGTTTCAGGCGCATGTCGTACTTTGCCTTCTTCTTCGATGACACCGCTAGGCGGGCATTGGCCATCTTATTGCGTCTCTCAACAAGGGTCGAACGCAAGTTCTCGTCGAGAAATTTCCTGTAGTGTAGCTTCAGGCAAACCTCAAATGCCGCAGAACACTTGGCGGCCTGCTTCGTCAAGTGGGCCTTTCCTGTTGCGCCGGACACTGGAGAGGCGATAGGCATCACCAACTCACAGATGAAACCTCCTTGGGTGGGCATGATGTGGTAATCAGCGACCAGTCCCATGTCCTCGGTGAAGTCGTCTTGGTTTCGAAGCGAATTGAGATAGTCTCCAAGGATGGACAAGCTGTTCTTGTACGTGATCGTTGCTCCGCTGGATTCGACTGTATACCTTCGTTGAGTTCGTTCTTTTCGGAGATGATAGTCCATGTCAAAGTCGCTCCCTTTGAGTTGCCTGTCCTCAGGAAGCGAGCTGCAGAACTCCCGCAAAAGGTTCTCGTTGGCGGTGTTCTGGTAGATCCTACGACGATGATCACCGTTGCCCTCCTCAATCATGTGGATATAAGTAGATTGGGCCTGTCTAGCTCGACCTCGTGATTGTATGTACTGTATCATGGTCTTGTAGAGATCAAAGCGAATAATCAGGTTGCAGTCCGGAATGTCGAGGCCCTCCTCGGCGACTGAAGTCGCAAAAATGCAGTTCAGCTCGCCGTCCTTGAACTTGATAATTGTCATAAGTTGTTGGCGGAAGGATGTCGACGAACAGTTGTCGTCTTGGTTCGCGCCCATGAGAACTCCAACTTTAAGCCCAGGGATTCTGATTACGCCTTCTTGCTGAAGTAGGTCTGCCAAAAGCTTGGCAGTCCAACGCTGTTCGACGAAGACGATACATCGGACCCTGTCTTTGTCATTGTTGAAGTGCTCCGTCAAAAGCCTTAGAAGAAGGTGCACTTTCGATGAAAGCAGAAATTCCTCCGGTTCCATGAATTGGTGGTTTTGGATCAGCTGTCGAGCAGAATGGATGCCTTTCTTCTGCTTGTCCACTGCGTCAACCGAAGCCATGTTGTTGGCGAAACCTTTCTCTGTCTTGGCCTCAAGCTTGAAGAGCTCATCTTCCTGGAAAATGAGCTGCCAGTTTCTGTCCACGAACCAAGCTCCAAGCTCTCTAGAGGCGAACTTCGAGAAGGCGAAGGCCTTCGAGAGGTATTTGTTGCTTCCAACCGCAACCCTCAGTTTTGCGGTGAGTCCTGTTTCAGGAGGCTGGATCAAATGAGAATATGTGGCCAGAACTTCTTTCTTGGGCTTTGAAACAGTTGTTTGTAGGGCCTTTGGGTCTGCAGTCGTCGCAATCTGGCTGTGCAAGAGACCTTCGAGCTCCACAGCTGCTAGTCGGACGTCGATCTGGGCATCGACAGGCGAGGCGGTCATGCCGAAGATACGGGGTAGCCGAGCACCATTCCCCTCTTGCTTAGCATAATAATCTTTGATTATACGGGCGTAGGGGTGATTCTTCTTGGTGTGGTGAGCCTCGTCGAAAATGAGCAGGTTGATCTGGTCGATCCGGATGTAGGCAGACTGCAGGCATTTGTTTAATATCTCGGCCGTGCACACAATGACTTCGTGTTTTGCAAATTGCTGATCCCAGAACGACTTGTTCCACAAGGATCGGACTGAATCTCCAGAGAAGGCAGCCACCGAATGGCCAAGATTGCAGTCGAGGACTGCATGCTGCTGGTAGACGAGAGCAACCTTGTCAACGAGGAAGAACGACAGCCGCCGGGGAAGGCCTCGCTCTCGGTCCCCGAGCTCCTTTTCGATGATGTGCTGGAGGAGGAGCACCGCTATGAGAGTCTTCCCAGATCCTTTGTCAAGGTTGTCAGCCATGCTTCGTGTTCAGACGACTGCGATGCCCGGACCGTTGAGGCCTTACCGGTGTCTAGGACAGCAATTGTGTTTTTCTCTTTGGCTCGCTCAAACAGCTCCATCTGGTAGTCACGAGGATTGTTGATGATCTTTTGGCCCTCCCAGGTCTTGACCAGATATCCGATGGATTGATCGTTTTCAGTGACACGGTTCTCTGGCTTCTTCGACAGCCTGCTCCTGTTCTCTTCCAGCCAAACGCCGAAACTTGCTTGTTCGATCTTCTTCTTCTGACTGATCTTATGAGGCTTGCGGGGCTCGTTCTGTACCAGGCGGCTGGCGTCCTCGTCATCACTTCGGTTGGCCCTTTCATCGTCACTGTCATCTTCTATGCCAGCATCAACCATGGGTTGGTCCGTGGCAGAAATTTCGATGCTGAGGATGACAGGAGCCTGCTTGCCAGGCATCGGGGCAATTGTTTCATCAGAGTCAGCTTTGCTGGCAGTAGGGCCTCCATTCTGCAGCGCAGTCAAGTTTCTGCGCGGCAAGTGAGCGATGTGAGTAGATTTATCTGAGGCCATCTTGGGCTTCCCGCCAATGACGGTCCGCAAACGCAAAATCAAGGCGCTCTTCGTTGAAATGAAGTAGTGCGGCTGTGAATGATTTGAAGTGCGGTCGTTGCGAGATCAGGTCAGTGAACGAGATCTGAAAATCGGTCTGAGAGCAACACAGATTGGATGATGTGGATGGGTTAAACGGGTTGGCAAGTATGAGTGGTAGAAGTGGTGGTAGAAAAGAGGGAGAGGGTGTATGTGGAGTTAAGGAAAGAGAGAAAGCGAGGGAGAGAAAAGGTCAGAGACTGTAGCAGAGTGGACAGAACAATCAGAAAAGAGACTTGGAATTGGTTGTTCGTGGTAGAATCAGAAAAATGTTCCTCATCTCAACTTTTTTCGCTTGGAAGGCCAGAGATGGGATGGCTGGGTTGGCCAGCAAACACAACAATTCAGCTGCAGGTTGATGCAGGGTCAAACCAGAGGCAATTGATGACTGCCCCCAAGGTTCCAAATTCCTACCTCTCAGTATGCAGGGGCCCGATTCGAGACTCTCATGGACCGCTCTTTCTCGCGGTCACGCGCCTGCCACTTGCCTTCCTCAGCCCTGGGAGGGGAATCAACGTTGGATTTCCCGGTCTGGAAGGCACGATCCGTGGCTTTGAGACAGGCTCGAGCTACAAGCTATTGTAATACTCGGATGGTCACCCAAGCTTTCTGACGTGCAGGGGGTGGTCTCGGCTTTCAGGGTCCAGAGCTCCACCTCTCAGGGCAACCCACCTTCCCCGTCCAAGATCTCGCAGCTACCCCGCAGGGCCTGGGCTCCCTGGGCCCAGCTGACCACCGCCCCTCTACCTTGAGTGCCCTGGCTCCCTCACCGTGAGATGATAAGATAAGGATGTTCAGGGAAGCTTCTGCGAGACTTGCCCCCCAAAAGCCCAACCCCAAGGGAGCCACAGGCATCTGCATATAAGTACCCAGCTCAGACACAACATCCCCCAAGCTAGGCACTGTCTCGAAGTCTCCTTGCACTTGTCCAACACCCCCATCTGTAAGTCCGACCCCGGAGCTTATACAATCTCTACCCTCCTAGCCAGGCTGCAGCGTGCCGCCAAGATGGAAGACCCGAAATCTCTCAAGTCTGTCTTTGCCCAGGCCGAAGAACGGCGACTGGCTCTCGAGGGCGCCTTCGAGGTGACAGACCCCAGCTACCGCGATGTCCTCTCCAACGCAATAGACGAGTACACCGAGTGCTTGGAGCTCATCAGCCAGTTGCGCATGTTCAGTCCCAACGAGACCCTGGAGGACCTGTCAACATCCGATCTTCCCTATCTGCTGGTGCACTACCACCTCGCCGAGCTCATACAAAAGGTCCACACCACTTCGCCAGTGGGCCGCAAGACAGTCCTCGAAAAGTCTCGCCACTGCTATGAGCGCTTCCTCTACATCATCGACAGCTACAGCCTTCTGGAGCCACAGTACTCCAAAATGCTAGAAGCCTACAGCGAAGACCCGTCCTCATTCTCCACAACGCCCTCGTCCGACCCAGCAGCCCGCCGCAACTCCAAGATCGCAAACTTCAAAGCCGAGCAGGCCCTCAAGCAGAAGCTTGCATACCTGAGGAGGAACCCTTCCTACGGCGACCCAGATGAAGAGGACGGCCTGGGTGGAGACGAGGAGATTGTGCGACAGGTACATCTTGCAAACCTCGGCCTCTGCATCCACCTAGCATTCCAGGCCCTGGAGTCTCTGAACCGCGAGGCCGATATCTTGGCCCAAGCACCCACACCTTTACTTCCCCAGGCCACTACAGTCGAGGATGACGAGCGGCGGCGGCGTGAGGACCTCAGGCATGAGGGCTATTCCGACAGACTTGACAGGCCATTCAAGAGGTTACAGAGTTTCAACGGGCCACTGTTGAGCAAGGAAGGCAAGCCCGTGCAACCATTCACGATCGTGGGGACGAGGCAGGATCTGGCCAAACAGGTGTTCAGGCCGGGACATAACTTGCCGACGATGAGTATCGACGAGTACCTGGAAGAGGAAAAGCGGCGAGGAGGAATCATTGAGGGAGGCGGTGAGGCCAGTGGGAGGCAGCCGGAGCCAGACGAAGACAACTATGAGAAAGCGGATGCGGAAACCATGAAGGCACGGGCATGGGACGAATATGTGGAGGCAAATCCAAAAGGCAGTGGCAACACGTTGAATAGGGGGTAGACGTTCTGTCATGCCAAAGAACACATGGGACGAATCGCTCTCAATGCATCCACAACCATTCAACGAAGGAACGGTGCAGCCTGAGAAGCCATTCATGAAGAGTCCATTGGGGCTTACAATCTGCCTGGGAGCGCCAATCTCTCAGACAAGCGTGAGATACACCAACCACAATTTCAGCTGGACTGGTCCAGTCTTCATCGGACGGAAGCTCTCTATCGTTATCGACTGGTATCGACTGGGACGTATCTGATTAGGGCCCATTTCACTTGCGATATAAAACAAGTCCCCATGACGCCAGATCTATCTTTCAGAAAGTACTAAAGCATACCAGCTCGTCTGTGCCAGTGAAGCATCCTCAGTCAAGCACCTACAGAGACACGCGCTACAGTGCATCACTGTTGACTCACTGGTAAGTACAAAAGACAGACATCATTCAAAGCCATGTTTTATTTATTATCGCTAATGCGTCTCTCAGTGAACAGACCACGACGCGTCGCGTTGTTGACAAAGCTCCCCGTTATCACTCCCTCACAGACAAGCCATTCTGCAGGAGGCCAAACGACAACAAGAAAACCCACATCCAACTCATCATCACAAACCTTGAAATTTCCAGACACCCATCATGCCTGACAACAAGGAGAACAACCCCAGCTCCCTCGGCGGTCCCGCTGCTGGCACCTCCACCACCAGCGCCACCAGCAACTCGAAGCCGCCCAAGCCCACCATGGGCACAAAGATCCAGGACATGCTCTACTACAGCGCCAGCGACGGCCTCGATGATGTCGTCATTGGTGGCTGCTCCACCTGTGGCTCCGTCCAGCACGAGACCGTCAAGTGCGACCGCAAGGACGTCCAGTCTGAGTACATGATGAGCGGCGCTCTGCAGACCGAGACGGACTCCTCAGCCTGTGCCTCTGCCACTGACGCTCCCGCTGACAAGGGTGGCCAGGCCCAGGCCCAGTCCGGTATGCCCCTGGGCCAGGATGCCGGACGGAGACGCTCTGTGTAGGTGCGGATGGGATAATGTGGACCCATCTGCATTCGGCCCTCTCCGAGGTTGTCAAGCACTTGAAAATGTGGTTATGCAGAACCAAACATAAAAAGGGGTTTGGTGGTTGGAAACGGTTCATGCAGCATCCACGACAGGTGCCGGGAAGGAGGATTGCTTGAGGACACTAGGGAGGGATACAACTGTTGCCGTGTCCCAGTCCATAGCTTCAGTCAATCCAGGCACATTCTTGACGATATCAGGTGCGGAGTACTATGCGTTTGTGGAATATTGTGTGCGCCCAATTTGTCCCAGTGATTCTGAGTTCGGTATGACATGCTGGAGTCTTAAACACTTAAGACTTGACAGTATGTTCTCATAGGATGCAACTACGATAACATAGTTCTATACACTGTGGTATGAGCGGTAGAGATTCGCAAAAGGGGTACCTCCTCTAGGACCCCCCCTCTTAGGCCTCGAGCCGTCAACTTGTTCTTGCTCGACAAAAATACGGTCACCAGACTTGTTCTCATCAAGACATCAATATCATTCGTTCTCTTATGTTCTCCTAGAGACAACATCACATAACGAGAAAGCCTCTCCGTCCCTGATCTACCATCACAATATTTCCCAGCGGTTTCATGGCCCCCTTCCGGCCTTTTGGTATCATGCGTGCACACTTTGGCGTCCCACCAAATCATCAGATCGTGCCATCTTTCCCGAACGAAAAAGCGTAAGTCGTGTGTAGGGGGCTTATTGCCCTTGGACCCAGCTAGCCACTCCGAGGTTGGGAGCCGCCGTCGTGACATCGGTCCCTCGTAAAAGCGCCGCAGACAGTATCGTGATAGTACTGTTCGTGTACCCCGGAAAGCATGCTTCGTTCATTCTGCCGACGCTCGTGCCCTCCTGTGGTAACTCCTGCGAGCTCCTTATTCGTCCGTCTTGTACATAGAATGCGATCTAGCCGACAGCTCAGCCATCCCGTGGCCGCTGGCCCGCCGCCTCAGCAACTTCAGCACGCGAGATGATCTCCATGTGGTCCTCATCCTCATCATCGTCGCCGCCGTCCTCAACCGACAAGTCAGACTCCACAAAATCCTCGCTGTCGTCGTCGTCGTCATCGTCGTCTTGGAGACCACCACAACCCGCCAAGCCGTCGTCGGCGCCATCCTGAGAGCTCTCGACGTAGTCCGCCAGGGCCTGGCCTCGCGACTGATGCGCGGCAGGGAGGGCGAATTCGGCCTCGGCAACGTCGGCACTCATGGCGTCGTCCGTGAAGCGCTCCGAGGCGAGCGATTCGGAGGGCGTCAAGACGCGGTTGCGGTCGAAGACGGTCGAGATGCCGTCCTGAACGACGACCGACCCCACGACGGTGCTCGTGCCGTCGTCGGACTGGATGGCCATATCATCCATCCCCCCGACGACGGAGTCGGACACGCTGGGCACGGTGATGCCGGTGTGGTAACTCGGGCCAGGGCCGGTGGGGCCGAGCTCGGCCTCCGGGATTTCGGACTCGTACACGGTCTCGTCCTCGAACCTGAGGTAGTCCATCTCTTTCTCGCTGAGGCTCAGGACCATGTGCTGCGTGATGCTGTAGCCGAACTCGTTGTCGGGCCGCTGGGCAAAGGACGCAGCGTATGCTGACAGGTTACTGACGGCGTGCTCGAAAAGGCGTTTGTAGAAACCCTGGTCATACTCGTCAAAGACATCTGGGTAAGGGCGGCCGCGGAGAATCAGATTTCTCTTCTTGGCATCCTCAAACGCTATGGAGAAGGCCGACGCGGCGTCGTAGGCTTCCTGCGTGCCGAAGAGGTCTGTGATGAACAGATCGCGCATTTCAAGCCACACGAAAGGGCACAATGCGCGTTGATACTTGTTCAGGCCGGTGTAGACAGCAGAAAAGGAGTGGGAAGTTGCCAAGTCTCTCTTGGAAACCAGGTAGGACAGCCCCATCTCGCTCATATCCCACCTCGACTTTGCCGCATGACTGAAGAACTTCTCTCGCGTGACCATGTTTGGTGGCTTGGTGGAAGCCTTGTCGACACATTTTGTGACCACCCTGAGAATGACAGCCCGAATGCTGTCCAAGAGCGCGTTGTAAGTCCTGCGATGGGGCAGTGACAAATCACTGGGAATCACCTGGTCAAGCAGAGTGAGCTGGTTCCACTCGGGAACATCCAGGATAGCCAAAGCATCGGGGCCGCAGATGTCATCAATCGCTTGCCTGTACCTCTCCGCCATGGCAACGCCGGCATGCTCCACCATCTGCATGACCATGTCTGTCTGCTCAGTACCGGAGATACAGCCTGAGCTGCGCCGACCGAATATGGTGGTATTCTTCCGAGCCTGTTCACCACGAACGTGGTCGCCGGCAATAACAAGCGCGTGCTCGTTGACCAGGATTCGGAAAGCGGCAAAAGCGAGGACAGGTGCCCTGATGATGCTGGCGATACGCAGTGTCTCTTCTGGTAGGATCTCAACGAAAATGTAGTTGTTTCCGGCGTTGAACCATGTCACAACATGATCGCGCTGCATCATCGTTAGGCATTACTTCATAAGCGCAGAGTGTTGTTGTACTTACGATGAGGTCGTAGTTTGTCATTTCAAACATGCTGAAGAGTCCCACCAGCGTCCACACTGTTGATGTGCATTAGCATCTGTCCACCAGGGAGAGGGCCGCGTCCATCGATGGGCACACTTACTTCGAGGCGCAGAGTCGATCTGGAGGTCACCATTCGCAAGCGACCGAAACAGCCTCAAGACGTTCGCACCCTGGCGGACCTGACAGAAATCGTCGATACCGCGGTGATCCTCGAGGGACCAGGTCTCGGTGTCGAGCAGAAACGCGGAAAAGTTCAATCCATCAAGATGCTGCTGACACTGTATCTCGAGAGGTGGTGATGGGATTGGATATGCAGTGTCGTATCCCTCGTTGCAATGGCAAGCATCATCATGTCCTGCAACAGCCTCAAGAGAAGCACCAAAAGCTGAGGCCCGATACCAGAGCTTGATGCCCGGAGTCAGTGAGAGAAGTTGCAAGGCAATAGTGTAGTCATCCTCCTCGCCCGAAGGTGACAGGTCCAGAACGTGAGTGACACCATTGGGTAGAGTTCCAGCCTCTCTCTTGGCCCGGCGCTGGTGTGATTCGCTGTTCAGGCGGTCCTCTAGCTTGGAAGACCCTGTGTTGAGCACCTGATCACGCGTCAAGATGACACGGGCTGTGTTGAAAGTGGACTTCTGACAGCTCTGCTTAGATATGAAGGCGGGGAAGGACACCAGCACGAGCACGTCGCCGGCCTCGTTGCCCTGCAACGACTGCTGCGTTTTGTACAGGTCACTGTTGTGGGCCTGCTTGGCAACGAGGTTGCGCTCGAGCTCGTCGTTCACGAAGCTGAGGTGTGAGTTCTGGAGCGCTTCGTCCAGCTGCTGCGGATTCACCGACCTAGAGAGTCTTGAAGACTGGTCCTGTTGTCATGGCATCAGCAACCTTGAGCACCAACAGAGCGAATCGAGGGCAAGGCGTTTACAGACCATATTGGTTTCTGCCACGCACTTATTGGGTCGAGCTTGCAGAATTAATTCAGTCAACGGTGACTACAAGAGTTAGTTAACTGCGATGGGCACAGTATCGGGTGGGTGACTAGGGAGTGAGCAAAATGCGGTCCAGTCTGTGTGCAGCTGGAGGGAAAGCTGTACGGTGCCAGGGCTGTATCAATTGAGCGGAACAAAAATGCTGGGAGAGCTTTCTCCAAGGCCGCAGGCATCAGTTTCCTGTTTCGACACATACTTGAGGCCCAGACCATCCTGATGCAGCAACCAGCGTTGGGCTTGCGCGTTCACAAAGACAATGGACGTCGCCTAGCGACGGAGCCTGACACTCCCAGGGGAGGGGTTGAGGGACACGGTCAGGTTAAACAGCAGCCTGGGAGCAATTCTCACCTGCTTCCACTGCTCCCATTCCATGGTTGGTGCTTTGTGCTGGCTTGTATGAGGCTTACTGGCAGTGACAGAACCTTACGTGTTCAGGTTAATACTTCTTGCCTTTTTCAAGGCATCTGGTCATTCGTACAGTTTCGCAAACAACAACTGGGTACCTCCAGGAGATTGCGCCAGGTGTTTTAGAGGCTTCAAGCCCAGCTAACAAGAAGAGTGTGGATGAGATTAATGAATGTTCGAGACTGTATCAACGTTCAGAACTAATTGTCCATCAAGCACAGTCAACTTTGAAAGGCCTCCAGACACAGAACAAAGGCAGTGACGCGAGGTGGTCGGTGAGGCTGACTGTGGCACCCAAGGCAGCAGCTCACACTGCCCCACGCTAGAGCCGCACGGGAACGGTGGATGGTGCAGTGTAGGTGCTTTTGCAGAGGCAGGACCAGAGGCAAACCAGGGTGGTGAGCCGTGCCGCAGCAGCGCAGATTGGTGCTACCAAGCAGATGGACGGAGGGGCATCACATGAGGTCGAGACGTCCCAATCAACGGGAGCATCAGAGGCAGGCATCCTCCTCTGGCCAAACCATATGCCCCAGTGCTGTACCCCCAGACCTTGGCTCTCATATTGAACATGATGGGTTTCAATTAGAGAATCCATTCAGATTTTATGACAAAACAGTAAGCTCTTCATTTTGTGAATGATTACTAGCATGGATATGCTAAAGGAAAAAAAAAAAAAAAAAAAAAGGCAGGTAATATGAAGCTTGAGTAAGGGTACGTGTATGAATTGAATGATTTACTTAGACGGCAACCGCTCGGCTGGGAAAGGGGACATGACCGGGAAAACGGGGTTAGACTCGGCAACTTATCGGGTCCTATCGGATGCGAGCCCCACTGCGAGCCCACCCTCCATGACGCCCTAGGCACATACCGAAGCACAGTGACACCCTCCTTAAAGTTGTACTTGTATAGGACCCCTGGGGTGGCAAGTGGTTGAGATTCCTGGGTGTACAACCTCCACAGCTACTCAATAATAGGACAGATGCTCAAGAAGAGGGAATGCAACTACTGCAATCTATCCTAGCTATGTCCTCCAGGGGATCGCAGCAGGAGGCCTACCGATGTCTCACCCTGACAGCCTGCCCGAGTTTATGCAGAGGCAGCTAAGCTCCAGGTGCTCCAAACTTAGTTCCCCACAGTTCTTCCCGGCCAGAGGCATGGACATGCGTTACTCACAGATCAACAGTCCTTCTGGGGATATTGACATCAGTCTCGCCACCATTCTCAGGCTAGTTGCTGTCAGCACGTTAGTAGTAGTGCTCTCAGTCTTCACCATCAACGAGAGACGACCCAGTCATGGGAGTTAATAGGGTAATGAAGGCATAACGGAAAGAAGGGGGATATGCTCTTACAAGGCATCAGGAGCAGCCAGGTAGACAGGCCATACGCCACAAACCTCGAACGATGTTTACGACAGGGATCCATCGCAGGGACAGCCTTCGATAGTCCGGGCAGCTCCATTTCTCTCCAGTTTCTCCCCGCATATCAGTGCCATCCAAGGAATCAGCAGAGTCATTACGACAACGATGGGTCCCCAGAATGGAAATATGTCGCGTGTCTAACGTCAAGCTGCCTTCCCAGTCCCCACTTCCCCAACAAAATCGTACCCGTTGTGATTATTTAGACCCCAGACCGTGCCGCCCCTCGCAGGCATCGGGACAGACCGCTTAGATCTTGTCTCTTGCATACCACACCTTTGACATTTGCCTCTGAACATATTCTCGTATCAGCTTGCTACCTAGTTACCAACTATAGCCAGCAGGTACAAGGCCGGACGTTCAACACGCTCGACCATCACCGCAACTACCACTCTTCGCATCCCTTGCCCCTCTCGCTCCAACCCAATACGAATACCATGGATCACGCCAGGAACAACCTGCACCGCGGCGCTCCCCGGGCATTTCCGTGAGTACAACCCGTAGCGGCCCTCTCACCACTACACAGGTCCCCAGAATCCACAAAACCCACACCCAAAGGAAGAGAAAAAGCACGAAGAACTAACAAGACCCGCTCCCCAAGGTCGCGCCACCCCCGCCTCGCACTCTTCGCCCTGACAGCTGCCGGCGTGGCCCTGGGCATCAAGTACCAGTCCGACAACCTGGCCAAGAACGAGAGGGCGCAGAGGTCGACGAACGACCCCAACTACTACGTCTCTGTCGACAGGTCCGGCGGTGGCGTCTAGAGGACCAGGGCACTGAGGATTTTAAAGACAAACAGAAAATAAGAAAAGAATCATGTGAGCGCATTTAAGAAGAGAGCGAGCGGAGAGCATAAATCGGGATAAAGAAATCCATCCGCAGGGTACGGCGCAAGGATATTATACCTAGATACCTTCCACAACGGCAGCGGCGCCTATGCAAGGTGTAGCAGCATAAGCCACAAGGGGGGGGGGGGTTGGCGTTGTATAACGAGCCGAAGAGACATTGTTCAAGCAACTCCAAGACAGCATTGGCGTGTCACATACATTTACTCACGATCATTGACCGGGATGGGCGTTTGAACTGGTCCAAGGAGGGAAACGGGTTTGCTGTAAAATTACAGAATAATTAAAGTATATCAACAGCACTTAGCATGTCACGAGACTCGTGATGCATATTGTTGTGCACGTCATGTGGTAGCAAGACAAGCAGAATGCATCACATTTCCTCGTTTCTCTGCGCTGCTGAATGCTACCCTCTCAAATGCCAAACAGGTCAAATCATACACGATGAGCTCAACTCAGACCAGAAAAGAAAGAGGCCCGGTTCAAACATGCCAGTACTAAAAAATGCAAAATGAAGAAATAAGGAAGAAAAAAACGCCATGTCACTATCTCCCCTGGCCATACCGAACAGCACCGGTTCTATGCACACGGACGATGTCTCGAAACCAAAATAGCCATTAGCATGCGCGTTGCGTGAATAAGAGCAAACGGAAACACACTGTAGAACGCCGATTCGTATGCAAGCCCTCCTGTACAGTTGCTCCAAAATGGGCCAGCGTCTCTTGATAAACATTGTCTCCGGCATTACCTCTCAATAGGAGCTCCCTTTCCGGGTGATGCTCGGCCGCCGCACGTCGGCCTCGGCATCGCCGTCGGACTCAGAGTCCTCATTGTCCCGCCTCGTCTCAACCTCTTTGCCCTTCCCCTTGTAGTCACCGCCAAAAGTCGACTCAACGGGTGACCTCAGTATCACACTGTTGCGGTTGGACTTGTTCCCTCCCCGTCGGCTTCCAGGCCGCGATCCGCTGGCCTTGCCGACCGAGTTGGCTTTGGAGCCTCTCCCGCTAGTTCGAGCGCCACCAGTGGCGGCGCCATTCCTGCCCGCAGTCTCGAATATCGTGTGTGTCCTAACGCCGTCGCCCTCACCATCCCAGACGATTGAGCCGCCTTCACTCGCTGAGTTGCGCGCGGTGGACGGCATGGCGCTCGATCGCTGCAGTCCTCTCATCTCTTTAACCATATCTGAGAAACCTTCTTCCAGCGTTTTCATCCTCGCCAATACCAACCGACTCATCCGGTCTCGATCGTTGTCACGTTCCCGCTGCGCTTTGTCGGTGACGCGGGGACCGCCAGGCGTGATCATACCGGTTGCCATGGCCATCTGCGTGACAAAGCTGGACGGGACGCCTCCGAATGCGTCGTCTGCGCCAACGCCGGCGAGATCTGACTGGATTTCGAGGAGATCAGAGGAAGACATGCGACGGGTCTTCCCTGGTCGGCGTGGTTGCGGATCAGCGGTCATGCCAGTGAAGCGGCTGATGAGGGGAGCTGTGTGCATATTGTCGCGAGGCGGCATGATTGGCCTGGGACGGGTAGAGCCAAGATTGGCAGGGCGCCGCGGCGACTTGTGCCTGGGGCTCTCGGCTGGCGTTGGACGACCGCTTAGAGGCCGGGAACGAGACTTCGTATGTGGGCTTGAAGACGAATCATCGTCTTTGGGCGGCAGGCGGCCACTTTTGGGTGGGTTGAAGAGAATCGTATTCGAGGACAAAGTGCGGTTATGCATGCCTGACCGTTTCGGGGGAGGCGGTGCTAGCTGGTGTGCAGGTGACCGGTTCGAAGAGCCAAGCGAAGTTGAGATGATGCGGTTGTTGAATCGAGTGGCGAGGGGGGTTGTGAAATAGTCATCATCGTCCTCGACCCGGGATCTCGTGATGCTTCGTCGACTGGGAACAGTTGGCGCCTCATCTTCATCTTCGTCATTGGTGACAAGCTCATCATCCGCATCTTGATCCTTCAATATTCTGCGCTCCACGTGATCCCTCCGATCCATGCCATCCAGGGCTCCGTCCACCGTCGACATGAGTTCTGCCGGGTCGCTCATAATCGACCTGACTTCGGAAAGATGCCGGAGTCTCACCGGCGTTCTTTCTTTGCTTCCGTTGAGCTTTCGTTGCCAATCCTGTTGTGCACGACCGTCAATAGTCGACAAGTTGTTTGGCGATTCAGGTATGGTCTCATTCCTGTCCATCCAATTCCTGACGGCGTTTTGAGTCCTCTTGCGCTCGTGCATCCTCTGGGTGCGCAGGGAGGCAAAGTCAGGCGTTCTTCGGAAAACTTCCTCCAAAGCACGATCCTGTTGAAACCCGGCAACCGAACCCTCTCGGATGCGGATGGTGGGGCTGAACAGTGACGACCTGCCCACGGGGTTCATGGACAGTGCCCGGGCCCGACTCCTTTCCGGGTGCTCGACGAAATCGGTCGGTTCGAACATCGAAGGGGAGAGAATGTATTTCTCGTACAAGAATATGCAGAACAAGAGTGGGAAGTGTGTGATCTTGATGATGGTTCGGTTCAGCCACACGAAGTGACGCAGAGGCATGAAGTACCGGAACGGCATCAACATCCACGCAAAGATGTTGCCAGGAGCAACATAGGAGAAGAGGGACTGATCCTTCACCATGGCAATTGTATTGATGGCGAAGAGAAACCTAGTGTACCTTCGTTAGCTCTACGTCCACACTTCTCCTTGTCTTGTGGCAGCTTACTGATGCTCCTCTTTCGCGTTCGAAGCAATCGACATGAACGAGTTGGTCAATACAGTAATGAGGATGGTACTATCAATCTGGTCAGCGAGTACCAGGCAGTCAGGGTCTAGGCAAGACTTACACCACCACAAAATGACAAATAATCAGGAATAGTACCATCAGCGTTCTGTCAAGCCAACTGTACGAGGGCCAGCTAAATGTTCACTGTCAGCATTGAGGCTCGAATGATTCACGGCGTGCTTTAAGCAGAGCCCTAGGTGTGTATCTCAGGAGGAAGGTAGACTCACACGTCCCAAGCCGCCGGAGTGAAGCCCATGAGGATTTGGAATATCTTGTATGCCACCTCAGCAGCGTCTGCTTTGGTGTTTGTGAGGAAGAAAACGAAGAAGCCACTGCACGAAATGAAGATTAACACGAAGATTGCCGCCAGATCAACGCTCATGATTCTCATTGCCAGAAGAATTTGAGAGAAGTAGGGGTAGTGATCGAGGACCGAAAATATCCGTGGCAGCAGTAGGACCGCATTCGCAGCTAGCACATCGTAGGCATCTACGCCGTGATGTGAGTCGACCAGAAACACCGTGTAAATGCGCATGCAGTAGTATATAATCAACAGCACGAGAATGCCCAAGTCGAAAATGTTCCAGAAGCTCATGATGTACAATGAGAAGCCTTGCTCGGTGAAGCCGACAAGCTCGTCCATCATGAAGCCAGCACTCCAGAACCAGAACACCAACTCTAGGCTGGTGATGCGGTCGGACCTCTGAACAAGAACTGCCAAGAAGAGACAGATCAAGATGGCCAGAGAGCAGGTGGAGAAGAACTGCCTGTAGCGCGGCACACGAAGTCTGGAAAGTTTGAGCAAAGACGCGTTGCGCGGGTCATATAGAGACACCGTCCGCCTGGCTGGCAGTAGATCCGTGCCGGCGGGTTTCGGAGGCTCCAGTCCCTTTTGAAATCGGAGAAGTGGTGTCCTCTCATTTTCTCGCCGCTGTGGACTGCGCCCTCGGTAGGAAGCGATTGACTCCCTCAGATTCTGTCGGTGCAGATTGTCTGCTGAGGAGTAGAAACTGATCGCGCCGTTCCATATCGCTTCAAGTTGTTGCACGACAAGCGGATGCGCCAGAAAGTGCTTGGCAGAAGCACGTATGGCAACCTCGAGGGTTGAGGTCCTCGCTGCAGCCTGCTTTGGCTTTCCATCTCGAGGGGTAAGGGGCGTCTGTACACCTGGCGCTCCGGGCATCCCCTGCAAAGGGTAGAAATCATAAGACAGAGCATCGATAAGCTCCCTGGTGGTGTAGTCTTTGAGGAGCTTTATGGCGAGAAGCTCGCAGACCTTCGCCCTGGTGCTACTGGTCCCCGCGTTCCCTGGGTTGAGTTGGCCCTCCTTGGCAAACTGCAGGCAATTGGCCATGAGCGCGTAGATGGTAGCCCTCGAAAAATGTTGGGTCCGGATCTGCTGCTGCATGGGCTTGACCAGGAACTGTGAGACCTGGGGTGACCTCAGCTGGTCCCAAGTCAGGGCTGTCTCGGTCCTAGACTGGACTATCATCCGGATTGTGTGGGTGACATTGTAGACCGGCAGGGAATCGAGGTGAGACTCGGAGAAGAGAGGTAGCACCGTGCCGGATGGGCGTCTCCCACCGCGATCCTCATCATTTGGGGAGTCGTCATTATCGTTTGCGTCGTCGTCGTCTTCTTCGTCTTCGTCATCATCGTCGGCTTCTGTGAAATCGGCGGTGGCGTGTCTCGTCCGGGAGTAGGGTCGGCGCTCGTCCTCGGTCTCATCGTCCCCACCACGGCGACTGCTCCTGAGTGACTGGAACAGGTTCGTGAATGGCAGCATCCTCCTCCTGGCGGGCATGTTGTGGCCCGCTCTATCCATCAGTCCTCCATGAAAATATCGTATGCCTCAGTCACGGGTATGGGGTCGTCGGCTGCCTCGTGGTACTGGTTATGGGAATGTTCCGTAGCCGGCTAGAATTTTTGGGGTTTGGGGGCGCAGAGAAACGCGTAGGATTCACAGCTTCAAGCCGGGTGCAGGTCGGTCATACAAGCTATGTATGTCTTGGGGGCGCGATTGCTAGAACAGCATCGAGCTTATCAGTGAAGCAATGGGAGAATTATGAGTTCGCGGCAGTTGCAGCACCAGCAACAGCAGCAGCAAGAGGAGGAGGTGATATTGTTGACAGGAAGGAATGCGCGCGCAGCAGCAGCGCGATGCCCAGGACTGGGAGGTTCAAAAGCTGGACGGGGAGCCCCAGCCCCAGCAAGTAGCTGTCGTAATGATGCCAGGGAAGGTTGCCAGGATGATTGCATACCTGGGTAGCACTTTCCCAGACCAGCTGATTCAGGAGCAAAAGGCCGTGCAGGCAGGCGCAAGAGTGGGATCCGATGCGGCTCAGCAGAGTGTCGAGTCCCACTTGGTGCTGATGTGCAGCCCAGTTCCAAGGTTTCAACGACACCAACACGCCCAGACCGGGTGAAATCTCTTTTTTGGCTTGCGCGATGTGGATAGTATTGGTCAATCGAACAGTGGCATGTCTAATGGAATGAGACGGCTCCCTGCCGATGTGCCTTGCCTGGGCTTGGACGATGTGCAATGATGCAGCCCACCGCACCGTTTCTGCCGTCTGCAAGTCCCATGCAGCCCTCGACTGTCCCTTATCTATCCACATATTTGCCGCATTCCCCAGATCCGCATGACCTCGAGTGGGCCGATACGCTGCGAGATGGGATGAGTAGCTGTTTCTCGACCGCCCCCTCATTGGACAGGCGCCCTGGAACAGCATCATGTTGACCACACCATTAATGACGGCCGTGCCACTGGCTGGGGCGGCGGTGAGCCGAGTCGACGGCGTCAAATGGTGGACGGTCAGCCGCTGCAACTGCAACCTTGCAAACGGCCTGAGTGGTCCTTCGCTAATCTGAGGATGGACACTGCAGCTGATAGGTCAGGTTCTCAGTCGACCTGCCCGGCCTGCCTGCGCGCCCGAGAGAAGTCCTGGAAATTGCTGTCCGTCCCAACTTCATACCTCTGGGCAACGACCGAGCCCTGTGTAGGTTTCTCAGAGCGCTGTGTTCCAGGCGGGTCTCGAACGAGCCTTTGTGCTTCAACAGTGCATCTTTGCCAGATCAATCGAGGTAACCTTATTGTTCACTCTCCCCATCACATCGCGCCATGTTCGCACATCCCACAGGATCATCCATGGGCTAATCGCTCTGCCGGGCTCGTTGCTCCGCACCCCCTTCCTGCAGCGGCTTGCGACATTGCAACCCCTTAGCTCCACACCGACAGGCCGCCCGCATCATGTTGCATCACATGCGCCGCTATCGCTTGTAGATTGGTCTCGTCCATTAGCTGGGAGTAGAGTTACGAAACGTCGTCGGTCAAGACGAGGTGAGGCCCGCCCTGGCATGGCAAGACTGATGACACCTGCATGTTTTCTCCCACATCTCGACACCACGGCAATTGTTGGATGGACCGGGCGAGCGCACTCCAATTTCCAAGGTCTGACAACGTGCTTCATTGCCAGGCAATTACAAACGTTGCCCAAGTCACTGGCAGGTGAGCCACAATGACCTCTGTGGCATAACCTCCCATGGGAAACCTCCTATGGGGAAAGCCCGTGCAGAACAACGCCCTATGCGAAAACATCTTATGGAATAACCTCGTAACGGGACACACTCCTATGGGACACTCTGCTTTGGGACACTCGCCAAGAGGATAGGAGGATAACCTCCCACAAGATGACCTCCAGTGGGCCATCTAAAGTCTAGTGGGATACCAGTGTTCTGACTAACAATTGCCACACAAATTCTGGCTTGCCACAGCAAAGTCAAGCGAAATCAGTAAGAATCAGAGGATTGATTGCTGAGGCGAACTAGTCTGACTGTAGTCTGCATAGGCGGTGAACAAATTTTCTGATGTGGTGTGTGCAGAGGGGGGTGTGTGTGTGTTTGTTTGTGCTAATCCCAAACCGTGGGGGTCCAGGCGGTCATGTCATGCACATGTGAGAATGCTTGCTGGGCCAATCATCCAAGCCCAATCGCCCAGCAGGGACTTGGTATAAGTTGTCAGTTGGAGGCAGAGAGAGGACAGGTCCCGACGTGCGGTTCTCGATCTCATGCTGGAGACTCAAGCAACAGATGGCAGGTGTAACACTGCCTTGCATGGGCACCATCAGCTCCGGATCCGAAGCTCTGGGCCGGACGGGTCGGAGCGTGAGCCGGAAGTGTACCTATGTCATCATCTCTTGGGTGTCCGGTATGCTTGGAATCCTCCACACATCGAGACTCGGCACCCGTCAACATGTCGAATAGCAAGGCCTGGGCAATTCGATCCTCTAACGACAGTTGACACTCATGGTATTGTATATACACGTATCGAGCAATCACACCCTTCCGACCTGTCAAGATCCGCCATCTTGGATTCATGTCACATGGGTACTCCGATACCAGCACACGCTATTGCAAAGACAAGGGCCAGGGGCATCTTCTTTCCCATCACAAGGCCGGTGAATGCAAGATATCAGGTCAATGGTCTGTGTGCGCTGAACGGAACTTCCCATCTCTCGTGACTCACATGATCTTGGAGCGCCACGTTGGTTTTGGTTAGGAATAACACAATAATAAATATTCACTCGACACGGCTATTTGGCCAAAATCCCGATCCGGGCTAGGTGCCCCAGGATCTCGAGTCTTGACAAGCAGGGATACGCGATTCATTCCGGCCGACCCACCCACGCGTCGTCCAACCACAGTCCACAATTTTCGGTCGAACTACCTATCGATAAGCCTCTAAGGGCAGAAAATTTTAGTGGTTTGGACCAAAGCTTTGGTGGGGAGAATTGGGGTCTGGTCACAGCCTTCTGACATCCCACCATTGCTGTCTCTGTACCTTGTCTTGTCTTCCTTTTTTTTTTCTCTCCTCATCCCACCAGTCGAGGCTCCTGACGCTATTCTTCTATACTCAATAGCCCCTTGCTGGTGAGACGAGGCTGTCGTTGGCTTTACTACCATATCATGGTCCTGTCTTGAGCTAATTGAGCCGTCTTGTCTAAGGAACTACCATCCATACTCGAGCAAGCCTCGCCGAGCTTGCTGCCATCTTTGGCACCGACTCGTTCAGCTTCTCCATCTGCCCGTGCGTCTAGGGAGACACATCTCGATACCCCTTCCTCCTCTTGACCATGGCTTCCAAGGCTTTCCCGCCGGCTTCGGCTCGCCTCAGCGGGCCCGAAAACGAGGACCTCTTCTGCTTGGAGCTCGAGGATGGCTCCGCCTACCAGGGCTACAGCTTCGGTGCTCCCAAGAGCATCGCCGGCGAGCTGGTCTTCCAGACCGGCATGGTTGGCTACCCTGAGTCCGTCACAGACCCCTCATACCGGGGGCAAATACTCGTCATCACATTCCCCCTGGTCGGCAACTACGGCGTTCCGTCGCGGGAGACAATGGACGAGCTGCTGCGGGACCTGCCCGCCCATTTCGAGTCGTCCCAGATCCACATCGCCGGTCTCGTCACCGCCTCCTACTCAGGCGAGGACTACTCGCATTTCCTGGCAACTTCTTCGCTCGGAACCTGGTTGAAGGAGCAGGGCATACCGGCAATGCACGGGGTCGACACCCGGGCATTGACCAAGCACATCCGTGAGAAGGGCAGCATGCTTGGCCGCATGCTTCTGCAAAATCCACAAGCAGCTAATGGCCTTCCCAATGGCACCATTGGCCAAACGAACGGTGTCCCGCAGGCCATGAAAGACTGGAAGCCGTATTTTGACGCCGTCGATTGGGTCAACCCCAATGAGAAAAACCTCGTAGCAGAGGGTGAGTGAAAGCGAAATGGGCCTTGTGTCGACTTTCTGCTCACTACTCTTTAGTGTCCATCAAGGCGCCAAAACTGTACACGCCCCCTGCAGACATTGCCTTGAAGCACCCGTCGGGCAGGACCATCCGTGTTCTCTGCCTCGACGTTGGCATGAAGTTCAACCAGCTTCGATGCTTCCTCAAGCGAGGTGTCGAGGTCCTCGTTTGCCCCTGGGACCACGATATCGTGGCACAGGCGGGTGACGAGTACGATGGTCTGTTTATCTCCAACGGTCCGGGCGACCCTTCTGTCCTGGATGTCACCGTAAAGAACATCGCAACGGCCATGGCCAAGAACCGCACCCCAGTATTCGGTATCTGCTTGGGCCACCAGCTGCTCGCCAGAGCTGCCGGAGCCGGCACGACCAAGCTGAAGTTCGGTAACAGAGGCCACAACATCCCTTGCACAAGTTTGATTACTGGAAAGTGCCACATCACGTCTCAGAATCACGGTTTCGCCGTTGACAGCAAGACACTTCCCTCAGACTGGCAGGAGCTTTTCGTGAATGCGAACGATGGGACCAACGAGGGTATAGCACATGTCAACAAACCCTACTTCAGTGTTCAATTCCACCCCGAGAGCACGCCCGGTCCACGTGACACCGAGTTCCTGTTTGATGTCTTCATCAAGACCATCACCAACTGCGCTTCGGACAGCAGCCTCCTTTCAAAGCCTGTCAGCTTCCCCGGTGGCACAGCGGCCGAGAACGAGTCAGCGCACCCTCGCGTCAAGCCGAAGAAGGTCCTTGTGCTTGGTAGTGGTGGTCTCAGCATCGGTCAGGCCGGTGAATTCGACTACTCTGGTAGTCAGGCTATCAAAGCCTTGAAGGAGGAGGGTATCTACACCGTACTCATCAACCCCAACATTGCCACTATCCAGACGTCCAAGGGTTTGGCGGACAAGGTCTACTTCCTGCCGGTGAACGCCGAGTTTGTCCGTAAGGTCATCCAATATGAGCGGCCCGATGCAATTTACGTCACATTTGGTGGCCAGACCGCTCTGCAAGTTGGTATCCAGCTGAAGGATGAGTTTGAGGAACTTGGAGTCCAAGTGCTCGGTACACCTATCGATACCATCATCACCACCGAGGATCGTGAGCTCTTTGCTCGCAGCATGGAATCGATTGGCGAGAAGTGTGCCAAGTCCGCTTCGGCGAGCAGCGTCGAAGATGCCATGAACGCAGTCAAGGATATCGGCTTTCCCGTTATCGTGAGAGCCGCCTATGCTCTTGGCGGACTGGGCAGTGGCTTCGCAAACGATGAGGCCGAGCTTCTCGATCTCTGCAACAAGGCTCTGGCTGCCAGTCCCCAAGTACTCATCGAGCGCAGTATGAAGGGCTGGAAGGAAATCGAGTACGAAGTCGTCCGAGACGCTCAGGACAACTGTATCACCGTCTGTAACATGGAGAACTTCGACCCCTTGGGCATTCACACTGGTGATTCGATCGTCGTGGCTCCCTCTCAGACGTTGTCTGACGAGGACTACAATATGCTTCGCACCACTGCGGTCAACGTCATCCGTCACCTCGGCGTGGTCGGAGAGTGCAACATCCAGTATGCGCTCAACCCTTTCTCTAAGGAGTACTGCATCATTGAAGTCAACGCGAGACTTTCACGATCCTCAGCACTCGCCTCCAAGGCAACTGGCTACCCCTTGGCTTTTATCGCAGCCAAGCTGGGTTTGAACATTCCCTTGAAGGACATCACAAACACGGTTACGCGGTCAACTTGCGCGTGCTTTGAGCCCTCTCTCGATTACGTCGTTGTGAAAATGCCTCGTTGGGATCTCAAGAAGTTCACTCGGGTGTCGACGCAATTGGGCTCTTCCATGAAGAGTGTTGGTGAAGTCATGAGCATTGGCAGAAGCTTCGAAGAGGCCATCCAGAAAGCGATCCGCGCGATCGACTTCCAGAACCTGGGCTTTAACGACACCTCGAATGCTCTCATGTCGATCGACGATGAGCTGCAGACACCATCGGACCAGCGTCTTTTCGCCATCGCCAACGCCATGCACGCCGGCTACACTGTCGACAAGATCTGGGAGCTGACCAAGATTGACAAGTGGTTCCTTCACAAGCTTAAGGGCTTGAGCAACTTCGGCAAAGACATGGCACAGTATAACACCGGCGACATCGCTCAAAACCCCAACATCCTGCTACAGGCCAAGAGGCTCGGGTTCTCAGATCGTCAGCTGGCCAAGTTCTGGAACTCAAACGAGTTGGCAGTGCGTCGCTTGAGAGACGAAGCCGGCATCATGCCCTTCGTGAAGCAGATCGACACGGTAGCCGCCGAGTTCCCAGCTATGACGAACTACCTGTACCTCACCTACAATGCCACGCAACACGATGTCAACTTTGACGAGCATGGTGTCATGGTCCTAGGCTCGGGTGTCTACAGAATCGGCTCCTCGGTCGAGTTCGACTGGTGCTCCGTCCGGGCTATTCGCACACTCCGCGATGCCGGCTTCAAGACCATCATGGTGAATTACAACCCGGAAACGGTGAGCACAGATTATGATGAAGCCGACAAGCTCTACTTCGAGAATATCAATATCGAGACGGTGCTTGACATCTACCAGCTGGAGGCCGCAAAGGGCATCCTCGGCGCTATGGGTGGTCAAACTCCCAACAACATCGCTCTGCAGCTTCACCGAGCTGGAGCCAAGATGCTGGGAACGTCCCCTGAGATGATCGACTCCGCAGAGAATCGATACAAGTTCTCTCGTATGCTTGACCGCATCGGCGTCGACCAGCCGACTTGGAAGGAGTTGACTAGCTTCGACAAGGCCAAGGAATTTTGCAACACTGTTTCCTACCCTGTCCTGGTTAGGCCTTCCTACGTGCTTTCCGGCGCCGCTATGAACACAGTCTACTCCGAGGCAGATCTTGAGAACTACCTCAAGCAGGCTACTGATGTGTCACCCGAACACCCAGTCGTTATTACAAAGTATATCGAGAATGCCAAGGAGATTGAGATGGACGCTGTCGCCCATGACGGTGAGCTTGTTGGCCACTTCATCTCTGAGCACGTCGAGAATGCCGGTGTGCACTCGGGCGATGCCACTCTTATCCTTCCTCCTCAAGATCTCCAGAAGACCACCATCGAGCGTATCGAGGAGGCAACTCGCAAGATCGCCGTCGCGCTGAACGTTACTGGACCGATGAACATTCAGTTCATCGCAAAGGACAACGATATCAAGGTCATTGAATGCAACGTTCGAGCTTCTCGTTCATTCCCCTTCGTCTCAAAGGTCATGGGTGTCGACCTGATCGAGATGGCTACCAAGGCTATCATGGAGGTGCCTTTCGAGCCATACCCAGTGGTTGAGAGGCCTGCTGGTGCTGTGGGTGTCAAGGTCCCGCAGTTCAGCTTCTCGCGTCTGTCGGGGGCTGACCCTGTACTGGGTGTCGAGATGGCTTCCACCGGTGAGGTTGCTTGCTTCGGCGTTGACAAGTACGAGGCATACTTGAAGGGTTTGATGTCCACTGGTTTCAAGATTCCCAAGAACAACATCCTGCTCTCGCTGGGATCTTACAAGGACAAGATGGAGATGCTTCCGTCCATCAAGAAGCTGCAGGAGCTCGGATACAAGCTCTTCGCCACAGCAGGTACGGCCGACTTCCTGCAGAATCACGACATCCCCGTCCAGTTCCTGGAGGCCCTGCAAGAGGACGACCAGAAATCCGAGTTCTCTCTTACGCAGCACTTGGCAAACAATATGATCGACCTGTACATCAACCTGCCCTCCAACAACAAGTACCGTCGTCCCGCCAACTACATGAGCAAGGGTTATAGGACGCGAAGAATGGCCGTCGATTACCAGATCCCCTTGGTTACGAATGTGAAGAACGCCAAGATCCTCGTCGAGGCCATTGCCAAGCACATGGCTCTTGACGTGAGCATCGTGGACTACCAGACCAGCCACCGCACTGTTCTCTTGCCTGGCCTCGTCAACATTGCAGCTTTCGTGCCTGGGATTGTCTCGGAGAAGAGTCGCGACTTGGAGGTTGTGACCAAGGCCTCCCTCGCTGCAGGTTTCACCATGATTCGGACCATGGCCGTTGGTCGGGAGGGCGCAATCACAGATGCGCGCTCTTTGGCTGCCGCTCAGCAGAACGGCAAGTCTGGTATCTACTGTGACTTCAACGTGTCAGTTGCTGCCACCTCCTCGAACGCCAACCAGATCAGCCACGTCGCCGGAGACGTAGGGGCCCTGTTCATCCCCTTCAACCACCTGTCCGACAATATCAGCAAGGTTGCCGCCGTCACCGCTCACTTCGATGCCTGGCCTTCCCACAAGCCAATCTTGACAGATGCCAAGCTCACCGACCTGGCATCGATTCTCCTCTTGGCCAGTCTTCACAACAGAAAGATCCATGTCACATCCGTCACGACCAAGGATGACATTAAGCTCATCGGTCTCAGCAAGCAGAAGGGGCTCAAGATAACATGCGACGTTTCCATTTACTCGCTTTACTTGACACAGAAGGACTACCCTGAATGCGAGTTCCTGCCAACCGTTGAGGACCAACGCGCCCTGTGGGAGCATTTGAGCGACATCGATATCTTCTCCATCGGCAGTCTGCCTTATCAGCTGGCTGCCGCTGCTGGTGCCAAGGTTGATGCCACAGTTGGAATCGCAGATGCTCTTCCCCTCCTGCTCACCTCCGTCAGCGAGGGCAAGCTCACCATTGACGATATCAAGAAGCGCCTGCATGACAACCCTGTTGAGATCTTCGAGCTGCACGACCAGACCGGCACTTTCGTGGAGGTCGAGATCGAGCGTCCTTCTACCGTCCCCGCCGCTGCTGGCTGGTCTCCATTTGCTGGACGTGTCATGAGGGGAGCCGTTCAACGCATCACTTTCCAGGACAGACTTGTGTGCCTTGATGGACAAATTCTTGATGGACCCGCCATCGGAAAGGACATGTCGAGACACGGTGCCCTGCCGCCACCCATGTCACCGCTGATGAAGCCGCTTTCGCAAGCCGCCGAAACTCCACGGGGGACAGATCGACGCTCCTCAATGATCGGTTCGGCGCGGCCGATTGTGAAGCCTCGCGGCTTGGACAGTGCGCTGGGCCAGTCTTTCAAGAACTCCGTCTTTGAGGATTTCGGCCCATCACTGCCTCTCCAGCCCTCGCATGAGAGTCCTCTGCAATCGCTGCTGACCCAGCCGCACTCATTCAAGATGTCTCACGTCCTGTCGGTCACCCAGTACACTCGAGCCGACCTCCATCTCTTGTTCACCGTCGCGCAGGAGATGCGGACTGGGGTTCAGCGTGAGGGTGTCTTGAACCTGCTCAAGGGCCGCCTGCTCTGCACGATGTTCTACGAGCCCTCGACTCGTACATCAGCCTCGTTCGACGCCGCAATGCAGCGCCTTGGTGGACGGACTATCGCCATTTCCACATCGACCTCTTCGGTCAAGAAGGGTGAGACCCTGCAGGACACACTGCGGACTCTTGCCTGCTACGGAGACGCCGTTGTCCTGCGCCACCCCGAAGAGAGCTCAGTCAAGGTCGCGAGGAAGTACTCGCCGGTACCAGTTATCAACGGTGGTAACGGGTCCAAGGAACACCCCACCCAGGCCTTCCTGGACCTCTTCACCATCCGCGAGGAGCTGGGCACCGTGCAGGGCCTGACCATCACCTTCGTCGGTGACCTGCTCTACGGCCGCCCCGTGCACTCGCTCGTCTACCTGCTCCAGCACTACCAAGTCAAGGTGCAGCTCGTCGCGCCCAAGAGCCTGTCGCTGCCGCCGCAGGTGCACGAGCAGCTCGTCAAGTCCGGCCAGCTCCTCACCGTGTCGGAGACGCTGACGCCCGAGATACTGGCCCGCAGCGACGTCCTGTACTGCACGCGCGTGCAGCAGGAGCGCTTCCCCAGCAAGGAGGAGTACGAGAAGGTGCGCGGTGCGTACCGCATCGACAACGCGACGCTGCAGCACGCCAAGGGCAGCATGATCGTCATGCACCCGCTCCCCAGGAACGAGGAGATCGCGGAGGAAGTGGACTTTGACCCTAGGGCGGCGTACTTCAGACAGGTAAGTCAAACCCCCGCACTGTGAAATGATTCTTTGCTGACGGTCACACAGATGAAGTATGGTCTCTACACCCGCATGGCTCTCTTGGCTCTTGTCATGTCCAACTGAGAATCTTTGCTGTTGTGTATCTAGACTTGCTTGCGTATGAGCGTACGAACGAAAATATCGGATGGGTAGATTTGGTACCAGAGGAAGAAGAAGAAAAGTACTCGAGGGTTTGCAATGGTTTCAATTTTCCTTCTTTTCTTTCTTCTTACTAGAAAGTAGACCCGTAAAAGGTCACGCGCAGACCACGTATACAAACGCATCAAGTAGACGTAAATGAGCTCGCGCTCGACTCGGTTAGGTTTTATGAGTGAATGATTTGGGAATGCGCTGGGCGTATACGTTATTTATGTATGTATGTACGTTCTGTACGTTGTGTGTATGTTAGGTGTTTGGGCGTGTGTTTTGCGTTTGGGTGTTTATTTGGAATAGGTAGCTCGTTTTATGTATATAGCGTGTCTTGTGTTTTAAATGATACCCTCCATTATACTTCTTCAATACTTGCCCTCTCGGTTGGTCATTGGATTGATTTGAGACACTGTCCTCCTTGTGTGCCTCTGAGGCAGACACACAGACTGACTGGCAGGCGTGAGAATTTCAGCTTGTGCCTTCGCACGGCCCTCTGGAAGGCCGCTTATACCGGCACAATCTTCTCAGAAACTCGAGGGCTGGCTCGTTTCCTCCAGATCTCATACCCGGAATGCGAGGTAATTTATGTTTCTCTAAAGCCTCTGTGGGAGAACAGAAATGGAATAAATCCGCACCATGGTCATTTAGGGTGGTAGGCCAGGTACACCTGAAGAGCACCTTCGACTGCCTGCACCATTGTCGGGAACAGTGCTGGTAGGGCAAATATCAGCGCAACACCGGCGACCCAGAAGGTAAACCACCGCGGCCCGTTGCGACGATCGTGCCACCACTGCGACATCGAGCCTGGGGTCGTCTCGTCGAAGGCCTGCTTCAACACCCCCAGCCTATCCCGCCAGAACCTGAACTTTTCGATCTGGCGCTCGCCGGAGGTGCATTTCGACTCGGATGGCGACTGTGAATATGATGGCCAGTCTGACACAGATACAGATGAGGAGGAAGAGACAACAGAAGAGGATGATGATGGCCACATTGGAATAGAGACAGGAATGCAAGGAAATCTCCAAGAAATTCGCAACACACCACTGGAAACCGGATTCATGTCTCACATCATAGATTCTGACAAGGAAGTTTCACTGGAGAGACGTTATCGACACGATATCTGGAGCGCACAAGACACAACAGGTGTGGATCAGACCCTTCTGAAGCCCAGTTAAGTTGACTACTTTCTGGTGAAGCTTCCAGCCGGGGAAGCGGAGAAAGCAAGTAACGTCATCGGAGAGGTCGGAAATTACAGTAATCTTGAGGTTACAGACATTGCTGCATCGCCAAAGCCGGGCACCGAAGTGGTTGTGGCCATGCCTTACAGTCCTTTAACTGGGTTCGTCCTGCCGGGGAACACAAGAGTCAAAATGCACGGATTCTACGGCTTCCAAAACCTAATGGCAGTGCGCCTCTCGTCCTCTATCAAGCCAGGCGACTCGGGGTCGGCTGTTCTCGATGCCAATACAGGATGTCTGTACGGCCACATCACGCTGGGATCCGCACCTGACACGATAGCATACATGGTTCCCTCGATTGATACCTTCACCGGAATCGTTGCAGCCTTCGGGAAGCTTCCGACCCTGAAAGTCGAGCCACGATCCCTGGCTGTCGAGATCTCGCGGTGGAACATGCAGAATGTACAGGGCGGATTGTCTATGTCCACTAGCTCTTCGGACCTGTGGGAAGATCCGGAAGAGCTCACGGTTCCTCTGAATCCGCCAGAAGCCATCGGAAGCAACATCCCGCGACTACGCTCACGGGAAAATGAGCAGGAAAACATGTTGACCTCACACGAGACAGCACAAGACTCGCATACTACAGTGGACAAACGTGTCCCATACGTTCTTGGTGAGCCGATCCACATCTACGATAGCCAAATGCCGAAGATTTGGCGATGAGGGAATACTCGAGTATATGTGACGGATGCTGATAGCTATTTCGCTAGGCGGTGAAATCCATCCTCCGAGCGAATTCGAGCCTGGAAATGTAAAACCCCTGAAATCGGAAGCCACAGATTCATTTTTCGTTTACTGACAATACCTGAAAACCTCTGGTCTGAGCCCGAGGCATTGAATCCAGGGTCTGGCCCTGTCTCAACGAAAGAGCATGGGATCGGGTTTAAGATGGGTTCTGGGCGATATCTAGTTATCAGAAGCGACGAGGACCAACCATTATGCATGTATGTTGCTTGAGGATAAAGAGAGTCTCGATAGGATACTGACAAACGACAGTCCCATCATGTTGGATAGTGAATAGTAGTATTTGCCAGCCCTTCTACTTACTACCTACTGCATTGAGCATCCATGTGGCCAATGCCAAGCTACATACCGAGTCCTACGACGAAGATTATATTTAAGTGAACATTGTGTCTTATTATGTAAGTGACGGCAGATCTTTGGCAGCCAGGAATATAAGTGGTCTCGTTTTTGATGAAGCAATTAAGCAAACGATAGTTGATTGTTGTTGTTAAGGAGAGAAATCTCCCCGCTATTAAACGCTCAGAAGGAGCCTATTTATAGGCTAGCGCTAGCATATGGGTATACAACCCTTATACCTTTTAATATACCCCTTATTGCAAATATCATTATCTTAATAATAATAAGAAATATTCCGTTTTAATAGCTAAAAATATAATTTAAATATTCCGCTATAATTTATATTAAAACCATTATATAAATATTATTTAATATTTATATATTTTACTTATATTATTTTTAATTAATTATTTAAATATCTTTTTAATAATATAAACTTTATACTTATCTTAATCTTAATTTTATATAAGCCTCTTTAAAAATAAGGCAAAATAACGCTTTTATATAAATATTAATAAAATTATCTTTAAATATAATATAATAAATATTATATAATTTTAAATAAGGTTTAATATTAGCTAATTATTAATATATAAAATAAATAAATATTTAATATAATTAATATTTAAATCTTTTAATACTTAAATTATTTAATAAAGATATAATAATATTAATAAATATATTATATATTTTACCTTATAAGTAAATTTTATAATAATAAATTAATGCTTTAATAATTAAGTAATTAAGCCGCTATTAAAAAGTTATATATATTTATTAAATACTTTTAAATTATTTAAATTAATATTATAAAAAGTATTAATATATATATTAAATATAATAAATTAAAATAATAATATTTATTTTAAAAATTATAAGATATAATTTAATATATATTAAATATATTAAAACACTTTCTTTATAATATTTAAATAATAAATTATAAGCTTTATATTAAATATTAAAAGCATTATATATGAAAATATAAAATTAAGTTTTATTTTAATAATAAAAAAATTAATAAATTTAATAAATAATTAATATATTATTATATTTATTATAATATTATTAAGTTTATTTTATTATAAAAATAAATTTAAATTTATAAAAGTTTATTTTTAATTATAATTAAATATATTAAAGCATTTTAAAATTTATTAAGCATATTTCTTTTAAGAAATACAAATTTTATTATTAATTTATATAATTTTTAATTTAAATAAATATTTATAAAAATTAAAATTCTTATATTTAAAATATTATATAAGCTTAATATAAAATTTATTAATTTAAAAGAAACTCTTAATAATAAAAATATTATTAATATAAATAATAATAATAATTTAATTTTTAATAAAAATATAAGAATTAAATATTATTTTTATTAAATATTTAATTAATTCCTTTTTAAAAGTATTAAATTATTTATAGCTTAATTATTTAAATTTATATAAGGCATTAAGAAATTTTAAAATAACTTATTAATTATTAAATAATATTTAATATCTTTATAATAATTATATATAAATATTATATTTTAAATAATTATATAAGTATATTATTTTAATATTAAATTATTAAAGCTATTAGCTTATTATAATAATAATAATAATAATTAATCTTAAATTATTATAATATATTATAAAGCTATAAATATTATTATAATTTATATTATAAATTTATATATATTTATAAATAATAAATTAAGCCTTATAATAAATAAGCTTATTAAAGGCATTAAACTTTTTTATATATATTTAATAAAAATTAATAATATATTAATTTATAATAATAAATACTTTAATTTATATGTTTATATTTAAAAGTAATTTAAATTTCCTTTTAATAACTTATTATTAAGCATCCCTTTTATTACTTTTTATAACTTATATATATATATTAAAAATATTATTAATATTTATTATATTAATAAGTAATATTTAAATAAAAATTTAATTAAAGTAATTAATATTAATTAATATTAATTAAATAAAATTTAATATAAGGTTTATATTAATTAATATTAAGTTATTAAAATTTTTAAAATATTTTATAATAATATTTATATTTTCTTTTACTTTTTATAAAAGCTAAACTTATTATTCTTAAAAATTATATAATTATATAAGTTTTATAAATTTAAATAATTTATTTATAAATTTTATAAATTTAAGTAATTTATTAATAAGTTTTATAAGTTTAAATAATTTATTTATAAATTTATTTATAAATTTTATATTATTAATAAATTTTATTAATTAAAATATTAATAATATTTTTATCTTAAATAATATATTTTTATTTAATTAATTAATTATTTATATAATCTTTATTATTAAATTAAATTAAATAATATAGCTTAATATTATAATTATAATAACTTTTTAAAGTAATATAAATAAATAAAAAATAATCTTACCTTTAATCTTAAATTTTATAAAATATATCTTTTTAACTTTATTTAATAATTTTATTTTTAATTTATAAGTTTTAATAAGTATATAAAAATATATAAAGTAAAAATATAATTAAAAATATTTAATATTAAGCTTTTATTTATAAAATACTTTAAATAATATTATTTAATATAATAAAGTTAAATATAATTTTTAATTTTATAAATATATTATATAAGAAATTATTTTAAATTATAAAAATAAGTAATTTTTATTATAAATTATTATATAAATATGAATAATAATAATATATATAAATTTTTTAAGTATATTATTTAATTTATAATAATAAAAAAAAAATTTCTTATAAATAATTTTATATTTTTAAAATATTATAATAATTATTTTATTTATATATTTACTTTTATTATTTAAATTAAATATTTTAACTTTTATATTAAATTAAGTTTTAATTATATTTAAAAATTTCTTAATAATATTTAAAATATTATTCTTTTAAATAATAAAGTAAATTTAATAAAATTAAATATAATTATTAATAAATAAAATAAAATATTAAAAACTTTTTAATAATATTATTAAAAATTTACTTAATAAATTAAATTAAATATATTTAAATAGCTATATAAATTATTATTTTAATAATAATTATAAGCATTTTTTAATAAACTTTATAAATTAATATAATTTATAATAAAAATTTATTAATTTATTTAATATAATATCTTTATTTTTATATAAATATTAAGTAATTAATTTTAATAAATTATTATAATTAAAAGCTTTATAAAATTATTATATATTATAAATATTATAAAGTTACTTTTTATTATTTAAATTTTAAAATTTTTATATTAAAACTTTACTTATAATATTTTATAAGATTTATTATCTTTTAATAATAAAAAAATATTATTTCCTTATATATTTAATTAAAACCTTTTTTAAATTATAATTTAATTAAATAAATAAATATTTTTTAATATATAATTATATAAAATATTAATAAAAATACTTTTAATAATTAATTTATTTAATAATTATAAAAAAATCTTTATAAAGTTAATATCTTTTATAATAAATTAATTATTGCTTATAATAATAATTATACTTAAATATAATTATAAAAAATTAAAGTTTTTTATATATTTTATTATATGCTTTAAAGCATTAAAATTAAAAATTTATAATATTAAAGTACTTATAATTATTAATAACTTTATTATATATATTAAAATATTAATATATAATGTTATTATATCTTCCTTATTATTATTAAAAATTTTAATAATTTTTTTATTTATAGCTTAATTTATAGCAATTTATTTCTTACCCTTTTTTTATTCTTAATTAGCTTTATATTTAATAAGCTTTATATAATTAATATATAAATAATTAATAAATATAAAGTTTTATATATAATATTAAGTATATTTTTTATTACTTAATATAAAGTTAATACTTATTAATATAAACTTTATAACCTTTTTTATATTCTTTAATGCTAACCTTTTTTAAATAAAGATAAAATAAGCTTTAAATTATTTAACCTTTATATAAAAATAATATTTATTATCTTAAGTTTAATTTTAAAAAACATTATAAAGTTTTAATTATTTAAGTTATTAATAATATTATTTATAATATTTAATAACATTATTAAGAAAAAGAAGCCTTTAACTTTATTATTTTTAAAAAGTAATTTTATTAATTTCTTAATTAATTATCTTAATATTAAGGTTTTAATATAAAGTTTTATTTAAAGGTTTTAAAAAATATTTAAATAGCCTTATAAGTTAAAGCTATTTTTATATTATAAGTTTATTAATTAATAAAAGAAGTAAATAGTTAAGTTATTAATATTATAATTAAATTAATTAATTAATATTTTTTAAGCATTAAAAGATTTTTTATATAATATAATAAATATTATAAGGCTTAAATATATTAAGCTTAAAAGCATAATAAAGGCTTAATTATTAAGCTTTTTTCATTTTATAAGGGCTATATTTTTATTTAATTATTCCTTAATGCCTATAATATATTTATTAAGGCTAATAAATTAAAAGTTATAATTTTATATCGCCCATTAATTTAAAAAGTTTTCCCCTTTTAAGTTTAACTTTAAGAAAAATAATAAGTTAAGCTTAAAGTTAAGTATATTTAATATTTTTTAAATAATATTTATATATTTTTAAGTATATTTTAAATAATATTTATATATTTTTATTTATTTATAATAATTAGCATTAATTAATATAAATAAATAAATAAAAAAAAGTAAGTAATTAAAATATTAAATAAGGTAAAAATGCTGAATTATTATAAGTTATTATTAGCTATAATAGTTATTATAAGGTATAATAATAATATATAAGCAAAAGCTAGCGATATTAAAATCTTAATAATTTAAGTATAAAAATAATTATAAAAATAAGGGTATTAATATTTTCCAATATTTTAAAATGTTTTAAGCAATGCTAAGCTTATAATTTAATAAAGCAATTAAGTAAATAATAATTAATTATTATTATTAAGGAGAGAAATCTCCCTGCTATTAAACGCTTAAAAGAAGCCTATTTATAGGCTAGCGCTAACATATGGGCATACAACCCTCGCACCTTCCAATAGTTTTTAATCTGTACACATATGCTTCTTAAGTAATATGCATCCAGTCCCTTTATATAGTGATGAACGCTTAAACGCCCAGCGTTAAAAAAAACAATACAATGTCGATAACAATAGGTTTCGAACACAATTATAGCTTGTGGCTGAGAAAACAATGATAGCCTTGTGACAGCCGCACAGACAAGGCTAGCAAGAACCGCTTCCCCAGGGATATAATACAGGACCAAAAAGACTTCTGGTATAAGAACCTGGCCTCGGTTACCGAGTTCTCTGGGGTTTCACGACTTCAGCTCCCGGCTTATAATCAATCGTTGGTTGTTCCATTTTCTCTCCAGTATGCCGTCTCATTAGATACATGCTGCGACCAAACGCCGTGGTATCATCCCAAAATATCCAAAATATGCGTATGACTGATCTATCATCACATCTCCTCGTCTCATAAACATCATCTCGATCCATGCCACGCCATGCTCTCACCCTGTTCGGTCACTGCCGAAAATTCCCCTCATCCCTCCCGTCGAGACCGGCCGGGAGCTCATGCCGCTCAATCTCTGGGCTGTGATGGTCAGCGGGCATCTCCTGAGGGCTTCCCGGCGCGACAGGGGCATATTTTCCCTTGGAAGCCCCCATCCCTCCCAGCTCCGCCGCCTGTTGATCGCCATGCAATTCCGGGTACAGGCCTGGCGATGTCCCGTCGCTAACATCCCTGGCGTCCGTTCTTCTCAGCCCACTCTTTGCTCTCCTTCTCCGCCGGAAGATGAAGGCCCCGGCCGCGGCCGCGATGGCTATGGCCCCAACGGCAACGCCGACTCCGATGCCCGCTTTTGCTCCGGTCGAGAGGCCACTTGGAGGAGGTGTTGAAGAACTGGTGACCGTTGCTGTGATGACGCTCGAAGCGGTCGGCGTCGAGACAGACGTCTGTGTGGCTGTTGGGAGGCCTAATGTCGCCTTTAAGACATTTTCAAGTCAGCCGTCATCCGTGGTGAAGCAGTCATCCGGGTTCATATGCTTACCGGCCCTCCTTGTCTGGTAGTGTAGACATAAGTGAACCCCGGCGAATTCGTCCCCAGTGGAGACGAGTCGCCCAGGTCGTGAATGCGGAGGTTAAACCAGCAATCTAAATTTCCGTCGCTGGTGAATTGCAGTGTGATCTGCGTTGTCGCATTGCCTGGATCCGGGCGGTCTTGCTGTGCTTGTTGAGCATTGCCTTGGCCGCACCAAGTGAACAGGAAAGGCGCGGAGAAATTGCTCTCGTACGAGACATCGACTCGGTCGAGGTAGTGAAATTCCAGCCCTTCCTTGTCCGGGTAGAGGAACCGAAGTGGATCGTCAGCTAGAGCGCCCCTTGTGCTGCAGAGTACCAACAACAGCGCCGTGGTCGTGAACTGGCAGGGTCGCGACATTCTCGCAGTTGCGCCCGCCACTGGCTTTTGCAAGATTCCCAATTGAACTTGCCAGGCCTCAAGGAAACTGGAGACGGCGAGGAGCCTTCAGAAAAAAGGAGGGAAAAAAGCCGAGATCCCTGCTTAAACGGATTGGTCAACATCTTCAGCTCGCAGCCTAAAATTATAACAGGGGACCACCGCTGCTGTGCAGACCAGGAAGTGTGCTTACCGCCGATCCTTCGTCTCGTCATGGACTGACTGCTAATCCAATGACCCGCCACGATTCCGCCAAACTAAGCCCCGACCCATGCATCCTTTGGACATTTCATACAAATGCTGGCGAGCTCTAGCGAACCGAGTTTCATCAATGGTGCGGCCGTGGGGCCCTACTGGGTAAAGAATACTGACAAAAGGCAAGGCCAGCCCGTTGACCGGCCAGCTGCGCGCACCGCCATTCTCCATTTTGTGCTGCGGCGGAGACAAGGTTCAGCACATATACCTTGCTCACCTAAATGACCCTCGCAATCCTCTGTCATCCAGGCGCATCCTCTGCCGTGGGGTTCCCCTCTCGTCAAGAGAGCGTTGAGTCTGACACACCGGCATGGTCAAGTTCCATCGTCCTTGGTCTCGTACATACTTAAGAAGGGTGAACGTCTAGGAAATAACTACAAATCGCCGTTTCCGCATTCCAACACAACACCGACATGCCGAGGCTGTTATCCACCAAGTCGGCGGGGATCGCGGTGAGGTGAAGCGCAGTTGCGGTGTCAAGATTCAGCGTGGTAATAAAGTCCGCAATACTGTCCACATTGCCGTATCTGCTCACTTGGGCACATGACACAGAAAAGAAGTCATGCACTTGACTAAACAAGCGCCACTTGCGATTTCCGCGAAAACTTGAAGACAAATGGGTGAATTCGATGGTGGATGTGGGCTTCGCCTCGCCCCAGGAGAGGCCGGTCACGCTGGAGAACGGGGTGGGGGCGCAGGACGAGAAAGATGAGTGTCCTGCTGCACGGTATGTCCGGGACTAAAGCCGATGCTCTCATGGACCAGTCGAATGCAGGTCACAAGACGCCACGGTAGATCTGCCAGCAAAGGAGGCGCGAGTAGCAGGGGGAAAAGGAGGATGTCCACAAACGCTCTGCTGTGGAAGAGGGCATCGGGGGAGGATGAGAAATGGAAGGCTGTTCCTTTTTTTCGGCCGGGAAACCAGGCCGCGTCTCGCTTGTTGTGGAAAGTATACGTGCACTCTAAGGCTGAAGAGGGCGCTACACAAAGTGGGTTGCGGCTGTTACAACACAGCCTGGCTTCAACTTGGTCAATAAGAATGTTGACCTCTGTGTTTGAAGCCTGCGGAATGCTTAGGTAGCCTCATTCTTCCGGAATAGCGAAGGTACTAAATGCTATTTCTAATGAGAACGGATGATTGCACAAAAGAAAAAGGATGGTACACAGATTCCTCTTAAATAATATTCCTGCAGCTAACCAGAGCATAACACCCACACCCAATTCCCAAACCCACACCTAATTTACACACCTACAGGTTTGGGTATATGAATTGGGTGTCGGTGTGTTGGTTGTGGAGGTGTTGGGTGTGGGTGCGTTGGGTGTGGGTGCGTTGGGTGTACTAGACGTGTAATGTACTTGTATACCATCCGTTTCTTTCTGTGCGAATATCTGTTCTCTTTCTAAGATTCCCATGCTAGTATACTAACTCAATTCCCAGAGTGGTCTCCTCGGCATCCCGCGGACGAAGCTCCACACGAGCGTATGGGTTTGGGAAGACTTACTTGTGTGGGTGGATATTCGCGGACCTCTTCGACAGACATAGATTTGCCCGACGCTCAACAAAGAGTATTTTCCCTCGAGATTCCGCAGTGTTGACAGCGTTAGCTGAGTCAGCCACAGACCCTATACTTCTTGGACTGGCTACATATGTACATACATCAATATTTGCTTGGATCGAGCTGATCTGCTCATTTGGCACATTTCGTAGCTCGGAGATGTATCGGTTCGAAGCGACAAGGATTTCCTGTGCTGAAGGCTTGGAGGTCTCGTCTTTGTAGCGTATATAGCCGTCAGTTTTATACCTTGGCATAGTTCAAGACTACGAACGTTATGCCTTCGAGTATCTCTGCTCAAGGAGCGTTGGGGCACTGCGAAAGAGTCCCCATCTCGCTTTTCGAGCGCGCTTCTTGACCCAACAGTAGGGATATCAAACCATTCATTGCCTGTGGTCTTGTATGAGACCTGGGAGCCAAGAAGAAAAACGTTGAGTAGCCCGAGAGCTGTTGATACAGAGCCCTTAGCAAGAGAATTGGCATCAAGAGGCGCAAGTGGCTCTACAGAGTCAGTCAAGTTAGTGGTAAAGTCGTGTCTTTCTATGGCTGCCTTGAAGTTGATTCACTGAGACACGCGAGGAAGCGGAATGTTTGAACTAGTCCCTTGATGTTGCTCCGTCTTTGTTCCAAGACGAGCCTTCCGAGTCGACCCGTATCAAAGTTAAGTGCTACCTTCTCGATGTATGATGTAAACAATATAACCAGTCACAGTCCTCACATCCAGCCCATGAAAAGGTCAGTATCAGACAAACACTGCCTGGAACATGTTCCAAAAGTGGCATCTTCGTGGCTCGAACGTTTACCATGCAGTAGTCATGCTGTGCCCCACCTGTCCCGAAGCTGAATACCTGCGGGTATTGTTTGCTGCCGCGAAGACCTAACGCATTCAGTTGTGAGGGTTGAAATCAACGCCACACTGGAGCACTTCGATTCCCTTGACTGAAAACATGACCACGAACGGCAGCCTGAGGACCACGTACACATGGATGCAGATATCCCTTTTGCAACTGTAGATTTGCCGAGTGCGCTTGGACACTATTGCTTTTCTTTATGTTATCATACTGACATTTTTATCTTCAACTATTATACAAGTATTATCAGCACTCCTGTTACTGTAAGCTGTGCCATTCTAGAAGACTTCTGATTTAGTAAATGCTGATATTCTGTGACACTCGAGAGTTGCAGCTGGCCTGGGCGGAACAAACCGATCAAGCATTGAACAGGCGAAGAGGCAACGGGGGCACCGAGCCCGAAAACCGTGGCCGAGCACCGCACCCCTCGCGCAGAAGTGACACACACATCCTTGCATGGTGACAGCACTAGCTGCTGCGAGGAGTGGCGCAAATCCTGGTTTTTCTCAACACTAGGCGCGCCTGGCCCCGTCCGAAGGTTTGCCCAGCTTCCGATCAAGCGGCGTGTTGCCCAGTGAAGTCCCGGCAGTGCGGCACAAGAGAGAGAGGGCTTGCGTGGAGAACCAGGCACAGCCTCAGAAAACAAGTCAACCCCAGGGCGTGACGTCAGCGCCCAGGCCCGCGATGATGCAGCTCTGATGAGGTCTGCCCGAGGGTGCTAACATTGCCAGCTCTGGGAGTGTTGAATTCTCCAACTCGTCTGCTTGTTCCGAACCTTCTTGATGTGAGACATTTACCTGGCCGGCGCATTACCCCAGACCCAGAGAAGCCCAGGCCATGTGCCACTGACGTTGCGATCGTCCCCGATCTTGCCGAGCCGCAAATCTTGGCAAAAGCTTGGCCTCCCAGGCCCCTGCAGGTCCGGCCCCGTCGTCTTGGTCGAGGTGGGCCTCGAGGTCCAGTCGTGGCGGAGTGGAGGGTTGACATTCTTCATCAACTGCTTGCTTGGCTTATATCACTGCTCCCCACAGCTAACTCGTAGGATATTCGGCGTCTCCGGTCTTCATCATGTCGGACCAAAACACCACACAAAATACCACACTCCAGAACATCGGATCTGTTGGCGACGCTGCATACCAGACCTTTGTTGAGTTCCCTTACAGAGCACTCACCACCCCGCGCCTAGCAGAACTGCCTGCAAAGGACGAGAGGGATATGCGAAATTCTGTCGACAAGGCAGAGCGCCATGTGCAAGACAAGCAGTTCACAAGCCCAATCAGCGATGAATTGCTCAAGCTGCTCACCTCTCCGGAGAGTGTCTCAACTTTGCTGGCACAGGATCCTTCCTTGACCCCAGGCGAGGGCGTGGAAGAAACTCTACGGCCACCATGTCGGGAAGCTCGGAGATCCTCCTTCAATCAATGATGCTGGGAAGCATTTGGCTTCTGAGGAAGCACTTCACAAAGCCGCGGAAGCAGGGCACTGGGGTCCAACTCAACCAAGCGAGTTATTCTTGAGAGTGAGTCTCACACGTTCGACAGGACATCTCCCGAGACTAACATGGATAGATCTACCACGATGCCATAAGCACACTGCATGATGATCCTGGTAATGCCATGGTCAGCCCGTCGCTCATGGGAAGCTGTGGTGTAGTGCCATTGTCAATTATTTCCACGTGAGTAGCCAAGACGCCACCGGTACTTTTCCTGTGATCTGACACCGCATCAGTGTTCCGGATATTGTGCGCCACATGTCTAATTGCATTGTCCGAGCCGAGAGGGAGGTATTCCTTGCCACAAACTTCTGGCAGAACAGTGACGCCTCCAGATTTATAACGGATGCAATAAAGGAACTCTCCCGTCGTGCCGGCGAGAGGGGTACCAAGATTGTTATGAAGTTAATCTACGACAGAGGAAGCCCAAAGCAGCTGGTCGAGCCACACTACGTTGTCCCAGTGAAGGAATACACCGGGCCAAAGGTGGGCATTCCGGCGCCGGAAGAAATCCCGAACATCGACCTGCAGGTTATGAACTACCATCATCCTCTTCTGGGGACTTTCCATGCCAAGTACATGGTCGTCGACAGGAAGATGGCAGTCATCCAAAGCAACAACATCCAGAGCAACGACAACTTGGAGATGATGATCCATCTCGAGGGCCCGATTGTGGATTCGATGTACGACATGGCGCTGCTGTCTTGGCACAAACGCCTTGAGCCTCCACTGCCGAGCTACAATTCCCCGGCAGCGCAGGGCGGTATATCGTCCTTTACCGAATCGCATACCGGGGTCTTTGGGGCGAATGGATCGATTCGTGGGCATCATGCCGTGGTTGATCCCGGGAAGATGCAGCCACGGGATGCATATGCCTACGATCGGACTGTGCCACAGCCAGGCGTGGTAGACGGGCAGAAGACCGCGGCCGATAGCAGCGACCCAAACCGTGCAGACGTTGCAACTGGTCCGAGTACAACTTCTAGCGTCATTCCAGAGACTCAAGGTATATCGATACCAGAGAGTCAATCAAATGGTGATGGAAAAGTTCTGGGCCAGAGTAATCACAATGGGACGGATCCAAAAACAGCGGCCTTGCTCAAAGACGGCCAACAAGCAAATCATCGAGTACCAGTGCCGCCTACCACTGCTGAAAACCTACCGGAATCCACGACTGACAACTCACACTGGGACCTGGACATTGCCGGTGAGGTCCTGCGAGTCCAAGCAGCAGTATCAGCCAAGGACGGTGAAACGACAATGCAAGCAGTGAACCGCCACCTCAACAACACAATCAACGTCGGCTTCCCACCCGACGCCCCAGAATGCGCCCCCGAGGACGAGATGACACCGTACGTCCCGCATCCCTCCCACGAGCCCTTCCCCATGGCGATGGTCAACCGCGCGCCCTACGGCCCGCCCAACCACAAGTCCGTCGTGATGCCGCAGAACGCAGCCTGGATGTCGGCGCTACGAAACGCAAAGAAGAACGTCCTCATCCAGTCGCCGACGCTCAATGCCGCGCCACTCGTGCCCGCCATCGCCGAGGCGTGCGAGCGAGGGGTCGACGTGTACTGCTACATCTGCCTCGGGTACAACGACGCTGGCGAGCTGCTGCCCATGCAGGGCGGGCACAACGACATGGTCGCGCACCAGCTGTACACGTCCTTATCGCCGGCGGGCAAGCAGCGGCTGCACTACTTCTGGTACGTGGCCAAGGACCAGACCCGCCCCATCGTGCAGGAGCGCAAGAAGCGCAGCTGCCACATCAAGCTGATGATCGCGGACGAGCACATCGGTATAATGGGGAACGGCAACCAGGACACGCAAAGCTGGTTCCACAGCCAGGAGATTAATGTGATGCTCGACAGCAAGGCGGTGTGCCGCGCGTGGATCGATGGGCTGCGCAGGAACCAGAACACGCACCTTTATGGTGCGCTCGACAAGGAGGCTGGTATCTGGACCGATGCGGAGGGAAAGCAGGCCGAGGGGGCTATCGGTGTCGACCCGGGGAGGTTTGCATGGGCGAGGGGGGTGGTGGGGGCTGTGAAGCGGCTTCAGGGCACGGGTGGGTTTTAGGGGGTGGTCTTTATATCCCGGCGATGTAATATGCTGATGGAACAGGACATGTAAATTTGGAGTAGTTCTTTATGTGGCTTCTAAGTAAAATAGTCAAAGGCTCGGAATTGTATAAACATGCGCCCGTGGAGACAACCGTCCGCACCACCGACACAGACTACACTTGAACAAGTTACCCGTGGGCACCCTTCAAAAAGATCGAAATAGGTACTTGGCCCCTTGCCACCAGTAATCCGCAACCCAAGATCATAGACACTGCGAGTAGTACTGGCTCGAAACAGAGCAGGTGCTTCCCGACGCGCAGCACGTAGCGCCGGTCCACCCTGTCCCGCCACACTGCGCATACTTGGCAGCACAGGCGCCACCGGACGCAGCGCTGGTGGTCGTCGACGCGGCGGACGAGGTCTTTGTCGACGTGGCGAGCGTCGTGGAGGAGGTGACGGGCTTGGATGTGGTGGATGTCTGGGGGCTCCCGCCGCCCGAGGCACCGCACGTGAAGGGGTTGGGGCCTGGGATCGTGTAGGTGGATGAAGAGGTCCTAGACGGGTGTCAGTACTACCTGAGATTATGATGATGAGATGGATGATCAGGTATGTTCACTTACATGGAATAGATGTTGACCAGCAGTCCAGGGTCATCGGCCTAACACACACGTCAGTGTTGTGGCACTTGCAGTTGAGCTCTGATGCCTACGAACCTTGTAAATGCCAGGGATGCTGTAAGTGGCCGGCGTGGATGCTCCTGTTCCTCCCACAACGTTGATCTGAGCGCATCTGAGAGAGCCATGCTGTCAGTTTCTGAGGGCAGAGCGGCTGTGTCGACCAGGGGCGACTTACTCCATGTAAAGCTGGGCACCACCAGAAGAGCTCGCAGCATGGAGCGCAATCATCTCGGCCCTCAGCAAGTATTGTCCTGGGGCAATGCAGGACGGGATGGTAATTGCGTGTATGCCGCCGTTGTTGATGACCTTAGATGTGCCCCAGTCACCTCCATTGTAACCATCTTGCTGAATCTTGAACCTGTGGGGTATACATGTCAGCTCGACGGATAAACACTTGCCGGGTATCATCTCTTGTTTGACAGCACCCACCATCCACCACCGATCCCAGTATCGGTCAAGGCGTTGTCAACCTTCTTCAGATACGCCAACGTGGGCCCCTTGTGGGACGCATCCATCACATCGTCGGCCCCCGAGTCCAGGGTATGCCTCCAGATAGCGTTGACAGTCGATCCAGCTTGGACGGTGATAACGTTGCTGGCAGACTTCGGGTCATTGGGCGGCCCATTGCAAGCGAGACTGTTCGAGGTAACATCTTGGATAGGGCCGTCATAGGTCGGCGTCCTTATGCCATAGCTGACAGGGTTCGTCGTGCCACCGGCCGCAAGCTGGACAAAGATGGTATGGGCGGACGCCACAGAGGCGCCGAGGAGGAGGCAAAACGCCTTCATCCTGCCTGTCACTGGTGAATCTCTCGTCTTTTGAGGTTGAGAATTGATGGATTGTAGAACCTGTGTAATATCGAGACGCTCCTGACCTCATCTATCGTGCAGGTGGCCAGGAGCAGTCGTATATAAATGCCATTATGGCAAGGCCAAAGCGCGACGTGCCCTGTATCGTTGGCAGATATCATGCGGCGGTCCGGGCCAGTACGGTCGCCGTTGCAGTCGATTTAATTTATCCAGCAGGAGCCATGCCATTCACAGCACGGTGGTGTGTCCGCGCTACCGGAGAATCTCGCGAGTCGATCCAAAGGCGGCCACGGAGAGAAACTCGTTTCCTAATCGGAAGGTCTCCCCCCGTCGCTAGTTCTTGGCGAGGGTGTGCGGGCATTTCTTCCCCACGCGGGCGGGTCGCCGCCCTCAGCTCACGTTGCTTGGTCCAGACTCCCCGAGAAGCTTGATTGAAGGGTGTTTTGAGCAGGGAAAGCAGTCCAACTCGTGGCTTGTGCAGATGCTTGATGGGATCACCTGCGACTTGCACCGAGCGCTAGGCCGGCTCCTGGCCCGAGAAGCAGCGCGAAGCAGTCGCCATCAGAAGAGAAACCAGGTCATTTACCTAGCCTCCTGAAATCTGAAATGAACTCTAAGCCACTCAAAAAAGGCATCTCCTCCTGCTTGTTATCAGTTGACTAGACACTTGCCATTTTTGCGCGGGGCGAGGTTCAGAGCAGGCGGAAGACAATGGGTAAAGTGGGTTGAAACATGGTAGTGGAGGATGTGTACCCTTGTTTGTGTCCATCAAAACCAGACCAGAATGGGTACCCGTATGTATGGCCACGGAGAATTACTCATAAAGTTCTACCGACCAAAGAATTGTCACGATCGCGCCTCAGCTGTACCACATGCTGACTCAAGCGTAAGGACCGCTACCCTGTTCTCAGACTTGAGAGGATGTTTTCCAAAGCTGCGAAAGAAGAGAAAAGAAAAGTGGAAAAAGGCTCCAGTGTCATGATGTGCCGTCGCTTGACGCGTACTGAGTTGTGGATTGGGGAACGACTTGCAAGCGGCTTGCGATGCCAGTCAATCTCAAGATGGGAATCATCACCACACTTCCTGACGCGACAGACCAGTGTAGGGGGACTGTCATTCTAATACCCGCTGATCAGGCATGGTTGTCAACCCCATCTGCGAAGCTGACCAGCCCAAGAGGTGGCTGACAGCTGGCTTATAAGTAGTCGGGGAGTGTGGTGACATAAAGATAAGACTGCACAATTCTGAACGATGACCTTTTACTGTTGGGCGAGAGATGGGAGGTGGAGCCTTGAAACAAGATCCGAAAGGCGACAGCTATCACAGCAGAGTAGTAACGGGGTTGTGGTAAGAAACGCACGCTGCTGCTGTGGGCCTGTTAAGTTTAATCCAGAGGGCGGTGGTGACGCGCTCGAGCGCGTAGCGGGGAAGCCTGTGGGGCTTGGTGCAGTGGGAGAGCCAGGGCCTCGGGAGCTCCCCACGCGCCCCGAGCTTAAGCACTTTATCTCCGTGATCTGCATCATAAGCCTTGACTGCACTCTTCAGACGGCCATGGAGTCTCCAACGTCACCAGATTGAAACATTTCCATGGCCGCCTAACCCAACCCTCCCCCCCCCCAAACCTGTTCTCCGCCAAGACCACACAGCTGGACCATGGCATACATTGCACCCATCCACCGGCCTAGCAGCATTCGCCATGCTGTGCGGGCGAGGCTCTTCGACGATGAAGAGAGCTTGGTGATAGCGTAAGCACCCAGCGCGCCGTGTCTGTCCACCTCGGCGAATGCTAATGCTAATGCTCGCGCAGCAAGACGAATCGACTCGAGATATACGGCCTCGTCGAGAACCAGCTAGTCCTCCGCCACTCCAATGTCATCAACGGCACCATTTCCATGCTCCAGAAATTGTCGCCCAAGGACAACACGACAGACCTGCTCTTCGTCGGCACCGATAGGTTCCAGCACTTCACCCTGGCCTGGAACGCAGAGACAAGGCAGCTCGAGACAATACAGTTCAATCAAGATGCCGGCGAGAAGTTCATGCGCGACTCGCAGAGCCAGGACAAGTGTGTGGTGGACCCGACGGGCCGCTTCATGGCCCTGCACCTATGGGAGGGGGTTCTGACTGTGGCGCGATTACAGTCGAGAGGAAGAAATCTGAACCACATCGATTGGATGGAGCAGCCACGTCTTTCTGAGCTCTTCATCAGGTCGAGCACCTTCCTCTATTCCGAGACGGGCCACCCCAAGATCGCCTTCCTCTACCAGTCACAGGTCGACGCCCCCGACGCCAAGCTTGCTACATACCGCTTCACATCCGACGACAAGGATACCAAAGCGTCCAATTTTGACCCTCTGAAAGACCGAGAAATATCAAAAGACGTGGCGGATCCAGGTGCCGCCATACTAATACCAGTCCCAAAGGTGGAAGAAGAGAAGAGACATAACTTCCGGCTCACTGAAACGAATAATGCCAAGGCGTATCTTGGCGGTGTGCTTGTAGTCGGCGAGACTCGCATCACTTATATCGACGACACGACTCGAGCAGAGGTCACGGAGCCGTTGAAAGAAGCCTCGATATTCGTCGCTTGGGCCCAGTACGACGAGAGACACTACTTGGTTGCGGACGACTACGGCAGGATGTATCTGCTCACAATCCTCACCCAGGGCGTCGAGGTTGACCGGCTGCAGATGACGGTCATTGGTAAAACATCCCGGGCAAGCTGCCTTGTGTACATGAACAACTTCCTCTTTGTCGGCTCGCACTACGGTGACTCTCAATTGTGGCGGGTCGATTTCGAACAGGACTCGAGACGCTTCCTGCAACTGGCCCAGGTATTTCCGAACAATGCGCCCATACTCGACTTCGCCATCATGGATATGGGTAATCGCGAAGGCGACAGCCAACTTGGCAATGCCTACTCCTCTGGTCAGGCTCGCGTCGTCACGGGAAGTGGTGTCCATAAGGATGGTAGCCTGCGTAGCGTGCGGAGTGGTGTTGGCCTCGAAGACATCGGAATTTTGGGAGATCTTGAAGATGTCAGAGGGTTGTTCTCCCTGCGATCCAGCAGCTCTGGCAAGGTCGATACACTGGTCGCTTCGTTTATAACAGAAACGCGCGTCTTCAGGTTTGAATCGGCCGGAGATGTTGAAGAGGTGGAAAGCTTTCAAGGCTTGACGCTGGACGACCACACACTCGTGGCGGTAGACCTTGAAAACGGACGACGACTACAGGTGACAACGAAAGCTGCTGTGCTCTCCGACAGGGATGGTGGGATGAAAATCGCATCCTGGGACCCCTCGACTCACGGCACGACAATCACAGCAGCCTCGGCGAATTCAAGATGGCTGTTGGTATGTGTGGACGGCAAATCACTGATTTCTCTCAATGTAGAGAAGGATCTCGCGGTCTCCGGGCAAAGTCATAACAGTGACCAAGACCAGGTGGCGTGCGTTCACGCCTCACCTCACATGCTTGATGTTGGAGTCGTTGGCTTCTTCACATCAGGCAACTTCTCACTCGTGGACTTGGCGACGTTGGAACCCCAAAAGGGTGAGTCACTCCGTAGGTCGGAGGACAATGCCTCGATTCCTCGAGATATCGCCCTAGTACAAGTTCTGCCGCGCACAGTGGGAGGCCCGACACTCTTCGTAGCCATGGAAGACGGGAACGTTGTCACCTATAACGTAGCGACAGATCTCTCCCTCAGCGGGCGCAAGAGCGTGATTCTGGGCACACGACAAGCCCGTCTCCATTTACTCCCTCAACCAGGCGACGTCGCAAACATTTTCGCAACCACGGAGAACCCCAGCCTCATTTACGGAGCAGAAGGCAGAATCGTCTACTCGGCGGTGACAGCCGAGGATGCGACATATGTCTGTTCCTTTGATACGGATGCCTACCCCGATTCAGTGGTTGTGGCAACCGAGTCCACTATCAGAATTTCCAAAATAGATACCGAGAGGAGGACACATGTCAAGACGCTGGAAATGGGCGAAACAGTGCGCCGCATTGCATACTCCCCGAAAGAGCAGGTTTTCGGTCTCGGGTGTATCAAGCGCGAGCTCAAGAGTGGCGAAGAAGTGGTAACAAGCTCCTTCAAACTCGTCGATGAGGTCGTGTTTGGGAATGTTGGCAAGCCATTCTTGCTGGATCAGTCGGCCGGCGAGATAGTCGAATGCGTCATCCGGGCAACACTTCCAGACTCATATGGAAACCCAGCCGAGAGATTCCTCGTGGGCACAGGCTTTCTCCCGGCAGACGATGTTCCGTCGCCAACGGACAATGACAAGGGCCGACTTTTAGTGCTGGGAGTCGACAGCGATAGGAATCCCTACCTGCTCCTCAGCCACAAGTTCAAGGGCGCTTGTCGATGCCTGGCCGTGATGGACGACATGATTGTGGTTTCCTTGACCAAGACGGTGATAGTTGGCAAATACTTCGAAGAGTCCTCTACTTCGGGCAGGCTCGAGCGAGTGGCATCGCACCGGACATCCACATATCCTGTGGATCTTGCTGTCCATGGAAACATCATCGCTGTGGCAGATATGATGAAGTCTGTTAGTCTGGTCGAGTTTGTACCGGCGAAAGATGGCAACTCTGCGCTGTTGACGGAGCGCGCACGCCACTACCAGTCGGCATGGGCTACCGCCGTTTCCCACATCGAAGACCAGTCATGGCTAGAGGCAGATGCCCAGGGGAATCTTATGGTACTCAGGAGGAACCCAGACGGCCCTACGCTGGATGATCAGAGGCGCATGGAAACCATCAGTGAGATGAACTTGGGTGAGATGGTGAACTGCATCAGGAAGGTAGCTGTCGAGACCAGCTCCAGTGCCATGATCGTGCCGCAGGCATTCCTTGGGACGGTAAGTCACGTTCTTTTCCTGAACAACAATGATACTCGTAACATTGACATTATCACAGGTCGAGGGTTCCATCTATCTTTTCGGAACGGTAGCATCGCACGCGCAGGATCTCCTAATGAGATTTCAGTCCAGGCTTGCGGACAGGATAAGGACGCCGGGTGATATCCCGCTTGATAAGTACAGGTCTTTTAGGAACGCTGAGCGAGAGGGCGAGGGCCCGTTCCGGTTCCTCGATGGCGAGGTCCTGGAGAGGTTCCTGGATATGGACGAGGAGACGCAGCAGGAGGTTTGTCACGGGCTCGGGCCGAGCGTGGAGGACTTGCGGAATGTGGTGGAGGAGCTGAAGCGTATGCATTAGATTCCAGGACATAAGTCGTCGGTTGCACTCTATAGGCTCATGTAGATGTGATAGAGGGGAAAATTCAACAAAGAAATCAAGTCAGTCTCGTTGTTGGATTGCCTGATTCATGGGAGCTGATCTTCCGCAAGGAGCGAAGGACGATCTTCTGCTCTCGCAAAACGGAGCGGAGAGAGCAAGCTTGCAGCCGACTACCTGATTTCGGGCACGTTTATACGCGAGAGTTTCCAAAGTTTTTAAGGGCCTACATAAGGTAGGAGACTTGAGATCCAGCAGCAAGGACGGCAGCAAGCCTACATATACATTGTAAGTCTTCGAACTGTCATATACGGCTTACAAAACTTTGATATCTTGGAAATCAGTGTTCCTTGAGCGAAGTCTTCGCCCTTGAGACACCTTTCTACCACTTTGGACCTACCTGAGCTTTGAGATCTTTGGTCTTCGTACCAGCTACAGCGTTATCGGCAAGGCCATCCTCGTCGTAGCTCGAGCGGACCATCTGTGCGTTTGTGACAGATGAGCCAGTGGGCTAGTCTACCGCCGACCTATCTCCCAATCCCAGAGGGTGACCCGGGCCAAGCTCGGGCAACAAAGAAACGCAACACAAGCTGCCTTTGAAGATGTGATCTAGACAGCGGCCATTCAAGCCACATACCTTCAGCTCACCCTCCCCGCACGGCTCGGGACGCTCCCTGGGGATCGATGGCATGAGAAACACTGCCAAATTGAGCCGGTCACACTCCTTAGCCTGGGGCATATTCAGCCCGGCGGCGCAGATGTCTCAGAGCCTGCTTTTTGAGGCTCAAGGCTGATACTTGTGGTGCGGCTGTATTCTTTGTCACTTGAGGAATGTTGATATATTTATTGGCAGTCTCTCCCAGTTTTCTGCTGGTTCGTTGCTATGTGTTGGAGCACCTGTTTAAGTAGACTGTTGGATAACTTGGTCTCCTTGCAATAATTACACTACATCGCACCTAAAGTATAGACCTGCTCAGCTCGGCAACATGGCATCAAACGACCTGGTCTCGACTCTCAAGAAAAGGTTCGCCCCGCAAAGAATTCTTCAGCCCGGCACTCGGGAATACTCAGATGCAGGTACGCCACACTTCACTGATTGCGCAGCTGGCGAGAAAAACGCCCAGTTATCATATTTCGTAAACACTCTACTGACGATCGAGGCCAGTGTTCATCGGCAATCTGAACTACCGCATGACAATGCCAGCCGCCGTGGTCCAAGCACGCAGCGTGCATGAGGTTCAAGAAATCGTCGCCATCGCCCGGCAGAGCGGTACTCGCTTGACTGTCAAGAACGGCGGGCACTCTTACATGGGCTACTGTCTCAACGAGGGCGGCATCGTCCTGGACATGAGCCTGATGAACGACTGCTCCATCGACACCGCGGCCATGACGGTCACCATCCAAGGCGGCGCCATCTGGAAGACCGTCTACAAGGCGCTGCTCAAGGAGAACGATCAGTACATCATCATCGGCGGGCAGTGCCCGGACGTTGGGGCCAGCGGCTTCACGCTCGGCGGCGGCCTGAGCCCCTTCTCGCGCAGCTACGGCCTGGGCTGCGACAACCTCCTGTCCATGACGGTCGTCACCGCCGACAGCGAGGTGGTCACCGTCAGCCGCGACGACGAGGACGAGGCGCGCCGCGACCTGTTCTGGGCGCTGACTGGAGGCGGGGGCGGGAACTTCGGGGTGACCGTCGAGATGACCTGCAAGATCCACAAGCTGAGCGACGAGGATGGGAACGTGGTGTGTGGTGACTTGACCTGGAAGTTGCCCCAGCAGCAGGAGCTCTTCCAGAAAGCGATGGACGCTTTCAACTCCAAGGAGTGCCCAAACGAGCTCACTGTCGACGCCCTCTGGACGCACGGGAAGAGGAAGCAGTTCACAGGGGGGATGACTGTTATCTATAACGGGGGAATGACCAAGGCGCGTGAGGTTCTGGCTGATTACCTCGCACTGGAGCCCTCCAAGATTTCACTCGAGGAGATGAAGTGGATCGACTGGGTTGAGCACTCCGAGGGCTGGGACACCCGGAGCCAGGTCTACCACCACCATGCATCGTTTATCTTCGCTGAGAAGGCGATCACCCGAGAGGTCACCACCAAGATATACCAGCTGGTCAGCGAGGCTGCCGGGCTGCTTGGGATCACGGGCAGCAACGACAAGGACACGCCAAAGTGCCACGTCCTCTGGGATCATATCGGCGGCCAGACGACCCAGGTCGCGCCCGAGGACACAGCCTTCTTCTGGCGAGAGGGCCACTACGTCTCCACGATCAAGCTGCAGTGGACGGACGTCAGCAAGAGGGACAAGGTCATGGAGTTCATCGCCAAGTGCAAGGCCGAGCTGCTGCCGTACGCGATCCAGCAGAAGGCCGCCTACCTCAACTACATCGACGGGACCGTCCTGGACTGGCAGGAGGCGTACTACGGGAACAACTACCCGCGCCTGCAGAGGGTCAAGACCGTGTGGGACCCCACGAACTTCTTCTGGAACATGCAGTCGATCAGGCCCCTCGACGGCGGCATCGACGGCGACGCCCGGGTCATCCACGAGGACCTCCCCGTCCCCACCCCGAAGGAGATCCTGGCTTCTGCCGGGGTGCAGCAGGTCCGGAAGTGGTGGAATGCATACGCGCCTCGGGTCACGCCCGAGTCGCTGGGCACGCTGGATTCAGAGGGCCAGGCTATCGACAAGGACTGTGAGATTCGCAAGTGTATCCTCGCGGGCAATGTGAACGGCCATCATTGAAAAGACAGGCAGCTCTTCGGGTTTAAAGATGCCAAGTTAGATCGCTTCAAGGTGTGGTTAGCCGCGGTTGTTCATACGTAGCAAATGCATTTAAAAGAATAGTTTTCTGAGTTCCCTCCACGAGTAGATGTATCCCAAGGGCGTCTGGTTGCTAGCTTTCAGGCCCAAGGCGGACGTTAGGCCGGAAGTCCTGGTCCTGCGTAGAATCATAGACAGCGGCTCGATGCATTAACTTCAGTTCCCTGACACGCGGGCTCGTGATGCCAAATGCAACACAGGCAATGTCATTGTGAATGAACCAACTGTGATGGTATAATGCCTTCGCCTAACCCTCTCCTCGCCGGGGGCGACTGAAAGGGGAGGAAGGGAGTGTCAGCCTCGGGTCTTACCGGATGCCAGAGTGGGTCGGCTTGGCCACGGCCGTCAGCCCAATCAGAAGCAGACCGATTCCAATTGGCAAGGCCTGTTTTCTCAGGCACTCGAATTTCTTAGCTGTCGCCCGGCCTTTCAAGCTTTCGCAAAAAGAGCTCATCGTCGTCGACGTCAATCCCAACCCACACCCCACACCCTTTCCTTTCCTTACCGTATCGTCGCCATGGCACCCCTCACAACCGCGGCTCGCGCCCTCGCGCGCTCTGCAGCACCACGAACCGCAGTCCGATGCATGTCCGCGACCGCCGTCCGCCCGTCCGACAGCACCTACGAGAGCCCCTTCCGCGGCTCGCAGTCCACCACCAAGGTCCCCGACTTCAGCCACTACGCCGCCAAGAATGGTGCCAACAAGAACCTCATGTACCAGTACTTCATGGTCGGCGCCCTGGGCACGATCACCGCGGCCGGAGCCAAGTCCACGATCCAAGGTGAGCCGAGACAAGCAGGTTCCGGAGCAGAGGGTGTTGGATGAGGGCAGCAAAAAAGTCAATTGGAGCAGAGGAAACTACGGAACACGCCACACTGCGCTGGATTGAATTTTCGATGCGATACGTGTCTTGATGCTGACGGACGCGACGGGCAGAATTCCTGAAGAACATGTCCGCATCTGCCGATGTCTTGGCCATGGCCAAGGTCGAGGTTGACCTCGCATCAATCCCAGAGGGCAAGAACGTGAGTACAGCCGGCACGGGCACAACTTCAGGAGACTGGATGTCTGATACGTGGGCGCCATACAGGTCATCATCAAGTGGCGAGGCAAGCCCGTCTTCATCCGACACCGTACCGAGGGCGAGATCGCCGAGGCAAACAAGGTCAACGTTGCGTCCCTACGGGACCCTCAGCAGGACGAGGACCGTGTGAAGAAGCCTGAGTGGCTGGTCATGCTGGGTAAGGATATAACCTGAACAATTCCACCATCGTTCGCTGAGCCCAGCCCCAAGGCTGGCAATGGTGACATCACACGGGCATCGGAAACAACTTGAACTGACACGTAACAGGCGTCTGCACACATCTGGGTTGTGTGCCAATCGGCGAGGCTGGCGACTTCGGCGGATGGTTCTGCCCCTGCCACGGTTCCCACTACGATATCTCCGGACGTATACGCAAGGGCCCTGCTCCTCTCAACCTCGAGATTCCCGAATACGACTTCCCCGAAGACGACAAGCTGATCATCGGTTAAATGGGGCTCGCAAAGAGCGGGTGTATGAGTATGACGAGACGGATGGTGACGGTCGTCGCCACTCCTGACCACAATCGGCGGGGGCGACGTCGTCACTCATATAGACGGCAACAGACAGAGGGAAGACGTGGAGAGAGAGATACCGGGGCGGGCATTTTCTAGACTGGCTCGCTGCAATGCCATTGTACAAAAGCATCCGAGCAGTGAGAAATTCAAAAGACCTTTTCTATGTTAGCCGCCGCCCGGCAGCCACACGTGTGTGACGGGATATTCTGAGAAATACCCTGACCGTGCCAACGACCATATTTACAGATGACAGGAGCCTATCTTTGACAGAACTCCGAGAAGCAAGATGGAAGTAAACAAATTCTGGGCTAGGCGGCGGCCCAGTATTAGAGTTTCCGTTGGCGCCTTCTGGTAGGGTCGGTTTCAGAAAGGGCCGCTGACTATCCTCTCTCGCCGGCGGCTACTCCTTAACGCAGATCCCGACCCAAGCTTTACACCGGCCGCCATCGACCTCGATTCGGCGGCGGCCAAGCACACTCGTCTGCATTGGTGCCCTAGGCAAGATCGTCGACTCGGCAAGTCTGGCCGAAGCCACCCGCCCCGAAATATCCAGCCAACCTGCCTGCCAATGCGCGCCTCTGGCCGCCGTTTGAGCGCCAACCTCCCTGTTCATGCGGCGCCTAGGGGGGCGACAGATCGCGGGTTCTTGGGGATGACATGTTGCACGACAGGATAACGCGCATGATTTTGTCATTATCAAGTCTGTTCTGGCAGGTTGGCAGGGCTGAGGTGACAGATGTTGCCGCAACCTTGTTCATGCTGTTGGCCGCTGGCTTGCGCCGGCGAATTTGCAATTATTGATGCTTCGGCTGACGTTTGGCTACTCCTTCGAACCGGATTTTGAGCCTCTTGACAGTTGCGTGGTGGGGGACTATTGCACGGTGTCCTCGCCAAGGCGGCCTCGCTATCGGGCGTTTGACCCAGCGCGCTTGCAGGGCCTTGGACGCGCCGAGGCCAGACTCACCAGGTGAACTTGGATCAAATCGGGGCGGCTGAAGGCGACGATTGTCTATATATATTCGCTGTTGAAACGCTGACTGGATTAGCTTGGCTTACTCTTGGAGACTAAGGAACTGCATATGGCGCTGTGAAGGTCATGAAGCATGCACGTGGAAGCACCGACGGTAGTTTGGACGACTCAGCCATGCGGCACCGCAATGCTCTTTCAGAAACTCGTTTTGGTGACTGGGCGGCGCATGAGGCGATCCTTGTTGGAGAACCATACAAGATCCTCGGGTGGGATGTTAGGGGTCTCGAAGCAGCAGATACACATCACGCGCAAACTACCTGATGTGGGCTTTCCACGTTTGATCACGTTGGGATTTTGAGCTTGTCTTTCTCCTGCGGCAGTGGCCTCGTCACCCTGGTGGTCCCATTCCATCCGATGTCGCCTACGCGATCGCTAGCATTGATGATTTGCAAAACGGACGTTCCGGCGATCACGCGCAGTGTTCATGGGTTCGCTAGACTTAGTCATGACCGAGGTACGACAAACTTGAAAGGTACGATGATGAGTGACGGGGCCGAAATCCGACGCAGTCAAGTGGATCGCACACGCTTTGAGGGGTTGGGATAATGCTACGAGGCAATGCTTGTCAGAAGAATGCTCCGAGCGTTGCGAAATAGCCACTGCGTAGGAGCAGGCGCCGGCAAAGGCTGGCCTTGGGTTAGTCTACGTAGGAGAATTGCGGCTCAAAGAGGCTTTCTGGGGTACCCTTGCACAAGCCAAGCCCTCGCTTAATCAGCCGCTTGACCTCAGTCTTCCAACCCCTGGCAAGATGAGACGTCGGGTGCACGATCGACGTCTGATGTCTTGACCTCGGACGAGAGCGCATTCTTGCTCTTGTCCCATCCAATTCAGCCGGACCGGACGAACACCAACCCAGCGTGCGCCTGCCGCTGTGTTGCCGAGTGATTTGCCCCTTGAGAACGGCCGAGCAAATGCCACGATGGAGGCAGGCTGACTACCTCGCCCATGAGTGACGTACAACGCGACGAGCCTAGGCTGTTCTTCCGTCTGCCCAGTCGCACGTCCCCATCTCGCCCGGCGCCCATGTCGGCCAAACGATCAGACAGATCTCATTACAGCCCTGTGCACCTCGTAGGTTTGAGCCCTTTGGCACCAAGACTCAGGAAGTCGGAGACATCTTCTTCAGTGAGCGTTCCGGTGTACCCAAAATGAAACGGCGCAGTGAGGTTTTCGCGGGTCCGCCATCACACCAAAATGTCCTCGCTTCAAACTGCTGTGGGCTGAGAATGACAAGGTCTGGGCAGCCTGTCGAATCTCAAACTCTAATGAGAGAGTTTGCTCCCGCAACTCTGTCTCCGGACCTTTCCCTGCCCATGCAGCCCTGGACGTCCTCCCTCAGACTTGGCGGTAGATCTCTGTGCCTCCTAGCCGAACTGCCCCTGTCCACAGCTATCTTGCAGGGGCCCCCATACTGGCCCCTCTGGTGATGGTTTCATTCCGGGCGTCAGTCTTGCCGGCGATGGTGAGGATTCGTCCAAGGGGGCACATGTGGACTCGTCATTGGCGTCAGGCACCTGCCGCTAGGTGGAATTCAGGCCCGTGATGCCACAACGCCGGGCAGGGTCCTGCGTCTGATGGTAGTCCGATGCCATGGGACGAGAGACCCGGGTGCGATCATGTCTCTCGTTTGTTTTTTTCCATCCTATATATCCTTCGAGAAGTCTCGAGGTTGTCATTCTTTTGTCCCATCTCGTTCATCCCACATTCACACTCACTTGAGACCTCATTCTTTAGTTCTGCGAACATTACAGCTTGACGCTCTTTACATAATACAACAGGCCGGGCCTTTTATATGTTCACCAACTCTCTTTTACGTTCGCCTTCGACGCCAAGATGAAGTACCAAGCTACTGTTGTCGCCCTCGCGGGCCTCGCTGCTGCTCGCGAGTTGCCCTACTCGCGCATGACCAAGCGTGAGGTTCCGCAGGAGCACTCCCACGAGGCCATCCTCCGTGTCACCAATACCAACCTTCAGCTGGACAACCCTGACCAGATCCAGGACGCTGTCTTCTCCCTTCTCGGCAACGCTGCCGCTGCCAAGGGAGCCCCCAACGTCGCCAACCTCGATTGTCTGCAGCAGATCGTCGCCGACCAGGCTTTCACCAACGCCAAGGCAGCTGGCGATGTTGACGGTCAGGCCAATGCTATCATGTTCCGGGCCCTCGAGAGGAACACCGGCTCTGTCGGCCTGGCCTCTGTCCTCTGCAACGAGACCGCAAAGAACCCCGAGATCGCTGCCATCACCCAGCACCAGGACCCTGCCTCCGCCGAGGCCTCGGGCAACAAGCAGATCGCCCTGGACGTCGCGACCCAGCTGGCCTCCATCGGTGCCGACCCGAACCTGGCCATCCAGACCGGCACGTTCGCGCCTGGTGACAAGGGTGACAACACCGGCGCTGGTAACACCTGCGACGACGCCAATGACGCCGTTGGATGTATCATCTCCCAGAACCTGCTTGTTGCAGATGTCACAGAGGATGAGATCAAGGCCGCCGTTGCTGGTGGTGGTGGTGCTGCCGCCGGCGCAGGTGCCGCCTCCAACGCCACCGCGGATGCGGCAGTGTCCAACTCTACAGATGCTGCAAGCGGTATGTAATCATCTCAAACCCGCCTCAGCGCCGAGGACTAAAGTGTACTGACTATCTGCAAGGCTGCACCAGGCGCCGCGTCCGCCGCCAGGCCCAGGGCAACAACGCCCAGACCTTCACTGGCAACCTCGGAGGAGCCGCCCCGGCTGTCACTGACTCCGGCGATGCGAAGCGTCCTTTCTCTGTCAACGGGGCCACATTCGTGAACGAGGGCGCCGCTATCCAGCGCAGCTGCGCCGTCCAGCACAACGCCTGCGCCAACGCCGCTAACTCTGGCTCCGGTGACTTCAGCGTCTCTGACTGTGGTACTCAAGGTACGTCGTGTCACACTCCCAGTCCAGCATCAAACATGACCCGTCCCAGCTCATTGACTAACTTTCATCATCATAACAGAGGACGAGTGCAACGCCGCCGCCAGCGCCAAGAAGCTCCGCAAGCTGAGGAAGCTCCGCGCCCGCCAGGCCAACAACCTGGACTTCGGCTCCTGCAGCAACCCAGCCATCGAGTTCGCGGCTGGTCTCGACGGCCGCAAGGAGGAGTCGTTCGCGCCCGCCGACGCGGCCGACTTCAACCACGGCAGCGCGCTCAACATCAAGGTCATCTCCGGCTTCATCTGCGGGCAGCTGCAGTCCAAGTGCAAGGCCTCGGCCGACACGGTCAGCGCCTGCGACGACGCGGCTACCGCCGCCGACGCCGCGACGGGCCAGGCTGCTGCTGATGCTTTCAACTCTGCCCTGGGTGTTTCCGCCTAGGCGGGTTGTGGGCTAGGGTTATTCTTTGGGGTGGATGTGTTTCCATTGTTTTTCAGTTTCTTATTGTGTACACTACTTATGATACGGCTTGGGCTCGTGTGGTGATGTCGCTTGATGGTGAGCAAGGCGCGGTGGACAGTGAGGAAAATGTGGAAATGACTTGACGCCCCATATTACTCTGCTTCTCGCATATCTCGTGTTTTCGTGGAGTTCTAATTGATATGTTGCGTTGTGTGTGTGAGACATTGTAACCTTGTTCTGCATGTGACTGCCCCTGCACCGTTGACGCTTTCTTTGTCTCCTACTACCCCCTGAGACAACTGCCACCCCATGAATCAGTTTGACGTCCGTGGACGGTATGAGCGACAGGCCAGCACAATACGACTTCTGAAGTAATTGCCTTGCATTGAATCGCTTTGACACAAATGTTCTTTGTGATCATCGCGTGACGACACTGGTCAACACCAAGTAGACGTTGTCATTGCAAACAGCTCAGAGCGTGACGGATTGGACAGAATACACGTGCTATCTCTCTTACCGTGTTCACATCGGCATAAGACTGTATGTTATGCACATTTGGACAGACCGCAGTGAAGGACCCTGTGCAAAGACTAAATATTCCCTTCCCGGTACTCTGGGCTAACGACCCACCAGAATCAAATGTCTTCCTGAGACGTAGAACAAAGAAAGTCCTCATCGGTTTGAATACCCCTTGAGACAAAAAACTTCAAATTGAGACACGGTCTCAAGATATGTCAAGATAATGAGCGGTGTGGCTTGATACCATTTTACCATAGAGTATGGAGTGCATCACCAGTCTCGAATTGGGCCTTAGACAGCAACAGGCACTACAACAGATGTGCCGCTTGGTGAGGCCAAGAATGACACTCCGTACGTCGACTTTATCTGGGCCCCGAGATGCGAAGGGTATTGCGCTGAGGGCAGTTATTACTCTCTTCTCCACAGACGATTTGTGAGCCATCACTACGGAAGAATACGACAATCATCACCATCTCTCGTCTAAAGTCTTCTCCGGCCAGGTTTCTCATCATGCTGCCATACTTCCCAACCGTCCCGTCCACCCCGGAGCCGGAGGGCTGGGATGCCGCCGATGTCCTCCAGCTCGTGAACCCTATCACGGGTAAATGGTCTTGCCCCACCGTCACGAAAAGAAACCGACGTTGTGAGAACGTCGTGAGCCAACAACGGAGTATGAAGGTCACCTTCATGCTCGACACGATGTCGGTGGAGGACGCTGGAGTGATCGCGAGAGATCACAACAGAGAGTTGACGGACTTGGCCGAAACCATGCTTTGCCCTCTTCACTCCCGGGACGCGGAGAGCAGAGAAAAAGTCAAGGGAGTCGTGGCGCAGTGGAAGAATCATATCAAGACTTCGCTGCGCCAGCAAGCCCAGTTGCGACCACTCAATGTCAATACGAAAGCTCCGACAGTCGACTACCAGCCCACCGATGGTCAACGAGGCCGACGCTACGACGCACTCCCGGAGCCAACAGCCGCTGTTCCTCGGGTACAACCTCGAATTCAGAAGACAGCCCTCGATGTCTCCCCCGTGGCACAGGACGCACCTCCCAGCTACGGGGCGACCTTCGACCAGGCCGCGCTCGGTGACCTCATGAGGACGTTCCAGAGCCTGACGCTGCAGAACCATCAGCTCCGAGACCAGAACAAGAAGCTCCGGGAGCAGAAGGACTCGCTCGTCGAGAAGAGGGACGCGGCGGCCAGGGAGTACAAGAGGGCCAGAGGCGAGCTCGAGACGGTGGAGAAGGAGCGCGACGCGCTAGACGAGCAGGTAGAGGAGCAGTTCAAGGAGATCAACACGCTGAGGGACCGGGAGGCGGAGCAGCTAGAGAGGATTTCCACGCTGCAGGACACCTTGCAGAAGACCAGCAGCGCGTATCGCAGGCTCAAACAGATCTAGACGGCGGCGTCGGTTGTGCCACCAAAGGATAAGGTGTGAGGTGGATTCGGGGGAAGGGGGGGGGGGGGGGGGTTTCTCCGACTGGCATTGCGTGCCTACCATCGTATCTCATCAAAAAGCACCGTCCCCCGATCCGGCTACAGCATGATGCAGCTCGTGTTGACGGGAAGATGTCGCTGTAGTGCTCTGCGGTGGACGTGGCCCTGCATCGTCCCCAATCAAAAGCAGATGGCAATTTCGAGGGGTATTCTCTGTACTCAGTGGATTTTCTGCATATGGGTAAAGGGAGGTCCTTTTCTCACGGGATCTTGGGGAATCTGGTGTATTCGCTGTAGTATTCTGGTGATTGAGACGCTGGTTTTAGGGTCAAGGAAGGTCGGTGTGCTGTGATGAAACTTCACGTCGAAGGTCACAAATCTTTGGAGCAGTGTGTCCGTGCTTGTTGGAGAATAGCACTGCAGGTCTGTGGCAGGAGCGAAGGTTATTGAGGTTCGTTGCAGAGGCTGAAGTAAGTGTCCACCCCATGTACTGTACTTGCGGCAGGTGTCGTGGAGATGACATCACAAACCTCGGCGAGGGGGTCAACAACTCATCATTTCCCCTTGCTTCACCTCGGAGTAGAGAACAGCTTATGAACAACAAAAGCTCATTGTTCCTTGCAAACTCTCTCCATTTCTGTGAAATCATAAAATCACTATTCCATCGGCAAAACTCAATATGGTGCAGATCATACCAGTGCTGGCGTTGGCGGTTGCGCAGCTTCTCCGAAGCGCTGTGGCGCTGCCAGCAGACGATGCACAGCATGTTCTGCTTGATCCTCAGGGACACTCTGCGAAAGACGTTTATGCAGTCAAGGATGAGTAAGTAACTATTCTAAGGGATAATATTCCATTTCGAACAACACTAACATCTGTCCAGGTTGAAGAAGGCCGAGATCATACCCACCGGTTGGTCCTCCCAGCAGGCATACAATGCACACAATTTGGTTACTGACTTCCCTTGGCTCAAGTCATCGATGACTTCCTGCCATCTCTACTCGTCAGCGCAGAATGGCCTTCAAGAAAGCATGCCGAGCTAGGAAACACCATCAAGCCCAAGAAGCTACAGGACGAGCCAACCATCACCCTCACCCGGCCCAAATCCACAGCAGGGGCCTGCAGCTCGATCGCCAATATCACGTACACAGTCACGCTGACCGATCCCGACGCCCCCTCCCGCGACGACCCGAAATGGTCTGAGATGTGCCACTGGATCGCGACCGAACTTGCAATCTCAGACGATGCAGACTCGTCCTGCTCCTCGTCGCTCAGGCTGTCCTTGACGGGTCTCGATGAACTCATGCCCTACTACCCGCCAGGCCCACCTGAGAAGACAGGGAAGCACAGATATGTGCTGTTCGTCTTTGCGCCCGCCAACGGGACGACGGACCCGCTCGACCTGAAGAAGCCCGAGGACCGCCGACACTGGGGGTATGAGTACGACGGTGAGCGGGTTGGTGTGCGCAGGTGGTCTCTCGAGAATGGTTTGGTCCCAGTGGGTATGTTCATCTCTTGGGTGTCTCTGATTTCTATGTATTGTCTATCATCTTCTTTTACTCCCTTTTTTTCTTCAGTTCGTGGCACATGTTTCTGTGCCAAGTTCAAGTATGCTTCTTATGGATGGTTTAGCTGACTCTCGCAGCCGCAAACTTCGTATACTCTCAGAACAAGAAGCAGTGATGGCAATTCTGGTGCCTGGGTCTACTGAATGGATCGTTTCCGATTCCAACGCGCCGCTTGATGAAAATTTGCTCCCGTTGTCCATGTGTTCGGCTCCATAGGATAGACCGTGGCGTGGCTGCACTCTGGTGTACAGAGACCTGTTTTGATATTGAATTGGTATTTGGGGACCGCCGTCCTCTTCTCCAAGGATGTCATGGACTGAGAAACAAGTATCTTAACTCGCATGATATCTTCTGAGTCGTGCTGGCATCCATAGATTGATCCATCCTTGCAGTCATAAATGTGGTGGTCACTGGATCTACACGTGTACGAACTGAAGTGTTCCTGAAGCGTTGTCTTAAGGAGTGAGTGCGGGCTTTTGACGTTGATTAATTGTCCGCCTGAATTCCTGGTGTCCGCTGTTCGCCTAGACCTTGGTGCCCAGAGTGACGAGCCTGGGGGGGGGGGTTGGATACCAGGAAGGATTGTATACGGCGAAGCCATTTGAGCGCATGACAAGTCTGGTGTGTAATTCAACAGTGCCATTCAGTGATGAAGTACCATAAAAGAGCCCACTTCGTATGTTTATTTCGGTGACATGCATACTACTCCTTTTCGTTCTTCAGCATTTGGGAGATCCTGAGGACTGCCCGTTGGAGTGCCTTCCGGGGTTCTGTCAAACTGCATGCGCTATGTATATGTATAGATCACGGGGATTTATCCCAGAAACTCACTTTCTTGTGGTACGACACAGGGCTGGTATGACCTTCCAAAGCAGCCTTCTTCTCCAGGATCTTTTTCGTTTCCTCGACCGACCAGACCTGACTTGACTGGTGGCCTCTTTCAGGATCTTGAGAGCTCCCTGGCACGTGAGCCCCATTTTGATTCACTGTTCCTGATGAATCGAGGCCAGTTTTCACAAGGCCACTAAATCAGTATTGGAGTCACTCTCCCGTTCAAGGGTGCCTTTCCTCAAGCTCATCGAACACGAACCACAACCACCGCACCTACACAACCCCAACCCCCTTCCAACCCATCATAATCAACAACCTGAGTACACACAAACGTGCACTCCCGCAGCGATCCATCTGAATCTCTTTACTACCTCGTAGCGGCCTGTCGCCCCAACATCTGCAATGCCTACTGAAGATCTGCGCAAGAGCCTTGCCAAGCCCAAGGTTGAGGAGTTACAGCGCCTCGACAATGACCGCCCAACGACAAACCAAAACTTCAAGAACTGGAACAAGGCCCTTGAGGCGTGCGCAAATGGCTGGAGGATGCCGAGGCCTCGCTACCAGGTCGTAGTCTCCCCCAACAGCCTGATCTCAACGCCGGAGAAATTGCAGGACATCGCCGGAATGACTGCACCACCCAAAATCATCAACACCACCTACACTACCTTGAACGGCGACCGAGACGATGCTCATCTGCAGGCATATGGCAAGCCCGAGGAGGTCCAGGTCGGCGAGGTCAGCTGGCCTGAGCTTGTCGAGATCAGAAATAAGACGGAGTGCGATCATTGGTTGTTTGTCTGGGTTGATGGAAAGGTTTCCGGTGCCACCCTCGTCAAGTCCTTCAAGACGCGCGACAAGAATGATCAGTGGTAGCATACAGGAAAACAGCACAAGCACGAGCCATTGCCAGGTGCAAACGAAATCAACGATTTCATCAGGGTGGAACTCAGCGATGCTCTCCTGATGCGAGGACTAAGTCAACCCCTACTTGTTGGCTTTGAGATGCTCTGGAGTCCGGGTAAAGGTTATGCAGAACCGAAAATTTTGGAACACATCAAGAATCTGAGCCAGAAGGTGATGTTATTGTTTCTGAGAGCATCACACAGAACAAGCTCGATTCGCGCTACACAACGACGACAGACCTCTCATAGTTGCTAGCCTCATCAATGCTACACCCCATTCCACCCTCACCTTGCATTTTGACATCCAGCGATCACGGGTCGAACCCCTCCGCATGCCTCGCCCCCTCGACACCCGACAGCCACCCCACCCTCCGCTCGATGAAGCACTCGGTCCGGGGCTTCAGCTTGTTCTCAGCCAGATTGAAGTCGTCGACGGTGCCAATACGCAAAATGCTGGTTCCTGGGTATCCGGACGACACGCGGTACCTAGTACCTGTTAGTCACCTGCTACGGATCCCAAAGTGATACATTCTAGAACATTCTAAAGCAAAAAGATCGGGGAAGTGTAGCAGGAGATGAATGATACTGACATGAGGGTGCCGCAGGTCGAGCAGAAGAAGTTGGTCATCTTGTTGCCCGAGGAGACCGTCTTGGCCTGGCCCCAGCTGCTGAGGTTCTCCTGGCCGTGTTGATGAGGCCTGGGCCTTGAGTTGGCTGTGGCGGTGTTAGACATGCGTTGCGCGGACTAGAAAGTGTTGTAAATCGAGGAGACCAAACTCACGAATGCTAGTTGGACAGCACCGCAGACAGGTCGCCGTTGCTTCTTCCTCCGTTGACCAGCCGTCTTCAGCAACGGTTGACGGAAAGTTGGACTTGGTCTTATCAGTCGCCATTGTCGAATTGGTTGTTTTTGATTCTGTGATATCAATTTATGGAAATGAAGCTGTGAGTTTGTGAATCTCAGCTCATTGTCTACCCGAGAGAGGAAGAGCTCTTTATATCCATATTCTGGGCCTCGAAATCTGGAGGTAACAAGACAACCCAGGTGTGCATTATCAATACACAGCAACCAGGGTTGATTACGCATACCTAACAATACCAGAGCGGCTCTGGGACTGCAAGTCTGGCACCTCTGTTTTTCCGAAGCCCATATGCAGCCTAATCTTGTCCTGAGTAAGCTCCAATGCTTGTGATGGATCAACATTGAACCACACTTACACATACGACGGGTAACAGATCCCACTTCCCTCCGTCGGACACCTGTAGGCAGGGAAAAAGTGATGTCAATACTCTTAAAAGTAGTTAATCAGGTTTGTGTAACAGGTTCTGACGGAGACTTATCTTCGGTCTCGCTTCATCCTGGGAGGCAAGAAATGCATCTCATCAAGCGGTCTTACATGCAGGACTAGGCTGCTGTAGAGCCTGCATATGGACTGATGAATCCTCCTCGACTGGCCAGTTCTCTGGTAGATTACTGCGGGGTCTTTGTTTGGGGTCTGATTAACAAATAACCTATTATTTAAGGATTTCTGGCAGTTGGTCTTGGGGTATACCGTTCCAGACCAAGGTGTGCTACCAGTGAGAAAGCTGGGAATAGAATGGAGAATTGTTACACGAGGAACATGAGGTATAGAACTGGAGAGCATTTATCAACAAAGCAAGACTATAGAGTGCTGTACGTTTCAAGAATGGTCTTGCCGGTGGAAGATTCTGGCCATTTGGGGACTGCGGCCCGCAAGTCCATCGCTGCTCTAATCCTACCTAGGAAATTATACCGGCTCTGGAAAAGCTGACTGGGAATTTAACCTCCAGTATAGACATTCATAGGCTCAGCCCTCATTTTAAGGCGAATTACTCATAAAGCCTAACATACTCTCTCTGCATTATCCAGCTCACAAGGGTTGCATACTGCCAGTGTGCCCGACAGAGTTTCATATAGGAAGTGTAGCTAATTAGTCAGCATTTGGGAGTCCATCCCAGCCACCAATGTCTCCTCTCACGCCCTTGGTCTTGACAAAGCCGGCGCCGCTCGGAATTAATATCAACCTCGGACCTTCCTCTCATTCAAATAAGCCCATCTAAACAAGGCCTTCTGCGAGTTTGGTAATGCCTAGGCTCACAACGTCGTGAGCAGGAAGTGGCAATAAATGCTCTTAAACACTGTTCACTGCCCAAGCGGTGCCACCCACCGCAAATTCCGGGTGCCCCCAAGCTGTTGCTCGTTCTGAACTGCTTCACCACCAACGTGATATCCATCCCATGACGAAGAGATGAAGGCCCTGTCACTGACTAGGCCACCCGCCCTGCGACCACTACCCCGCAGCAACAGGCGCACCATGGCCAACCTGTCCAGCCCCCAGAAGCTGGCCATCATCAACGACTACCTCGACACCTCAGCCCCGCACTTCTCCCACGTCCCGCCCTCCCCCCACGTCCCGCCCTCCCGCCTGCAGATAAGCACATACAAGGACACAATCATACCACACAATGAGGCCGAGACAGCCCGGCTGGTCGAGCGCCTAAAGCCCTACGCCCTCGTCTCGAGCATGCGCGAGCGCACCGCCTTCCCCGGCGACCTGCTCCGCAGGCTGCCGAACCTGAAGCTGCTCCTCGCCACGGGCACGCAGTTCGAGGAGTTCGACCTCGCCGCCGCGCGGGATCTCGGCATCGCCGTCGTCGCGGCCCCGGGGCTCGGGCGCACCGACGACGCCTCGGGCCATCGGCGGCCGGATATCCGCCGCGGAGGCGGGCACCCCACCACGCAGCACGCGTGGACCCTCCTTCTGGCGCTGGCGCGCAACGTCGCCGCCGACGACGCGGCGATCAAGGCCTCCGGGTCCCCCGCGGCCGAGGATGCGGACCAGCTCGCGTGGCAGAGCGGCCTGGCGACGGGGCTGACGGGCCTCACCCTCGGCGTCGTGGGGCTGGGCCGGCTCGGGGCCGCGGTGGCGCGCATCGGACACCTGGCGTGGGGGATGCGCGTGACGTGCTGGAGCGAGAACCTGACGCAGGAGCGGGCGGACGCCATGGCGGCGCAGGTGGGGCTTTCTCCGGACGAGGGGCCGGGGGGGACCAAGACGTTCCGGGCCGTGTCCAAGGACGAGCTCTTTGCGGGAGCAGACGCAGTGAGCCTTCACTATGTGCTGAGCGGGCGGTCTCGCGGCATCGTGGGCGCGCGGGAGCTCGGGCTGATGAAGCCCTCGGCGCTGCTGGTTAACACGTCGCGGGGGCCGCTGGTTGACCAAGCTGCGCTGGTGGACGCGCTGGAGAGGGGGAGCATCCACGGGGCGGCGATGGATGTATTTGACGTCGAGCCGCTGCCGCGCGACAGTCCCTGGAGAAGGGCTGATTATTGGGGCAGGGACGGGCGGTCAAGGGTGTTGACGACGCCCCATATGGGCTATGTCAACGAGGACCTTATGAATGCTTGGTACGCCGAGACCGCCGAGAACGTAGAGCGGTGGCTTGATGGGCGTGAACTTCTTCATCGCATTGCATAAGGTGGGATTTGTAGCACTACTGCAGCTCACTCGGGTGCGTTCAGTATTCGGAGCGCTTGAGACCTGTTTCCAAGCTTAAATAGTCCGAGATGTGTAGGCCGAGAGATGGATGGATATTCCCGCTGATGACTGAGCCACGAAGTAAGACCGCTGTACTGCAGAGACTCCCCTAAGGGAAAGCCAGGTCCATGGTGGACGCCAGGGAGCCCGGCCAATCGTCTTGCATGCATTGGGCTCCTGCTGGAACTCCCCACCAAGAGATCCCCCACACAGTCCGTTCAGGCATTTTCATCAGTAATTTCCGCCGGAATGGAGTGACGAGTGGACCACACGTCGATAAATGATCAAAAATACACAAAATGGCAAAAGAGAAAAGAAAACATGCAACAGCAGGGATTCGCTGGTCGTCACCAACCCAACTACTCTGCCTCTCACAAGCTTGATTACAGGAGAGCGAACGGGATCCGATATTTTCTTGTGGATATGGTCGCATGTGCTTGTTTGGGCACAATGGTGACTTATATTGTGTTTATTGAGAAGCTTTACGACCCTTTGACCCGGAGCTATTCAGTAGGCATAAAAAGTGGCGGGACCAGGGAAGACCTGCTCCATCTCATACACAGCTTTGAGCAGATCAGTTCGAATCATGTACAAAGAGATCAATGCATATGGTTGTTCAAGAACATCAAGGTTCAGAACCCCGGTCTGAGGTTTCAGCAGGCTCTGCCTCTGCCTCCGGCTCCGGCTCTGGTTCTTCTGGGGTGCCTCCAAGCGCCTCGGCACGCAGCAGCCGCTGCTCGAGGTGCCTAACCGTGTCGACACCTGTTGTCTGCGACGTCATCAGGTACAGGACGTTGCCCAAGACCCTCGAGTGCACGTTGGATCCCATAATATCCTTGGCGCTTCCCATGAGCTCAGCCTGCAGAGCACGAGAGGCGTTTGACTTGTAACCTGTCGCCAATGTTAGACATATCTGGAAAAGCATTCTGTAGTATGAGTTGGACGTACCAGAGCCTGCGGCGTCCTTGACGTGAATAGCCAGCACGCTTCCCAGGGCCCAGAGACCCTCCACCTGATCCGTCCTGGTGGACAGCTCCTGTACGAAGTTCCGGCTCCAGACACTCCACACGGCCGGCTTATGCTGGCCGTTGTTCTGTCCAAGCAGTGGGGTTTCAGCACCCTCCGCCCAGTCGTCCTGGAACTCTCGCCATGCGCCCCTGCTCTCCATGCGCTTCATGGTTGCCAGGCTCTCGACGGCGACCTGGCAGCCAACGGCGTGAGCAGTGTAACTGTGCCCATGCAGCAAGGCGTCGCTCTTGTCGTCGCTATCGAAACAGCGGAAGATGGACTCCGAGGCGACAGTAGCAGCAAGAGGGAGGAGGCCGCCTGTCAGCAGCTTGGCGTGGACAGTTATGTCGGGGTGGACCCCGAGGAACTTGGCAGAGCTGGGGCTGCCAAGGCGGTAGAGACCGGTGAAGACCTCATCGAAGACAACAGGGAGTCCTTTCCAGTTGCTTGCGTCCTCGAGATCCAGGGCAGGGGCAGACTCAGAAAACAGCTTGGGGTCGCTCCTGACCACATCCACGAGAGCTTGCTGGAAGAGAGGGTCGGCCAGCATCATGCCACCGGCTCCTAGCACGATCGGCTCAAGCATGAGCGCACCAAACTTGTAGCCTTGGTCTCGGAGGCCCTCAAGCGTACAAGAGATGTAGCGGGTGTAGTCTCGGTACAATTCAGTATCCTCACGCGCCTTCAAGTCGAATATAGCATCGAGTCCCAAAAACTCTGTCGCGGCTGTTGGGCTCCCGTCAACGCGAAGTTCAGCTGGGACTTCGATTTGCCATTTCCCATTGGTCATTTTGACAGTCGGGAAGTCGAACCAGTAGCCTTTGCCCTTATACCACTCAACCTTCTCGTTGTACGTTCCGGGCTCCGAGCAGTCCATCGCACCAATAGTGTCTCCGTGGTAACTTCCCTTCAGACCAAGAATGCTCAGGTTCTCTCTCGACCCCCAGCCATACCTCAGCCGAGCTGCACGGAGGGCCATTTTGATAGCCACTTCGGTACCGGTAGACCCGTTGTCCGAGTAGAAGACACGAGAAAGGCGTGGATTTTCCAGTTGGCGGAGCAGGAGCTTCGCAAGCTTCAGCGCTGGTTCGTGGATGGCCTCAGCAAACATGACGTGCCCGTAGCGACCGGCGGCATACGCGGCGGCAAGCGTGAGTTGCGGGTTGGCATGGCCGAGACCTTGAGTCCACCAGGAGGCGGATCCATCAAAAGAAGGGCGAAGCAAGGGCGTTGACTGTGTTTTCGATTTGAATTCTGCGAGCGGGTTGCGTTTCAACCCCGTGGGAGCCTTGGGGCTTGGGGAGAACGTCTGGAAGTAGTCACCGTACGCAGAGTCGATGGCGGTGATCTTGTCGGTCGTCAGCAGCTTCTGCTGGGTGAACGGGTACCATATTGTCTTCTGAGCATCCTCTGCCATACTATCGAGGTTCTTGATGCGCCTCTCGTGACGGTCGTTTAGGCTTCGCAAGACGTTCTTGATAGGATTAGATCTGCCCATGGAGTCATAATAGTTGTGCAATGACTTGTGGTCCTTTTCGGGGTCTTGATGACGCGTGGGCGGAGGGCGAATGGCAGTGCAAGAAATTTGCTGCTCCTGAAAGTATGATTTGAGGTACTCGTGGTTTCGGTATTCCTCATTCTCGAGGATGAGCACAGACTCAACATCATAGCCACGCAGGCGCAGGGACTCAAACGAGCTGATGGTTGCTGAGATGCCCCCTAGTTTGGGGTCGCCGATCAGGATAGCGGGCAGCCTCAAGGGCCGGTACAGGTCGGCCTGGGAGGTGCCAGACGGGCCGGGAGAATGCACACCTCCAGCGGTCTCGCAGAACAGCCAGCTGCGCTCGGCATGGCGCGACGGCAGGGCGGCAGCGTGCGTCGAGGCACGGGAATAGATGGCAGCGAGCAAGTCCTTGTCAGAGATGACGGCCTTTCCCAACAACGCGAGTAAGCAGCACTCCTAACATAGGTACGGGTGAGGAGCCGTGGAGGAGATGGTCTTGACTTACGCGTCCGGAGTTGGGTGCGGCAATGTGAGGGCTGACGGGGTCGTCGTACCGGACGATGTGTTGGCTGTCGAACCAGTATGGTTTCGAAGAATTGGTGTGTATCCTCGAATACGCGGTGCGGACATGGATGGTATCGGCATCGCGGTCGGCGCCAGTGGACACGGGCTTGAGATAATGCACGCCCTCTTTGGGGCGCCTGTGTGCAGCGCCGACGCAGAGGATGGTCGACAAGACCGTCTTGCCGACGTCAGTGTTGGCGCCCCAGATTTGCAGGGCGCGCAGTGTCGGCCATAGCAGCCCGCCAACGGGGGTGGTGCGTACGCCCATGGGCACGGAAGCAAGGCTGGCGTTGTTCGCGTCTGCACCAGGTGAAATGAGAGTGCAGCATCCAAGGCCTCAACGTGACTGAGAAGATGGAGTCATGAAGCTTCAGGACCTTGATGACTGACCTCGAATTCTTCAATACCCCACCATGCAGGTGGCCAGGGTCAGGGTTCACTTGTTGCCGGGGGTGTCTTGACCAAGACCATGGTACGTACTTGGACTATGTACCTAGTAGTCCCTTCGATTGATTTTTGTTGAGGCCCAGGACACAAGGATCCAAATGCACATCCGAAGCTAAAGCTTACTTGCTGAATATCAATTTTAAGATACCTCGGCTGGGTGCGGTATCGGGCTACGGAGAAGTCCAGTGTCGTGGCCGTGGAGTGAGCGAATTTGAGCTCGCAGTCACCAAGACCAAAAGACGCCCCGGCCAGATGAGACACCAGCAGAATACCTCTGGCCAGCATCTCAACCAGGGACGTCGGTGATCATGCCCCTCCAGAAATCACCCACAGCGCTCGAGTCGACATTCTCCTCCTTGATCTCACGCCGTCGCTCCAGGTCACTGCTCCGCCGGCTCACCACAGTCCCACCAGGGACCGTCGACTTCTCCTCCAACGACTACCTGTCCCTCTCCACCAACCCCGACATCCGCGAGGTATTCCTCAACCTCCTGAGGCAGGAGGGGTACAGCTCCCGCCCCGGACAGGAGGAGCCCTCGACGTCTCCACCACTACCTCAGCTCGGATCGCGCGGGTCCCGCCTGCTGGACGGCAACCACCCCTTCGCGGACTCGCTCGAGGCCGTGATCGCCGCGCACCACAACTCGCCTAGTGCCCTGCTCTTCACCTCTGGATTCGACGCCAACGTCGGGCTGTTCTCGTGCGCCCCGCAGCCGGGGGACTTCATCGTCTACGATGAGCTGATCCACGCCAGCGTCCACGATGGCATGAGGCTCTCGCGCGTGCCGGCCGCACGGCGGCTCCCCTTCAGGCACAATAGTGTCAATGGGCTCCGGGAGGTGCTGGGTGAGCTGGCTGAAAGGGAGGACGGGGTGGGTGAGGGCAAGGCCAATGTCTTTGTTGCTGTGGAGGCTGTCTACAGCATGGACGGGGACTTGGCACCATTACGGGAGATGGTGGATGTCGTCCAAGGTGTGCTCCCGCGGGAAAATGGATATCTAATTGTTGATGAGGCACATGCCACGGGTGTCTTCGGCCAGCGAGGCAGGGGTTTGTGTTGCGAGCTGGGTGTCGAAGACAAGGTCTTTGCTCGGGTCGTGACGTTCGGTAAGGCTGTTGGGAGCCAAGGTGGTGAGTCACTCGTGTTTTTTCACGTTACCGTTTCTTCAATGCCCCAGCATCTCAAGTGAGCCTCGTTTCGCTGTGAAGAGTACTGACAGGCTGGAATGTGACACCTACAGCGGCCGTTCTATGCTCAAAGGTTGCCCGGGAATATCTCATAAATTACGCCCGGACCTTGATATACACCACTGCCATGTCATTCCCGTCACTTGCCAGCATCAGAGCCTCATACGACTTCATGATCTCAGGCAGGACTGAAGCATTGGTCGGGCATCTCCAGCATCTCATCCGCCTCGCCCATCGCCTGCTTTCAGGCATCGTCTCGGCCCTTGCCCAGGACCCTTCAGCCCCGGCAATACTCGCCCTGAGCCCCCTTGGCAACAGCATATCGCCAATCATTCCTGTTTTTACGCCGCAACCGCGCAGCTTAGCCAGTCACTGCCAAGCGCAGGGCTTGATGGTACGTCCGATAGTAGCACCTACCGTACCGCACGGGACCGAAAGGGTGAGAGTATGTCTGCATGCCGGGAACACGGAATGGGAAGTCGAAAAGTTAGCCATGTCGATTGGTGAGTGGGTCGATCTGCAGGTAAAGGAAAAGCACCACTGGCAGCCTCGTCCGGTTCAGGCCATTTTGGGAAATACCAATGGAGCGGATGCATTAGAGAAAGCGAGGCTCTAGTTCTGGACGCGAAGAAATAAAATCTGCGTCTATTTTGATTTGTTGCTTGACATTCTATCTTCATGTACTCATGGCGCACCCCTACTAGAGCTCCGGCTGCGGCTTTTCGCTCTTCTCGAAGCTCTTCATGGGCACGAGACCCCACCGCTTGAACATCTCGCCGTCCTCATCCCAGCCATTACACTCCGTAGTAAGCATCTTCTCGCCGGTGAAGATGGCGTTGGCGCCGGCCATGAAGCACAGGGCCTGCTTCTCCTCGCTCATGGTCTTCCTGCCGGCGGCGATGCGGATGATGGTGCTGGGCATCAGGATGCGGGCGGTGGAGATGGTGCGCAGGATGGCCATGAACTCGATGGGGTTCTTGTCGCCCAGCGGCGTCCCCTTGATGGGCACGAGGGCGTTGACGGGGAAGCTCTCCGGGTGCGAGGGCAGCGTGGACACGGTGTGCAGGAGCCCGATGTGGTCCTCGGCCCTCTCGCCCAGGCCCAGGATGCCGCCCGAGCAGACGTTGAGGCCCGCGTCGCGCACGTGCGAGAGCGTCTTGAGCCGCTCGTCGTAGGTGCGCGTGGTGATGACCGAGGGGTAGAACTCGCGGCTGGTGTCGACGTTGTGGTTGTAGGCGGTCAGGCCGGCCTCCTTGAGCTCCTTGGCCTGCTGGTCGTCGATCATGCCGAGGGTGACGCAGACCTCCATGTCGAGGGCGCGCACGCCCTCGACCATGGCCTTGATGTTCTTGAGCGAGTTCTTGCGCCCGCGCATGTCCCGCCACGCGGCGCCCATGCAGAAGCGCGTGCTGCCGTTGGCCTTGGCCGTGCGGGCGGCCTCGAGGACGGCCTGGACGGGCTCGACGCGCTGTGCCTTGACGCCCGTCTGGTAGCGCGTCGACTGGGCGCAGTAGCTGCAGTCCTCGCTGCACCCGCCCGTCTTGATGTTCATCAGGGTGCACAGCTGCACCTCGGCCGGGTCGTGGAACCGGCGATGAACAGTCCCCTGGTGTTGAGGTGGCAGGTCAGCTCATGGTGTTCAGGTTTGGGTAGGGCTCGAGGACTTGCCGCCTGAAAAGCCAGGTCCATCAGCGGGTGGTTGTAGATAGCCGCGATCTCCTGCTTTGTCCAGTCATTGCGAAGACCACTGGCCTTGACGGCCTGCTTGAGGATGTCACTCGCCGGGCGCTCTGCCTCGACAGGAACCGTAGCAGGACCCTGTGGCCGAGGAGGAGGCGGGGGAACATGTGCATTCTCGATGACGCGGTCCTCGACTACTGTCGACATGCGGCGGCCGGGGATAGCAGCACCACTGTGGATGCGTGCCGCTCCGTTCGGCCGGCGGGAGAGCAGAGAAGCAAAGGCGACCCTTTGTCCGGGTGCCTGAGCTCGGGACAGCGTCAGGCGCAGGGCCGATCCGGCAGGAGTCAGCATCTTGTCAACTGGTCCTTGGGTAGGAAAGTGAGTGGAACTGTGTCACATCTGGCAACATGTCACCCAGCTCGTACGGGAAAAGCACTCGGTCGCTTTTACAGTCGCTGGTGTGAGTCGAAGATCCCCGCACCCATGCGCCTGCATGCGGCCCCCTAATGAGGGCTTGCCTCAGCTATCAGACTTCTTTGCGCGGTGCGGGCTGGCTGGACAGGCGCATCTCAACCGCTGAAAACCGAGGTAACTGGAACCTTAACCCCCCCTTGGCAAGGGATCTTGCATACAATCATCTCACTGGCGATACAGACGCCAAGCAGAAATAGCTACCTCCCCATTGGCTGGTTTCATACCGAGTCAGACCAAACTGTTGAGGAGCGGCTCTGCGGGCACGCACAGCCGTAGTTTAAGTTTAATGGGTCCGGTCCATCGACGACACCAGATCCAGCGCCATTTTGCCTCAGACTGACAATGACGAGTTTGACATTGGCTTGCAGACCAGACCCACTGTCGTCATGACGTCCCGCTTTCCACGTCTGTACCAACTCAACTGTGGACACTAAGAACCGCGGAATAAGTCAACAAAGGGACAATAACATTATTTCACAATGCATCCCTCAGCGTTTGTCTCTTCAAGCATAACAATGGTCAAGGGGACAGACAGACAGACAAAGATGATTCAAAGGCTATTATAGCAGCATTGTCTGAACTGATGTGTTGGACAACATGCATATAAATCCACCGTGTGCAGCCAACATGGCACCTAGAGCTCAACACTGATCAATCAAATCATCAGCTCTCTACCACTAACACCAGGTCACTTTTCTGAGCCACTCACTCCGAGTTCTCCGTCATGGCTAACCAACGCGTCGCTAACAAACGCATCGAGCTCGAGGCTCTCCTGGTCGAGGTCGAGAACCCAAACTTCGTCCCCTGCCCAAAAATCTCTCTCTCAGTAGATGCAAAGAAACTTGGGCAATGCGGGATTTGCCAGGAGAGCCAGCTTCTCCTGCGGAGCGAGAAAAGAGGCCTCGACGACTCCACCTTGGCCATCTTGCCGTGTGGGCACGTCGCGGGCTATAAATGTCTGCGAAACTGGTTTTCGCTCAACGAGTCACCGGCCTGCCCATTCTGCCGTACGCCTCTCCGGTACCAGCTCTGCAACCACACGTCCCGCCTCATCCGTCCACTGACCAGGGAAAACCTCCTCAGCACGCCGGATACGCTCCCCGTCGGGGGCGTCGTGCCGCCGCAGTGCGTCGAATGCAGCGTTGCCACCAACGCAAGCGTGAACAAGTACCTGCTGGATGCGATGCTTGATAAATTCAAGGCCCTCCGGACTGAGTACCACGAGGAGACGGACGCGCGCAAGAAGCTCGAAGTCAAACTTCAGGTACTGACTTGTAAGAAGCGGATTGACAAAGCCATTGAAGAACTGGCTGCATATCCAACTCTTGCGCGCACACGATGGTGAGTCAAGCATGTCGTAATTCATTGCGGCAGGTTTCATTGCTTTTCTCAAGCGGATTATGGATGACCTCCAGAGGTCCCGGTAAGTTCTGTACAAAAGTAATTTATTCAATATGTAGGTGAGTTCGCTACTGAAAAGCCCGTATGCAATCTTTTGCAGTAATTACAGTGCAGAGCCATGAGAATCTATGTAATTCAACATTGATGTGATGGAAGAGCTTCGGCTCCGCACATTGGCTTTGTTGACCCGTAGATTTTAGTTCGGTAATAGTTAGCCCAGTGACTACTTTGCTGTTGAGAACCATTTACTATTCCTGGTCAATTGAAAAAAGCATGGGGCGCTGGATACGTTTGGGTGGTTTCAGCGATCTCCAAAGTACTCACAAGCATGTATCAGAAACACCAATTGAGCCGGCCTCGTAAACACGTATTCAAATGAGCATTGTTGAAGGTGAGTGAAATTGGAAGCCAATCGGTACAAATACTGTGAAGTATCCATTTTTGAGCATGTTATGTCAAAGTCTATATTGCAGTTGGAAAGGTACATCTGGCTTTAATTGAAAATGGCTGCCGTAACAGATGTTACAAACGGTCAGCCTACCTATTGTATCTTGGCTGTCTCAATGTGAACCAGGACCCTTTTACACAACTACCCAGACACAAAGCTTTATTCTCAGAATTTGTTTTGAAGGGGACAAATTTTCGCTATTGTTTTTGTTCCTTTTGCTTTTCTGTTTTGGGCCAGGCTGGGTGGGGGGGGGGGGGGGGGGGGGGACAATGCCTTGCCAGCTGCACCGCGCCAAGTATGCTTGATTGGGTCAGGCCGACGTTGATTATTATTAAGCGTATTAAATACCTTCAGACCACTGCTTTAGTTGTAAACAAAGAGAAGTTACCAGAAGACCAACTTCCACTCGTATCACTCTTCCGCATCTGGTTGATCATGCAACTTGGGTTTCATTGTCTTGGGTATAGAAAACTCACCGTTCGTGGGCCCAAGCCGCTTCTTTGAGCCTGTTGCTGCTAAGAATAGACCTCTTCCCACTGCATAGCTGACACATGGGAATATTCGAGATTTCTAGTTCGAGAATAACCTTTTCTAAAAGCTTGTCAACAATTCTACAAACCTTCCAATCCCCCACCGTCGGCCACCGATCGTCAAGAATCAACACAATGAACAGGCCCGTTGCCACTAGGGTTTTCGAAAACTTGAAGAAATACGTCCCCGTAGTCAAGCTGTTGGGGGAGAAGCACCAGGAGTTCTCAAGAACCATTGATTTGGTCAAATTAGCGGTAAATGGGCTCGCAAACTATTACGGGCTGTTCATATTTGACCAGCATCAAAAGCTCATCAACGCTGTGCGCCTTGAAGACGACTACTCCCGAAATGTCACTTTGATTGGACGGGACTTGAAGACGTGGGCCAGAAATCCTGACCTTACCCTTAGAGGGAAAATTGGCCTGACTCGACTATATTCGGTGCTTGAACGATGTCTTCGAGACGCTCTCGAGCTCTACGCAGAGTCTGAGAGGGAGTTGATACGGGAGGATATCAAGGTCCACATGAGCCAAAACGACGCATATGGTGAGCACGAGAGGGCCAAAGCCGCCTTGTGGAAATTCCAACATGACTTCCACTTACACCAAATCGACCCACACAGAGGGTCAGACCGCGCGATCATATATAGCCAACCTAGTTTTGCAGCCCCACCCCGCGGGCTTCGACAACTTTAGATTCACCAGGCACGACTGGCGAGAGCCTGACGAAGACAGCATCAGAGTCTTGACCGGAGAAGAGCAGACGCAGCTGAAAAATTTCATCAGCAGGCCGGACGTACAGAGACTACTTCCCAGCAATCTGAGGAATCCCAACATCGACCTGCCTCCTGTCGAGGACGACAACAGCGGTGACAGAGATAACCCAGGGCCTAGCAAGAAGATTGGCCCCCTGACACGACCTAAATCTAAATACCTGAAGAGGAAGAAGGGAATTCTCAAAGACCCAAACGAACCACGGGATAGGCCCAAGAAAAATGTACGGTTTGGACCTTACGTGGAACCCCCGTTGCCATCCGACAACGTACACGATGGCTCTCCACCAGCCATTCACCTGGGCACAAGGCACAAGGTCTCAGAACCATCCACGATTGTATTTCTAGCTCCGCCTCCGACTGCCCCTTCAGAACCGCCTCGGATTGCTATTTCATCACCGACTCCAAGTGATCCTTCGTCTCCGTCTTCACGCCCATCATCTCCCCCCTCACCCGACAGCCCAACGCCGCCCCGGACTTCTCCCCCGATTCCAGTGGAACGCGTCACTAAGAAGGCCTCCATTTCCCCGGTGGATCTGTTCGGTTTCGTCGGCGTTTTGGAGGGTACAAACACTGGTGATGATGATCCATCTTCTGCAGGTTCCTCGTCATCCTCATCTTCTTCTTCACTGCCATCCGTAGGCTCACTAAGTCCAACCCTGCCACCCTCTACGACGGAGGACGGAGACGAAAGTACTACAGCGTCCAACTCATCAGATGATGAACACACTTCCGCATCGTCAACGTCCTCTCGGTCAGACAAAAGCGAGGGAAGGCCCCTGGCCCGGACACCAGTAAAAGTCGATCGTGAGGTCGCCGTGAGCGTGCGCGCCTACCTCGGCCGAAGGCACGACGAGTACGGCCTCGCGCTGGCGGCCGACCCAGACACTGACTTCGTCGAAGACGAGGACGTCACGGAAGCTGGGGACGAGGACGACAACACCGAAGCTGGGGATGACGCCGAGGACGTACCCCACGATGACGAGGCTTGCGCTGCCCACCTCCAGCTGAGCCACACGGCCCGCCAAAATACGGCCCACGATGTCAGTGGCACCGCCCTGCTCCACTGGGCCGGGGTGGCGAAGGCCAAGCGGGAGGAGAGGATCGAGGGCCACACCCGGCTCCGGGCCATCCTCAAGTGGGCCGAGCGGGAGGGAAAGGTGCCCCTGTCCCCAAGCAGCATACGCGCCACCACCGGCCTCCGGAGGGGCATCTTCACGCCCCTGGGCCTGCCTGATCTGCCGCCGCCCAGGAGGCGCTCGCGGCGGCCTTTTGACCCGGAAGCCTACCGCGATGCGGCGCTCGAGAACCTCGAGCACCTCCGGCCGCGGCGGGAACTCACGCTGCTTGCGTTCCTGTACAACGAGGACGCGCTGCGGCTCTTTGGGGGGCTTGTTGGCGAGCAGCCCCTGCCCAGTGACCTGGGGCGGATGGACAAGGTGCTTCGCGAGCTTGTAAGTGGCCTCCTCCTATATGTTCAGGGCAAATACGATTCTGTCCTCACCCGCCATCCTTAGTAGATGCTATGGTAGCTGACCTCACATTTTTATAGGAGGTATACACCGAGGTGTGCGCCCACCGCCGGCGCCTGATGGTGGACCACCTCAAGCGCACGCGCCAGTTCCCCATCGCCATGGCCGCGCAGTTCGGGGACCTGCGGGCGGCGCTCCAGGACGCCGAGGAGGCCAAGCTGTCCGCGGCGCGGCGGTGCTTCGAGTACGTCGCCGAGCGGTCCAGGTACGTCATGGCGTACCCGGGGGGCAAGAGGAGGCGGCGGGAGTTCGCGGGCCAGTTCCGGGCGCGCGACCGCGAGAGGCTCGAGTACCTGAGCGGGGAGGACGACGAGGCCGGGGCCCTGCGGGAGGAGCTGGAGGCGGCCGAGGAGTGGCTCGGGTGGTGTGAGGACGTGATGGGTGAGTGGGCGCTGGGCTGGAGGCCCGGCCGGGTCGAGAAGGATATGCTGTACGTGGATGAGGAGGCGCAGGCGGATGTGCGGCGGTATAAGTGGGAGATCAATCAGAAGAGGTCTGATATAGGCCTCGTGCCTGTGAAGCGACCGCAGGACGAGGTATACGAGAGACAGCAGGAGCACATAAGGCTGCTTGACGGACTTTGGAAGTTGATGACTTAGTCTGCACGGCCGAGTGAATTTTCATCCTTCTTTTGGGGAGACAAAATTATGTTCTTGAATGTATGCCGGAGCACAAGGGTTTAATATTAGAAACTACTACTGCACGGGTATTATAACGCTTTTGCGATATCTCAGTCGACAGTGGCCGGCCCCTCGGGACGTCCTGGTACTGGTGGCAGACGCCTTTTCCCTGCTTCTTCTGCAGTGCCACAATATACTGATGCCCAAAGAATTCCCGATAATCCCAACGCCTCGCTGTGATGAAACAAAACTCGCTAGTTGCAAACAATGCAAAATTCGATGCTGGCGTGCAATGATGGTAGTGCATGCGTGCAAGAACAACATCTAGCCCTGGGGCCGCGGTGTTGCTGCTGACATGCTGCTGACCCCGATATCCCCTGGCGTTGCCAAGGATGGAGGCCCCCACGCCTTGTACTACTGTGGCGCCCCCAGTTCCACCGACCGCTCTTCAGTGGGCGTGTCGAGTGGTGTCAATTGGAAGCCCAGGCCGAAAATGGCATCGCCGCGTCCAGGTCCCACAGGCACGCTGATGGACCTCGAGTGGCCAACATCCAGCTTCACCCTCTGCCTGTTGATTTCCATCTCCCTCAATGCCATCTCGCCGGCCCTCCTCATGTCGTCCAGGGCGTCCTCGATGATGGTCTTCTCGAATAGCGGCAGGATGCGGTACCCCAGGTGCTCCATGATGTTACGCTCCGTGGCATTTATCTGGTCGCAGGTCCACTGATCATTGCCCCAGTCCGAGGCGTAGTACTGGGTTGGCTCCTGGCAGTCCTCGGTGAACTTGAATGCGATGACAAGTGCTGTGAGGATGATGAGCTCGGGTTTGACCAAGTCGATGTGCGTGGCGAGACTGGAGGCGGCCGAGATCGTGTGTCGCTTGCTAGACGAGGCTGCCCCCAAGGGCAACTCCATGCGCCATTTGCGGGAGAACTTGGAGTCCAGCGAGTCGAGAATGCACACGGCCAACGCAATCGTTTCGAGAGGGAGGGCGGCGCGGGTTATAATGGCTTGGACGCGGGAGATGGACGGCGAGGCGATGGATGCTGATGGTGGGTGAAGGTTGACGAGATGTACTGCTGGTCCTGCAGGGCGATCTTGATTAGTCATGCGCGATCACGATAGACGTAACACACACGCCCCCCAGTGACTGAAAACGTACCTAACAGAGTCGAGTCGGTAAACTCGTCGTTGTCCAACCCAAGGACGGGGCTTGGGGAAGCCGAATTCCTCGATGACGGAGGAGGGGTCGGGAGGTTTGAAAGCGGCTTATAAGTACGGGAGAAGTACTCGAAATCGAAGTCATCGTCCTCGACATCACGAGGCGTGTCAACCTTTGCGCTGTACGGTGCCATTGCTGCTGCGTGTGTATGCATTACCCCCTCGAGTAAAGTCTACCAAAAGCTACGGAAACGAACGTGGTCGTGTGAGGTTTGTTGGATGTTTTCGTGTAAAGGGTATGCCAGGGCCAGAGCCAGAGCCAGAGCCAGAAGCCCGCCCTCCAGGACCTTGTCCCCTTTTTATTAAAGAGAGGCGAAGCTGAGGTAGGGATCAGGAATTCACCGCCAAGTTCGATTCTCAGGCAATATGTGGATACTGCGGTGAGTGGGGAATCGCTGTCAAGTATCCACAATCGGAATACGATGTACGTGCCCTGAACCGGCCCTGGGGGTGCTGCACAAGGACGGATCTACCGCCTCTCAGCCCTGGGGACTCTTGTGGCACCGTTCCTGCAGCTCTCCGACAAGCTGACGTCTTGACAGCGCGTCTCAAGCCACAAAAAGAGGCTGTCGAGGTTCCGGCGGACCGCACACGGCTGAGACAGGGTTCCGGCCGGGTCGTAAAGGCAGCCAGCAAAAGGGGCAAATGTCGACGAGCGAGTGAATCTCGGGTGGTGGGTGGCTTGGGGAAAGGGTCGAGATCGCGAGAGGGTCTCTGCAGCTCTTCTCCACGGCTGTGCCTTGCCGAGGTGCAGGTTGCGATTCAAGTAAGGATTTGCACGAGGCCCCTGCGAGTATCACGCGACAAAGAGTGCGAGTCTGCAAGTGCAGGCCTGCAGGCGGGCGAGTGGGCTCAACGGTGGGTGAGGACGAGCAAAGAACGGATGCACAGGGCCAAAGAGCGATAGAACGAGGCAAGAGAGTTGCGCATGCTTGGGGAGTCGACGGCAGTCGCGGCCGACTTTAATAAATAAATGAATCGATTCAATGGTGGTCCGAGTCTGTTCCCCAGGTCTGCCGTAGCATGGCCCAGACGGGCCATGACAGCCGCGGCCAGTCAGGGGGGTTTGGGAAGCGTCTTCCAAGGTTGGCCCAAGGTAAAAGGCATGGACTGGCACCATCTTTCGGGATCCCCAATCCTGGCACGATGACGGAGGCTCCTGAAATCTGCAGGGCCTGGTGTGGTGTAGTGGCATTGATGGAGAAATAATCCGAGGTCTGCTCAACCATGACGGTGCCGCAGCGCATAGTATGTCACATCAAGATGGCGATATCAGACCGGACCAGACCAGACATGGGATGGAGAAGGGCTCCCCTGGCTACCGCCCATGCCGCCCTGAGCCAAGGCAAAGCGGCCTGGCTCAAGGGTCCGGCGGGGTCTCGGACTGGCTCTGGGGCCCCCCCTGTTGATTCTTTCATGGTGCCCTTTCTGCTTTGTGTTGTTGTCGTCGCGACCAAGTCATAAGCTCCAGGGGCTGCAGAGGTCGAAGGCGTGCTGCTGGACTGTCGGCTCGACCACCGAGACTTGATCTTCAGCCCAGACGGGATGCTAGGCTCAGCTGGAGCGGTGCTGGACAAAGGAGGACGCCAAGGCGTGTGCCACAGGCCAGACTTGTTTGTACCCAATGCGTCGACTAGTCCACGGGGAAATGGATGGGGCCGGTTGTCCCAGGCTACTATGTAGACCTATTTACTAGGCGCTCGTTCTGGCGGTTGGATCCGGTGCATCACTATTTACCGGAACCCTGGATGGGCTTGGGAATAGATTGCACAGGTAGGCCTGGGCTGCTGGGCTGGACGCGCGAACAGACACCCGAGCCCACCAGATCTGATCCGATCTCCTCGGCTTGTGGCCTCACCACCAGGTACGGCTCTTTGTGTTGCATGAAGCAATGGAGGGAGAGAAAGAGAGCGTGCTCGAGTTAGCTAACCAGGGCGTGTTGTGAGAAGCGTAAGCAGTCTGCTGTGTTCTTTGGAAACCAAACCCAACAGAGCAGTTTCAAGCCGAATTGGAGACCAGGCCAAGTATCCATCTGACCACCAGCCTGCAGCCCGCAGCCTGCAGCTCTCTGCAGACAGACAAAGGCCCGACAGGTCTGGCAGTCGACCGAGTCTGGAGATTCTGGAGTCTGGAGAAGTGTGGTCCTTCCGGGATGGGCAAATGCTTCCACATTGGCCTGCTGTACTATGTGTACATAGGTACCTAGGTAGTGCGTGCATGTACCTGGGGCAGGTACCTGAGAAGGCAGGTAGGTGCCTCGCTGGGGCCGTAACCCCCCTGCCCGGAAGCACTTGGTCTCTTGGAACCCACAAAGAGGAGGGCAGGAAGGTTCCCACCACCCATCCACCTGCCCGGATTGCGTTTCTCTGACGGAGCAGCTCGCTCCAGTCGCTGCAGTCGCTCCAGTCGCTCCAGCGATTGCGTGTGCATGGTTAAACCAGATTTGGGGTGGGTGCAGCTGGCTGGGTGCAACGCTGGGATTGGCGATGCTCCCGAGCAATCATGCCATACATGACAATACTATGGAGAGCTATACAACTTCAATTTCGTGGCGAAGCTTGGAAGGACAGCGGAACAAGACCGGAGCAGCCATGCGCTTCTTGTCATCTTCGCGACCGCTCTCGGAACTTGCGCGTGTGTTCCTGGTGTCCGTCCAGCCGAGGGAAACATTCTTCCCTGCTCGTATTCTTTCTTGCTGCCCAGACCTGCACACTACCTGGACTGCCTGGTTGAAGGTCCTTGAACACATTCTTTTTTTGTGGTGCAGCATACGAGTTAATCGCGTCGGCCCCTGTCGATCGCTGCTTCCTGGACGGGCACAACGGGCAGCACACACAGCAACAACAGCATGGCATTTCGGCACCGTCGTCGGCAATCAGAATTTGCTCCGTCTCCCTGCCCTGTCCCCCCCCCCCCCTTTACCCCTGCCACTGAGTCCTTTGATTGAACTACACTGCACGTACAGTAACTCCGAGGTCTGCTCCCGAGCCTGTCCACGCGTGAATTAATTCCCGTCCTCGCGTCCGTCCCACACCCGCGAATCAACAGAGCCACCGGCCATGTGGGGACCTCATTCATCGACGGAATCGTCCAGGCCTCCGGGTCTTGACTATGCGGCATGCACCGTCTGTCTCTCTCTTGTCCGTCCCCTCGTCCTATTTTTGGCTGGCGTGGAGCCCCCTGACCCTGGGGGCATGCGATCATCATCACGATCTCCAGGGCTCCTGGGGCTCACCTGTGCCTTGCAGCACTTTTCCACTCCCGACGCGCTTGCTTGCATCCAAGGACCCATCATACCGGTCCATGATCTACGGTATGCCTGGAGGCAACCCTGAAGACACCGCACACGACACCCCGGCCCAGCCCAGCCCAGTGCAGATCTGCATTTGCAGGTTTCCCCCCAAAAGGACCCTGGGATTCCCTTTCGTCAGACCCTCTGGCGGTTTGCGCTGACAGTCCTTGGCAAGCACAGCGGCACGTCACCCAATGTCATGCTGATGGGTTCCAACACCAATGCCTGCTCGTTTTGGCAGGCCCAGTCTAAACATCATGCATGATCCAATGCCTCATGGCATCACTGCTCACCACTAGCTCGACAGTTGCGTCAATGTTCCGTGAAACTTTCCAGCCCTGATTGAGGCAGACGTCAGATGCCATCCCGCGCCAACCTCCTTTTTCGCCGTCTCCTCCGAGAAACATTGGCGACAAAGGGCCTCTTGTTAGTTCAATTCGAGTTTTTTGGGTCCAGGAATCGCCTCCCGGAGGAACCGCCGTGCATTGCGGCGTGTCACATTGCAGCATTGCGGCCCGCAGTGAACACCCGACACTTCTCCCGCTGCAGAAAAAACAATCAATGCTTTTGCGATAGTATGTGGACTACCATGTGCAGCGGGCCGTGCAATGCGGCCGCCGGACCCCTCCTGCTCTCAGGCCATCCTCGAGCCTCAGTGCGCCAAGTCGATAGTTTGCTCCGAGTAGTTGGGTACGGTGTTTTCCGTTACCTAACGCCATGCTCGTGTTGGTGAGGCGTGCTGGATGCAGGTATGAGGACACACACACACACGCAACTACCAGTGCAGAGTCTGTCCCGCATAGTTGCAACGGCCCCCAACGACGCCGCCGCAGCATTCGCTAATCGGTCCGCTCCGGGCACGAACGTGGTCAGACTCGTTGTCGTGGACAGCCAACTCCGCGTGCTAGCAATCTCGGGCTGCAGGAGCTGAAGAAGCACGTCCAAACTCTGCATGCTTGGTCTGCTTACTACGGGTTTCACGATGCGTTCTGGATCTTTCCGTGCATCGCTCTATTGGCGTTCTTCCGTACCAACTCTCTTTATCCACCCCACAACCATCCTGCCCTCGGAGACGCCAACGCGCCGTCGTGGTGGCCCCCTACTATGGCTGTGCGTCTGAGCGGTATTCTATTCCGAGCGTAACTCACGAGTCAGCACGGGCGAGCTGGTAGGTAACACTGTTTGCTGCTCTAGCCTACCTGGTACTCTGCTCGGTTCACCCTGGAGATCTCGACTCACTCGCGGACTGACTAAACAACACCGGTAGTACATCAGCCGTGGTTCACATGCTGGACTCCCCTGAATCCGACGCCTGATTCACCCATCGTCAGGCAATATCTGCACTGCATGACTGCGCATGGAAACCTACCGACCACACGGTCTTTCGGCAACGCGGCAGCCGATGACAGCCTGGCAAGGGAAGGTGTTGCCAGCGATTCGGTCATACACGCTACGCTGCTAGACGTTGCTCTGGGGCGGGCTGCCCTTCCCAGAGTCCTACGGAACACAAGACGGCGACAATGGGCGAGGCAAAAAGAGGGCAAAACGAATGTCCTCGGATACGGGGAATCGAACCCCGAGCTGGTGAGTGAGAGTCACCGATGTTAACCATTACACCATATCCGACTACGGTGTGAGGACCTGTTGATATTTTCATGGATTTTCGTGGGCTACATGAATCAAGGGCAAGGCGGCTTGGCTGTGTGGAGCCGTCTTCAGTTTTGACAAGTCGGAGTGACCCACCACCCACCAGCCCTGAACCCAACAAGGTTGCCCATTTTCGATCAACTATCACTCCCTGTCTTGGACTTGGTCGACTTTGAACGCCGGACCGACCACCTCGACATGGTAACAGCCTGCTTCCGCGCCATATATGCTAGATACGGCCAATGCTTATCGTCCTCTTGCTGCGAAGGTGACTGGGTGTAATGGCTGTTTCCCACAGGGGAGACATCCAGCTCGAACACAGGCTGCATCGAATCCGCGGGGGACGCGATCATGTTATCGAGTTCGTGAATGACGGGCTGGATGGTCTTGCTGGGCAGGGTCTTCTGCTCGAACATGGTTGCGACTTGCTGGTTCAGAGGCGTGAAGGGTGTGTCTACGGTGGGCGACGCCTGCACCGGGCTGGGCAGGCTCACCTGGCTCGAGTGTCGGCTGAGGCCCGGTGGCGAGAGCAAGGGCGAATACGGCGAGAGCGGTGATACAGCATGCGCAGAGTTGCTCGGGTCGAGAGTCGCCGATCGCGCCCGTTGCGAGACCTCTGGGATCAAGGCCTGGAGACCAACAAGCGGAGGCAGAGGGGTAGTGGTGATCCTGGGACGTCGGGAGCTGCTGTTGAAGCGAGAAAGCGGAAGTTCGCGCGTGACCATACCACGCGCCGTCGGGTGCTCAGTGTCTCGTGCGCCGTGTCCGGCTTCTTTTACCTGCTCTGAAGTGGAGTGGCATGGTGGTCCGGGGACACCGTTCTGTCTGCACTGCTGCCGCTTGGTTCGGTTGCGGGTAAGTTGGTTGCCCAGGGCCCATGATGCGCAGATCCAAAGGTTTGTATGTCAAGTGAGGGTGAGTTCGAGGGGTTCCTTCGTTTCGAGTCCTTGGACGAGCGGTAAGCCCACTCATCATCTCGCCAGGCCATGATCCGACGGATTGCTCGGAAAAGGTAAGTGTCTCCGACTTGCCGTCGTCGTGCTCGTTGATAAACGGCATCATTATAGCTCCAGATGGTGATGATGATGTGATAGCAACACCAATCTGTGCGTTCTCTGCTGTGTTGACAGCTGGTGTCGTCACAGACGCGCAGGGCACCGCTTGCAAACACCTCCTCGGCCTCTGCAGGATTGACTGTATCAGGCTGACATTCTCGAACTCGCTGTGCCGCTGCTGCCACCACGACCCGGTTGCATCATGCCTCCTCCTATCATCCTCGCTGATGTCTGCCGAGCCGTAGACGAGGAACTTTTCCAGCTGGTCGAGGGCAGACAGAACGGCGGTATGCTGCGCGGTCAAGGCCAGCGTCCAGGAGAACAACTCGTCTGGAGACAGGCCCGGTCTTGCGGCTGCGGCTGCCCCTGACACCGGCGAAGAAAGGCTACTCCTTTTCCTCAGGTTCTTCAGCCGTATTATTGAAGTCCGTGGCGGCTCGCACGGCGGCCACCGATGCCGCTCCAGGAACGGGCCGAGCTCGTAAATGCTGCGCGTGGCGGCTGTGATTGCACCATTGATCTGGCTAAGCACCGGCCGGGCGGTGTCAATCTCCTCGAAGGCCTGAAGATTGTCGTTTCGTAGTGAAATGAGATACTGGGTGTCATTCCGCAGGATCAACACGAGATTGAAACAGGCCTGAGCCTCGTCAGAAGTCGAAGTCCGAGGTTCGGATCTGGCCTCATGCTCGGAGGAGGCACGGGGGGTTTGCGGCTGGTGGTCGCTCGCGGGCGGAAATGTGCTGGCCCTCCCCAACAGCATCTTCGGGTAAACTCTCTGTACGATGGAATTCCAACAATCTCCCTCGCCCATCCTTTCAAATGCAAGAGGAACTCCTAATCTTTTCAGCTCTCTCTTGTCGCCGCCAACGTGACAAGGAGGAAAACAGTCAGCACGGAGCGGGGGACCGCTTATTGAGACAGAACACCCGGTGGTAAGACTTTAAGACCCGGGTGCCAACTTTTTTTTTGTTCTGTCATCTGTCTTTCGATGCCCGTGGCTGGGTCGGGCCCGAGGAAAGCCACGCCCTCTCACAAGCCGACCTTTTTGATCCCAAGAAAAACAAGGGCGAATCATTTCTCCATTGGTGTGTGGGCTTGCATGGAGGGGCTCCGGCCGCAGGAGGCAGGCAGGCCATATATTGCGGCCATGCACGCGGGCAGGCTCGCAGGCCATTGGCCACTTGGCATGCAGAGCGAGCAGCATTGTCTACGCATGGAGAAAGTCAGCACAAACCAGCCCGGCACGCCATGCAGGTCAGCCAGCGCACGCAAATGCAAGGGAGGGAGAAACGCGCGCAAAAGACAACAGCACTAGCAAGCAATCGGGCTGCGCTTGCGCTTGTTTGCCGGCGCGCGGCCCACTCAGGTGACAGGTCCTCCTGCATGTTACCAAAGGTAGGCGCAGTGGTTCCCCAAAAGGCGGACTAACGATATGCTGGCGGGCTCAAACGGGACACTGGTGGCTCGGCTGCCTGCTTTCTCGCTGTTTCTTGTTGCGGCCACGCTGTAACCCGAGGCTTCCAATTCCTCATCACCGCCACCGCACCGTTCGTGGGGTTGGGCAGCAAGTTCTTTGCTTTCCCACGCGGTCCCGTGGCCCCGGTCCCTGCGGGTCCTTAGGATTCATTCCTTCGCGAGAACAAGTGGATATCACGGCAGGCTTCAGTCCACACCCGGACCCGAGACGGCGGTCTACAAAGGCGAGGATCAAATTTATGTGGACCCCGATCCTAATTCTCATGATTTTCCCTCCCCCTCTCCATGCCTATCGATTTCCTTGTCTAATACTGTAATACTGCGTTTCGTTGGGTATTTCCCCCCTGCCACACCGGTCCCATCAACGGGTTACACGCGATCCAACTCGGGAGGGATCGTCATTTCCGGCTGACACCTGACGCCCTGACTGTCGCTTACTTTCACCAATCCCGGGCACACCACGACGTATCTGCCATCCCCTGACCCGAACTCCCATGTGAAATCTTCCGGCTGGGAGAAGATGGTATGGCCGATTAGTGCGCACTCGGTTACAACGTTCTTCAGATTATGTTCCTGGTCTTTGCGGTTCTTCTCGTCGACGAAGACCCATAGAAATCGATTCATCTCCTTGACGAGCTGTCTTGCCCGCAGGTCTATTACTGCGTAGTAGGGGACGCTTGACTGGAGCAGAAAAGCTGTGAGCTGGCGCCAGCGTGTGAGGGCAACGGAGATGGCTGGCGAACTTGTCAGTTGACCTGCGTCTGCGTCTCAAGAGTGGAGGTGTCCCGGGAAATACCTTCAGGGTCGCCCACGTCCTTTTCGCATGGCGGCATCTCTTGCACCAAGCTTGAAACCGAGGGCGGTAGCATTGATATTTTACCAGCCCACTTGACCGACAGGCTCCCGAATATAACCCTCGCGATGATATGCTGCAGAGCTGTAACCCGCTTATTTGGATCCATGGCCATGGCCTCCAGCTGACCGGTCGTGGGCACCGTGCTTTCCCCGCTGCGAAGGCCCAGATTCCATAGCACCAGGTCCAGCGGCTCTCTGGGATGCCTCACACCCGTGACATAGTTTTCCTCGACGTGCTGCAGGATCAGACGGCCCAGGCGCTCCAGCTCAGTCTCCAACTCCTTGTCCGACTTGGGCACCGACAGGAACTGGTCCAGGTCTGAGACACCCGCGACCGGCTCGATGGGCGTGGCCATGGCGGCTCGGGAATCGGGGCTCCTGACCCCGGCGGGTGGCTCGACCTCCTCTCCCGCGGCGGGTCTCTTGCGCTTTCCGGGCATGAAGACGGAGGCTAGCAGGCCGATGATCAGCCCTGCAATGGGACACCCTACCGCGATCCCTAATACGGCACCGTTGCTGAGCCTATTGCCTGGGATAGAGGCCGGGGCTGCAGGGAACGAGGCGTTGGTGATCCGGGTGTCTGGTATGATAGTGGCGGAAGTACCGGGCGTTGTGGGACTTTGGAGTATACTTGAGGCAGATACTATTTAACACGAAGAAAGTTGTAAGGCTGAACTGCTGAATGTGCTCGGCGCCGGATCCGAGAAGGATGTCAAGCTAAGAAAGACAGAAGTGTTCGGTGGGGATGGAGCAGGCGGACTAGATACCAGACCTGTTTATACCACGGCACTTGCACTTGACGACGCTGCCACGAGACCGACGTCGGTCGTCGTAATTTCGACAGGTGCGTCCGCCGCCATCATCGAAGCAGCCGCGTCCCCAGCAGGGGCAGCAGCAGGAGCGTTCGGCGCTGCGGTAGTAGATAATGAGGTCATGCCGTCCGTGGCGTTTCGAGCAGTTGTGCTTCACGGAAGGAATCGGCCGGAGTTCTGACTGGGAATTGAGCGGTCAGAACATCTTAACGCCAAGTAACGGCAGTTGCTGACTTGATATCGATACATATCTCAAGGGTAAACAAGGACTGGAAAGGGAAGTGACAGGTCAGGTGCAAATATGCAAGATGCAAGCGATATGCAAGACCTGGCTGAACAACCAGGGTGGGCTTTCAGCTGTTGACTTTGCCCCACCCGCACTCTCCCCTTTTGACAGACCGACAACGGTGCGATCTGCGGAATCGACCGTAGGAAAGAACAATTGCGACTGGTCATTCTTGCTGGTCTCTTTTCAGTTGAAGTACCGGGCTGTGATCGCGGCCAACACTGCACTGGCCGCCTTTGCTGTGTACAGAAGTGCGCTTCGAAAAGGGAAAGGAAGATAGCGTGCATCTGCGTATCTCGTGACCTGTCGCGTTTATAAGGTTACCTAGGTGTAGATATGAACGCCGCTGTTGGTGCGCACGTGCAAGGTGATCGGTCCATCCGTGATCAAGGACCACATGTCCAGCGGCGGGCGTTTTCGGCCTTCTCGGAGCTTGTACGCATGATGTGTCAGGTGTAGCAGTCTCCGAGGGACTAGAAGTAGATGGACCGCCCCTGGGCCACAGCTACAGAGGCCCTAAATAATGAGAGAACCAAGGTTGTCATGAAGCGATGTTTTCCTCAGGATGGTACAGCTGAGGCCTGACCAAAGGGGGGGGGGGGTTCAAGATTCTGTGACGCAACCTGTTCAAATGATTGATTCGCCTTGATGTTGGGCATATTTGGCAAACAATCGGAAGGTAAGGCAAAAATTTAGAACTTTGAGTTGAACAGCAAGGCCTACGTTTTTGACTTGTAAGCTTGATGAATTCCAGAATTACCTGAACACATCATGAGTAACTGAAATGCCAATCACAGACCAGGGAGTATCATTCAAATATCACGAGCTCCAAGGGTCACCACCCCTCTTCTGCCCCCTTCCATCTGAACTGTCAATTCAGTCGAGAGTAGTACTGGACGGTTCTGGCGCTTGTGCTGTGCCGCTGGCCATCTTCAACTTGAGGGGCTCAAGTAGACCAATTGGAGCAAGGAGTCATATGCAGTTGGTGAGTGAAGCCCTCCAGGAAGCAGGCCGAGCCCGGGCTGTGCTGCAGGGGCTTCACCTTGATACGTCGCAAGCTGTCTGGATCTGCCCGAAGTGGGAATACTGGCCGTATAGCTGCGTGTGTGGGAAGGCTGGCAAGGCAGAACTCTGCGTGAGATGGTGTGAGCTGGCGCTGGCCACCGTTGCAATGTTTGGAGTCACCTCCTGACGCGGCCTCTAGGCCACCGCTCCAATCAATGCTATTATCCTGCAGTCTACCTCAAGTATATAGTCAGCCTGCGTCGTAATTCAAAGTTATTATCCCAAGAATTGGTACTGAAAGGCATCGCGCCCAGAAGTCCGAGGCTCATCTGGATCCCAGAATTTGATTCAGCTCACAACTATATCCTTCGGCCCTTTCCTTTAGTTCCCCCTCTGAACGTGAAGAACTTGCTTAGAAGGAACTCATTTATCCTAACTTCCTTGACGGTTTGCTTCCGAGAAATGACCCGCGTGATGAGGATCTCCAATTGACCTACCTTTGGCTCTTTCGTCTCCTAATTGAATTGTAGACACTCCCAGTCAGGTCGAGGCTATCCCGATCCACATCCGGTCCATCGAGAGGTATCACGCCTTCTACCACAGTGCTCCCCGAGTGGCTTCCTCCGACGCGATCTCCGACGGACCTGCCGAGACCAACAGTAACCCATCCAATCCAGTTGTTTCTGAAGAGAATGATGAAGGCTGGCAGACTCCCTTTCCGTCAATAGAACGCAGTGCAAGCCCAACATGTACAGCCACAACTGATCTGAACAGTTCACCGGTTCTGGCTCCATCACGGACTCCATCTGACGTCCAGGAGCGGAACAATGGGACTCCCACCGACCGCGAGACCAGTAGCTGGCGGCCGCAAGGGGGACGGGCCTGAGCTGGGCGCAGGCATGTTCATCTTGCCGGGCCTGGTGTTCATCGAGGAGCCCGTTACGGCCGCGGGCGGCGTCAGGGGCTCCGACGCCATCACGCGCGAGTTCGATGCCACGTACGGCGCCGGCAACGGCGAGGCGGTCAGCGTCGCCCAGGCCACGGCGCCGTTTGCGAGGCGCATCGTGCCGCTGCTCCAGATGATGCCGCGGCCAGAGGGCATGCCGCCGCAGAATGCGCCACCTTTGAGTAGCATCGGTGTCATCGAAAAGTGGCTGAAGAGGGAGTATGTGGTTGATGGTGAGAAAGGGTCCAAGATAACGGTGGAGGGCGTCTGGCTGGGCGGCGAGACGATCACGCCGGCGCTCTGCAACCATGTCTGGACGTGGAGGGACCAGATGACCCCGGCGGCCGTGTTCAATACGGCATACTACGAGGAGGATTTCGTGAAGCAAGTTATGGGTACGTACTTGAAATGGTATCGGGGCGACCCAGATTTAATTCCTAACCCTGCTTAACCATCTCGCTGCTTACTACCTGCAGAGATCAGGCACCAGTCGCAGATCCAGAGGCATTACGTATAAAGAACGAAGGCCAAGTTCTCTACTTTGAAGACACAAGTCACTGTTGTCATCTTCGCTTTGAGACAAGTCAATTGTGCAAACAGTTCGTGCCATGGTTCTCGACATTGATCCGGCCAACGTCCTGCGGGAGCGAGACCTGGAAACGGTCGAGTACGACCTATACAGGTCTGCAGCCGAACTCGCTGTCCTGGGGGAGGTTGAGTCTGCGCGTGATCTGGTAGGCGTTCTGTATGCAGGAGGGAGCACCGACTGGACAATTTGGTTGGGCGGACCGGCGACTTATGGTGGCCTGGAAAGCATCTGGAAAAGTCCCCCAAGGGCTCAGTGGTCAGAAAGTACGGCAGGCAGCAGACGAAGTGAAAGAGAGCTACGAGGATGATTCTGAGAAAGTTATTTATTTTCCCCAAGTCTTGCTCTCGAAGATGTTCACTGTCAATTGTGATGCTAAGGATACGCAGGAAATCACGTTCGATGCCAACTACCTGGAGAAGTGCCTGGCCACCATTCGTGGGAACGCCGGTACTCCATACCCAGTTGGCACAATTGTCAAAGCTCTCGCTATTTCTTTGACTCTCAATTCAGGCCCAGCCAGGAACAATGTCTTTGCGAAGTGGCGCTCAAGTGCCCAAGACTACTGAAGACTTGGGCCGCCGTCTCAGCGTCTCTGACCTTGATGCGACCAGCATGGATTTGGTCAAGATGGTTGCCGCTGGATGGAGTCGCAGGCTGATCGATGCTCTTGTGGTAGCCGAACAGCTCTGGCCGTATTACATTTGTGGCTTGCTCGCGGACACCGTTGGAATTGGTGCCGAAGAGCTCAGGTCAAAGGGCGAAAACCTGGTCAGGGCATTTTCTGCTCGCCTCAGCCGTGGATACGTGGAGAACCGACTCGAATCGAAGACTTTGAAGGAATTGCTCGATATTGGCGAGAAGAACACCCTCACTGGCCCCGGCTTACGGCGCTGGAAAGAAATGGGCGGCGGTATCCCAGAGACAATGTTTAAGAAACCGGCAACAAGAGAACAAATATCCGAGCTGGAGAGCCGTCTGGAAACTCATCTGACACAAGACTACAAAGGGTTTCTGAGCATCACCAATGGCTTTGGTAGTGGCGACGACATGCAAGAGGGAGTGTACAACGGATACTTTCTCGACCCCGAATTGTTTGCCACGGACAAAGTGGCGTGGCTATCCGAGGATTGGATCGCGCTCCCCTTCGAAATGCTGAAGATCCCGCGGGAAATTGAAGATCCGTATAGGAAACCTTCGGAAGCTTGGGATACAGCCATGCCGCTGTTGAATCGAGTTGTTCATATTGGCAACAGAGACATAGACGACTTGTGGCTGGTGCATCCGGACTTGGTACAGAAGGCGAAAAGGGCGTACCTCGAGATGCTGGAAAACGGGGACGAGATGCAGAAGAAGATCCTCCAGAGAGCCATGAAAGACTTTGCGGGGAGTATGGAGCGATTCACGGAACTGGAGTGGTGCTGTGTCAAGAATTCTTCCGGAGGAGCAGCCACCTCGGCTGTGTTTTCAAGTTTCAGATCGTACCTCGAGAGTGTGGTTGAGGCTTCAGGGGAGGACAAAATGTCATCCACAAATAAGCCATGGTATGCTGATTAATGACTAAGTAGTTTCAATAAATGGTTGGCTCTGTCATACAAGCCGTTGGTGATCAGTTCAGGCTTTTCGTGTTTCGGCGGCGCAAACATGGTTCTGTAATCGTGATTGGACGTAGTCCACCCACACGCCCCCCGGGGGGTTCGTGATGGTGTGGTTGTCCTGGCGGCCTGGCTGAGGGCTCAACAGGAGGGGGCTGAGGTCCTCCGTCTCCAGAGGTAGGATTGTCTGGTTGAACGCCCAGTAGATGACCTGGCCGCCGACGACCGTGGTCAACTTGTAAGTCACATCCGCAGCCTTCGGAATGGTATCTGGGAGGTATGGCTTGATCGCGTTGGGATTGAGGACCTTGACGTTGGCCGTGGTGTTTTGACCAACCTCGTTGATGTATGGCATAGTCGGTTGTGTCGATTGGATTTCCCCGAGGATCTGAAAATCAAGGAGCGCGTTGGCAAAGATCATCTGGGTGTCAGGTGGTACCCGAGATCCGCATCATGTACTTTTTAGGCTGCTCGAGCTTGGCAAGAAGCGTGTACCGTTGCCCGTTGTAGATTTCGAGTGACTGCACCGCCTCAGGCTCGGTGTAGTTACCGTCAGCAGCAATCACGTACATGGTCAGTTCGTCAAGCGAGAACTGGATCTGTTGAAGAGACAAGGAACTAATCAAATCGAACATGACCCAAGTTTCATCACTTGCGGACTTTTGAGAGGCGTTGATGACTTCGATGGAGCCTTCTGTCGCGCTGCAACCGTTGAAGAATTCAGGAGGGATAGCGGCGTAATTTGGCGGTGGCGCACCCGGGGCAGCCAGTTTCGTAATCACTGAAGGAGGAGCACACGACTTGTCTGTCAATACTGTTCCCGGCACAAGGCTCAGAAGCATCTGCCGATTAGGAGTGATGAGGGCTGCCTGCTGCTCCCTGGACAAACAATTGACTTTGCCCTTCCCATTAACCAAGATGGAATCCAAGCAGGGCGTGTCGACGCCTGATTGTTGTGACGACTCCCCTTGAGATATGCCAGGTGTGCCATCGGACCAGGGGTTCTGGAACATCTCAATACCTAGTCATCGCCAGTCAGCCAAACCGTCTTCCATTATGATGAGTTCTTGGGTCTGGGTATGCACCATGGTAGTGAATGGTCGTGTTGAAGGGTGAGGAATTCCTTAGCTTGACGACCACGTTGTCTCCCTGGATGAGTTCCAATTTGGGGCCTGGAAACTGGCCATTGACCATAAACATGTTACGCTCGACGCCATCCGGTGCGTTCTGGGCCCATGTGACGGTGAAATCAAAGTGGCGAGTTGAGGGTTCCTCGCAGGGATCGAACAAATTGGCCTCCGTCTCAGTCACATCTGGTAAACTGGGGATTCCTAAGACGACGGATGATGCCAAGAATACGGCGGCCAAGAAAAGAGCCTTGAGCCGAAACGAGAACACTTGTTGAGCCTACACAGTGGTTCAACAGTCAAGAGTGGATGAGCAAAACTTGGCGGAGGCTGAAGCATCAAGTAGTAAAAGGTGCCGTCGCAACTCATGATCATGTAAATCTATCGCCATGCCCCGGCGTCGTAAAGTTAGACGATGTCATAGCTACTCTCTTCGGCGTTGATACCGAACACCAATTTCGAGATTAATACTACCCATCAGCCTCGCAACTCATAGTTATGAAAGTTGCATCCGTCGGCATTGTTAGACGATGCAACTTTCAGCATGTTCGGCGCTCATACTTAGGCCAAGAACCCGATGAATGATAAAAAGGTATAAAAAAGATCAGAACAAAGGTTAGGATGCCAAGTTGTTTACTTTTTAAAGTTTGTAAAGCAGAACCCGTTGGATAGGCGATTGGACCACGACCTGAAGACCCGACGCACAGACTTCGGGTTCTAGGGCAGCTCCATCCGGGATACGGCAGATCTGCTTGATGTACAACACAGACGTCTCTTCGCATTGTCCGAATGGTGGCCACGGCGTGTTTTCTTGAGGAGCCTCAACCGGGTTTTGTTGTTTACATGATCTCTCGGCCGGTTTGGCCACTAATTCCTCCCACCCGGACGTGGTGGTGTTCTTCGGTCCCGCAGCTTTGCATATGCTCTCGGCTACGCAGCGGCACTGCAGCCCACAGACCCGTTATAAGAGCACCTATAGTATTATGCTTAAAACACAGATTAAACTTTATATATAGCTTGTAAGCCGCTGCTGACGCTCAAGCGCTGATGGAATGCACATTTCAAATGCTTAGGAGCTACTGCAGATAGCGGTATAGCCGAGCTGTATCTAGACTTGACTGTCACAGTATCAGGATTTCCTGTATAGTTGACGTAAGTACTACTGCTTGATTTCGCTAGTGTTCACAATTCTGTAAAGAGTGCTTTTTCCCTCTCGGTAGGCACTATTAGCTCTGCAGAGTTGGTGGAATTTGTCGTACAGGAATTTACCAGACTGCACTTTAGAGTTAATTCAAGAGAAAGCGCACCAATAAACGAACAGATGATGGTTCGCCACGGCGCAGACTAAATTTATTGTTCTCCTCGGTAGGCCAGGGCGCGTTTGCGACATTGAAGCAAATTATCTCCCAGTGGCTGGCCGTTGAATGCCAGTGAGGCGCACTAGTACGGTCACACCACTCTGGTCATCGTCGAACACACACTTGAGCATGGTGCTATTGGAAATCCCGGGCAGAGCCAGTCTGATTACTCTGCAATCAAATGCACATCTATGTCGATCTCATCATCCCAGCCCTCTTTTCTCAAAGCCCACCAAACATTCGCATCACAACCTTCTGGGTTCCCACCTCCATGTTCACGTCTCCCGTGTAGCCGACCATGCCCTGACCAAAAGGTGCAAAGGCCACAGCAGTCTCGTTCTGATTGACGGGCTCGGGGGCAAATACCAACGACTGTGTAAGCGAGTCCTCAGTGGGCAGATACCAGGCGTGCTCGCGCTGCACCCTCTTCAGGAACACCGCCTTCTGGCTGTACATCTTTTGCAGCGCCGCCACCTGCCCCTTCAGGGTCGAAGCAGACTCGTTGAGCGTGAGGTCCGTCCGGTGGTAGGAGCCCGGCTGCCAGGGCAGGCCCCACGCCTGCTTGAAGAAGTCCTCCAGATCGTCCATGCGGATGTTGCTGGAGAAGCAGTAGCTCATGACGACGGTGCCGCCAGCCCGCGCGTACGCCACCACGCGGTCCAGGAGCGCCTTGTTGCCGGGCTGTGATACGCCGGGATCGGTGACGAGGATCCCGTCGGGCGGGGACGCGGCGTTCTTGTCGAGGTAGCTGAGGGCCCCTTTGGCTGTGCGGGCGCGCTTGAGGTCGGCGTAGTTCGAGAGGTGGTCAAGGCCGGCGCCGAAGCTGGTGGGATCGTCGCACATGTCTTGCATCCATTTCTCGCCGATGGAGAGAATGAGGATGACGGGCTTTGTGGATGTTGCCATCTTGCTCAAGGGTGAAGTATTCCGCGGCAAACGAGTGCTTCCTGGGCGCTGCAGTTGTGGTGCGTCAACAGGACGTATGACTGACTGTCGTAGTTCTCAATGAGTTTGAGACGCAATATAAGATTGGCGAACACAGCGTGGGTAGGTTGTTCCTTCCATCTTAAAAGTAAAGAGTGAGGAGAGGGCATGGAACTTGTTCAAGTTTGTTTGATCCCTTGTTGGGCGTTTGTTTAGGTAAGCAATCGGGCATCAATTGTGTCCCGTTTGCCTGATAGCAATGTTTGTTAAGTATCCTAAGGCACTGAAGTAATCGGCTTTTATTGCGTTTATCCAGAATGGTTGTCTGGCGAAAGTCATATGAGACTGCAGGAGAAGTGTGTAGAAGCTCCTAACTTTGTCGCAGCATTGTACCTGATACCGAGTCAAGGACGCAGTCAGAGTACCTGTTTTGGCCCGTCTCTCAATCTGACACTTGGGTAGGATTTCCTGATGAAGGACTGGCGTTTGCCAAATATATAGCAACTGGGTAAGAACAAACAGGGCAGTCGACACACAACTACAGCACGTTTTCTATGTTGTGCAATTGGCTTGTCCGCACTGCCTGCGCAGGAACTTGAAGTGCATGGGTGACACTTGAACTGTACTTCTCTTCGACCAACCTCAATGGATCTGCATGGGTAGGAATGGCTTGACACGTATTCCTAGCTTTTGTCTTCGCGCCAAAGTGGCGATGGGCTCCAAGTGGGCATTGGAAAGGCGGCGGCATTTACACCATTTGGACAGGGTCGCTTTGCTTGTCTGGGCCGCGCCTGACCAAGCAAAAAGTGGCCCTCATTCTGACTCGTCTCATTTGGCTCTTTGACAATAACCTTGGTGGTGGAAGAGGAAACGCCAAAACTTGAAGAGGGCCGGGAGTGCTCAAGTGGTGCCTGGACGAATTCCAGCTGATGGACTGCTTTGTTGGCGACGGAGATGATTCGTCTGTACTTTTCAAGTTCAGGGCGCTATGGAGGACACGAGGGCAGAAACGCAACCCACGGTACTATCTACATGCCATGCTGCATATTCTCTCGTGCTGTAGAGCACTTGCAAACACTGGCTAATAATGACCTTCAACTATGATTGAAGTTGCTCCTCCGCAAGAACTACCGTAGCTCTAGTGTTGAAGGACCGAGAATATGGAGCAAGAGCCGAGCGCGTTGTGGAAAATAAGTCTCCACCGCGTTGACCTGATCTGTAGCAAAGTACTTTTGGGATCGGCCCATGGGCGCAGAGTGCGTGACGAAGACAATCTCAGAATTTACTCCATGTGCTTGTCAGAGAGACCATGCGATTTATCTATTGGTCAAGTGGAAGGTGTGGTCCTTCCGCAAAAGCTGCTGGACAGGTCCCTCTACGAAGGCGACGATGTGCAATCAGATGCAAGGGAACCAGGCAGGGCTCGATAGTCACAAGGCGGTTCTGCGCTCACTGTGAACATGCCGTTGTGGAAGGCATCCGCTTGGTGCAGATCATTACCGCAGTGATGGACACGTTTGCGTCCTGGAAACGTGGACTGCACGTTAGTTAGTACACGTGTTTCTCCCTGTACGCTGGATCGTCGCTTTCAGCAGTGTAATTTTGCCCCATAGGAGATACTAAACAAGATGCTAAGGTCGTCACGAGTTTTATATGTGGGGGTGCTCAATTGGTGGGTGCAGTTTGGCATCTTAAGAATGGGATAAATACAGAAGGGCTGTGCCACCCGGAATAGCAACCAGTGGGCCGAGCAGGCAGAAGAATTGCAGTGACACTTATTCCTCGAGGTTCAAGGGTCCTGTTGTCTTTCAGGGCTGACAGAAGCGCCCCTTTCCCTCTTCCCCGGCCAATCCACGGGTGGCTCTTTCCTCCAGAGCGAGGGTAGGATTGCTTGCCCGTGGCCCGCACTTCGCCTGCCCCACAGTCCAATCACATACCGCCAATCCTTCGACCATCACCAACTTCCCTCCGTAGCCAACGGCAGTCATGTCTGATGGAGTGATGGGGAGGGGGGACCACCTGCTGACATGTCATGCGATTCGAGCATCGTTGCAGCTCTGGCGAGCCTGGGTTAATATCCTCAACGAAAGTCCCAAGTGATCAGCATGCGCGTTTTCAGCTGCATGGGGTGTCCCGCCCCCCCCCCCAGCGCTCCTTCCCCCCCCCCACGGCAGCCAGCCCGGCTGTGCCACAAACGTGCGTGTGGAAACGGTAGGATTTGACGTCTTACCTCCATTGGCATTGGGTCTCACCTCAAACCCCCTCCTCAGCTCCGACGACACACGATCCTCGCGGGCTGCTTACATTGACAGACACGTCACTCCAAGGGCTTGTGGGCGCCTTTGACTCCGACTCTTGCCGTCCAGCTGAAGCCAGACCGTCCGTCCCTTTGTCGCCGGCAGTCGAGCGAGGCGCCGGTTCCCCATCGGGCTGAGGGTCCAGGACCACCTCCTTCGCGGCTGTTTAATATTAGAGTTCTGACCCCTGGCTTCCTCTGGCACCCGCCGCTAGAATCGCTAGAATCGCCATGCCTGCGGCTGAGCTGGCCCTGCTCCAACGTCTCCATACCCTGGCGAACTTCATCTCGATTCCGACATCCAAGGGGTGTGAGTGATTGGCGCCTCACCGCACCCGGTGCCCCGGCGTCTACGTACCCAAACACCTGCGCCCGGAGCGGTAGCACAGCGAATCGTGTTGCACCGACGTTTATATACTGCCGACTTTGCTGTTTTACCTCCCGAGTCCTGTCCTCCGAGGACTGCTCTGCCGAGACGTGCACATTGGTCACACTGCTTCTGTTTGCCTGCTTGCCTGCCTGCCTGCCTTCCTTGATTTCATCTTCTCAAAGTGTGCCATTTCGCATGTCCGGTAGATACCCTTGATACCCCCGTATGCATAAGGAGCAAAGATGGAGCACAGCACGAGGCCAGATATCATTGTGGCGGTGGACTTGGGGTCGACATTTACAGGCGGGTCTCCATCCTCCCTCGGACAACTCTTCCCCGGCTGACACACAAGAAGGCGTGGCCTGGGCCCGGCCGCAGGCTACTAATGCTCTTCAGAGCCCAATACAAGTCATCTACAACTGGCCAGGGTGCTCAACAAGGAACGAGCAGAAGGTCCACACGTGCCTGGTCTATGGCCGGGATGAGAGGCCGACCTCTTGGGGCTTCATCTGCGAGGACGATGATGAGTTTGAAATGAAGCGTCGGGAGTTCTTCAAGATATTCCTCGACAAAATGAATCTCCTGGAGGCACAGATAAAGGGCCTTCAAGGTGCCCCGGAGTCTGTCGCCCAAGCCCAGAAGTTTGTCACGGACTACCTCAGCGAGGTCTACGTCCACGTCAAGTCGACGATAGAGCACCAGACCGGCATCGGGCCTTTTACAGGGTGGAAGGACCTCGCCGTCGAGTTCCTCTTCAGCGTGCCGACAACATGGCGCAGCTTCGAGATAATCAACACTTTCAAGGAGGCCATCAAGAACGCGGGATTCGGCGCCGAAGGCCCCAGGCACGCGGCCACCGTGGACCTGACAGAGTCCGAGGCCGCCGCAGTGGCAACGATTAAGTCGACGGCGATCAATTTTGAGAAGGACGACATCTTCCTATCGGTGGACGCGGGTGGGGGAACAACAGACTTCGCCCTGATGCAGGTGGTTGAGACCAGGGAGCCGTTCCCGACGCTGAAGCAGCTGACGCAGGTCGACGGCGTGGGGATCGGCTCGACCCTGATAGACCGCGCTTTTCTTGACCTGGTCGAGGACAGGGTGTTTCCATTCTCCGAACTGGTCGACCAGCTGCCACCGGACTGCATCGAGAAGCTGGTCCGTAGCGACAAATTCAGGACGGCCAAGCACAAGTTCGGGGAGCGCGTGTACAACTCAGCAGTGTATAAGCTGCCGATGGAGGGTGTTGGCTATAACTTTTATCACGAGGGAGCCGGCATCGAATCCGGTAGATTTTTGTTGACGAGGTGAGTGGCATGCGCATTCTCAACCACGGTGACAGCTGATGTTAATGTTCGAGCAGGGAAGACATGCAGTCGATATTCGACCCACACATCAACAGCATGCTCAAGAAGATCAGGGAGCAGCTCGACTTTGTCCGAGTCAAAGCATTTGGAAATCCCCAAGTTGTAAGCGCAGAGTCTCTGCTAGCACCGTTTATGTCGTTACTGACATCAGCAACAGCGATTTTTGATACTCTCGGGTGGGCTCGGCAGCTCCGCATACGTACGAGACCGGCTGCAGCAAGATCTGTCGCTCAATCCCCATCCGAATGCAGTTCACATCAACATCGTACAGGCACATGATCCTCAACTAGTCGTGGTCAAGGGCTTGATTCTTGACCGACTACAAAAGCTCGAAAGCGGCGACAAGCCCGTGCTTGCCATGCGAAAGGCGAGGGCGAGCTACGGCGTGATGTGCAAAATGAAGTATAACCCAGTAATACACTTCCAGGAGGAGCTGAAAACAGATCCCTTGGACGGTCAGGTCTACGCCATGAGCCAAATAGACTGGCTTATCAGGAAAGTATGTAACCAAAGCAGAAGAATCTCGGATGGGAGTTGATCTCGCTGACTCGACATGTACACCCACAGGGCGACGATATAGATCCAAACGTGCCAATAATATCAATCTTTAACCAGAAAATAGCAAAGGGGAGCACAATACGGCACTGGGACTCCGTCATAGTGATATCTCACAGCGAAAAGGAGTTTCTCCCAGTCAGCATGAAAGACTGTAAGGCACCCCGACCAGGGCTCTGACCCACCCACGCATACAGCAGATTAAAGAAGGAACAAAAAGAAGACAAAGTCGACTAACGAGACACGAAAATCAATAGCCGGCGCGAAACAGCTCTGCACGGTCAGGTCAGACCTCTCGGGTGTGCGGGATAGCGACCTCGAGCTTGTGAAGCAGAAGAGGAGTCATCGGGCCCTGTTCTCGCGCAGCGCGCGCTGGTACAACTGCACATACGAAGTCAGGGCAGTGGTCGGCGCCGCGGACTTGACTTTCGAGCTTTGGTTCAACGAGCAGCGCTTCTCCAAGAACCACGCACCGATCAGGGTCACATGGGACGACGAGGGTACCGCGGCCCCAGCAGGGCAAGGAGGACAATATGAAGGGGCGGTGGTACTAGGAGGAGAAGGGGGAGGAGTGGTCCCCGACTCGACTGCACACGGCCGGGCCGCGGCGGTGGCTGACACGGGCAGTGCGAGCGGAAGTAGCCCCGTAGGGTCGGTTTCGGGCGTCAGTGGCCGGCCCAGTGACCTCGTGAGCCACAGCAGGTGAGTTGCTAGACCGGGGCGGTTGAGCTTCTCGTCTCAGGCGGCGTCTTCCCTCTTCCTGGTATTCGGAGTTTTGACGGATTTTATTTCAACAGCACTTCATCACTCGGGTCTTCGGAGCTGGTGAGACCGGAGTTCCACGCGGTTGTGGAGCAGTATTGATGGTGGGTGGCAGGGAACCAAGGAGAGCAGAAAGGGTTCCATAGGGGAGGGAGGGTGCGCTGCGATTCTGGGAAAGGAATTCTGTGAGAGGGACAGTCTCGCCATTAAACGTTTTCCATCACTTTTCTATTTTTGTCAAATACCTTACACCGGCCGGGCATCACTTATGGGAGGAAAAGTCGTAGGGATAGAGACGGGGGTACGGTTGGCAAGGGCATGACCAACAATGATCACAGACTCATTGGGACAAAATGGGGCAAGTTTATATGACCCACCAACATATCTGAGGACAAAGTTGGCTCGAAATCAACGCAAATTTGACAGCCCGACCGACGATGCCTTCCAAATTTTACTTGAGCAAGCATTGGTCCGCTGCTGAAAAGCTGTAGCAACGAATCCAGATACCGACTGTAAAGATCGGCGTATCAGAATGTTACAAAGAAGCTGTTGAATTTATCCCAGACTTTGTGCTTCTGCTCACAGGTGTGAAGTGTTCCTCTCACACTTATGTTCGCCCCATGTAGCTGAGGGCCCAGTTACTCAGTTTGGACACGTGAACGGGAGACATTCTGAAGAATAAACTTTTGAGGGCACAATCACTTCCTAGTCGTCAACTTCCCTATGCTGGATTTGGAACACCCCAGGTATGTAGCTCCGCAAAAAGTGCCACGCTGCAGAGACCAAGAACCTGACCTCCCCCATAGCACCGGGCCTCCTGACGACCCTTGTTCCCTCCCCTCCCCTCTTGGGCGCGGAAGCCAAAAGCTCCGACGAGTGGCCCTGTTCCTCTCCCCGCGTTTTCGCGCGTTTCAGTTTCGGATGGCAGCTGTCGATGAATATGCCCATCAGACGCCAATGCGACGCCAAGCTTTCCTGTGGTCTTGGCATCGGGTATTTCTTTTCTCTCTTGTAAGTTGGTTCCCTGTTGACAGCAGACGTCAGTTGGGAGACAGGGCCTGGCAGGGCTGGGAAAAGCTTGGCTCTTTGCTTTGCCTGGGTGTTAGTCCCCGTAGGCCTGGACTGTCGAGGCCTCCTTCGCGGGTGTGGTGGGTCCTCAGGAGCGGCGGGTCTGGGGCTCGGAGATCTTGGTGCCATCCCCACTGCCGGGTGTGTTAATCGCCGGTAACGTATTTCCAGGATTTTTCTGTGGCTCATCGTAAGTCCCACATGGAGATCAATGCAGGAAAGAGTTGGTCAGTAGGGGACACGCAGAGCAAAGTTGGAAAATGTCCAGTATATTTTCCGAGAGTAAGCAGCAAAGGCTAAGATGACTGAGAAGCCTCAAAGCCAAGCCAGCATCTGCATTTCCTCTTCTGTGCCTCCTATATATATAAAAATAATTCCAAAACTTGTTTGGTCTAAACCACCATCCGCAGGGTTAAAACTAGCACACGAGACAGTAGTAGTAATGAATAGTAGTAGTAGTCAAACCCAAGCCCCAGCCTCTCTCGTAGGACACCGAGCCTCGACAGTGATCGTATTATTATTTACCCTGAATGGAGTGTTCCTTCATGTGACGGACAAAGATGATCTGCTCGGGTCCCCGAGTGCCTCCTTCCCCTGCCCCCCTCTTATGCCCAATGTAAATACCCATGATGTGAAATTACTCCTTGCCGACGACAACTGTGTACTTGTTAGATATGTTTGATCTCATGATGCTGTGTAGGATGGAGAATGGTACGTACTGGTCTGCTCAGAGATGGCAGTGATCTGGGGGATCAGCGAGGCATCGACAAGCGAAGACAGGTCAAAGGCGCCGACGTTGTTGATGAGGCCGAGCTGCAGGGCCTGGAGGTTCAGGCTGGAGAGGTCGAAGGCGTTGAAGACGCCGAGCTGGCCGAGCTGGAGGAGGGTCTGGAGCTGCTGGAGCTGCAGGAGGGCGTTGACGTCGAAGGCCTGACCCTGGAAGAGACCTTGGAAGGCGAGGGCGTTGAAGTTGTTCTGGACAGCCAGGGTGTTGAGGAGCTGCAGGTCCAGGGAGTTGATGCGGTTCAGGTAGTTGACGTCCAGGGAGTTGAACCGCTCGAGGTTGTTGAGCTGGGAGATGTCCAGCTGACCGCGCTTCTCAGTGGGAGCGGCGGAGGCGACAGCGGCGAGGGCACCGGCGAAGATGGTAGAGAACTTCATTTTTGAAATTAAAAGTGGATTAGGAGCACAGCTGGGGATATTTGTTAGTCATGATGCCTGGGCCCTGCGATCTGGAGTGGGGTTGCTCACCTCAAGTTCAGGTAAATGGGTATCGAAGGAATGTGGAATAGAACAATGAGCACAGCTGATGAGTAAGTTAGTGACCAATGTCTACCCCGGAGTAGGAGGTGGAGAGGCTGGAGGAGGATGTGCTTACCTCAAAAGGAACGACTGTAGAGTGAATGGAAGAGGCTTGAAGACCGATGATGCTTTGGTGGATGATGACAACAAGATAGTGGCCATTGGAACAAGACCACACAGGATATTATATACAGATGGGGACGAGTATGATGAACCTGGGGTCTTGGGACGGATGAGCGATGAACCGTCTGCCAAGATTGATCAAACGACAAAGCATATCCGGATGTGTAGTGAAGGAGTCTTCCGTTGCGTATCAGACTGCATGGATAGACAGATAAACGGCAGGGATGAGACTATATGGCTAGGCCAGGGTGCATGATCATGGGGGGATTTGTGGTAAACAAGAGACATGTTGCAATGCTCTGCCCTGGTGGCATGGAGCGGGCTGAGAGACGGGACGACGGCGACGGGACGACTTTGCAAGGTAGAGCAGGAGCCCCTAGCTCGGATGCCCATCGTCCCAAGACATGACTGCTCCAGCCGACGTGTGCTCCCAGAGCCCCATCGTGGGTTGGGACTATCAAGTTGACACACGCGGAAGCCATCGTGGCCGGGGACTCGACGAGCCAAGGACTTACGGGACCCTCTCTCTGTGTTGTTCACCGTAGGGATCCTGCAGAAACATGGGCGCAGAGTCCAGGGTGGCGAAATAACCTTAATCGCAGAATGCTACCGCCTGGTCAAGACTTGGTGTGCAGCTTTGACGCCGGTGACAGGGCCTTGCATTGGGCAGGATGGCTGGCAGAAACATATACCGAGCTTCCAGCTTGGCAGGATCAAGGAAGCCAGTCAATTAGTTTACTTGATCGCCGCCATGGGTGGGTGGGGATTCTGTTTGAGTGTTGAGAATCCGACCGCCTCGCCGGCTTTTGACTAAGCCAAGCCTGTCCAGCTCGGCATGCCATGTGGCCATGCTCGGATGGGGTGGCAGAGACTCTTCCATGTCCCGCTTCTGCCCAAATGGCAAGCTGTGGGCGAGGAGACTGGGATGAAGTGAAGCAGTTGGCGATGATCCCTTTAGAGAACAAGTATGCAGTCACACAAGTCATTTCATCTTCCGCCCGCCGCAACAACTGGGTGGCGGGCAACATCAGTTTGGTTGCTAGACTAGCAAAGAACAGGACATGACATTCAGAGTTCTGTCATCCGGTCATTGGCGCCAACTGCTGTCGTCTGTCAGTCGAGTGCCCCATAGGGCAGGGCCAAGGTGCTCGGACGACAGTTGGCATTGCCCTGCCAATGGCGGTCAGGGGAGGCCAAGCAGACACCGCCCAGGTGGTCAGATGAAAGGGAGCGGGCAGTCGCTGGGCATGAGCTTGTCTGGTGGGGAAGAGGTGAGGTTGAAGTTGGGTTTGGACTGGTCCGAATTCAATCCGGATTGAGTTCAGGACCGGCTGACAGGCGTCAGGCGAACCCGCATGGGAGGGCACGGACGCCCTTTGCCTATTTAGTGGTCCCCAGGGGCTGCCGGGCCGTTCTCACTGGCCCAGAGCCCATTAAGCTATGCCCTCCCAGCAGGGGGGCACCCCAGCCAGGCGGGCCAGTCCCCCAGTCCCAATCCCACGTCGCTCGCGCCCGCCAGAGTCGCACCATGCTGCTTTGGGCCGTGATCCCCATCTCAAACTGTCGCAGTCAGAAAACTTGATGCAGGTGACTAGGTGAATAATATGGCATAGTATTCAATGGTGTCATCGCCGTCCATGCTTTTCCCTTCAGCCCAGCCATGCAGTGACAGTTGCCATCCGGAATCGCCTCTCATCCGAGCTTTTTTGAGACGACGAGGCCGTTCAGGAGGTTGTGCCCGACCCGTCCGGTGCGGTGTGGCTGATGCTCATCCCATCGCACCATGGCGAAAACGGCGATCGGCAGAGATGAGTCTGGCGGAGGGATCGGACGGGAGTTGACATCAGACGTTGGCTCAAGGCTTGGGACTAAGCAGACATTTTTCTTCCGAGTCAAGTGGTGACCTCTATTCAGCCAGAGGCGCAAGAGAATCGACCCTTGATAGCAACAAAGGCCGACTTGGGCAAGAAACCCCTTGTAGACAGCAGTAACACTTTGATATGTTCACCTTGAGGTTGAAGTTTTCTATGATTGGAATGTATAGACAATTTAGATTTTGTTTCTGCAAGACATCGAGTACAGTCATAAGTTGAATACATGGTCAAATTTCCTCACCAAACCAGTGAATGCTCATTACTACGTAGAAGCATCCAAGGCAAGGAAACCCTTCAATACGTCTGGAAAGCCTATCCTAGGGTCAAGCCTAATGTTTTGTGCATCAATATGGCAATGGCTCCGCTTTTGCAAAACTACTGGTATCAAATTGAATGCTCGTGACTGAATATCGAATGCCCTACTACCGCGAGTCCAGCGCGGCATATCACGCCCTACACTCCTCCGCGTTTGCGTCGGCATTCTATTGAGCCTTCTAGCTAGCTTGGGCCTGCTCGGCAGCTTGAGCTCGCTCGCCAGCCTTCGCCTCCTCACCGGCTTGGGCTTCCTCGCCAGCTTGAGCTTCCTCGCCGGCCTTGGCCTCTTCACCAGCTTGCGCGTCAGCATTTTCATCCGCATTCTGATCAGCATTCTGATCAGCGTTCTCGTCCGCGTTCTGATCAGCATTCTCATCCGCATTCTGATCCGCGTTCTCGTCCGCATTTTGATCAGCATTCTGGTCAGCGTTCTCGTCCGCATTCTGCTGATCTTGGTTCTGCTGATCATTGTTCTCGGCCTGGCAAGGCGGCAGGTTCTGGATGTTGGCGGATTGCCCAACATTGCATTGCCTCTTGATCATGTCATCCCGGCGCTCCCTGAGTGTGGGCAGCTTTGCACCAGGCTCACGCTTGATAATTCCTAGTCCAAAGTATTAGCTTGGTGTGCTCAACTCATCCGCGTCGCCAGGGGAAGGGGGAATGCAGCAGCAACGGGAGACTCACCGGCGTTGAAAACGTTGAACGCCCCGCCGAAGAGCAGGTTGGACTGGATCAGGTTCTGCGCGCCGAAGACGTTCAGGACGCCAAGCTGCTGTAGCTGGGCCAGCTGGGCGAGCTCGAGGAACATCTGCTGCTGCTGCTGGACCCCGAGGGCGAGGAGGGTGTTCAGATCGACGATCCCGCCGAGGCAGAAGCTGTTCATCAGGCTGTCGATTCCGAAGGCCAGCGAGATTGGGTCGGCCAGGTTGATGCTGCCGAGGTTCAGGCCACCCTGGTTCATGTTCTGCAAATCAAGCTGCGCAGCGTCGAAGCTGTGGAAAGGATGTGTCAGTTTGGTATAGTATGGGACAATCTTCGGAGAACAATATATAACACGCACTTTGGGTCATTCAGGGCTTTCGACGTTGATGCATTGCTGGCCGTTTTGGACCTGAATGACATCCGAAGCATTCGCTGCATTGTTCTCATCATTGTTGTTGTTATTGTTGTTGTCTTTGCCTGCCTGTGCGTTGGCGTCGGCGCCTTGGTTGACTCCGGTCGAGTTGCCTTGCTGGATGTCGGTTGCGTTGCCTGCTGCCACCTGGGCACCGCCTTCTTGGGTGGCCACGGCGAGCCCGGCTAGGAGAAGGACTGTGATTGACTTCATGATTGGTGAGTCCGATTAAGTGATAGTGTTGTGTAAAGATTGGAGTTTGAGAGCACAGCTGGATATGCTGGTCAGTCCACACAATCTGCAGGTAGTAAAGTTGCACCAGCGACGTACCTCTTGAATGAGTGACTAAGAAAAAAAAATGAATATTACAAGAGAACCAGATATGGCTTCACCTGGGAAGGAGGACGGCATGGACCGACGTGCGCATAGGCAACACTTATAAGCCAGAGCTGATGGTGCATATTTCGCCAAGCCGTGAGAAGGCACCCTGCGCGACTTCTGGCGATCATGTCGGATCACGGCGACTTTGTCGATGAAACCCGCCCGAAGCCTTCAAGCATCGAGTTGGACGGCCCTTCATGGTGTTGAGCCAGGAGTATACTAGAGCCGCACATGCAGAGCGGCAAGTGCATTCCCGGACCCCTCGTCCTCGCTTATGGTCCAAACACAATCAAGCAGTTGTCTACGCCCTGTCTGTCACCGCTCAGGAGGATGAGATGACAGCTGTGCATTTTCATCCCATGAAGAGATTTGGTAGACTAATATCTGTGAGAGCTCAGTGTTGAAATTCTCTGGAGTGTATTCCACATGACGGAGTTTCGCCCCAGCAGTCAGCTCTGCACCAAAATCAGCAACCAATTCATCTGGAGTCTGACAGCCAAAATAAAGAAGATCGACCGCACATGATATCGACAGAGTTCATCCACAATTTTTGGGATCCCCACCGTGAAGCTTGACATCTCGATTTTCCATCGTCTGGAGTACTCGAGCAGGTTCGTCGGTGAAGGATCCGCGTTCTGCGACACTCAGCAACCCCAGATCGACGCGGAGCCACGGCCAAGAACAACCCGTCTCATCTCGCGGGCGCTGCCCGCCCATGCGACTCTGCCACCGTGAGGATGTGGAATTCAAATTGCTGCAGAGTGATGCACTGATCACCTGAGTGACTGCCAAAGGAGAGCTTGGCCCAAACCCGAGTCAAACTCCTCGTTACGCGCTGGGCAGGCGTCACGCCTTGGATTGGGCAATGACGGGGATCGTGAGGATGCGTTTGGGTAATGCCGAGTGAATAACACGCATTGTATGGTCATTATCCTGTCTGAAAGAAATCAGAGACTCTCACCGACAAAAACGGAGGGTATACCAGTACATCACCAGTACTAAACCAACACCTATACCTAGTTTACACGTCCAATCCAAATGCCCACTTCACACACCTAAGGCTAAGTAGACCTGCAGATTGAGCATGTAAATTATGCATATGAATTAGGCATATAGTATTAGGTGCACAACTAGGGTACATGGGTGTTGGGTGTGAAAATTGAGTGTGGGTATTGGGTGTGGGTGTGCAAATCAGGCCGGGTGACGCGCTCTGCTTCCCTGTGGCTATGGCACGAGTGATGTACCGGTATACCCTCCGTTTCTGCAGGTGCGAATCTCCATGTTCGTCTGAAAGCAAACGTGATGGGATCTCATCTTCGCTCTGCTTGTCCTTCGGCGTGGTCCGACGCTTCCGCCTGCTTGCCATGCGTGGACTGAGCAAAACCAATTGGACACGGACGACAACCCGCGACAAGGCCTCTCTTGAGGCACCTGACCTCTTGCAAGCCGAATCACACATGAGGGCTGTGTTGAGCTGGTTTCGTATTGCATTTTCTATATCGTGGTATCGCCACTTCATATTGCTCCGGTGGATGCTGGTCCGACTCTTTGTCGGGTCCAATGTTTCCCATCTGCATCTTAACCCAGTTTCATATTTGCGGTACCGATTTGGGGAGATTTCCCACCGATCCTATAACCGTATATACAATTCGATGTGTCGGGCGATCGACAACGCATCGTGTCCGAGGAGTGAAGATGTTGTACCGGAAACGTTCCCGAAAGTCCTCACAGATTGGATGGCCAAGGTATGCGGAACGATCAATGTCGTCCATGGCCAGAATATGATGGTGTGCCCAATGGCACAGTCGAGTGGCCTCGATTCGCTATAATGAACGGCTCTGAGTGCTGTTGTCGGTGGTTGGAGACTTGCTCGACTGCTTGAAGCCCAGAAGCTCCCCGACCTTTCCGCCCGGCTTCGGTACAGGGCATTCGCGTTTGCTCCTGTTTCCTTCATGGTCGACCAGATCTTCCTGCGTTATGTTGTTGAATTGCACAACTCCTCCCTGTACGACTTGGCTTTGCTGCTGTACCCTCCGCCTCCGCCTCCTCCTGCCGTTTTCGTCTTCCACTATTTCCCCATCGGCGTATGTGATCCTCGGAGCAGGACACGGGAGTACGTGTGGGAGAGCTACCACAAAGAAGCTGGCAAGCATGGTGGTCGCGAACAAGGACGAGGTCATTCGGGACCTCGGGTGGAGATGTGGTGGCATGATGGCGAGGGTGGTGGAGAGCCGGGTACTCTGCAAGTCGATTAGCTTTGACACAAAGTTTTTGAGATCACCAATTGTGCTCACACAGAGCCACCAGTGTCGTGGTCATGGCATGTGGGCTCAAATCGAAAGACCGTGAAGCAGCGACAGCCTTTGGCGTAGATCAATGCGCTCATCAGAAAATCGTGAGAGAAGCTCAAATGACTGCCATCTCATTGGACTCCTTCCGGCAGGCAAAGTGCTGGCGGGCCACACACCCGGGACTGGCGGCGGGCATCGTTAGCGCCTGCTTGAGGCTGATAATCCCTGCAGGAGAGCTGCTGATCGGCCCTAAAAGGAAAGTCTGGGGTAGGAACTCCGCCGAAATCGCGACAGCTTCAATCACAGTTCCATCGGATATCCCATCTTCGATAACAACCCTCTCCACCATCGACTTCTGATAACGTCCTGGTCAACCGACTATTTCCGACATCCTGCCCTCCTTCTCGACTCGTGCATGTGCTATGCGAGCGTACCATTGACCTTTTTCCAAAGCTGCATCCCAGCCTTTTGCTGAGGCTGCGCAGCTGCAGCCGCCGTTAAAATGAGCGACCTGGACAAGTGAGCGAACCCCGGCCGCTGATCCAAAACCGCCTTGGACAATACTAACAACTGTGCATAGAGCCATCGCACAGCTTCGAGCCTGTCGTCCCATACCAGAAGCCCAAGTCCGCGAGATATGTCATAAGGCACGCGAGCTACTAATAGAAGAGGGAAATGTCGTCACAGTCTGCGCGCCGGTCACAGTATGGGAATCTCATACCTGGTATCTTGCCTCACCGGATTGCGCTGACATGCAGTAGATATGCGGCGACATACACGGGCAGTTCCATGATCTAATGGAACTCTTTCGAGTGGGTGGCGATGTGCCGGACACCAACTACCTGTTCATGGGTATGAACCCCTTCCCCTCCCCTCCTTCCGTCGCAATGGCCACCGCCCAGACATGTAAGCTGATCGAATACCTCTCCAGGTGATTTTGTCGACCGTGGCTTCTACTCTCTCGAATCGTTCCTCCTCCTCCTCTGCCTCAAAGTTCGCTACCCCGATCGCATGACCCTCATCAGGGGCAACCACGAGTCCCGACAGATCACGACCGTCTATGGGTTTTACGACGAATGCTTGAGAAAATACGGGAGCGCGAATGTGTGGAGATACTGCTGTGATGTCTTCGACTATCTCGCCTTGGGCGCGATCGTTCTTGGTGCCTCGAACACCCTATATCCCGCCAGCGAAAGCCCCTCGGCGCAGGAGTACTTGGAGCAGAACACTGAGATCGAAGTCTGTAACGCGGATCGGGATGTCATCAGCAGGTTCCCACGCCGGAACCTGGAGGGCGAGGAGCAGAATAAGAGCCCGAACGGCGCGGCGGCAGCCACTGGAGACAAGACAGGCCCTCCGGGATCAGGTGCGTCGGGGTCGAGCGGCGGGTCGATCGGCAACCCCGCAGGCGCAGTGCTGTGTGTCCACGGTGGCCTCAGTCCGTTGATAGACACGGTGGATAAAATCCGTCTTCTTGATCGGAAACAGGAGGTCCCCCATGAAGGAGCGATGTGCGACCTGCTTTGGTCCGACCCGGACGACATCGACGGCTGGGGTCTTTCGCCGCGCGGCGCAGGGTTTCTGTTCGGCGCGGATATTGTCAGGCAGTTCAACAACAAGAACAACTTGTCGCTGATCGCGCGTGCGCACCAGCTGGTTATGGAAGGATTCAAGGAGATGTTTGACACGAGCATCGTCACAGTCTGGTCGGCGCCCAACTACTGCTACCGCTGTGGCAATGTGGCAGCTCTACTGGAGCTGTCGGAGGACGAGTCCGGGCTCGGCACGTTCTCCCGCAGCAATGGCGATGTGAACAGGAGCGACGGCGGGGCGGCGGGCAGGGCGCCGCTGATGGAGGGTCAGATAGCACCGCCGACCGTCGGACCGGCGAGGCGGTACCGAGTGTTTCAAGCAGCACCGCAGGATTCAAGAGGCATGCCGGCCAAGAAGCCAGTGGCTGACTACTTCTTGTAGAGTGTTCAGAGAAAAGATCCAGATGGTTTGTCGGTGTTTCTGGACTGGTGGATTTGCGTAAGGCGTTTGTCGCGACCAAGGGTCAATGTGTTCATGGAGCAATGCATTGCATGTTCGATAGACGTGGACTTTTATTCTGAGTATGAGACTGTCTGTTGCTTGGATAATGTATGACCCATAGAAGGGTGCGACGAAAAGGTGACAGGATTATTGATAAGATTCCCGTTGAACCAACTCTACTTGAGCCCCGTTTAGCAAAGATATGGAAGCAACCCAAAGCGACAGTGCTGTGGCCCTGTCTCCTCATGATGCCATCGTCAAGTGTACCATCTACTCACACTCACGGGCTCAGACGCTCCAGCGTCCACTTGTCCTCCTGCCCCTCCACCTTCTCATACACAAACCGGTCGTGCAGCCTGTTCTCCCTGCCCTGCCAGAACTCAACCCGCTCGGGCACGATCCTCAGCCCGCCCCAGAACTCAGGCACAGGGATGTCCTCGGAGCCCCTGAACCGCCCCTCCGCCTCGTCGACCCACCGCTGCAGCTGTGCGCGCCCGTCGTCGCCCTCCCCGGCGCCATCCCCACCAGCCCCGCCCACCTCGGAACTCAGCACCGCGCTCTGCCGGCTCGCCCACGCCCCGACGCGGCTCCCGCGCACGCGCGTGTCAAAGTACTTCTGGCTCTCCTCGCGGGGCAGGCGCTCGGCTCGGCCCTCGACGCGGACCTGGCGTTCGAGGGCCTCCCACCAGAACACCAGGCTCGCCCAGGGGTTGGACTCGAGGTCGCGCGCCTTACGGCTCGTGCCGAAGTTGGAGTAGACGACGAACCCGCGGGCGTCCAGCTCCTTCATGTACACGACGCGGGCGGACACGCGGCCAGAGGGGAGCGAGGCCGTCGAGAGGGTGCAGGTCTCCGGGTGAGGGATGGCCGGCTGCTGCTTTTCCTGCTGCTGGCTGCTGGGCCCTGTCGCCGGGGCGGCGTGGGACTGCGCGGCTGAGAACCATGAGTGGAACTGGGTGATGGGGCTGGCTGGGTCCAGGTCGCGCCGGTGCAGGCCGCCCTGAGACTCGTGCTGGAGGAATTGGTCGGCGCGGGCGTTTTGAGCGCCGCCGGCGGGTGCGACTGGGTGTGTGTCAGTTAACATTCTGTGGCGTTGACTACCAAGAGGGACAAAGATGTGCAGCAGTGGGATGGTGATGACTCATTGGTGATTCGTTGCAAGAGGGGCTGGGAGATATGTTGACGGGATTACTTACAGATCAGCTTGTCTGATTTTGCTTGGTGAAGTGCCATCCTGCTTACTGTAGGTGTGAAACCACTTAGGAGGTGAGATCTCGGGGTAATAAAGCGCATGGGAGAGGTTGAGGCAGAACAGAGGTGGGATCTTGGACGGGGCTCTTCGTGATATACGCCGCAGAGATGACTCCACCTCAACAAGAGTCTCCTGATGTCCCGATTCTACGAGTCTCTATGCGTTCTGACACTTCAATCCAGTGCGACTTCTCAGCAATTGGCTTATTTTGGTTATGGTAAAGTGGTTTTGCCAGCTCAGTCAGGAGATTAATGAGGGCAAAAGTCAGAAGCATCTCATGACGTCGACCAAATAGGGCAGGGGGAACAATGGTCCCCACGCTCAGTGCACCCGGGAGTTTGGGTCCTGCCAAACAAACCCACGTCAGTCACAGTTTCCCAGCATCGTTTCAATCATTATGGCGTGAAAACCCAAAATGCTGTGAAGGAATTTCATGCTGCCCTTGATATGCATGCATCGAACTCTGCTGATCCATGTGACAATCTATGAGCGATGGATGGCTGATTCGTCGTTGTAATGGTCAAGAGGGGGAGGGTAGGTTAGAACCGAGAGAGACCCTGGAAACCCTGAACACCCATGTCGTTCAGGGCCAAGTACGGAACTCAGGGACCTCTGTGGCTTCTCGGAATGTTACCCTGCCTGGATCTATCGTCTATCGGGCTCTTCATCACGAGCAGCTAGCTCTACTCACGTCGTCTTCAAGCTCCCGGACATGCTGACTACATCGACACCGACCCAATCGGCAGCCCTGGGTCGAATGGCCCAGAGTGGAGAGCATGAGACCGCGTAACCGCAGACACGTTAGCTTATCGATGATTGGGGTCCGTCCGATCTCCAGCAGCGGCATTGCGCAAGGTCTGGGCCTAGACCGCAAAGGGAGAGCTGGGTTGGTGTGGCGGTGACACGAGGGAGCTTGTGCGCGCTCGCATGGGGCAGGGAGCACCACAACATGACGATGCATGAGCGTGCAGAATCCGGTTATGCAAACTGGAGAAAGGGGCTGGTCGGAAGGAAGTGAGAGGTGGGAGATGGGAGATGAACTCCAATCAGTTGCTGGGTGTGCTGTCGAGAGAGAGATGTGCTGACGACCAGCCACCACTGAGTAAGTCTTGGTGGGGATTTGTTCGCCAGTCATGATGGCCATACTGTTCAGTAAGTATACCGACTATCTCCCTGAACAATGTTCCCTTGTTCGGTGTCCGGCTACACAGTACAGGGTATGCGAGATACATAGTCTAACGTTAGCCCGCCCAAGACAGCGATGCCCTGGTGTGGACGTTTACGGCCATGGTCGCTGAAACGCTTTTAGCTCCCATTTTTGAAACTCCCAGACACCACCGAGGTTGATGGTTGCTCTGCTCACTTCAGGAATGTTCTGTTGAATTGAACGACGACGACGACGACGACAAGCCAGTGCAACTACTCAATCTGTACTTCAATTTGCAGGATGCTTGCATCTTGATGTTGATCGATATTTCTCACTCTCCAGGTTCGAGTCAACCCTTGTCATAAGTTGAAGCTGCGAAGCACAAACCACCCCCAACATCACCTCCACACTGCTGCTGCCACCACCACCGCCACCAAACCACGTCCAACATCCAACGCTTTGCAGCCGACGTGACGCGGCATCTCCCAAGGTCGTGCAAAGACTGACTGGCCGGCCGTCCGGCCAAAATCTTGACCAAATCACAACAGGCAGATGGGCCTTGGCCATTCTCCAAGCGTGCCCCTCTGAGCCTCCACACTCCTGGGGCCACCCGGTCCTTAACAACGTCTCACAAGTGCCATTATACGGCCCTCCCACTCTCCCTCCATCAACCAAGCACCCACCCCCTTGATTGGTGCTCCCACACAGCCCCCTTGGCTGGTCCGAAAGTCAAACTCTCCAGCTGAGCCCACTCACCACTACACCTCGCACTCATTCATCCGTCCGCCTGCCGACTCACTCACCCATCCATCCCGCTCACTCACTCCTTTGCTCATCCCGCACTCCGACTCACCCGGTGATGCCACCTCAAACCCAGCAAGGCCGCCGCAGCTCTTCGGGCGTTGCTGGGATCGACATCATCACACCATCCACAAGACATGACGACACGGTGAAAAGGATGGTCCTGCGCAGGTTCCGACGCACCATGAGGCGGCTCTTCGGCGGGCGCTGGAAGCAGATGAGTGACGGGGAGGTCAAGGAGCTGGAGAAACAGATCGCAGCCGAGATGCGCACCGGCACCTTCCGCGCCGTCGAGCCTGCCATCCAACCGCCGACCGCCGACGAGCTGTGGCAGCGCCAGGATGACGGGGGCGGCGGCGGGGCTGCCGCGGCGGACAGGCTTCCCACCATGTCGTCCACCACCAAGAGGTCGACGGTTGTTTCACAGGCGTCGCGGGGTCAGTACTACGACGAGTACGGGGACGACTACGGCGGGTACCAGGACGCGCACTCAGTCGCCGGATGGGGAGGAGCAGCGAGCAGCGACTCCGGGTACGGGCCCGGCTACTACGACCGCGTCCCGCCGCGGCAGCCCGCCAAGGCGCCGGAGTACTACGTCCCCGGAGGCGGACCCTTCGACATACCTGAGGCGAGGCCCGAGTCCGTGTACGATGGAGGCTCACGCGCGAACAGCATGAGGAGTACCATCACGACGCGGACCAGCCGGAGGCCGCCGACACAGGGCTACTACCCACCCAACTCTTCTTCGTATGGGGAGAGCAGGGCCTACTCGATGCGCTCGGACCCGGGCAGAATATACGCCCGCAGCCCGATGCCCCGCATGTCCCTGCGTTCACAGCCGTCCTGGGACGGGCGTTATCACGGTGGAGGGGGTGACAGGAGCTATTCGTATGGCCCAGGGGATAGGGGCTATGGCTACGGCGGGGACTACGGCTACCGTGGTTGGGACGGACAGGACATCGAGGAGCACGAGTACCCTTCCCAAGAGCCAGGGACACACTATCAGGACTACCAGTACCCGGAACGCTGAAGGGCACTGCGCATCCCGATATAATATGGTATGGAACGGACTTCAACTTGCTGTTTCTTGGAAAGGCGGGTGGCGCGGACTGCGGATCCCAGAGGCGAAATGGGACGCACTCTGAGCCGCCTAGGCACGGAAGACACCGTCCATCTCTCCAGGAAGTCTACACCTCGAGGCGCAGACGAAAATGCAGCAACCTCCACAGCAGCGGACCTTTTATGCGCGCCCTCGACATAATGGGACGAGGCTGCCACACACTAGCTTCTGGACAGCCGCTCCATCGAGATGCCCCTCTCGCCAGCGGATAATATCTCATGAAGGCAATACGTCGGCTCGAACTATCTCGTGAGCTGATGCCTCGAGAACGAAGCCGAGCCCGACTGGCGACGCACATCGCCTTCGCACAGTCGAGTCTGGACAGACACTGGACAATTTTGGACCCTAAGGAGATGGTTTGGGAAATGAAATGTCGCTGCCAAGGCCTGCCTTGCACTGCCAGCCGTTTTGATCGCGCCTCACGTACTGAATTGGTACTGCATGGCCGGTGGCCCAGGATGGCAAGATATTTAATATGTTCAACAGGGCTGGAGAAGAATTGTGTTGGGCAGTGGCCGCCGCGCTCGACATGGGTTTCACGGGAACTGCGGTAATAAATGTGCTCGACCAGTCGGGACGGGACGACTCGACGCAGGCGGAAGCCGTGGAGCACGTCGCTGGGTCAGCTGGACACAAGACGCTGTGGACATCTTGGTTCGGCGATCCCGAAACGCACGGCCCACAGCTCTTCCGGCGTCAGCGACCTTTTGTTGGACGAGTGGGAGCATCTTTAAGTGCTCGAGAGATCGGGCAGACAGGCAGCCTTGAGCCGCAGATGGGAATGGGAGAGTCTTAAAGGAGAATGAAGTCTAATTAGCGGCATTAGGGTTACTACACCAGCAGCGCTGAATAAAGCAAGGGTTTATCACACTATAGGGTAATAGATTAATAGCAGCTGGTCTCAAATACGTCAACTCAATCCAAGTGAACGCTATCTCTCTAAGAAAAAGGAAGCTATTCCCAGAGGGCCGACGGGCGTTATGGAAGAAGGCCCAGAGGGTGTGTGGTGGGGGCTTAGTCAGCCGCTTCTGTATCCAGGCTGCAATGCCACAGGCACCCTCTCGATGGTAATTATGTGTGCTGATAACAACGAATAACGAATGAAGATGTCTCCATCTGATTCTGCACAGCTTCTACTTGATCTCTAGGATATATAATCACCCGTGTGCTAGAGCGATATGTTTTGCGACGACTGTAGAGCCGTCATATTTGACGACAAAGCCGCAGGAGGCTTTGTAGCTGACGAAGATACTGAATCCTTTCTCATGCTGGATCAAGATGACAGACCCCGCAGGCTGCCGGTGGAATATCAGGTCAATGACGCCTATCCGGATCTTCTCCGGCTCTCCCTCTCTGCGAGTAAGGGTTGCGGGCTATGCAGAACGCTGAGGGATATGATCCTATCCGCAGATGTCGAGGATGTTGGAAGGTGCGAGGGTCGTATGCCCATACGCTAGCGCTAGCCTACAAATAGGCTCCTTTTAAGCATTTAATAGCGAGGAGATTTCTCTCCTTAATACATAATAATTAACTATTATTTGCTTTATTACTTTATTAAGTTATAAGCCTAGCATTGCTTAAGATATCTTAAAATGTTAAGAAATATTAATACCCTTATTTTTATAATTATTTTTATACTTAAATTATTAAAATTCTAATATTACTAGTTTTTACTTATATATCATTATTATACCCTATAATAACTGCTATAATTAATAATAACTTATAATAATTCAATATTCTTGCCTTATTTAATATTTTAACTACTTACTCTTTTTTATTTATTTATTTATATTAATTAATGCTAATTATTATAAATAAATAAATATATAAATATTATTTAAAATATACTTAAAAATATATAAATACTATTTAAAAGATATTAAACATACTTAACTTTAAGCTTAATTCATTATTTTTCTTAAAGTTAAACTTAAAAGGAAAAAACTTTTTAAATTAAAGGGCAGTATAAAGTCGCGGCTTTTAATTTACTAGCCTTAATAAATATATTATAAGCATTAAAAAATAATTAAATAAAAATATAGCTCTTATAAAATAAGAAAAGCTTAATAATTAAGCCTTTATTATACTTTTAAGCTTAATATATTTAAGCCTTATAATATTTATTATATTATATAAAAAATCTTTTAATACTTAAAAAATACTAGCTAATTAATTTAATTATAACATTAGCAACTTAATTATATACTTTTTTTATTAATTAATAAACTTATAATATAAGAATAGCTTTAACTTATAAAGCCATTTAAATATCTTTTAAAACCTTTAAATAAAACTTTATATTAAAACCTTAATATTAAAATAATTAATTAAAAGGTTAATAAAGTTACTTTTTAAAAGCAATAAGGTTAAAAGCTTCTTTTTCTTAATAACGCTATTAAATACTATAAATAATATTATTAATAACCTAAGCAGCCAAAACCTTATAATATTTTCCAAAATTAAACCTAAAATAATAAATATTATTTTTTATATAAAGATTAAATAATTTAAAGCTTACTTTATCTTTACTTAAAAAAAGTTAGTATTAAAAGGTATAAAAAAGGCTATAAAGTTTGCATTAATAAGTATTAACTTTACATTAAGTAATAAAGAATGCACTTAATACTATATATAAAACTTTATATTTATTAATTATTTATATATTAATTATATAAAGCTTATTAAATATAAAGCTAATTAAAAATAAAAAAAAGGTAAGAAATAAGTTATTATAAATTAAGCTATAAATAAAGAAATTATTAAAAGTTTTAATAATAATAAGAAAGATATAATAATGCTATATATTAACATTTTAATATATGCAATAAAGCTATTAATAACTATAAATACTTTAATATTATAAATTTTTAATTTTAATACTTTAAAGTATATAATAAAATGCATAAAAAACTTTAACTCTTTATAACTATATTTAAATATAATTATTATTATAAGCGGTAATTAACTTACCATAAAAAACATTAACTTTATAAAGATCTTCCTATAACTATTAAATAAATTAATTATTAAAAGCATCTTTATTAACATTTTATATAATCACGCGCTAAGAAATACTTATTTATTTAGCTAAACCACAATTTAAAATTTTTTTAATTAAATGCATAAGGAAATAATATCTTCTTATTATTAAAAGATAATAAATTTCGCAAAATATTATAAGCAAAGTTTTAATATAAAAATTTTAAAATCTAAATAGCAAAAAACAACTTTATAATATTCATAATATATAGTAAATTTTATAAAGCTTTTAACCATAGCAATTTATTAAAATTAATTACTTAATGCCTATATAAAAATAAAGATATTATATTAAACAAATCAATGGATTTTTATTATAAACCATGCTAACTTGCAAAGTTTATTAAAAAATATTTATATTTATTGCTAAAATAATAATTTACATAGCCATTTAAGTATATTTAATTTAATTTAATTTATTAAGTAAATTCTTAATAAAATTACTAAAAAGTTCTTAATACTTTATTTCATTTATTAATAACTATACTTAATTTTATTAAGTTTACTTTATTACTTAAAAGGATAATATCTTAAATATTATTAAGGGATTTTTAAACATAATTAAAACTTAATTTAATATAAAAGTTAAAACATTTAATTTAAATAATAAAAGTAAATATATAAATAAAATAATTATTATAATATTTTAAAAACATAAAATTATTTATAAGAAATCACTCCTTTATTATTATAAGTTAAACGGCATACTTAAAAAATTTATATATACCATTATTATTAATGCTTATATAATAATTTATAATAAAAACTATTTATTCTTATAACTTAAAGTAATTTCCTATATAATATACTTATAAAATTAAAAACTATACTTAGCCTTATTATGCTAAATAACGCTATTTAAGGTACTTTATAAATAAAAGCTTAATATTAAATATTTTCAACTATACTTTCACCTTATATATCTTTATATTCTTATTAAAGCTTGCAAATTAAGAATAAAATTATTAAATAAAGCTAAAAAGGTATACTTTATAAGATTTAAGGTTAAAAGCAAAACTATTTTTTATTTATTTATATTAATTTAAAAAGTTATTATAATTATAATATTAAGCTATATTACTTAATTTAATTTAGCAATAAAGATTATATAAATAATTAACTAGCTAAATAAAAACATATTACTTAAAATAAAGGTATTATTAGCATTTTAGTTAATAAAACTTATTAATAATATAAAACCTATAAATAAACCTATAAATAAATTACTTAAACTTGCAAAACTTATTAATAAATTACTTAAACTTATAAAACTTATATAATTATATAATTCTTAAGGATAATAAATTTAGCTTTTATAAAAAGCAAAAGAAAATGCAAACATTATTATAAAATATTTTAAAGATTTTAATAACTTAGCATTAATTAATATAAACTTTATACTAAATCCTACTTAACCAGTATTAATTAATGCTAACTACTTTAATTAAATCTTTATTTAAGCATTGCTTATTAATATAATAAATACCAATAATATTCTTAATATATATATATAAGCTATAAAGAGCAGTAAAAGGAATGCTTAGCAATAAGCTATTAAAAGAAAACTTAAATCACTCTTAAATATAAGTATATAAATTAAAGTATTTGCTATTATAAATTAATATATTATTAATTCTTGCTAAGTATATGCAAAGAAGTTTAATGCTTTTAATAAGCTTATTTATTATAAAGCTTAACTTATTACTTATAAATATATATAAATCCATAGCATAAATTATAATAATACTTATAGCCCTATAATACGCTATAATAATTTAAAACTAATTATTATTATCACCGCTATAATAAGCTAATAACTTTAATAATTTAATATTAAAATAATATACTTATATAGCCATTTAAAATATAATATTTATATATAATTATTATAAAAGTATTAAACATTATTTAATAATTAATAAGTTATTTTAAAACTTCTTAATACTTTATATAAACTTAAATAATTAAGCTATAAATAGTTTAATACTTTTAAAAAGGAATTAATTAAATATTTAATAAAAACAATATTTAACCCTTGCATTTTTATTAAAAATTAAATCATTATTACTATTTATATTAATAATATTTTTATTATTAAAAATCCCTCTTAAATTAATAAATTTCGCATTAAACTTATATAATATTTTAAATATAAGGATCTTAATCTTTATAAATACTTACTTAAATTAAAAATTATATAAATTAATAATAAGATTTATATTTTTTAAAAGGAATATACTTAATAAATTTTAAAATACTTTAATATATTTAATTATAATTAAAAACAAACTCTTATAAATTTAAATTCATTTTTATAATAAAAGGAACCTAATAATATTATAATAAATATAATAATATATTAATTACTTACTAAATCCATTCATTTTCTTATTATTAAAATAAAACTTAATTTTACATTTTTATATATAATGCTTTTAATATTTAATGCAAAGCCTATAATTTATTATTTAAATATTATAAAAAGAATGCTTTAATATATTTAGCATATACTAAATTATACCTTATAATTTCCAAAATAAACATTATTATTTTAATTTACCATACTTAATATATATATTAATGCTTCCTATAATATTAATTTAAATAATTTAAAAGTATTTAATAAATATATATAACTCCTTAATAGCAGCTTAATTACTTAATTATTAAAGCATTAATTTATTATTATAAAATATACTTATAAAACAAAATATATAATATATTTATTAATATTATTATATCTTTATTAAATAATTTAAGCATTAAAAAATTTAAATATTAAGTATATTAAATATTTACTTATTTTATATATTAATAATTAATTAATATTAAACCTTATTTAAAATTATAAAGTTAATGCTTAATTAAAATATATTATTATTTATTATTACTTTATTTATAAAGGAATTAAAGAAATATATAATATTTATTATATTACATTTAAAAACAATCTTACTAATATTTATATAAAAGCATTACCTTATCCTACCCTTAAAAAGGCTTATATAAAATTAAAACTAAGATAAGTATAAGGTTTATATTATTAAAAGAGTATTTAAATAATTAACTAAAAATAATATAAGCAGAATATATAAACATTAAATAATATTTATATAATAATTTTAATATAAATTATAGCAAAATATTTAAATTATATTTTTAGCTATTAAAACAAAACATTTCTTATTATTATTAAAATAATAATACTTATAATAAGAGGTATATTAAAAGGTGCAAGGGTTATATGCCCATACATTAGCGCTAACCTATAAATAGGCTCCTTTTAAGCATTCAATAGCGGGGAGATTTCTCTCCTCAACACATAACAATTAACTATCGTTTACTTCATTGCTTCATCAGAGGACGCGATGGCGCGGGCTGGATTCGACGGCACCGGAAACACCGAGCTTACACTGACGATGGAATATGTCTGGAGGGCCATGGTCTGCCCATTCGGTCTGTCGATGTTGATTGTGAACTTAAACATGAAGAGGAATAATAGTGAGTCAGGGCTGGATGGTCGCTCGATTGTGGTACCAAGGATCTGCCGACGCTGATTGAAATTTTGTAGTTGTCGATTCAGACCATTGGCTCAGGTTCATGATCGAGTCGGCTCCAGACGGTACGCCTACCACATAACGCTGCTCTATCCTTCTTTCATTCTACCGGTGGTTAGCGACTTGTCTTTGTGTTGACGGCGAGCCAGATCCATGTCAGAGGTGGCTACGAATCGATAACTTCGCTGCTGTACCTGGCGACTCCTTGAGTTCCAAGGCCGCAGCATGGATCAGAGACAGGCTGGACTCGTGCTCAAGGGTGTGTCACCCCATGACAGAGACGAAATTCTTACCGTCTCGCCTGGTCCGTGTTGACTGCGATCCACCTCGACTGGTTGAGACCAGAAACTGGGCCCCCTCAGGTGGGCTTGAGAAATACGCCGCCCTTAGCTACTGCTGGGGAAAGCCAGATGAGGCAAAGATGCAACTGAAGACCGAAAATACAACCATACACGTCATGCTGGAAGGTATACCACAGCCAAAGATGACCAGACTTCTCAAAGAAGCCATCCAAGCAACGAGAGCCCTCGGGATTCCATTTCTATGGATAGACGCACTATGTATAGTTCAAGGCGACACGGGAGATTGGGAAAGGGAGTCCAAGATGATGGGCAAGATTTACAACGAGGCATACTGCACTCTGTGCGCCATCTCGTCCAAATCGTGCCTTGAAGGGTTCCTGCAGCTACGACCGGCTCTGCTGAGCATTCCTTTCAGCTCTAAGCTGGACCCGAGTATCACTGGGGAGTACAGCCTTCGTTTCAGGGGCATCGTGTCCAGCCAGGCGAGATCTCTCGAGAGCATCAGATACAGCGCGGTCTATGAGGACTTTACCGCCAGCAGTTGGGCCCAGCGCGGCTGGACTTACCAGGAGTACGCACTGTCAAAGAGATTGGTTGTGTTCAGTCACAACGCTGTCCACTTCATCTGCCCGAGCGGATCCCAGACACTTGGACACATAGCTGACGAGGAAGACGACGGCGTTGACTTTTTCCAAGTGGATCACTTGGAAGCCGGCATGACGCCGGATGAGGCCTACAACGAGTGGTGTAACGTCGCAGCGGACTTTTCCCGCAGGCTCCTCACCTACCCTGGGGACCGCTTCCCAGCAATCTCGGGTCTGGCTGGATATTTTGGCGACATTCTTGGAGATGAATACCTTGCGGGCCTGTGGCAAAAAGACCTTTGGCGAGGGCTATACTGGGGCGTCGGCGTGAACTTCGCTGCCAGCTGGGTCGCGTTGCTAGAGCAGCTCTCGAGGCCGAACGTGTATAGAGCACCGTCATGGAGCTGGGCCAGCCGCGACCGCATGGCAAGTTTCGGTGAGGCCTGTCATGACCGCGGCGTCTTTCCGTATGGATCTTCAGATTATGTCGAGGACTTCCGCTGTGAATGCAAGAGTATTGAGGGCAGGGCTGCATGCGGTGGGCCGGAGCGCTACCTCACGGGTGAGGTTGAGGGCGGCTCTTTGCTGGTCACGACGAGGACGTGTCCTCTGCCTGGCCCTGTTGAGATCTCTGACGATCTGATAGATACGTGGATTGGAGCCAGTAGAACGCCGCTGGTAAATTGTGCTGTGGACTGGCTCGCGACTCATGATCCGTCCGAGCAGTGGAAGTACATGTCACTAGTTTTGCTGGGCAGTGCCCAGGGACTTGGGGAGTGGTCAGCATCCGACAGGGTTGCATATGGTCTGGTTGTTTATCCCGTCCCAGAGACAGTTGATACATATTTCCGGGTAGGCATCTTTTTCTCTCTACCTAGCAATGGGGGTGGACTGCCTCTATTCGACAGGTGCAGTGAGGGACCCATTACTCTCCTCTAGTTCAACGCTTGGTATCATCTAAACAGTGCTTTCACTTCTTCATTCAACGTTTGATACGTTCGTGCAGCGGTCTCCCTTGTCGACCTATTCAATGCTAAATCTTGAGCATAATATCAAAAGAACAGATCATGATCGTAGGCAGTGGGGGGATAAACGTCCTGATCCAAGCTGAGAGTCTCAAGGATATCAAGACTGACGATAACGTGTATAATTGGCAGATTTCTGAAACATCCTTGGTGCTAAGTTGTTTGGATAATTACCGATTCTCTTGGTTCTATTGTCCCCCATTTACAATCCCGGCCTTCCTTTTCTCGAAATCTTTCCTGAATAGGGCCTCCATCTCCCTCCTCACAGCAACGGCCTGAGAGCTTTGAGCGTCATATTCGATATCATCCCAACTCAGTCCTTGATCCTTCCTGATGTCGTGTTTGAGGACGAATCCATGTGCAAGCCCGATTGGCAACCCCGAGATCGCGATTGAGTCTTCGGCTTTCATCAACTTCCCGAAGACGGTGAATCCGCCCTCGCCGTCAAGCTTCTCGCCCGCTTTGAGGTCGCGCTTCGCAGTCGCCACGACGTCGCCGGCCCAAGTCTTCGTCTGCCCGGTAGGCTCGCCGCGGCACATGATCGTAGCTACCGAGATGCCTAGCTCCAGTCCGATCAGGTGATATGGCTTGTACTGGGCGGCGTATTTGCCGCTGCTGTCTGTCTTGAGTCCATACTGCCGGAAGCAATCCTGTTGGTACTGCGACGCCGCCTCGATGACTACGTACACGCCCCACCTCAGGTCGTCAAACACCCAGCGGCCGTCCTTTTCCATGCAAGATACCACCTCCACGGTACCCTTGCTCGGAAGTTGGCCGCCGTCGCTCTCGGGCTTGAGCACCTCGGGCAGATCGTGCTTCCCGCAGGGTGGGAACTTGAGGCCGGATGGAGGAGTTAGGTTGCAGCCGTTGGCAACGGCGGCCATCTCCAGTGCGGACTTGGTGCCGTCGAGGAAGCTATTGAACATTTGAGGATTGAAATCGCCAGAAGCGAGCTGCTCCTTCGTGAAGCCATAATGGTCCCAGACGGTTTCCGGGTTTGAGTAGTGATATTGGGGGAGGTGCTTCGTTCCCTTGCCAGCGCAGACGACATCGCTAGTGTCCAGTCAGTCTCGCCCAGTCAAAGCCTTTGTGATGGGGCGAGGACTCTTTATTCCCACTTACAATCCAGCTGTCCGAGCCCAGTCAACCATCTCGGCGATAAGGGCAGGTTGGTCGCCGTAGGCCATGCTGTAGATAATGTCCGCCTCCTTCGCTTTGCGAGCGAGCAGAGGACCGGCAAGTACATCGGCCTCGACATTGATCATGACAATGTGTTTCTTATGCTCGCAGCACTACTCAGGGCTTGGTAAGCCGATAATTACAATCAAAGTGTTCAGAGTAAAGATGAGACTGTGGGAACTCACAAGAAGTGCGTGCTTGATACCAGCGGCCGGGTTTCCAGTCACCTCGAGGATCACGTCGATCTCCGGTGTGGCAATGAGAGCAGAAGAGTCTGTCGTGACTATCGTCTTTCCCGACCGGACTCCCTCAGAAATGGATGCATTGACAGTGGTATCGTACTTCTCAGCTGGGTAATTGGTCCGCTTCAGCGCCGCAAAGGCCCTGTCGGAGGACAGGTCCGCAATGCCAGCTAGTCTCATCCCGACCGTTCTGTGAGACTGCGCGATGAACATAGAGCCGAATTTGCCAGCGCCGATAAGACCGACTTGGATAGGTCTGCCAGCAGCCTCCAGCTCGGCGAGCTTAGTCGAAAGGCTGGTCATTTTGGGTGGATGAAACGGTGCAGTGGATGGTGATGTACACTTGAGGATGGACGTTTTCAGGTTGTTTGATGAGAATAAGAATTTCAAGCAACAAACCTTTTATATCCTGAGGGCACTACAGGCTACAATTGGTTGGAGTAGCAATGAGGGGATTGAGAAGGCTTATAACAAGTTCTTTACAGGCCGCGATCAGCGTTTTCGCCCCCGCAAATCCACGGGAATTAGTTCTGTTCTGCGGAGGGAGCTCATCACCTCCAACGTAGGTACATGCGCAGATGCAGAGGCGTCACCGCGATCCGCCGAATCCTGGCTGCGGTGGCCCGATTGCTAGATGTCGTTTGAGGGGGATGTCGTCCACTTAGAATTTCAGACCAGTATCACATGCAGGGGTGAAGCAGTCTGCAGTCATTCACGCATGGACGTGAGCACTGGTCCGGAAAACTGCCACCGGGAAATCGGGAAATACATTTCCAGGTGTCAATGGAGCTGATCGGATCTAGTAAGCAAAAAGAGATCCGTGGTGAGGGGTACAGGTGATGGGGCGCGTTCGGAAGGGCAATAAGAGAGATTGGCGGTCGAAAGGAGAGAAAGCATTTGAGGGTCAGCAATGACTGCCTGGGCATGGGACACATTGGGGAATGGGGTGCCTAGGTGTGTATTTGGGCGGGGATGATCGAATATAATAAGTTGGAGGCAGCCACGGATGTCACAGCCTGAGATATCTGCTTGACAGTATTTTGTCTCTCTGGAAAGTCTAGTTCTGTTTTGACCTCACGTTTGCTGACCAGGAAACTGATATTCTTGTTCCACAATCGCAATAATGGCACCGCCTCGAGGTACAACTGATGCTAGAACAACTTTTAATTACCACACGATTGTGGCCTCATGGTCACCAGAGGAGCGAGCTGCCAGGGAAAAGACACTGAAACGAAAAATTGACCTTCGCCTTCTCCCCATTCTCGTCAGTAACGCACCTCTGTCTGAAAAATATCACGCAGCCGCTGTTAACGTATTATTATTTGCGCCTGAGCAGAGCCTTATGTACATACTCAATTATGTTGATCGCAACGCGCTTCCACAAGCCAAGGTCCAGGGAATATCCGAAGACATTGGTCTAGCTGGTATGGAATACAACGTCGTGCTAAGTCTTACGTTTATCGGATACATCCTGATGCAAGGTCAGCAGAACACACAAAATTCTTTGGACGTTTATACTGTTCCGATGCCCGTACTGATTTCTACTAGTCCCGAGCAACATGATATTGGGCCTGACTAGACCTAGTCTTTATCTCCCAACCGTCATGGTAGCATGGGGGGTCGTCAGTGGGTGCTCAGGGGCTGTTCAGAATTTTGCAGGAATCGCAGCATGCCGCTTCTTTCTAGGAATCGCCGAGGCACCCTTTTTCGCCGGCGTTGCTTTCTTGTTCTCGGGCTGGTACACCCGGTCAGAACTTGGATTTCGACTGGGGCTCTTCTTCTGCGCTGCCATGATCAGCGGTGCTTTCGGGGGTCTCTTTGCGGCCGGTATCGCGGCGGCCTTCGAGAACAACAAAATGCCTAGCTGGCGGTGGCTTTTTATCATTGAGGGAGCTGCCACTGTCGTCTGTGCGATGGCCACCACGTTCATTATCCCGGACTGGCCAGCGACTACGAAATGGCTCACTGAAGAAGAGAAAGCTTTGGGTGTTGTCCGACTCATCGAAGACGCTGGCGATGAAGAGTCAGAGATACGGACTTTTGACGCATTGAAAATGGCGGTCAAAGACCATCGTGTCTGGCTTTGCGTACTCAATCAGATGTGCCTTCAGGCGGTAGCCTCTCTAACCAACTTTTTGCCCACGTTAGTAAAAGACTTTGGATACAGCAACATCAATACTCTTTTGCTGACTGCACCTGTAAGTTTTATTTAACTCCTCATTGAGTATATATTTCGGATACTGACTCATACAAATGCGAAGCCGTACGTGTTTACGGCCCTTTTCAGCCTGTTCAACACTTGGCACAGCGACAAAACGAGCAGACGCTCCCCATATATTGTGTATCCGACGATCGTTGCTATTTCCGGAATCATAATAACGCTTGCGACAACGAATACAGGCGCTCGATACTTCGCATTGTTCCTCATGCTTCCAGGGACCTATGGGGGCTTCCAAATATCCAACGCTTGGGTGGCGAACATCGCCGCACGGCCTCAGAAGAAGCGAGCAATCAGTCTTGCCATGAGCAATTCGATTGGCAACCTGGCCCTGGTCTGGACTCCATACTTGTATCCGGATCGCGATGGCCCGAGGTACACCACTGGTAAGCATCTCCAGCCTGGCAACCGTCGCACTGACTGACTTTGGATGCCTCAGCTTGGAGTGTCAATCTGGGCTTGAGCGGCGTCACGTTGGCTTCGGTACTAGCTCTGTCCTTCATTCTGAAAAGAGACAACAAGATGGTTGACGAGCTTGAGCTACTGGGATCCAGCCTTGAAAGCGCCGACGGCCACCAGAAGCAGCAAGTGATCTCTCACCATAACGAGCACCCTACCGCTGGTAGACCGACTGGAGGCACTATCTCTGGCAGATTAACCAGGTATCAAACGTAGAAACTGGGCTCTTCCTAGTTTCTTGGAAGCCAGAACGGTCATTTCTATAGGATCACCTGAAATAGCACTGTAAGGGTGGTGGAATACAAGCAGAGTGACTAGGGATATGTAGCGTATAAGCAGCGTCTAAAAAGCATAAAAGCAATATATTCATAAAGTAGAGTATAACTAAACTTATCCCTCTCCTTCTTGCCTTTCCTTCGCTCTTAGGTTTCCCCCTTTAATAAAGAGAGCAACTCCCGTAAGTCTTTTAAGCGTTAAAAGCAAAGCATTATTTTCTAAGATAAATAAGCGCTAAAGGCTTTTTTCTAAGCTAACCCCTTCCCTATATAAAGATTCTTAATAAACTACCTTTTCTTTTAAGCTTTTATTTTAAGAGCAAAAGCATATATAATAAGTAAGAAAAGTATATATAAAATATTATTAAAAAATAAAGCTTTAATAATTATAAATAAAAAATAATAAAAAAAATCTTATTTTACTTATAACAAATAAAAAAAAGTATAATTATAATAAATAATATATATATAAAGATTATAATTTATAAGCATTATATAATATATAATAAAAAATATTAACTATTAATTTTTATTATACCTTTTATTTAATTATAATTATTTAAATAATAATTATATAATTTTTATTATATAAATAATATAATAATAATATATTTATTTTACCTTTATATTATATTTAAACTTTATTTTTTTAATAATTTCTTTTTCTTTCTTTTTTTAATTTAATATATATTAACTTTTTTTTATAAATATACCCTTATTAATAAAATATAATACTTATATTTATATTAAATAAGCATTAATAAATTATAAAGTAATAATAATAATAATAATAATAATAATAATAATAATAATAATAATAATAATAATAATAAAGTAATTACTTTTCTTTTAAGTAATATATTTATAAAGTAAAGTATAATTAAACTTATTCCTTTTTTTTAACTTTTTTTTTACTTTTAAGTTTTTCCCTTTAATAAAAAAAGTAATTTTTTTTAAGTTTTTTAAATATTAAAAGTAAAGCATTATTTTTTAAAATAAATAAATATTAAAATCTTTTTTTTAAGTTAACCCTTTTTTATATAAAAATCCTTAATAAATTACCCTTTTTTTTAAGCTTTTATTTTAAAAATAAAATATATATAATAAATAAAAAAAGTATATATAAAATATTATTAAAAAATAAAGCTTTAATAATTATAAATTAAAAATAATAAAAAAATATTTTATTTTACTTATAATAAATAAAAAAAATATAATTATAATAAATAATATATATATAAAAATTATAATTTATAAATATTATATAATATATAATAAAAAATATTATAAATTATTATTATACTTTTTATTTAATTATAATTATTTAAATAATAATTAAATAATTTTTATTATATAAATAATATAATAATAATACATTTATTTTACCCTTATATTATATTTAAACCTTATTTTTTTAATAATTTTTCTTTTTTTCCTTTTTTAATTTAATATATATTAATTTTTTTATAAATATACCCTTATTAACAAAACTTACTTAAAGACAGTGCTAATAAAGCGCAATACCTGCACTTATATTAACATTATAAGTTATAACCTCTATCTTATTACTACATAGCTACATATGCGCTACGCCCGCGTTAAGCAGGCGCTGATAAGCCGCAAAGCAGCAGCAGCAATAACAGCAATAGCAATAGTAACAGCAACAACAACAACAAAGTGAGTACCTCCCTCCTGGGCCGCGCTGGCTGACAAAAGGTTTTCAGATGGCCGACTCCACCTCCACCCCCAACAACCCGGGTTCGCCCCCCGTAAGTATCAGTCCCCCATCGTTCGCGGGGCGCGCGAGCGTCGCTGACGAAGGTATAGCGCCCCAAGAAGAAGACCAAGGGTCCGGCGGTGGAGGGCGGCCCCCGCGCCGCGCACAAGTGGTGTGCGCGCTGCGTGCGCGCCTTGGAGGCCGACCCGGAGCTTGTTTGCTCCAACCAGAGCGGTTCGTACCCGACGCGCTCGCGCAGCGCGCCCGACGCTTGGCAGTGGCTGACAGCAATTTAGGAACCGGCCGCCGCTGCTGGCGCTGCCACAAGGCCGGCAAGGGCGAGTGCGACAAGGTAAGATTATTCCCCAAATCGTGTGCGCGGCTTGCGCGCTGCTCGTGATTTTGGCTAACGACGCTCCAGATCCCCTTCGCCGCCGCCACCGCCCTCGAGGCCGCCCTCGAGACCAAGAGCGCCGCCGCCATCGCCGCCGCCATCCGGGCTCTGCCCAAGGGCAAGGGCAAGGCCGTCGCCGCCGCCGCACCCGCGCCGCTCGCCGCCGGCGCCGCCGACTTCGACGAGCTGCTGTCGCTCGGCCGGCGCGCCGTCGACGCCCTCGAGGGCATCGACCAGTCCCTGGCCGCCCTGTGCCGCTCGTTCGCGGCGCGCGAACGTCGCGAGACCGACGCCGCCGAGGCCGCCAAGAAGAAGGCCGTCGAGGCGGACGAGGAGGAGGATGAGGAGGACGAGTAACGGGTGCCTGCGCCTGGGGGGACCCCGACTAAAATAAACCCTCATTTTTTTTAAGAATTAAACAAGTTGCGCGCCCTGCGCGCCCCCGCTGTGCCCACGACGCTTTCTCGCGTCATTGTGATTCTTATCTTCCTTTATGTTAATACTTCATGCTTTTGTTTGTTGTAACTATATATATATATATATATAACTTTAATTATAGCTTTTAATTATAACCTTTCTTTTAATAATTATAATTAAATTTAATATACTTTATTTAACCCCCTTATTTAATAATAAATGTCTTATATAAAAATATTAAATTAATAAAATATATAATTTATAAATAATATATAAAAAGTATTAAAGAATAAATTTATAAAATAAAGTAAAATTAAGTTTATTTTCCCTTTTTTTTCTTCTTTTCTTTACTTTTAAATTTCTTCCTTATATAAAGGAAGCAGCTTTTATAATGCTTTTAAGCATTAAAAATAAAGCATTATTTTCCAAGATAAATAAGCGTTAAATGTAAGTGGGTGTATGGGTGAAGGACCCCATTGACTGCAGGCATTCACTAGGGCTCTGGGCCCCATACCCCTTAGGCATAAAACCCTTGCCTTGCAATTTCCATAAGACTTCTTCCTTACATAAAAGGTAGCGCCGTCTTAATCTAAATTAATGTATTAAGGATAGCTGCCTTGTCTCTATATTCCCTCTCGTGACATTAAAGGCTTTTTTCTAAGCCAACCCCTTCCCTGCATAAAGATCCCTAACAAGCATGATGTTAACTTTGCATGAAAAATTAGTGCTAAGCATTATTACGATTTAGATGAGGTTGATTTTAAACTTATTGGTATTATAATTGAGACCTTCCTTGCATCTTCTCTTTATATGCCCTAAAGATACCCATAAGCATAACTTTCTAAAGGCTTTGCGGAAGGGCCTTTGAAGGGATTGTTGCTTAACACGTTTAGTACCCACGTAATCATCAGGAGATTCTTACCAAGTAGCACATCCAGCACTAGTTCCAGAGGGTGTCATTGCTCCTCAAATCTGGGTATGGAAACTGGATATTATTTTGCTCCTGCCCCAGAGAGCTTTGCTTGGACTGAGCCTTCACTATTTTACACGATCACCTCAGTTTTACTTACACTGGTAAGGGTGGTCAAGCAGACTCTGCTCGTTCTCCACAAAAAGAACTCCTTGTGCATACGGGTCTCACCCAGGAACCACGCACTGCACCCCGCACCTAAGCGACCGACCCAGGCGTGCGCGAACGAGGAACCATGGATCGGCCACGACTGCGCGGGGAAAAGTAAACGCTCCTTCGGCTTTTAAAAACCGAATTGCCGGTTGGGCTTTCTACTCGACCTCCCCAGTTGTCACGTCGAGGTTGAAATTCCCGATTTCCCGTCAAGTCGTCGCAAAATGCAGTCCATATCATGGAGAATGACAAAAGCAACCCTCGAAAGATTGGTGTGCCGGGGCGAAAGCCGAGGGCGTGTAAGTAATAGACTACATCCTGTTTCCGAGTTCTTGGCACGGTCCAGCGAGCAATAGTATTGACGCCAACTCAGGTGCGGAATGCAAGAAACAGAAGATGAAATGTGAAGTGCCCTTTGGAGGCCACAAATGCAGGAATTGCAGGCGCAGAGGCACAGACTGCATCTTTGATCGACTCGTAGTTCCTCATGCTGCAAGCAACGGGCGGCCGCGTCCAGCTGCCAGCCCAGAGTGTAACTGCACCCACGATGTGGCTTTAATTCGAGAAGATGTCAGGCAAATAAAAGCATCACTGGACGTCTTGGCAGGGCAGAAGATGCTCCAACCCCAACCGACCTCACATCACGAGAGCTCCCCAAACACGACGATAGCCGCGGGAGAGGCCTTGTCGGCAAGAGAGTCCAATCTGCGTATGGCGATGACGAGGGAAAACTCACCGGAAGCAAACGGGAATACCGAGCACAATGACAATTCAGTAACGGTAGAGGAGCCAATGAGTAGTCTATACGAAGTAACGCGACTGAGGAATATAAGGTCTAATAGGGCCAAGACCGTACGTCCTGCGACTGAGCGAGGCCAAGTGCAAGACCTTATATCGAGGGGTATCATACCTCTTTTTGAAGCAGAAAGTCTCTACACACAAGGTATACACATGCTCCTAGTCTGTAATTGAGTACGATTCGTCGTGTTGCTAAATAGAAATGGAACAGCTTCCACACATCCCTGAATCACTACCTCTGGGTTGGCCTTGAGCAGACCCATCCAGACTTCAAGTTGGTTAGGGAATCGTCGGAGCTGCTCACAGCCACGATTCTGACAGTCACGGCGCTCCATATTCCAACGAGCGCTGAAACCTTCGACAAATGCTATAAAGAGTTCCTATCCCTCATAACGTCCCCGGCCCAGATTCCGGCCCCCCCCCTGATTCCGGCCAGCCGTTTTCTGGTGCACTGGCACTATAAGATACCCACTTTTCAACCTTCTATAATAAATCCAAATTAAATCCCAAAACCCTAACCCTAAATTCAAAATAAAGGATTTTAAATATACTTTTACATAAAGATATATTTAAAAATATAAATTTACTTTAATAATTTTAAAATAATTTTTAAAGTTAAATTATTAAAAATATTAAGATTTATATATATAATATAAGGAGTTTTTAATAACTTATATTTCTTAATTTTATACTTAATCTTTTAATAAAATAAATATAATTAAGTTTTATTATATATAATAAATTTATTATTATAAAATAATATAATTTTCTCTTATATTAAAAATTTTAATAAAGAAATATTAATAAATTTATCTTTTCCTTATATAAAAAAATATAAGAAAATATAAATTTATAAAATATATTAATAAATTTATAACTTTTAATATAATATCTTTTAATATTATATAATATATTAATTTCTTAACTTATATTTTAAAAAATAAAATTTTACTTAATTATATTAAAGAAATGTTTGCTTAAAAGTAAACGTTAATATTTCCATATAAAATATTAGGAATCCTTAACATTTAAAGCCTTTAACTTTTAAAAAATATTTTAAAAATAATAAAACTATAATAGATTTTTTTAAGTATTCTCATTATAATTTCCTTTTAAAATAATATCGTTTAAGCCTAGGGTTAGGGGTTTTGGATTTAATTTGGATTTATTATATGGGTTTGAAAAGTGTGAGTTTGTGTGGGAAAGGCGGCCGGAATCGGGGGGCGGCCGGAATCCGGGCCGGGGACGTTATCGAGCTCAATGTTTAGTCGATATCACAGCGTCGATGATGTGCGAGCCCTGTGTATTGCCGCATTCTGGCTATCAGAAGGTGAGAAGAGCTACGGTTTCAGATATTTTTCATATAGATTCGTTAACTAACCTCAACAGTATCGTGGAAGCTCTCCGGCCATGCTATCCGGATAGCCACGGAGCTCAACATCCATCAGTCCTTCTCCCGGGCAATGGAAGGCGACCGAGAGCACTTTCTCCGAGCCAGGCTCTGGTACATGCTCTATGTCTGCGACAAACACTTCAGCATAGCGTACGGCCGCCCACCCATGATCGCCGAATCCCTACAGATCCGAGACCACGAGCTGTTCCTGCAGTCGCCCTTCGCCGATGCCCTCGACCGGCGGATCCTCTCGCAGGTCTCCTTGATGCAGATCCTGACGCGCATATACGACCGGTTCATCGAAGGGAGCAAGGGATTCCCTCAGGAAAACACGGCAAGCGCGATGCTCGCCGACGAGGAGGGCGATTTTGATGACCTGCGCGCGTTCAACGGCGAGATAGACCGCTGGCGGATGCTGTGGCACGCGCGCCAGGAGAATAACCCTTTTATCGGGTCCTTCCCGCCAAAGGGAATCATACTATACTCCTATTTTGCCAAGCTGCAGCTCAACTCGCTCGCGATCCGTGGCGTGAGCCTGTCCAGCGGCCAACTGTCGACGCAGCGCAAGGAATTCGTGAACCTAGCCATCTCGGCGGCTGCTAGTATCCTCACGTTCGTGCTAGAGGAGGGGGACATGAGGAGGGCGCTGGTCGGGACACCGCTCTATGTGCACACTATGATCACGTTCGCATCTGCCTTTCTGATGAAGGGCACGACCATGTGGAGCCGCGTCATGGGACTGAACATCGAGGCGGGTTACGTTACCAATTTACTCGAGCGCGTGGTCTCGTTGCTGAAGACGTCGGTGACTTCCGATCGACATGTCCTGCACCATATCGCATTTGGACTGGAGAAGATGTTGGCGAAGTTCAGCGCAACCTCAGGTGCGGCAACAGTGCAGGGCTCGAGACATGCAGCCCTCAACACAGGCATCTCAGGTCGTGACAACGGCCAGTTTGACCAAAGGTTCCCGACTGATGGGCATCACGTGGCTTTCTCGAACGCGGAATGGGGTCCAGGAAATACCGGAACACCCAGCTTCAGTTATGAGTTCTCTGGTGACTTGATATTTGAGGCTTTCGGGAGTGGCTCTGCGAATGATGTCTATGATCTGCTGACGAGTCAACTGCCGTACTGATGGAAAACAAATCTCCTGCCAGGGCTCTAAGGCCTGTGAGGGCTCGGATAACACGAAAGCTCCAACAAGACCAATTGCGGCCCTGATGCGAACATTCCGTTCAGATTCTCGATGCAGAAAGCATTCCATGGGAAAATTATATAGCGCTGTCCCTAAAACTTCCAATGTCTAGGAGAGGTAAAGAAATGACCGGAAAGTGTTGGCATGAGCGCCTGGGAGCCTTCCTCCGTCAATGTACACCATACACTGTGGCGCTTATCCTGGCCCGCCCGCTCTGAATCTATGTGGCCCTGCCGACCGGAAATCACTCGATCTTTCCTACTGGGATCTATACCAAGTATGTGATAACCTCCTCTTTACAGCTCGTCCTCAACACCGCTCTTGAGCTTAGCAAAGTTGGTGAACCCGAGTTCGTACTGCAGTCACCAAAGTTAGCACCTAATCTTCAAAAGAGAGGTGGGAGCGCATCACATACAGCAAAAGCAAGAGTCATGCGGGCATGCTGAAGCATGTGGTCAAATGACAGGTACTTGATGGTGTCGTCGGTAGAGTGGATATGGCCGTCGCTGTCCTCGAACGCAGACTCGATGACGAATGCGGATGGGTAGCCAGCCTTGGAGGCAGAGGCGTGGTCCGAGCAGGCGTAGCCGCACTTTGTTTCCACGTAGGGAATATCGCAGTACTCAACGACGATCTTCTTGATGAACTCGGTCAGCTTCAAATCGACGTAGTCAACGATGACGCCGACGCTCTCAGGCTTTCCAGCCTTGATGGTCTTCTCAACGTATCCGGTCATGTCCTGCTGGAGCATGGCCTTGACGTCCCGGCCCTGCTTCTCGTATTCGGAGAAGATTGCTTGGCTCCCCAGCAGGCCACCCTCCTCGGCCGAGTACCAGTGGAACTCGATGGTGTTCTCCAGCTTGCCCTTCTTGACGGCGTCGGAGCTCAGGAGGACGCGGAAAGCTTCGAGGATTGTAACGGTGCCACTTCCGTCATCGTCCGCGCCCGGTGCAGCAAGGATCGAGGGCAACCAGAGGTTGATCGAATCCTGGTGGGCGCCAACAACAACCGTGGAGTTTGTCTGCCCAGGGATCGTCGCGATTATAGAACTCTGCTGCCACGAGTGTGGGAAAGCCTCGGCGTAGACATCATCGGCACCGGACTCCTTGATGATGTCCTTGATCTGTTTCAGGAGCCACTCGGAGGACTGCTTGCCGTAGTCGGACTTGAAGTAGCGGGTGTGGAAGCTGGAGAACTTCTCGAGGTTCTCATGCATCTCTGTTTTGGACAGGTTCTTGAGCAGCGGCTTGACCTTGTCCTGGAACGAGGCCTTGGCTGGGAAGACTACGTTGGCGAAAGCGTGGAGCCGGGATGCGCCGAGGTCTTGGGTCTCGGTGATGTCCATGAACTGTTGGCCATTCTGTGTATCGCGTAGTTATCAGTATGCAAGCCAGGCCTGGGTTGACGGCTGGGGAGAGGATGAGGCGCGAGAGCTTACTCGTCGGAGCTCCCATTTCTCCTCCTCTGTAATCCACTTGGTGTCGCCAGGCGCCAGTTCAACCAGGAACTTCTCGCTGGACTCCTCGTATACGCCCTGGGGATACAGCTGTACGTTGTTGCCCTCGGTCCGCTCGATGAAGCGAGCAGTGACGGCCGGAGCCAGCAGCGCGACGAGGGAGGATGTGCTAAGTCTCATAGTGAATGTTTGGAATGATGTATTGATGAAAGAGAGACGTTCGTTGCTCACGAGGCAACGGTCACTTGGGGTAATCTCCTATCTGACGGTCACCAGTCAGTCGGTCGGTCGGCAGGCAACCAATGACGCAACATCCTGAAACGAGCTCCTTATCCGCCGATCTCGGCACCGAATGGCTCGAGTCCAGATACCGAGGCACCATTGTGCGTACCCAGGTACCTTGGTACTTATTAGACGGCTTGCCCTGCTTCTGTACAAGCTGAGTGCAGTTACGAAGACATCAAGTCTCTCTACACACAACCCATACTTCAGCAGGCAACATCCATTCCCGCGAATGGGTTTATACTCAACGCGAGATCCAATACGGAGTGTGCCTGCGTCATGACGCAAGCTGAAACAACGTTCGGAGCTTCCACTGTGACGGATCCAGTCTAAGGAGACTCCGTTCAAGAGTCGCCAATTCGGTCTGTTCTCAGCCTTCTTGGAAGAAGGCTGGAACCACAACTTCGGGTCAAAACCCTCCCTCCGCCCGAAGCAGAGTGCCAGAAATATCGAGCGTTGGGCCTCAGGATCGCGGGCGGGGCCGCATAGTCTTGGCCTAGTGAAATGACAGGTCGGGGGCGGTGGTGCCACGATCATCCATCACGAAAGGAAGCCGGGTAACCAAGCCCATCATCAGGTGGTCCATTTGGTGCCTAGGTACGTGGATAGCCCCACGGGGTACCTGTTGGTTTCCTGGAGTTCGATGGCCTTGCACAGGGAATAGGAAACGGCCGGACTGGGAGTCTCCTAGTGGGGGTTGGTGCGGAAGGAATGGAGGGGGGATTCTGCGACTCAGCTGCGCTCTCACATGTGGTCTGATTGTCGAGGCTCAGTCTGAGCTCAGACAGCCCGACAAGCCTAGCGTCCGTTTTCATACAAATTGATGAGTTGTCTCACTTGACGCATCATAGATAGCAGCCTCCTTTTGTTCTCTTGTCTGGGTTGCACTTGCGCCTTTCCTTCACTCGTACTCTCTGGCCACATGAAGCCTCGAGCAGCACACAATGCCTGGATCACCACCACCATACCGGCCTAAGGCCGACCTCATCGCCAGAGGCGTCAAGCGACCAAGTCCTCTTGGCACTTCAACCTTTATCGGGTTGCGCGCGCTCGATCCGTTGCTCCAGTATCGCATTCTCGCCCATGGACTCGGAACGGGATTCCTCGCCAAGCTTGGCATATCAACGATACCTCTCAGCGCAACTGTAGTTACACGAACGGGCTTCAAGATAATCGACCAGCTCGGCCTCCCCCTCGAACGTCTCATCTTACTCGGAATGGCTGTCGGCTCTGCGGCGAAGCAGATCTTCTGGCTCACGTACATATCGCAAGAGGAATTCCAGCCAAAACCGGCCGTCATCGTCTCCGCGTTCAACTCCTTCTGCAACAGCGCAAACTCCCTGCTACTTCTGACAACCGCCACCTCTGCCGCGCTCTCGACAAAGCCATTGACGGTTCCCGTGCCTGGCACTCGCGCTAAGCTGTCGCTGCCGGTCGCCGTGGGCACCGTCTTGTATATTCTTGGTATCCTGCTTGAGACCGGCTCAGAGCTGCAGCGCAAGAGGTTCAAGGACAACCCGGAGCACAAGGGCAGGCTCTGCAGAGAGGGCCTTTGGAGCTGGGCCCGGCACATCAACTATACCGGATACACCCTGTGGAGAGGAGGGTATGCCCTCGCAGCAGGCGGCTGGGTGGCCGGTGCTGCGGTGGTCTCGTTCCACGTGCATAGCTTTATCGGCAACGGCATCGTCTCGCTCGACTACTACATGAGCCGCCGGTACAAGGACCAGTGGGGCCGCTACAAGGAGGACGTCAAGTGGAAGCTTGTGCCTGGCCTCTACTGAGCTGGTGGTGAGCCATCACCTTTGTGTGGATTTCAGTTTTGGTAGTGGCATGTATTTTGGGCAACCGCATCTGCATCATGGTGGTCAAAACGGCGTTACTGGTAAAGGATGGCTGCTCAGCCTTGAGAAGCAACCCATGATTGAGAATGGGGTTTGAGGGTCAGAGATTGATTTTGGCAGAGTGAAGGGGAGAGTAATTGCCACTAGGTCCAACGCAAGGAATAAATAGCATGATCAATAATAGAAATTCTGTGTCACTGGCACTCCAGCCTTTCGGGTTGGTCGTGAAAGGTACAAATCGCCGGGGCCCCGCATACCTGTGTCTGGTCTGGGTAACACACTTTCTCTGTAGGGTGCTTTTCTGTGGGATACGTTCGTGGGACAAGCTCTTCGGTATGACCTCCTCTGCGGTCCTGAACAACGGTAACTGCACTTTATAAAAGTGCGTAGCATTCTTCGTCAGTCTTATCCCGAATTGATTGCCGAAGTGTTGAAGACCGAGAATGGCGCTCGGAAGCCCAGCAGGGGTCGCTGTCAACTGATCCCGCTAAGATAAACCCGCTGCATGTGATTTGCCGTTGCACAAACCTACGTCAGGCTGCTCAAAGTCCCCTGTCGGTCGGTCGTGATCAGCGGGCTAGGATCCATCATTTGGCCCCGAGAGCGGTGGGTCAGCGCGGGTCCAGCCCTGTTTCCTTCTGAATTGAATACCGAAACCGCGAACTTTCCTTTGAGCAAACACACCTTTGAACTCGTTACTGAATTTCGATACCCGCACGGCGCCATCTCCTGTTTGCCTGCGATGCTTTTTGCGCGTCGAATAGACTTAGAGTCAACACCATAGACCCCCACCGCGGCATCCTCGCCGCCTCTTCGACAATGCGCGCATGCGCCGCCCGAACGACCCCACGATGCCCTGTCGCCTCGACTCCTCGGACATATCTCGCTTTTAGAAGCCACAGGCAACGCTCAATATCTACGAGGCTGCTACGGACAAGCTGTCGACCTGGAGAGAGACCCGCGTTACCATCAGCGCAAAGGTCGGAAGCGCAGCCAGCACGCACCGTTCTCCCGGCGCTCGTCCCAGTTGGGCAGAGGAGGCCGGCGTCGGTGGCCACTGCGACGCAGGAAAATGGTGCGCTTCGATCACAGGATGGGATCTATGTTTTGGTAATACCTGCTGACATCCTACAGTCAACCACGACGACTTCGGTCCTATTCAAGAATACGATCGCCGCGTGGCCGAAGGCCGCCTGAAGAACGACGAGCACCAGCGAGGCAATTTCCCCACGAAACAGTTGTCGACTTGGCGCATGCACTGACATGTGACGAAACAGGCATCATACAGAGTTTACAGCACCTGCACGATGAACTCCGGCATTACCAAGCCCGGCCCGTCGTCCACCCAACCCTCGAGTCGTTGAAACCCTCGAAAGGACTGTTTTCCTTTTTCGGAGGAGGCAAGGCAAAAGCTGCGCTGCAAGACATACCAGCAGATTTGCCCCGAGGGTTGTATCTTTTCGGCGATGTAGGAAGTGGCAAGACGATGTTGATGGACCTCTTTTACGATACCCTGCCGAGCGCCGTCCGGTCAAAAACGAGGATACACTACCACAACTTCATGCAGGACGTACACAGGCGGTTGCACCGCATGAAGATGGAGCACGGGAACGACATAGATGCTGTGCCCTTCGTTGCTGCGGATATTGCAGAGCACGGAAATGTTCTGTGCTTCGACGAGTTCCAGGTCACCGACGTGGCAGACGCCATGATTTTGCGGAGGTAAGAATACCTCTCACAGCCCAGCACTGCTAGTCCGCCACTCTGACACCTTGAATCCAGGCTTTTGGAGGCGCTCATGTCACATGGTGTGGTTCTTGTCACGACTTCCAACAGGCATCCTGATGAGCTGTATAAAAACGGCATCCAGCGCGAATCCTTTGTTCCCGCAATTCACCTCCTCAAGAGCCGATTACATGTTATCAACCTCGACTCGCCAACAGACTACCGAAAGATACCCCGACCTCCGTCCGGAGTCTATCACACACCGCTTGACGCTCACGCTGCAGACCACGCGGAAAAGTGGTTCCGCTTCCTAGGCGACCCCGAAGCTACCGAGCCGCACTCCGAAGTCCAGCACGTTTGGGGCCGCGAGATCTTCGTGCCCCGTGTCAGCGGTCGCTGCGCGTGGTTCACATTTGACGAGTTGATCAAAGAGCCGAAATCAGCCGCCGACTTCATCGAGCTGACGCGTTCCTATGACGCTTTCATCGTCACGGACGTTCCGGGGATGACCATCAGGGAGCGAGATCTGGCTCGCCGACTTATCACATTCATCGATGCGGTGTATGAGTCACATGCGAAACTCGTCCTCACCACGGAAAAGCCCCTGACGGAGCTGTTCACCTCCAAGGACGAGATCGCCGAGTCCCTCCTGAAGGGGTCCGACCATGACGGCAGCGGCGGCCACGAGGTAAGCCAGGTGATGAAGGACATAATGGAGGACCCGGATAAGCAGGCGGACAAGCTCAAGGGATCCGCGCTGTTTGCCAACGATGAGGAGGCGTTTGCCTTCTTCCGCGCGCTGTCCCGGCTGACTGAGATGGGAAGCGTGGAATGGGTGGAGCGGGGCATGGGTCTCGAGAGCAGAGGCGGGAAATCTGAACGGGATGGCTTTATGAAGGCCCGTTCGAGGCAGATGGAGGACAGCATGTAGGTCGGGTTGGACGACTACATCTACGGGGTGGACGACTACGTCTACGGGGACCTCTGTCTTCAGTGGCAGCATAGCGAAGCATTGGTCGGAATAGCAATTTTGGCATAGACATGAAGCATGTTTTGCAATGGCTTCTGGTCCAAACATTAACCATCTATTTCATAGAACCTGGTTTTTGGAGCATTTGTCCATGTCATGCGCCGCCGCCTCGCCCCGGATAGTGACGCCCAACAACGGCCACGAGCAATTACTGCTTGTGCCGAAGACCGCCCACAAATTAGTCAAACACATCAAACCGCACCACTCGTTGCTTTGCCTCCGCTTCCATCTGGCCCAGATTTAGAAGCGGCTCGTTGGGTCCATCTCTCCGCGACGCTTCGGCAGAGTAATCCGACACATCGTCACCATTCTGCACGACGAATCGCTCGCCGTAGAACAGAAAAGGCAGGAGTGATGTCTTCCAAACCATCTCACGGCCTCGACACCGCGAACTCCGCAACATGGTCCATACGAGTAGACCGCTGGTGACAGCCACGAGTACCGCTGGGAAGGTCAACCAGCTGTAGTCGATCCTTGAGCATACAGTTGCCTGGAGTACTTGACCAAACACGGCCTCGGGGTTGTTAAAGAGGCCCATTCTCATCTTGTTTGACAGTCGATCTGTGAGCGCCTCGATTCGCTCGATGATACTTGCGGCCGTCGTTCCGTTCAAGTCATCGGCCAAGAAACTTGCGAGCCAGTATGCCTCGCCGCAATCGCTCTGCCAGTGTGAAGTATTTGTAGAGCTATCAAATATGAACCCAGTAATGAAGCAGCTTCCGTTGAATGAGTCTGCTGCCTTCGAAAGTTCGACTACCGCGTCCTTGGTTACACCATACATGCATTCTTCTGGAGCTGCGGTGGATTCGACTCTGAAACCAAACGCCCCATCGGGGTCTGGATCAGCATGAACGAAAAAAAGCAGATCCTGGTTGAGAGTGGAGGATTTATTCTCCTTAGTCCAGACTGTGTCATTCACGAGGCAGGGAGACTGGACTGCTAGGAGCCCTGCATCTCCGCTCTTGAATTCTGCCCAGGAAAAAACAGAAAGCGCTTCCTGAACAGCCTCGGTTGTGATGTTTGGCTCAAACTGGGGGCTGACCTCCAGCACCGCAGGATCCGTGCTGATGAGAACCTCGGTTAGTTTCCCTGATGCCACCGAGCCAGTGTACGAACGAAGACAGAGGTATAGTGTGCACGTAACCGCGACGTAGTCTGTATAGCCGGAGCTTGTTGAAATCCAGTTGGGCGTGAGAACGGTGATGTTTGCGAAGGCCCATTGGGACAAGGCTTTCATATCCGGGCTGACTAGATCACCGGCCCAATCCAGTCTCAGTTCAGGCGACACCAACAGGCTGGCGCCTTGAGTATAGTGAAAGGTGATGTTGTCGAGCAAGGCTACACCAGCCATTCCATTGGGCAGGGCATATTCAAGTTTGGTTGTGAATCTATCACAAAGGCCACCGGGGTCGCAATTGTCCGGGATCAATGTCCATTCAGTCGATGTAATCAGGGATGAAGTATCAGCACATGAACTGCACACTCCTAGCGTGCTATACACCCCGCCAATTGGATTTTGAAAAGTACAGTTCCCAGTAGGGCATACCACAGAAATGGGCGACCCTATTTCCTCACTGTCCGGGCTGAGGGCAGATGTTAGGGCGGCGGCCAGGTTGGATTCGTCAAGGGACTGAATAGTATTGCTGTCTCCGGCTTTGTTTGTTCCAACTGCGTAAGGGTCGATAAAATAAGAGACTGGGAGAGATGCATGGGCGCTGTCCACCGGAAAATAACAAGACTGCGTCTGGATGGCCTGTTGTGCAAAGGAGCCCGTTCCTAGCGAGATAACCATGACCGTGACCGCCAGTAATATTGCAGGATCCCGGGTGATGGTTGGTATAAGCTTCACAGCACCTAGCGAGCCCTGGCTAGCATCGTTAAAACGACTTGCCTCCATCAGCCGGCGCATAGGTGGGTCTTTCGTAAGTCGTCCGTTACAAGCGAAGTATTGCCACTTTGCCTGGCCAATGATCTCCGCTACCACAAAGACTAGCATCGTTCGGAGCAGAGTAGCCATCAAGGCAATCAAGGTGCTCAGATTGATAGCGCTGCCCCAGTCTGGTATGCGTTGGCCGTCATAGCGTTGGAGGATGCCGTACATTGATCCAAGCATTCCGATAGCAAGAACGCAGTTGATTATCTCCCATGTCCAGAGCTTGAACATGTTGGCGCTTGCGAATCGAGTAAATACGGTCTCGAATCGGAAGTGTGGGTGATTCCGAAATTTGTGGAGGAGCTTCCTAGACTGATAGTTTCTCGACTGTTGTGGCAGTTTTGTGACGCGAGAGTATCCTTGAGCGGAGCCAAACTTCTCACGGCTAATCTTCCTCGGACCCTTCATGGTGCCGATGACTGGGCTTTGGATGGGATCACGTCTTGGTGACTCTTCAATGTCGCTGTTTTCATGGGACAATGCTGGCGACCCCGAATCACTGGAGGCGGGTGCTTGGCAATTTGAGGTATGTTGACATGCAACTTGGCTAGGAATTGGCCAGGTATCATGGCTAGAAGACCCTGGTCTGTGCAGCCCATCATTTGTGTTGTTTGTGAACGTGAAAGATGAGTGCTGAGATGAGTTGTTCAGTTTGTCCATGGACAGTGTCACTGAGAGCCTTGCTGACTCCGCCATGTCTTGGACTAGAATACTTTGAATGAAAATTATAATTGATTCAGGGTATGTGGATGATATAATGGGTGAACACAAAGTGTCTACCCAGATGTCAGGCAGATGATGATTTATAGTTTATTCCAGAACCTGTGTTCCCCCACAGTGACTTTCAGCACAATGTGGTAAATGGTGGGGGGGGGGGTATTTGCTTTGATGTGACAGGACCCCAAAGAGACCCCAAATGCGGATGCAGCCAGTGCCAATAACATGTCGAGTGCACACTCATTCGAAGCTCAGCCGTCCGAGCCAGAATATCCCACCAAATCAAATTGCTATCATAGGTATCACAACCTTCTCTGAAGTCTGTTTTATGCATGTAGGTAAGATAAAATTTTCGTTCTATGATGTCAAGGTGCGTCTGTAATCACCTAGGCAGGAAACATGATGTGAAAGATGGATGATGCCCTCGCACGTTCAATGGTCCTTGAATAGCATTGCCACCGGCGACAGGTTCAAATGTTATTTTTAAAAACTAATGGTCTTGGGCCCTTATCAAGCACAGGTGTTAAATCTAGTCTGAAAGTCTTCATTATTCCCGAGTGTTCGCAAAATTCGCCTGCATTGAATAATCTGCAATACCCGAAGATCGCCAGGTCCATAGGTATCCATCTTTCCAACAGTGCTGTCAACTCTAACCCGAGATATCTTACCCCAACAGATCCATATCACTCACTATTCTAACTCTACCGGTGGATTTGACAGCATGTCTGCTGTATCTAATTGCGTTCTATCCACTTTTCCGCACTGGACTTCCTGCAACCTCGCATGCGAATCGATCTCTGGTATCGTACTGTGCCCTTGAAGCTCCTGGGGGCTCTTCGCCTCCGAGTCGCCGGGTCTACTGTCCCGAGTGTTGTAGGCATTTGACAGATGGTCTGCCGCCACTATCTTTATGTCCTTCCGCCTCACCCGCCAGAACCAAAAAGTGGCGGCGGCCAGGATGACGACGCCCAATCCCAAGCCGACACCAATGCCTGCCGACGCACCCGTCGACAGCCCCCGGCATCCCGATGAGTCCGTTTCATTGCCGCTCGAAGTTGGCGTAATGGAGGATGATGATGATGATGATGTTGTTGTTGTTGTTGGCGAAACGTCGGAGCTTTGCTAATGAGTTGCAGCAACGGCGCGTAGACGGAGAACGTCGATACCGTCGCTACGGATGAGCTCTCAGTAGTGATATATGGGATCGAGAGGGTGGCTAGTCACGAGCATATCAGATGAGGGAGTGCCAGATAGTCTTTCTTGGGGATCCCATTGGAAGGACTGTTCTGGAAGAAATGGAAAAGCGTAATGCTTGGTAATTTTGAGTCCATTGGGTAAACGACGATATCTGAAGAAGAACTGGTTCCACGGCCAAGTACCTAGGTTACTCAGGCTAAGTCAGACCATCCGCGGTTATGCGGCACTTCATCAAAGTCGCCCATTGATTGCAGGATGCGTATTAGCTGCACCAGGCAAAGGGAGGGTCCACAACGGTTTAGGCAGCCTCAAAGCTACTAGCCCTGTCTGTGACATATCATCGCGGGGCCAGATGGTGCACAAGCAAAGCTGTTGGACAGTGGAAGTGGCATTCACTGGGCCTTTCAGCTACTGCCTACTCTGTTGAGTGTTTACAGCGTAAATTGCAGCCTGTTGGGCCACTTCTTTTCATCTGATTTTCGGCAGCCACAGTACAGATTGTTTATGCATGCCCGAGTCACACTGCAGCATATTAGTTGGCCCCGCGAACAGTAAACACTTGAACGCCAACTCTTTTCAGCCATACGAGCACCGAACACTCGTTTACTGCACTCCTCCGTGTTTTGCCCATCAAGTTGCTTCTGCCCAAGGCTACCCAACACAAACACCGCCTCCTGATCTGACAACGAAGATTTTGCCCCTTCTAAGTCAACATTCAGCCTCAACGACTACCTTGCCGATCATCGACAGCGCACACCAGACAATTGGTTTTGCAAAAACGGCGGCATGGGAAGCGAAGAAGCTACAATGGCTCTCAAGGATGCAGCCTCAACCATAAGCTCATCCCACAAATCATACGCGCTTCCTGATTGGTTCCTGGAACAAAATGTCAAAACCAGTCGGGACCTCGCTACGATCCCCGACCAAGTGGTCTTCTGCAACTGCAAGGATTGCGAAGGGACGAAGCTCGCTGACGATGAATTTGAAGGTGCTGAGCAGCCAGGTGATAAAACAAACGGGGCAAACAAGAAGAGTGAGCCAGGACAGCCAATGGACGAAATGCATTACAAGACCTGTTCAGAGCTTCGTGATGTCATTTGCGCATCGTTCATGCCTTTCTGCAACACAAGGCTCAAGCAGGACTCAACCATAGTCTTCTGTATGCAAGAGGAAAGCACTGGCTTGCTGGAGCCGGCCTGGATGAGTCGGGTAGTTGAAAACGCGGTTAAAGCAACGAGGGGCATCTCCATGATCTTCTTCGATCTCGAAACACTGGAGGAGCTCGGCTGTGAATTCCACCAGCAGTATAAAGAAAGAGCTGGAGAGGGCACCTGACGACCGAAGGCTGGGAGCCGAACAGGGAATCGTTTACAACGTTTCTGGAGCACTTCTTCGCCATCCGCTCCAAGGCCAAAGCTGGCGAAAAGGCGTGGCAGCGCAACCAGGAGGTGTTGTCCGCACACCTTGATCCGGTCAAAGTGAAACAAACAGCCGAGTGCCCCAAGATGAAGGAAGGAGATGACTCCGGTGCCTTGATAATCCACATTATGGACTGCAATTTGGTGAACCAAACACTTGCATCTAAGGTGAAGCAAGCAGTTCTGATGCGCATCTCTGAAATGGTGCGGGCAAGACGCGAGCAGGGTGAAGCTGTGGCGATCCTCTTGTCCACCAATTATCCCTGGTACCGACACAGCGAGGAAGAGTTCAAAAAAATTGGAGCTACAAGAGACTCGACTGTGGCTGCGTCCAGAGACAAGATTCTCGATTGGGAACAGCGGAATGAGGTGCGTACAGGCATCGTCAACACCCAACGTCTGCGCCGGGTCATGAGACACCACCTCCCCTCAAACCTGTTTTGTTCTGAGCTTCTGAAGTTCTGTTCAGATTGGACCTCCACAAATCGGGCTCAGACCTACAAGTCGTTTGGGAAGAAACTGTGGTCATCGGGTGACGTGGAAAAGTCCATTACCATTCTTATGGGACGAGGCTGGAGAATCAGCAAGGCCAGGTCCCAAATGAGCTTCACGGACCCATGTCATGTACTCGAACGTTTGAATCTTTTCCACCAGGCTGAATCAGATTGCAAGAGTCAAGCGACGGAGGAGATGAAGGAGACGGGAGACATCAGTGAGTTCCACACCTCCAGCAGCCCAAAGTTTGCAAACGCTTCTAATGCACGCAGTCACGCATACAGATAACAATCCTCATGATGATGACTCCGTCACGCTAGACAAAAGCTTCTAATTTGACGTCGAACCAAGTGCCTGGCCCGTCTTTGTCTTTCTCGCCTTTCAAGAATGGGAGCAACAGAAAACCAAGCACCAACAAAATAATGCTGCCCTGGATTCACTCATGAGTCTGGTGGGGTTGGAAGAGGCTAAATTCCAGTTCATGACGATTAGAATCTAGTTGACACTGCTCGCCGGCAGGACGCCAATTTAGCTCAAGAAATATTCAGCGCAGTCTTCACGGGCAGCTCGGGGTCAGGCAAATCCACTGTCGCGAGGCTGTATGCCCAGTTTCTATCAGTCCTAGGAGTTGTCCCCAATCTCAGATTCGAGCAAACGACTGGCGCAAGGCTGGCCGACGGAGGAGTTTCTGAACGTAAAGCAATCATCAGAAGACTCAAGAAAATGAGTACCGGCGACAGCGACACGGATTCGCGTTGCGAAAAGATGCTAGGGGTAATCTTCATCGACGGGGCGCATAAAATGGTGCCTGATGGGGCGAATAAACCCTTCAACTATCTCATGGACGAGGTCCAGCGGCTCCAGGGGCAGGTGGTCTTTCTCTTCGCGGGATCACTCCAACAGATGCAATCATTCATGGGCTTGTCACCGTCACTACGGAGCCACGTTCCGTTCACTTTCAAGTTAGATGACTTCACCGACGGCGAGCTTCATCAGATTCTGGTCCAACAATTGCAACCCAAGTTTCAGGGCAAGATGCGCGTAGAAGGAGGTGTCAACGGTATTTTCATGCGGATTCTCACCAGACGGATTGGCCGCGGCCGCGGCGGGGGCTGCTTCGCCAACGCTCGAGACGTCCAGAACGCGCTTCTCCGCGTGCTTCTTCGCCAGGCCAATCGTTTGAGCCACAGCAGAAGGCTGCAAGAAGATGCCGACGATCTGCTTTTGACGCACATCGACCTCCTCGGACCTCCGCCAATATCCACATTGGAGAACAGTACAGCCTGGAAGGAGCTGCAGGATATGAGTGTGGTCTCGTTTTTAATCTGTACATATATGCTTCTTAAGCAATATGCATCCAGTCCCTTTATGTAATAATAAACGCTTAAACACCTAGTGTTAAAAACAATATGATAATAATAATAATAGGTTTTAAATATAATTATAGCTTATAGCTGAGAAAATAATAATAGCCTTATAATAATTATATAAATAAAGCTAATAAAAATTACTTTTAATAACGCTATAAATTAAAGTTATTAATATAAATAATGTTAAATTAATAATTAAGTAATTAATTATATAGCAAAGATTAAAGTGATCTTTATAAAGAAGTTAAGATGAATTTATTAAACTGCTGGCGAAATAAACCGCTTGGCTAAAAGACCAGCAATTTCCAATCCCTTGGAAATACACCTAGCAGTATGTAAGCGCCGTACCATTATAAAAGTATAATTATATTAAGTTATATTACTTTAAATTTACTTATTCATTATAAGTAATTAGAAAATGCTTTAAAGCATTAAAAAGTAATTAAGAATAAAGGGCGAAAGGGGGGGTTTTGAGACGGAATGCTATTTGCTGCTGGCGAAATAAACCGCTCGGCCAAAAGACCAGTAATTTCCAATCGCAATTGGAAATACCCAGCAGTATATAAGTGCCGTACCGTCACAGGTTTTAAGGTTTCTTTATTACTGAAATATAAATAAATATATCAAGCCATACGCAAATTTATGCATCAGCTTAGTGCTAAGGAATAATAGGAAAGCTAAGAAAATAGCAGACAGACTAATAAACAGTTGATTTCTTTCTTAAAAAAAAAACAGTGTGGCCGAAGCCTGCAGGATCTGACAGACCTTGCGTCCGTGAAGAAATCGGTCCATGCTCTGATCGCCCGTATTCAAACGAATTATGAACGAGAACTGGCTGAGGAGCCTCTTGTAGAGACTTCGCTCAACAAAGTTTTCCTCGGGAACCCTGGTACTGGCAAGACAACAGTTGCGAAACACTACGCTCGAATTCTAACGGAGCTCGGTCTACTGAGCAACGGGGAGGTCATAGTGAAAAGCTTTCACGACTTCATCGGGATGTGGCGGGGCCACTCAGAAAATCTGACCAAGGAAATCCTCGACTCTGCCCAAGGCAAGGTTCTCATCATAGATGAGGCCTATGGTCTCGGGCGACCTAACAGACATAACAACTTCTCGCGTGCCGTGATCGACACCATGGTTTCCGAGGTTCAGGCCACCTCCACTGAAGATCGAGCCGTACTGCTGCTGGGTTACAAGGACGAAATGGAAGAATGCTTCGGCGGGTCAATCCTGGTCTCGGAAGAAGATTCCCGCTCTCGTCAGCATTCGAATTCCAAGATTTCTCGGATGAAGAGCTCCGCAGCATTCTAGATCAGAAACTCCAGGCCCAAGGATTCACCGCTTCTGAAGAGGCGAAGAAAGTCGCCATGGAAGTTCTCGGTCGCTCTCGCAACCATCAGAACTTTGGGAACGCGGGTGAAATAGATATCTTGCTGGACCGGGCCAAAGCCCGCCCAACAGATCCGCCTCAATGAGCTTGAAGGCAACAGCAGCACGTCTCTAATTACAGAGTTCAAAGAGATGGACTTCGATCCCGATTATGATCGACAAGACCGGGCTCAGTCCAATATCCAAGAAGACTTTACGGACTTTGTTGGTGCTGACGCACTGGTCGCCAAGTTCCAAGCATACCAGCGCATCGCACAAAAATCAAAGGATATTGGACTCGATCCTAGAGATCAGATACCCTTCAACTTCGTCTTCCGTGGCCCTCCAGGTGAGTCAAATGGATCGCTTTTGAAAATAAAAAAGGGACAAGTTAACAATTTTGCAAAAAGGTACAGGGAAAACAACAACTGCCCGGAAGCTGGGCCAGATATTCTTCGACATGGGCTTTCTAGCCACAAGAGAGGTCGAAGTCTGCTCTGCTAGTGAGCTAGCTCATCGCCGAGTATGTCGGCCAAACAGATCCCAAGACGCAGGAAATGTTCCAGAAGGCTCTGGGCAGGGTTCTCTTCATCGACGAGGCATACCGGCTTGCAGAGAAGCGGTTCGGAAAGGAGGCCGTGGATGAGATTAGTAAGCACATTCTTGTCCCTTTACGGATCTCCATCTTGTTGTGGAGTGTTCCAGAATGCAACACTTAAGGCTCCATAGCAGGTTACTAACAGGTACGAAGTCAACCTTGTCACTTTGCCCAAGTACAAGAATAGAATGGTTGTTGTCCTGGCCGGATATGACCAGGATATCAACCATCTACTGGCCACTAATCCCGGCTTCGGAAGCCGTTTCTCAGAAGTCGTCGAGTTCTCGAATCTTTCTCCCAGCCGTTGTCAAGAGTTGCTTGTGCGACTCTTGGAAGACAGAAAGTTAGGTGTGAGCAGTTTGCGTTTTCCATCGGTTGCGGCAAGGACTAAGGCCTCCTTTCAAACACTGTCACATGTGCCGGGCTGGGGCAATGCCAGAGACGTAGAAAACCTTGCCACGTCTCTATTTGGCAAAGTCGTCTCGGTTCCCGTGTCTCCTCCCTGCTTACACGTGGCCAGTGAATGGGTCTACGAGAAAATGAAGGAGATGATCGCGGAGAGAAGGAAGCGCGCAGAAGATGCCTCTGGCTTCAACAGAGCAACAAACCGGCATCGCCATCGTGACTCCCCAAACAGCGAGTCCTGAAGCGGGAAGTGGTCCATCCCACGGAACGCGGGATCCCAAGTGTCAGACGAGCTATGGTGCAAATTGGAAGTACACAAAGCGAGATTGAAGGACAGGCACAAGGACTTCAGCGAATTTGGACTTTGAAAAGGAGAAAGAGGCCCAGGGATGCTTGATGACTTCAGAAACCTGCCTGTAGAATGGGAACAAGTGGCTTCGAGTCGATGGATGATTCCGATGCTCTGGAGGATCTCATTACATGTCCCTTAGCGGCATTTGGTCGGAGTATGGTGTTGCATTATAGATGAACTGTCGCGGGCATAGATAGCGTTTTTTCTGTCGCTCTTGATACAGTAATTTCTAATACAGTCGAAGAAGCCACCTTACTTAGGGTGGTCTGAGTTCATTGATTCCCGGATACCAGGCATCATGTGAGACCAGCAGGTCGTTACTGAAGCAATACAGAGTTGTCCATGTTGATGTCATATTTTCAGATTGGCCTGACGAGGGCGAACCAACCCCAGAGCAAGAGCGACTCAGTCCCTGCAGTCTCGATGGTGGAAGGCACCACCTTCCTGGAAGACTGCTCGTAAGAGTCCCAAACTTCGTCATCAATAACATTGAACCATGGTCCACCAGTCTGTGCACAGACACATGCTACATCTTAAGCATGAACACAACCCTCTTCGTCCCCGAGACTCTCTCCCTCAGATATCACAGCGCACCAAGTCAGTATTGTCACGATGCCGTCAATTCAGAACAGGAAGGGGACAAGTCCCTTGCATGGGCAATGTCGTGTTCTCCAGTAAGGCGTCCGAAAACTGTGAGAAGATGTCGTGTATGCTTTTCTGACTCCAAAGGCCCTGTTCGGACAATCCCAGAAAGTTGAAGCAGCCATTTACGGCCGGTTGGCTTCCTCGAGACACTCCCGCAGCCAGACGGACAACAAGAAGTATGAGACGAGCGGCAGAAGCATCCCTTGGATCATCTACACCGCCGAGAATTTCTCGAGAGGACAATCCATCTCGGTAAGATACCACAACCTGTAGGCACCGCTGCAGTTGATCATGGCTATTAACCCATGGCGAGAATCAGCACCGACATGGCCCGTGGTGACTTTGAGATCATCACGGTGCCCGACCAAGACACTCCCACCACAGCTGAGATAAGCAAGTGAGTCTGCCGATACTTTTGGTCGCCTGGACAGTTTTCAGGCACTAGCGATAACTAAACTGAATAGTCCCAGTGATACTGAAATCACTTCGAAACCTCAGGACTCGACAACTTTCGAAAACGCAGCCTCGTCCCCTTCTCCGACCCGCGCCAGGCACCACGACCAACCCTTCTCCAAGATGCGCGCAAATTTTGGAGACGGTCCTTCTTCTGAGTTGTCATCACCATTCACAGGCTTCGACACGACTCACAGCCGAAGCGACCCTGTTCCGTTGCATTTCACGACACAGCGTGTGGACAAGATGGGTCGTCCCCCAAGCCTTGGTTCTGCCGGCATCATGGCAGGTGAGACCATGGAATCTTATCACAGCGGCTACACATCCGAGACAGAAGATGGGCGTGCAGATTACATCCTCGAGGCCGGGATGAGATCGCCCGGGTCCAGGTTTCACGATTTCTGGGCCGACCGACCGGTGGGCTACGTCCCAGCATACTGGCCCACGGGTCCGCGCAAACTTCCCTCCGGCCACTACACCTGCCCGCACGAGGGCTGCGAACACCCAGTCGGCCAAACAGAGTCAGGAGACGGCTACAGCCGCACGACACTCGGACCGCACATCGTCTCCCACGGCCTGTACGATGTGAGGGAGGCCGTCCGCGACCGTGTCAGGGCCATGCGCCACGTCCAGGGCCGCAACATGGACGACGTGGTGAACCCGTACGAATACTACAGCCATATCCCCGGTCACCTCCAGCGGGTGACGGACGAACTGATCCTGGACCTCGAGGAGCTCAAGAACTGGGAGCAGTCGGACCGCTTCGTGCGTCCTTTCGTGGCGCTGCCAATGACCAACGGAAACAGCTTTCACCGTTCTCCCCGAGATGAGAAACACGACCCGCACGAAGCCGCAGAGGAGGCCGACGACGAGTCTGTCCCCCACCAGAACCCGAACCGCTTCCGGAACAACCGGTTCCGTCAAGCGCGGGGCGCCTCTTCTGGGATGCGCCGGGAGGAGGAGGATCGCTCTCCATCGTTTGCCGAGTACTTCAAGCCCTTCGTCGAGCAGTTCCCGGACCCGCCCTCGCCTCAAGAGATGGAGGCGGATACGGACAGCAGCTTCGGTCCTCCGAGAAAGAGGGCCCGAAAGCTTCGACGACAGCCGGACGGCTCGTTCCACGACTACGTCCCGAAGGGAGGCGAGGACCCCATGGAGCTTGACTAAGGGAGACGTGTCCGATTTCAATCACCGAGTTTCAGCTTTTTGAATTCCCAGTTTGGCTTTCTAAGTTTTGTATGGATGAATGATTATTGATGGTTGGCTAGGGCCTGACGATTGGCTGCGAAGAGGGCCCAACACACGGATGTCATCCTTATTGCAGAGGAGTTTGTGGGCATACGTACGGGAATTGTTCGTCGGCCGAAGGCATCTAGATATGTCGCTCGCTTGATAAACAGCATATCATACAATCAGTCTCTCCCTTATAACCGAGTGCTTTTGACATATCTGCGCTTTATAACCCGTATGACGTGTAACCTGACTACGTCGATCCGGCAGAGCATATGCATCCCGATATGTCACAGACCAACTCCGGCCAACTGAGAAGAGATGAGGAATAATTAATGACTTCGTGTGTTGTCTAAGATGTCCCATAATCTAGCTATAAGTCTGATATGCATTCTTTGTCCGTGGTCACTCCAATAAATTTCTGATGCCAATACTTTCCCGCTGTAATACTGACACCGATCCTGCTCCGAAGCGAATGTAATAATGCCTTTTCCAAAATTAACGACAGGAAGAGAACAGAGCAAAACCCGCTTTGGAAGCAACAATAATGCAGTTTCACCCTGGGTATCGTGGCACTCGCTGAATTTCCATCAAGCGTTCGCGTTCCTGTGCTCGGCCTCCTTGGCCGACTTCTCCCAGTCAGAGCGGGCGAGGTACCAGAGCTCGACGCTGCTGACGAGGGCGAGCCCGACGGTGACGCCGAACCAGAGGCCCTCGAGCTTCCACCCCAGGCCGAAGGCGGTGCCAAAGGCGAGAGGCAGGGCGACGACGTAGTACGACACGAGGTTGGCATAGCCTCCAAACTCCTGCTTTCCCGTGCCGCGCAGCAGGCCGTGCGAGATGGCGGCAAGGCAGTCGAAGAACTGCATCACCGCGCAGACGGGCATGGTCCTCGCAACAAGGTCCACGACCTCGCTGTCCGGAGTGAAGAGCAGGGGCAGCTGGTAGCGCAGGGTCGATAAGATAGTGACGTTGAAAACGCCGACAATGCAGCCGGCCCAGAAGGCCACCTTTGCACATGTCTTTGAGGCGTCGACCAGGCCTGCGCCGATGAGGTTGGCCACTCGAGTCGATGAAGCAATGGCGATGGGGAAGGGAATCTGGAACGTCGTGGAAGTGATCGTCATGAGGATAGACTGAGCGGCTAGGTATGTGGAGCCGAACTGGCCGGTTGCGAGAGTCAGGATCTCGAAGGCGAACCATTCTGCTTCGACCATGATCATGCCGGGAATCGAGAGGCGAATCATCGGACCTAATTGAGGTTAGCATAATGTCATACACAGGATTGCCAGTACGGAATAAGAAGACTCACCCCAATTTGTCAACGCGCGCTTGCTGAACCCTCCCCAGCATTGTTTTCCGTCTACGAAGTAGACATACAGGAAAAGGAGCGTCGGAAGCAGGTTCTGGGTAATCACTACCGAGATAGGCGCTCCGACGAAGCCCAGGCCAAGATGCCACACGAAGAACCAGTTGAAAAAGACGTTGAGAGGCGCGGCGAGTAGCAGTACGTAGGTAGTGGCCTGGAAGAGACCCTGGGCTTGCACAAAACGCTTGCCTCCTTCGAAGACGATGAACGCTGGGACTCCGAGGAGGTAGATCTTCAGGTACATTCCGGCTAGCTCCGCAGAGCGGTATTCCGGAATCATCATGGCCAACAACTCCGTCGAGTACATCCAGAGGATGATGAGCGGCAGGAAGAGGAGCATCAGAAAGCAGATCATCCGCTGGATCTGCAATCCTACGAGATGCTTGTGCCCCGAGCCGTAGGCTTGAGCGCAGAGCGTGTCCAAGCTCGTGGCCAACCCCTGGAAAGGAGCGGAGCAAGTGATGTTGGCAGTCATTGTTGCCACTGCGTATGTGTAAGCCGCTGTTCCGGGGATGGATCGACTAATGTCAACTTACAACTGATTGCACCAAGCTCGATTGTACCGATACGGCCGACTGCGAAGATACTGGCGACGTTGATGGAATATTGTAGGAGAAACGTTACGATCAAAGATCTCGAGTAAATTGCGATTGTCTTGGCCTCTCTCTGCCATGTCGTCTTGAGCTTTCCCGAGGCCACGGCGGCCTCCCACTGCTCATTCAGCAGTCCACCCGCCGCCGGAGGGACCTCACCATTCTGACTTATCTGTGCCAGTAAGGGCGCTGTCTCAGACACCACCCGCGACAGAGGCGCCTCCTCCTCATCCTCAGCTGTGAGAGGGACCTTGGTCGAGAACAACTTCTTGTAAATTCGACGCAAGAGCGTCTCCTTCTCCGGCACCGGATGCTTGGGCGGGAGGATGTGGTTATCCCTCAGGAGACTGAGTTCCTCATTCCTGGATTGCTCCCACTCCTCATGAGTGAGCATAGTCGACGCGCCCCTAGGCCCCAGAGCAGGCCGAGTGGTACCATACGCGATCGCGCTGGGCTTGCGGTACATGGCAGGGCCATGAGCCTCCTCGTCTGAAAGATCATCGTCGAAGGTTGAGTTCAGATCATCCTCGCATTCAGAGTCCTCCTCGAGATCCCGCCTCAGAGCCTCATGGGCGATAGGTGAGCCGGCCTGAAATGAGGCTGCCAAGGATGACGCAAAGTCATGAGCATGAGCGTGGGATGGTGGGTTCGACCGGTTGCTATCATTGCCGGTCGGAATGGGCTTGCTGCCGGCCATTTTGCCTGCCTGCTGAGCCTCGAAACTCCGTCGCGTACTATCTGTGATATGTAGTTGACGGGACACTCAAAGGATCTCTGTTTTTGGGTGGGAAATTAAAAACCGGGGGTGCCCAGGTCTATGCCGCCGAGGGGTCGTTCGCCACTAACAAGGACTCGGGCGGTAGTTTGAAAATCAAGAAAGCGGTGGGATGAGTGCCAACCAGCGCCAGAGTCAGAGTCACAGCGAGCAACAAGCGGGTGAGGTAACAGAAAGACTAAAAAGGGCAAAGTAGATTCTGACACAGCCAGTAGGGCTGACAGACAAACAGCATTGGAGTGGCCAAGGTCACGATATGTCAAGGAAGCACGAGAATGAGTCGTGAAGGGTGGAGTGGACGGTGGTGGTGGTGGTGGTGGTGATCATGGTATGACACATGGAGAAGAATAAGTCACAGCCCGCAACAAAGTAGGAGCTAAGGCAAGATATCGGAGGCGGGTTGCAGAATGGGACTTGTGGTACGAAGATCCACATGCACGCAGGGAAAATGCAATGCAATGCGAATGCGCAAATGCGACGCGGAAGACGGATGAGCAACAGCAGTGAGCAACACAAGCGCGGCTTGGGCTAGCACATGGGGCCCGCCTCGAGCCACCCAGGGCACGAGGGCCACGAGCTGGGCGGACCGGTTTGGGAAACATCGGCGTGCACTGAGCGGGCGACCCAAGATCCATTCTCCACACCGTAATCCATGAATGCCATGGATTCATGGATAACAAAGATCCATGGTCGCCTCGCTTCCGCAGTGGGGCTCCCCAGGCAATCGCAGCAAGCCGTGGCTTGCCTTGCTTGCCCGCGGGGTCTGGCGCCGTCCAGTCGTCTGAGAATCCGGGAATCAGGATAGATAGGCAGCGTGAGAACTAGCGCATAGGCAGCGCTAGATGGTTAGCTCTTGTCCAAGGTCAATGATGCGCCGCCCAAGTGAGGTCATTTGTCCTGCCATCTCACCGCACTGTCTGGGCTGTTCAGACCACGGACCAACGAGACAGGCGCCGTATCTTGCCGGTGCCGGCCATTTGAGGAGAGGTGCGATTGCACGGCAGCAATCTGTACGACAAGACGGTTCGCACGGCTAGCCATGGACGGCATGGATCTGTCCCGGTATCAGGGCTCTCTCTGGCGACACTCGTCTCTCGCTTGCTCTCAGTGGACTGCCGCGCGTGAAGTGGTGACGAGGTGAGAACAGTCCAAGGCTGAGCTGCATGAGAAGGTGAAGGTAGAGATGCGCACAGAGATGGCACAGAGATGGCACAGAGATCGGAAGCCGGCCCCGGCCGAGCCCGGTATGCACACTGGAAAAGCAACCTGGCCAGGATCTAAGGGGTGTCGGTGTGTCGAATCAGAAAGCCTGCAATGAACGTGGTGCGTAGTCGACGACGTCCTAGGCTACAGTGCAGTACAGACCGAAGAGCTTCCAATGATCTCAATAAGCAAGTGGTCTAATCAGAGTCCTCAGGGAAGAGGTCAATAAGGTTGATGTTGCGCGTCTCAGGCGGCCAAATCCCTCCCAGCCCCTCAGCCGCTCCGACCTGCGCCTGCGCCAGTCCCCCGCGTCCCTTCCCACTTTGATGGCCCCAGTTCTCAGGAACACAATCACGCAATCCATGGGCAAGAGCCATTGGCCTATCACGACGGACTGTTTGTCCTAAAAGGGAGGGAAAATGTGGATTTCATAACTTACAGGCAGGCTGGGTGACATCATCCCCTCCTCGCCCTCAGCCTCGCCGAGGTCAACAGCCAGCTCTGATATGGTCCATGCAATGAAGATAGAAACCCAGGCTGAAAGACGTCTAGATCCAGAGCATGGGGATGTTAAGATAATAAGTCAGAAGGGTAGATGCGACACATCACACGCATACCGACCGGCCTGCATGTGCCGACCCGAGCGACATCCGCTATCGGGAACGGCTATCAAGGCCCTCGAAAGGCTCCTCTTAGCCCACCAACCAGGACGTCACTAGCACGCGATAACCTCGACGCACAGCGCAATCAACCTGCCAGTTGAACAAATGACGACCCAAGTATAACGGTCGTTGGAAGAACAAGCCCATCCTGGCTCAAGTCCCGTCCTCAGAGGAACCCTTTTCCCCAGAATGCGGCTCTGCCGTCCGGACGTGCCCCATCCCCACTCATGTGAACCTTGATTATCCAGCCGACCATTTTTAAACGCCCCAGCTCTCTCTGGAGGACCCCTCATCTCATCGAATATCCACTCCCATCAGTTACGAGTTCCTTGGGACCCTCAACATGGCTGATATCCGCGACGAGGAAGACGGCACCTTCTGCGCAGTGAGCTGCTGCGCGCCCCTCAAGGAGCTCAGGCGGCCTGTCGACGTCGACGACCTGTTTGACTCGGGCTATTACTAGTAAGTTGCCACATCAACAGCTGCCCACTCATTCACACATTGTCCCACACAAGGACCCATACCTATATACCCATACTGTTTCATACACACACGACACCAAGTTAACCACCCCACACAGCGACTCCAGTCCAGGCGGCGGCTCGTCCTCGTCAGCCTCCTTCTTCGCGTGGCCCTTCCTGGGCCCCTTGCTCTTCGAGAACCAGACCTCGGACGCCCGCGACCACTGCGCCAACGAGCGCACCTTCCTCAGCTACCTGCGCCTGTCCGTCTACATGGCCGTCGTCGCCGTCGCCATCGTCCTGTCCTTCCACCTCAAGACCAGGCCCTCGCCCGCCGAACTGCGCATGGCGAAGCCCCTCGGGCTCGTTTTCTGGGGCCTGAGCGTCGCCTGCCTGCTCGTCGGGCTGGGGAATTATATACGTGAGTTCTGCCCCTCTTCCTAGACCACACATCACCTTCCCTTTTTTTTTATCCTTTTTTTTTTCTTGGTTGCATTCCCTGTTATCACGAGGCGGTGGGTTAGAGTGGACGGCGTTGACATGCTGATGTTTGCTTGGCAGAAACGGTGAATAAGTACAGCCGGAAAGCTGCGATAGTACAGAGTGGTATCAAAACACAGCTGGTGAGTCTCGCCCAGAGCTCTTCCCTTCCTCCAAAAAATGAAATCATCGACGTGGCCCTGACACCAGAAACTGCTGCCAGACCATGGGTATCGTGTCCCTAAGCATCATCGCCACCTGTGTAACGCTGCTGGTCGTGAACAAGATGAGCCAGGAATTAGGCAGCAGCTAGGTCTGGGTTCTCCAAATAGCCCTTTCGAAATCCAGTCAAGCAAAACCTTGAGAACCCCGAAGCCGACCCTGCTCATCATCCCACACTCGTGTACAGTGAAACACGCGGATCCCGAGAGGTATATACAACTTGCCAAATAAAACACATCCATTATGTCCTCGATTCCCCCTGAACTCCAAGGCCGGCGAATCCAGAAGCGCCTCGCTATAAATATCTACACCCCATCGTCGCCCATGCAGTACAAGTCCTTCGCAGACGGGTCTGGCTCCGCCGCCTGACCTGTCCTACAACCACCGACAGTGCGCCTGAACCCGGCTGCGTACTTGATCGACTCCTCGTTAAGGTCCTCGAGCGATATCCGGTTGTCGTCCCAGGAGAGGAGCGTCATCTCGTTGAACCGCGGCAGCCCCTCACCATTCGGGAGACCATCCAGTAAGGTACCGTGTCGAAGAATGACTTCATCCTCGTCACCGTGTTTCGTCCTCGACTTATCGTTCTCGTACTCCTCGGGTTTCTGGTACAACTCGCCATGAGTGGTCGCCAGGCTCGCTGCGAGATCTGCCCCCGGGTAGACAGTCATGTACCCGCGAGCGCGACAAAGACGGAGGGCATGCTCCAGCCACGATGGATAGTCCTTGCTGACTGACTTCTCGGCCAGGAGAGCTGGTGTGCTTTGGAAACCGTGTTGCGCTTCCAACAGCTGCGAGACGAATCCGTGCAGCTCAGCCCACCTCTCCCCCAGAAAGAGTGCCGCGTTGCTGTTTGGCGCCTGCCAGAGGAATGAAGTCGTATGGCTGGAACTCGCGGCACCGAGCTCGGGTCCGTCAGGTCTGCCAACCTGTCCCGTCGGCGGCACAAACGGTGCTCTACCATCGAGGATCTTGCTGGGAAGGTCAAGACTTAAGCTAAACACTCTCTTGTCCCACGCTTGATAGATTGCAGGGCCCGAGTACCGGTATTCTAAGAGGGCCAACTTCAGATAATGGAAGTAGTTGGGAGATAGCTCGACTTGGGGAGATAGAACCAGGACATGGGAGAGGCCTGTGTTCAAAGGCCAGAACCCCTCGAGAAACCGGACCGAGCTCTCCTCTTCCGTGTCACCGCGCCTTGTTATCCGATGTCTGAGAGTCAGCTGGTTTGCAATCGCGGGATTGGAGGCTCTGCGAGGTGGCCAGTGGAATGTCTGTAGGAACTGAGCGGTCGGCGGGTCGATCTCCTCCGGAAGTTCGATAGTCAGATGGGGCACGGCGCTCGCAGTGTAGTCGGCCGCTCGCAGAGACTTCAGCAGTCTGATAAGACTCCCCGATGCTCCTGCATGCGCATGGACTAAAATATCTACGCTGAACCGGTTCCAATGCGACAGCGATTGCGCGTCTAGTTTCGACATCCAAGAGAGGCGATCTACTGCGCGCCCGGGCAGCTCCACAATAGCTTGACCTATTTCCATCTTTTTCGCTTGTTTCTGCAATGACTTGAGTAGCAGCGGTTCTTCCGCCTCAGAAGAATCGACAATAATTGCTTGAGGGTGCATGTAGTTGTTGATGTGGTACAGTGCTCGTTCGACGGACTTTGCGAATCTCTCGTCAGAAGAAATGCTGGGGAATTCAGCGCGCGCATCTGCGGTCATGTCAAAAACCCAGCCCAGTTCCTGGTGATAGACAGAGTGCTCCTACCGTGAAATATGATCTCACAGCTCTTGCCGATACCGTTGACAGCCCGCAGCTCCTCAATTTTTATGTCGTTTCTGCTCAGCAACGCGAAATGGACATAAGCTCTCAACTCCCTGCCCATCTTGCAAGCCAGGGGTAGTAGTGAGCCGGCGCTTCTCAGGCTTGACGCGGCAAACAAGACATTCTTGTTAAGCGTCGAGCTTCCATGAGTCCCACTTATTGCGTGCAGAGTCTCTGCGAGCTCCATAAACCTGACCGGTCCATCATAATCGCGGTCAGGAGGCCCGGCCTCGCTTTCGTCCTCGTCGACCGTGTCGATTGCGCTGGGGGCTTGAGGCTTCGGAGCAGCCTCAGATGGGGCTTTCGCGATCGGATAGTTGGGGCGGCCGGTACGTCGTGGGCCCACGTCGGTGGGGATGTTGTGGATGAAGAGGTAGGCGGCAGCGGCGATCAAGACCAGGAGGCCAAGGCGTTTGAACGTCTTCCGGGGAGCTACACGAGGCGCGGATTTCCACCCGATTGACGAGGTCCTCTTCTTGCCGCCCTTGACAAACAAGTCATCGTCTTTCTTGTGGACCCCAAGCTCCGGGTCGGCGGTGGCTGGCATTGCCCCAGCCGCTCGAGGAGCACGGGCGGGATGCGACTGGGTGTGCGCGGGCCCGGGAGTGTACGACAGTGTCTTGCCTTGGGGACGTAGGCTGGGACTTCACGTCATGTCTGGCGTGAGGCGTCTGCTTGCCCAGTCTCGGGGGACACGTCACTGTCTGGGTTGGGTAGAGAGCGGGCTGATGTGGACGCGGCCGAGTCGTTCGATCGGAGGATGGACGAGGCAGAAGGGGCACGACGGCACATCAACGAGAAGATACCACCACAAATGGGAATCGGAGAAGTCAGCCTTGGAGAACGCAAGTGCACGGCTTGATTTCTCCAGGCGTTCGAAGGTTATGGAGATCTGAATTGTAACCACGTTGCCATTTGGGGCGGACGGAGATGGGATGAATTGGGAGGGGGGCAGAGGGGGTGGGAAGGCAATGCATGGGTAGCTGACAGACTAATTCAATGGCATATTCCGCCCGAGATGATCGAGGGCCAGGCTAGCCGGACTCAAGACAGCCTGTCCCTGCACCCCTGTCGTGGGTGCCGACTAACCACCTGCCCCACGGGCCCTTAGACCTCTACCCTGCATGCTCACTGCAGATCAGTCCCGGTGTGGGGTCCCTCAGAAGAGCTTGCTTGCCTGACCCAGCCAGATGGTAAAATCTCCAATCGGATTCAGAACTGGATGTCGAGAAAATTTGGAGCTCGACAAAAGTTTATCGACGCCCATCAGTCCCATCTAATAAATCAATCAATCCTGCATGTTGGCTATTCGCCCAGCAGCTTAATTGGAATAAGCTGGTTCAAGTGACCACACTCCTTGCCTGACACAGAGGAAGCAACAGCCAGAAAAATATGGGCAAATCACGGAGAAACAGAGCTCATGCTCATCGCGCAGACCCCATATCTGCCGCCATAAAGCCAGTCAAGGCCCCAACCGATCCTGAGCTTGCTGCCCTCAGAGAGAAGCGAATTCTCCCCGTCATAAATGATCTCCGCAGCGTTGACCCCAGCGCTCGATCAGCAGCTGCTGGCGCTGTCGCCAACATTGTCCAGGATGCAAAGTGCCGCAAGCTCCTCCTGCGGGAGCAGATCGTTCCCATCGTCCTCACCGAGACCCTCACAGATGCAAGCCTGGACAGCAGGGCTGCTGGATGGGAGATATTGCGTGTGATCGCTTCAGAGGAAGAGAGCGATTTCTGCGTTCACCTGTTCCGTCTTGATGTGCTGTCTGCCATAGAGCATGCTGGCAAGAATGCAAGTATCCCACTTTACAAAAATTCCCTTCTTGCCCAAGCTGTTATCTGACAGGTTTCCAGGTGGTCCAAACAGTTACAGAGTCATCTTTCGCCAAGGCACCCAAGGCTCAGCAACAGGTCGTGTGGAATATCACGACAGCCCTTATTGCCTTGATCAACGCCCTGGCTACAGCTCGGGACGAGATTCTGGACGCCATAGCCTCTAATCCACAGATCCTACCATTCCTATGCTTCCTTGTCACTCATACTTCAACGCCATATGAGACCTCTACCGAAGCTCTCAGCTGTCTGATGTCGCTGTCCGAGGACAACCTCAAAGTATCGCAGCTCGTGCTCGCTGATCCATCGGGTTGTTTCAGGACCCTGACGAAGTTCAAAGAGGGTATCGACATCAAGTCAGTGTATTCCTGCGGTGTCCTGCACAACATCTTCTCATCACTCGAGTGGCACGACGCAAGCCCTGGTCAGGATGGTGCCACAGATGCACAACTAATACCGAGTTTGTCTCGTGTGCTGGAACGGACGAGGCAGGACCCTAAGACAAACCAAATTGGTGGAGTCTCTCCTGAGGCTGTGTCACTTGCACTGGAAATTCTGGCCTCTATCGCAACGGATCTGCAGGGGACTGTGGCTAAGGGCAACAAGGACAAGGAGGAGTGGAATGGGATCGAGGACGACGAGGCAATGGAAGAGGACGACGACGACAAAGTGAAGCAAGAAGGCGAAGATGAAAATGGAGACGCTGCAGATCCCATGGAGGCTGACGGAGTCGAGGGTGGAGAAGACGACGAGATGGATGACGACGCGATGGAAGCAGACCTGGACCTCGTCACGGGGGGAGACGACGATGCCGAGGACGACAGCGGGATCGATGACTTACCGACGCTCAAGGAGTTTATGACGAAAGCGGTACCACACATCATCCGCATGGCCAACCTGGCACCTGCGTCCGACGAAGCCGTGGCGATTCAGAGTGAGGCATTCTCCGCTCTCAACAACATATCGTGGACATTATCTTGTTTCGACTATTCGGAGACTGGCAATGCCGGCATTCTGAAGGCTTGGACGCCTGCAGCCAAGCGAGTCTGGTCCAACGTCATCGCTCCCGTACTCGCGACGGACACAGCAGATATCTCCTTAGCTTCCCTTGTCACCAGCATCGCATGGGCCGTCTCCCGCACTCTACAAGGGTCGACGCCTCTCGTAGGCGACGAGCACCGGAAATTCATCGCTCTCTACAAAGCCTCTAAGGGCTTGCCCGCGAAAGCGGAAGACCAGGCCAGCCAAGAAGAAGCCGACCCATTCCAAGCCCTCGGAGTCAAGTGCGTCGGCGTGCTGGGTCAGCTTGCCCAGGATCCTGCACCCATCAGCCTCAACCGCGAGGTGGGCATCTTCCTGGTCACCATCCTCAACGCGCTGCCGGACACGCCAGCCGCGGATGCGGTGGAGGCTCTGAACCAGGTCATGGATGTCTACGGCAATGAAACCCACGCGTGCGACAAGGAGGTGTTCTGGAACGACAACTTCCTGAAGCACCTCGAGGACATCCTTCCCAAGGCCAAGGCTGTGGCAAAGACGATTGACAAGAGGGGCGCAACAGCTGAGCTGAGATTCCGTGCAGATGAGGCCGTTCTAAACCTGGGCCGCTTCATCCAGTATAAAAAGAAAAACCCGCCGAAACCTTGAGAGGATAGAAGGTAGCATTCACGGTGGAGATGTGACACGTGGGGGCATGATTCAGGACGATCTTGCTGATCGCTCACCTGCGTTCTCAACGTGTGCTGGAGACTTGTGCGGGAGCCGACGAGGCGAACTGTCCCATATTGGTCAGCAAGACGCAAGCTGTGCCTCTCTAGGCACTGAGGACGGATCGTGCAAACCTCGTTTGAAACGATGTGATTCATGAGTAAATAGTAAAAGGATAGACAAGTCTTTGGCAGAGTTCCAGTAAATCTGGCTGTGTCGAAACCCGCAGGTCTGGAGGCTCCCAAAAGAAGAAAGTTGTAAAAGGGAACCGCATCTGTATCTGTGCCTCTCAAGATGGAAGTCAAGCCGTGGAGTCTGTCCCGTAAGCAATACACCATAACGCCACAAGACCTTGATGAAACCCTTTTACCCGATAGGCTTCATCTTCTTCTTCTTCTTGGATGGCTCGCCGCCGGCGCCCGTCTTGCCCTTCTGGAACTGCCTCCACGAGTCGATGCGCACCTCCCTGGTGGCCTCCCAGTCCTGCTCGTGCTGCCTCTTGCGCTTGCGCTCGTCCAGCTCCTCGTCCTCGCGGCGCTGCTGCCGGCCCTCCTCCTGCATCTGGCCCTTCATCTGGCGCCGCCGCCGCTGCTCGTTGTCGACGAGCACCCGCACCGTCTTCTCGGCCCACTTGCGGTGGAACGCCTCGTCCGGCTCCTTCACCTCGGGCGAGTCCACCGTCCACTTGTTCTCGCGGATCAGCAGCATGCGCGCGTCCGCGATCGCCTCGTCCAGCTGCGCCCGGTGCTTCTCGTCCATCAGCTCCGTCTGCGCCTTCTTCAGCCGGTCGAAGGCGTCCGGCGCCCGCGGGTTCTTGGTCTTGTCCGGGTGGATGAGCAGCGACTTCTTGCGGTACGTGATCTTGATGTCCGACTCCGGCACGCCTGGCTTGAGGTCCAGCACGGCGTAGGCGTCGAGCCGGAAGGCTTTGAGGATGCGATCGATCTCGGCATCCTATAGGGGTGGGAAGACGTGGGCGTTAGTCAGTCTGTCTGGGCGACGGGTAAGATCTCGGGGCCACTTGCCTTCTCCCACTCCTTGCCCTCGGCATCGAGGATGTCCAAGGCATCTCTGTCATCAACAGGCTGTTCATCTGTGGATGCCATTTTGGCTGCTGGCTTTTGAGCTTCTTACCGGGTTGAATTGGACAAATGGAAAGGTTGTCGCAAGGCAAGCTGAATTCGTCTCGAAAGCGGTTGTCGAGTGCCACAGCCAACAGGGGTCTGCTGCAGGAAAGCGCGATACCTAGCTACCTTAAAGTGGGTAAGCCCCCACCAGGGGACTAGGACTTCCAGGGTCTTTATCGATAAGCCCATCTCTCCCAAAATTTCGGAATCCTTGAGGCTTGGGAAGAGGAAGGAAGAGTTTCGTCGTAAGTAACAACCTTCAGGTACATTTTTGGCGCAATCTTTCAGCATGCCTCGCGCCGCGTCACCAACGCCTTCAGATGGCGAGGTCGACATCTTCGATTCGCTATACACCGACGAAGTAAACCAAAAAACCCAGGCGCCGGCAGACACCGACTTCGATTTCCTTGACGATGCGAACCAAGACGACGGCGACGAGGCCTTCATCGCCCTCAAGCAAGCAGCCTCATATCGGAAAGCCGCACACCAGACCAAGGGAACCGGCCAAAAAGGAGGCGGTTTCCAGTCCATGGGTATGCACAGCTTCCGCAGGAGATATTAGAGCACGTCGAGCTCTACTGACAAGAAGCAGGATTGAATGCAAAACTTCTCTCGGCTATCCTTCGCAAAGGTTTCAAACAGGCGACTCCAATTCAGCGAAAATCAATACCTCTTATACTTCAACGGAGAGATGTGGTGGGCATGGCAAGGACGGGATCCGGCAAGACCGCGGCTTTCGTCATACCCATGATTGAGAGACTGAAAGCGCACAGTGCTCAAGTCGGCGCCCGAGCCCTGATCATGTCGCCTTCTCGAGAACTTGCACTGCAGACACTCAAGGTGGTGAAAGAGTTTGGGAAAGGCACAGATTTGAAGTGTGTCTTGCTTGTGGGTGGTGACAGCTTGGAAGAGCAATTCGCTTCCATGACGACGAACCCGGATATCGTAATCGCGACGCCCGGTCGATTCCTGCATCTGAAGGTGGAGATGTCGCTGAACCTGTCCTCGATAAAGTACGTTGTCTTCGACGAAGCAGATCGGCTGTTCGAGATGGGTTTCGGGACACAGCTCGCAGAGATTCTACATGCCCTGCCACCGTCGAGGCAGACCCTGCTGTTCTCCGCAACACTCCCTGCATCGCTCGTGGAATTCGCCCGCGCTGGCCTACAAGATCCGAGCTTGGTGAGACTGGACGCGGAGACCAAGATTTCGCCGAAGCTGGAAAGCGCATTTTTCTCTGTGAAGGCTGCGGAGAAGGAGGCTGCCCTTCTTCACATTCTACACGACGTTATCAAGGTGCCGACAGGTGAGCCGGAAGGCCCTCCGCAAGACTCGGATCGAGATTCAAAGAAGAGGAAGCGAGGGCAGGATGAGTCCAACCCGGAGAAGCCGACGGAGCACTCAACGATCGTATTTGTGGCCACCAAGCATCACGTCGAGTATGTGGCCGCCCTTCTGCGCGAGCAGGGATTCGCAGTGTCATACGTGTATGGATCCTTGGACCAGACTGCGCGAAAAGTCCACGTCGACAATTTCCGCCGTGGAAGGACCAACATACTTGTGGTCACAGATGTGGCGGCGCGCGGTGTCGATATTCCGGTGCTGGCAAACGTAATCAACTACGACTTCCCTCCTCAGCCGAAGGTGTTTGTTCATCGAGTTGGAAGAACTGCTCGAGCGGACAAGGAGGGTTGGAGTTACAGCATTATGCAAGACTCTGATGCTCCCTATCTGATCGACTTGCAACTATTCCTGGGCAGGAAGCTTATACTGGGTCGAGAAGGCGGCAGCTCGCCATCGTACAAGACCGATATGGTGGTCGGTACTCTGCAGCGCTCAGAGATCGAGGCGCAAGTCGAGTGGCTCAATAAGCTCTTGAAACAAAACGAGGACGTCAAAGCACTGCGGAGTGTTGCCGCAAAAGCAGAGAAGCTCTACACGAGGACCAAAAACCCGGCATCAAGTCAGAGCGCAAAGAGAGCAAAAGAGGTTGTCGTATCAGATGGATGGAACCAACTGCACCCGTTGTTTGGAGAGTTTGATGATGAGGTTGAAAATGCGCGTAATGATATGCTGGCTAGGATCAGCAAATGGACCCCAAAGGAGACTATTTTTGAGATCAATATGGGCAAAAAGACCGCAACCAACCCCGGAGCGGAAGTCATGAGGAAAATCCGGGCCACAATCGTACCAAAGAATCGAGTGGAGAAGAAGGGCGAAGCGGAGGAAGCGACTGAAGATGTTGACATGGCCGACGCACCATCAGCACGGGCACGAGAGAGCGATGAGGACGAGGAGTCTGTGGCGAGCGAAGATGGCGACGATTCTCAATCCGAAGATGAGGAGGATGGCGCCTTCAACCACGACGTGGTTTACCCCACTGACAACAACAACAACAACAACGCACCTAACAACGACAAGAAGAAGTCCTACAAGGACTCGGAGTTCTTCATGTCGTACACGCCACGCACGATCAACGCAAACGAAGAAAAGGGATACAGCGTCAACAACGGCGGGGCGTCGTTCGTGCAGGCAGCGCGTGACGTGACGATGGACCTGACCAACGACGACGGGGCCAAGTCGTTCGGCGAGCCGGCGCGGGCCAAGATGCGCTGGGACAAGAAGCAGAGCAAGTACGTGTCGACGGCCAACGACGCGGACGGGTCCAAGGGCGCCAAGACGCGCATGATTCGCGGCGAATCGGGCGTCAAGATCGCCGCGTCGTTCCAGTCGGGCCGCTTCGACCGCTGGCGCCGCGAGCACCGCCTGGGCCGGCTGCCCGGCGTGGGCGAGATGGAGAAGAGCGGGCTGGCGCGGCTGGCGAACGACAGCGGGCCCGGCGGCGACGGGCCCGGCGGCGGGCAGCGCCACTTCAAGCACAAGCAGGAGAAGGCGCCGAAGGAGGCGGACAAGTACCGCGACGACTACCTCGAGCGCAAGAAGAGGGTCGCCGAGGCCAGGGAGAAGAGGATCGGCAAGTTCAAGGACGGCGCGGGCAGCAGGCGCGAGATCAAGAGCAGGGACGACATCAAGAAGTCGCGCAAGGTCGAGGCGCTCAAGAAGGCCAAGAACGCCCGGCCGTCGAAGGGTGGCAAGAGGTAATGGACGGTGGCTGCTACTGTTACTGTAGACGCGTGATCAGCGGGGACCAAGTCGTTCTTCATCATGTCAGTGTTCTCCATAAGAGACAAACGTGTATTAGTCCAGATTCCCTGGCCAACTTAGGCGGTCAACTACAATGTAATCAAGGCCGACAGGCAGTAATGCTGTCCGACGGAACTCAAAAACATAGTAGCACAAACACCGAAACCCCATCCTCGCATATGCCTGAAAGATGTTTTGCAATGTTGGAGATCAAGACAACTGACCTTGTCACCCAATAACTATGGAGTTACACCTAGGGACCTGAAAGCTGTGGTTTTCGGTCTCCTGCCGGTAATCCGCTGGCAAGTACATATTGAGGAAATTCTAGAGTTATCAACCAAGTAGTGGGCCGGCGGGTCCAAAAAGGCATCAACAAAAAAACGTGCAACACCGGGTATTCGCTGATCGTCACCGACTCAACTACTAATCCGGCCCTCACATATCTAAAGAATATCCTTAGATGTCACTGGCTTACCTATGGGAGAGCGGACGGGATCCCGTGTATTCCAATGGGTATGATCGTACGTGACATATTAGGCACAGCTACCGTTTACAACTAAGTGGCGTGTTTGGATTGGAGAGGCCTCGGGGCTCTCGCATCTGATATCAGCCCACAGGCCTCTGAATCATGGTAATCTCTCGTGATGACAGCTCAAGGCGGCAAATGCCAAAGGCTGTTGAGGTAGGCGGAAGGTTGGGAAAGGTTTTGGGAAAGGTTTTGGGAAAGGAAAACCCATCCCGTCGTTCAACAAGATGGCCCCTTTCTCCCCCCCCCCCTCCCAAACTTTCTTTCTCTTTTTTTTTTCCCTGGAGAAAATGGCTTGACCAGAAAATCTCGAGGGCGGCTTTCAGTTGCGAAACAATGTTCACACAACAATCCGCGTCTTCCACATCGAAACTAGTGTATATTCTCTTGGTCAGGCATCTGGGGTCACAATATGGATCACCTTGACATATCTACGGAGGCAATATAATGGGCTAGTAACGATGAAATGACAGATTATGTCAGAATATTCTACTGGTAAATAACCTCTTGTCTCTTGCAGACAATCTAAGCAAGACACTGTAGGTAGAGTCCTCTCAGCCCCTTCTTATACTTCTAGGTTTTGGCACACATTCGGTATCCGCGCGAGGTGTGGTCCAGACCTTCCTACGCTACATTTCTCTATCACTTCATAGGGTTATCACAGAGGTCATGGTTGCACAGTCACACTTGGCAATCTTGAAGTAGTGTTTCGTCAGGAATCTGTCTTTTATTCTCTCTTCCATCGACAGACACTCGATGTCCCTCCGTCTCTCCTCCCTCAGGGCACAAAAGCCCTCGATCCTTATCCTATCTCCGTTTCCTGGACTGAAAGTCCTCGCTCTGATCAACACCACAAAAATCAAGGCCATCGGGCTCAAACTCTCACCCCTCTAGAAGAATTGAATCAAAAAAGTGTGTTAGAAGAACAAGATATAAAAGAAACCGCTGAATGAACAGTGAGAAGTAGAATGTCATAGGTAAAGGGCTCTCGGACCCCAATACCACGGGGGAAAATCGAACGGAACGTATTGTCGTTAAGATAGAAAGGATCATTGCTGCCTCCAACGCCCGATATGTGGTAGTTCATTGCGATTGCTCAACTGTCGCTCTCCGCCCTAGGGGTATAGACTCCGCTACCGAAACGTGCCGCAAGCTCTGGAAGTTTGTGGTTTTCGAGGTCGTTAAAAGTGCAAAGCTGGGTGCTGAGTGCATTATTGTATACATTTTATATCGACACATGTACAGGTATTTTTATTTTGACCTTTTTTGACTTTTTTTCTATTGGATCGTTTGCACTTGCTGGTCAGACAGGCAACTTGTTCGCGAGAGAACGTCTACGCGGCATCGTGCGGGGTAGTCTAACGAAAATCAGTATGGAGGTCTTTCGTAGAGAGATAGCCTGAGACTTACACCACGAGCAGACTGCGATGATTACGTAAAGGCACATCAGGAGCATGCCTTCCAGCCAGTGGCTCTTGCCGTCGCCGATCAGGTAGTTGACCAAGAGTACCGACACGAACAGCACTGCGACCTGGAAGACGTCGAAGCTCAACCCCATTTCCTCGATTCCCATGCCCCATCCGATAATAACGAGGAGCGGGATCAGGAAGAGCGCAACCTGCATGCTCGAGCCGACAGCAACTCCGATGGCGAGGTCCATCTTGTCCTTGATAGCGACCGTGACAGCAGTGGCGTGCTCGGCTGCGTTTCCGACAATGGGAAGCAGGATCAGACCTAGGAACTCCTCGCTGATGCCACCCTGGGTCGTCACGTAGTTAATGCTGTCGACCAAGAACTCGGCACAGAAGGCAATGAGGACCGTGGACCCAATCAGAGTGCCCATGGCGACGCCGAAAGAGAGCTGGGGCTCCTCCTCGTCACCTTCCTCCTCGTCGATACTTGGGTCCGCGTTGAGCATCTGCTGGAGTTTCTTGTTGTTGCTGCCACTCTCCTCGTTGTGGCCGGGCATCCCAACGAGTCCTGCCGGACCAATCAGTCCCTTCTTGATAGCCGCAGGGCCCAGGTCGTTCTTCTTAGGCCGCATGGGCACCTTCTGGCTCTCCTCAGAGAAGACTGAATGGTGGGTCTTGAGCTGGAAGTACAAGTAACCCGCGTAAACAAACAGCAGAATGACTGCTGTGCCTCGGGAAAGCGCGGCTGTCGATGCGGTCGGGAGGTCGGTTTCCTTGTCGAAGACTGTAGGGATGATGATACCCGCGATGGCGAGAGCCAGGAGACTGGCGGCGGTCTGGGCGACTGTCATGTTGAAGAACTGCTCTTGCCTGCGGAGACCACCGAAGAAGAAGCACATGCCCATGACGAGCAGCAAATTGGACAAGATACTGCCGATGAGTGAGGTCTGCACAATGACGACCTCATCCTTGACCAGCGCCATGATGGCCACAATAAGCTCGACAGCGTTTCTGCCCAGGTCAGTATTCATACGTGGCAGCGGCGATCTGGAAGACATACCCGAAAGAAGCGTTCAGGAGGCCACCCAGGGTCTCACCAGTACGCAGAGCAATCTCCTCGGTAGCAAAGCCCAGGAGGGCGGCAAGGGGGATGATGGCGATGAAGTTAACGACGAAGATTGCGATCGGGTTCATATTGGGAAGGGCACCCAGGACGATGCCCACTGGCGCGGCTATCAGCAGAACGTTGATCCATGAGCTCAACAAGGTGCGCTGGATCTGGTTCCCCACGGTGAAGGGCTCCTTGGGCTGGACGTTCTTGAACATGCGGTGCTCCTTCTTCTTCTTCGGCTCGTCGGCGGGCTCGTCGTCGGGTGAGTCGACGGGCTCCTTCTCGAGTCTCGCCCGGTTGCGCATTTGGGCTCCGGTGTCGACGGCGGTGAAATCAGAGCCCGGGGCCTGGGAGTTGACGACAGTATCGCCAGAGCTGTCGGGCCTTTCCCGTTCTCGACCCGGGCCGGCAAGATCTGCCCCGCCATCCTTGCTTGTCCTCCCATCTGCACCGTGGCCGAAGGCCCCGTATGCCCCTGTCGGCGCGGTCTGCGAGTGTTCTATGGGCGAGCCTGCCTCGACGTCATCATCCTCAGGATTGATACGTCGCTGGGCCTCGCCGTCCCACGTTTGGCGGCGATCCTTGTTGTTCCAGATGTGACCGAAAGGGTTGAAACCAGCGTCACTGCGGCTCACTGCATGCGCCTGTCGTTTGATTTGGAAGGCATTGACTGGACGTTCCATGTTAGCGCCGAGTCAGTGTCGTATACCCCGCCGGTGGGCCTCGTGGACGGCGGTGTGCTGCAAGAGTACAAGGAGCGGGTGTCACGCTGTGTTACAACAGGTGCAGAGGACGGCAGCAGAAATGACAGTGGTGGTGATGGTGGTGGGTGGTTTCTAGGGACAGGCGGAGGACTGATTCAATTGGGCATGGTATTATTGAAAAGGCAATCAATCGGCTCGGAAAGGTAAGCGAAAGAGGGACACGAAGGAAGATGACGCCGATCGACGATGGATGGGCTTGCACAGATGTGTACGAATAAGGCAATGTGGTGTAAGGTGAAAAGCGGCCAATGGGGTCTGTCTGGTCGGTAAAGGAAGGGGGCAGGACAGGAATGCAACCCCGAAAAGGCAGAATTGCGAAGCGGAAAGCGAGGTGATTCCAAGCGCGGTGCAGTGCAGTGCAGAGATTTGAAAAATAGCGCGGCGTGAGAGAGTTTGGCGCAACGCAATGCAAGGCCAGTGGACGAGCGAACAGATGAAGCAGGGGTGGGTGGTCAGATTTGTTATGTTCCTTGCGGTTGTTGCTTGGTGGGGACAGAAGGAGAGGGAGGCGATGGCCCAACCGTGCAGGTGGTGCCGTGCACAGGACAGGCCGTGAACTTGGGGACTCTGGCGGGCCACTTTTCCGCTTGGCACTTTGTGACCGTTCCGTCTCCCTGTTTGAAAGGCACGGCGACTTGCTGTGGTGTGCTTGTGGTGTGCTGTGCTCTATGGGGTGTGATGTCTCAAGATGCCGGGAAAAGAAGCAAGGTTGCACTTACACTTGAAGTCACTCATGACGGCGACGATGACGACGGGCTGTCGTGAAGGCGGCCTTGATGGTGTTGGGTTGTGCCGCAGGTGTCGTCGTACTGGAGGGTGCCGTGCGCTACGGAAGTTGCCCCTTTCGAGCAATCCAGCCGCGTATGTTCGGATGCCGTAATTTGAATCTCGGAGCAGCGAACTGGAATTTCGCTTCGGTCGCCTGGATTGTTCGCTTGAGGTGCCCCGTCACAACCAGTAAAGGAACAAGTGGCCCTCGATGCGGGTGACGGTGAGAATCAAGCACCAGGGCGAGGTCAAAGGGCAAGGCGTTCTCTTGGCGGCTTGTTGGACCTGGAGATGCTGCTGCTGTCGCTGCGGGCGATGCGTTGGGGGCTGAGTGGTGGGGAAATCGACCGTCAAACCGGTATCAATCGTGTCCGTCGGGTGCTCTGGCCGTGATGGAAGACGTTGTCTATGTTATTATTGCCTGCTTGGTCGACTGGTCGTGGTCAATATTCGCCCGTGTGAGGATTATTTTAGAGTTCAGGCTGTTGCCGCGGAAGCTTGCTGCTCGGGCTGGACGTGGCTGTTTCGGGTGGCCGTCGTCTGGTATTCAACGGTATTTGATGAAGAGCGTCGTATTGCCCGATCGATACGGAGAATGACTGTATCCTGTAGGCCCGGAGGAGTCACGGCGCAAACACCACGAGTTGGCTGACTGGCTGGCAGTAGTGAGATAGTCAACTCGATCGGTCAGTCCTGGTGGTGGATGACAGGTGGGAAGCCAAGACAGAGATGTGGAGAGAAAGGATGGGAAAAAGGGAAACAGAAGGGCAGAGGCGATCACCGAGAGGCTGGCTGGCGTTTCTTTTGACGGTTCCTGAGCGGTCGACCCTGCGTATCCCTCCAAGTTTGGCCCTGCGTATTGGCGTGCACTGCGTACCTCGACTGCCACCTCAATCAAAGCCGGGGTGGGTTCGAGAATGGGCCTCCCGCCAGGGGAGGCTGGAGTGACTTGTCCGGCCCATACATTTGACGTGGCGTCACAGGTATCGACCGAGACTTAGTGCCTGAGAGTTAAGATTGGCGGCGACTCAGAGTTGCAGGGAACTCACCTGTGGGTTTTGGGGATCGCCTGGGGCGGCGCCAAAGGGCACGAGTGGCCAGAACGGAGCCCCTTGGACGATTCTGACGGTGTGCGTAACGCCCGACGAATGCAAACGGATGAGCCCCCCCCTCCGGTCGAGTAGACTAGCGAAGGCGCATATCAGAACTTGGCCACATCACAGTATCATCAACATCAACGCCCACCACTGCACTGCCCATCGCCGACAGATAGGGTTCAGAGTATGCCTTGCCTCCCGGCCTTAGACCCAGGCACCGTGGAGGGGCGATGGCCCTACGGAATGATGACCGCCCCCTTCCATTTGCAGCATTCCCTCTCCTTCGGCGTACCGTGTTCCAAATTAAGTGATGCTGTGCCGCGGCCTGTTGGCGAGCCATGATGGCCTCTCGTCTGGCTGCACGGCTCTAATTCTGTCCACGGGGGCCTAGGTCGGTCTTGGGGTCTACCTATACAGCTGCACAAGAGTGGAAATAATAGCTCCAGGTCATCTCGAGCTGCACCTGCACTGCAACACTAGGTCAGCATAGAGCCGTCCCGTCCTTGCTGTTGATCCTGATCTGCTGCTTTCCTCCCTCTGTCACCCCTGGACGGAGAATTACCGTGCATGCCGCACGTAATTTTGCATCTGGCCTTGCAAGTCCACCGTTTTTGTCTGCACCGATTCCAAGGAATAAATAGTCTAGTCCGCCTGTAGACTCGAGAACATGCCGATTCTCGACGTCCTGTCAGCAACAACACCGTGACGCTAGAGCGCGAGGATGACGTTGCTGGGCAGTCCGGACACCAATGACTGGCCGTCGCGGCAGCCACAAAAGCGACTCTGCTAACCCAGGATTTTAAGTCAGTCGACCACCTCGGACCCGTTTCCTTGTTTTCGACGCTGGCACCATTGACGCCCTGTCGCGCTCCATCAGCCATGGCCATCGAGGACGGTGAGTGAAGATCCGCAGACGATGGGGCGATTGATGAGGGCGACATCCACTGTCGTCGTTGCTGCGCCGCCGCAGTCAGAGTCAAGCTTTTCGACCCCATGTGATGGGCGAGCCGGATTGTCTTGGGAGGTCTTGGGGTCTTGGGCCCGAAGCTTGATCAGTTGCTTGGCCTGCTTGGCCTGCTTGGCCTGCTTGGCCGTCTTGGACGGCTCTTGGGGGCTCTTGGGAGCTCTTGGAAATCTTGGCCTCTGTCCTGCCAAGCTGGCCAAGCAGATCTGGGAGCTGGTCACGACTCGGGTCTTCTCAGCAGAGCCCCGCAGTCGGTCCCGATGTGCAACAGTAGATTTGTCGCCCAGTAATAAGTAGCACAGCACAACAGCACAAAAATGTCATCACCGTCGCGCAGCACAAGGTGTCCAGCACTATGCATTATCGGAGTACAAACAAGACTGTCCCCGACGGCTGCTGCTAAGCTGCTGACCGCCGCACACATCATCCCATCTCGGCCCATCATCAGGACCTCGCGGCCCCGCGACACCCCTGCATCTGTCTGCATCTTCAGCCACCCGCCGCCTGTCAGGCCCGCAGGCCGCAGCGTCAGCACGCCACCCACACACACGCAGCTCCAACATGCTGACCGAGAGCTCAAGTAGAGTTTCAAAACACTTGTAGATGGCATACATGCACGCGTGCTTATCCGATCTGCCCAACGTGCCACAAAGTTACGGCGCCACAAGGCATCAGGTAGACTCCCCGGGAGGCCTCATCACCTGCGACCTCATTGAAACATCCCCCACCACCCACCACCGATCCGTCCACTCATCCTGCTCATCCCACTCTCGCATGTGGGCGCCACGTTCGGTTGGCTGGAAACACTTGTTTCCATCCGGATCGCACCAGACATGCCCACGCTTGCCAGCACACATCTCCAGGTCGTGTCATCCTACACCACCACGTCCTCTCAATGAACAGGACCGCCCTCGTTCCAACCGAGCCGAGACAACCCACCACCGTGAAGTCTCGCCGCCAACACACGTCGTAGAATGTGGCTCAGCACAACACAGAACCAGTTTCAACGGCCAGGTTGCTGATTCACACAAATCTTATGTGTATAGCACGGAATATAGTAATAGTAATATAGTAATAAGACAACCACATTATTCAGTACCAGCCCAGCGAGACTTCCGCGCAGGCCGCCAAGCGTTAATGCAGAGCCACACCTGTCACCGTCACCGACACGCGGATCAGATCAACCCACGCATTTTCCCGGACGGCCCTCTTTACCGACACCTGATGAAGCTGCACAGGTTTCACCGCGCTCTCGCACAGGTTCCCTCCTCCCACTGCTCGGCGGAAATGCGTCGGAAACAGTCAACGGGGTCAGTAATTCACGATCGTGGGTGGTGGTTCAGGGAAAAGGAACCATAATGGGAGGCCGCCATTCTGGGACGACCATGGTAGATATAGATATTGCAGTTCATAAACATAATCATATTATCCTTCACCTGTCACACACACAAAACACCATAAACACGGCTTGTCCCGAAAGCCGCCGTTCTTCAGCCATACTGCACACTGCCCCTTCTGAGCAGCTGGCTGGCAGCCCCCATGATGCTGCTCCCTGGGCTGCTCGTCCTCGGCCCGGCGACAGAGCTGGGGCTCCCTGGCCCCGCGGCTCCTCCTGCCCCTGCTCCCCTGGCCCCGTCGCCAGACTGCTGCGCGGCCAGGACCGCGGGCGGCAGGCCTAGCGTGGGGATGTTGCTGTCGGCAACGACAGGGCCCATCCCGGGCGTGACCGACGACGCGTTGGTGGTCGGCCGCAGCCGGCTGCTGCCGGGCACCGCGGCTTGCAGGTTGTGGTGTTGCTGCTGCTCCAGCACCTCGCGGTGAACGCCTCCAGCCCGGCCGCGTCGCCGCAGAACCGCTCGATCTCGGCCTTGAGCCCGGACGGCTCCGTGCCTATCGACGCCGTCACATTCGCCGTTGGCGCGCCTCGTGGCGCTGACGCCGGCGGCACCGCAAACGGGTGGTCCACGTTGGACGCCGTGCTCGTCGCCCGGATCACGGGGCTGCTGTACGCCCCCACCGGCCGGATCATTGGCGACGACGTCGGCGTCGCCCCCGCCAACCCCATCGGCGTGAACGCCCCGCCCAGCGGACCGCGCACCGACCCGGTCCCAGCGGCCCCGCGGTCGATGGCCGCCTGCTGCTCGCTGCGCAGCTCCCGTTCGCGCGCCGCCATGGCCGCCCGGTTGGTGTACATCCTGTTGGCGACGAGCAGGAAGTCGCCTTCCTCCGTGATCTGTGCGATGACCGTGCCCGAGCGGTGGATGTACTGCGTGTACCTGAAGTCGGGCTTGCCCCACGAGAAGGTCACCTCGACGTTGCTCGGGAAGTTTGACGCTGCCTCCATGTCAAGCACAAAGTCGAGCTTCCTCAGGATCGCCTTCTGGTAGAAGTGATCTTCCATCTTTGCCTGCGGTGTGAAGGATGTCGGGTCGTAATAGGTAATAGGTTGCTGGTTCGGAGTTGGCACCGCCAGCTTCACGATATATGGCCTGCGGAAAGGGTTGATGTCACTGATGGTGCAAGCTTCCGCGATGGGGACTTCGACCAGCCGCAGACCGAATCTCGCCATGTCGCGGGTCCACTGCTCCACGGCATCCTCGATCAACTTGGCTGTCGTATTCATCCACTCGATCCGGATGTGGTAGCAATTATCCGGGTTGTGTAAACGGTCATAATGTAAGTCGATCCTTTCGGGGCGATACGACCTTTTCCGCGGGTCCACGTCGTACTTCATAACTTTGCTCAACGCAACCCTTGGCCGCCTCCTGCTGCCTTCAGCAGCCGGTATGGTAGGAGTAGTCCCGCTCGACGTTGATGAATCCTCCTCGTGGATTGAACTCGGCCTCTGAAAAGCCAACGGCCGGGGCGAGTCACGAGGGAGATTCTCAGCTATCGGTGTTGACGGAACAGACGCAAGGTTTCGCCTCGCGCTGTTGAACCAGCTTGGTGGGTGGGGCTTGGCATATTCATTGCTGATCTGATAGAAATATTGCCCGTCCCTGAATGTGTGGCGTTTTTCAACGTGGACGAACAAGCCGGGCTCCTTTGACCCATCTTTCTCATCCTCTTTGCTCTTGTCCACCATGAGACTGTCGCCCAAAGCCTCGGCCTCCTCCCGACTCTCGAGGTCCTCAAAGTTGTCAAGCAGCCAGTTGGTCATGTCGGATCCGATGAAGCAGTTGTAATGTAGACGGAAATGCCATCGCCGATTCTGAAGCCTGACGCCGCCCTCTTCCACAGGCTTCTGCATTGCTTCTGCCAAAGCTGCAATCGTAAAGTTCGACTTCTTGAACTGCTCATTGTTTGTAACAAGATGCCCCTTCCTATTGCCAGGTTCCAAGCTTTCAAGCAGTGGCAAGGTTTCCAGCTCTGCGGCAATCACAACAGAGGGATCTTCGGTCTTGTAGACGATATCAAGCGGATTTGGGTCCTTTCGATTCCGTGGGCCCTGCGGTTGGAACCGACGCTCGCCCGGCGGCACATACCTGTGCCTCAACCACTGTTGTGCCAGGTATCTGATGCCTTCAAGGCGGACCTCTTCTTCATTGTCCGCATACTGAGGGTTCGACATATCTTTTGAAGAGGTCACGGGAATTAGCACGTATCGGGCTCGCCAGAACCTCAGGCTCTCAGACATCTCGTCATAGTGCCCAGCTATGAAAGAGTCGATGTAATTCCAGTTCCTCTCCATTTTCGGCGTGATTATGTCGATCTCGGCTGTTTGGTAGTCTTGATCCAACAAGGTACGGATCGCCGGCCTGTACATCGCTGCTAAGCCATCAGAATGTTTGGTGGGCTCAGTTGGCTTGCGGACGTAAATGGTAACTTCCACTTCAGTCTCATTGACACAAGAAAGTTCATGGATTGTGTTCCCGACTGTCATGAAGACGCTGGTTCCGTCCTCTATCTCACGGTCTCTCGAAAACACGTCCCCGATTTTGACGTGCTTTTGACCGAACGCTTTCGCAACAGCTGGCCCAATGACAACCTGGAATCCTTGCGAAAATCGCAGACTAATGAGTTCCCGCAAGAATTCTTCTCGGCTCCTTGGTTCCTCGGCGAGTTCATCATCATCGAAATCCTGAGCGATGTTGTATGGTTGCCGCTGGTATTCACGGTCAAATTGCTCCTTCGTCGGGAAGTACTCCGTCGTCAGAGGCACTGCTGCTGGAGAGCATAGTGACTTCCACTTCATAACTCTCATTTCTGAAGGACGAACAAAGACGTGTTGCCATCGGCTGTACAGCCGGGCCATGTCAACCTTGTCCGTGTCCGGATTTGATGGGTTGATCATTGTCAACCAAGGCGACATGGCAGTCTTTGGCGAGAGCATGGCAGGCAGTTCCGGTACGTCTCCCGCGAGGAGCTTATTGATTTGGGCAGCATCCTCGACATCCTCGGTCCTCTCTTTCTTCCTGAGTAAATTGGAAAGCTTGAGCTCAGGATTGTCGTCGCGAAGGAAATTCGAGGGTCTGAGGGTGGAAATGAGCGACTCGTTCACAAATGTTCGTGGCACTACATCTGTCGACGGTTGTGCACTTTTAATCAACATCGGACGGCTCGGTGTCTGCGCGCGAAGATCCTTGGTGGACTCGAAGGCAACGCTTCGGGGAATCTCTTTCGGCCCAGGCCCAGAACTACCACTCGACATGCTCTGTGGGGTAGTAGGACGGCGCGGCTTCATCGAGATCTTTGAGGCCGACAACGCCGGCGACGTCACTGTGACAGGGCCCATGGTTGGGACGGCATTTTCAACATGGACTTCTGCCGTAGCAGCTTTTGGGGCAGCGATGCCGAAGCCTCTGTGACCAAGACTAATCTGCCTGAGGAATTTCGGCGCCTTGAAGGAGGACACCTGTGTGCTCGCAACCGTGCCGTTGGAGCTCTTCCTCGAGTGTGTTCGATGGTCCGATCCGTCGCGCACTGGGCGATTAGACGGGCCGGCAATTGTGGGCACTGCGGGAGTGCTGATTGACCCCATCCGCTCACCTGCGGACGTACCAAGAAGACTTGTGTCCTCAGGATGGTGCTTCCTCGCTCCGTCTTCCAATTCCCTGGCGAACCTCGGCGTCCGACGTTGTCGCCTCTTTGCCACAACTCTTGCTCTCGCGTCGTCAAACTCATGCAGCTGCTTCCAAAGTGACTTTTCGCCTGGTTTGGCATGCCTGTCAGGCGCAAATTTCTGAAAGCCATAGACGTAGTCATGCAGCGGGTCGTGGACCTTCTCAGCGGGTATCACAGCAAGTTCTCGCAGGTCACGAAGGCGAGTCTGCTGCACAGCATTACCTTGCAAAATGCTCTGTGGAAAGAAAGGATCGCTGTGCAGGGGCAGTGTCTCGATTTCGTTCGTCTCCAGCACGCTCCTCATTTGCAAATCATACATGCGACATCGAATGGGAAACTGGTCTTGTGAGTGCTTCGATTGGTCGGCCACAGACAGAGCAATGCCTTCAAAGGACAAGGCGTCGTCAGAGTTGCCAGTCCAGTAGGACACGTGCAGCCACTGGGGGAGGACAAAACACCAATCCTCCCCTTGGCGCATGGCCATTGACTCGAATCGATGGGAGAGATCGCTGGCCCTGTTCGGGGAGAGAGAGCCCGTCAGACTCTGGTAGCTGCTACCCAGTGGCGTTGAAGGCTTTGGTGTGCTGCCGTGACTGAAGCTCAGCTTTGATTTGGCTGTGTGTCCATCTGATCTGGCGGGGTTGCGGTAGCGAAACAGTGGTACAGAATGGAGAGGTATTTTTGGTACACAAATAAGATCGATTCCAATCCCGTTGCCGACAAGGGCCTCGGTTGTACGTCTCAAGGTCTCGTACTCGACCTCGAATACACCTGGGCCGGGAGATATCACAACGACGGAGATTCCGGTCCTCCTTAGGTCTCTGTCGATGTAGTCATGTGCAAATAAAGAGGATGCAAGGTTAATGGCTTCGAGCACATTCCCATACAAAGCTCTTGACGCTTCAGCCTTGATACGGGTCGCAGGAGCCTTCGCGCCCGGTTCTTCAGCGAGACTGGGGGCCGAGCTGAGGGCGTCCAGGTGGTGTATGCTAATGTCCCGCCGGAAGTGGTTGAACTCCTTCTTGAGCTGGTAGAGTATTTTGGTCCATTCGCCGCTGGCCATCTCGCTTACTACGACCCGGTAAAAGTCCTTGTAGGGCCGCTTGTCACCGCAATCCTGAACACCTGTGTAGTAGTCATTCTGGAAGGTGGCATTGCCAAGCTCGGCCGTGATACCGGTATCATATTCAACACGTGCAAACAATACGATAGTGACGAGGTGCTTGACGTTGAGATCCGCCCATTTCTTGAGCAGGGCGGGCAAGAACCCGTTGACGACCTTGTTAAACATGATCTCCCCAGAGTCGTCAGGGTCGAAGTCCCACATCTCCTTGGCCATCTGGATGAAGAGCACGTAACGGCCGGATTCACTTCGGAAGATCGGTTTCGTGTTCTTCCCGAAGAAGGCTGAGTGGACCTTCCGTCCATCAACAAATACGGCCGAGATCTGGGCCTTGACGGTTCCCATAAAGAGCATCATCTGGCCCTTGTAGACGGTGCGGCCAGCAAGCTCTCCAACGGTGATTCTCCACATGTCGGCGCGCGATAGGTACTGGTCCTTGAAGGTCAACTCGACATGAGACGCCTCGGTTGCCGGATTGTTCTCGTCGACCGGAGCCAGGATGACCTGCGAACCCTTTTTTATGCCAAAGACATCTGCGATCTGCTTTGCGACGTACAGCTCGACGTGAGGGTACCTAGCCTTCAGTTCTCTTGGCATATCCTTGACCACGAAGATGTATCGCTTGGTCGGCTGGCCGGGTTCGCACGCGGCGTTCTTGCCTGCGTCCTGAGTGGCCAATCTCTTGGCCGCAGTCGACAGCTGCTTGGAGAACTCGGGCTTCAGTATGTCGATAGACACCAGAGTGCCAGGTCTTATGTGGCTGCCGAACAGGTCGAGGTTGACGAGGATCTCATCGCGGGCGAAGGACTCGTTGATGGTGACGGTGCACTTGCGCTCAAGACTGCCATCCTGACGGTCCCGGTGGTCCCTGTCTCTATCTCTTTCCCTGTGGTCTCCGCGCAGTGTCGAGTTGCTCGAGACGGTATCGGGGGATCGAGGCGCCTCGGTCGACATCTTGTCTAGGCTCGTCCGAGAGAGCTGGCGGAGATGCGACGACCAGTGCGGCCGTCGCGGCGCCGAGGACGACGGCATTCCTCCAACATTGCGGGGCATGGGTGGATCGTGGTTGGGAGGTGACACGGCCAAATCATCATCTTGGACGACGCGTCTTCATCGCAGAGTTCGCTGTTCCTGAGAATCGCGCCGAGTCGGTGGCATTGTCCTCTCCTGTTATCAATGATACGTCCCAGGGTAGCTTGACGATGGATGGCTCTCGCGACTTCCCAGGATCAGGGCTTGGCGCCCATCGTCGGCAGATTCGCCAGCTACTTGACCGCCTGGACCGATTGAGTTTAGCCGTGGAGAGCGCCATGTTAACCTCGACAGGAGCAACGACTTGCTGTTCGACACATTCTTCCCTGCAAAAACCTGGAATTATATCAATGTCACTTGTCTTTGTTGGACTGTTGTCAGCTACGGAAGGTTCTATTTAGATTCATCATAAAGGGTACTGTTTTATGTATATTTTGCTACTCATAGGTACTTATGTATCACATCAAAATCATTGGTCGAAACTCGTAAGAAGAAATCTTTTTCCTCCATCCGAAGTATCCAGCTTGACCTGGATCTTCATTGCTTCCCGCTTCATGGAAGTGATAGTGTCCAGGTTGCCAGCGTCGAGACCGTTCGGGTTCAGGCCGTGGAACAGAGCGGCCAAGATGCTGTCCTTCCACGGGTTCCCGCGCCTCTGATCCCGGAAAACAATCAAGAGTAGGAACACAAATCCGAGTATCTCAACTGCCACAGGTAGAGCCAGCCAAGCCCATTGCACGCGCACCACTGTCTTGTACTTTATGTAGGAACCGGTCGCACGATCTGTACTGTGTTTCCTGAACAAGGCGTTTAAGGAAGCGGTTATAGACTTCGATATATCAGGCAGGCTGCGCGGTTGGATTTGTTGGAGCACGTCCTTGTTGTTAATGCCAGAGTCGCCAGTGATGTACCATGTAGATTTCCAGTCTAGGCCGAAGTAGCTCCTGCTGGTCAGCCGAGACACGATGTCGACGGCCCAGCCCCAGTTTTCAGTACAGAATGACAGCGGTGAGGTGCTGGCAATGTAGTTTCCGCCGCTGGCATGCTTGATCTCCGCTGCTGGAAAAGACTCCTGGTCTGATCCGGATGTCCAACACGTGGCATTTCCGCCGAGAACGGTAGTGTTGTCAGAATACGAGAAGCCGCTTGGGGACGAGAGATTACTTCTTGAAGTTGAGGAACTCCATGGTCTACGGTGACCTCGTAATCGTCCGCACAGAATGCAAACACGACCTGTTCAGCTTTATCGAATTGCAACGTCATCGACGTGTTGCTTGTTAGTGACGGTGACGACAATCGGATCCGACCCAGCGCAAGCAATGGGCTGCGTATGCCCAGAATTGACTCTTCCCCGCCCAAGACAGGCTCCATAGAGCTGATGAAAACCAGAGGAACACTCCAACGGGTCGACACGCCTCGACCCCATTGTATTTCCCACGGGAGAGATGTCGTATTGTCGCCCCAGAAGGAAGCTTTACACGCCTCAGGGCCCCCTGGCATGTTCTGAACCGTGACCATAACATCGGTCAGATTCCCAAAGACAACCTGCCCTGCCGCAATGTCTGTGTATTCCGTGGTGCAAGCACTTCCACCGAAGGCAATTTGATCCAGCGGAACCTCGCGGGTGCTCATACAGAGTCCCATCGATGGGAACACAGGGTACGTGCAGTTCCCAGTCGGGCAGCGAGCCTGTCTCTCATAAGAGAGATCATCATTCCACAACGCCCTGTTGATTTCCCCGTAATAAGGAGGATCGCTATTGTTGGAGAAAAATGTAGGGGCAAGTACTTGCTCCGTCCAAGCGAATTCTGCTGCCACAGCATTCGGCTCTTCCTGGTAACGCAGAATCTGCTGGACAAAAGGGTCCACAGCCAGCATGAGCAAGGTGACAATGGCTCCCATAGACGCGATAGACGACCTCGTTGGCGTGAATCACATTCGCAATGCACCGAGCGGCCCCCGACTTGCTTCGTCAATGTGCTCAAGATCCCGCAAGGCACGGTAGCGAGTTTCGTCGGTGAACCAATCCCACTTGCACTGGCCAATGGCAGAGGCTATACCAAACATAAGGCTCGACTTCGCAGCGGTCGAGAGGATGGATATGATTGAGTTCAGCGTGATGCCGAACGAAAGCCTCGGGTTGCGCCGGCCATCAAAGGCCATGAGGACACCCACGATAGCAATCAGACAGCCCATTGAAAAAAATGGCGAAAAGCACTTCCGAAGCCCAACCATCCGTTTTGTAACATGTATGAGACCTTCCTGGTTGTTCAACAATCGGGTTCGATTTCTCGGCGCAGACTTCCACGTTGGCCTTTCGGATGGTGGTATGTTCAGACACTGGGTGCTGGTCTGTTTGGTTTCCTAGAAGGGAGGCTCCGCTCATTTCCTCGTCTTCTTCAGACCGTGACACGTTCGAGGTCTCGAAATCTCCCTCCACCGAGTTCGCAGATGCGCGAGTGGGGCCATCATTTGTGTCCTGGCTCGCACCAGACTGAAGTGGCGAGGCATGATGACTCTGGGCCTTTTTAAAAGCTCTCATCATGGTCGATTTGTGGTAAGAGTTGAAGGAGCTGATTAGCAGACGGCTGTGAAGAAGATTTCATGAGTGCTCTTGACGAGCACGCTGTAAAATATTCGTGGACCCCACTTCGTCTGACAGGACTTCTGAATGGGCCCCACAGAGTCAAAATAACCCACTGACAGACAAGATACTTGCCAGCAAATGAGTTGCGTATGACCCCTTGCTAAAGTTCGACCGGGCTGCCAGCTCGCCGATCTTCTACGCAAGAGCTCGGTGACAACCTTGGAAGTGTGTGTGTTCTCCATGCTGCACCCACTCGCCACCGAACTGCAAAACTAACTCTGCTACAGCTCCAATTATAAATTACTATACAGCCAGCACCTTGCTGGTCCTACATTGCCCCGGCGACTACCTTATCCTCCAGTGTTCCCGCCTGCTCATTCAAGTGTTATTAGTTTCCGCAACACATGTAGTAACCTAGCCTTTCCCCATGCCTTATCCCAGCGCATTAAGGCTGTGACGATAATGAGGAGACTGCTTGGAAGAGACGTAAAAATCTAATTCATCAATGAACCACTCTGAGTTTCAATTGTCCCATAGCTTGGCAAAGTCCAAATTAACAATCTTCGCTATAGAGCTGAAGGGCCTCGCTAAGTGCTGAGATAGCTAGTGACTGTCCCCACATTGTTTGGATCCTCGAGATGTCATAATAATGCTGGGCATCTTCTCCCACACCAGTCCCGGCGCTGACATTTCGTACAAGCCCATCTGGTGCTATCTGCGACAGTACAGCTTGCAGAGACTTGTATGCCAAGGGCTGATACTCTGCCCCGATATACCCCAGACGCTGAGCCTTCAAGTACGAGAAGGCAAAGCCCGCTGCAGCCGAGGTCTCGAGGTACGAACCGTCGCTGATGGGTTTGTCCAGGACTGTACGCCAAAGGCCGGAGGGGTCCTGTAGGTCAGCTAGAGCTGCCAGCTGTCGTGTCAATATGCTGCGGAAGTAAATGGCATCAGGATCCGTCGGGGGCAGGCCCAAGTAGTCGGGCAATTCCACGGCGGCGATCAGGCCCCAGGCATTTCCGCGCGCCCAGTGGATAGCTCCGAAGTTGTTCTTGTCGTTGAAAGTGTACGCATGGAAGTACAAATTGTTCGGAGAGTCGAAGATCCACTTGACGTGGTTTCGAAACTGGAAAATGGCCTCCGTCTTGTACTCGGGCTTGTTGGTCAACACACCAATCTTGGCCAATGGCAGAGCCGCCATCATCAGGGTGTCAATCCACATTTCCCCGTCATGGGGCTCGGTCGTGAGGTGCCAGCCGCCGTCCGGGGTCCTGGTCAGGTTGTACATGGCCCAATATCCCCAGTCCTCAATCACGGGCAGGTAGGACGGGTTGCGGGTGATATTGTATGTCTCGACCAGGGCAGTGATGGCGGCCATGCTGTTGACGTGCTTCCGCACGCCTCGGGGGAGGGCCCTGTCGAACCAGGTCTCCAGCTCTTCGAGCGACTGGGCATCCTTGGTCGCCTCATAGTGCTTCCAGATACCGTAGAGCCCAGTACCCTGGTCCCAGTCCCAACCCGTGGTCCAGGCTGGCATTCTGGTGAGACTCCCGATGGCGCTCTTTGCAGCGACATTGAGCTGTGTCAAGTTCAGGCTCCGTGGGGACGCTGCAGCCGACTGACCGAGTACCAAGGCGCCAACGTGGCTTGCCAAGAGAGGAGACACCGACAAGATGGCAGATACGAGATTCTTCATTGTGGATGGCTGTGGAGTGCCGTCGCGTGTTAATTGACAAGTATTGCGGTTCTTCCACAACATATTCAAGTTGTACATTGAAAGTAATCAAAAGGCGATTTCACGTCTGTTTCGACCGAAATCCCGATCACGCAACCCCGCCTCTGATACTTTGCAGATGCGATACAAAAGGTCGATCCCGCCGTAAGATGCAATGCACGGAAACGCGCCTCCGCAGCATGCCCTCTTGCGTTGTAGTGGTTGCTGCTGAGAGCTTGGCTCACAGAGCAAATATCAATCGATTGGGTCAGCATTTGCAGCGATCATCCCTGCGTGCACAATATCGAATCATCGACGCCATCATGTACTCACTATACACACCCAAAGTATTGAAGGGACGGCATCCTCCAACCTCAGCATACTTGTATGTTCAAAACCTCGGCAGCAATTAACCCGGAGCCCAGAGCCTGGTGAAATCATTCAAAAAGTGACTCAAGTCTAGCGAAAAGAACTCCAAAGCTAACCAATCCACTCCTATGCAATTGAGTTCCACGAAGCAAAGGTTCATCTGATGGAGCACCAGACATATTATTGACCACGGAAGGCTTCATCCGCATGCCACCGTGTTGATCGTGGGTCCAGCCCCACCTCACCATCTGGCCCCGATGTTAGGAGTTGTAACATACCTAGGTATCAGAATGAGGCCCAGAGAGTGGTTGCTCTGCTCTAGAGTATACTGCTAGCAGCCACCAAGATGACATTTGACAAGGCTATTTGTATTGTCTATTTCCAAGAGATTGAGTTCCGCTCCTTTTTGGAATCGAAAGCCTGTAGACTTGGGACTTCAATTGCTTCTCGGTCCCTTCTCTCGCGAGGCTTGCCTCGCCTCGGAATAATGTCTTCCTTTGCCCCTGACACCTCAAAACTAACAGACATCGAGTGCATAAACCTCAAGCTTATGTCCACACGATTTGCGTCCATTTTTCAATAGAATCAGACCACTATTGACTTCGGCTATTGACGGACGCCAGCATGGGTGTATTCCATACCCTCTTCGGCCTTGCCCTATGGGCTAACGCTATCCTTGCTGCTATTACTGCCACAGAGTCGTCGAGCACCATCAACATCTCCAATGGCAAGCTCTCCATTGTAGTGTCGAAAAGCGCCGGGACAGTCAGTGGCATCACCCTCGACGGCCAGGACCTGCTTGGCTCCGGCGGAAGGCTCTACCTCGACTGCCACTGCGATGGCGGGTATTGGAGCTCAGGGACAGGTACCCTCTACAAGGGGACCGACAGCGCCGGCACGGCCTGGGCTGGCGTGAAGCTGGGCAGCAACTTCGCCGACAAACACATCATGGAGACGTACTTCTTCCTCCGAGACGGTGAGACCGGTCTCCACTCGTTTGGCCGTGCTGCCTATCCCAACGGTGGTGCTCTCGGAGAGATGCGGTTCCTCTTCCGTCCGACCTCAACCATCTGGAACCAACTCTCGTCGAGTAACGACATGTGGTCCGTTATCCCTACCGGCACCCGCGAGACGGTGCAGGATACAACCTACTACGTCCCGGGCAGTGGTGTGAACGAGGTATACCGCAAGCAAATGTCGGACTATTTCTCCAAGTACATGTTCTCGGAGGACTGGGAGAACCACACCCACCACGGCATGTTTGCTGATGGGACGGGTACACGAGATGGGAGTGTGTATGGGGCTTGGCTTGTCATGAACACCAAAGACACCTTCTACAATGGGCCCAAGTGGTCCGATCTGACTGTCGACGGCATTGTGTACAATTATGTCGGTGTGTCAAAATTTTACTTGGGCCCTCAAGTCTCACAAGTATGCTGACTTTCTAGTCTCGAACCACCATGGTAACGGAAATCCCGATCTTACAGGAGGGTTCGATCGCACCTTTGGTCCGGTAAGTTTGACACTCTTGTTTCACCATTTAAAACTGTTAACGCAAGATTACAGTCCTATTACTATTTCAACAAAGCTGCCAAGGGCACATCGATTCAGAGCCTCCGTGCTGACGCAGGAAAATTCGCGGACCCGTCCTGGAATGCGCAGTTTTATGACTCCATTGCTCAATACGTCCCGGGCTACGTCCCAACTTCTGGCCGTGGTACTTGGCAAGGTCAAATTACACTCCCAGCCGGTGTCTCCAAGGCCGTTGCCGTCCTTGCCAGCAACGGACTCAACTTTCAAGACAACAACTTCGACACGAAATCATACCAGTACTGGGGTTATATCGGATCCAACGGTGCCATAACACTACCTCGTGTCAAGGCTGGAACATACCGCTTGACAGTCTACGGAGACGGAGTCTTCGGGCAGTACACACAGGACGGCGTGGTCGTGCAAGCAGGCGGAACAACAAAAACGTCCGCAACCTGGGTCCCCGAGTCCGCCGGCACCGAGCTGTGGCGCATCGGCACGCCCGACCGGAGCTGCGGCGAGTTCCGGCACGGCAGCGCGAGGGACACGACGCGCACCAACGCGCCGAACCAGTACCGCCTCTACTGGGCAGTTCACGATTTCCCGAAGGACTTCCCCGACGGCGTCAACTTCCACGTGGGCAGGAGCAACATCGCCACCGACTTCAATTACATGCACTGGAGCGTGTTTGGCGGCAAGGCCAACACCATCCGCCCCGATCCGTACTACACCAATGTTAACAACTGGACCGTCACTTTTGACACGACCGCCGAGGCCCTTGCGGGCAAGACAAAGGCTACCTTCACGATCCAGCTTGCCGGCGTCAAGACGTCCGCTGGCAACACCGATAGCGACAGTAAGCCCTTTGGCAATCTGCCGTATACTGTGGTCTTCAACGGCAAGGCTCTTCCTGTTTGGACTATCTCGTAAGTGCGGACCTCATGACTTTCCAAACACGATCACGTCACTAATCGCAGAAAAGATCGAAGCAGAGCAGTTCGTGCGGTGCTCGGTCGTCAGATTCGTGCTATGTCACCGGTAACAAGTGGACATTTGATGCTAGCATATTGAAGGCGGGTCTTAATACTATTGTGCTTTCTCTTCCTGCACGAGCTACAGCGCCTGAAGATGCAGTTCTTCCTGAGAGCACTTATTTGCAATATGATGCCTTGCGGCTGGAGCTGGCTTAGACGGCTGCTCAGGGTGAATTCAATATTGGTTGCTGAATCAGAAATGAGACATACTCTTACCGAAGAATTTGCCCTCCACGGCCTTTCGCGACCAGTTCCCAGTTGTTGTTAATCGAGACTAAAGTTCTACATGCCAGCTACCTAGCAGCTCATCCACCCCCACGAAGAAAAAAACCCAATCACCATAACACTATTTCTAGCCACAGGCTGGCCACACAGCATATCATTATGCTTTTGTGAGGCTGGGTGTTCACTTGGTGCTTGTATAAATCCAGATAGATGTTCCGACCAGCTAAAATTCGAATAGTGTTCTGCAGGAGGCAGGAAGGTGAGATCTCGAGTCGGGCATTTCAGGGCAAGGCTACTTGGTCAGCCGCGTTGGCGAACAACAAGGATCGTTCCGAGGGATGCGAATAGACGGCTATGCGTCAGACCAATTGATATTCTAGGAGGGGCGAAGTAAAGAAGCGGAGCAGCGTGCGAGCATATAGCAGCGCCTGCACGCCCAGACTGTCAGACAAAAAGTGGAATAGCTGACCAATTTCTCATCGTCTGATCTCATCGAGAATCCTGCCCGTCGTTGGTGAGTGTACTCATTCCCAACTCCAGGGGCTCGCAGTCCCATATAGACTCCTTTCAGACCACGTCAATAAGGAAGTAGGCCAGAAGCTAACTAGCAAGCGGCTCCGCGGTCGGCTTCGAGGATCATCGACGCTTTCACAATTAGCCTCATGCCCGTCGGTCTGAAACATCAGCTTTCTGCAACTTCAAACCTCGAACTTGGGTCAGAATCAATTGTATATCCGTTGTCCAAACCCAAAGTCTTGTGAATAAAGCCTAGCCATGGCAGACGCAAAACCAACCAAACCAAGTCCCACTGAGGACCCAGCCGACAGAGGCGAAGAACCGCTGCCTTCCTACGGCGACTCGACGCCAGGCCCCTCGTCTCGCCCATCAGCCACCCCGTCTCAGCAACCTGCGGGGCCAACACCAGAGAACCCCTTCAACTTCCCGCCAAGCGAGGATCTCCCATCATACGCAGAAATGTCACCATCCAGCAAGCCCGTGGCCGTCCCGCAGTCGCGTCCGGACGCGGCAGCCGCCTTCATAACAGCTTACGCACCGGCCCTGCTCGCCCGCGGCGTCACGCCAGAAACGTGGCACGCCTTCGTCACCACCGTCTCCGCCTTCCTGACCGCCACCGTCTCCGCCAAGGCCCTCGCCCACGCAGGCGACGTAGCGCGGCACCTAGGCTCGACGCCCGCCTCGTTCGGCAAGAGCGTCGCGAGGAGCGCGAGGTCCGTGGGCAGCCACATCCGCGACGAGGCCAAGCGCGGGCACGTCGTCGGCGCAGCCTTTGGCGTCGTGGGCGGCGCGATCTCGCTGACGCTCGGCACCGTGTTGGGGGCTGTCGGCGCTGCCACGGCGATGCCGATTACGGCGATAGGGGCTGTTGCGAAGAAGCCCAAGACGCCGAGGGAACGGGCGGCGGCATATGTGGCTGTTGCGAACAAGGACTGGCTGAATGCGAGAGGGCTGAGTGCGTCGATTCTGGAAACGCAGGAATTGTGTCACGTCGCTGGGATCGCAGACTCCCGAGCGCTGCTTGAGGAAGCTGGGCAGGGCAAGGATGATAACGCGGCTGGTAAGCTCCAGAGGCTGGGAAGATATTTCTGTGAGTTGAAGGTTGGCCAGACAGAGACGTTGGAATTGGGTGCGAAGACGCTTTGGTTGGTAGTGAATCAGCTGCCTTCGTGATGGAAAGGAGGGCGCTATTGTACACGCCCGAGCCCAACGAAGCTTCCTGCTGCAAGGTTCGTCTGAATTAGACAGAAATTATGCGGCCAGAAGTCTGCTCTTAGGGAATGGAGGCCGGAATAAGGCTATTGATAGGAGTCTTGTGCTAGACTGTACGTTTCAGGGACGACTCATTCGAAGCATTGTGTTAAAATTTGGTTTTTCTTGTTATGGGCGCTATGTTAAGTTGCCCTGGGTGCACGTGTGGTTGGAGGTAAGTTATACGCCCAGAAGTTGATTTTGAACAATGTATGAATACCTATGTCTGAGTAACAAAGGGGAAAGCACTGATATGTCTTGTTGAACCGGTAGAGTTCCACTGAGTCCTAGCTGAATTTAAATAGAACGAGCTTGGTAAAGAAATCCTCTGAGTATGCGCTATCACGAGCCGCGAGCAGAAGACCATGATTTTCCAGGCACTCGTCGACGATCTTCCGCATCTTTGCAGCTTCAGCGGCATCCCCCAAAGACTCAAAGACTAGCTCCAGCTGCCGCGCGGAGCGAGCCGTAGGAAGCGAAGTGGCATCGATATCTTGCAATATTCGGAGCGCGTCCGACAAGAGTGATCTGTCTGTTTCATGAGAAAAGGTAACAGCCTTGACCTGTGCCTGCTGATTCCACTTACGCTGCTGCCCGCAGTTCACCATGCTTGAATGTCACAACCCCAAGTTGATGAGCGACATATGCGGTCTCTGGCTGGCCGGTTGGAAATATCTTTCATGTAGAAACAAATCCAGGCAATCCAATGGAAAGACTTAGAATGTCAACACCTCGTAATTGCAATGCACACTTCGCAATCGAAGACTCTCCTGATCCAAGTGATTCATCTATGCTACGCCAGCGATGGAACATGCGCCAAGTTCGCACTAGCTCACCGCGTGTTTGATGGTGGATGGTTCTGTGATGGACAAAGCAGCCGGCTGAGAATGTTTCACGCCTCATCCACCCGCTGCGCGTTTGCGTTGAAGCAAACGCGCTGAAGCTGGTTCGGGTGCTTGGACCTTGCATACCATCCCCAGCAGACGGATAGCGGCATTGACAGTAGTTACTGAGACGCGGATACGAATCCCGAGCCACTTCTTCCCCAAGACTTTGACGGCTGGGTTCTAATTGTCAGCTGTTGCATCAAATTCAGGCTTGTAAGGCTCAGTTAGTAATTACCCAGGAAAGAAGCGAAGTCGGCCTTCGCGATCCTCGTCTCCAGTTGCCAAATGGAGGTGTGACAGCCTTACCTCACAAAGTTGATTGAAGAATTCCATTAGATTCCAACACTTTTACTTCTATCATATCAAATCATTGGCGTTATATTTGCAACCTGTGAAAGGTGCCCCTATCTGATTAATATATCGCTTCACCTGCTCAACTTGGCAGGTCCCTTTGACCTCAGCGTGACAACGGAGGTTCCCCTGTCCCAAGTCTTATTGTCAATACTACGCTCTCATTCAACTCGCTGCCAAATATATTACGCGGTCTATGTTAAAGCAACCCTGAAATACGACCTTCATGGTACTGTATCCACTACAAAGCTGAGTGCAACATTCCTTTTTCATTCCGGTCGATGCAGTCCGTCAAGATCTATTCTGGTCACAATGATGGCAGCATTGGAATTATCCATTTCGGGATGGATCGGTGCGTTGTCACGTCACCTCCTACCGTTGTGAAACTCGAGGCCAATATGTGGTATTCATCCCCAGGCTTTGTGATCCGTCGCTGTCGAGCCCGTGTATTATTGTGCAGCAGGCAGCTTTGGCGCAGGACGTGACAAGGGACACGGGAGAATCCCAGTGCGCAACATCATCTTGTACCCGGGAAACACAAGATCTTGCACTTTGTTCAGATATCATTGGGTTGTCGGGATCGGGAGATGCAGGCGACTGCACCTCGCCGGTGCAGGGCGAGCGGGTGTCATAAACCGTCTGTGCAACGCTGGAGATCTGCATGTTCTTTGCCAAACTTACCCGGTTCCCTCGGTGCAAAGCTTCTCCTACCGTCCCGAGGAGGGGAGCCACTTTCTGACGGATACTAGCTACGCCAGCTAGCCTTTCTCTTGCATGACACGGTGGGCTAGCTCAAGGGGGCTACCCTGCCCATGCGAGAAGCTTCCTTTATACCCTTCGCACCATCCCTGTGCTGCTACACGACACCGTCCAAACGGACCTGGGGATGATTAGCGCAATACGTCTCATGTCCTATTTCGATTCTCCGCAGGTCGGTTGCAGATTCCTCATGGGTTTCCTGTCCGACAACCGGCAAGTTTAGGACAGATTCTTGAACAAACCCTATGTCCTCGTCCTTTCGAGATATATTTTTACGTACCACAGTACCCGAAGAATATAAAATCGACCGAAGCCTGTTGCACTCGTCATTCGGAGCGTGTCCCAGCAGCGTCCATCATTTTTCGAAGTCACCCTTCCACCAACATGGCGTTCAGTCTGAGCCCCAAGACGCGGCTCATCATCACAATCTCCATCTCCTTCGCCTTCTTCGTGGCCGAGATCACAGGTTCGTCAACACCGTGTGCGAAGGTACAACTGAACTTGTCTTGGGACTGACTTGATCCGTAGTGGCCTTCAAGACCCGCTCCCTCGCGCTTCTTGCCGATGCATTCCACTACGTAAGATCGCTGGGCTGATCATCTCACCAGACATGCCCAGGAAGCTAACTCCTCATAGATGAATGATCTGATCGGCTTCATCGTCGCCTTAACAGCTGTCATTGTGAGTCTCGGGCCTCATTTACGCCGTCTGACTCCAACTCACCGTGTGCCCAGATATCAGAGCGGGCGCGCTCCCCCGCTGAGCTCTCGTTCGGCTGGCAACGAGCCCGGCTGCTCGGTGCCTTCTTCAATGGCGTCTTTCTCCTGGCTTTAGGAATCAGCATCTTCTTGCAGTCTATTGAGAGGTTCGTCTCAATTGAGCGTGAGTCGCTCTAGCCATCTAAAGCACTACTCTCACCTGACACCCTGCAGGTATCGAAGATCCGAGGCTGGTCATGATCGTAGGCTGTATCGGCCTAGGTTTGAACATCATCAGCGCGGCATTTGCACATGGTCAGAGCTCCAGCGACCCAACGTCACACCCGAGAGAAAGACACACTGACGTTCTCCACAGAACACCACGGCCACGATCACTCTCACGGACACGGCCACGAACATGGCGAGGCCCATAGCCACGACCATGAGCATGCGCATGACCACGGCGAGGCGGCCGTGGTGAACCTTGAGCCTGTCAGGAACAGCAGCTCGAGCAGGGCGAATGTAAGCGTCACAGGGGTATTGCGTTACGACGTGGAACATTTCATAGAACTAATCAACACCACAGCCCGTTCGAACCCACGCAGAGCACCGTCACAACGTGGCCCAGATGAAGAAGCCCGGCCGCGACCTCGGCATGCTCGGCGTCCTCATCCACGTCATCGGCGACGCCATCAACAACATCGGCGTCATCATCGCCGCCGTCATCATCTGGCAGACGCGTTCCGAGGCCCGTTTCTATGCCGACCCGGCGGCGAGCATGTTCATCGCGATCATGATCTTCATCAGCTCCATCCCGCTGACCAAGAACTCCGGGGCCATCCTGCTCGAGAGTGCTCCTCGAGGTGTTGAGATCGATGACGTGAAGCATGATCTTGAACAGGTATGTCCGCGCTTTGGAAAGACGGCAACTGCCCCAGATTACTGACACCATGTCACCCAGATCCCCGGAATCGAATCAGTCCACGAGCTGCACATCTGGCGGCTCGACCAGCAAAAGGCCATCGCGTCCGCCCACGTCGTCGTCTCGGACCAGTCCATGTCGAACTTCATCGAGAAGGCCCGCACCGTCAACGAGTGCCTCCACGCCTACGGCATCCACTCGTCCACCCTGCAGCCGGAGACGGCTGAAGACGCGGCGCAGGCACCCCAGGATGCTGCCGCCACTGCTGTGACCGCCACTGCTTCTTCTGGCAGTGTCTCCGAGGGCGTCGGCGCTGCTCTTAGAAGGAGGAGGCTCGACCCCGCGGCCTGCCAGATGATTTGCAGCAACCTGTGTCACAACTTGATGTGCTGCACCAAGATCGAGACCTGATCAGGCTCGGGCCTGCGTGACGGGCGGCGGTTCACCCCTCGGGCTCCGGGTTCTGCCCGATGATGGTTACCCACTCTGATCGAATGCCATGTAGCTGTGTTGTCGGGTGATTTCTTGCGTTAACCCAAGGTTGCCATCTTTGGCCTCAACCGCACAATTTGCTCAAAAAAAGGGGAGCGCGATACGGGCGGCCACGGTGCTGCGGAAAGGTCAGGAACGGAAGAGGCTGTCACATGGGCCTGAAAAGTCTGGATATCAATCTGCGTGCGTGTGTCCACGATTACATTAGATTTCATTTCGAAGGACCGAGAAAATCAGAATATGTTGGATTTGCGGAAACAAGTCCTTCACATTGGCTAGTGGGATTTCGCTCGAGAACCAGCCTCGTATACAAGTCCCTCGAATTATGACACTTATTGCCGCTGATGTTCGAAGCCGGATGATTACACGCAGTTCATCCGCCAGTAGCCAGCCTTCCAAGCCTCCCCCTTGTTCGTGTCAACATTTCACAAACTAGTAGCAGATGGATAGTCGAATATCGCCTGCCTTAAAAGACACCGGTCTCTGATGGATCTGGGCTGCGACCCACGAGAGTCTCTGATGGATCCGGGTTCCGGCCGACGAGTGTCTCTGACGGATCGGGGCTGCGACCCACGAGAGTCTCTGATGGATCCGGGTTCCGGCCGACGAGTGTCTCTGACGGATCGGGGCTGCGACCCACGAGAGTCTCTGATGGATCCGGGTTCCGGCCGACGAGTGTCTCTGATGGATCGGGGTCCCGTCCGAAGAGGTCTGGTGTTGGATCAGGGTTACGGCCGGCAAGAGTCTCCGACGGGTCTTGGTTTCGAGCGGCGATGGTTTCCGATGGGTCTGGGTCGCGAGCAACGACAGGAGGTTGAGCAAGAGCTGCGCTGGCGATGGCGCAAAGCGTCGCTGCAACAAGGAAGTGCTTCATTGTGATGAGACTGAGTAGGGAAGTAGACCCAGAAGAACGAAGCTAAGGTAGTATAATGTGGTCGTAGAAAATACACAGGTGACGGATGTTATCGCTTCTGAGACGGGCTGAACCCTTTTTAAGCGTGTCTAGGTATATAAGACCGCGACTCAGTCCTGTGGAGTGGCCAACCTTATCGGTGGAGACGGCAGCATCATGCTTCTACCTTCTTGGCCAAAGCAGTGGTATCATATATCCACATAAAACTCAGAACGATTCAGTTCGGTATCAGCTTTGTTGTTACCGTTTGAGCACGGCCCGTGCTTGGGAAGTGGAGGGTTATGTCGCCATTAGGGATGGGAGACACGACAATTAAATGAGACGATGGATCTATTCGGATACCAAGACATTCCTGGGGCAACTTTTATTACATGATCCTAAAGGCTCATCTTCTTCGCAATTAGCCCGAACGGCTCCACCAGCCTGGTACGAGGGCAATGCTGGAAGGTGTCTGGTGATTTTCTTTCGGTAGCATAAATTGTGGGGATGTTGTTCTTTAAAATTCCTTGCAATACTGTTACGGGGTACTTCCTGCTTGCCAGGTAGTTCTCCTTTCCCTGGCAATCCCCAATGAATTGTTGTTCAAAGTTGTGTTGGGAGGAACATCCCGTTTAATGGAACCCCGAAGAAGTTGAATATTTACACAGATACGCGTCATGTACAAGAATGTCAAGATTGGCCAATGGTACCTCCAGGAAGTACAGTGATCTTCGGGACTTGAATGACGTCCCAGTCGTCCGCTACAGCAGGATCACCAAATGCCCTGAGAGCCGCAGCGCGGAAGCTAGAGAGGATGTCAGTACAGCGGCCATGCTCAGTGTGTTGAAAGATGCAGCTTACTGGTATTCGCCAGGTACGATCGTTGACCCATTGGCATATCTACCAAGCCACCAGTATCTCTCCCACGCATTACGGGGTAGGTTATACAGAGGAAACGAGAAGATATCATCCTGGCTGTGCCTGCTGGGGTCGAAGTAGGACGCATTGTCGGTGCCGTTCCAGCTCGTGGCAGAACCGATGACTACCATTGTTAGCTACGCATGACGGAGACCAAATCTGTAGTCCTGTCCGGACCCGAGAGATATGGCACAGGTGCAAGGTATCAGAGATAGGTATATACGTACAGTGGTTTTCACCGACGACAGGTGGGTATTTCCAGTCTGCCTCGGTGTACCCGGCGTCGAAAATGTCCCAGCGCAACTCCCTTGAGCCCCATGTGAGCCAGTTGTTAAACCGAGGGAAGTCTTGCGCTGTGGGGGTAAGATTGAAAGTCATGTTCGGCTTGATAGTCAACTCGACGCTGTTGGGGCCGGACTGGAGATGAGGGAAGCCCAGGAAGGTATTATACACTACAGCAAAAGGAGTCAGCTAACAAAGAACTGAGGAAGGAGGTTCGTCTGGATATGGGGAGAACCAGGTCATGGTATGGCCATGGCTTGTTTCAAAACCTGCAGCCTTAAAACACCTCTGAGGTACAGGCTACAGATAGGAAATCGATTTTCCAGATAGGGTAAAAATTGTATCCGGAAGCTGCTTACTGCCCGTCACGGTCTTCTTCAAGTCCGACGCCACGCCTTTGTATTTTCGTTAGCCTTGGTGTTGTCGGTACGAGACCCGTCAAAAGAAAGGAACTCACCAAAGTATGGGATACCCAACTCCTCGCCGTTGCTGCCGCTGATGAGGACTTTGCCGCTGTATACTGGCAGCTTGGTAGCATCCAGTCCAGCCGGCGCGGTGAAGGTAACTCTGTGGTGGCTGTCAGTGAGGTTAAAGTTCAGGGCTCGACACCAAATGCTTACTCTGCCGTCGCTTTCTGCCCTGGCTCAACGGTAAGCTCGCCTGGAAGATCGACTGTCGGGTCGAACTCTACAAGCACAACCTCATCGTAGCGCATCACATCTGGCGCGTCAGGATTGTAGGATTCGAAGCCGCCAGCGCCCTGCAGGCTGAACTTGTATGTAACAGCCTCTTTGCCGTTGTTAAAGATATCAACCGTATGTGTTCCCACGAAGTTGGCCGTATCGTTCATTTCGAACTTGCGGCCATCGAAGCTGAGCTCTGTTGTGTAATTCAGCACGGCTGCCGCATCGACTAGTCCTGATCCAATTTGGACTGTGGGTGTCCAGAACCCGTAGTCTTTGGCAGAAGTCGACCAATCGGCCTGATCTGGTCAGTAAGTTATTCTGGCATGGCACTCCAATGAAACAGCGGGAACTAAGCGTTCGAGAGAATCTAAGAAACCTACCCAAGGAACGGCACGGCCAGTCGCTGTGATGCGAGAGACTAGACGTTGAGCCCAGGCAGGGTCATCCGCGTGTGCTTTCCGGCCTCCGAACTGGCCAACCCACAAGGCCGCAACACCGGCAATGTAGGGTGTAGCCATGCTGGTACCACTCAGGACCTGGTAGCCGCTGTTCAGGTACGTGCTGAGGATCTTGGTGCCCGGTGCGGAGACATCAGGCTTGAGAGCGAGGTCAAAGGTTGCACCCCAAGAGGAATACCTGGCCGGGCGCCCACTTCCGGCGTTGAAGAGGCCGACGTAATGGCCCGTGTTGTTGACGTTGAAGGAGGCTGTGACGTTGCCTCCGGCCAGGATCGTTTCCATGATTGCTTCACCAGCTCGTGCTTCGATCATGCCAGTGACGCCAGGGGTCGTCCTCGTGTTTGGGTCCTCAAACGGGCCATCGTTATTGTAGAACAAGATATACTGCGGGTTAAAAGGCACGAGATTCCTGTGCTTGTCAGTCAGGTAGCATCCCCCAGATCGAACGAGAACGATCTTGTCCGCTAGGCTCCCCGTGTTGTTTGGTAGGGGGCTACACGCGTCGTCCACAACGGAAGTATTCAGTGTGAGTGGTGAAATAGGCAGGTCGACTACGCTATCCGGGAAGACACCCGTTCCTGCAACGTAGGCGACATTGGTGTTGTTGGACTGTCCTTCCAAGTTGAAGTCGACCGAGAAGGACTGGGCTGGGAATTGGCCCGGTTCAGACGAAGCGATGGTCAGCTGTTCAAGGCCTGGTCAGCAATGATCTGCATAATGTCCTGCAGACTAGTTCTCCGCAAGGGTATCGGGCCCGAATTTTCGGAGCCCCAAGGCAAGGCACAAAGACGAAGAGGTTGAAAGCGGCTCAGCAAGTACTTACCACATGCTCGCCTGACGCGCCGTTGCTGGCGGAGAATGGTCCATCTTCACCAGCGTTACCAGCTGCAACGACTACCACAACGCCCTGGTCAACCATCCTGGAGGCAACTACAGCCCAGGCATTCGTAGTGAACCCGCTCTCTTCCCCGACACTAGCACTGATAATATCCGCCTAGTTTCAATCCTGATTCAGAATTTCACGTATTACACACAACCGCTTGGGGGGTTCCATCACTTACACCGGATTCAAAAGCTTTGAGGAATCCCTCAATAACTGTCTCTTCGTTGGAGTATCCGTCAGTGCCAAACACCTTGAAAGACAACAAGTTTGCCTCGGGCGCAACGCCAACGAACCTGAAATGGTCAGCGCAAAAAAGGAATTGGAGCCACGGCGTGTAGAAACTCACTGATCACTTTTCCCAGCGACAATGCCAGCCACATGCGTCCCGTGGCCAAAATTGTCCATAGGGTCGTTGTCGGGATTGGGAGGAGAGTCTGGCCAATCTCCATCTCCGACAAGGTCATAACCACCAAGGACTTTGAAGCCAGGGCCGATACCTCCGCCCAGCTATCACACATCAAGTCAGTGAACAACCAAGAACAGGTCAGCGAAGGGGTCTTACAGCAGGGTGAGTGTATTGGACACCGCTGTCGACGATCGCAACAGTGGCCCCAGTTCCCAAGATACCATCCTTATGCAGCTTCTCGACACCGGTGATGCCATGCACCGAATAATTAGATGCGGCAGCATCGTCACTGAAAGACTCGCCCTTGACCGTGTCCAGGATCCTGACGCGCGTCGACTTGTAGACCGTGGCCACAGCAGCATCGCCGCTGGCGTCGTCGAGCGCCGCCCTGAGCGAGTCCTCGGTGCAGGCATGGTCGCACTCGACGCTCACGCCGGGAAACAGGTCCGAGTCGAACTGCTTGACGACCTTGAGCCCGGCTGTGCCTGCGACCTTGTCGAAGAACCGGGTGCACTGGGCGCGGGACTTGAGCTCCACGATGTACCTCCTCGGCACGGCGTCGCTGGGAGATGATGAAGTCTCGTTGAGGTCGCGGCGCGAGGGGAAGTCGACGGTCGCCCAGGCGCTGCTCGTCGCGCCGAGCAGGGCCAGGAGGGTTCGTGTCGCGCGCATCTTCACGGGCTGGGAGGGGAAAGTCTCGTGGAGCTTGAACTCCGTGGCATGCTTCTGAGACGCGGTATCATCCTCGGGGGGCAGAGGGGACAGACATATAATAATATTGCTGTGTCTGCTACAACTCACATTTCACGTCGCACTGTTTCAATGCCAAGCGAGCTGTTCCTCGTATCTGATGGCGGCATCGCGTGTCAAATGAGCTTAGAGTAGTTGTGTAGGATTAAACCCGTACAGACCCCTGAACCCGCATCGCGATCCCCTGTCTACTGCATATGGCCTTCCTGTTCCAGCGCTGAGACCGGGTTTGCATTGGGTGCGGCATCGGGTGATTCGGCAAATACGAAGCCAAGAACCCCACGATGGACCTTTACCAACGGTAACCCTGGGCTTCAAGACGTCAAATGGAACGACAATCTCAATTCTTCTGACAAGACGATCGGACTGCTTCCGAAAAAAATGCAGGGCTGCAAAACCTTTCCAAAGATTGTTCTTTTGGTAAGTAGTCCCGAGACGACCTAATTACATGGAAAAAAAGAGTTATCGATTGTGTTCCCCAAACCACTTGATAGTGACCCAAAAAAGTCCGAGCATGACTCCTCAATAAGAGGAGGCCTTCTCCGCCATTTCTTGACCTTGAAGGATACGACAAGCAAAGTATACTTTGTGACATCGTCTGCTTACTTTTCTGGCCTAGCAATCTACTGCAGCAGGGAGGGGGGGGGAGGGCAAGCCGAAATGATATCAGTACATAGTTATTGTTCCACAGCTGTGAATGTATCAATTAATTTGGTTGGCGATCATTTTGAGACCTTGTCTCGGCTCTACTAGAATACCTGCTATTCATGAATTATTTGATGAAATGGCCATCTGGAGAACTTAAGGTTGCCAAGAACATGGATGCTTTTCGGACGAAGGTAGATGAAGAGTGACACTCGAGCACGGGATGGGATAATTGTCTTCTACCAATTCAATTCCTCTTTCGCATTTGAGCGGTCCAGGTGTTTCAGACCTGAGTTCATCTAGCTGAGAAGGAGGGTCAGGTTCAAAACAAGAGAAGACGTTGTGGCACTTTCAAGCTGAGAACAGTCCAGACTAGGTCCTGGAAAGGACTTGTGGCAGATGGTTGTCTTTCCCCTCGAATTTATTAGTAAGGGAACTACTTAAAAGTATTGATGAAAACATATGTCTGGGTCTACTCCTTGGGATGTTTCTCTCTCAGATAATTCTTTCTCTGCGAGAAGAGTTCCTTTTGCGAACCAAGGGACAAAGCGGGCTGGACTAACAATGCTGAGTCCGGAAGCGGCCCAGCAACGCGATTTCGCTTCTACCCGACTGAGATCAATAGAAGACAACACTATTTGGGCTTTTATAACTACTGGTCCTCCCGCAACACATGGAACCGCATCGGAATTCTCCGATCCATCCGCTTTTATCACCCGTGAACCGCTCCTCTCAGTGAAAACAAGGCTTCCCTCCAGATTATATAGTGATCATCATCGCAGCTTATCCTCCAATCGCTTTACGAGACAGCCAATAAGGAAGCACCCGGCTGCATTTCACCTGCGTCGGCCATGGTGGGAGGCAGCTGGGCGAGAACATTCTCATGTCTCGTGTGCGGTGGCTCGCACTTCGGAGCCGGGGGTGCGGCGTAAGTGTCCCCCATCAACCTGCTGCGTTTGCAGCCCGCTCTCCATCAAATGATACACTTCCCGGAGACTTGCGAGGCCACTGACAATCCCTGCGCACAAACAGCGGAATTCTGCTCGTCCGGCGCGACAACGCCCGCCCGGGAAACCCAGCCACCCACATCGTGATGCAGCACCGCGCCGACAACAGGTCCTGGGCCATCCCGGGCGGGGTGCGGGACTACGGGGAGTCGTTCAGGCAGACGGCGCTCCGGGAGGCAGAGGAGGAGATATCGCTGCCTCGCAACTGCACCGAGGGCCCCAACCCGCTGGTCGTGGTGCGGCGCGAGGAGACGCTCCTCGACCACGGGGTCTGGAAGTACGTGACCCTGATCGCCGACGTGGTGGCCCTTCCAGCCCAGGAGGCCGCCGGGGGACTTCGAGAGCCTGTCGGTCGAGTGGGTGCCGATCGACCAGGTCGGGGTGAGGGGTGGGCGGTTCTTCCCGCTGCTCCCTGCGTTCTGGGAGGCGTGGCCGGCGCTTCTCGACATGGTACGAGAGATGGATCAGCCAGTCCTGCGCCTACGACCACCGATAGTCCAGCCAACGGCGGTCCAGCCAACGACGGTCCAGCCGACCCTAGCAGAGACGGGTGAGCCGGTGCCGCCGCCCGGTGTGCCTGATGGGCCGGGGGATGCTCCGGTCCCGGGTCCATTCACGTATTTCAGTGGCGACGAGGATGATCCTGGGACAGAGATCGATTGGCTAGCCGGCGCGGAGGAGGGCCTTTGCGTATGGTACATTCCTGCTATGCCATAAGCCCTTGAGGGCCTGCCTCTACCGAATTGCTCAGGCATGCGGTTCTCGTTCATCAAGGAAATTGATACCTATTTGGTGGGGCAGAGCGATGCAGGCCCTTCCCGTGACGGCATTCAGCGGCATGAGGAGTCTGCAGGTTGGACCCAGATCGATTGATGTTCTCTATGTATATATCTTGCCTGAAGTAGTAGTGTAGAGTCAGAGGGGAAAACAGGGAGCATCATATGTGATACGTTGGTGTATTGTACCACCCACTCTGAGTTTGCGTGACGAATGGGTATCTAGCACTTGTTCTTTTCGCTACATTTCTACCAGATCTCAAAATGTAACATCCACACGCCAACGTATTGTGTTGAATGCGCTTTTCTTTGAAGGGAAAAACATACGCATGGATAACGTTCGATAAGTAAGCGGCTTTTCAATTGCAAGGCATGTGTTCTGATTCTATGTAATTTCGGTCGCTTCAGACTCTGCAATTAGCATAGAGCGACCATTACAAATTGGGATGTAGTGAATGTCACGAATCCATGGACATTGAAGGACAAGTATACGTGTCGATAAATTTGATGACTGTGAAGAGAAGGAAATGCGTTCTTGCGTCATGTGCGGGTGAAACCTCGGACGTGCTATTTCTAGAGCGCCTATTACCCTAAGACTAGACTCAGAGGCTGATTATTATCAGAGGTATTGCTCCCGAGGGAGACATATCTCGATGACCAGGGCACGTTCGAAGATGAGATCCAGAGGTCCACTGCTCAAGTGCTCGCGCAATTTGTAAATCATATGGCAGCCAGCTGGCATATACAAACAAAGGAATAACGCCGCAGCCTTTGATGTTTTTAGTTTCTTTTCCAATGAAAAGCAGAAAAATAGAACAACAAATACTGCCATGCTGGCCCAGAGTGCTTCCAGCCATGTCCTTACAGCCATGTCTTGGAAGGCGTTGACCTGCCATGAATCGAGCGGCGCGTCGCGGGCTCCGGTCGATGTGCCAGATAGCACGAGGAAGAGGGTGACTCGGTCAGGAGGACGAGAAAAAGTAGAACAAGAAACAATTGTTCGACCTCGCCGACTCAGAGCTCGGCCCGGCGTATGTATAAGACATGGAAACACCATGTGGGCGTAACTAAGCCGCGCGACCCTCGTTGCCACTGAACCTCACGGCCTCGGAGACTTTTGTCTCACGGATGGCCCCGAAAGTCAACAGTCCAGACTAGTCGACCTGCGCACCAATATACCCACACAAGGTGAGAGCTGGCGCTGCTGAGACCTTCCCAAAAGGAGGGCACCGGTAGATTTTTTGTGCGGTGCCAGCCACACCCCCAGAAGGCAGGACGCCTCCGCGCATGACGAAGCTGACGCCGTGGGTGCGGGCAGGCCCGAGCCGCTCGACGAGCTGGGAGGGCGTGGTGCTGGCTGATTTCCCAATGGTATTTCCTTGCCTAATCGAGCACAGCGGCAAGCAATAAAGTAAGCACGCCAGAATGCAGCGTCAGCTTCGGTCACACAGGGGCTAGCGCGGTGCGCCCACCGCGTACCGTGTGAGGTCATTGCCCATCTCTCTGGGCGGCCCTCTGGGAAGAAAGGGGGGGGGGTAAAGCGAAGATCAGATTGAGCTGAACTGAAGCTGCGCTGCCGCTGCGCTGGCTTCTGTGGCACGTCTGTCAAGCGCGCCACCTGCCACCTGCCAGCCTGGCCACCCCCTCACCCTCTTTCCGGGAAAGAAGACAAAGGGGGAAAAAAAAAGAAAGGCGGGGCCCCAGCCAAAGGACCAAGTTCATGTATCCAGTCTGCATACGGCTCGGAGGCTGCTGCTGCTTCAACCTTATTAGTCCTATCTCGTCCCTCCACCACAGCTTGTTTCAGACGGCGCGTGCCTGCGCTATATCCCTACCAGAGGGCAGAGCCCGGGGGAGAAGATCTGCAACCGCAGGGCGCCGACGACGCCTCGCGCGCCTGGGTACTGTACCACCGAGACGAAATAAGTGAGACGTCATGCCGTTCTGGGGTTCACATGTGCATGTGTGCATGTGTGCGTGCGTGCGTGCGTGCGTGTGTGTGCAGGGACGGGTTGCACGTGCTGATGTGTTTTGTGTGTGTACATGTGTGCATCTGCGTGTGTCTAATAGTTCTACTCTGATACTCCTCCCGGCGTCTTGGGGATCAACCCCCCCCCCCTTTCTCGAGAATGACAAGTCTAGCCGGCCGGCCGGCAGCCAGCGACGAACAGGTTCGCCGTGTCCCGCGGTGCGACGCGAGATAGTGCGTGAACACGAACGAACACCTGGGACGATCTATCTGGTCATCACTTATTATTACTGTGTATTACCACCTTGTTGGCTTGGGAAGGGGGGGGGGTAAGGCGCTGGACGTTTGGTCCATCATTTGTCTGACAAGGCCGGGCAAGGATGGGCGCTCGGCTCGGCTCAGCTCACCACACCTATCGAACTTGACATTTGACATTCCGACTAAACCGTTGAGGACGTTTCTTCTGACATGGCCGAGGAAATCCATCCACCCCATCCCATGCAGCCATGCTGGCCGTCCCATCGCATCCCTGGGCGCTGAGGCCGACCGCCCTGAAAGTGAGGCGGTCGCGTCGCCCATCGGTCAGGGTTAGGGGGGCCCGCGGGCCAGCCGGGCAGGGCTTGCAGAAAGTATCTATGGGGAACTTCAAGGCTGTCCCCGACCAACGTCCCCAGCACTGATGTTAATGATAGGAGCTGTCGTGTTTGTGCCTGAGCGGCACTGCCGAGATACTACGACAGGATTAGCCGGGTCCCATCAGCCAGCCAGTTCCGCGAGCTGGTCGGGGATGCGGTGAGATAGTCAAGTCAGTCGTCAGTCTCCGCCGCGCCGCGACAGCCGCAGACAACGAGACACATGTCTGTTCCCCATTCCATTCCTCGCCATGGCCGTGGACAAGACACAGCAGGCGCTCGAGCCCACATAGCCAGAGAATAGGGCAGATAGTCTACCAAAGAAAGAGGGACGAAATTAAAACCGATCCCAAGCTGGCAGATGCCTGCGCCGATGATTCGGTGCAGTAGCGGTCTGGGGGGACAGCAACATCATGCAGCTGCACACTGCAAGCCAACGAACGTCGGCCGGCCTGGGGCGAGCCGGGCGCTGCAGCTCTCTGCTCGCTAATACGGTAGCAAAAGCCGTGGATCAAGAGCTGCCGCTTCGTCTTCCGGTCGGTAGATAGACTACTGTGGGCAGATTTGGCTATCTGGCGATCCAGAGTCACTGTTTGGCCCGTGGCACACTTGTAGCGCGCCTCCCAGGGAGGGAACTGCGGTAACTGGTGCCACTCCGTCATGCCGGCACCCATTTCGCGGGTTGCCAGGCGTTGCCAAGAACAGCCCGTCTGGAGCTGGGAATACGATGACCGTGTAACCCGAGCGTTGGCATGATGCGGCGCCTGTCTGCCTGCTGCCCCGCGCAGCATGCTTCTTCCTCTGTCTCGTGAGATGTGCAGCCGGCGATCAGGGCTTTTCAGGGCTTTTCAGGGGCAGGTCAGTGTGCTGTAACTGCCTAGATGCGTGGCTGCGTGTACGTGTGTGTGTGCGCTTGTGTTCCTGATGGCGGCAGCAAGGACGGTCCTGGAGCACGGTCCTGGTTTAGGTAGCTAGACCATGGGGAGGTTGGTTGGTAGGTAAAATTAAAACGGGTGTTATGGTTTATTATGACGGGCTCTTCCGAGGGATATCGAGCGCGATCGTGGCTCAGATCCCCGCTGTGTGCTGTGTGTGATGTGACTGATGTTCCCGTCAGAGGACGAGACAGGCCATGGCATGCATAGCAAGATGGCATGGCTACGTTGCACTCAGTAGGACCCGGGAGCATGGCTTGATGAACAATCAGAGACTAGGCTCATCCGGTTCCGAGATGAGTTCATCCCCCCCGTCCGCGCTGGACGGCGGCAGGCCGACCTGTGAGTGGGTGCAAGGAATCACCTGCGTGAGATGGCTGGGCTGGCAGGCTGGCCTGGGGGCCTTGTTCGGTCTGGGATGTAGCAAGGTGCCTCCCGCTCCGGGATGACTAGCCTCGAAGGGGAGGCCGGTGAAAACAAGTCGGGACGGCTGACAGCCCATCACCGTGGATCGCCTCCCTCCACCACCTGCTCCGGGCCTAAGGCACTTGTCACCACAGCAGACTAGCACGGATTACCATGATCAAGCTCCAGGACGGTGGTGACAGGTGGGACAGGGGCTGTTTGAGCATGAGGGGGGGGGGAGGTTGACGTTGAGGTTGAGACTCATCAGGTCGAGCCAGATTGAGGCTGTTCGATGGGGAGAGTGCCTGTCACGAACCCAGCCCAGGGCGGATCAAACCTTGTGTTGGCCCGGGAAATCAATTGCGACCGCGGAAAGGACAGGCCTTCCGGAAATGAATCTCCCTCGTGCTCAACGACGGGGTGGCAGGGCGGGCAGGCATATATGGTTTGGTGCTGGCTGGGCTGGCGGTGCTTGCTCGGGAAGGGGTCCATGGTCAGGTCGACTACCAGACTAGCAGGTGGTTAGCCTGGCAAGCCTAGGTTAGTTAGTCTAATGTGTAGGTGTGGGAGGAGGAGACGAGGAAGGAAGGAAAGGGGGTGAGGTGGGGGTGGGGGAAGGGAGGAGGCAGGCAGGCCGGCCCTGGGAGCGCGGGGTTGCTTGCATGACAACCCCAGCAGAGACGGTGCAGCCCAATGGCATCTGGATGCTGCCCTACACAATGCCGTGTCCCGCTGGTCTATTCCCAGTACCGCCTAGACGAGCAGGTATCTAATTGCAGTATGGCAGCATGTGGTGCCCAGCAAAGCAACATGTACTTGTGGGCAGCAGGCCAAATTGCACAACACAGGATTGGTCATTTATTGGCGGTGCTCCCTCAGTGCTCCCTCAAATCATTACTATTCTGGTACAGATTGAAACCGATGTACCCAGACACACATGACATGGTGTACAACACGAGCCAGACGGACCACCTTGCTCACTCTGAGCTCATCCTCACTCCAGCCGGGTTTTTGTCATCCACGATACATGGCGGGATCCATCTCGAGAAGTATGGGACCGACCAACAGATAGACGAGTGAGGGATTTCTCTACAGCACAGCATGTTAGGTGGCGTGCTGGCGTGCTGGTCTACCCCGTGACAGGTAAAGGCGCGGCTAGGACTGCTACTTTGGAAGCGCGAAATGGGGCCGAGAGAAGCCTGAGAAGGCGGAATACCACAGCAGATATCGCCAGGATGCGAGGGCGACGCTGGGATATCCTTGCGCTCCCACGTTTTCAAGCTCCCTGCAGGCGGCGGCAGCACGAGTAGCAGGTAACGGTGACGGTAACAGTGACATGGAGGAGCTCGTCATGGCTGTTTGTACACCGCAACTTGGCCGTCTGGCCGCCCTGGCCGTGCTGTCTGGTCGTCGCATCTCGAGGGGGGATCGGAGCGGGCGTTGCTCTCGATATCACCCTGATTGGCACCGGCAGCACACCAGCGCAGCAGCATTTAGCAGTGCTTCTACGAGTGCCAGTAGCATCGATAGATACATTCCTATGACGACGCTGCTCTTTTCTAAACTGCCTTTGTCTCTGTGCCTCTCCAAACCTCTCCCTCCTCTTCCTCCCTCTCCCATCTGGCCCTCCATCTCATCTTGAACCTCAACCTCGGCTGGGATTCCGACCACGAGCACCACCACCACCACCACGAACCACGACTTTGATCTCTCCCTTGGGTTCGCCCTGGACTTCGCCCTGCCGTTTTACGTGGTCGGCCATCCTCCGACAGCTGGGCTCCCCGTCTGGTCTCCTCAGTCTCCGCGTTTCCTCTTTCTTTTTTTTTTTTTGTGATGTCACGCGTCGGTGGCCGTCGCAAATCCCCGTAGCGCCGGCGGATTTATTGCATTTCCAGTGTGGACTTACTCGCGGCCCAGCCCACGCCGGTCCCGGTCCCCTATTAGCACGACGAGCGAGTACCAGCGCCAGCATTAGCAAACAACGACGTCCGGGCTTAGGGGTCTAACTTTGGTGCTCGACAAACAATTCCTCCACAGGGCTAGCCGCTCTCTGCTTTGACGTTTTGACTTTGACCACGACGCCGACATCATATTGTTCAACGTTCTGCTCATACTGCCATCACACGACAGCCACTTGCTTCCCAGGCCCCAAGCCCCAAGCTGCAGGCCAATCAATCCCGTCTCACTCGGCTCCGTCAAAACCTCGAGGCGCAGCATACACCCAGTTGTCACCCATCGTCATCCTCATTTCCGCCGCAACAACACGGCTCGGCTCGGCAACGGCAACGGCAACAGCAACAGCAATAGCTCCAGCACCGGCACCAGCACCGGCACCGGCAGCAACAGCAACAACAACAACAACAACAACAACAACACAACAAGGCACTACCACAAATTACAACGTCGACGACGATCCCTCTGCCCAGGCGCACACCTGATACATCACGTAGTGCCCCGCCCACTCCGATCCTCGCCCCGTGCCTCCTGCTCTTCCCTGTGCGTGCAGTCCTGTACGTCCTGTACGTCCGCCCATCTATTACGTGGGCGAAACATCCTCATTTGACCGACGGCCGAATCGACGCGAACAGATGTGCCTGGGTTTTGTGGGCTGACCCACCTTGCTGCTGTCCTCTCTGCACTCTTGAATTGGAAAAGCCCAGGCCTGGCTATACACAGCAATTCCGCCCTGCTGCCAGCATCGTGACCAGCCGCCCCTCGTGCCATCCCACCGCGTTCCCCCTGCTGCCCCTCGTCCACACAGCATCTGCGCTACCCTTGGCTCCACCCCGCCATGGTACATACAACTCGAACTCCCAGCCAGGCCCCCAAAACATCGTGACCCGTTTACTCTTACTTTCCTCGCCCAGCTGTGCGGTTGCCGCCAACCCTATATCTAGCACGGAGACTCCCACGGTCGCCGTCCGGGTTCAGACCGTCCAACAGCACCGGCACCGGCAGCAACCTCGACAACAGCACCCAACACCACACGCCGGGTCGACGTCCTGCCCCCACCAAGCTGTTCCATTGTCAACCATCCAGGCCTGATATAGGTCGTGGCCATGTCCAGATCGTATCGCCACCATCTTGACACCAATTGCCGCCAAAAGATGGTTCGGCCGCAGTGCGCTCCGCGATAGGACACGCCCTTCCTCTCGGCGCTGGAGCGAGGCATACCGTCTACCGAAACTGCACACTCCAACACTACCAATCTCAACACACCTCACCATGCTGGGCAAGCTGTTCAACCTGGGTGCTGCCCCGGGTGCTTCCAACCAAGCTCAGCCTCCTGCTTCCAGACAGGTCTCGTCGCTCGAGTCCGTGCAGGAAGACATCCACACCCGCTCTCTCCTGTTCCCAGACGCCCAGACTCTGTACCAGCACCAGAATGACCAGGTCTTCCCTATGTCCAGCGCCTCTGCGCTGCCCATGTCGACCTCGGTCGCCAACCCCTACGACCTCGACGGGGACCTCGAGATCGAGGGCCGTGACGTCCGCGTCATCATCATGCAGGACACCTCGAGCTCGTCTCCGGCCTCCCTGCTTTATGACAGCCAGCGCCCCCAGATGCCCCAGGAGCCTTCACCCACCGAACGGCCCCAGACCATGGCAGGCATGTCTCAGGCCCTCCCACAGGATCCCCGCCGGTTCCCATCTTCACAGCGCAAGACGAGCACCGGCCAGTCTTCCAAGCCTCTTGTCATCCAGCCCGGGAGCCCGCAGCCGCGCCAGAGCGCGTTCGACAGAAGGGCTTCCATGCATAGCCGGACCCAGAGCAAGGCCGAGACGGAGGCACAGAAGGCCTTACGGGAGTACAAACAGGAAATCGACACGTTCGCCGGATGCATCTTTGGCAACAACGAATTTCTAGCCTACAAGGGGACTTCAACCAAAGTCCATGTGGTCCCCTCGGACATACGGAACGACGTGCCGAGCTCGGGTTTCGGGGACGGCAGAGGCTCCATCGGCAGGTCTGCGACGAGGACAAGCAAGCTGTCCCAGTCGTTTTCTTCCGAGTCAGTGCCTCCGTTCAAGCCATCGGTTTCTTCGCCATTGCCTCGGTCCTCGGATCGGAAGAGAGTGCTCATCACGCGGCTCTTCCCAGTCAGTATTCCTGCCGACGATACCCTGACAGGCACTCCCAAGGGGCGCTTTGCCGAGGACAGTTCAGGATTCCCGTTCCCGCAGTCGAGTGACGAGGCAAAGGCGAAAGCCAAGAAGGCACAGCTGAAGCAGAAGAGGACACCAATGTATGCGGTGGCTCTCATCATCAGCCTGCCGCCAGGCGTGCCTCAAACTGCGCCGGCCAGCGCATCTCGGTCGGCTTTCCGCGGTCCGAGCTCCTACAACGAGCAACAGGATTCATTCCCGTCGTCTTACAACTCTGCACGGCGGTCCGGCTGGGCGACTGTGGGGCCAGGCTTTGGTGGCTTCGATGCGTTTGAGGCGGGCTTCAATATGGACTCGGAGGAACGCATTGACGCCATCACACGGCATTGGGATGTCATTATGCGCAGCCTCACGTCTCTACAGTCTACCGTCGCCACTGAGCTGTTCTCGTTGCTGAAGCAAGCAGACATCTCGTCGCCGAACCCTGTGCCAAACTCGGTCTCAAGCCACATCTCCCGCGTGCCCTCGAACGCCAGCCAGAAGCCGCCCAAAACAAACACCAAGTTCATCTCTCTTCTCCCCAACTGTCTGGCAGCTGACAGGCTGGTCAAGTCAGAGGTGGATGCTGCGAGAGCTCGGATCGTGTCCGGTCTACGGGCCACCAGAGTCGTCACCGGGCAGAACCGGTGGGGAATCTGGCGCGAAGAGGCTCGCTGGGTGGAGAGGTGGGCTGGTGGGCGAGACCAGGGCTTCTTCTTCTTCAACCTGCTCACGGGGTTCCTCTCGGTGCACACGGACTGGTTGCAGGCTCTAAGTCCCTCCAGATACCGCAGGCAATTCTCGGCCCTGCAAAAGCTCAAGGGCGACGATGACCTTTCGCTGCCGGCTCGAACTATCGTCATCTCGCAGGATCGGGTAGCCGCGCGAAGGCTCATCTTCCTGCTTTCCGCTTTTCTGCCCGCCAACCAGCAAATGTCGTCGATGCGGACACAGCGGCCGCAGACGTCGGCTTCTTTTGGGGGCTTTTCACAATCCCCACCATCATTCATTATTCCGCTGACCAAGGAGGAATCCTTGCGCCGCAAGATCAATCGCCGTGGCGCCTCGAGACATGCTTCGCACTCGCGCACCACAAGCACATACACAACCAGTACGAAAGGTTCCGTGCCGGCTCATCTAGCCCATCTCAGCATGGACAGTCAGCACGGACGCAGGGCGTCTGATGCCGCGTCCATCAGAACAAGCTTGCCTCTCCACGGCAGTGACACTGACAGCCGGAAGGCCAGCGCCGCCACAACGGCGACCGTCACGCAGGAGAACAGCACCATCATCCCTCATTTCGCGACTCAGAACACGGAATCGCAAGTCTATGGTCATGCTGACAGCAGCATGGCAGCAAACGATCTGAAGCGCTCTCTGAAGCGAGGGGACAGCGTGTGCAGTTCTGACACCCAGACGAGCTCGCGCTGGGGAAGCGTGATCAGCGGACTTTGGACTACGCGGCGGAGGGAGTCTTCGCTCAGCACGGCACCGAACCGAGATTCGCCAGGCAGTCGGGACAGCATACCCGTGTCGCCGAGGAAGCCAGCATCGAATCGAAGGAACTCTCTCGGGAGGATGGTGGAGGAAGCCGCTGCTTTGGATCCCATGTCGCAAGCCAGGACCAGAGACTCTCCCAGGGGAAAAGACGCTGGATCGCCGCAGACTCCGGACGCTGAAGCGGAGACCGGACAGAGGTCCCGTGCACCGATCCCAATGGAGAGGAAGCCAGATCCAAGTGGGGCTTTCGAGTCGCCGGTCAAGACGACGATCAACCCCGAGGACGGCGTCATCGACGTTGATGTCCCGTTCCCGGACTTTATCGCCTCCTTCGAAACCGCGGTAAGCTCGCCGTCGAGCAGCGGCTATCTGTCGACGCCGGGCCTCAACGGCCTGGAGTTGTTCGAGCAAGCATGTCGAGTCGCTTTCGACGGAGATGTGCCGATGAATGTGGCAGGATGGCTACAGCGGTACCACCCGGATTTCATATTGCAGGCCATCCCACCCCAGAACGACCTACTGGAGCAGGTGAAAGCGTCACTCCGGGCCGAGCCAACCCCATGCTCGGCCATGCTGGCTGAAGGCAACGAAGAGAAGTGGGTGGATGTCAGCTCGGCCCTCATCGCAGACAGCACCGACTTCTCGATCCGGCGCATACGCTACCGGCGCCTCATCAAGCCCAAGAGCGGCGCCGAGAGGACAACACCGCTGCTGTCCTCTTCTGTCAACACGATGAGCTCGACCAACATGACACCACTGATCTCGCCATATGAGCAGCACCTGCAGGAGGACTTCGTCGAGGAGCCAATCGTCACGCTAGATGACACCCTGATCGAGGCAGTCGAACGGGTGATTGCCCACGGCAGCGACGTCAGCAAGGACAGCTCGCAGTGCTCCTCGCGGTCGACGAGCAAGAGAAGGGAAAGCTTTGCTGATCTCCTCGCCGCGGCCGCCGCGAGCACGGCAACGTCAACTGCCGGCCTGGCTGCCCCCGAGTCGGAAGTGCTCGAGGGCACCCAGCCGCGGAAGGGCTCCCCTCAGCAGGGCGAGGTGCCGCGGGGAGAATGCAAGACTGTGGTTCTGTCTGCCCTGGAGAACATCGCGAGGGATGTCACGCAGAAGAAGAGCGAGGGGGAAGACCTGGGGCGGGCCACTAGCGGTGGCCCGCGCAGCCGGGAGAAGGAGAGCGTGCTGAGAGAAGCGGTGCGCTCGTGGGTTGAAGGCGTGGAGGCCAGCATAGAGGCCGGCCAGTAGATACGAGACGGCGAGGGTCAGAAGTGAAGAGCGAACGGCATGTTAGTTGTGGCTGGATCGGGGTTGATGTTTGAGGATGGTTTAATGATACCCAGAGGTTGGATGAGCGTGAGCTGTTCAACATTGCATTTCAAGAGGGACAGGCAGATAGCCATGTTTAGGAGAAGACTGTGAGAGAGTATGTGTGTGTGTGTGTGTGTCTGTGTGCCTGTGTGAGACGGAGGGAGAACTCCGCAATACTCTGCGGCAGAAACACGCGGACCCAGGCAACTGGCTCGATAGGAGGATGACAGCATGCCTGGCAAACCTGAATAATATGACAAGACACCATCTCAGCCACAGATTCGGTGATCTCTGATATGACACATCATGCACGGGCTGGGAAAGCTGTCGGGCTCTGGGTGACGGGCTGCCTTGGCTCCGCCCACACGCGGCGGGTTAAACCCCGATCCCCGACTTGGGGGCCATCTCATGGCCCAAGGCGGACCCGGTGGCGCTCACTCGGCTGCGGTCCTTTCTCCACCACAGTAGTATCCAGACATTATTGTTCACGAATTCCAATTTCTTGACCGGAGACCACGGCCGTGCCTCACTGAAAGCAAGCTTATCACACTTTTCCCGGCAGCAGGGAGACTTTCGTACAGGGCAAACCGACTTTCCGGGATCGCCATGATGCCTCGCCGGGGCAGAGACGACGTACCCCAACCGATCCTTCACCCCATAGCCTCGCATGCGACCTTTGACACGGCAGCACCGGCACCAACTCCACCAACGGCGCCACAGCCGCCTTCGGCCTCGGAGCAGCAGCAGCAGCAGCAGCATGGCGGGAAAACGTCAAGGTCGGAACCGCCGCCGCCGGACCAGCTCTCCTTCTCCTACCTCCGCTCCCGGAAACTAGAGCCCTACCTGCCGCCGCCCGTGGACGAGCACCACCCCCCACCCTCGCTCACACTCACCCACAACTTTGCGCACCCCCCACCCCCACCTCCCGGGCATCAACACCAGCATCAGCATCACCACCACCAGCATCACGCAGGGGCAGCGCAACAGCAAGCCTCGTCCCCAGAGTCCCCAGCACCCTCAGCCCACGACGACGACGAGGAGGAACAACAACAACAACAACGCCACCACCACCCCCATCACCACCATGAGGGAGACCACTCGGACCACGACGAGGGTGAGGAGGAGCACGACGACGACGAAGAAGAAGAAGAAGAAGAAGAAGAAGAAGAAGAAGAAGACCTCGACTGGAAGCCCCGCCCCTTCATAACCCTAACCTACGCGCAGTCCCTGGACTCGGCCATAGCGTCCTCCCCGGGCGCCCGCACCGCGCTGTCCGGCCCCGCGACAAAGGCCATGACGCACTTCCTGCGCAGCCGGCACGACGCGATCCTCGTGGGCGTGGGGACCGCCGCCGCCGACGACCCGGGGCTCAACTGCCGGCTCGAGGTCGAGATGAGCGGGGGCCACCAGCCGCGGCCCGTGGTGGTGGACCCGGCGGCGCGGTGGGAGGTGGGAGAGGGGAGCAAGGTCGTGCAGCTTGCGAGGGAGGGGAGGGGCCTTGGGCCTTGGGTGCTCTGTGCTGAGGGGGTTGTGCCTGACCCGGCGAGGGTGGCGGTGTTGGAGGGCGTTGGGGGGAGGTATATTGCTGTTGAGGGGGCGAAAAGGGCTGGGAGGGGTGGGGGGAAGGAAGGGGAGGGGAAGGAAGTAGGAGGGGATGAGGGAGAGGAGGAGGAGGAGGATGAGGATGAGGACGGGTCAAGACCGGTGTTAACGTGGGACAGCATCTTCGGCCTGCTGTGGGAGGAGGGCATCAACAGCGTCATGGTCGAGGGAGGGGCAACCGTCATCAACGACCTGCTGCTGCTGGCGAACGAGGGTCTTGACGTGGTGGACTCGGTCATCGTCACCATCGCCCCCGTGTGGCTGGGCGCCGGGGGCGTCACGGTCGCGCCGGAGAGGCCCGTCGACGCGCACATGCGGCGGGTGCCGGGCCCGAGGCTCACGGACGTCATGTGGAGCCAGATGGGCGACGACATGGTGCTCTGCGGGAGGATTATGCGGTAACTGGGGAAGAATCAAAATGATACATTGGTCGTGTGCTGGCTGCGTGTCTATGAATACCCGGTAGGGATGCAGCCTATGCCGCCAATGCTGTCTATGCTTACGTTGGTTGGTGTTGTCATTATTCATCATCACATCATTCAGAGCCCCCCAAGGGAGGTGTGGGGGGGGGGGGTTGTCCATTCCATGCACAATGCTCCTGCCCATTCACAACCGTCCCCTCCACCTGATCTCAAGCCACCGAAGAGGGAAATAGCACAACGCCGTGACCACAAACGCCGATTCGAACCCGATGTCCCCCGTCTTCTCGGCAATCGGCCCCGTGTACCACGCCTCCGCCATCCCGGGGACCACCAGCCCGAAGCTGATGATGCTCGCGAGCAGCGCGGGAATGCCGGTGGGCAGCTCCCTGCCCACATTCCAGATGGCGTGGTCGTACGAGGAGTATTTCATCCTCCGGAACACGACGAGCTCCCCGATGAGCACCGCGTCAAAGCAGCCGGCCCAGTACCCGATGAGGGCGAGGAAGTTCTCGAGGCTCTCCTCCCACTCGCGGGCGGCCTCGATGGAGCAGGGGATCATGACGGCGAAGGTGGCGACGATGAAGAAGAAGCGGTGCACGCGCGCAAAGAAGGGCACCAGCATCTGCAGGTTGAGCGCCACCGAGTACATGGAGATGGCGATGTTACCAATAACGCTGAGCGCCAGCAGCACCAGCACGAACTTGCCGAACCCGCCCGCCGGGGACAGCATCTCGGCCACCACGCCGCCGATCCCCAGGGACTCGTACGCGGCGCTCCACTCGGGCACGTTGGGCACCGCGCCGCCGATCGCGGCGCCCAGGATCAGCAGCGGCACCGACGGGGTGAATATCCCCAGGTAGTAGCTCGCGAAGACGACGGGCTTCCTGATGGCGCGCGGGTCGTGGTAGATGGAGTAGTCGGAGACGGTGCCGCCGAAGGTGAGGAAGTAGCCGGCGATGAGCCCGCCGTACGAGAGCACCTGCTGGACCGTGGCGGGCGGGACGTCCGACTGCAGGCGGAGCTTGGCCCCGCCGCAGCCGACGGCGATGACGATGGAGACGAGGTTGGGGATCCACGTCCAGGCGTTGAAGACGTGCAGGGCGCGGTAGCCCATGAGCGAGGCGGCGAAGCTGCAGAGGCACACCACCACGATGCCCACGTTGTCGCTGACGGCCGACGGGTTGACGGCCGCCAGCGCCTGCCCGCCCACGATGGCCGCCACGAGGGAGAACCCGATCACCGTCGCCGCGTTGAGCAGCAGCGGCACCGTCGCCAGGTACAGCCCGAACGAGTACCGCGCCTGCACCTGCTGCCGCAGCCCCGTCTGCGTGCCGCCTATGCCGAGGAACGAAGGCGGGATCACGGTGACGACCGAGAAGAAGAGGATCACCAGCGCCGCGTCGCGGAGGCTCATCCCGAAGGAGAGGGTCGCCAACATGCCGGTGGGTAGCCTGGGGAAAGTAATTAGCTAAGGCTCATAGCTTTCATGATTTGTAAGGTGCGTATATTACGGTAGAAGACACATCAGCGCGGTGAACATGACGGTGAAGAGGTTGTAGAACCGCCGGTCCGTCCTCTTCTCGATCGGCACCGGCTTGATGCCGTTCTCCTCGACGCCGACGTCGAGGATCCTCTGGTACCACTTTGGGTTCTTCTCCGGATGGCTCTCGTAGACCTCGCCATCGTCGACCTTGAGCATCGAGACCAGCTTCCCGTGGCGCTGGTACTGGCCGTGCCCCTCGACCGTGCCATGCTTCTCGACGTCGCTGGCGTCCCCTGGGACGCCGGCCACTGCGGACGACATTTTCTTTCTCTTCCCTGTCTTGAGGGTGGGAGGGAGTAAGTAAGTCTGAGTCACAGGAGCGAAGCCCATAAGTGAGCGCCCAGCTAGACTAGATAGATACATGTACGTGCGTGGTTGTGGGTCCCCACCAGACTGCGTGGCGAGTGAGCAAGCAGACCCCGAGCAGTGTCGAAATTTTCGGGTAGATCTCGAAGCTGGCCACACCGCGGAAAGACGGGCCTCGTGGACCAATGTCTGCTTTATCGGGCCAATGGAGCCTCATCCGCTGGGTTCTGGGCGTCCGAAAGTAGAAATAGAAATCCAATGGCATATGCATAGGATTACTGAACTGTCAGGACGTGTCTGACCATCTCTTGCGAGCCGCAGTGGCGCCAATCGGCTCTCGGTGTACGGTAGTGTCAAGGTGGATAGTCGCCCCTAGTGATGCCGTAAGTCGGAGTCGACGGTCCGGCTCTTCTGTCTCGTCGAGGATTCGCTGAGGCGGCAGCCAGTGTTGTGTAGTAAAAGTGTAATTTCTAGGTAAGCACTCCATGAAAAGGTTCGCTATCCCTGGAAGCGCAAGGGATGGATGGAGGGCTAAAGCTTGAACAACGGCGACGGGAGAAGCCGAGACTACACTTCCAGACAGAAGGGGACGAAGCGGGACTGCTAAGTGCCATGGTTCCCTCTTGCTCTCTTTTTGGCGCCAGCCGTGGCTTTGAGCAGCGCGGAAACGACACCAGATACAGTCACTTCACCGTTTGCTAAGCCATGACCAATATCAGCCACGTTAGTATTGCAACACCACGATTCAATCCAGACATATCCGAGTCGTGGCCCTCGCGCTATTCGGCAGCTCTAGTCAGCTGTATCGCCTCCCTGTCTAGCTGTATGAAGCTCCTCAATCTTTACTCGCCGATGTCTGGGCCAAGGGGGGAGACCACCAAGACTTTCTCGTCGGGGTAGCATCCTGATGAACACCAGAAGTCCCCGGGGGAGGCAGTCAGTCATGTCGTGTTGGAACAGGCTGATGTCAGTTTGGGGTCCAAACTGCCGGTCCTAAATTCAAACGATCCCAAATGGGTGTCCGGTCCAATTGGCTTTCACCGATCTGCCCAGGTGCATCTTTACAGGTCGTCCTAGGTGCCTAGGTCGCAGCTGGGCCTGTGGTGCGGGCGGTGACTGGGCACGATTCGAAGTTTAAATTTGTTCTGCAGCTGTTCTAGAAGAATGACGGGTGGCGTGTGACTGGCGCGACCGCAGGTTTATATTAGTCTACCGCTTTTCGCATGTCTCAACAGACAACGATGGGACTAGAATCCACCTAGACACCGTTCTGTCTTGTCGCACCGAATGTGGTAGTATTAATGAATTTACTGCAGTATAGATCCTGCAACTGATCGTTTCGCGTTGAACAATAATACGCCCTAGAAGCCTTGCAAAGGCTTCAAATTGCGCATGCTCGTATCTTGGGCATGGCCATCTGGACTCACATTACACATACTGCGCAATTGCGGTGCAGGCACTGCCCATTCCACCGAATGCCTTGACTCATGATCAGACAGATTACCCTTCCAGCACGCTCGAGGTGTTCGACGTACTAACACCTGGGCGGTCCCAACTCTAAATGCTCGGTGGTCAAGATAACGGCCGTTACGAATCCTTGTCTTGGGACTCATCAGCCTTTTCGGCCTCTTTGTCGGTCGCTTCTTGCTGAGCGTCCTCCTCAGGCTTGGTCGGGGATGGCTCATGATTTTGATCCGCAGCCTGCTCCGTAGCAAAATCTTGTCTGCTGGTTGTTGCGAGATCGCCCGCGCTCTCGGTAGAGCTTGGCTCCTCCGATTCTTCAGGCGCGCTAGCCTGGACCTCTTCCTCATCTTGAGCACTACTTTGAGCCGCAGCATCCGCGGCCTCTGCGTCATCGGTGTTACTCGATGCCTCTTCTTGTTGCGCAGGCTCAGAAGGTTCATCGGCCTTTGGGTCGGCTGCAGAGAGGCTCGGCTCCGCGTCAGACTTGGGTTCATCCTGGGACGCTGGAGTTTCTTCTTCCTCCGCAGCCTTCTCATTTAGCCCCTCCATCATGCCATGCTCGACAATGACGGGTACCTCTGTCCCCTCAGACTCTTCTACCACAGTCTCAGGTGTCGAGATGCGCATTTCCCTGAGCCTGCCGGAGACATCTGCGCTGTCGTCCTCATCTGCCTCCATCACTGTCGTCACAGCGCTCCCCGTCGACGGGCTACTTCTTATGTGCCGTCGAGTGTTGGTTCTTCCCGCTGGTAGAAAGTTGTCCTCGTCAGAATGCTGCTGGATTGTAGGTGTTTGCAGCTGTGACTGCTCCTTCTTGGTTCCCCTATCCGTAGACTCGGCAGCAGCCGCGGCGCTCTCCAGGCCTTCTGCCTCAGGGGGCAGTTTGTAGTTCTCAGCTGGTAATGTATCAAACATGTCGCAAACTGTCTTGAAGAAGACATATAAGCCGGTCTGCCCCTCTACAGACCAGAAGACGCCCCTGTGTTGGAACCACGCGTGGGCAAAGATACGGTGGAGGCGTCGGAAAACGTTGACGAGGTTCTTGACCGCGGTGTTCTTGTCGTGCCCAGAGCCGTCTCCACCAGACAACGCTACAAAGCGCGAGGGAAACACCTTGGGGTTCGTCACGACGTTGGCTGCCCAGTCGAGGGTGTGGCAACAGTAATCTATGGCGCAGCACGACTTGGGTTGCTCATGCACTGCGCACAGGAACTGCCATTCCGAAGCGCGCATCTCCGGGCACGTGTTGAAGCTGCAAGGAGGAGTGTCAAAGAGGAAGCCGACGATCAGGCTGTTGCATTGTGCGACGAGGAATCGACACAGCTCGTACAGCCACAGCGTCTTGTCAGTCGATTGTGGGGGTGTCGCCAGCAGAGTGGCGATCTCTCGGGTGATGGGTCGCGTGTTGTTGGCGGTGTGATAGTAGTGGAGGGCGGCCAGATGCTCTTGGAGCTGGAACGCGGAATCGAGCTCGTTCAAGGGCACAAGTGGTGGGCCGGCGGCCATGTCGGCGCTCTTGGTGCCAGGATGTATGCGTCTTCGCGAGTTGGCGTTGAGGATTGTCTGCTCCATCTGCTGCGACTCTTGATCTGCGGGTAAGCCTGGAGATTTGGGCCCGATCTGGATCTCGGCCGGGGGAGGAGGGCTAGGGAGACGAGGCGACATGGTAGCCATCTTGACACGGCTCCCGGCTGGGTGAAGCAACAAGACGCGACCGAATAAGAGAAAGGTGGCTTGAAGACAACCGATCGCGAGACGTCAGCCGATGGGAAACCGAGATTTGTTTTGGCCGTTCTCCCTGACCTCAAATGCACCACGATCGATGGATACCTGGGCCGTCTGCAGCAGATACGGGAGTTGTCAACTGTCAGAGGTGAGGCTCCACAGATGCGAATGTGAAGTTGTTGTCGATCGAAGACAGAGCTGCAGACTGCCTGCGGCTCAATCAAGCGAAGGTGGGCCCAGGCCTTTTTGGAGCTTCGAGTTCTCGGGTCTCACAGCGCGGAAGGTCTGGCACGCTGGATTCGCCTTAGCTAAGCGCGCTTACCCCTGACGCAAGCTTTATCGATAATGTCGCGTGGGCCGGCTAAGCTTTGGGCTCCGGGCTGGCTACAGTGGGGTTGCCATGACATAACATGACAGTGGGCATTTTGTCACTGCTTTACGACCAAGCCTTTGCGGATTTGTACCTGTCAAGAGCAGGGCGCTGCAAAACCCGGTAAATACCGACCAAATTTGAGAGCCTCTCACACTTACGAGTCAACAGTAACCTCTCCTTGCACGACACTTTCTCGTCCAGGAAATTTGCCCTTAACCCTCTTTCTTCAACGCAACAGATATCATGGACTGGGACGATGACGCGCCTCCCGACCTTGTTGAAACTGCTCATGCTTTGATAGAGGAAGAGGTCACTGTCAAAGTTCCCATAACAATAGTCACCGGTATTCACTGATGGGCCACAAGACCTTTTCGCCGGCGGGACTGGATAGCATCGGCTGACCTCATCGGCCGTAGGATATTTGGGAGCGGGCAAGACAACACTCCTGAACTATATCTTGACAGCTCAACATGGCAAGAAAATTGCCGTCATAATGAATGGTCTGAGAGATTCACGGCGCCGTGCCGATATATCCTATTTGTGAACAAGTTGCTGACACGAAGTGTAGAATTCGGAGACTGTATGTGCTCACCAAATCGCGTGTTGTTGAACTCATATTGACCAGTCGTCTAGCGTTGGACATTGAGAAGTCACTCACTGTCAACAAAGATGGCGAGTCTGTAGAGGAGTGGCTAGAGGTTGGAAATGGCTGCATCTGCTGCTCGGTCAAGTAAGTCAGCAGTTACAGCATAGATGAGAGTGGTCCCATCTCACAAGGCGAACAGGGACACCGGGGTCAATGCGATTGAGAGCTTGATGGCGAAGCAAGGAAAGTTCGACTACATCCTGCTCGAGACGACTGGTCTAGCAGATCCCGGGAACTTGGCGCCCCTGTTCTGGGTCGACGAAGGACTCGCCAGCACAATCTACCTCGACGGCATCGTCACCCTGGTCGATGCCAAGAACATTCTCAAGAGCCTCGATGACCCTGCGGGCAAGGTCGACGGCCACGACGAGAGCGACCATCACGGCCCTGTCATGACGACGGCTCATGTCCAAATCTCCCATGCCGACGTCATCGTGATCAACAAGACGGACCTTGTGAGTGAGCAGGAGCTTCAAGCTGTCCAGGACAGGATCAGGTCCATAAATGGGCTCGCAAAGATCCATATCACCAAGGAGAGCGCTGTCCCTCGGCTGGAGGGATTCCTGCTCGATCTCCACGCTTACGAAAACGTCGTGGAGCTTGACAACTCCAAGGGACATAGTCATCTCGATTCAGTCAGTCATTTCTCACCATTTTCCCCAACGACTTTGCTGCTGCACACCACGATATTTGTCTGAAACCCTCGCTGATACCTTGAAGACCATATCAACAATATCCATACCACTCCCGGTGCTCGATACACAGCAGGTGGGCAGGGTAGATGCGTGGCTGCGGTCAGTTCTCTGGGAAAGCGTACTGCCGAATGACAGCGATGAGCACAAGGAGCCTTTCGAGATACACCGTCTCAAGGGACGCCTGGTGATACAAAACGGTGGGACAAAGATAATACAAGGTGTCAGAGAGCTATTTGAGATCTTCGATGGTCCGTCTGGGGACCATGAAGGCGCGAGTGAGTCAGGCAAGGTAGTCCTCATCGGCCGCCATGTAACAGACTTCAATTTCCAGACGAGTCTCCTGGCAGCTATTGCCCAACCTGAATGAAAAGAGCTTTCTGGGTGCCAATGATTAATTCAAACATATTGAGATACGTGATAATTTCCCTGCTTCCGCAAATGTTGGAAGTCATGAAATTTGTGCAACTGAAGAATTTATGAGAAAGGCAGTAATGAGTCGAGAAGATGCCGTGGAGGTGAGGCTGCAGTCCACCTGAGCGGATCTGCGGAGCCATCACTCAAAGAGCCTAGCGCATCACCAGCACCCTTGTTTCCCCAATCTAAAGGCCTGAAGGTGCCTTCCCTGGTGGGGGGTGACTGGATACCCGGGCACTGAGTGAAGAGTCCGTGCGCTTGCTCTGCATGGTCTGCGGCGGGAACTTCTTTGCTGGAGTTCGTCCTGGGCCTCCTGGTAGAGGCAACCTCAACTGCACTCTACCAACTCCGCGACGAACCTCACCCATCCCACACCAGCCCCAGCGCGATATCCGAAACACACATTCCCCGACAATAGACACACACTGCGATCCCTACAAGCATCTATTTCCACATAAGCCGTTGGGAGGACATTAGGAAAGAGCTGGCAACCATGAATAGGACAGGTACGATGATAGCGAACTGCCTTTGCACCCACTCGGTGCCGGACCCTCTGTCCCTGTGCTCAACAAAATCTGGAACTTGGACCAAGTCAGGAGCATCCCGTCCCATTGGGACGCCGCTGCTATGTGCTTGACCCTGTCAGGAACTACGTTCACCTGTTCTGGTCGTTGGGAGACAGCTGGCCTCTGGTGTTGCGCCCAAATGGAGAAGCTGCGATATCCTTGGTCCATGGCCGTTTCCAGTCAGCTTTATCTCGTTGGCTTTGGAACCCATGGATCATGGAAATGTTGCTCCAGATGTTCTGACCCCTGGGATGAGACTACATCTGTCTGCGCACTGCATCGCATCCAACCGCGTCGTGTCGCATTGCGTGCGTCAATGGTCAAACAGACAGCTAACAAAGGTCGTGTTGGTTAGGTACAGTTCCTCAATCGATGAGAGGGATGCCAGGCGGCTTTGGTGGAGGTCAACAATCACAACATGCAGGAAGGGCTGGTGGAAACAGGTTACCGAATGGAAAGCTGGGTAAGGGACAAAGGCCCTCAGGTTGTGCCTCACAGTGGTGCTGATGTCTGCAGCAATACCAGTGAATAACGCGTCTGGCTGGGCTTTCGGAGGAGTTGGTCCTATGAGTTCAGGAGGCATCCAAAATCCCACAAGGCAGCTGGGAGGGAGTGCAACTTTTGCCCAAAGCTTAAGCGGCTCGACACCTGCCACACCACTCGACCTGTCGTAGGTGCAACCACCAACGCCCCACCGCCTTTCCTTCTGTACCAGCTGTAGGGCTCTCAGTCCATGGCTGTTCTTTCCTTTACTAGTGTCGCTTCACTTGCCGGGGTCCCTGCTTTTCTTCCCCCCTCGCATAATGACGCTCCCATCTACCTTCAAGCCAAAGTTGGTGACAAGGTTGAAGATGTCAGCCCCTCCACCAGCACCAGCAACATCAGGCCCGCCTGACACGATGTGGTCTCGCATTGTTTCGGGTGATGCCAAGAAGATCGAGGCCAAGGAGAAGAGCGAAGCCAAGGGAAAAGGCAAATCGAAGCAGGATGGCAACGTCTGGTCTCAACGAGCTTCTGGAGATCTCAGCTCAGGCGGCGACCAAGGGTACCATTGAACTCCTCAAACTCATCCCCACAAACAAAACAACGCACAAACACACACATGCGCGCACATGTACCAACCCATAACCTGCCATCTTGCTTCTTCTCACTCACGCGAGCACAAACGCGATCAGGTTTGCTACAGGAAATACTGACATTCCCATCACAGGGAATTTCCGCAACTGAGCAACAATGCACCGTTCGCGGGAGCCGCAAATCAGGGTCTTTGGGCAGGACAAGCTGCCAGGAACCTTGGAGGGCCTGGAAACGGCCCCAGAACCCCGGCTTCTGCTATGCCTCAAGCCCAACAAGACGACCTGTTTTCTCCCTCGTCTAGACTTCCGTCTAGTCAGAACTCATTTCGATTTGGTAGCCAGGCTAGTATCGGCCAGGCGCAACAACCCCAGCCCAGTGGCGGTGACGAGTTTCCACCACTGAATAGGAACGGCAACGGTGAAATTGGTCAAGATCGAGTTGCAAGTCTCATGTCGGGGCTGAATCTGGGCTCTCAGGGGCAAGTCGCGTCGACACAGGCCAGGGGCTCTGGCAACGGACTTCTCAATGCGGTTACGGCAAACACTCGTGCCTCTGAGGCCCGATCGCCAGTTGGTACGGTTGATTCCGAACTCCGACTTCCCTTCCACATCTCACTGAACTCCCTGCAGGTACTCGACCATCAGAAGGACGGTCCTCGATCACTGAGGATGATGCGCGACAGAAGTCCGCATTCCGTGAGGATGGCGCTGCCCCCCAACCGCCCCTCTCGGACGGACCCAGTCAATCTACTGAATCCCGGAACCCTCTCCGTGCTATTGGCAACGACGCCTCAAGCGGCAAGGGTGTTGAGCCACCCGCTGAAACTTCGACCTCCACAGCTCAAGAGCCTCTTGCTGGCATGTCAGAAGCAGACAAATGGGGCATAAAGGGCCTATTGACGCTGATGGCGAAATACCCTTCCTACCACGCCCTAGTCCACGGTCTGAATCCTGCGGAATTGGGTCTTGATCTGAGCAGCGAGGCGTGAGTATCACCATCTCCTTGGTTCCAGGAGACTCTGTGGACTAACATGATACCATGACAGTCGCATTACCGAACAGACTTTCTCGCTCACCAGCCACGAACCACCAAAGCCACCACAGCCAAAGTTCAGCCTTCCAGAGTGCTATACTGTCCGGAACACGCAGCCCATTGAGCAGAAAATGCCAAACTTCACCGAGGAGACCCTGCTTTACATGTTCTACTCTAGCCCGCAGGACAAGCACCAGTACCTGGCGGCACAGCAACTGTAAACCTGCCTTGAGTCTGCCTTCTCGTCATCTTCGCTAACGTGTGTGCAGGTACCAGCGCGGTTGGCGTTGGCACAAAGATCTTCGTGTGTGGCTGACAAAGGATGTGGAGATGCAGCCAGTAGCGGTCAGCCCAGAAGCTGAGCGAGGATATTACGTGATCTGGAACGCCGAGACTTGGGCGAGGATGAGGGTAAGTTCTGTCGCATACGTGCTGTGATCTTGTGCTGACCCCATCGCAGCAAGAGCTCACCCTCTATTACGCGGACCTCGAGACCTTCCCCGAACTCCCTCCAGGGCCTCATTCCTAGGGGCCAAAATGTGGGCCTAACGGTGTTCCCGGAATGTCCTCGCGGTCCTGAGTGCGATGCACAACGAACGACTTTGTTTCACGCACTGTACCTACTTATGCTTCAGACCAGTGCCACATGATGGCAGTTCTACAGGGTATTCTTTCTGGCCAACTGGACATCTTCTCAAAAGCAGGCAGAAGGGCTGACGGATGATTTCATGTTCTGGTAACCTGCATTTGCAAAGGCGTATCTCGTAGGGGGCTACGATATGTGTCTTCGGAGGGTCGGTCCCCAGGCTAGGACGAACAGGCTTTAAGGAATTTGGGTCTTGAAAATGCTCTTGCCAACAGGGTTCTCTGGCAGGAAATAATGAAACGAAGAGAGTATTTCTCGTGGACATGAACAAGTCCTTTGCCGATCACTTTGACTGAAATTGAGTTGATGCTTTGTGCAGATGTGTGATGACAGGCGGATTCGCATCCAAGTTGGAACTCCGTTCTCCTTGAACCCGAACCCTGCCAAGCATGGTATGACATGGGGACGGCCCCACAGAGCTAAAGTACCTAGGTATGCACCTCCACCAAGCTATCGGGCCCGAAAGCTGTTCTGTCGCGCCTGGCTCCAGCGTCATCTCCACCATCATTGCCGTCTCACGGAACCGAAGGCTTCGAGCTCAGCATCCTTCCTCGTGTCGATACCACCACCGGAAGGTCACTGGGTAGCCAGTGATATCCTACTCGATCTATGAACTAGATCCCACAGAGAGTACCAACGACTCGCAGCGGCCGCGTATCGGAACGAGCACGGGCAACCTGGGCCACGTGTGTGCACCCGACCAGAACCAGGTGTCTCCTCGAAAGGTGACCAAGCGATCGAAGTCGGCGTTAATTCCCCGTTCGGGTTGTCGAGGGGTCCAAGGACCAAAGCAATTGCAAAGCAAACATGGCCAACGATCAGATCAACCTGCCATCGCTGGTGGTGATACTCGTCCTGTCGGGTCTGATCGTACGGTACCTATTCTTCTCGTCGCCGCCCGGGAACCAGCAGCCGCGCGACTCTCTCTCGCAGATGAGGCAGCGCGAGGCCGCCGTCGAGAGGATACAGCAGATGTTCCCGCAGGTGGACCGGAGGACCATCCTATGGGACCTACAGCGCAACGGGGGCAGCATCGCGGCTACGACGGAGAAGATACTCTCCGGGAGGATGGAGACGGTAAGTGCTATGGACTCCGTTTCCCTGACGGAGGGATTTAAATTGCGAACAAATCTGACCCCTTGTCCAGCCACCGATCACCTTCCAGCCCCCGCCCCCACCGGGCTCCAACGGAGCGTCGTCGTCAGCATCGCAGCCAGGCTCCCGGAAACCAGCGGAAAAGCCGGCGCAACCGAATTTGATCCAGAGGTACAACCTGGAAGACAAGGTCAAGCAGCAGCAGCAGGGGGGGGATGAGTCATCTGGGGACGCAGCCGGCAAGAAGGCATGGAGCAATAGCAAGGACGAGCGGCAGTCGCTGCTGCAGAAGAGACGGGACGAGATGATCCTGGCTGCGAGACGGAAGATGGAGGCCAAGATCGCGGCCGAGAAGGCCGCGTCGGCGACCGGGTCCCAGTAGGGGGAGAAAACGGTAGTGATGGGACGGGGCATGGGTGCGTGGGATGTGCGGTATTTCCAACTCGAAAACGTCACGCATTTTGCTACACTGATCGCGCGGCGAGGCGTAACGGTTACTAGGATCGACAAACAGGTTTGCAGGGCGAATGGATTCTGTTCTGGACATTCGTTGTACCTTGCGGCATTGGGCGGGGACAGGGTCATATGTCTCTGTCGTCTGTATCACTACGGGGGCGAAGGGGGGGGGACAGGCTACGTCGAGATGCATTCCTGAACACTCGGATCTGCTTAGCTGTTATCGGAGTCACCTGGGCAACTGACTGGCGGTGGTTGGGTCAACTCTCTAGTAGTCTGCACAGTACATGGAACCTCTCAGCTTGTCAACAGAACTAGACTAGTAACAGCAACCAGCCCACCTCATCGCGCCAGCTGGTGGTGGACACTGCAAACGGAAGCCGATCTCACGCAGAAAATGTGCGCGAGTGCAGGTGGTCTGTGGTGGGTGCATGACCTAGTCCCAAGGCCTCATCAGAAGAAGAAAGGAAAATATCGTCAACATTAAAGTCAAAATCCCGTCCATGTCGTCCGAAGAGGCAGACCCACGTGCCCCCTTGGCCGTCAGGGGGCTCTTTGAGCCTCGAGCCCAGCGGCCCGCCGAAATACGATGGTGCCCCGCTATGATGCTGCAGCCGAGATAAGGAAAACTGGGTCACAGCAACAGCGAAAACAGGTGGATAGCTTTTTAGGAGGCTGCATTCCATCCCAATCCCATGCCCGGGGGACCCCCATTTTCACATGCTTCCTGTACTCAGCTTGCGTGCTGCTCGCCCGCCACTGCCCGCGCAGGGGTCTGGCTTGTAGACATCTGACACCAGTTCGACCACGCAAACAAAAGACAAAATAGACTGGACAGGGAGAGAAGACAAAAAAAAAAAAAAAAAAAAAAAAAGAGTCTCAAGGGCCTGACATGGGCACAGGCCGGCACCAATCATGCGTTAATTTCCAGAGACTCTGCAGTCCCTCTCACGCAACTGCATTCACCATTTGTCTGACGTCCCACGGACACACGCACGCACATGCAGGTGCACTGCGCTGCGCTGCACTTACATAGCTACTCTGCACGCCTGCTAACAAGGTCCGCCTAGGTTGGGGATTGCCCAGTCCGGGCCGCAGCTAGTGAGGCACTACCTTCGTCTCAACGGTTTTCTCTGCCTCATCTCATCCCGCCGAATCCGTCCTCACTTCTCATCTGCCTCCTCCTTCTATTCCGCTCTCTTCTCTGGTGATCCCCTTGATGCCGTGTCACATGTTGGCTGGTGATACGAGACACCCCCAGGGCCTGGTCGAGATTATTCCGGCCATCTAATTGAAGTCAGGGGCCCGTTCTTGCCGGTCAGTGACCATGTTGGGTCCGCCTCCCGAGCCATAGACGTTACTCCCACGCGGCGCCTCAAAGTGACCTTGATGGTCGACGGATTGGTCCACAACACCCGCAAACCTTGATTATATCTATCTAGTGTCTCGAGCTGCAGTGACACCATGCATCGACTACCGCAACCTGTTCCTGTCTCCGGCAGGGACGACCTCGAATTTGACCGTGCCCAGCAGGCGGCGCCCACCATCACCACACACCACCACCGCAACTTTGCTCCCATGGCCTTCGAGTCCTCAGACCCCGAGGCCACCTCTCTCACCTCCCTGTCAGACATCATCGACAACCTGCCATCCGCCGTCAAGAGCAGCCTCGGGCCCCTCAACACCATACGCCGCTCTGTGAGCATCCGCGGCTGGGCCTCGTACTTTTATGAGATCTCGTCAAACACAATGGGTGCCACCGCGTCCCACCTCGAGGGGCCCTCCGCCGGCGCCGCCTCGCACCGCACCACCGTCGTGTCCAGGACCACTAGTACCACCGCAGTCGAGATGCAGCAGCACAGCAACCGCGGCGAGAAGCGCGTGGCCGTCCCGGCGCATGCGCAGGCACACACACATAGGCGGCAGCCGGAACCGCCGATCTACGAGGAGCCAGACCAGAACTTTGGCATAAATCGGTTCTGCGGCCTACAGGGTAAGAACTCTATTTTCTTTCCACTCACCTCAACAGCATTATGCATGAGGGAGGCTGACTTGCGAAATATAGGCCAGCTGCTGGTCAACAACGCTCTGTCGGAGGGCAGGCCATCGACGGTACACGGCCACCCGGCCGCCGGCAGGATCGACCGCAAGGCGTACGTCCAGGGCGTCGCCTGGCTGGTCCACGGCTTGCCGGACGACCTCGACAAGCACGAGAGGACGGAGCTGATACGGGCCATGCCGCCGGCCCTGCTGGAGGAGGCCCACAGGACGCCGGTGTCCCAGCAGCCAGCGACCCCGAGGCCGCCCTACCCGCCCTCGTCGTCTTCAGTCTATGGGTATTTCGGAGGCGGCAGCGCCGGTGGCGTCGGCGGCGTGGGCGACGCGGGGTTGGCGCTCGCGCAGAGGTTCGCGCGCGCGATCGTCGTGCAGCTGCTGGTGCCTCTGCACATGCTGTGGGCGTACGTAGTACTCCTGCTGGGCCGGGCGGTCCAGCTCGAGCGCGAGTACAAGGTCGCGGAGCAGGTTGTGAAGCACTCGGGCGAGCTAGGGTACGGTGTGGGGCGGGGAGGGGTCAAGCTATCCGGTGTGATATATAACCACGGCGGCCAGGGTCGGACACCTTGTCACCAACGTCGTGGCTTACACCGCCGACGGACTCGTCAAGGGGATCAGTGATGGGATACGCGAGGCGAGGACGGAGAGGAGACGGGTTGATGGGGAGGACTAAGCCCCCTCTCCTCTTTCTTGCGGGGAAGTTCTGGGTTCGGTTTGCATAGAGGCGGGTGGGCTGCTTGCTTTTCTATCTGCGTTGATATATTTTGCTTCATACTTAATAGAATTCCGCATAGAAGCGAAGAGGCCGTTTCACGGAGAGAAGTAATTCCACACCCTCCCCAAATTGTGTCTCATCCTCTGTCAGAAAGAGCCGTTAGCCAGGCCAATGCCGAGACCCGGCGCGGGCTGTACGCTCGACTGGATCTTCAGCTTCTGGTCAATCACCCTGTGCTCCCAGTACACGGGCAGATAACGCTCGACGGGTTGCACGTCGCCCTCCACAGCACCGAGTTCTCGCACCACCGACGCGCCGGGTCGTCCTCCCTGAAGACGAAGAAGAACTTGTCCAGGGACGAGGCGTCTGCCTCCTTGACCTTGGCCCTGCGGAGACTCATAGGCAGCCGCAGGCTCACGGCCTGCCAATAGTCGGGAGCGTTGTTCTCGATCACCCGCGCGTTCCGTCTTGGCCCAGCCGTGGTGCTCGCTGCCGTTTGACGCAGTCCCTGAACGCGTGTGCCGACGAGGCGTGCGCGAACTCGATCGGCAGGGCTTGGTCGAGGCCGATAGCCGTGGAGATGGAGATGGGGATGGCGTGCCTCATATAGGGGTCACACATTTTCCCCGGGGAGAGTGGGCCATGCAGCATCTTGAATGCGCTCTTTCGCTCGTGTCCACTGTCTGTGGAAACGATTATGTCAACTTGGTGTCCGTTAGGTTTTTCTGGACTGTGCAAAGTCTTCTTTCCGCAACGACTTCATGTCAACCTGTCTGGCCATCCGTAACTCCGCAACCAGAACTCAGTCGTTGAGAAGGCCCCTTCTGAGTTGATCTCCATCATACAGAATTGCTCACGGAAGCCTCTGGTCCATGGTAATTCAATGAGTTCTCGATACTCCATGATCAAGGATTGTGTTCCTGTAAGTCCTGATGAGCTAGAGATTCAAGGAACGTACAATGCTGCCGTTGCCGATAATTATATTGGCAGAGTCTAGAAGCATTGAAACCTATGATGAAGCTCACTCATGAAGGCTTCTGTTCAGTGATTGTTTTTGGGCAATGCAGAAAGATAAAATAGTACAAAGCCTCCAACTTGAGCCAAAAACATGTAGAATTGCGCCTCGCACCAGATAAATTTGAGCCCCAGGACCAATTGTGGTCCATTGGGACCTTGAGAGGACTGAAGAGTACTACTAGACACAACTCAGTTGCTTTCATCGGTTGTAAATTAGGTTTCACAAGGAATTGGTATCGTTATGAAAACCGCTAGAGCTGGCATCCTCGGCCAGTTGCATGCCAGTGCTGCTTCACATCAAATATCGAGTGTTCTTGCTTCTATGTATCAATTCGGCTGGGGTATTTCTATGCGGATGGATCCTTTCATACATGAACACGCAGCATATTATAGTGCTACGACATTTCACATGCTATTAAGTGGTCAGTTCAGAAAATGAAATATCAACTAGACTGTATTTAACTCATGGTAGCGATTTCCGTAGGTCTAAAGGCACCTCAGTTGTTACACGCACATCCCTAACCCTGGTTTGCAACTACTTTCTAGAATGCTTAAATAGCTAAATTTCTTTTATTTCCTCCTTTTAAACTACTCTTAGGAGATAAATGCTTTTATAATTATACTTTTAAACCCCTTATAATACTTATAGCCTTTTATAATTATAAGCTTAGTTTATATAAAATGATCTTTCCTTTTTATAAGCTGTAAATAAGTTATATAAAGCGTGTTTTAATTATATTTATTTTATATTATTTATTTCCTTTTATTTTTAAGTATATATTTATATAATAGCTATAAATGCTTTTTTAAACCTTATTAATTAAGTAATTTATTTAAATATTTATTCTTTTTCTACTTAGTTTATTATATTATAATCTTATTACTAAATTAAAAAGTATTAAAAATTTATAAACCTTAATGTATTAAACGTAGCCTTTATTAAGTAATTAAATATAATCTTAAAATTAGATTTTTAATTTATATAGTATAAAAAGAAAAGAAAAAATATTTAAAAGGCTTTATATAATGAATATTAAGAGTATTTAAGTAATAATAAGCTTTTAAAAGATAAAATAGCACTTACTTTATTTTCTCCCTTATTCTTTAATAAATTGGAAAAGAAATATAATTAATATTTTTAATAATAAGTTGCCTTAGCTTTTAATAAAGCAATTAAATTTAATAAAAAATAAAAAATTTAAGAATAAATATAAAAAATAGTGTTTAGCTTAATTTTCTCCTTATATTTAGTTAAAATGGTAAATATAAAATAGTTCTCCATTTAATAAATAATTTAAAATATTAAAAATAACCTTATACCCTTTAAGTTAAGTATAATAAATACTCTTTGAATTTAATATTAATAATACTTAAAAAAAGCAAAGAAATTAAGTATTAAATTATAATAATAATATTAAGACTTTATAAACTTATATTTATAAGCTTATATTTATAAGTTACTTAAGATTAAGGAATTTATTAATTTAAATAACTTTCTATAAATAATTATAATATATATTACTCTTAATTAAGCAATTTCTAAGTGCTAAGAATTTATTAAATAAAATATACTTAAAAAATCCATTTATTTCTTAAAAACCCTATTTAAAAAATTAATAATACTCTTGCATTATAATAAGCTTGCATTAACTTTTAAAAATATTATAATATTTATTATATTAGGATTAAAAGTATCTTTTAAAATGAAAAGTAATTAATTAAGGGAGTAATTAAGGAATGAAAATACGTTATTTTAATTATATTAATAAAATAAAATATATAAGTACCTTTGCTAAAGAATTAATTAATAAAAGAAATATACCTAGCTTTTTATTAATTATTATTACCTTTATTTTACGCTTTTAAGGAAATAAATTTTAAAGTTAAAAATACCTTTAAAGAAATTTAAATATAATAAGATTAAAATATAATTATAAAAAAATCGCTATAAAAACTTAATTTAAAAGCTTACTTAAAAAAACTTCTTGCTTAAAGATTAAATGCAAAGCTTATTAAAAATATTAAAAACCTCTTTAAGCGTATTTTTAAAAGCTATTAAGGAATAATATCTTAATTTCTTTTTTTTATTTTATTTTTCCTTATAAAGCAAACTTATGCTTTTTTAAACTTTAATTTTAAAAAATTAATTAATTAATAATACCTTTACTATATTTTTATTAATTCTTTATTAATTTATTTATGCTTTAATTAATTTATTATAATTATTAATTATAATTAATTTCCTAGGAATATATATAACCTTAAATTTTATGCTATATCTTTTATCTTTAAGTATAATCTTAAATAATTATAGCGCTATTTATTTTATTAACTTTATTAATTATTTAGTTTTAAATACCTTTAAAAAAGCTATTAAGATAAATATTATTAAAATAAAGATTTTATCTTTAAAGGTTTTAAGCTATAAAATAAGGTGCTTTAAAAATATATTATATAAAGTAAATAAAAAAAGAATTAAAAATTTAATCTTGAAAAATATAATAATTATAAATAAATTTTATATTAATATAATATTAAAAGCGCTTTTATAGAAATTAAGCGTTTAATATTATGGAATTAATTTAATGCTATGCTTTAAATTACTTAAATAAAGCGTTATTCTTCTTAAACTTATTTAATAATATAATTTAATTTTTCTTAAATATATATTATTATAATTTCCTTATTTTTATCTTTTATTATAAATACTTATAAATATTATAAGTATATATAGGCTTGTAATTTTTTTAATAAACTTAATAAAATTTTTTAAGCCCTTTTAATATTTAAATAAGGATTAAAAAAACTTATTAATTCTTTAGCATTTTTAATTTAAATATTTAAGGGCTAATATTCTTAAATTATTAGTTTAATATACTTAAGGCGTAAAATTTAAGGGGATTAAATAAATTAATTATAAGAATTGCTTTAAAGCCTTTGCTAAAAAGATAATTTAATGTAAGTTATTAAAAGGTAAGAATTTAAAACCCTTTTTTTAAATTTTATAAAACCTTTTTTACTATTTATAAGCATTAAATGAGTTAAATTATGGGCTTATAATAATAAATAAGTTCTTAGGATTTATTTGCATCTTCCCTTTTATATTAAAAACTTAAGAATAAGTATTTAGCATTTTTTAAGCTTATGAAAGCTAGGTAAAATAGCAATATAGTTTAAATATTTGCAAAATTAAACAAAATGTTAAGGCAATAATAATTAGCTAATTTATAAATACTAAATATATTAAATAAGCAAAATAAAAGGATATTAATTTAAAACTTATTCTCCTTTAAACCTTAAAAGCAAATAACGCTATAAAAAGGGCTAGTAAAGTAATAATTAAATATACTTTAGCTATCTTATTAAAAGCTAATTTATCTTTTAACTTTTAGCTAAAGGTAATATAAGCTGTAGCTTAATTACATAATATATTACCTGCTTTAAGAAAAAAAAGGCATGCCTTAAATATTTTTTTATATGCATGGTTTTTTTACTATTTTTAATAGTTTAAATTAGCATAGATTTATTATTTTATAACTTATTTATTACCCTATTAAGGTAATATTTATATTTATAAATGCAAAGCATATATGCTTAAAAAGAAATATAAAAATAATATAAAGAGATGCCTTATAAAGGGGGAACTAAAGGCTTATATTAAGTATTTAATTAATTATATAGCATTTAATATCTTTTAAATTTAAATTCCTTTGCTTAAGCAAATAATCTTTATAAGAAATATATAATTTAATAAGGATATATTTTATAAATTAGTAATAAATAAAGTAAAAAGCAGCCTTTTAATTCTTAAAGTAAAATTATTAAATATTAAAATTGCTAATGCTAAGAAAATTTAAGATTGTATTTATATTATACCCTTAATATCTTATGTAAAAGATAACTTAATTAATTTAAATAATAAATTTAATACTTATTTTATATTAAGAAAAGATAAAATTAATACTTTTAGTTAAAATTTAGGGGTAAGGATTCTTAAATTTAAAAAGCAAAGTTTACTATGCACTGCTTTTTTAAAAAGCTTAGAAGATTAAGAATAAGAACTTTCAACCCTTAAGAAAACCTTAAATATATTAAAATAAAGCTCTTATAAAGGGAAATATACTTTTATTAATAAAGCAAAGGCTAATAAATTTAAACCTTTCTTTTAAAAATTATATATGCTTAAAGCTATGAGAAATTAAGAATTCTTTTAATTAATATAAATAAGGAGGATATAGGAATAAATTTAAGGGTTTAAATTTATAAAAAGATTTTCTTAAATACATAATTAAAATAAGTATCCTTAAGAATCCTTTAATTAATTATTATATTTAATAAATATAATTACGTTTTACTTTAATATAACCTTTTAAAGTAACTTTATAATTACTTTTTTACTTAATTAATTTAAAAAATAAAAATAAAGAATATTTAAAAACTTATATTTTTTAACCTTAAATAATATAATAGCAGCTATTATTTAAGCCTTTAAGATTAAGTTTAGGCCTTACTTATAGCGGCAATATTATAAAAATCTACCTTTAAAACTAACTATATAAAGAGAAACTTAAAAAAGCCCTTTTTAAGATAAATGGCTTAAAGCAATATATTAAGAAATATAAAGCCTTATTAAGCTTAATATTTAAAGGATCATTAAGCGCTAAAAAGCAAAATTAACGCTACTATTCTTAAAATAAGTATATAAATATAAGCTTAATAAGGATGGAATAATTAAATCTTTTAAGATATAAATTTATATTTAAAAAGACTTGCAACTTTATTTTATTATAAAAAGCATATATATTGCAACTTTAGCTATAAAATTATTCCGTATAATAATGGCAATTACTGCGCACTTTAATTTAAAGATTTAATAATTTAATATTATAATTGCGTTCCTAAACGCTAGCTAAAAAGGGTTAAATTAAATTTATTGCAAACTACTTAATAAATTTAAGGAGTTAAGGAAATGTAAAGTATTTTTAAGGGTATTTTATAAATTTAAAGACTCCTTATTTCTTTAATATAAGGATTTTAGCTATATATTATAAAATTTAAGCTTAAAACCCTTATTAAAAGAGCCATGCCTTTTTATTAACCCAACTTATAAGGTAGCAATCTTTTTTTATATAAATAATATTTTAATTATATATCCTAAGAATAAATGCAAATCCTTTATAAGAATTAAAAACGGGATTAAGTTTATATATAAAATAAAGAATTAAGAAAAGGCTTAATAATTCCTAAGCGTATAAATTCTTAAAGACCAGGAAAAGTACATTATAACGCTCCTTTATAACTTATATATTAAAAAGATAATAAATAAATATAACTTATTAGGGAGTGAAAACTTTTTACTATTTACTTTAATGCTTAAAAAGGAGCTTAAGCCTTTTTTTAAATAAGCCTTAAAATAAAAGATTTAAAAGTTTTAGGAAAAAGTTAATTCCATCCTTTATATAATAATTATAATATATTTAAATATAGCATTCCCTTGCTTTATATTATTAAGATTCCTTATAAACTTAGGTTTAAGTTATTTTAAGGTAATAAACCGCGTAATTTAATATTTATATGCTATTTAATTCCTTAAATTATAATTTAAAGGAAATTAAGAAGCTTAAGCGTTTTTAATAGCTAAAGATGCTTTATTTACTAATAATAAGGAGGACTGGAGATTTTCCTAGGGGTATATAATAATCCTTTTTAAGGGCTTTATATATTAAAAAGCATATAAATAAGTAATTATTTCCACTTTAATTATTAAGGCTAAATTATTAGCTTTAAAGCTTATGGCTAAAGAAATAATGGCTTTAAAATACTTATTTAAAAATATAACCTTAAATTTAAGCAAGCCTTGGATTATTTATTGCAATAATTAAATAATTATATGCCTAATTATTAATAAGCATAAATAATTAAAAATAAGGCTTAGGCATATAAATATTTAATAAATATAATTAAAATAAGAATTTAAAAAGGGTACCTTTAATATTATATATTTAAAAATTAAAAAAATGCTTATAAATAAACTTATTAAAGTTTTATTATGCGCTTAATTTAAATATTTTAAAGCTTTCTTAAATCTTTAGGATATAAGGGAAGTAATAAAAGGGAATTAATTTATTTATTAGTTATTTTTGCTATTAGGTTTTTATTAAAAATTTTAAAAATTATACTTCCTAAAAATTATAATGCAACCCTTACATAAAAACTCTTTTATAATTAAAAACTATCTTTTAATCTTTGCAATAATATATTAATTAATTTAAAACTTTCTTTTAATTATTATAATAACCTTTTAACTTTTTTAAAAAACTTTTTTAATTTTTAATTAAATTCTTAATTATAATTTTAAATTAAGATTTAATTATATTTATTCTTTAATATTACCCTTAAAATTAAAGCGCTTAATTATAATAATAATATAATTCTTATACTTTTTTATAGTTTTTATATTATTAATAACTTAATTTTAAAGCTTTTAAGCCTTTATATTAGCCTTATTATATTGCTTTAAAGTAATTATAATTTAAGCTTTAAGGTGCTTTATTATATCCTTATATTTATTTTTTATAGCTTTTATAAGCTATTATTATAAGATAAAAAGCTTTTAAGTATTAAAAGGAATTGTAAAAATGTAATTAATATAAGCAGGATTAAACTTCTTATACTTATATATATTTAAGGCCTCCTTTTAAGTATACCAAGACTTTTTAAATGCTAAGAAATTGCTAAATTAAGCATGGTAAAGATAAAGCGTAAATAATAAAAAAAATATTAAAAGCAGCTTATAGGAATTGCTTTAAATATAATAATAGCAATAATTATCTTTATTATTATAATTTATATAAAAATTATTATTATAATTATATATAAAACTCTTAATGCAGGGGAAATAAGGAATATAATGCTTATTAATCTTCTTAAGCTTCTTTATATTTTCTTTCTTCTTTTTATGCTTTATTTTAGCTTTTTTTTTAAAAAGGAGTTTTATTTTAAGCTTTAAGTTATTTATATATGCTTAAAGGTTTTTTAAAGTTATATTAAGAATTAATATATACTTTAAAATTAGTTTTTAAATTAATTAGGAAATTTATTTTTAAGTATATTATTTAGCAATATTTTAATAAAAGCATTAAAGCTTTTGCTATTTTTATTAATAAGCTTTTTATTAATTTAAATGCGCTTATATTTCTTTTTTTAAACTTTAAAGGTATAAGGAGGTAAAATAACTTAAGGCTTAAAAGCTTATTTTTTATTGCTTTTAGCTATCTTTAATATAATTAAAAAAGTGCTTAAAATTAATAAAAATAAGTATTTTTAAATATAAATTTAATTAAAAAGTTTAAAAAAAAGGTTTAATTATTAATTATAGGCCGCGTTATAAAGCTATAAGTAGCTAAAGTTTAAGTAATAAAGTATATATATTATAGGAAAGGTTAAATAATTAACGGCTTAGCAGGTTATAGCTAATGTTTTTAAGTATAGATTAGCTACTTAAAAAAGTAGGGTAATTAATAAGGTAAAAACCGCCTTTTAATTAAGGGGTGTATTACATATATATCCCTAACCCTGGTTTACAACCACTTTTTGGAATGCTTAAATAGCTAGATTTCTTTTATTTCCTCCTTTTAAACTACTCTTAGGAGATAAACGCTTTTACAATTATGCTTTCAAACCCCTCACAACACTTGTAGCCTTCCACATCAGTGCGCTTAAAGTGTCCACGCAAAACAGTCTCGTAACGGCGGCCTTTGGGCTCGAGGCCAGCCTTCTCGGACTGAAAGGGAAGCCAACGTGAGCTTTAGATGAGGTGTACAAGCTTGTAAGTTAGTTGCATCTTCTTTCTTTAAAGAAATCTGTCGGCTGGGCGTACATGATCCGGGGACAGCAGCACGAGTAAACAGACCATAGAGCATTGCTTTTCCATAAGATTCTTTTCCTGGTCATCCTCAACTTGAACACTACAGACTCCAGACAAAGCATAACCTCATCCCTTGTCTCTTTCCCCCATTCAGGATACTTCCCAACCCCCTCTTTCAAAATGAAGCTCACCGTTTCTCTCCTCGCCCTCGCCGCCAGCATTTCGGCGGTAGCATGTTGCTAGATTAACATTGTCTACAAATGGTAGCGCGTGCTCAAGGGCTCGGGCAACGACCGTGGCTGGGCCTTCGCGAGTACATTCAAGAGTACACGAAGAGACACGGCAGCCAGCAGATGAATGTAGATGTGGTTTTGAATGTGAGAGAAGTTGAAGTGTCATAGTGGGCAGCTGGAGGTAGTGAAGGTTCCGAGGTTGCTGGGGTGGGTCGTCGAAAGTGACAGGGGTGGGATGGGCGACAGGGGTCTTGACTGCATTACCGCCTCGTAATCGATAACGACTTTTTCCGTCAAGTCCCCTGCTCCCGCACCTGAACTTTCCCAAGCGTGCTTCTCATCTGCGCAAATCTTTCGTGCAGTCAAGATTCCCGAACCTTCACCCCTCGCCACGGCCTTCCAACCTCAATCAAGTTCTACTTCTTGAACTTCGAGGGTCTGTTCATTCGCCGGCCAGTGCAGTTCAATCAACTCTCTCACTCGACCTTTTCTTCCACCTCCAAAATGTTGAAGAGACAGCTGCTGCGGCAGGCCCGAACTTGTCGCGCCCTGCGCGCACCTCCCTCCTCGCTGTCGGGCCTGATCTTTAACGCCTCCCCCAAGCCATCGACATCCTATAAGCCGGCTGTTCTCGCAACCTCGATCAGTCGTCAGATCATCTCGAGAAATTACTCCAGCGCCGCCGCCGCCGCCGAGGCACAAGATGGCAGCAACCAGTCCGGCCTCATCACCCGATTCGCCGGTCTCTCCTCGCTCGGCGTCCACCCCAACATCCTCAAGTCCATTGTCGAGGACATGGGCTACGAGTCCATGACAGATGTCCAGTCCATGAGTATTAACCCTGCCCTGCAAGGCAAAGACATGTAAGTTTCGCCCGAAACGACAATCACATGGTCGATCCGCTACATCGCAACTAAGACTGACCACCCGCATCGCACAGTGTCGCCCAGGCCAGGACCGGTACTGGCAAGACCATTGGTTTCCTTGTCCCCACTATCCAGAAAATCATCCAAAATGACCCCTCGCTTGCATCCCGTAACCACGACAGGGTGGACGCGACCAACATCCGAGCCATCATCGTCTCCCCGACTAGAGAGCTCGCAGAGCAGATTAGCGCCGAAGCCCAGAAGCTTTGCCGCCACACAAATGTCAAGGTGCAGACCGCCGTTGGCGGCATGAACAAGGCTATGATGCTGCGAAAGACAAAGTCTGAGGGTTGCCATCTCCTGGTCGGCACGCCCGGCCGGCTTCTGGACCTTCTCAGCGATGAGTACAGCGGCATTGACGCGCCAAACCTGGGGGCGCTGGTCCTCGACGAGGCGGACCGGATGCTCGATGTGGGTTTCGACAAGGAACTGCAGCAGATAGTGCGTCTGCTGCCCAGCCGCAAAGAGAAGCCCCGCCAGACCCTCCTGTTCTCCGCCACAATTCCCAAGGACGTCGTGCAGATTGCGCGCGTCTACGTCGATGCAAGCAACTTCCAGTTCGTACAGACTATCAAGGCCGACGAGGCTCCTACACACGAGAAGGTACCGCAGCACATAGTCCCTGTCGACGGCTTCGAGCAGTTGGTCCCCACAATCCTGGAGATCATCGAGAAAGCCCAGAATGGCGAGCACGGGTCTGAACCCGTCAAGGCCATGGTCTTCTTCAACAACACGGCTGTTGTCAATCTTATGGACGAGACATTCCAGTATCTTAGCCGTTCCCTCAGGTCCCTGCCGCCTGCATATGCTATCCACTCAGGCCTCGATCAGAGGCAGCGTTCGAGAGTCGCCGAAAACTTCAGGAGGGCCAGTTCTGCTATCCTCATCTCGTCAGATGTGACCGCCAGAGGCATGGATTTCCCAAATGTCACCCACGTCATCCAGATCGGCGTACCGCCGACCCGTGACCAGTACATCCACAGACTTGGTCGCACAGGACGAGCGAACAAGTCAGGACAAGGTTGGCTTCTCCTGAGGAAAGATGACATCTCGGATGCTAGAAGGACACTGCCGGGGCTCCCCATAAAGCGCCACGATGGCCTTGAAGCCGCCTCGTTCGACACCCGCAACGCGGAGCGAGGTGCGGAGCCGCGGAACTTCAGCGAAGTCGCGAATGCCATGCGTCGTGTGCGGTTTGGAATCATGAGGGAAGCATATGAGAAGTTCATCATGAGTAGCAAGCGCGTTTCTCAGTCGACGGTCGACGCAGTGAACTGGTGGGTGACGACTCAGGGCGGCCAGCGCGAGCCACCTTCGGTCTCTCAAAAAGTAATGAACTCCATTCCCACCCTGCGGCGTTTGGATGGCGTCACTGTCGAAAGCGACAGAGGACGCAATGATAGGGATGGCCGTGGAGGGTTCGGAGGCAGGGGCGGCCGTGACTTTGGGGGCCGTGGCCGTGGCCGTGGCCCGAGGGACAATGGTGATCCCTTCTCGCAGATGTCGTACAACCGAGTGCAAGATCGCCCCGCCCGGAGGCAGCAAGCGGCGTTCTAGTCGAAGCTGGAGGGGCAAAACGGACTAAGAATTCAGGAAGAAATACCGACAGACCCGCGAGTTGTCGAAGCTCGCTGCTGCGCAAGCTGGTGTCGAGGCGTCTTGGGCGCTGACGTTGTACAAAAGCACGACCACGGAAAGCAGATCACACGACAGGAGTGCTTTTCGGGTCATGATCACGGGATACCTTGGGGCTGGACTGTGTTATTAAACAGCCGTGTGTTCAGGGCGCAGCCTTTTGATGATGTCGGGAGGCCCTCGGCATACACGAACCAACTGTTTCTTGCATCTTACCGGCGTTGGGTTGGTCACCTACCTGCCCTGCGTTGCCCGGGTTTTCAGCTGGGCAGAAACAGAAAACAAGAATCTCCTCTTCTTTTATTTTGACCTTGGCGACCGGGATTTCACTGTATCATGATCTAGGGGGGAGAAATTTGGAGGTGCTCTCATAGAATGCTCGTAATCACGATTTTCACGTTGTCCACACAGTAACAAACCCCCTCCCCCACCAGCTAGCTATGTGTGTATGTATGTGACAGTTGACCGGTCGTCGAAATCACCTGCTACTGATCACCTCAACGTGTGTGTGCATTCATCAAATCCCGACCCCGTCTAGCTCATGCTCGAGGATAAACTCCCATCCTCTCCCACACGCCCCATGCCCCCTTTTCCCGGCCCCTGTGTGCAGCCAACACCAAGTCGTTTTGTTCATTTCCTCATCCGTTTCAACGGCCGACCAAGATATCTTCGCTGATAAATATGATGATGATGATGATGATGATGATGACGATAATGGTGATGATGATGTGTGAAGGTGGATGGATGATAAAATGAAAAACGATGCGAGGAACAAAAGTTGAAGATGAGATGGGGAAAAAGTCAAAGCCCAAGAGACGTCCACCACGGAGGGCAGGAGGGTATAAATGGGCAGCGCAAGGGAAAAGGATCGCGAGAGAGAGATGAGAGATAGAGAGGGAAGGAAGGAAGTAGAAAATAAAGGACAATGGCCAACCTCCGCACCCTCCGTCCCCCACTTCCGGCTTTCCCATATACACACTGAGAGACCTCGTAGTCTGTCTGTCTGATGAACATGGTCGGGAAAATAGAAAGGCATGTGCCAGCTCTGCCGCACACGCGTCAGGATATCATCATTACTCTCTTCAGCCACTCACCGTACCTCTTCGTCGTCGTTGTTCTTGTTCTTGTGCTCCGGTTTCTATCTCCTCTCCCTCGCTTCACTTGTCATCATCACCGACCTATCGTAACCAAACCAATCACAGCACCCCGTTCGACCCAGCGCCGCCCTGCTGGCCCCCAAAGAAGAACCCGTCGAACAGGTCGTACTGCTGGCCGTCGCTGAAGTCGTGGTGCAAGCCCTCCCAGCCGAGGCCGAACCCGAAGTCCCCGTTTTGGGGTTCCTCGACGCCTTCGGGCAGGTTCCCGTTGCTGTTGCCGGTGACCTGGTTGAGGAAGTCCATACCCTGCAGGTCCCCGAAGTTGAGCTGCCGGGCGGGCGAGAAGCCGCCTGCCTGTTGCTGCTGCTGCTGCTGCTGCTGTTGTTGCTGCTGCTGCTGGTGCGGCGCCTGCGAGTGCGCGAGGAACGCCGCCATCTGCGCGGCGGTAGTGGCCGCTGGCAGCTGGGACATGTTGCCGCGGCGGGCTGCGGGGCCGGCGGCGTTGGACGAGGGCGACCCCACGCCCGGGGGCGTGCGCACCGCGGTCGGGGACGGCAGCAGGGACGGGTCTATTGCGGACGTGTCGGGGCTGTTGCCGGCCTCGGGTGCGGTGATGCTGCTGCGCGGCTGGCCCGGAACGGACCGCATCATGGAGAACCCGTCCGATTCCGCCTTGAGATTCGGGAGCGAGTTCATGCGCTGCAGCGCTGATTGTATCGGTGGCAGGTGGGAGCTCGATGACGCGTTGGCATAAGCGTCCGTGATGCCCGGCAGGCCGTACTGCGACGCCCCCATGAGGTTGCGTTCGTCTCCTCCCTGGTGGTGAGGATGCCTTTGGCCTTTGCTGGAGGCCGTGTCGCTCCTGGCCGCCCAGTCACGCTGGTCCACGCTGCCTCTTGACCCTGCCCGTTTTCGTGGGAGAACCTGGCCGAAACCACCGGTAGAGTTCGCCATTCTTATCGTCGCCCTTGCCGTGCGGTCAATGGCGTCACGGCACGCCTCTGCCGGAGGACACTTTTCGCTGAGGTCTGTAAAGACAGATGTGGCAGCAAGAATCGTGAAATCTACTTCATCCATCGACTTGGTCATGCTGTCAGTAGGGCTTCCCATGTAACTTTCAGGGGCAAATACTCACAAGACGGCTTCGCACAATCGGCGAGTGCCATATCGCGTACAGGTACGATATACCCGCCATAAATATGTGATGTGTGGCCAGGTAAGTGTAGTTGATAACACCGGCAATGTGCAATTGCCTGTATAGCCGCATGATCTTCTGCCCAGCCTCCGCAACCTTCAGGTATATTCTGTCCTCATCTTCCCTAAGCTCGGCATTGTGAACGTTGGGGCTGTTGACTTCCATCGACGTGTTGTACTCGCCCTCGAACATCGCAGGCACGCTGAGACTCTGTCTGTACAGCATGACAACAGCTTGCCAATAGTTGAGGTCGAGAAATTCAGTTGAGAACCCGACCCCCGTGCGCTGCTTTGTTGGCGCGGATTCCTTCCAGTGGTATAACCTCTTGTCGATGTCTATTCTCCATGCTCTGAAGGATTCATACTTTGAGAGGAAAGGGGAAGGGAGGCTCGTGTGCATGTAAGGGTTCTTGACATTTTGTCCTGAAGCCCTTGCAGCTTGGGCCTGTTGGTACTGTAGTACCTGGAGAATTTCTGACTGCAACAAGCGCAGGCGGAAGTAGTGGTGGGCGACAAGTTTGTATGTGGGTTGAGCGGCGAGATCTGGAGGTGGTTCTTTGAACCCCTCGGGGGTGACATAAACGTCCTCCAAAATAGACGGGAACTCGGTCGTGATGACTTGGTCTGAGATACCGAACGGTCTTCCGACGCAAATACTCACTAGACGGTCAAAGGAGTAAGTAGCCCACCAGAGACGTCTCCTAACATCCCGGATGAACTCTCTCCTCCCCCGCTCGCGCTGCTGCATCTCTTGTTGTGGCCCTGAGACCTCCTTAAGGCCGGTGTCGACGTCTTTGCCGTCCTCATAATGTAGACCAAGGTCGACCGCGAGCCTGACTGCAACGCCGACTATGTACCACAGGCCTGGTGGAACGGGCCTGAGCAATGCGAAGTTTGCCAGGAGCAATACCGCTTGCAGCTCCTCCAGCCCGCCTCCGCTGTTGTTGAGACAGGCTTCCAGGTGGACGATAGCACTGGCGTGGTACTCCTCGGGCTGTGCTTGCCTCGAGGACATCTTGCCCTCCCCCGGTTTCGCCTGGCTGTTCTGCGTCTCATTCTTAGCCATGGCCCCCATTATGATGCCGCCGCCGATAGCGAAAACCATGTTCAACATGTATAGTTCCTTGGGCCCACGCTGGGGACTTTCAGAATCGTAGGCCTGTTCGAACAGCCTCATGAACTCAACCTTGTGGAGGATGGGTATCTGCGGGTTCGCATGCTCGAAATAGAGGTTGACCAATGCCATTCCGACCTCCCTGTCCGGGAAGGGCGCAGGGTGGATAGTTGGTTTTGTGTGCAGGCCGAAGAAGGAATCTCGCATCGTAGTACCAATGCCGGAATTTGAGTTTCCGCCGACGGGCTTATAAGGGCGCACTCCGGCCTTGTCGGAAGTAGACTTGTTCTCATTGACGGATGACTGGACGGCGGCGAAGACGACCCGCGCAAAAGAGACGCCGGATGTAGATCCAAGGTACCGCGGGTTTGCCGTACCTTCCTTGCCGTGTGTAATATCCGACTTGGACACCAGCCTCTGCAGCCTGGCCTCGTCGCTTCTTTCACCGGTACTGCCCACCGCGGTGATGCTGTCCATGGTGTCTGAAGGAGCTGCCGCCGCGGCCTCAGTTGGAGATCTCACGGACACGGAATCGACGCCCATCCGCGAGCAATGCTCCAGGTCGTTGGCTGGGGGGAAGGGGATGCTGTTTGCGCGCAGGAGCGCCTCGAGCTGATCTACTCTAGTCTCAAGATAGAAAACATAGCTGTACACACGAGGTCAACCTTCAGGCTCCTCGGCGTGAGAAGGGAGACGGGCCAAGCTACAGAACCACTCACCTGCGAGGTATTTCCTTCTTGGTTATGGGGTCGTACCCGACGCACGCAACATTGGCCTTCTCGCAGCTGGCACAGCTCGGCAACTTCTGGTCGCACCTGTTCTTGCGGAGGCGGCAGCGGTTGCAGGCACTGACGTTGCGGAAGTTGCTGCTCTGGCCGACCTTTGCACTGGCGCCGGCACCCCCATCCTGCTTGGTGCCGCCGGCGAGGCCCGCGCTTAGCGGAGGCCCATCGCCGTGCTGCTCGCTGGTGGCGGGGGACGGCCCGGAGGTCGCGACGTTGAGAGACGGGGGCGAGTCCTTGTCAGAGCGCCGCTCGGGCGAGGACTGCCTCAACCGCTTAGCTGGATGCATCTGCGGAGAAGGCAGGGAGTTTTCCGGCATCCTCTTCCGGCGCGACGGGAGGTTCCCCGGTAAGGCCGTGGACGGAGCTGAGGCAGATGGGTTCTACTCAAAGCTAGTTCTTGATCCTCCTCTTTCGGCCGGCGTCCATTCCCTGTCACCACCCGGCTTCGACCTGAATTCGGGCTCGGGCTTGGGCTTGGGCGAGGATGGTGTCGATTTCGATGGGTTACGTAATGACGGTCTTTGGTCGGCTGGGTGCAGCCCGAAGGAAGACAGACCGACAGTCTGCGCCGTTGTTCAATAGGTCGTCTCGTCTCGTCTGGGTTCGTCTCGTCTCGAGTCGAGTCGTGTGTCGTCCGGTCCGACCTGTGTCGGCTGGTTGAGTGGGCAAAGGGAGCCGGTCTGGACTGGCTCTTCCGGTGGCTGGTGGACGGTGGTCGGTGGTCGGTGGTAGGTGGCGGATGGATTCTCAAGTGGTCGCAATCAAGGCTGAACGGGCCATCATTTGCAGCTCCAATCCAGGGACCGTTTAGGTTGGTTCAGGCGCCCAGATGTTAACCCGGCGATAAGCTTGTGGCGTCTTGTCTCATCAGGAATTGACTGAGGCCCGGGCGGGTAGGCGGAGCAGGAGCAGGAGCACGGCGTAGGCGGCGCGACTGAGAGCCAACGACTCGAACGATAGCTTCTGGAAGTTCTGGAAGGGATCCGATGGGCCGCAACAGCTCGACGTGAGGAGGGTTGGGCGGGCAAGGTTACACAGTGGGAGGGTTGCTTGTTCGTCGTCGAGCGGATTCGCGGCGGGCGGTTGCGCAAGGCCAGGCAGAGCATGTGCAGCACACAGGGCAGACCAGGATAGGAGCAGATAGAGGACGATAGACTACCAGCGCAGGCCTACCGTACAATAGAGGAGAACAGGTGCCACAGTGGATCGATTGGACTTGGCCTTGACTACACTACAGGACAGGACAGTACAGCACCACAAGCAACAAGCAATTAGCAAGTCGGAGCTTTTTTTTTTTTTTTTTTTTTTTTTTTTTCTTCAACCATCTGCGATAAGATAAGATGGGGATCTGGTCAAGCTGGCGCGCACGAACTCTCTCCTAGGCCCCTTCCCCTTGCGCCTCTAAACGCCAGCAGATCACGACCATATCGACACACGGCTAGCCGCGACACAATGCGAGACGGCAGAGGCCACAGAGAAAGCCACGCCTCGCCTGGCATCTCGCCTCGGCCCCCTCGAGTAGTGTAATCTACATTATATGCATGCACAAAGGGACAAGGGCCCAAAAGAGGGGGAGCACCCCATGTCAGCCCTTTCCCACATCAAGGGGCAAAAAAGAGCCCTCTTTCCCTCTTCCTCTATCAGGAAATCCGCAATTCGAGATAAGCAATGGCTTATACCTCATTGGCCGTCGAGCTTGCCTCGTCTTCACCCCGTCCGCCTTGGGCAGCCCACTGCCATCGTCGTCATCTCAGCTCGCGTGCACTAGGTCGATACACTACCTATGCAGCATGGCCGGGGCTCAAGGTCGGGCTCGAGGTCGGTCAATTGCAATTGACGCTCGCACGCGGAGGCGGTAGGGGGCAGCGTGGTGCCGGTGAGGACTTCCCCTCTCTCTTTCCGCCCTGCTTGGGGAGACGGCTCCTCAGCTTAGCCCTCAGGGGCGCTCCCCCTCCCTGCTCTGCGCGCCTGGCTAGATGCACGCTAGGGGCTAGGGGCGCGTCGACTACATGCGCAGCAGCTACGGTGTAGACTACGGAGTGCATACCTAGTAGTCCAGACTATGGAATTATAGTCACATGTGGATACTACGGCATACAGACTCCAACGTCACTTCAACAACTGGCAATGCCGGCACATCTCATCGATATGTCCGATCAACTGCAATACGTGCCATGCTCAGCCCTCACCGGTCCCGAACCCACGCGTCCGGTACATCTCGCCTGCGAACAAGGTTCGGTCTGGACCAGTCCACCAGCCCACCGCCCGACGATGGACTGGTCATTACCACCATGCCAATACTCCACGCGTTTAGAAAACACCAACAAGAGCTGGCTTGCCCCGCCCATCCCGTCCATCCCGCATGACCCGTCCGTATCTGCCACGGTCTAGACGCACTGCGCTCGTCACGGAAGCATGCGGCCAAGGGGAGGGGGATGAACATTGCTGTGACAGTACAGTACAGTACATAACACCTACTTATGGTATGTATTATTATCACTCTTTCCAGGGACCAGCCCATGACGACACGACGTGCGCCGGAGTTACATTCCTTCCGGAAATATTACGCTGCATCTGCACCCACAGGGGCCCCGGATCCGATTTCGCGACCGCCTGGCAAATCTCTGGCCCCCAACCAACAAGTCGCTTCTCCCGAGAGCCCCCGGGCACAAACCACCGGCCGAAGGAATAACAACAGCCGCAATCAATCGCGTTTCAACCAAAAGCTTGTCGGCCTCTCCCCCCTGCGCTGGGCCTAGTCTCCCCCTCGCCCAGACCACAGGCCGGCCCCAGGTCCAAAAACCCAACCCAGGACAAAAACCCAATCCACCCCCCCCCCCAAAGGGCATCCGAAGGGCCTGTGGGGTTGGGCGGCGCAGCTCCAAAGAAAGTCGCCGGCGGAATGTCACGCTGATTCGGCCCGGCTCAAAAATAACAAAGGGCCGCGCCATGCACAATGCGTAGTAGAAGGCAGACACAGAGTATGCAAGAGAGAGTAGACAAGAGACTCGAGGTATGCAATATCATTGGCAAAGTTTAAAAATAATGCTTGGGAGATCCTCCTTTGTTGGGGGCCCTGGTATCATGAACAATGACTTCTATGGAAACGGTAAGACGACATGCAGACTCGGTGAAAAAAGCAACCCAATATGCGTTTGCCATGAGGCTGAGGAGATGGAGGGGGTGAAGAAAAAACCATGAAAGAAACGAGGAAATGAAACCTGTCCATATCCAATGCCGAAAAGGAAAAAGATCTGTCTGCTGTTGCTACGGTTCACGTAGCAGTCTCCCCCCTTCCCCGTCCCATGTTGCCCAGATCAAAGCCCATCCCAACCGAAACCCAAAACCGATCCCCGTCCAAAGAAAAGAAAAATTCCCTGATTACTGGTTCCGAATCCATCCCTCCCTGCACCCTAGCCGTTTTCCCAGTTGTTGGCTGTGATGTCTGTTGGTTTTCCCCCCTGGGCGCCGTGCTCGAAAATACAAGAAAAGTGCAAAAGGACAAGATAAAAAGAAAAAGAAACAAGATCCGAAAAATACACCGTCTCGAGAAAACAAAATCCCCTACTTTTTCCCAATGTTCCCAATTTTCTCTTTGCCCGAAAAAAATCCCTCTTGACCCATCCGAAAAAGAAACCCTCCTTTTTTTTTTGCGTTGTCCAAAAAGTCTTAGTCTTGTTCTCGCGCTGGTCAGAGAAGAGAAGAGAAGGAAGGGCCGAATCCCTCTTCCTCTGTCCGACAGGGGGGGGGGGTTTCCGGCTAAAGCAGCAGGAAAAAAAAAAAGCAAAGCGGCGATGGGGAATCGGAAAAGTTCATATGGGGATCGGACCCGGCGAACCGTCTTTTGTTGTTGCTCCGTGCTCCATCCTTCTGGGAAGGAAAAAATGAAAAATGAAAATGTGATAAAGGAGCAGAAAACTGAGAAAAGCCCAGTGAACAGCATGGGGGTAAGAGACCCCGTGACCCAGTCTACCACTCCATTAAACGCAAGCCGTTTCGCCCGTAGGAAGGCAAAAGTAAAAATGTTGGAAAAGTAGAGAATTCGTGAGTCGGCATTAGTCCCGCAGGGGCTCTGCAGCTCCTGACCAGTCGTCAGTTGGCGACATTTCGGTTCGCCTTGCAATTCCTGCTGCCCCCGGGAAAGTTGGTCGGTGAGGTGTTTGTCGGTGGTTGCATGGGGCGCGCGTGCGCTGGCTCACAGGTCGACCTGGCTGGCGCGGCGCACCATGTCGATGCTGAGTCGCCCGGGCACGACCTCGGGCTGCAGCTCGCTGGCGGCTGCCACGGTGGCCGCCTCGTTGGCCGCCTCCTCGTCCTCGTCGACCTTCTCGGCATCCATGCGGCCCTTGGGCTCCGTGATCTGGAAGCTGAACAGGGCTCCCGCGATGGTCACCAGCCCGTTGCACCACCACGCGAGGCCCGAGTACCCGGTCGAGAGGCCCACGGCGTACAGGGCGCCGGTGATGGTCGGTCCGAAGGCGCGGCACAGGCTCGCCGTCGAGGCCGCCACTCCGTTGATCGTCCCCAGGGTCTGCAGCGTCGGCGCCGAGTTCGTGAGCAGGATGGCGTTGCTGGGGTAGGCCATCGACGAGAACGTGCAGCGCCAGACCACTACGATGTAGACGCCCACCATGCGCAGGTTGTCGGGCAGGAGGACGAGGTACGGCGTGAAGAAGTACAGGAAGAAGTAGGTCATGGCGAGGAGTCGGAAGAGGTGGAGAGTCCCGATGCGCTTGACGACGAACGGGAAGAGGAAGACGGTGGCGAAGAGTTGGTAGATTCCCTGGACGGACAGGATTATGCCGATTGTCTTCTGGTCCATATCGAACCCATCCACAAACTTGAACGGCAGGGACATCGGTTGCGCTTCCTTCGGCGTGGGCGAGCTGAGGAATACGGGGAAAAGCTGGTCGAACGCCATGGTGTGACTAGGAAATACTGTTAGCTTGAAAACGAACACCCCGAGGTGCTCCGGGATCACCTACAATGCCAATATTCCGTATGACACAATGTTCATGATGACCGGCCTCGTGAAGGCCTCTCTGGCGGGGATGGTGACCTTCTCCGTCCTCTCGGTCGACGCTCGCAGGCGGTTGTCGACCACGTCCGTGTCGAGAAGGGGTTGCGCCTCCATGTCGGCCGCGGGCGTCGAGGAGAGCAGGGGCGAGTTCTCGGTGGTTCGGTAATCCGGCAGGCTCTCATGGCGGCTGAGCAGCGACGACGTTTCGGAAGCATCGTCTGACTTCAGTTCCTCGCGCTCCCGCGAGAAGTAGCGCGCAATGCATTTGCCAAGGGCGAGTCCCGGGTCGTGGCGGCTCTTCTTGTCGGCGTGGGTTTCCTCGAGAAACAGGATTCCAATGATGACGCCAAAGACGCACGTTGCCGCACTGAAGAGGTTCGGTAGCAGGTAGGGGTATTTCTCCCAGATGGTCCCCGCCGGAAAGATGTTTGGCATGTTTATGCAAGGCCGCGCGAGGTTCCCGCCAATCATCGGTCCTGCGATAGATCCTAGGCACCAGACCAGCGGCATGATCGTATACGCACGGGCTGCTCGATATCAGTTTGGAGTCCGCTCATCGATGGCAGAGTAAGATTCATTGCCAACTTACGCTGATGTTCCTTGACAGTGACAAGCTCGGCCACGGTCGTTTGCAGGACGCCAATGTTGCTTCAGAGCGAGTCAGTCTCTTGTTTTTAGCACAGGGCGCGCTGGCTGAACTTACCCGTTCAACAGACCGCCCAGGGCCCTCGCGATGAGTGCAACCCAGATGTTGGGCGCGAATCCAAAGACCAGGACGCTGATGGCCGTGCCGGCCAAGCCGGTAAGCAGCACAGGCTTACGGCCAATCTTGTCGCTCAGTCGTCCCCATAGCATGCCCGTCGAGAACTCGGCAAAAGTGAAAGCCGAGGTCACCATTCCAGCGTAAAAGGAGATGTCCTTCTCGTTGACGCCGAAATCCCGTACCATGTAGTAGATATACGGAAATATCGACATAAAGGCTATTGGTTCACAAATCCGGCACATGGCTATTTTTCCCTCGTCAGTACAGAGTGGTCAACGGCGAGCAGGCAGGGCTGCTCCCGCCTCCACGCGCGGAGACTGGCGCGGACTTGGTAGGCATGGAACGTACCGAGGACGAGCATTTGTCTAGAGGGGAAAGCAGGCTTGGGCTTCACGGCCCGTCGGCCTGGGACGTTTCGACGCATTGAGGCCATTGTTGCACTTCTCACTGCGCTTGTGGGGGTTATTGTTTGTGGGTCATCCGTCAGGATGTGTTCTCAAGGGTGGTGTCTATCTTGAGATATCGAGGAGGAGCTGTAGGATGCGGATGCTACTGAGTGACGGGAACATATAATGTTTCTCAGAGCTCGGGAAAGGGTGCTAGTCCGCCTCGTCCGTGAGAAACAGGGCGAGTCTCGTGTAACGGGACAGGGTGAAATCACGAACACGGGTCGTGGGATAAGTGAGATGTGGTGGCTGTGGAGCCGCAGGTCTATGCAATAGGAAGCGGTTGTGGATGATTCTAAATGCTCCAACACTGGCACGGGGTGATGCAATGCCAACACAGAACAGCGGGAGCGGGACGCTGTATGGTGGTTTTCGAACTCGGACACACAAGAATTATGAAAGGAGGGTCTTGGAACAGTGATAACGCAAGACAGAAGAAGAGACAGCGTAATAAGTATGCGGAGGGAGAGGGTCGAGATATGTATGACACAAGGGGAGGGAGGCCGGGCGGCGGTACATAGTACATCGAACCGTCAGACCCGACGAACAGGACAGGGATACGTAGCAGGAAACACTTTATCTTCTCGGGAAATATCCAGAAGGAAATGAAACAGGCGGTGACTGAGAGGGCTCAGCATGACGGACAACGCGGCGAGCGATCATCCTCCCGGGGAACAGGCTTTACATTTGCGAGGCCTGGCACAGCCAGGGAGCCAGCAGGTTGGCGATGGGGGAACGCTCCGGGATGATGGACATTGACAGGGAAGGCTGGGACATGGCGTGGACACGGTGAAGGGACTGTGAGCGACCAGGGCAGAAAAAAGCAGTGTGGATAGTGTGGGACCATTCCCATAGCCGTGGTTTCGTACCTGTTCAGCTCATGAGCTTGTTCCCTGCCGACAGACAGACGGGCAGACGGACGGACGGACATACAGACGGACGGACAGACAGACAGACAGACGGGCAGACTGCCATGCCACTGCCAGTCCAGCACCAAGACCAGGGCCGGGATGGTGGCACATGGGCTTCGCCAGAGCTCCATGACCTCCTCCGCGGGGGGGAGCGGGAGCGAAGGTCGGACAATGGAGACGGGCGCAGGCGCGCAGAGTAGCGTACGTGCGTGCGTGCGTTGCGCCGTGCTGTTCTCTCAGGGAAAATTTGCGTTTGCTGCCCTATGGTGGGACTGGACTTTGGATTGACTTTTGGGATGGGTGGGCCCATGTCGTTTCTAATCAAGAGGATCTGGATCCCCAAGAACCCTCTCCCCTGTCCAAAACGTGATGCAGGCTGCTGGGATACCCAGTCCGTCATCATCCCTTTCGCTGCATAGCGCTACCAAGGTGACGTTGACAAGGCCCCAGGAGCAGGTACCTCGAAAGTACCGGCCGTGACATTCACCGCCAGGCATCACGGGACGGTTTGATGCAGTATGGAGAAGAGCCGGGCCGTGGCTACCCAACCCTCGAGCTGCGAGATGCCCATTCATCACGAGGCAGCTTCTAGCGCTGCTACTCTGGAAGCAATTCTCCTGATTGGAATGCTCTGCAAGGCAGGTAAGTTTCCGATCCACCCCGATTCCATTAGTTCGCATTGTCAGCCCATCAAGGAGTTGCTGCTTTATTTTTCTTGTCTTTGCTTCTGCCCCTTCTGCCCACCACATCACAGACCGGTGAGACTGTCCAACGGTCCACGGCAGCGTCTGGTTGGGGATAGGCGCGCATGCTGACATGACACGGCAACCACGGCTGGCCACGACCGGGCGAGGCGTGGAGTCAATCCCGTCCACCTTGGCCAGCGCCAGCAAACCGGAGCCGCAGGCTTGCAAGGGTTCAAGGTCAGTCAGTCAGGCTGACTGACTTGGCTGGTGACGTGGACTGGCGGTGATAACCTCGCGCGTATTGTCCTGCCACGGAACGGAACCAGGCGGGCGTTGCGAAGAGGATAACACCTGCCCGGCGATCGACCCGTGCATGGGTTTAAAGGAGATCGATAGGTGGGCGCAGGTACAGATGCGGATACGTAGGATGGGGGCTGCAGGTTGACAGCGTCGCGCTAGTCTGGTTTGTACCACAAGGCGTTGGCATGACACCTAGAAATGGTGATACGTCTACCAATCTGGGATTCTGCGACATGCGGACATGAACGGATGGCCACAAGCAGGCAGGCCGGAGCCCAGGGCCAGGAGAAGCATATACAGCTCCTCTGCGTGCAGTATGTGCTGCGGCCAGATGGGCACACAGTATGCGTCCCCTTCCCGGTGGGCGGCATGAGGCTCATCTCTCGATCCTTCCGGTAATAAAACCTGTGCTCCTTGCCCCGGGTTGTAAAAAATCGCCCCGTCAAAGTGATGAGTCTGACAGCTGAGGTGGGTCCTGGCCTTACGAAGCAAAAGTGGACCTTGTTAGATGACCACTGCACTGAGACCGGGCTCAGGCTTGGACAGGGGAGGGAGCAAGGTGAGCGAACGAAGCTGACCTGAACCGTACCCATTTGCATCTCGGTCAAGTCCTTGTCGGCTCCTCAGGCGTAGAGCGGTGAGGCAATGCGATAGTTAATGCGCGATGCATGTGTGGCCAAGCGGAATCTTGCCCATCAAGGGCGAAGCTTATTGAAGAAACGGACAAAGGCTATCGGGTCTGTCGTTCCAATGGTGCGGTATGCTTCTTTAGATTGGACTGATGGGGGTCGTCGGAACACGGGGCATCGACATGTCGGAACGACCGCCTCAGCCCTGTCCTCGTTTTGCATGCCGAACTTTAGCCAGGGCCCGGCCGACTTCACCGAGCTCGATGCCAGAACAGTCTCGATGAGTGCACTCTGTCCGGACTGGGATAGCCCGCGTGCAGATTGTAATACACAGCACAAATTGTACCTTCACCGATCCTCCGTAACCGGTGGCAACGAGATCAAGAAGGAAGGTGACTTGCATAGCGAATGAGGTATTGGGCGGGTTTGATCCTTTTGCACAAGCACGACGATAACGCGGCAGGTACTCGTGTATCTGAGCTGCATGTTGCAGCCTACATCCTGCTGTGCGATGTCAGAAGTACCTGTGTCGTTTGCAATTCATGCCGAGCCGTCTTCCGTGCTCGCCGTGGTGCGCAGGGAGCCGCGACCTCAGGTTGTACACCTGGAGAAAGTGAGGTATTTCGTTCGCTACAGCACTTCCTGGGTTCTGCTCACGTCAGCCGGGCAGCGCGATTGTCGAATCGCGTCCCGTGCCGTGCGCAGTTCGTGGCGTGATGTTCCCGGCCTGCTACTTTCAATTATGAAGATCACTGGCTATCAGTGTGATTTCACCGGCGCACGACGCAACAGTACAGTAGACAGCCGCTCCGAGGAGAGTTTGATGTGGTACGATGACGACGATTTGATGGGAGTTGTGTCTGCACCTGGCTTGCCTGACCGCAAATGCGCCGGCGCTGTTAAAATGCGCCTGCGGGCGCGACCCTGGTGGTAAGCTCAGAACCTAGTACGACTCTTTGACACTCTTGCTCGATCAAGCTCCGTCGTGGGACTCATGGGCTCGGCATTGTCTCAAAGCAGGAAGATTGTGCCCTCGGCTGGGAAGTCCGGCCGCTCGTGACTTTGCACAGGCCTGTGCAAGCCGTAAGCGGTGGCCGTGGGCGAGCATTCGCGGTCCGTCTTGCCTGGCATCACAAATAAATCATACATCGAGGTTATCTGGAGTTACAGAGTGGTATCTGTATTCCGGCTCATCAGCCGGCTGCAACAGCGTTGAGCCACCGCGGAGTGACCAATAGAAGCTTGGCAGACCCTACAACAGGCGAAACAGGAGCCGCCGACGCGGTCACAACTTCGTCCGACGAGTCCGTAGTTGATCCATGCAGGCCCGTGGTACATAAAAACCGGGTCGGAGAATCTTGTCTGCCTCGGAAACCCTCACCGAGGCGGATAACACCCATATGCGGTGGCTGGTCGCAGCTGCCTTGTGGCCCTGTCAGAATCTGGTCTGGTGTTTTGCTGCCCTTGTCCTCATCGCTCGGCAGCGTGCTCCGAGTCTGGGCGCGCGCCCACCAATCGCGAGGGCGTACAGAACACGCAGGACAGGACACAGCCACGCCCGTAGGAAGAGAGGTGAGGCGGCGGTAATTCCGAGGGCGACGAGAATCGACGTCAGATATTGATGAGCCGCATCGTGCCCGCATTGGCGCTATTGGCGTCATCCAGTCTTCCAAATTTACGAAGTGGGCTCGTTACGCGCCCCGTCTCGATGAGGGCACTGATTTCTGGGGAATCGGAGAAGCCGTTGGGCCCAGGAGGCTGTCAGGAAAGGCCACAGTGCTCACAGCACGGCAGGGGACCAGAGTGAGGAGGACCCGCCCGGAGAAGCCCCGGCGGCGAGTGCAGCGCAGGCCACGCAGGGCAGGGCCGGGCAGGGCAGGGCAGCGAAGCGAGAGGCATCCTGGGCAGGGTGGGCAGGCTGGCAGGGCACTTTATGTGGAGTTTGTCGAAGTGGAGCGGCCCCAGGCTGGAAACAAAATGGAAGCAATGGAAGCTGTGGAACGCGTCGAAGGATTCTTTGGGGGCTGGTCCCTGCACGAAGCCATATGGCTCGGGCGGAGATGAGGATTCGTGTCTCAATCTTTTTTGATCCTCCAGAGTTAGATTTCAGGGTGGCTCCGCGCGCCTGCAGACCCAATGTGAGCATGACAGCGACGGCGCTGCGGACCACGTCTCGCCCGAGACGAGGGTTGCTGCTTGCTCGTTGGCTGCGTGTCCCGTCTCAGGCATCGATCCCGTGGGCACTGGGGAAAGCATTCTCTGATCGTCGCCGGCCGACAGCGCCCCGGAGGTGGGATTGAGCGGTCAGGCAGCCTCAGTATCGCGGGGCGCCGGCGTGGGTGAAGCATCACGGGCCGGATGATGTCAAGCCTGCCCATCCAGGTGGAGGGAGCGCGTTGAGAGGACGAAAAGGAGACCCCAACAGGTGCCAGCGTCACAGGAGGCACAAATGGCGGTGTTGAAAAGGCAATTCGGAATCAGTCAATCAGGTCTCGAAAGTTGTCCCTGGCCCATGGAAGACCCCTGTCGCCACTCGAGACAAGCGCCCTCCCCGTGCAGCGCCTTCCATGCTCGCTGGTTGGCTCCGCGAGGCCTTTGTCAGGCGACTGCCGGGACCCGGAAGGGAAGCCGAGGGCGCAACAGCGCTTGTCGGATGGAAGGTACTTGGCAGGTACCTGCCGCCCGTCACCGTCAAGCCCACCTGGTCACCTTGGATCCTCGGACCCCTGTGAACCTTGTGCGCCTTGGAAGGGGAGGGTCCCATACACGTGTAGAGTTTTGGTCGTGGTTCCCCGAGCTGAGTTGCAGGGCCCAACGTTATGCCCACCGCAGCCAGGGCGATAAGGCTGGCTTTTGGTTTCGTGGGTAGGTATTCCGGGACGACAGGCGCCCTGGCTCGATCGATGCGATGCGATGCGATGCGTGTGTCCTGCGTGCCCTGCCATGTACTTTTACCGCATGTTCGAATGAATGAATGAATGAATGAATCGATGTACGTACCGTTCCGGGTCGCATCTCGGCGCCGACAGACGACAACCAGAACCCGCCGCCCATACCCAGCCTGCGGCGGAACAGAGGCCGACCCAGCATTGCGAATCCCTGGACGGTACTTGGTCGGTTGTGCTGACCGGCCGCATCATGTCATGTGGTGCCTGGGTGCTCGATCCCAGATCAAGCGGCAGTCTGTCGAAGCTTGCTTCTGCCACACACGTAACTTAACATAAGTACGGCACACAGTACCGCACGCATCGTACGACTGATCAAAAGTTTGGCCGTGGGAGCGAGTGCGTCCGGCTGCCCTGGAGGACGGCCAGAGACATGTTCCTAGCTATTTCTGGTCACGATGGCGACTGTGGAAACTCAGCCAGGCGCCTCTTCGAAGTTTATTCCGAGACGTTGGCCGGTCCGAGTCTGTGAGATCTGAGGCCCGAGGTGCCACTGACAGAGCCAGTTTCAAGTCTGGGGAACCAGGCTGAGAGTCGAGATGGGGAAACGTATCATGTACCATGTAGGCGTATGTATGACTTGCAGCTGAGGGCTGAGGGCCGAGAGCCCGGACAGGGAGAGCTCCCAGGTGGCCTTGATGTTATTATTATCATTGGCCGCGTGGGTGTCCAATTGGCCAATGGGCAGCGGTGGCCACCGGCTCCACGGCGCCGCATACGAACGTGTCTCTCTGCCTGATTACTGCGTAGAGTACTATATGGTGTTTGCCTGCACATGGAACGTATGCAGTATACATTGCACTGCAGTCCACGTCCCTACTAGCTTCATAGGCAGGTGGGTAAACGCACACATGTGCACGCGCGTATCAATTATTGACTCTGCAATATTACGATGCAGTACGGCACAATGCGGTAGGGTAGGCGCGGCAGTTGTTCAAGGCAGTCTGATGGGGCTGACTTTTCTCCAGCCTTTCCAGTAGCGACAACTTCGCCGTTGAAGGTTCCTGCCGAGAAGCAGGAGGCCAGGCGAGGCCGGGGGCCCAGCCCAGCCCAGCCCGGCCAGGGAGCTGAGAGGATGGCAGGATAGGCGGGCGAGTGCTACCGTACCCTGGGGCAGACTTTGAATTACCTGGTTGCAGGTATAGGTATTTAGGCAGTTAGGCAGACGATATGCAGATAACGGGATCTCCACACGGCAGAAAGCAGCCGTTGGCCACGTTTTCGTCAGGGAAAGAGCCGAATGGCCGGGACGTCTGGGAGGTTCCCCGCCCACGCTACTCTGGCAGCTGCAGCTGCAGCCCGCCCTACGGAAGTCGCCTGTCGCCTGCCCACTGTTGCATCGTGCAAGGTACGGCGGTCTGGGGAGGCGGAGGGGGGGGGAGGGGGAGGTCGACGGGGGGGCAAATGTGGCGGCCAGGGTGCTCCGAGTACCTGAGTACCTGGGAACCTGGGCGGGCAGGTGGCAGGGCAGCAGGGCAGGTGGCGCGCGAACTGCCCCCTTCCCTAAAAGGGGGTGGGTCTCCCTCGCGCTCGTGCTCGTGCTCTGGTCCAGGAGCGCCCGTGCTTTCCTGTGCTCCAGTGCTCTTGCCATTTGCGGCCAGCAGGGTCTCATGGGCTGTTGGGCCAGCCTGTGGGCCCACCCAATCGGACGAAGCAGCCTGTCAACATCTCGGTGAGGGGGGCTCGGATCCCCCTTCCTGGTCCCGTCTCCTGTTTCAAGTCGCACCTACCGTATCTGCTGCACGACTTTCTTTTTGCCTTGTCCGTATCGCATCGTATCATGTCTGCTTGAGAGGAGAAACCCCCCATCTTGCCGTGCAGGCCGGCCTGTAAATGTTGTCAAGGTGACGGTGTCATGACAGCCACGGCACGGGAGAGGAACCACAGAATAGGCAAAGCAATCACACCCCAGCTTCGCTATCACCACCACTACCGCCGCCGCCACCGCCATTACCATAACCATCATCATCAACCAACCCCTTTCCTTCCTCCAGGAAACCCGGGGGAGCTGGGAGGTGGGCAGGCTGGCAGGGGGGGTTAGAGTGTGGCCAAATTAGATTTGTGCCTCAAAAAGTTTCAACGTCACGGCGGTTCCTGGTGCTGGTCGCCTCCGTTACCTGTCACCTCATGCCCAATGCAACGATGTCTACATGGGAGGTGCCAGTTGCTTGCTTTCCTAGTGCGCCGGTCCGTACGCAGCGGTCCACACGCAGTCCGCCCTGGGTACTCCATCCGTGCCGTGCTGTGGATTGATGAACGCGATCTACAGTGCACCAAATCACCTGCATGAGCGCCACAGGAGCCCATACAGTAAGTAGATGCCATGTAGGGCTCAGATTCGGACTCAGGCCCGGGGCGGGCGAGGCTCTCAGCTGTGTATCACATCATACATATCTGCCAGGTACCCGCCACAAGACCGGGTCCACGGCCCATGGTCGCATCCAGATCCAGGCACAGTTCGAAGCGAAGGCCATTTCTCGACCCATCAGGTCCTGGTCAGTCGGTGGGGCCCAAGAATGTTCTGCAGCAACTGACATGGGAATGGGGCCTTGGGGAAGCGGAGAGGGCTGAGAGGGTAGGGGAGAGGAGGCAGTACTGTACGGAGCACGGCGTGGGAGGTGTGTTAATTACCAACCGTACCTGCGCACCGCCGGGGATGGCAGCCGGCTTGAGCTTGTCATACTGTTAGTGGGTGCGGAGTAAAGTGCTACGGGCATCATCATGGCTACAGCACAAGGTTTTCCGCACGACACGAACACCAAAAATAATGCGCTGCGCTGCATTGCAATACAATACACTTCGGTAAGCCGTACGTTCAGGACTGCCGGTATCGGGGAGCCGTTCCGACGCCCAGGATTGCGTTTCACCATACAACTAGCCATGTTCCAATGCGATCTTGGGCGCCCAGGCTGCCAGGTCAACCAACTGACTGCTCTTGGGGGTTCCGACGTGGGCAAAGAGAAGAGCCGAATGCCACCTCAGGAACGTGGCATCCCAAGCCTCTTATTATCACTCACTTAACACAATGGCATGTTAGACTACGCGCCAGTTGTGTGTGCATGTGTGTGTGTGCGCGTTCGCACTATTCACACGCCCAGCTACGCGAACACGCCCGCACTCGCGAGAAGCTAGCCATCTACTCTGTAGACCTACCCACCATCTGTGAAGGTACTGCCCCCGTAGGCAGGCAGGCAGCGGTAGTGCAGGTGTGATCAGTATGCACCTGGGCATTCATTTTGCTATCGTCATCAACTGATGTGATTGTTCTGGAAGCCATGACCTTCTGCGGCGGGAAAAGAGGGGCTTGGCTTCCAACATGGGATTGGGCCTCAGCAGAAGCAGCAGAAGCGGCAGCGCCAACACCACCGCATCAGGGTCACGCAGACTGACGGCGTCCACATTCGCATACATATGCAGCCGATGCATTCATGTTCTGGTCAAGTACCCCTCGTGCCTTCTCGCAAACTGCATGCACATCTGGTCCACCGTCCACCGTTCCCCCAGAGAACCAGAAACCGTCCTGACCGGTTTCCAGGGCGAGACACACATCGCCAATCATCACACCTCCGTACGTCTTCCCCTCGTCGCCTACCATCAACGTTCACACCATCAGCAGCAAGAAAAAGCAACCAGAACCGTCGCCAACAACAGGACGGCACAAAGCAGCGTGCTTCTTCTCAGGCCTCCCGCGGAGTTTGCCATCCTCCGCTCGGCTCGGTTGCGGCCTCGCAGGATGGCGGACCACGGGTGTACACAGTGTCATACGAGGGCGCACATCTTCACCACACCATCCTCTGCCAGAGTCTTACATCCATCCTTCCAGCCGGCCAACGTCGAGGTGACATCTCGGGTACACTACCCGCAGTCCTTATCGGGTTGGACCGCCTGCATCAAGTCATGGGCCGTCTTCAGGCATCTTCTGCTGAGCCGAATCGCAAATCTTACCAATAGTTAGATGTCATGGCGAATCTTGTCCTACAACCCCCAAGGTCGGGCCTTAATGTTGTGCCACACCACGCATCTCGCGGCAATCTGAATACCTCTCTCTTCATGCCGCCCGGCGCTTTGGAAATGACAGGTTCGGATCGCCGCAGCTCCCTTCCGAAAAACGACGTGTCAGTTGGGTCATTTTCATGCGGTACGGGCGTACAAACCATTGTTGTTTTCTATCGCACACGCCGCTGTGCCCTATCTCAGCCGTCTGCATCATGATCATCCTCAAGAAGGCTCATGTCCGCATCTCGGAATGCACCTTGCCTCGTCCAACTGCGCATGAGCCGTGGTGCTCATTCGGAGGGCCCCGTCGACCTATTGTGACAAGCCATTGTCGATTTCTTTTGGCCTTTCAACCCATGGTTCGCGAACGCGTCAGGGAGAAAATCGCCCAAAGATTGCACATCGTGGAAATAGGTCGCACTGCGTACCGCTGCAACTGCCTATGAGGGTTCTCCCGCTACGAGCCGAGGACTACAAGTCTTGCGGTAACGTCACCCCAGCCCATTGGAGCTCGTACAGTCTGCTGTCATCGTCTTGGCGTGGCGGTCCAGGTCACCAGAATTAGGTCATGAGGCCCTATGTCTCTCTGTACATGGTCGTCATCCGCAAATTGCCTCAGTCCGCGGTGCCTCCATCAGCGCAGGATCTGGAGGCCCGGTCACAACCGGGCAATATACTGTGGGTTGTACCGGACTTTCTTCACGCGTGTACCACGATCAGATACCATGGTCCCTGCCCAACTCTTCCAAGCACCAGCCCCGATCTCAACACCCAAGCTGTGCGATCTACTACAACGCTGCGTATCAGAAGCCGAACCCAATGTCTGAGACCCCTACGGTCATGGTCAGAGATTCGGAAATCGCTGTTGAGCCCTTACAAAAGACTTCCTGATGGCAGTCTATCAGAACAGTCCCCGGTCCATCCCACAGCGTCGAGCCGAGGGCCAAAAGTGGTCTCAGAGGGTCGAGCCCTGTCCTCGCAATGTCAGACAAAGGTGACAGAGGATATAAGGGGAGTATCTGTGAGGTCCGATCCTGACCTTCGGTTCAGTAGAGGCCTCAAATCTTCTGGGAGGCACGCTGATCAAGCCAGCCATGTACCAAACCTTAATGGGACCTGTGATATTCCATTTCATTGTGGGCGGTCTCTCAACTCATCGGCGTTTGCATTTGAGGCCGAGGGAGTACGAGGAATTGGACGATCCGAACTTCGTCGATGAGTTGCACGCCACCCCAATACTTCCTTGCTAATCATAGCAGTTGGACAAGTGCCGCCTCACCGATCATAAAACTCGCTCCGGCCATCCATCGCAATCACTTGCACGTCCTGTGTGGCAAGGTTGCAGCATTCTCTGAAGAGCAACATGTAGGCCGTTCGACGATCTTGACCGGTTTTGCTATGCAAGGCTACATACAGCCTACGCCCGAGACCTTCGAATGATGAAGCGTTGGAACAGGCCGGCCTAGTCAGATAATCGTACCACTCGCATGTCGATCATTTGATGACTATCAGAAGGCCAGAACTGCTGCAAGCGAGCATTATAATTTCGTACCTGGATCAATGATCCTCGCCAATGGTCTGATGGTGCTACGTAGGACATCGCACTACTTGTCTTCCGAAATTCAATCACAAAGCCCGGAATACTTCGCGCAACGACCAGGGTCGGGGAAGAAAAAGAAGGCGACCACCTCCAGGTTAGTTTCCGTCATCACACTCCAGCAGCTAGCTTTTGTGATCCTAACTTCGGAATAGAACCGCCAGGGGAGAGTGCGTCCTGTCCCATGACCGAAATGCGTCCTGTGATTGTACACACCGCCCGTGACGTCACAGGATTGGCCTACGACCATCCGCGGCCTGACATCTTCCACCCCTCCCTGTGGTTGACAGACATACACATATCTCGAACGATGCTGAAGAGGCGATCTCGTGGCATTCCGAGCTTTACTTGCTACCTACAATAGCACGCAGAAAATGAGGGCGGCATGAGAAGTTTGTCATCATTTACAGGTGGCGCATACCAACGCCGAGTACCGCTTCAAACCTGAGCCTGTTGCGCCGTTGGCCATGCTTGTCAAAATTGTTGTGCCAACGAGCTGTACCAGGGAGTCTCGAGAGTGCTCACCCGAAGAGCTACAGGCCTGGAATCCGAATATCCTTGTCGGCTCATCAGTCTTGTTTCACCAGGGTTTAAGAGGGCTGTCTTACTGTCGCGAGGCGCAATTTCCTCTCACCGGCGTTGAGGCATCATACGAAGGCCATGGAGATGACCACACGGGGCAGCATCGTACTCGCTGGGCTAGTCTGGTCACCCACCTCTGGAGCGCCAAAGGTTGCATACGTTGTGATGCCTCCTTCTCCATTCCCCAGAAATGTCTCAGATGGACATGAGGAAATGCGACCCTCGCATTGTTTGCACGCAATAGCAAAACACACCGACTACCCAGTATGCAGAGTCAGAACAAGGGCTGTCAAGTTGCCGGGATTGGCAACCCTGCTACTATGGGTGACGATGGAGTCGGTCCGTCGCGTCAGGTCACATCAGCACTTGTGGGCCTTCGGAAAGCAGATCGAGACCCCATCTCGCAAGCGGCTGCCAAGTGACCTTGGATCAATGAATCCTTCAGCCCTGTTGTGGAGTTTCTAAGGTCTCATTTCCATAGCAGACAAAGCCGGGGCTGTCTTCCCGCATCCCATGTCACCCAACCCATCTCCTCGGACGCCAAAAGTACTCGGAGTACTCTACCTATCTTGGGGCCAATCCCGAAAGCAAAGTATCATGGCCGTCTCCAGCGTCATGTACTTTCAATGCTCGCGTCTCAGTCCGTGTGAGGCAGAGACTCTACTTCCTCTCGACATCGTTGACAACCGGCAGGGATGAAGCTCGTGTTGTCGACATGATGTAGCAATACGTGTACAATGGATTGACCATGGGGTTCTGACGAATGAGAATCCCCTCTACAACTCCTAGTCATCGATTCGGCTCGCTTGGAAAGTTTATCATTCTCATGGAACAGCTCATCAGGAGCTAGTAGCCTCACCGCCGTGTTGAGCTCTGTGCTGCAGCAGCAGCAGGGTTTAATCGAACGGCCACATATCTTGCGCTAGTCGATGGAGGCTGAGATGGTGAGAGACCATGCAAGCTTCGTACAAATCAGCACAATGGCCAGGGTGTGGCGCCGTCGTAGTGCATATGCAACTCCATCAGGACCGCAATATATCTAGCCTAATGCTTGGGGAAGGCGCTCACCGAGTTGTGAGTCCTAACCCTTTACTGGTTGGCAAGTCTTGCATGGAGACCACCCCCCCCCCTTCAATGGATCCGTAGAGTCGGTACCGAAGTACCCCGAGCTCTCCTCCCCCGGATACCGGAGCGACGCGTGAGAAAATGACCCCGCTGACGTCGACACGGCGTTGCTCACGCATCGGTCGAAGCCTCACTCATCCAAACTTTTCCAATCCACCGATATCTGTCCACGCACTGCAACCCACCAACGCTGAACAATATTGCCGACGCCAACCGGTGGCACAGCAGACGTGCACAAGTCCTTTTCAGACGAAAAGCTGCAGATCCTACTCATCCGGACGGGGCTGTCTACACCGAGCCAACCCATCGCAAACCGGACCCGCGCCAGACCAACCAACACACACAAAGATGGCCAAGAAGGGCGGCGGCGCCGGGGAGAACAGCAAGAAGGCTGCTGGGCAAGCCAGAAAGGCCGAGGCTGCAGCCAACAAGAAGGCGGCCGAGGACTCCAAGAAGGCTGCAGTAGAAGACGCCGAATGGTCAAAGGGTTCGAAGAAGGCCAACGCCAAAAAGTGAGTTGCCCAACCATGCCGCCCTTCCATCCGACCACCCAGAACGGTGCTCGGCCCGTCCCACCCATCCGCGTCTTCTCTTACGGGTCTATTCCGCCCGACCAGAGGCCTGTTGGTCGCTGTCTCACAGGAGAGACGTGTCACATCCGACCCATCCCTTCGGGCCCGGCCTACACCCTCACCCCCACTTTCCACTCGATCACGAGGGAACAGCCCACCCCCATGATTCCTATGCCACCACCACGGCACCCTGTTCCCGACGTTGCAGTTCGGTGCTGACTGTGCCACGCCTTTGTGATCAGGGAGGAGGAGGCAGCCAAGAAGGCCGAGGCCGCGCGCAAGAAGGCAGAGAGAGATGCGCTGCTCGCCGAGGAGGAGAAGAACACGCCCGGTAGATCGGCGCCCAAGAATGCCAAATCGGCTCAGAAGAAGACGAGGGGCCTTGACAGCGCTCTGGACTCGCTTGACTCTGGGGAGCCTGGTGACCGCAAGCTGGCAACCCTGAACGCGTCTGGCCTTGACAATGCTCTGGACGCGCTCGAGATCACTAACACCAACAACAAAGCCAAGATTGATCGGCACCCCGAGAAGCGCGTACCAGCAGCGTGGGAAAAATACTGGGTGCGTAGGCAGAAGGAGCTCAAGGCTGAAGGTTTCCTGGCACTCGGAGGGAACGACCTCATGTCTGTCAGGCCTAAGATCTGGAAGGAGTTTCAAAAGTCGCCTGAGAACCCCATGAACCAAGTCCACGCTACCTACAATATGACACAGGAGGAGCTCGCAGAGATCCGAGCACAGGAGAAGAGCAAGACTGAGAAGAGGCTTGCCGAGGCTTAAACAGTCAAGATTGTTGTCCAAGTTGCGGTGCTGCAGCGGTACGCTAGAGTCAAAGTTGACTCCCAAGTGGCATTCGCTGTTATCACACGTGGGAATGCGTATGGGTCCGCAGAAGTCTATTCACACTTTATTGCACAAGTCAAGCAGGTCTATACGGTTGGAAACACAGCTTATGACGCGGGCATATATATATGCCACGAGTCTCAGATTCCATAGGAAATTTTTTTTTGAGAGCGGATATTCGCAACCGCGGAAACGGAGGGTACACCCGTACATCACTCGCACCACAGCCGCAGCTCATCAGAGCGCATCACCCAGGCCTTTTCGCACACCCACATACCCACGCACCCAACACCTACACACCCAATCCCCATACCCAACTCATACACCCAATTTGCACATCTAACTTGCCAATTTAATTAGTAACCTAATTATTCCTAGGCATATAAATTAAGTATGCCAACTAGGTATATAGGTGTCCGGTGTGCAACTTAAGTGTGCGAGTTGGGTATGTGAATTGAGCGTGGGTGTTGGTTTACTGCTGGCGATGTACGGGTGTACCCTCCCACTTTGCGGTTGCGAATATCCGTCCTCTTTATTTTTGGGTAAATATTCGACAATCCGGTTGTAAGAGAGACTGGAGGATCGCAGAATGCAGACTCGACGTTGTCCAGGCACACTTCCCGCATGGCAATTTCTGCGATTGATTGCACGCCGGCAAGGGGCATTTCAATTGTCATGGTCATGGTTGATTTGTGCAAGCTTTCAATGCTGAGCATTTGAATGGCTCTCTTGACCCTCCTGGTGCCTGTTTGGCGGCCTGTTTGAGAGGCCTGCACCTAAGCGCCGAGGTGGAGCCTGCTCTGATGAGATGCACATCTCGAGACCGAATGGGCGCCAACTTCATCTCTGAGAATGTGGGTGTGGTTTTTCATTCTTCATAACATTTTCTCCTTCAAGTCACCGACCGCCCTGCCATGAGTTTATGTACAGAATGCAAGTCGATGTCGACAAGGACATTTGAAGGTGACGAAACCAAGCTGTTCCGCCACGGCTACGACAGCTTCCGAAAGGCTGTTTTTGAGAGCAAGTGCTATATTTGCTGCCGCGTCTGGGAGAGCCTCACGGAGGAACAAAAGGAGGTGGCCAGCCGGCCTGAATTCATGGGCATTGAGTACCACTTCAGACCAAGGAGGGCGATCGACTCGGACGGGGATCCGACGCTTACTGTGGCTTCACTCACGTTCAAGTGGGATGATGACCTCTTTGACTGTGAGGATTATGACGAGCCCGGGGGGTTTGACGTAGGAGAAGGAACTTTTACAGCTCTCAACCCTGCCAGTATGTTTGTCCATTCACTAATTCTCTGCCCGTTCCAGTGATGAATGAAGGGTGACTGGGGTTGGGAACGCAGCAGCCAGTCGGGCCTTGTGATCTGACCAGGTTTGTCCATGGCGCCGCGAGTGTGGCTGTCTGTCCTGCCAGTATCTCATGGGATGCACTCGAGAAGCTCGGCTTTAAGAAAGACCACAGGTCTCAGACCGGGTCACACTGTACTCAAGGAGACTGCGGACGGCGTCTGCCGTAGGATGAGGGTGATCTCTTCTGCGCATCCAGACTCAGCGGAAGGTGGCTTGGAAACCCTTCAAGAGTCTGCTTTGAGAGTCCTGGAGGTTCCAGCAAGAACATTCAGAAGCTGCTCATACTAACGTCGTGGACAGTCTTTCCTGTAGAAAATTCCCCAAGATTGGCAGAGACCACAAATGACCCTTTATGTTGGGCAACTGTTTCGAAGTGGGTGGCCCGCTGCTCCACCAACCATCCAGCATGTCGTGAATCGCGAGATGAAACATGGAAACCGACTAGACTTATTGAAGTGGATGGATACGACAATAGATATGTTCGCGTTGTGGAATCGTCCACTATGCTTCATACATCCATTGAGCCTTACCTGGCACTCAGCCACTGTTGGGGTCGGAAACCTTTCTTGGTGATGAATGAAAGCAACAAGAAAGAGTTTGAAAAGGGCGTTCTCGTCTCGTTCCTTCCTCTGAATTTTCAGGATGCGATATTGACCACTCGACGACTTGGATTTCGGTACATTTGGATTGACTCGCTTTGTATCATTCAAAGTTCGCGGGACGACTGGGAAAGAGAGGCGCCGCAAATGAACCAGGTGTATAGGAATGCATTCCTTACGCTTGGCGCGATGGCATCTCCTGACGCCCATGGTGGCCTGTTCCGGAAGCGGGACCCAGGCATGGCAAGCCCAATACCGGTCAATATCAGAACTAAAGAAAATGAGGTTGTCGAGTGCTTGTTGATCAAGTCTGATTTCTGGCATAGCCACGTCAGGCAGGCCCCAATGAGTAAAAGGGGTTGGGTTGTACAGGAACGCATCCTGACTCCGAGGAGTCTATACTTTTGCGAGAGTCAACTTTTCTGGGAGTGCCGAGAGCAACATGCATGCGAGTGGTTTCCTCTCGGAATTCCTCACATATTCGTGACCGAGATCAAAGAGCCTTACGCCGAAGAAATCTTCTCCGTCAAAGGGTTCGAGAAGTCGGTAATGCGTCTCAATGACGCTGATTCTCAAGGAAGCGGCGACGGGCCGCAGCAATACGAGACTGTTTACCAGGTATGGGCGGACGTTCTGGAGTCTTACCTTAGGTGTGCCCTCACCAATCCGGACGACAAATTTGTGGCTATATCTGGCGTGGTCAAAGACTTCGCGAGAGCTATCGACGACGAATACTTAGCTGGTCTATGGCGGCGAAACTTCGTCAACGGCCTTCTCTGGACTGCCAGACCAGAGAGTAACTATGAGTGGGACGTGTCGCCAGCTGTCCGACCTGATCGGTACCGAGCACCATCATGGAGCTGGGCTTCTCTTGATACCCCCTCCATGGAAGTGTATCATTATTGGGAAAGTCAATTGGCCGGCGAATATGTTGACGTCTCAGACGTCCACGTTGAGCCCAAAGGCAACGATCCCACAGGAGAATTAAGACACGCCTGCCTGCATGTCAGGGGTATTCTCATTCTAACTCGCCGCAAACCAGAATTTTACAACGAAGCAAACCACTTTGGAAATTTCATTCCTGATATGAAGGAGACACCAGAAGCCCCGGCTTACTATTGTCTGCCATTGCGAGAAGAACTAGACCGTGACAAGCCGAGACTCAGGGGATTGGTTCTGACCCGGGTCCTGGAGGACGAGAAGGGAGATATGACGTCCTGTAGCAAGTGCTCTGGAAAAGTTGTGCTCAAGAGAGTCGGTACCTTCGTATCCGAACAGGGCGACCCACTCCAATATTTGTCGATGCGCAAGCCTGAAGATTGGGCGGATTGGGGGGAAGAGAGCGATCACTTGTGGTTCCCCGAACACGCATATACTTGGAATCTCATCATTGTTTAGTAGCACATTGGTGATAGAATCGAAAGTGAAGGAATCTGCGTAGTGGAGAACAACAGATAAAAGCATGGATGGAAATGGACAGCATGAGGGAGTCCAGGAACGGAGCCGTGAGCCGGGAAAATGATGCTTCAGGTAACATTTCCAGGGGTAGGGCCAGGTTCTCTCATTTTTGACATCTTCATCAGGCAGAGAGGCCGCAATCGAGTACTCAAGTGTATCATGACCACGATGAAGTTGCCAAAATCAAAGCAAGGTCGCGGTTGAGAATCGCAACTCGTGCCAGTCGACGTTGGGGTTGCCTTGTTTTGGAAGTGGGGACGTCGTAACCCCAGAATACATAACCCTGCCAGCAAACAGCTTGGTACGCCTTACATAACCGCTTTGGTTGACCACATACCGTACACTACAGTCGTTTCAGCGCACCTCATGTTTATGCTCGCCATGATATGACAGACCACCAAAATGGCGTCGCTGAAGATGGCAATGTTGCCGTCTTTACGACGGCAGAACCTCCTCGCAGAGTTGTGCGTCCATTGCTCCGTTGCTTCCTCGAGCCTCGACATGTGATTGCTGACCTGGCTCTCTTGTCTCCAGTGCTGGGCTCAAGCAGTCCTGCCCCCAGGGCGTGTTCGTCAGTTTGACGCCAGGTGACCCTTCTCTCTGGTCAGGCGTTATGTTTGTGCGCAAAGGTATGCAAGTAGCTCGAATGTTCCAGGGCCATACTGACGATCACCTAGGACCCTATGCTACCGCGATCCTCCGATTCTACATCTCCTTCCCGGATACCTATCCCGCACTGCCGCCGCTCGTGACGTTTTCGACAGACATGTTCCATCCCTTGATCACGCCCCTCACGACCTACATGTACACGACCGACATCCAGGAGGGCGGCACCGTCAGCGCAACGGACGAGGAGCGTCTCCCACCAGGCGGCTTCAGCCTGCGGCACGGTTTCCCGGACTGGTTCGGCCGCGGCAGCAGGGGCCGGCCGGCACCGGGACAATACCCTCCGGAGACCCCTAGGTCCTCCAGAGCCCTTGCCGCCGGCGGTGACAGCAACTCGAGCACGCCCAACTCCAAGATCGCTGCGACGCCGCCGAGCGCAGGCGGCGGTCATGCTGGCAATGCTGGGACTGGCGGCAGCACCGGCAGCAAACAGTCTTTCATGGACGTGCACAAGAGGGACATCTCGACTGGCGAGGTGCTAAGTTACATTCGCAGCACCTTTGATGACCAGGCAGTGATGGACTCGATCCCACTTGAAGCGGCTGGAAACCCGGGTGCTTGGCACGCTTGGGCTGCATACCGCGGACATACCACCATTCCTGAGGGCGAACCAGCCGTCAGGAAGCCGGGGGACTGGAATTGGGAGGGTGTGTGGGAGGAGAGGGTGCAGAGGAACATACAGGCATCATTGTCGGAGCCTGTTCTGTATGGGGATGTTGGTGGCGATGACACTGTGAGGCACCTTCACCCCGAAAACCTCTAAATTATTTCTCTCGCTGACACCTCGATAGATTCGATTCCTCAGCATGGAAGAGGGCGCAGTCGAGACGGTAAAGGACAACCTTTACAAGACTTTAGGCGAATCAGCCAGGGCTGATCCGCTGGCTGTTCCTTCCGTCAATCCTTGAGCGTGCGAGTTGTCACGGTCATGAGGAAAGCGCGCATCACAAGACGTAGAGGAGTCGACAACAACAAACTCCGGAGGTTTCTTTTCCTTGACAAATGATCAGCAATGCTTAGAATTGATACCCAATGATCGCTTTTACATCCGCATCGGATTACCTCGCCTGTTATCCAAACAGCTGCATCGCTTTCGACTATGAGTGATCACGTTGGTATCACCGTGCTATTCATTGTTGTTCCAGTTGCACTTGTGGCTCTTGTCGCTTATTTCTTCATCAAGCTACCTCCCCCTGTTCAGTCGATATCACGCCGCAGAGGAGCATCCGCGCGACTGGTTCGCAGAGCAGCGCCTGTCTTCACCCGTACAGACTCCTGGCCAGACCTCGAATCTTGCACTCTGCATAGAGCTCAGCCTTTAGCACAAGCGCCACGTAACGGAACCAAGGACAAGTTGGGCATTGAAGCTCCGGCACCAGTATGGAATCCCACGCGCCGGACTCGACTCAACTGGGGCTTCACGATTCGAAACAGTCCGGCATATCGCCTGAAATGAAGCGTGTCTTGCCGCTGCGCATCGTCAAGCGCTCAGACAGCACTTGCGGTGATGATGCCGACGACCGACCTTGTCGAAGATGTAGCCAGGCCACAACTGAGAGTCGTGGCAGCGCCCCTGAGTCCGCTGGGGGCGAACCACAACTGGCGGTGCCCAAGGTCCGGGGCAGCAGGACCATTCAGGTCTTTGACAGCCTGGAAGGCGTCGACGAGAGCCCCGTGCCGCTAGGTCGTGAGGCATATTTACGAAACGGTTAGTTTCTAGAATACTCTCCTGGCATACATTGCTGACAGAGTGGGCAGACCATGCGGCCCCTGATCATCAGCTCGTCCGAACAGGGCAAAGAATGCCGTCGAACCAGTACTACAATATCGACACCGGGGACTTGCAATCGATTGGTTCATGTTCTTCTCGCGGGTTACCAAAGCTCAGGGGAAAAGGATTTGCCAAGTCTGCAGTTGGGTTCCGGGATCAATTCTCATTTCTGAGCCCTCGCAGTGGTGCATCACCACCGTACCGTCCCTTCCCTGGTCTTCTGGGCGACATCATCCAGAGGTCGAGGACTTCGCACACTCTGCCTTGCGGCGACTCAGACGACCCATTCTCGTCTCAGCCGTCTGATGATGAGCCAGGCTCTCTTTCTATTGTCGCTCCTGAAGTAGTTGTCACCCCAGACAGTCGGGTCGTGGACCATGGCTACCACAACTTCTGGGTTGCCGTCGAGATCACGACAACAAAAGGCAACGGGTGCCTCTGTGATATCACGGTCGATATTGAGCCTACCGCCAACAGTGCCGTGTTGGAGGTGATTGAGAACTTCTCTGCGCCTACCAGTCTCTCGCCCGGGTCTGCAATCCTGGTACTTGTAAACGTCGAGCTCAATCTAGCCAACTACCCCAGAATCAGAGGCCACATCCGTTCAAACTCGGACGACCTGATAGAGGACCTCGAGGACCAACTGGGCAGCGCGCAATGCGAGTACCTGACGGTCAGCCTCATCTACCAGCACTCTGCCTTCGCGCCCGGCATCAGAGACGCCAACAGCGGGGTCACCAGGGCGCAGACCAAGATCCGCACCGCGTACACGGCCACTGTGAGCCGGCACAACGCTGCCTCGCCTTGGTCGCCACCTCCCGCGCCCGCGCCGAACCACCGCCTCCTGGGAATCATCGCGGCCCACTAGAGCGTGGACGCCGCGGACGAGCTCCTGCAGACAAAGCTCACTAGGAGGCCCACGCCGCGGAAAACGACGTACCTTGGCCCGCCGCACCCGAGCATGCCTTCGCGGCGTGGCGGTCGTCACGGGGCGGTGCCGATGCCGACGCGACCTGCGCCGGCGGTGCCTCCTGCCGCCGATAAGAATGAGCGGGGGCGCCGCGGGAGCGGACAGTACGACGGGGACGACGGCATGGAGCAGGCCTCGAGGATCTGGGCCAAGATCCGGCGGTGCTCGGGGATCAGCCTCGCAGACAGGACGAACATGAGCATGGTCGAGGAGCAGGGCCTTGCTGCGAAGCGGGGGGTACCAAAGATGGGTGGGAAGACGAGGAGAGGCTCGGGTCGTTGGGGTTTTGGGAATTGGTGGGCTTGACTAGGCTTCTAAGAGTGGCGGTTGGTTGATTATTATTATGTGCGTAAAGCTGGGTGTTGGGGACTTGTAGGCTCATGGGCAGGTACACAATTGTTGGGCAATGATATGCTCGCTGCTTTACTGGCAGCACACTGCATTTGGCTGAGCCTGTGCTGCGAGTCATCATTTGAGTGCGGTGCCCATGAAACGAATGAATGAGAAGTACAAGCTACCAAGGATTTCTGCAGACCAGATTCTCGGTCAAAATGTTCTGGTGCCATGCTCATGCTGTCAAGGGTTGTGTGGAAAGCTGGTGATAATTCTCGTCTAGCTTCCTACGCCTCGTAGTTTGGTGGGCTCGTATTGAGAAGGACTTGGAATCCTTGACGATATGCTTTGTGTATAAGCAATTATAAGGCTGCCAAATAACTGCGTCACACGTATTTGGGAATCGATCCGGGATTGATACAGGCAATGCGGAAAACTGGCAGCCTGTCCCGCACGCTGAGATTGAGCGATATCAGTGGACATTTAGATATATGCGGAAAAGCCTGAGTACTTCATTTCTCCGTCTGGTCATTTGGACGTTGAGGGCTGGCGGCACCCTTGCCACGCCAAATAGGATTCCCATCATCATCGAACTCAGCCCACTGGAAAAAGGTGCACCCGTCCTTCCCGGGTACGTTCCCAGCATGGCACATCCAGAAATACCTGCCCCAGTTCTCCTTCTTCTTCTGAACGACCCGTAATACAGTCGGAACACCGCACCTGCACTTTGGCGTGTGGCTGGGGTGCAGGCTTGCCTTGTAGTCGCGGTAGGTGACGTTGATCCGCCTGTTGCCGGCGAGGGGGTGCGGGTCGATAGCCTGCGCGGGCGCGATGCTGTGCTTCCACTCCTCCTGCATCTCGGCGTGCATTACGAGCAGCGAGTTGTGCGGGAGATGGATGGCGATCTGGCCCCCGGCGTCGCCGTCTGCATCCTTCTTCGCGTTGCTGGTGCTGCTGCCGCTGTCCTCGTCCTTGGGCACGACTCGCCGCACACGGAACTCGCGCGCCACACCGAGCGAGAGCGACCCGATCACAGCGCGGGGACCAAGGTAGGTGAGCTGGTCCGAGTGCCAGCCTACCGACTCGCCGGGGCCGTTGTAGCAGTTGACGAAGGCCGCGTTTGGGGTCCAGGGCTCTGGGGATTGGTGCTTGAGCTTGAGGCCGCCCGGGCAGCGGGTCCTGATGCGTTCCTGGATCTCTGCGTTCACGGCTTTCTGGACTAGAGGCTTGGCCTTGTCTAAGTACGGCGTGATTTTGCGGACATCGGTGAGACGTGCGCCATTATATAAGTACTATGCGGATTATGGTAAGCAGGCGTCTTGCAGAGATATAGTGAGTGGGCTAGTCTACCTCGATTTTCTGTTTCCGCATCTCGTCATGGCTGTCAACGTAGAACGAGGAGGTGTGCGGGCTTGAGACGACATTGTCGAAAAGCTTGAAGGTGATTTTCTCGAACGTCTTTGACTCTTCAAGCATTTCTATCAGAAGGCCATTTGCGAGGTCAGAAGGAAGAAAATTATGGATTATAGAACAAGGCGTATGCTCTGCTATATCATCAGGATCAAAGAGATGCAGCGTGGCGCCTTTCCGGGACAGTAGCTTCGTCTTCTTGGGCGCTGGAGTTCCATCCACAGATTGAGGCGCGGCGAAGTTTTTCAGCGATGTCTGCGACACTGCTGAACTTGCAGTTTTGTTTGATGATGATGATGATGACGACGATAGAAGAGACCTGCTGGCGCTCGGCACAGAGAGGGACACAGAAGCTGCGGCGACGGAGCCATCATGCTCTAGCAAGATATCGAGGAGGGCCTCTTGTGAGACACCGGGGTACAAAGACGAGAGAATGGCAAGCTTCACCTCTGTGGCCTCGTCGTCTGCGACTTCGATGTGGCCATGTGGGACTGTCTTTGGATCATCCGCAGGGGTCGCCTTCCGCTTTCTCTTGATGAACGACTCCATGGCTCATTGTGGAACGACGAATTGGCATTAGAACCCGCAGGTAGATGGTGACGTGCTTAATCTGGGCTGAGACAGGAGAGAACCCTGAGACAACGATCGTGTGGAAGTATCTGGCGTGGCTGTGGTTTGGCCGTCAAGCACCAAAATATGCCGGCGGTGACTCGCTTGTCACACGAAGGGCGTGTGTACTTGATGAGACGTGAACGGCCTGAATTGATGGGCTCGCGAAGTCGCCACGACGGCACGTGGTCTGGGTGTTGGGCACTTTGCAGGGGTTCAATATTGGTGTGTAAGCAGGCCAACTACCCTGGGCCAGCCTCTGGTTCTATGGTTTCCTATGTATTGTTGTGACATCTGGTAGGATATGACACTCTCATAACTATACAAGTCAATTTGGCCGCTTCCCATGTATTCTAAGTGAATCGTTTGAGTGTTACGAGCCTCAATGGTGGATCACGGATGATCCATTCCCTGTCCTGCTCTCCCCAGACAGTCTCGCATCGGGCCGAGATCGGCAGGCGGCGCGGGACAGCCGAGGCTCATAGCAGCGATTGACATCACTCGACTTTCTCCGGCAAGCCAATCGCCCACCATAGAAGTTGTCCTGTCAGAAGCCAACGAGCCTGTCGCATGGCCGGCACAACCCATCTCACTCAACATGGCTGCTATGCTTGAGTTCCGAACGAGGGGCTTCAATCCATACGCCGTCAAGTACTCTCCTTACTATGACAACCGAGTGGCCGTGGCCTCGGCCGCCAACTTTGGCATCGTGGGCAATGGCCGTCTCTTTGCGCTTGGTCTGACGGCTGCTGGCATCCAGGTGGAGAAGACGTGCGTTTGATCCGTCTTTCGATACAAGCATTGGCTTCTTATTGTTGTCCGCGATCGCTGACAAGCCCTCTTCAGCTTCGATACGAACGACGCACTGTACGACCTAGCGTGGTCCGAGATAAACGAGAACCAACTGCTCGCCGCATGCGGTGATGGCTCCATCAAGCTGTTCGACCTCGGCGTCGACACCTACCCAGTCATGAACTACCACGAGCACAAGAGGGAGACATTCTCGGTGTTCTGGAACCAGACGACAAAAGACACCTTCGTCTCAAGCTCATGGGACGGCACCGTCAAGATAGTCAGTCCTTTTCCTCCCACACCCTCCCCCCCCCACCTCTCCCAAGAAAGCCTTGCTCACATACCATGTCCCCTCAGTGGTCGCCAACCCGCCCACAGTCCCTCAAGACCCTCCCCATCGGCAGCTGCACCTACAGCGTGTCCTTCTCCCCGCACAACCCGGCCCTCATCTCCGCCGTCTCCTCAGACTCGCGCCTCCGCGTCTTCGACCTGCGCACCCCGCCCTCGGCCAAGTACCACCTGGTGCACGACGTGCCGGTGCACCAGACGCCCGCGGCCCGCATCGCAGGGGCGCCGCCAGGCCTGGGGCCGGGCCAGCCCGCCGAGGTGCTGACGCACGACTGGAACAAGTACAGCCCCACGGGGGTGATCGCGACGGCGGGCGTGGACCGCGCCATCCGCACCTTCGACCTGCGCGCCCCCTACGCGGGGCCCGTCGCCGTCCTCGAGGGCCACGGCTACGCGGTGCGCCGGCTCGCCTGGAGCCCGCACGCCAGCGACGTCCTCGTCAGCGCCAGCTACGACATGTCGGTGCGCGTCTGGACCGACGGCTCCACCATGGCGCCGCCCGCCGACCCGGGCCCCGCGGGAGATCTGGGTGGCGCCCCCGTGCGTCCGGGCGTGCAGCTCGGGCTGATGAACCGCCACACCGAGTTCGCGACGGGTGTCGACTGGTGCCTGTTTGGGGCGGGCGGCTGGGTGGCTTCTGCCGGGTGGGACGAGAGGGTTCTGCTCTGGGATGCGAACTCGCTCATAAGAAGATAGGCATTTTGCGGTTCATCTCTTTTTGGGGAATGTAGTATATATATAAGAAACCCGATGGAACGTGTTGATGACGATTTATTTATATTGATACCCGGTAAGGAAGCTAGGCTTACGGCATTCGCAGTACTGTGGGGAGGACGCACTGATTTTGGCTCAAATAGGTACAAGAAGCAAGGCATAGACAGGAACGAGAAAGCATTTACTCCTTTCTCATTTGCTTTTGTTCTTCTTTTGTGCTCAAGGATCGATCTCTCCCTCCGTCCCGCGTGGTCCATCGTCCAGCGTCAGTTCCAGACCATTGCGTACAGGGGCAGGGGCAGCGGACGAACTGTCACGAACGGCGCACGTCAGCCCTTGTCGTCGACAACGCAAGCCACGCAGCGCAGTGGCGTGAGCTCCAGCCCGGACCGCGAGCCGCGCAGCCGCTGCAGATCGGGGATGGGCGCGGGCGTCTTCTAGCGGCCGTCTTTCTTCCCTCCCTTCCAAGACTTCCGCGGAGGGGTGGACGGATGTGCCTTACTGTTGGCCGCCTGACTGTTCCCGTTCGTTCTGCCCGCCGCGCCGCTGCCACCGCTGCCGCTGCTACTGTCCTCTCCGGAGGCCGGCGCGCTGTGCGAGGCAGTCTTCCCGTCCGGTTTGTCGGGCTTCACTTCGTCGTCCTTGTCGTCGTGATACGTCTCCACCTGCTGGACCGTGGACTCCACCCCACCGGGCGCGGGGTTCTGCTGGAAAGCCCAGGGCGACAGCGCGACAAACAGGCTCAGGAATACGGATATGGCGGTCGCGAACAGCTGGAAGAGGAACCAGAGGGGCCGCCACACGCACCACCAGTAGGGCCCTGTGAACTTGAGGAACTCGTTGACCTGGTACAGGTCCTCCTGGCGAGATATCCTCCAGACCTGCTGGCTCCGGCCGCCCGTGGCGGTAGACCCCGGCTGCTGGGGCGCCTTCTCGCCGCCGTCGGTGTCCTCCCGCCTCGCGATCACCTGCGGCTCGCCGTTGCGGTGCGCTCCCAGGTCGCAGGGGACCAGGTCGAGGACCGTGACGAGCCGCACGCGGGCGTGGTAGCCCGGCGCGAACCAGATCGAGAATACCTGCCGCATGTCCAGGTACATCTTGTCTCTTTCTTTGTCATGTACTACATGCATGCACAAATTAACCGACTACGCCTCAATCTACTCGTAAACGGGGGAACTATAACTTACAAGCCGTGTCGATGTCAATGACTATTTTGGGCGACAACATCCGATACCACTGGAAGATCCCCCTGAGTGCATCGCGGGAGCTCAGGCGGCGCAGGCCGGGGAGGACGAGGTCGCCCTCGCTGAAGCGCGGCGCGATGCAGAAGGGGTGCACGAACTCAGCGTCGGGCGTGAAGAAGCGGTCGATGGTCCGGCGCTGCTCATCCGGCGTGCCCTGGCACAGGGAGCGGACCACATGCCTTATCTCCTGCTCTGGCACCACGCGCGCAAAGACGCCGAGTTAGACGAAAGTAATCAGAGTAGACTTCGGCTGGAGCTGCACGGGGCAAGGAGGCCTTACCGGGATTTTCCATTATTTTACACAGTTACGATGTCCTCGGTTGAGAGTAGCCAATGCGCTGGGGGGGGGGGGCGGTTGTTAGAGGTCCGTCTCGATGGTCAGTGTCGAGTTAGGGGAGGGGCAGGACAGGAGCCAATTCCAACTGAATTACACAGGAAGACCAGGTAGTTCTGCAGACAGTATCACATGGGAAGGGCCTCAAAGCGCATCGCTGCACCAGCAGCTCGAATGCGAATGTGCTGTGTACGAGACGCACTTGGGGGCTCTGCTTTGACCAGTGTGATGTCATGGCCCACTGGGGCTCTACACACTTGTACTCCAGGCATGTGAAAAGGCCAGGGGGCGCCTCCTCAGCCACCAGCGGGATCTGCAGCAGCCCGAGAAAGCTCCTTCCCTGCCCTGTGGGTTTGGTTGGAGCTAGCTACAGCGCTGAAGGTGTTGCTGGTGGTTCAAGTAGGACATTCTTTGCGAGCGCCGACTTCTCTTCCCTGGTCGTACCATTCTCGACTGGCATGCCACATATGACACTAGGTACTGGGGGCTGCCACATGCCCATCGTTGTGGCAAGGAGTGCAGCATTTCGTCTCATCTCCCAGAGTCGCGTCTTGAGGCTCAAGTTTTGCTCCCCGGCTCCATGCTGATGATGATTTGATCTTCGTATTCGATATGGCTGGGATTCGCCTCTTTTCATGCTCGGTGCTTCGGCTTGCCTTTCAATTGCCTTTCAGCATGAAATGCAACCTGCTCGGATCACTCCGCGGACTAGCGTGTACCAAATAATCTGAGACATCTTCGCGCCAAAACGTGTATACATATATTTCTATCTACCAGAGAAAATACTTGAGGTGGTATTTCAAAGCGCAAAGATATAAGTAGAGCAACGATGTCTTGCACCGCCAACGTCAAAAACCCAATCGCTCCGTATGCAGAGGGCAAGGATCAAGGTCAGTAGAAGCCGCCCCAGGAAATGCCATCGTGAGCTTTCCTTGTCCGCGAGCCTTCTCCCCGTAACCCCGAATCACAAGCAACGCGATCCTCGCTTTAATGCTTCCCAGTTCTGCGAGCAACATCCTTGCCCTTGCCTCTCCCTCTCCCTCGTGCTCGTACAGGTCTCATCCGCGCTCACCGCAATTCCTGTGTGGTATCATCGGCCCAATCCTGTGTGTTTCGTAACCCAATCCCAACACATAATCTCGTAAACAATGAACAACAAATGCCATTCCATCTCTTCCTTACCCATGCCGGCTCCCATTCCTAGATTATTATTAATCCCCGTCGTTCCCCCATTCCAGTCATGCCGAGGTCGACCTTAATTACCTTCCGTGCCTGCTCGACCTCCTCACGTCTCTTAGCGGCGCATCACCCCCGGCGAATCGATCGGGGTCGACCTCGCGAAACCCACTCTCCCTCCTCGCGCTCGAGCTCCGTCTCCGGTGGCTCTTGGACTTGTGCCTCCTCGGCGGCGGGCTGTGCTCCTCAATCACAACAACCTCGTCCTCCGTATCATCGTGCGGCACGAACCTCGGCGGCGGTGGCGCGGCCATCGGGGGTTGTGGAGGCCCGGGCGGGGGGCCACTTGCTCTGCGGATCGTCTCCTCCATCACAATCCTCTCGGGCGGCGGGTCGACAACGGGGTTCGTACGGCTGGTATGGACCTCGACTGTCTCGCGACGTCGCGATGGCGACCGGTGATGGTGTTTTGAGTGGCGCCGGCGCGACTTACGCGTGACGACACTCGCGGTTCCGTACGAGCTTATGGTGTCTGGTCGGTTCCCAATGGACAGGCAGGTATATACAAGCCACAAAAGCAACAGGAAGCCGCCCACAGCACCGAGCGTGATTCCGACAACCTCGCCTGCGTCGGGGCCGTCATTTAAGCCAGGGTAGGCGCCGGGGATCGTGGACGTAGTGGTATCTCGTTGACTAAGCAGTACGCGACTTGGCGCATCTAAGGCTGTCTTGACCGTTCGGGAGGGAAAGCTGTCTAGGGAGTGAAAGCGCCCTGATATTTCTGGGACTGATTGGGGCGGTAAATCTCGCAGCTGAGGCTGTAGTTCGCGCGGTGCCAGGTAGTCGACAAGAGCGGCCGGGAGGCGCGCCGGTAATGACATGGGAGCCATCGCGGACGTGAATGTAACTCGATGACCTCGAGTGGAGTTTGATCCAGGATCGAGGCTATGTGCGCGCGGCGGTCGCAACGGTCAAAATCTGACGATGCTGACTTGATCAGGGTAGGTTGCTTGCTTGGGTGTTTCGCATTGCCGTGCAGAATTCTTGGTGCAAAACATGGGCGAGGGTTCGCACTCGACGGTTGGCGCAGTGGGCCGCTGGGGTCGCGCTCTGGAATAACCAACTCTGGGATAATCGGCTGCTGGAGTGGGCTAGTCTATCTGAGGGTGATCGGTAGCTACTCTTGTTCCTAGAGGCTTTCACTTCTAATGCGCTGCTAGTTTGGGCTGTCGTGACAGTACCGTCAGCACCAAGAGAGTTGCTCGGGGCAATTGTTGTGATCAGATTGATAGATTGGTCCGGCTTGCACAAAGGGGTTGGCTCTAGGTCGTCTGGCGCGTTGAACGCGAATCGCGAAGATACAGTGCTTGAAGGCACTTGTTGAAGATGTAGGCGACTCGAGGCGTGGCGTGGAGACTCGAGCTGTAAGTGCGAGGTGGACTGGAGAGGCTGAGAGAGAGACGGCGGGTTGGTGGTGCGCAGTTTACGGCCACGCCAAGCGACGCTGCCGAGAATAGAAGGAGCGGAGCGACGAGGAACCAGAATGCATGCGCCGCCCAGCTCTCCGGTTCGAATGATGAATGGGAATGATGTGCAGTAGGCTGGAGGAGGGAAAGGCAGGGGAGATGAGCGCAACCGGTCACTCAAATCTACATGGAGGCGGGCGGTATTGTATTACCAAACAGAAGTACCTTCCCTCTGGGACTGGGAAGTGGGAGGTGGTGGGGTTGGGGTTGGGCAGGATGGCGGTTGCGATGCACCCTGCACTTGCACCTGGGTTTACCAGGAGGAGTTGCTCCTCCAACCATCTCCTTCCAAGGAATCAACATCCTTCACCAACCACCGCTTTTACTAATATTAAGCGGCCTAGGTACTTTTATTAGCACGCGACGTGCAGCCAGTCCACTCTCGACCACGCCGGACCCTCGGAATCGTCGTCGTCGTCGTCGGCTCCCCCGGAACAATTTTAACACCTTCTCAACTCGATTTATTCTTTCAGGGTTGTCTCACGGCAATTGAGTGGTTCCTTTCTTTGGCCGCCAAGGATGACGCGCAGAGGCCCTGGACAAGAAACTTCAACGGCCAACACCACTCGAGTGCATGTAGATCCTCTTACTAGTGTCAGAAGTTGCGTTTTACTTGATGAGTCTCAGGGTGGCATTTCTTGATTTCGTCCGAACTCGTCAGCTCTGCTGACAAGTGCCGCATCGCTATATTCGCGGTCAAAGCCAAGCCAATTGCCAGCCCGGCGGCAATTGCCCATGTGAAGTGAAGATAGTTTTCTTGACTTCGCGGTGGCGGACACTGATGCCGCTATAAAGGGAAGACAACGACACTGAGCTGGCCCTTCGTCCTGTTAGTTTCGCGACTTAGACGAAACCTCGAATCCCTCTGATCCCCGACGACTTCTTGTCGCGCTTGTCCTTTCGACCAGTGTTCTGGACGCCACCTGAATCGAAACCAGAAAGTCAGTACTTAGGACTTCGTCACCTGTCGTTCCGCCGAAAGAAGGGTGACTTGCCTCTCCCGTGAAACCTATCAGCAGGGCTTCTGTCCCCTCCCTGCAGCGTGTCCGCACTTCCGGACGGCGTCGAAGGCCGTTGCAACACTGTGCCAAACGATGACCCCGTTATCGTGTCCAGGGGCGGTGTCACATTGTATTTTGCTCCCTCGACAAAGAGCTCAGGGTCTGAGAATCCTCGCCCGCGACGTGATCTCCTTCGCACAGGGCTGGGTGGATCCCCACTCTGCACGATCGCAGAGAGTTCTGCGTCTGACGAGTCTGAAGGGACACCCATCCTTGGCGTGCTGGAAAACGCCGGTGATCTCGAGCTGCTGGATGCCTTTTCGAGAAGTGACGCCTGCAGGACGGTGCACTTGTTCACCAGGAGGTTGTGTCTTCTCTGTAGATCTGACATTTTCGCTCGGCTTGCTGCTAGTGCACTCTCGATGGCTTTATTAGGGTCCTCTTCTCGTCTGGGCCGTCTGGCACCGTGCTTTAAGGCATCCTGAAGTTTCGTGTTGAGGTCGGAAATCTGTGATTCGTACAACTTCCTCGCCTCTACCACCTCAGCATCACGCGCTTCCAGCTTCATACTCAGCACTTCAGCTCGGCCAATCGATTCGGCGGCTTCAGCCAGGCGCTCTTCTGTCTCCCTTTCCTTGGCCTGGTACGTTTGTTCCACCTCGATGAGCCGGCTCACTTCCGCTTTGAGCCGCACGATTTCTTCAACATGATCGTTGATCGCCTGCAGGTTTTGTTTCGAGTTTAGTTCCGTGGTTTCATACTCACAGACCATTCTCGTCAGCTTTTCGCACTCCTCCGTCTTCGCCTCCAGCTCTCGCTTGAGGCCAGCTCCTTCACTGCTCCATTTCTTTTGCTCCTCTCTCAGGACCTTCAGCTTCGCGGACAGGTCAGTCTCCCATTTCTTGGCTATATTGCGCCGATTCTCAGATTCCTTCTTCGCCCGCAACTCCGACCGTTTTGCCTCATCGATGCGGTTCCGCAGGTTTCGATTGATCATGATGAGATTCTGTGTTTCCGCTTCTGTTGCAGCTTCCTTCAATTGCCGTCTCTTCAACTCTCCGATGTGGATCATGTGCTGTTGTTTCATGTAGCGTTCGAAACTGAGATCGTTGCTCAGGAGGAGGATCTTCTTGTATAGCCGCTGGATTTCACCGTCACTATCGGTCGATGGAGGAGCAGCAACGGGGGCCGCTTGCGCAGACAGCTTGCTTGATGTCTTATCAGGCATGGAATCCTGGTGACTCAAGGCGAGAGACGGTACGCTGTCGTTGGCCAGTGACTGGTGCAATCCGGTCTTGATAGCTTTGTTTGAAGTGATCATATCCTGCAAGTTGGTGTGCGAGGCTGAGAGGCCCAGCGATGGCGGCAATGTAGGACTGTCTCCTGGCCCGTCGCGGGTGCGAGTCTGGAATGCATCGCGGAGAGAAGGAGCGTGACTTGATTGAGAAGCGCGCCGTATTACTCCCGCGACGGTTCGCGCCTCTTCCGACACTGATCCTGCACCTGAATTTCTCCCGGCGCTCGCCAGATCCCGAGATGAAGTCCTTGCAAGAATAGCCTGGCCGGTAAGGAACGGCTGGTCTGCTCCGTTCCTAGGGTTGTCGTCCATCTCGGACAGCCCGAGCTCTTGCGCAGGTCCAAGTTCGGCACCAACTCCAAGTTCTGTGGCCAAGCACAGCGCAGTGCATTCCGTGACCACCTCGGAAGACTCGCTCTTGATCCATCTGCTGAAATCGGTCTTCTCAGACTCCAAAGTCAAGTTGTAGAAGTTTGGATGAAGTATGTGGTACTGCCTGAACCTTTCTGACTTCTGGCGGATTTCTGAAGGCTGAACTTCGATATCGTCGGCATTTGGCATGTTTGCGTGACGCAGATACCGTTGCGGTTTCCTGATATAATCCACGAAATTGAGGGGATACAACCCGTAGAGAATTGTGAAGAAACTCAGGAGATTTGGAATTGACATGTTGTCAGCATCTGGCGCGAAGGTGCAAACTTCCCAATCAGTAGGCAAGACTTTCTCGTCATCGACTTCTATTTCTGGGTTGTCGGCTGCCAAAGATCTCTCTCTATCCCAGAACAACAGACGGGCATAAATATTGAACAGCTTTGGGAGGTACGGCACCAGAGAACTTGGCACATTTGGTAGCAGCATCGTCAAAGCAGTGATAGCTAGCGTGACCACCGTGGTCGAGGTATCACTTTGCAGACTCCGCAGGATGTTGTCGAAGAGCGGCGTCTCGAGGACAACGTGCAGATGAGGCGGCTCGCTCTGAACGAACTCGCAGAGAAGGGTCAAAGCCTGGGCACGAAACTCTTTTTGAACGATGAAAGAGTTTAACGCGGTCAAAAGACCCTATAGATTGTTAGCCAATAATGCTAATGATTCTCGTACCCAAAACACCAGCAGCCCCACCGGCGACCGACATATACAATCATCAAATGTGGCTCGTGTCACATCAACCACTTTCAGCTTGTGGAGTGCCGATTGAATGCGACGTGATTGGCCTTGGTCTGAGCACGGCATTATGACGGTCACCGGAAGGGCCGCGTGAGTAGGTTCGGAGATGATTGAAGTGGACATGAACGAACCTTGGGCCTTTTCTTGCCATAGCTGAGCAAGCCACTACGTATCAGGGTCGCCTTGAGAGCCCCTGACGAGTTACCATCATTGTTGGAGAACTGGAAGCTCTGCATCCAAGTCTTCATCAGCTTAATAGCAATCTGGTTCGCCCCTTGACCCTCTGCGGCCTCGACGCCGTTGTCGTAGGTCAGCACGGCCAAAGTGTTTGCCCAGGCCTCTTTGGCTAGATTTTTGTCTTGTGCCATGTGGTCGAGGACCGGCTCCGTCATTTGATCCCACCATTGGACGAGATATGTGGGATTTCTAAGCGCAGGCAAGAGCCGGCGCAGGATGGCAAGCCAAGGAGCGTAGGAGCCCACATTCTCCTTGACTGTCTTCTCCCATATGGACAGCAGGTCCTCCTGGAGGCGCTCTGAGGCGCCTTCCTCATTGTGCTTCTCGAGGTAGGCGTCAATGACTTGGGTTAGCTCATCCGGAAGAGGCAGGCCGGCGGTAGGTAGGAATGCATTGATGGCCTTGGTGAGATCCTTGGTGGAGCTGCGACAAGGTCAGAAGCTGGAGCGCGATAACAGCGGTTGTAGAAGGTGAAAACCCGTTGCAAAGGTCAGAACACCTCGCAGAGGCTGATTTTGCTGCTGCACGTGTAAGAACGGCCGAGACGACCTGGCTGGGTTGATCGTCTCAAACAAGCACGTCCCATGCGAGGCTATCCTAGATTCAGGTGTGTTGCCCGTGCCTCAAGAGAGTTGGTCGCCCCCATAGATTACAACCTGCAAAAGCGTTCCCCGCTGGAAAATTGTATCCTGGGAAGTTTTCTCTTTATGACATCTCCCGGACACGCATCTGAGGATAGAGGTTCTGCGTGGGGACCACGCCCATGTGCATGGCCTGCCGCGGTTGAAGGAGAGTCCCTGCAAAATCCACTTGGCAATTGCAATGGAGAGATAGATAGTCGGCTTGTGGTTGAGAATCAGGACATAAATGGGCGATGCAAAGCGGTGGCATGGAGTGAAAAGTCAAAATATGAAGCAGGGGTTGCCTACGCGGAAGACATGTTTGCAGTGGCCGTCAGAGTGACACGATCATGCTCGTGCAGGCCGTCGACAGCAAGGCAGGGCGAGCCTCGTCAAGTGACGCAGAGTCGGGTGTTCGGACGGGTGAGTGAGTTGAGGAGTGGATCTAAGCGCGAGGCTCCCCACGACGCTTTGCTCATCCAGGGTGTGTCGAGCTCTCCGAAGATATCCACCCGCGATTATATGTCGGCGAAGGGGTGTTTAAGCGCGCAGGATGGGTTGTGGGCTGCCCTCTGACAGTGGCCGATGGGTGGTGCGATAGTCTCAATCTGAGAAGTCAGACGACGTCGGGGGAGCAGCAACCCAGGGAATGGCCGGGCAGACCCACCCAGCGCACCAGGCCACTGGCTGGCTGACTTGACAGAGGCAGGCTTTCAGTCCGCACAAGCATTGATCTGTGATCCCTGCAGGCCGAAGCTTACCCCACAGTCTAACAGGTCCCACTCCCGCATTTGCAGCTTGAGGCTGCCCCACGGAGGGATGTCGGCGCACGGCTCCAGGTAGGGGTCCCAGGAGCATCGTACCACTAAGATGGCCTGCTGCGAGCCCCTCCACCAGTCAGGCCATGCCTTCAATGCTTGGTCCAGCTGCAGGTGCACTCATTTAAGAGGGAGAGCTGGTCACGTTCAGAAGGAGGGGTCGGTCGGGAAAACGGACACCTCATCCAGCTCACACACGAATTAATCCATCCTCTGCATCCTCTCTCGGATCTACGCTCCTCTTGAATTGACTTGCCCGTCCAAAGCACAACCTCAATCATCATCGACATCGCCGTCAACATACCAATTGACCACATTGAGATCATCCGCGGATTATCTCTTGCTGCTCAATCGACTTGCCCCCGTCTCTGACACAGACAACGTGACCAGCCTCTTCCACCCATCCCCCCGCCCAAGTTGCCCAAGATGGCCTCCAAGACGAGTGCAGTGGCCGACAACGAGCCAGTTGATGTGCTCTTCGCCCTGCACGACAAGTTCGACTTCCTGGACTTTGCTGGCCCCCTCGAGGTCCTGACCACTGCCCTCCACGATATTAACGACCCTTGTAAGCACCCAACCCCGCCCAGATCCCCCCGTCCTCATGTGTCTGCCCTCTGGACAGCCCGCTGAGTTGATTCTCCTTCTTCAGCCACCAAAGCTTTCGACATCACCATCGCTTCAGACGAGCCCAAGGCGCTCTCTGCCGCCGGTGTCATCGTTGGCTCTCAAATCTCATTCAAAGAGGCCCATGAGCGCATTGAGGATTTCGACATCGTCGTCATCCTGGGCGGAAATGCAGAGCCCATCATCAAGGCCAAGGCCGAGCCTCTCGCCCTCATCACGGCCTACAGCGAGATCCAGAAGAAGAGCCCCGAGCGAGAGTAAGCATATATTCTACTGGAGTACTATTCCATACCGAGGGACACATTCGGCTGATCTTTTCTTCCTTCTCCAATCTGCAGGCGCACTCTCTTCTCCGTCTGCACCGGATCTCTCCTGCTCGCTCAGCAGGGAATCCTAGCTGGGCTCTCGGCCACTACCCACCCCGATTACATTGTCACGTTCGAGAACATTTGCAGTCTGGCCGTCCAGAGAGATCTTGGTGAGCGCACCGATGTTGTGGAGGACACGCGATACGTTGTCAACAACCTGCGCTTCGAGCTCGGTGACGAGGACGAGAACCCCTACGTCCGAAGCACCAGGCCCGACGGCCGACGACCTTCCAATGCTCGGTGAGTGTTTATATCCACACTGGATCATCTATTCCGAGTTCGAGCGCTAACCCAGCCCGTGCAGGAAGGGAAGCATGTCCTTCAAGAGCTCCAACTCCCGTCGCGAGTCCATCACCCGCCGCGCCGCCATGCGCCTCGGTGGTCTTCGTGTGATCACGGCGGGGGGAGTCAGCGCTGGCATAGATGCAGCCTTGTATCTTGTCAGCGTGATGGTCTCGGAGGAGTCTGCCAACGAGGCTGCTCGGAAGATTTGCTGGAACTGGACCAAGGGCACCGTGGTTGATGGACTTGATGTCTGAATGCGAGCCCGAGGGGCTTGCCGCCACAACATTTGTGGCGATGTTGAGGCAATAGCCGAACTGGAGCCAAAGTGTGGGCTCCACAGTAGGAAGCTGGCCTTTTTGCCGCATATGGTGCCCTGTAGCTAGGATAGGATCAGCTGTGGTGTCTTCTTCAAGCAACACTGAAACCCAAAAAAGTAAAATGTTCATGACAAGAACCCTTATTCCTGATTCGAGCGTGATTGTGGATTGATCCTGTATAAGTGACCGGCTACAGCCGCGAGTCCCACTTCTCCCACTTCGGGGCCGACAGCGGCTCCATCAGGAGTGCCCGGGGGTCCGTGCGCCGGCCAAAAAGTCTGGAGAGTTGACCTCTCGGTTCGACATGCGCTCGTGCGATCCGTCCGTCGCGACCTGCGGTTGACCAGCGAACTTGCGACCGTCAACTCGATCACTCCAAAATGACTTCGAAAGCAGCTGTGGGGGCAGCGGAAGGCCTCGCGCGGGCAGCGCCCTTCCGTCTCGGCGAGAAAGCAGTCTACCTGTGAGTAGAACTTGTCTGCACCACAGGCCACTTCCGCGACATGATCGCGACAGCTGCAAGACACACAGCCCTCCGATGCACAACCCCTGCCCCAATTGGCCTGCACCCAGCTGACTTGGAAATCCTCCAACGCCGACAGACCAAACCATGTCGTAGCCTTCGTCCGCCCCAAAGAGGGCCAGCCGCCCACGATGGCGACGTTCAACGTGCCACTATCCTTCAACAAGCTCGACTTCCGGGACTACCTGTGGAACGTGTACAACGTCGAGGTGCGGTCGGTGCGGTCCTTCGTCAACCAGATGCGGCCGCGGCAGCGGCAGTACGGCAACACCCAGGGCGGCAAGTGGTACCGGCCCCGGAGCCAGAAGATGATGATCGCGGACCTGGCGCGCCCCTTCGTGTGGCCCGAGGCGCCCGAGGACTTTTCCCCCTGGGACAAGCTCATGTTCGACGCCGTCGAGGCCGAGCACATGAAGGGCATGGAGGCGCAGTTCGCCCGCGCGAAGGGCATCCCAGGGCTGAGGGACGAGATGGGGGTTAGCCCGGACAGGAGGAAGCTGCGGACGCAGGCTGAGAAGCTGCTGGCTGGGAAGGGCAAGTGGAAGCCCGGCCAGCCGCTGGGGCCGGCGTGGGTTGAAATTGATGAGGCCGAGGAGGTCGAGGGGTCCCAAACGGCTCATGCGGCGGAAGGGGATGCAAAACCTTGATGGTTGTAACGAGGGGAACACACACACACACACACACACACAAAGAGAGTGAGAGAGAGAGAGCGGCATGTATAAAGTTGTATGATACGGGCATCACTGTCTAAAGAAGATCACATCATATGGTGGCGCATACGGTTGAAGGCAATATTCGAAAGGCTACGGCTCTACCCAGTGTTCTGGCTGCTGGAACTTGAGGACCTCGTCTCCCCAGCTCCACCACCCTGCCGTGAGGTTTCTGGCAAATATCTCGAGGCCCCTGTATCCAGGAGGCAAGACATCCTCGAGTAGAGGTCGCAGATTGGGTTTGCGCGAATGGAGATCCGGCACGGAAACAATTACTCTGCTCCGACAAGGCAGCCTCGTCTCGGCCCCTCGCTTCCTCGCAATCAGGAGCCGCTCCCATGGCTTCCTCCACGTAGAGTTTACGTCCACCATCGGCTCGCCAGCCGTTGTGACCTTGAGCCACGTCCACTCGCCTACAAGTTCCAGCCCCCATTCCGCGAAGAGGCCTCTAGGTGATGTCAGTAGCTCCAGCACGCTTGCTTTGTTGGTGATCCAAACGGCGACAAGGCCCCCGGGTGCTAGGTGAGACATAATGGGTATCAGTGACAGAGTCTCACGGATCTCGTCGAGATCATTGGCTGTTTGGTAGCTGCCTCTCTTGCGACGCACTGAGCGATTCGGCCAATTGGGGTCCATGACTATGAGGTCGAACATGGGGGCCTCTTTTAGGAAGCGAGACCTTTCCGAGGAGATTGTCCCTTGGAGGTAGACTGACTCTTCAGCAATCACTGGGTCGCTGAGAACATCCTCCGGGGCATCGACATCCTCGGCTTTTCTCTTCTTGTCTCGCTCATCTCCCTTCACATCCGTCTCCTTGACAGCATGGATCCGGGGCAGGCACCACGGCCCCGAGTACAAGTCGTTCAGCACTTGCAAAGCATCCTCAACCGCTGCCGCAGCGGAAAGCTCCGCCAAAGCTGCTGCCGCGCTTGGGTGGGGAAGGGATTGCTTGGGCTCCGGAGTCTTGAACGGCTGCTCAGGCGGGTTTGATGAATCGAGCCTCCGTCTCCTGCCACGCTGAGATGCTTCCGCAGGGTTCAGGAATTGAGCGTCCTCAATAGACTTGGGACCGTCGATGAGAATGACGCTGCGGTCTTCATTGCGGAACAAGATTGACTCCGACATTGCCCCCGTCTTCTCTTGTTGCTGGTCTCTTCATGTGATCCAGCACGCTCGAGTTGCCTCTGACAAGAACGTGGGATTTCCTATGTGGCCATGACTGTAGAGTGACGTGGTTAGTGAATTGACATCTGAAAGCCAGAGCAAAAACTCAATTTCTGGCGAGTGTGCTGCAGACCAGACGGGTAGTGAGGGCCCAGTAAACAGATTAAGCTTACATGCAGTTGTTGGGCCAGGATATCGGTATTCCGACTGTCTGGGTTGAACAAGACCCCAGATGTCGATTCCGAGTCGGCTATTCTCGGTTAGCAACCACAGTAAAGCCTAACCCGCCCGTAATAAGACCGTGGCTCAGGCAGGCGGCTTTAGAAGGTGGGCCGCTTACAAAATGGCCCCTGGCTACAGGCGTTTCCGGACTTTGGGGTTAATGACGTCCCCTGCCCGTTCTGCCCGTGCGAACCGTGGCCGCGACCTGGACCCGTGCCTTTCACGATCCACCCGCATCTTACCTACCTAGGCACGCTGCATAAAGAATTCGCCCTTCTTCTCCGGCCCTTCTCCTCCGACCCTTCTCCTCCGACCCTTCTTACCTGCTCCTTGGCTGACCTCGGAACCCCAAACTGTTCACCGAATCTGTCGCAATGACCATACCCTCGCTCTGACAATTTCACGACCAACTCACTTCTCACGCGGCGCTGACCGCTGGCGGGGGAATGCCATCGGCCCTGAGGGAGGATGCCTCAATGCCGGCGCTTCCACATCACGAATTACGAAAGGATAGCGACCGGCCAGGCCGTCGCCTTCGGGAGGGAAATGTCGCCGTGTGCCCGACAGACGACGAGGCGGTAGTACCGAGGAAGGTGGACAAGCAGAGCCTGGACTATCTATGGCGCTCTGGCACGGCGGGCGGTGTTGCAGGATGCGCTGTAAGTACAAACGATTTCTATACATGGTTTCTAGTAGCGGGTGTGGAATCGTCGCTCACCGGTTGGTCGACAGGCAAAAACCGTCGTTGCGCCGCTTGACCGGGTCAAAATCCTCTTCCAGGCGAGGAATCCGCAGTTCGTCAAGTACTCCGGGTCCTGGGTTGGTACAGTCGCAGCTATGAACGAGATATACCGCCAGCAGGGCACCGCAGGACTGTTCAGGGGTCACTCAGCCACCTTGTTAAGAGTGTTCCCGTACGCTGGGATCAAGTTTCTCGCATACGAGCAAATACGATCAGCCGTTATCCCGACCAAAGACCACGAGACTCCCCTGAGGCGGCTCCTGAGCGGCTCTCTCGCCGGAGCAACCTCGGTCTTCTTCACCTACCCGCTGGAGGTAATACGGGTCCGACTGGCCTTCGAGACAAAACAACACGACCGCTCGTCATTATCTTCCATATGCCGGCAAATCTACAACGAGCACCCAGGCGCTACACCTGCCGCCGGGACACATGGCCCGGCTCCCGTCAAATTAGCGACAGCGGCGGCCTCGACTGTGGAGGCTGTTGTACCGCAGAGAGGCATGATCAACTTCTACCGCGGTTTCTCGCCGACAATACTTGGAATGCTTCCCTACGCCGGCGTGTCCTTCCTCACCCACGACACAATGGGGGACTTGCTGCGACACCATCTGATCGCGGAGTGGACGACATTACCGCAGCGCAGGAACGCGCCAGAAGGAAAGCCGCCACCTTTACAATCCTGGGCGGAACTGCTGGCGGGCGGCGTGGCGGGGTTGGTCTCGCAGACATGTTCGTACCCGCTCGAGGTCGTGCGGCGGCGGATGCAGGTGGCAGGGGCAGTGGGTGATGGCCACCGGTTGCGCATCGCCGAGACGGCGGCGCTGATCATGAAGGAGCGGGGGATACGGGGCCTCTTCGTCGGTCTCACGATCGGATACGTGAAGATTGTGCCCATGAGTGCGGTCAGCTTCTTTACATACGAGCGGCTGAAGTCGGTGTTCGGAATTTAGAAAGGGGCTTTCCTGGGAGAACGCGGCGCTCTGGCGTACTTTGGATGACGGCACAGCAATGAATTTGATACCGGAATGGAGGTAGCATAGGGATAGAGAGAGGGTATTATACTCGTGGATACAGAACAAATAAGAGACTGACTGACTTGTCACACATCGGGAGTGCATTCCTTCTGAAGGCAAATGATGCCCAAGAGAAGATCGACTCTATACCTCCTTGGAACTTCCTGATCACTTCCGAGGGAAAACCATCTGTTCTGTCAGAGCACATAGCCTCTAATAGAGGCCGCGGCTGACTTTGCAACTACCTACCGTTCTCCTGGCGGCCGCGTTCCTGGCCCAGTCTGTCAAGTTGCTCTTCCAGTCCGTTGCTTCCCGTTCCTACTGGTCGTGCCTGCCAATTCTTGACAGTGTTGACTTTCCAATACTCCAAGAAAACGAAGAATCAGTGTGGACCAAAATAGTGTCACAACACTCACAACATACTGCCAGTACATTATTACCTCAACCTCGATCCTTGATATCGACCCTTCCACGCTGCTACCTAGACCACCTACCGTACCTTGATATCGCCAAGTCTCTTGCCATATCCTCAGTCTCAACGAACTTCTCATACTTAGGTTAGCAGCACGCAATAACAGTCGGACACGATAACTCTCGGCCCTGTGTGTTAGAGAATCAATAATAGCTCGACTAGACTCGGCGATCTGTCTTTCGACAACGTACCTTCTGGTCCACACGCAGACACAGGCACGGACAGCGCAGCATCTACCAAGGCGCTGTCATTCGGAACAACAGACAATCCTCTGACACCTGAACTCTCTCGAGCATAGGCTCGGCCAATTTGTCAATACCTCAAATGAGCCGTGGTTCCCCTTCATTATCGCCGCAGGGTTTCTGGAACGGAAGTGCCCGAGACTCTGCACGCAACTCCAGAAACACAGGCGGTCATGATCCCCCACGTCCAGCAAAAGAAGGGTTTGAGTGGGTGTGGTTTCCAGATGGATACTGGGCAGAGAGGCCGGCCCCACGCCGGACTAGTTCGAAGAACCCGGGTACAATTTCGGCGGGCTCAGCGGGCAAGATATTCAAATGGACATCGAGGGCAAATGGAGGCCCAGCGCCTTCTCAGGATCAAGAGCTGCGAGATCTCTCTCCAAAGACAGTTCAATCAACCCCTCCCCGGACTCTTCCGCAACTCTACCTGCCTGACAAGAACTCTGGGTCGTTCAGCCCTCCCAGGACTCTTCCACAGAGCCCATGGCTCTCGGAGGCTGCCCAGGTACAAGCCTTGCAGCGTCCTGCTGACCAGCAGATGGATTTTGTCGGCACCAATACAATGGATGAGCAGTCTTTCCGTTCTCGCAGAAGATCGAGCGGCAAGTCCAGTGCTACATCGGCACTTCATCAAGGGAAAAACAAGGCACCCAGGTCCAAGTCTTCCTGGAACCTTTTCCAACGATCGAAAGTGAGTGAGTGGCTTCCCCCAGAAGTGTTCCGCGAATGGGTCAAAAATTGAAAGCATTAGATTGAGAACCCTGCGGAAGTACTCCCAGGAGCAGCCAAGGATACAGCCGTGGACACAGCGCCTAGTTACTTCACCCAGAAGCCAGTCGATCCTCCCCACCCTCTTACACCACCGGAAGAGAAGGAAGAGTACGTCGCCGGTTGGCCGCTCAGAAGCCTGCAGAAATGGTTCAGCAAGGCCCCTCAGAATCGCAAAGACACAATGCCGTCGTCTCGATCAAGCCATGCGAGCAACTCGATCCCAAGCACTCTTCAGTGGATTGGACCGAACTCCCCAGCCACCCCAGCTTGTGATATTGATGGCTACAGAAAACGCCAAGGCAAGAATATTCTTCTCACCAGTGACAGGTGTAAACTGACCCAAGTGATGAACCAGCGCGCGGCGCCATGAGATCATATCCTGCCGATGTACGTTGTTCAAGTCTACTTTAAAAGTGTACAGAGCTCATGCTGAAGACCGCCAGGAATCTAAATCTTTACCCACGGCCCCTATCAAGCAATCAGCGGGTGGCCCCCAAAGGAGCCTCTTCATGGATATCACACACCCTCGGCCCGCGGACGACTCGGTATCATCTTCCGCAAGCTCCGCACGGGCAGCACCAAAGGTGTTATCATACCGCAATGGGGTCGACACCGAGAGGCGGGAGTGGTGGGACCCAACCCAGGCTTTGGTCCGCAGAGACCCGGTGAAAGGCGTCTCCTTTTTCGAATTCGACATGCCGGAGCACCTTCCCTCCAGCCCCATGTGCCCAGCCAACCCAATGCACAGGCTCGAAGGAAAGGGAGTCTGCGTGGTGAGTAATACCGGCGCCACTCGTCGTAAGTCTTGGTTGAGCTGATAATCCTCACTCTGCAGTTTCATGGGAGATCAAAGCAGGCATCCATGGATGATGAGGATGGAATTGCCGAGGAGGAGTTGATGGAGAGCCCCCGATAGACGATCGGTAATCACCGAAAGTTGTCTAGCTGACAAGATTCCTCATTCTGACCTATAACCTCCCTATGAGCAACTATAGCTAAGCCCTGTTGTAGTTTCAAAGGTGTTTGTTGAGGTTGCGATCCGCCGAGTATCGACCATCGAGATCTTGTCACATCGTGTCGTAAGACAAAATCCGCTTGAGCCAACTGTGAGCAATCTACTAGCCCCTCTATATCTCCTTGCCGCAGGATTCGCTATCTCACATTCTGGGCATGTCCTCATACGTTTCGCGCCGTTGGCCACCTTCCTCTGTGTGGTCTGTAACAGGTATCGAGGCAGTAACCAACTCGAGCCTCCTGGAGTGTGTCCTGAAGCGAGCACCACATCTCTGTGCAGTGAAGCGAACAAACACAGAGATACACACAATTGATAAACAAGGCGTTTTATCGAGAATTTCGTCTAGGCCCAGAATATTTGATTTGATGCATTGCTACAGACACAAGATTTCGAAGTTGGTGTCAACGAGGATCGTTAACATATCATACCCCTGTCACTTACTTTACACCCCTGCCACTGAGCGACAGGGGACCGGCCGTGCGCCTAGACCGTAGTGCTACTTAGCCATGTAGCTACGGCCTGCACCCATCGGCAGCCTTGTTCTGAAGCTCTACTTTTTGTCGTCGCAACTGACATTACCATCTCCAGCTTTGCGTCCCTCTCGCGACCCAATCGGATACCCCCTCGGGCGACCGTCCTCGAGAAGACTCGAACGCGACCATGGCAGCAGCAGCACAGGACCCTCTCCTCCTGTTTCGACAGGCAATCGCATCAGGCCAGCCCGTCACCCCCGTGGCTGGCGATTCGGCCGACGAGGCGCCTCTGTCACAAGCTACACAAATCCGATTCGCAGACTCCACAGCCCTCCCCATCGACTCGCCGACACGGTTCCAGCCCGATGAGTCGACCACAATAGACCTGCGCTCCATCTACTTCGCCTGGGTCAACCGAGACCTCGCCATCCCGGACTACAATGCCGCCGCGACGGCGCTGAACGAGGAGCTGGCCGCCAAGGGCCTGGGCGCCACCGTGCACAAGCTCGCCTTTGTCGAGCGCGTCGACCTCATCACCTGGCTCGAGGGCGGCGGCGAGAGCGAGTACATAAAGAAGCTGCCGGGCGACGCGGCACCGGCGGCGGCGGAGGCGCTTAAGAGCTCGTCCCAGCCGGCGGCATCCGCGCGGGCGGGCAAGGGGTCGCTGGACCCGAGGCTGCAGCAGATCTACGCCGGGGAGCGCAAGATGGGGGACCGCAACACAGCGCTGAGGGGCGTCAAGCCCATCGACTTCTCGGGCGTCCGCAAGCACGCGGCGCTGTTCACCACGCGGAAGCCTGGGCAGCCGCCGGCGCCTGCTGCCGCGGCGGGAGGAGGCGCGGCGCTCCCGATCAACCAGAAGCCGGCCAAGCGGCCGGACCCCATCATCCTGCTGTCGCCGTCTGCGTCGTCGCTGCTGCGCATCTCCAACGTGCGGGCGTTCCTCGAGACGGGCCGGTACGAGCTCCCCGAGAGCGGGTCGACGGCGACGATGCTCAACATCATGCGGGTGATGCGCGAGATCGACCCGAACCGCGCGATGCGCTTCATCCTGGTCGAGGGCCCCGAGAACTTCAAGCCCGAGTACTGGAACCGCGTGGTGGCCGTGTTCACGACGGGCCAGCCGTGGCAGTTCAAGAACTACAAGTGGAGCAACCCCAACGAGCTCTTCAGGCACGTCCTGGGCTGCCACGTCGGCTGGCGCGGGGACCAGGTCCCGGATAACGTCCGGAACTGGGGCCACCGCGTCCAGTGCTTCACCGTCGACAAGTGGAGGGACCCGGGCCTCCCCGGCGCCGAGGCCAGCCGCTTCCGCGACAGGGAGGTGGTCGAGAGCATCTGGAAGCAAATTGAGAACAACATGAGGTCCAAGGGCTGGAGGAAGGATGCGGCCCCGGCGTCTATCTGATTGGGGCGTCGTTGAGCGAGGTCGGACGCACATTACGTTGAGAGATCACCAGACTACGACAACAGACAGCGTGTCAACCGGGCCAAATCCAGCACGAGGACGCCGAATAATCGTCGTTCGGGTCAGATTCTTGACTCGGGGGATCAGTCAAGCTGAGATTGTCGGGCTCTAATCGGGCGGCTAGTCATCACCACAGGCGAGGCTGGCTTATGGTCATCATCAAGGAGACAGGCCACGACGAGGAGGGTGAGCCGTAGTGACAGTATGGAGACAGGAAAAAGCGGGCATGAAACGGCGTTCCAAGGGATTGCGAAAATTGGCATTATGGTGGTATCGGCCAGGAGGTTTCTCCATAGATGAAATGATACCATTCACACGATCTACTCGCCCTGTTTTAGCCCACAGGTCATGGTTTACGGCCGGTGTTTCTGGCTGTTTTGGTCGAGCAGCAATTCTCGCCTCACCTCACCTGCAGGCCGGCCATGTTTTGTCACGGCTTAGTAGATGTGGAAATAAACAAGTCTGCGCCACAGGGGGTAGGGTGTTGGTGAAGGGTTATTTCACAAAACCGGCCGGCCGGGCCACCTTTTTTCGCGGAAGCGCAGTCTCCCGGGAGAGGCGTTTCTGAGCAAAAGGCTCATCAAATGCACGCCTGCTGCGGCTGACGTCTGATGCTGGTGGTTCGTTAATTCGCCCTGCTGCCGAGCGAGATCCTCCCGCGCAGTAGGCCGCCCTAGCACGCCTGTCAGCACTATTTTCGGATGCACAGCCTGCACACACACCCCTCCTACTGCTGCCATCCGTGCTGCCGTGGTGGCGCGGCACCTGGCTTCTCCAACATCCGGAGGGGAGCTCAGGATCGGCAAGATGAGCTTTGCCTCCATTGCAGGCTACCAGAATGTTACCGTTCTGGTCCTGTCCCAAAAGCAACAAGCTTTTGGTCGTCTCATATTGGACCTGCAAGCTTGACTTTGGGCTTGGAACGCCTACCTGCAGGGTCTCTCTGCTCTTCACTCGTCCACTTGTCTCGACATCGAACTTGGATCACGGACTCAACTGTCTCAGTCACTACCTTATCACCTGTGGCTAGTGCCTCCTGCTCTCACTCCTTTTGTCCATGTGCAGTCTCTAGACGCCCCATTGTCCCCCCAACGCAAGAGGATCAGTTGACGCTGTTGGCTGACCGGCCTTTGCCGCTAATCCTCATCCCGTTGGTTGTCGACGGCGCGGAGGTTGGGTCCCAGACCCAGAGAAAACGGGCAGCATCGTTCGCTTGTCTGCTTCCGTCTCGGTTGAATCTCATCGTCAGGACACATCGGCACCGTCTGTCACCAAGCGCAACTAAGACGACCATGTCTAAGAGATCGGTGTTCACAACAATCAGCCCGCTGCCTGCGGGCATCCCGCGCCATGTCGTCCTCGAATTCCTACACAACCACTTGGAGATGATTGACCTGAATCCCCTGGTGAAGGAGAGGCATCCCATCAAGCCGCCTGCTGACGCCCCAGCCGATGAGATGAATTGCATCTGGTACTCCCTGACCGACCGCATCACGTATCTGCCCGGGGGCCTGGCGAGCGGAGACATCTCATACACATGCGCGTTCCATGACCTCCCGGACGGCATCCAGACCCACTGTCGCGCCCCGCTCAATGTCGACATCAGGGATAAATGGACGCTGTGCGGCACGTTGCCTGGTGAGCCCTCCGAGCCCGTGGAGCTGGGCATCGGCGCGCCGGCGACGGGGCTGTATATCCGGGAAGATGTCGATCTCCGCTGCAACCTCCTCATGACCGGCTTCGTCAAGAAGAACCTGAAGAAATCGCACGCCACGCTCGTGGACCACCTGGTCGAGAAGGCAAGACTGGTGATGTCTGGAGACAGAGACAGCGTCTACACCGGACGATCGCCCTCGAGCGCAGCGGAGGAGAAGCCAGTTCTGTTCTCACCGTCGCAATCATCACAGAAACAGGCTCAACGCTACAGCGGCCAGGCAACGACGGCGGGGACGAGACGGAGCCCGCCTCCGCAACTCGGGAGCCCGTTTGTTCCTGGATACCAGCCCGGACGGCCGCCGTCCATGCGATACCCCAGCCCACACACGGGCGAGCAGCGTCCCATCGCACCAGCCGTCGCACCAGCCGTCGCACATCAAAGATCGCACTCACAACACGCCAACCCTCCCAGCCAGTTCGACCAACACCGCCCAGCAGCCTGGCCCCCCTCAGCAGCACACGCGCTCCCTCCCACGCGGCCACAACACCCGGAGCACTACTCCCTCCCTCCACCGGCCCACCACGACAACGCACTCTACCCTCAGCCCCTCCGCGTGCGGAACCTGTCCGTCGGCTCAGCCCACGTGACACAGCCCCTACCAGGCACGACGATGACGACGAGCAACGGCGGCGGCGGCCGCTCAGCCTCGTACCGGAGCTCGGACTCGTCCGCCGGATCCACGCTGACAGCAGCGACCAGCCGGCCGTCCGTCTCGGAGCCCAGGACCAGCAGCAGCGGCGACGACCACCCGGAGTACCCGTCCCTGAATCCGTACTCGGACGCAGGTGGTGACTGCGGCAGTCCCTCGCTTGATGAGCCGCTGCCGCCGCGCAAGCCGCTGCTGTTCGCCGAGCTGGCCGGGTCGGAGGGGCTCAGGAAGGGGAAGGGCGAGGAGCAGGCGCGCCGCGGCGCGCACCACCCGTCGGTGCTAAGGCCTGGGGGTCGCGCTGGAATGGGCGCGCGGCTGGACTCGCCTTTTATCGCGGAGCTGGAATGAACGATCCCTCTTGCCTGCCGGCCTGGAAGCCTGGCAGTCCGATTGTTTTCTTCCACTTCGGGCGGCCCGGCGCTAGTGGCGGGTGTTGATGATATCGGCTGCGTGCCAGAGGGGAATCGGCGGGCGAGTAGTGATTTGGATCCGCAACCGGCAGCCTCCCATATCTGCTTGGCACTGTTTACTCGGGGGTATTGTCTCAGGCTCATATTACGTTGCCTCGGTGATCGGTCGTACTGCGGTGACGGGTCGTGCTCTGGTATGTGCCCTTTATCTGTACCTCATTTCTGACTTGTGCCGCCTGTGGCGATTTTCTGGACAGGCGAAGTGTTGGATTGTGGAATCATGGCGTTGAGATGCTATCCCCGATATTTGATCGTTTTAGGATACCCCCCCCCCTTTTCAGAATACCCCTTCGCTCGCTTTCAATACTGGCAGGGCGTAAATTGGCAAGTTGTGCCAGGAGCAATTTCACATTATACAACGCAAAAAACAAGTCTTCTAGGTGATGCAGTGCCATTGTTCTGATGTCCTCTGCGCCAGAGTAAAATCTGTTTATAGAGCCGGGAAAAGCACAATGCAAACCACAGTAGAAAAATAAAAGACGTTGTTCATGCTTCGTTTCATTGCCACGCACCTCCCCTCAACTCCCCATCCCCGATCGCATGTTTTCTCCATCCCGAAAGCCATATTAACGTCGACTTCGTGAGTAGCAGACCTGAAAATAGAAGAGGCAAGGCAAGAGAGACAAGCCTCCTCGCAACCACCTTTCTTCTCACTCCTTCATTCCCACGCCCACTTCAAAAATAAAAATAAGTAAAAATTGGAACCCAAAAAACCCTAGGTGGTGGGGGGAAGAAACGATTTACATGAGACGTCCCGAAACCCTGAAGCGAAAAAGATGATTGATGCCTTGTGTGGAATTAACACCAAAACATGCCAGCCCCCTGGAAAAACTCTCTCTCTCTCTTTTCCCCTTCGGCGTCCACTTCATCATTGGCTTTCTCACAGAGCCGCCACACCGGCGAGCGCGCCAGCCAGCACGAGCGCCGAGGCCTTGAGGCCCGCGGCTCCGGCAGTGACGTAAGTCGGCTTGGGCGCGACGGGCTGGTACGCGCCGGTCTGCTGGCCGTTCTGGGGCGGCGCCGGGACGGGCGCGGCCGGAGGGGCGACGGGGGAGTCGCCCTTGACGGGGGGAGCAGGTGGGGGAGGAGCAACGGGGGAGTCGCCCTTGACTGGGGGAGCTGGGGGGGGAGGAGGAGGGGGCGGGTAGTCGTTCTTGGGCGGCGGGGGCGGGATGCCCTCCTTGGTCTGGACCGGGGGAGGCCCGACAGTGACCTTGGGGACGGTCTGGATGGGTTTGTTGTTAGCCTGGGTGAGGTTGATGGGTGGTGTGTGTATAGATGTGTACACACACACACACACACACACACACACACACATATATATATATATATACACTCCGTCACACATGGAATATGTTACTTACGGTGGTGATGGTGCATGGGCAGTTGGTGATGGTCACGGGCCCGGGGGTCTTGGCCGTGTAGCACACGTCCTTCCAGGTGATGACGGTGGGCACGGGGCAGTAGGTCACGAACGAGTTCACCACGATGGTCGTGGTGATGGTGCCGTTCATGGCGGGCGGCGGGATGCCCGTTCGCTGGGCGGTAGCCACAGAGGCCGCCAGGAGGGTGAGGAGGTTTCGCATCTGCATCTTGTCTGTCCTTCTGTTTTCCTCTGTTTTGTGTGTTGTGTGTGTTGTTGTGTCTACGATGTCGGGGTTGCGGAACGAAAAAGAAGGTTGACCGGTGGCGCAGAGGTTTTTCTCAACAAGTGGCAACGTAGAATTTAACGAGTGTGAAGAACGTCAAGTCGAACGAGTGAGACTGTGGTCGAGACCAAACAATTGCGATGCGGAAGAAGGTGTCACATCAACAGACTCAAGAGGCGAGGCAGTCTTATATGGATGCGGACGACTAGTCCAGGCCCATGGACGAACCCGTCACAAGAATCTGCAATTAAACTCGCCGACAGGAGTTGTCTAATGACACATTGCTGGTATGACAAACAAACAAACCGTGTTGTTGGTCTCGAGAAATGCTTCCGTGGCGGCACATTCCAGTCAGCCTGCCCAGCTGGCCACCAGCACGCGACGGCCCACACACACCACTCACACCCGTCACACATTCCATCACCATCGTCCAAGAGCACCGTTCAAACTGTGGGCGAAGCCAAAAGCGGCGATCCTTTTTTCGTAGTGTGTTAATGGTCATCTAAGAAGCGGTCGATCTCATCGACTGGTATCGTATAATGGTCCGTCGTTATGTACACTCTTGTGCCGAAATAGCTCAGGGCCATATCATAATGTAACAAGCCCCTCGGTTATACGGTCCATCCCCCTGACACCGAGCTGTTCGACGTGCTGAATCGTACCGGCCCTTGCCTTTTACATCATAGATCCTGTCCCGTAGAGAATTAGAGTCCTTGGCCACTCCGAGCCAGGGACTCGCACAATCCTTCCCCCTCCCCTCCATTCCACCAACAGAGAAAAAAATGAAATGCAATGATGACACAGCGAGTCGGTCACCCAAATGCGCTCCATCAAAACGCTAGTCTTGGATGCTCCCGCAAGGAAGAATCCGTCGTAAAGACCGAGCACCCGTCGTCCGCCCTTTCTTCAATATGGACTGCCTGGGCCATGTCTATGCCGAAAACGAGCCCAACGCCTTGACTTCCGAATCACGCAGAGAAAAATGAAAAGCTGGCCCAACGCTTCCTCGAACATGCGGCGGGCCACAGAGGTGGAGGTACATCCGATTTGTATGCGATGCGATGGGCAAGAAAAGTGGAGACCACTTAGGCGAATGTGATCGAGGGATTTCACTGGTACCGAGACTACCCAATCGTGCGACGAATCTTGTCGATCATCTCATCGTCCAAGGCCCACACCAGGAACGAGGGCAGAATGAAAATGCACAACACTGATCCCAAGCCATTTCAAGCTGTAGGCCGTGAATCATCGCTCCAACAAGTGGCGGGTCTATGCCGTGATGTCAGACCCAGCGAGCCATTGACGAAGTTCGGAGCCAAACAGTCTCTGCTGTGACTATTGGCAAGCCCGCATCTGTGGCGGTCTAGTGCGGTCATGGAAGAGACGTTGCTGCTTGCGCCGCATGGCCGCGGTTGCATAGCGTCGGGCTGATCTTCGGGGAGAAACGAGTGCTCGAATTCTGTCATTTCTCACTTGCGGTTCGATCGACTTTGGCTTCGCTCGAGCAATCGACCAGGTGCTGCGGAATCTTTGCCGACGGGGTGCGTTATCGTATCGAAGTCGTAGTTCTTCAAGACCTGCTCGTATTTTGGGCTCCGCAGGAACTTGGGCACAGAGTCCTTGTGTACAAGTTAGCATCGGCGACGCATGGAACTCGTTGGGGTGCGATATCCGACTTACACTAGCCATAAGCTTGAACACAGCGTTCTGCGCATCCTCAAACAGGGCCGTGACCTCGTGCAGCGTGTCAATCATGGCAACATCTTGGCCCACTGCCTTAGTCATGCGGGTGGCAAGGTTGCTGCGCAGCTGATGGTCGATGTTGAGCTCACAAGGCGAGCCGGGGGCGAGGAACGCGTTGTAGATGCCGTAGGCCTGAGCCATGATCTCCTTGATACCATCCATAGATGTCGACGTTGGGTTCTTCTGGGCTTGTCGGATGGCCTGCTTGCAGCTGCGCACGAACTCGTCCACGTCGATGTAGAATGACAGATTTTCCTCGCAGTGCGTCTCCCTCAGGTTCTCGCGGAAGAGCAATCGAAGCGCGGGATCGCCCAAGATCTTATCCAGCCTCTGGGTGTTGGAGTCGCGAGCAATGCCCGGCCTGATCCCGCCGGATTGCACCTCGCCCTCCGAGCTCCTCCCCCGAGACAATGCGCCGTTGACCAGGTCGTGAGCTCTTGGCGTGAGCGTGTAGATGGCATGCTTTGTGGGTTGGAACAGATGGCTGCCAGGATACTGCGACATGTAGGCCCGATCCTGTTGGATAGCCTCCATGAGCTCGTACTCGACAAACAAACCGGCGACCTCGATGGTCTCCCGTCGATCTACGGTGGTGGAACAGTCCATCAGCCAGTCGGTGGCCGCCTTGCCGGTAAAGGTGTGCTTAAAAGTCTTGCCTCCTACTTTCCGCTCGGCAGCCATCTTGACGCCAGTCAGACCATCGCGGTAATCGCTGAGGGAATCCGAGTCGGCGGAGTTCACGTTGCTCTTGATGTTAAATCCCCCAATGCCGACAAACCTCCGGAAGAGCACCTCGATGGTGCCACGGTCAGTAGTCAGCTTATCCGTCTGGCCTTCTCTTTCCAAGATGACGAGCTGGGGTAATGAGTTGCCGATCAGCTCTGCCACCTGCTTCTGCTGGATACCGTTCCTCGAACAGAAGCGATCCAATATAGAAATGCCCTTGGGTGTCAATTGCCAGACGGAGCCCTTCATGGTGTATACCTGCTGGTACTTGCCGTCGGCGGACTCAATGAAACGTGCTTCCAGGAATCGCTGGCATATCGAGCGGGCCATATCTTTGGCCATGGAGAATGTGGTGGTGGTTGTCGTCGTTACGATTCGGGAAGGATCTTTGGGGTCGGGCATGCGGTTGGATTGGGAGAACTTGAGGGAGCCCAGATTGTTGATGGCATCTTCTGACAGGAAGGTGTGCTCGACCTTGGTCAAGCGCACGCGATGGGCTGAAAGCGGCAGCAGACTGACGATCAGTGTTGCAAAGAGATCCTTGAAGTCCTGCAGGCTGCTGTCAGTCGCCGAATGCGCAGGCCGGGGCGTGCCGCTGCCCCGCGCAGTACAGCAGCAGCAGTGCCGTTGCTGATTACTGGGCTATTTGGGGCACGGCTGGCGGCGGGTAAAAACGAATCAGATTGAAGATAACTCACCTTGGTGAACGGCCTGTCGTCATCCGTCATGCGCAGTAGCCTTGACGATGTTTGATGCATCTTGTTGTCAATTCTCGGCAGGAGAATTGGCGGGGGGTGAGAGGGATCGGTCTCAGAATAGGGTCGCGAGTAAGGGGGATCCTGAGCCGAAAAGGCCTGGCTGATTGGAGACTTGGACCCCGGCTGAGGACTCAGCAGGTTCGAGGACGACGCCGACGACAATGTCGAGGCGGGGCGGTATCTCGAGATCCTGTCGGGTGAGGGCTCGGCGCTAAGGTGGTGTGCAGCAGAGTCGCCGGTGATTGAGAGCCGACTGAGGGATCGCTGGTGGCGGACGGTCTGGTCAGAGATGGTTGCAATGGCACTCTGGGTGCGGTCAATGGCAGAGGCAGCGAATGCGAAAAAGCCGCCTGGTTTCTGGAGCCTCGGGTCTCCTCGGGCAGAGTTGACGGGCGACTGCTGTGGTCGGGATCGCGTGAGCACGACGGAGTCTGGGGCAGGCTCGAGCGGCGAGGATGAAAGAGGAGAAGAAGCAAGCGTCGTTGGAGTGCTGGCGGTGGTGCTGTTAGGACTGACGGCAGGAGGAGGGCGACGCGGATTGCCTTGGTTGGTGGGAGAGGACAAGGACAGGTGTGGTGGTGGTGCCGCTGGAGGTGGGCAGGTGAGGGAGCTCAGGCTGGGGCAGGATGAGGAGGTGGAAACAGAGTGTTGAGGTGAGGCAGAGTTGAAGTTTGAGGAATTATTGTTTGTGTGGGACAATGGATCGTGAAGATAGACTGGGCTTGGGCGGGCAGGAGATGATACGCCGGCAGCCATCTAACAAAGGCAGGAAGGAAGTTAGTAAGAGCGGGTTGGGCCTGGGTCTTGTCTTGTCTTGTCTTGGTCCCGGCGTGGATGGAGCTGGGACTGCTGGTGCTTGGGTAAGAGCGCAGGAGACGGCGGGCAGGACAGGACAGGACAGGACAGTACAGTACGAACGGACTCAGGTGGTAAGGATGATGAGAACAAGGCCGTGGGCAGGGTCAGGGCAGCGAGGATGATGGATGCCACAGATTGGGGGTCATTTGGCGGTGCCAGGCTGGGCCGTGAGCATCAACCACTTCTTGCGCTCTGCACCGTTGTGGTTCCTGTGGTTCCTGGTGGCTCCTCTGCTCTGGTCTGTCCGACTGGTGCTCGGCGAGGGTTGATTGAGCGACGAGAAGGGGTGGGAAAAGAGGAACCGTCGACTCGACCGAGAGCACTTGCAGCTCCATTGGCGGGTGGGAACCGGCCAAGGAATGGGCCAGGCGAGAGGGAGAGGGCGAGAGTGAGTGAGAAAGCACGTACCTATACTACCGCACGGCACTGCACTGTGCTGGGAGAGCCGGGCTGTGCTGGGAGCTGCTGTGGGCTTTGGGCCACTATCCCAGGCCGATAAAAGAAGGGAAAAAATCGAACCACGAGACAGCAGAACCACAACAGGGTACGCACAGCCCTGGGACAGACTCGCAGACGGGGGGGGGGGAGTGCGACGAGAGAGATGTGGAATGGGGAAAACTGAACGGTGAAGAAGCGAGTGGCAGTGGTGGTGGTGGTGATGACTGGAAGAAACGGGCGTGGAATGATGAGACTGACTGGGCCAGGGGGCGACGGAGCAGAAGCAACACACGAAGGTGGGTGGTGTGGTAGGAAGGCAAAGCAGGCAGTTTACGCACCCAATGTCTCCCTCTCAGATTGTCAATTGCCAGGCAATTAAACCGAAAGCGTCCGGCGGATGGGGATGGGATGGCGGATTGGACTGGGCTGGACTGGACGCTGGCTGAATTCGAGGTGCGTACGGTAGGTAGCAACGAGACCGAGTAGCAATTGTAGATTGGAGCGACAATGGCAGAAAATGACAAGTGACGAGTTGACGGGCGGGTGACGGGGGTGACGAGTGACGAGGCGAACCACGCGGGAACAGGCAGCGAGAGAGAGAGAGAGAGGGTCTCACACACGCTCACAACACCATGCCATGCCCATGCTCATCAATGAAGGCAAAGCAGAAAGAAGCCAGCAGCAGCAGCATGCGATCAAGAGCAACGGTAGACAGAGCGCGAGAGACGGTGGGCCGCGGGGTTGGGTACACTACGCTACGTATCTACGTACTGTGTGTACAGTATGGAGAGGAAAAATCGGCACGACAGGGGAGACTCCCGGGAGCCATGTGCTAGAAGCTGCGGAGGATGGGCAATGTGATGGAAGGGGGGGGTGGGTTTGCTGATGGTGTGGGTGAGAAAAAAAAATAAAAAGCGAGCTGCCGGTCCCACTCAAGGGAGGGCAGGAAAAAAGGAGGACCAGGACATGGGGCGTCATTGCATCAGGGTGCCGCATCGCATGGCACATGGGGCCATTCGGGCGGGGTATCTGGTACTGTACAGGTTGCACAGTGTTGCACACACCGTCTATACTCGCACCAGGGCAGCTGCGACATCTAAAAGGTACGACACAGTTGCAGTTCTTTTGCTCGGTACGAGAGAGAGGGGGAAGGGGAGGGGGGCGAGAAAGAACACCCCCCCCCAGGCTGTCACCCATCTAAACCCGTTCGGGCCAGCAGGGCTACTACACCCCAGGCAACCCCCGGCTAGGCTCCCAGAAGCACAAGATCGGCCCTCGGCACAGCTCTTTTTGCTAAGACTTGCAGGACGTCAACCAGATAGATCCAGGCAGAGGAGGCAAAGGCAGGCAGGCTGTGGATCACGAAGTCCGCCCTGCAGTACAGGATATGCTCAGTCAAGACGAACCGGCGATGAAACGGATTCCACATAACAACATGGTGAGCGTCGCTATTGCCGGCAAGGTGTTGGTCCCTTGCATGACTGATCAATGAATGAGAGAGTGAGTGGGTGAGTGGGTGATGAACTATCAAGCTCCTCCTAGACAAAGACCCCCGCGTATGCCGTCCGTACGCATTGGGCCACGACCGGCCACGACATTGCCCAGAAAGGAAAGCAGGCCATCCAGCCATCACCAGCTCTGGGCTCGAACGCCTTCGGAGGGCAGCGGGAGGGCGGAGTAACATGATCCCCCAACCCACGAGCTGTGGTACCCTGGCCCGTCCATTCATGGGCGGTTCTTCTCCTCTCGGGTCCCGATCAAGGAGAGAACCTGAGACATCCAGCACAGCAAAGACGCCTCGCCGCAAACAGAACAGAAACACGGCCTCTTCCAAATCGTTATTTTTATCGGCGTCCAAAATAAACACGTCTCAACCCCGCCAGTCCATTGGACCGTCACTGCGTTCAGCTCGGCCGGCCGAGGGGGCGACGACCTGTCAACCCGGGCTGTTGGCCCCCCGGTTTTCCCTGTACTGTACTTTCCCATCCACAGCCGCAAAACCACACCTGGTGCAACTGCTACTGCTGCTTGCTTGCTTGCTTGCTTGCTGCTGACGGAGCGGGCACCACCACCAACGGGCAAGATCTCCCCACCACCAACCCCCCGGCTCTGAGACCACGTGGGATTCTTGTTGGCGGGCTGAAACAAAATAGGGAAGAGAAGAGCCAACTGGTCGAGATGCGTCTGTGCAAGCACATCGCATCATAGGGCGGGACGAGGTTCATTGGAGCGCGCATGCTCCCGAAACGCCTTCCACCTGCCTTTGCCACATGGGGCCCATGATCAGGCCCTCTGCCTTGCCTTGCCGATCAGCACAGCCCAGAAGCAGACCAAGTAGCAACAACAACAGCCACAAGTTCCGCCCTGCGCGGTCCCTTTGGTCAGCAACCTCGCTCCGGCCAACGGAGCATTGGGGGCCGGGGAGGCGAAAGCCACGCGCGACCGGGTTGCATGCGAGTAACCAACCCAACATCATCTGTATGCGGGTTCCTTGCAAGCAAGGAAAAAATGACGAAGAGAAAAAATAACAGCGGGCGCAGATCATCGTGAGCAAAGCCCGGACGACCAGTCTTTTGATCCCATCTCAGGGAGCGTCTGAAACAGGCGTCTGAAAGCACGTGTTTGTTCAGCTGCCGGCAACAACACCGGAGTTAAGAAGAAGAAGAGAGAAAAAAGGAAAAAAAAAAAAAAAAAAAAATACTGCTTCGCCGGGCTGGCCTGGCTGGTATAGTTTCTGACGGACCTCACGGTCGTGGCCAGTTTGCCAGGGCTGGCTGGCGCAATGTGTACAAACGAGACGTGGGCCAAGGTGCAGGACAGCAAGGCGTGTCGGAGGGGGTGAGATCCTGCCGGGTGTGCCATGTGTTTGCCGGGTGCGCCCTTCGCCAATGGCACGATGATGCGGGATGCGGTGTTGGCGGAGGGGGGAGGGTGGGCAAGGCAAGCAAGCCACCTAGGTAGCTAGCTGCCTGCGCTACTGTAACGAAAAAGTCCTCCCTGTGAAGACTACCACAGTACGTGTGTGTACTTCCAGAGACGGGGGGGTGGTTGATTGGTCGCCCTTCTCTTTTGGATGGGTGTGGTGGGTAGGTGGCAGCACGACAGGGTCGGCAGGATCTGCACATGGCCTCAGGGATCTCGTCCACGAGGCAAGCCGCGACACGGATTTGCTTGTGCGAGCTCGTTGGCCTTGAGGGCCCAGCCCCTGCAGCTGTGCATTGCTGCTGGTGCTACTGTGCGTGGTGGGAGAAACGCTTCGTCTCCTCTTTTTCCTTTTTTTTGCGCCTTTATTTTTCTCTTTATCTTTAATTCTCGTTGCTTCTTCCCGCTGTTGTTGATGTTGCGGCTGCTGCTGCCGCCCCAATCATCGTCAATCCGAACTCCGTCCTGTGGCCGCCCGTCTCATCCCCTTTTTTTTTATCCTCCGGTTTCAGCAAAACGCTCCAACACATGGCCCTGGCTTGGCGTGGCGCCTTCGCATGATGCTGCCCCACCTCGTGCCCTCAAGTCATGTTGGTTGCCTGCTGTCAAGGCTGCTGACTCCCTAACGCGTGCCACCCCCGGCAAATACTGTTGCCTCGGGCAGACATCTTGGGCCCGTCCAAGATGATACTTGGTGCCCGGCGCGCTGGTGACAATCGAGGAATCGCAGCCGGATCTCGGGCATAGCTGACTGCCTGAATAATGCAGCTTGTCCCCGTGCT